TTTGTGATGGAGATCATTTTTTGGGGGGGGGGGGATGGATGCTACGAACTAGAGAAGATGGATTGAAACAAGTCAGAAAAAGGGGGTAAGGAAGGTAAATAAGGTAAATAAGAATAAATAGGGTGAAGCTGTGCCTCTTTAGATTGAATTTATTTTGCGTCATTTAGCGTTATTTCCATGACGGAGCTATAAACCATTGATTTTTCATCAACATCACATTTGTTTGCATTGTCTTGGGTATTTGTACTGAATCTCGAATTTCTGTCGTCTTCGTCCTTGTCCTTGTCCATGTTCTCGTCCTTGTTCTCGTCCTTGTCTTCGACCTCGTTTTCAACATCGGTGTCGTTTTCGACATTGTCCTCGGCTTCTACATCGGTGTCATCTTCATCACTTCTAACGTCTTCAGCACCACTTCCAATAACTACCCTATAAGCAACTTTTGAAATCAAATACATCCAAATACAAGTTATGACTTGCAAACCACCTAGTAATCCCAAAAACGTGTTGATGACTGTAGGAGTCCAGCATCTTTTCTGAACGGCGCCTTCAATGCATTGGCCATCACTCATCAAATGTACCGACTTGTCCCATGCGTGATAAAAGATGTAATTATAAACACCATGTCTCAATCCGATCCAAGAAACCAAGAATAAAATGAACATGGCATCACACGCATTGTTGAATTTCGCATATTTCAACATCTTGGCTGCGGCAAGGAAAATATCAACAGAGTCCATAATCATCAAAATCAAGTGTCCGATTCTGAAGTAGTAGTAGTAGTATGAACCAACAATCAATAAACAAGTAATTATATGATGGCTAAACATTTGATAGTGGTCTTTTCTTGGTTTTTCAACATGCAACACCAATATCTGCTGAAACCAAAATGCCATTGAAATGAGGTAATAGCTTTTGAATTTGGCGTCCATGTAAAAGTTGGGCCAATTGATGTAGATTTGGTCTAAATCGTTGAAATATGGGGCATCTAGATATAAATACACACCAAAGATAAACGATACTCCCCAATAAAGAAACGACCAACTTTGCTCAGCAAATCTCGTTTTGGCCTTTCTGGAATATATGTGACAGAAGCGCGATGCGAATGGTTCAAAGCAGTATTTGATTAAAAACGAACGAAGAAAAGTCACCGTTACGACCCAATTGATCACAAAGTATACATCGTCGATACTGATATCGTAGATTGAGCTGCCCAGGGAGTTTATACCAACCTTGTTTTGCAAATAGATAAACTTGCTTGTAAAGCGAATGATATTTGAGTTGGAACTTAGCATATTGAGTGAGTATAATAGTATCATTAAATTTCTCGATATGGGTATTTGGTTCCTTTCAACAGCTGCAAGAAATGAGTCATGGTACTGCTGGTCCAAACTTGTCATTTCGTCGACAACAACATCTTCCTTTTCGCCCTCTACTGTTGTCCCTTGTTCTTTTTTAGGTGGTTTCGATTGTACTACATTAAAGCTATTCAAACTTTTATCCAGTCGCCTAGACACTTGAGAGGCTATCTTTGTTCTTGTACTTGTGGCCATCTTGAAAACCTCCCTTATCTTCCAACAATTGGGAGAAAAAGGCCTCTGCTCAACAAGATAAAGACTAAATAACAATTAAACAATATTAGAAATCTCAAATCTTCTCGTATACTATTTGAATAGTACTATAAATTTTTTTTTTTTTCTTTTTTTTTTTTCTTTTTTTTTGGCTTTGTCATATAAAAAATTTTCTCTACACAAATCAACGTGTTCAGTTTAAAGATGATTTACATTTGGTGCAACAAAGAACAATACTACATATACAAGTGTAAGTAACAACAAAACACACTAAGAAAGAAGAACAATTGTAACTTTTTTTCCACCAGGGCAACAAACGCCCACTATTTATTTTTTTTCTTCCTCCTTCCCCCATAGAAAAAAGATAATTTTGTTTGGCGCACCATCGCGGTGAGTTGGAATGGAGGGGGGGAGGGGATGGGCGTTTAAGAGGTTGTGGCCAAGGATTTAAAGGTAATACGTTACTAGAGATAGGTCTTGGTTTATTGCAATGTACCATTTGAGTTTTGGAGTGATTGGGTCTGATGTAATGGATGTAGAAAGAGTATATGTAGGAAGAAAAGAGTAAAAAGAAAGAGTATTAAAAAGAAAAAGAGTAAAAAGAAAGAGTATTAAAAAGAAAGAGTAAAAAGAAAGAGTAAAAAGAAAGAGTAAAAAGAAAGAGTAAAAAGAAAGAGGATTAAAAAGAAAAAGAGGGTATGTAAAGTAAAGAATCAATAGATAATCATCTCTAGCTGAAAGAACAGAAGCTTATTCCTCTGGTTGTTCATATAACTAGATGTTATCAAACCCTCAACCCCAGAGATGGATCTTAAAGGTTTGGCTTTAGAAGTGTAACTCAAGAGATGGGCGGCGTCAAAGATGGGCGGCGTCAAAGGTTGGCCATCAAAGATTGGCCATCAAAGATTGGCACAATAGAGATTGACTTTTATTAATTTCTTTTCATTGACACTTGGTAGCAAACTTACATGTAGAGTTATGCTACAAGAAAAAAGTTTCTATTTTTCCGGATCTCGAGGAAGATGCGGCTTTTTTTACAATTTCGGAAAAATGATATAGGTATAGACTATCGAGTAAAGCGAGATAGTCTATAGGGAGTCTAGATGAAGAGAGTAGATATAGACTATTTCGCTTTGCTCGATAGTCTATAGAGAGAGTAGATATAGACTATTTCGCTTTGCTCGATAGTCTATAGAGAGAGTAGATATGAATTATTTCGCTTTGATCGATAGTCTATTGAGAGAGTAAATATAGACTATCTCGCTTTGGTCGATAGTCTATTCTCGATAGTCTATAGAGAGAGTAACGTGATTAGCCACTTTGCTAAAAATAATCAGTTTCACGTGACTTACCCAAAATGGAATAACAAAAGTTCATAAAACTGTCACAAAAACTCTAAAGCCTATTTCACCGTCTTTGAAATTGGCATTGATTGCAATGCCTAATTAAGTGAGCGACACTAGGAAGCGAAGCGAGATAGTGGAGCACAGTAACTGCCACGGACACTATCGCCACCATCTCTACTATCTCCACCATCTCGTTCTGCTCGATAGTAGAGCACACTAGCTTACACAGACACTATCTCTACTATCTCCACTATCTCGCTCTGCTCGATAGTAGAGCACACTAGCTTACACAGACACCATCTCTACTATCTCCACCATCTCGTTCTGCTCGATAGTAGAGCACACTAGCTTACACAGACACTATCTCTACTATCTCCACTATCTCGCTCTGCTCGATAGTAGAGCACACTAGCTTACACAGACACTATCTCGCTCTGCTCGATAGTGTCTGTGTCACTGCCTCCTAAGCAACATCGACTGCAATGCCTTTTTCACACCTTGTTCATTGTATCTATTCCACAAAACATACGCATTGATCATATCCTGAACAGCCTCAACAACTTCATCCAAGTTGATATGAGAGTGTTCTAGAAAATTCATAAACTTGTGTATCTTTATAGTATCTTCGTCTACAATATCAAGATCAAAGTTTATCAAATCCGACTCCTTGGTCTTTTGTGATTGTTGCTGTGTCAGTTGCAATTGTTGTGATGCATTTTTTGATTCACTACTTTGTTTTGTCTGTGGTAGATTCATCAACTCTACAATATTCATCTCCTTGCTTTCCAACCCCATCTCCCCTCCAGTATAGGCACCATCTCCTCTGGAAAAATTGCCATTAACGTTGCCGCTTTCACTTCTGCTATTACCCAACGCAACGTCAATCTCGCTACTTCTCGTTTCTGGTGGCTTTGATGCATTGCCATTGGGAGTATTTTTATTTCTCGTTTGTGCCAAGTTCTTTTTCAACACAATAGTGATATATATCGCTGCAACAGCAATAATATGAGGAGGAACCAATAAATGCAAATCAGTAACATAGCTATCATTAATCAAACTCCATGAATTTTGCATTTCTTCATCAGTTAGCTTAAATCCATAAACGTCAAACTTTGAATCGAGATAGTTGCGTAGTTGAATCAAAGACTTGTAGGGGTGATGTAATAACAAGTACAGATCCATTTCCTCAATGAGATAAAATTCAAACTCAGCTAGTTTTGTGACATCGTGAGGTATATATTCGGGCCATATGTTTCTTGCTTCCAGTAAAATAAACCTAATGTGCTGGGGACACTCTTCAATCTTGCAGGAAACATATAAACAAGTTGTAATGAACAAGTAAACATTGATTTCTTTCAAACTATTTCTTGTGAGGAATCGTGTTAGATAAATTTCAGCTGTAGCTACCGCAACTTGTCTTACATTGAGCCGTCGACCTAGCTTGAGCAATAAGTTGTGCAAATATATCCTCATATTATAGTCGTATACTATATTAGGATAATCTTTTATAAGTCCATTTTGAATCATTTTACGTTCAAGAAGTAAAACCTTTCGTCTTGCTTCGAGTAATGAAAACCTCGTGAGTTGCCATTGGTTTCGCTGAGATGAACACCAGTAATCCGCAGACATTTCCTAGTGATAATGAATGATTCTATATACGTCGAAGCGCTATAATGAGACGAGTAGATCGTCTCGAGTCCCTCTTTGATTGATTGGGTAGAGAATCATTTTGGAAAATTTGAAGGGCTCTCTTTTTAGTAACTTATACATACGCTACCACGTGCGGCTTACAATAGAGAGGAATCATATCTGAGTAATGTATGTGAGGATTAAGATGAAATGGAAGGGGGGGGTTATACAAAGTATATAGAACACATATGAATAAGCTCAATCTCCGGCATTAGGGTCATGTGTCTTAGTCATGTGGGTATTATTGTTTTAGTCATGTGGGTATTATTGTCTTAGTCATGTGAGTGTCAAACCCTTCAGTGCTGCTTTACTAGCTCGCTTTGCTCGCTAGTGTCAAACCCTTCAGTGCTGCTTTACTAGCTCGCTTTGCTCGCTAGTGTCTATAGTGTCAGTGTAGTCAGTGTTCTCCACTATCTCGCTTTGCTCAATAGTGGCAGGTAGTGTTTCACTTTTTCTCTTTTACTGGCCACAGTAACGAGTTATTAATATCGTAGACAAATATTTTCTCATTAGAATCGTTGATATCGTCAAAAACTTTGCCATTAGGATATAACTTGTACAAAGCTTTTATATCGGTATTTTGATTGATATTTTCAAATTCATGAGTATATTTAGGAATAAACAAAGCATTCAATTGCGCGGTAAAAAGGCAAGTTAGAAGTATGATTAATCTCATTGTTGCAAAAAGAAAATATACATTTTGACCTAGAGATTGCTAACCTAAAGGATTTTGCAAGGTTTATATATCAAGCTCGTTGCCTAAAAGGTTATCTGGTTGACATCTATCTTGTTGATAAAATAGAGTTTTTGCATCTGTCAATCTAGATTTTACCTAATTAGGAAATCTAATGAGGCGAACCCCAGAATTTCCTTTTTCGATAATCGCCAAAACACTAGCGACGTTATCCCCACTATCGAGCAGAGCGAGATAGTGGGGCAGCATTGACTATAGCGAGCAGAGCGAGCAAGTAAAGCGGCACTGGTAGGCTTGATTGCTCCAATGTTGCTCTAATGTGTCTTCTTGTGGTTTTTCACTCTTGTAACTATTTTTTCTTACAACTGTTTACTCCAATAACTGTTTATAACTACTTACTCTTATAACCAATACTTTTATAACTGTTTACTCTCACAACTATTTACTCTTATAACTAATACTCTTATAACTGTTTACTCTCATAACTGTTTACTCTCACACCAATCTACTCTCATAACTATTTACTCTTATAACTATTTACTCTCATAACTGTTTACTCTTATAACTATTTACTCTCATAACTATTTTATAGTCTTTTTCAATAGTTCTGCTCGAAAGTGGAGCACGCTAGCTTACACAGACACTATCGAACAGAGCGAGATAGTGTCAGTGCTGCTCCACTAACTCGCTTTGCTCGCTAGTGTCGCTTCGATAGTGTCGCTTCGATAGTGTCGCTTCGATAGTGTCGGTGCTTTGACCAATTAGTTCATCAGTGCGACAATTTTCGTCCGCTTGGGTTGTGCCCGACCCGCGATATTTCTCGCCGAATATCGTAATTTTTTGGCTCCCGCGTCCGCCCGAGTCCGCCGTGTCGTTTCATTGCCCCGCGCGGATACAGCGCCCCGAGAAATCGTTTAAAATCTCTCGATAAAAATTATCAACAGAAACAAAATTGGCTGATTTTTATCAATACTTTGGCCCCCATTTTAAACGGTTCTTTACACCTCTACGTATCAAACCCCCGCGTGTTGAACGTTGTGACTAGAATTAAATGTCACCCATCTCGCAAAAAAACTTTCACACGGCAAACCCCGAGGAAGCTACAGCTATAGATCGCTCGATACCTGAATTCGCTGCAGCCCAAGTTTCAGATGAAGATGACTATTTTGCAAACCATAAACCACCATCGTACTTACCTGAGATCAAACAGGAGCTAGAAGAATTTGTAAGCTATCATAAGGAAACCACAGGTAAGAGAATCGCGCTAGTTACATCTGGAGGAACCACAGTACCATTAGAAAACAATACAGTTCGATTTATTGATAATTTCAGTGCTGGAACCAGAGGTGCAACATCGGCAGAGTATTTCTTGGAAAACGGATATGCCGTCATTTTCTTGCATCGCGAGTTTTCCTTGTTGCCATATTCAAGACACTACAGTCACTCAACAAATTGCTTTCTTGACTATATGACTGAATCAAACGGCAAGATTGAGATAGATCCAAAATTCAGCGATGCCATGTTGCAAGTTTATCGCAAATACAAACAGGCTCAAGACTCACTGTCTTTGCTACTCATTCCCTACACAACGGTAAACCAGTATTTGTACACTTTGAAATTGATTTCAGAGGAGCTAAAAGTTTACGGTAGCAAAGCAGTATTTTATCTCGCTGCTGCTGTATCGGATTTCTTTATACCTGAATCGAGAATGCCTCAGCATAAAATACAAAGCTCGGCAACTCAAAACGGTGAATTACTGATACATTTGGCTCAGGTGCCTAAATTTCTAAGTCGCCTTGTTGATAATTGGTCTTCAGGTGCAATGATTATAAGTTTTAAATTGGAAACCGATAACAATCTTTTGCTTAAAAAGGCCAGAAGTGCATTGGAGAGGTATCATCACCAATTGGTCATTGGCAATTTGCTACAAACAAGGAAAAAAGAAGTGGTATTTGTTAGCTCTGATAAAGAGGACCATTGGATAAGACTCACTGATGAGGAATTGAAAAATGGTAAAATGATTGAAAGCGAAATGATTCCCGCTGTAATCAAGTTGCATGATGAATGGATAAAGAAGGCGAAAATTTGAATAGAAACAAAACGATATCCTTCCTTTTCACTTCTTTTCTTTGTCTCCTTCCCTTTCACTTCTTTTCTTTGTCTCCTTCCCTTTCACTTCTTTTCTTTGTCTCCTTCCCTTTCACTTCTTTTCTTTGTCTCCTTCCCTTTCACTTCTTTTCTTTGTCTCCTTCCCTTTCACTTCTTTTCTTTGTCTCCTTCCCTTTTTTTTCTACAAAAATGATACACCTATTCCATATTGGATCCCTTTTCTAATTGAATCCCTCTCATTGGCGACTAGCGGTAGAACAAAGTTTAGTTCAAATCTGGCCATTGGATGGTTATACAAAATACCGAATCCATAACTCAAACAATACGAGTGCGTCAACTCTTTGAAATTATCAATAAAGGAGCTATTCCTATCGAGGGAAACTATTCTACCACAATTTAAAAAATTATGAAACTTGAAATTTGAGTCTTTGTATCTTGGTACATTTGTAATGAGGGAAACGCCACCATTTAAGAATAAGTCACCTCCAATGAATGAGTTCTGGTCTCTTGGACCAAGCCCATTCAACAGGAAGGATCTAACATCGTTAGGTCCTCCTATGTAGAATCTATCCAATACCGAAGAAAATGATGAAAATGACGAGGATGACGATTTCTTGGTTAATGGATACAACAAACCGAATCTTGTGCTGGTCAATATATGCGAGTTCAAAAACGGTATACCCCATGAATGTTGAATTTGAGTAGCCGTTTTCAAAAACGGGAACTTGTTAAATTTAAACAACCCATTATACTCTACCCCCCATTGAAAATATTTACCTGAAAATGGCAAATGTTTGTTATCCCTACTATCATAGATGAGATTATAACCGATTGACGATTTGATACTTTGTCCACCTTGTTGCATAACTTCAAAACTCTTGGATCCATAATTACTCAAAGTGCGCAATGAATTTTCCAACACAATTTCATGATTCAACTCTGTATCATGGAACTGAGTATATATTTTATTGACAATAGTCTTTGACATCACATCGCTTTGAATCCAATCCAATTTTCTAGAATTTATACTAAATTGATTCTCCCATATATAATTACAATTGTTAAATAGCGGTTGATTATAATTGACTAAATAGGAACTATGGGTTTTTGTCCCCGTAACAGCGTCAAACACTAGATTCTCACCACCACCAAAAATATTGCGCAATTGGAATTGGATATACCCATCTCCTTCTCCGTTACCTATGTTCGTTCCTGTTTTAGCGAAAAACCGCTTCACCGGTAATGTGTTGAAAATAGGCACAACGCTAATGGCACCGGCACCAGCACCAGCACCAGCACTTCCATTACGTCCACTTGAAAACCCTCTTGTGAAAAGAAAGCCACCACTGGATATAGGCGCAGTAACCTTATGAGTGTTACATAGTATATTTTCAACAATGCCCAATTTCACGAAATTTTTTACAATGTTATCAACAGTTTTGAGATAACTCTCAAAACTGACTATATTCCCCGCAAGCAAAGGTCTAAACTGCGCCCGGATAAAACTATCACGAAATTGCTCGCCATTGGTGATCTGTACATTGTGCACCTTGATAGGTTGGCTTGCATTATCCTGGAACAATTGTAAAAGAAACTGTTGATTTTGTCGAATCATTTGTTCTTGTTTTTGTATTTGTAATTGGGCCAATTCTTTCTCTGCTGCAGTGGCCAATGACTCATTTGTCAGCCCTGAGCTTGCCAAATTCAAGCTTTCCAAAAACTCTTCATCTCGACTCGGTAAAGACATTGCCTACTAATCCCCAATGTTTCAAACTAACCTTACCAAAGAGATGAGCTCCTTATTCATTACTGTTTCTTTCTTTCTTTTTTTTTTTTTTTCATTTTATTATTTCTCGCTTTCTATAAGAATTGTAATACAGGGTTTGATACAACTTAATTCAATTTCCACTTGGAGACGAAGAAAGTAAGATTTATACTATTACTGTGGGGGTGATATGGCAACTCGTGGTATGGAACTTACCTTACTACTTGACGAATCAAGATTTGAATAGTCCATAGTCTTTTTCTCGACTACCGAGTCTGCAATTTCGTTTGCTCGTGATATTCCATCCTTCTTGTCAGCTTCCTCCTCTTCAATCAATAGTCGTATACATTCTCTACCAGCTTCGGTTTGGAAGTGTCTTCTCAAGGCGTCTGCTCTGGCAAATTTTCTTCCGCAACCATATGGATCCCCGTTTTTCAAGAAACCTTTGCATTGGTATTTTTTTTCTCCCGTATGTAAGTCCTCATGTCTCTTGCGATCATGTTGTCTAGCAAATGCTTTACCACATTGACTACAAATAAAAGGCCTCTCATCAGTATGTGTACGCAAGTGAGATTTCAAGTTGTAAGGTCTTGTAAACCTCTTTTCGCATAAATGGCATGCAAAAACACTCGGGTGTTTTTGAGTCCGTTTTGATGATTGATTTGGCAGAGCTAGTTCCAACATTTTCTCACGTGAAGATATCAAATATGTACCATTGCCACTGGCGCCACCACCACCACCACCACTACCACCATTGCCACTATTACCACTATTACCACTACCACTATTACCACCATTGTCTTCTTCCTCCCCTTCAATATCATCGTTATCATCGTTATCATTGTTATCATGATCATCATAATCATAGTCATCATCATCGTTGTTGTTATCGTTATCATTGTTCCTCCTAGTATCTCCTTCTTTACTGCGTGGCGATCTAGATCTCGGTCTTGGAGATAAACCACTCGGTGATTTCGGAGCGTAGCCTTTCCTTCTTCCACGTTTTGCAGGTTGATAACCCGTGTTTAGAGCATCTGTTTCCTCATAATCACTGACATAATTTGGTGAGGACGGCATCATTGTTCGAGACGTAGAGTATGGTGCGAGTGAGTTGGTACTCTCTTTTTTAGTTTTCGTATCGTTATTGTTTGAATTTGTCCTTGACAAATTATTGACTGATGAACTGGCCGAAGAATTGCTAAACAATGACGGTGTTTTTGCTGCAACAATCTCCGGTGCCTGATGGATTGAAATCACAATACCTGCAGAATCCTGATGTCCCTTGTCTCTAAGGTCATTGGCAACTTGTTCCTCTACTTGACTATTGTAGTTCGATAGATTATTCTCAGTGAGCATTTGATTTGAAGGAACAGATATAGGCATTGCATATGGTTGATTTGGCTTTTGAGAAAAAAAATTGCTATCAGATTGTTGAGGAGGAGTAATTGTAATGCCTAAATCAAAATTCATGTGTGCATTGGTGAAAGTGTGTTGATTTGAATTTATATTTCTTTGTTGTTGTTGTTGTTGTTGTTGTTGTTGTTGTTGTTGTTGCTGCTGTAGTTGAGTTCCTGCAGTTAAATTTTCACCATGAGGGTGCTCATTGTAAAGAGCATTTGGTTTCTCGTATGGGACATTCGTATTTTGCTCAACAGTGGGGGACACAAAAAATGATAGGTCTTCAAACTCGTCCTGTCTAACTCGCTGTCCCTGATTCTTCCCTTGCACATGTTCCTGACCCTGTTGTTGCTCCTGACCCTGTCCCATCGGTTGCCATTGATTGGTAGACATACTGGCCAAGTTGGTCAGACTTATAGATCCACCCAAGGGTATTTCGGTGCTCAAGAGGTTATTCCCATTAAAACTGTCAAAATGTTGATGTCGCAAAAGATTTGAAGATGACCCTCCATGATTCGATCCAACGTCTGAAAATGCTGTCGGCACATCCGGTGGTGCCAAATTGGTATTATAGAATTGGGATGCAGTGCCTAAAAATGGCGATGATGGTTGAGAGGAGGCGTTATCTGAATAGATCGAATGAGATGAATTTACCGGCGAGTGTGGATTCAAGTAAGTGTTTTGATTTGTGCTGACTTGTAGATAATCGTTTTGCGATAACCTCTGATGAAATTGATGAGGAGAGTTCTGAGTTTGGCTTGCTTGACTTGCTTGCGAGGTTGGTGAAAGGTAATCAGCAACATTTATAAAATGTTGTTCTGAGTCTCTAGGATTATATGAGTGCGCAGAAACGTTGGCAAGGTGTAAATCTTTGTTTTGAGTGAAACCATTGTCATCATTAGTAATGGAATAACCAACTTGCTCAAAAATGTTATTTTCTTGGTTGATGTTGGTTCCTCCTCCTCCTCCTCCTCCTCCTGCTTCTCCTCCCTCTCCATTATATACCACTTGATCTATTAGTTTGGTATCCATTTGTCTTTCCACATAGTGCTGGTATTGAGGAATAGGCGAATGCTTATTCTCTTGATTAATACTCACAGAAGCAAGGATCTGCGATCCCAAAGCTTCATGCGGGGATTGTGACTGATCGTTTGGATAGTAGGGAAAGTCAGGTACTGGCGGAGAAAGGTTTAGCACGTTATATAGCTCTTCTTCATCTTGTGAAGTAGAATGGTTATTTGACATTATTTCATAAAGTAGAAATAAAACAGCGGGACCAAGTTAACCAGCTAATAGGCAAGACAGCCAGCTAACAAGACCAAGTTAATGAGTGGGCCAAGACAACCAGTTAATAGGACCAGATTGCTATGAGATAGTGGGCCAAGACAACCAGTTAATAGGACCAGATTGCTATGAGATAGTGGGCCAAGACAACCAGTTAATAGGACCAAATTTCTATGAGTTAGTGGGCCAAGTTGCGATGAGCTAATAGGACCCTTTCAATTTTCTTGAAAAATTATTTGGACAGAATAGCTCGGAAACAAAATTTTAAATGAATATATGACTTCAATAGCTTAAAAACCAGCTATGAATTGAACTTGTTTGGAATAATTAGCCTTCCTTCACCCTCTATAATATAATACTCTTCCTTCTTACCAGTGGGTCTATTGTGATTGATAATACTCAGCTTTCTAATTGTCTCATTTTCCGTGTCGCACTTTATCCGTGTCTCTTTTATATTTTTTGCGTCAATAGACTGATACCGCGACACTATCGAGCAGAGCGAGATAGTGGACCAACACCACCGCGACACTATCGACCGATACTATCGAGCAGAGCAAGATAGTAGAGCAGCTTTTTTTGAGACACGGGTTACCATTTTTTTCATCTTTATTGATGAGGTGTGTAATAATACCAAGAGATGTGTAGACTATCGAGCAGAGACTATCGAGCATAGACTATCGAGCAAAGCGAGGTAGTCTATATCTACTCTCTCTATAGACTATCGAGCAGAGCGAGATAGTCTACATCTACCCTTTCTTCAAACTATCATGCAAAGTGAGGTAGTCTATATATACTCTCTCCACTTACACTCTCTATAAATCATCTCGCTCTACATAATGGTAGAACAGCACTTTGTAGCTTGTTACAACACTATCTCGCTCTGCTCGATAGTGTCGCTCGATAGTGTCGCTCGATAGTGTCGCTCGATAGTGTCGCTCGATAGTGTCGCTCGATAGTGTCGCTCGATAGTGTTATTTAATTTCAACATCGTAGACGATATGCCAGATATCAGGAGCAAATGTCTTTACTCTTTCAACATAAAGTACGCGACTCTCTTGAAATCTAGCCTCGATCTCATTTTTTAAAGTATCGATATAATTAGTGTGAACATTTTCATGTAGATGGACAATTGTCTCACAACAAGATTTATTAGTAACCAATTGATGAGCCGTTTTCCAACTAGGTCTCGAGCTAGGCAATAAGCCTAGATTGATATGTTTTATATTCAATTTCTTTTCCTTTACATGCTCAAATCTCTCTAGTAATTTTTCATTGCTTTCCAAAAACAAACATGCATCAACATTTTTCAATTCGTCAATCTGGAAACTTTCATCTTGTTGATAAATTTTATACTTGTAACCAGCATGTTGCAATGCTCTTTTGAATCCTTCAATTGACCACGGATTAATTTCCCAACACAAAACTTTAGCTCCGTTTTTCAAGTAACTTAGGGCAAAGTAGCCAATTCCACAATAAAAGTCCACTACAATGCTGCCATCCAAATTCTTGTAGCAATCTAATATTCTCTTCTTTTCCTTTATGTTACCTCTTGAAAACATGGTATACTTTGGAGCCCAAGTTTGGTATATTCCGTTTTGGACAACATGACACCAAAACGCATTGGTAAAATCTGCTTCAGTTGGCCAATGATCCATAGCAAGCTCTGGTCCAAAATCGCCATACAAGGGCACTATATTGAACGGCCGCCTCATTACATCGGATTCAATTATTGGTTTATTTATAGCCAAATGGGTAATTCCACAACGACCAAAAATCTTGACTTGGTGTTTTAAAAGCTCTTGACATAATGCTTTGGGTAAGTATTTTTTATCGGTGTTGGCATTGAAAAGCACCATTGGTGGATAGATGGACCATTTCTTGGGAATTTCAAAATCCAACTTGTTCAAGCCATGCTGTTTATAGTATGTTTCTATGCAATAGCGCAAACTGATTTTGGCTCTTGGCTCATTATCGTATTGGGAGAAATCGTATTGCGAAAGTATTGGTGGAAGTGATTTTAGGTTGGTGTAAATTACAAACACGCCATTATGATTCTCAATCTTCTTTTGCTTGTTTAGCCATTGGTTTTCTTTCAAGACATCTGTAACAGGCTTTAGTTGTTTAGTATCTCTTATATTTAATTGAATCATAAAGCGATGAGCTCGGAGTTATGAGGCGATGAGCTCGGAGAAGAAAAATAGTTGTAGTAAAAGAGGAAGCAGTAAGAGTAAGGGTGTAAAAGAGTGCGACACTATCGAGCAGAGCGAGATAGTGGAGCAACACTTGATACCTTGTTATAACCAGTAATAGTAAATGAGTAAAGAGGAAGCCGTAAGAGTAAAGGAGTAAAGAGGAAGTCGTAAGAGTAAAGGAGTAAAGAGGAAGCCGTAATAGTAAAAGAGTGAGAGTAATAGTAAGAGGAAGAAGAATAGTAAAAGAATAAGGGTAACTGTAATAGTAAGGGTAATAAGAGTAACTGTAATAGTAAGAGTATATGTGAGTTATTATTGTAATCCAATTTTTATCTACTTGAATAGTATATTGCCTCATCAACCACTAATAATTGAGTCAAATATACTAATATACACCTGCGACACTATCGAGCAGAGCGAGATAGTGGAGCAACACTTGATACCTTGTTACAACCTCTTTTGTAGTTCAGTTTGTTTCTTATACCCCAGTTTGATCTTTTTCAACTCTTTTCAATCGACTAGAAGAGCGAAGCGAGTCTAGTCTTTCTAGACTCTTATAGCCCAGTTTGTTTGAGTATGCCAGGTTCGAATCCTCGCTTGTAGAAAACTGCAGGTAATTAAGCGCACATTTACACCGCTTATAAAATTAAGCGAGCCTAGAAGAGCGAAGCGAGTAGAGAAGAGCTAAAAGAGCGAAGCGAGTAGAGAAGAGCTAAAAGAGCGAAGCGAGTAGAGAAGAGCTAAAAGAGCGAAGCGAGTAGAGAAGAGCTAAAAGAGCGAAGCGAGTAGAGAAGAGCTAAAAGAGCGAAGCGAGTAGAGAAGAGCTAAAAGAGCGAAGCGAGTAGAGAAGAGCTAAAAGAGCGAAGCGAGTCTAGTCGATGGAAAAGAGTAGAAAGAGCATAGTCGATAGAAAAAGGTAGAAAGGGTGAAAAAGAGAAAACTACGAAAGGCTTAGATTAGCAGTCCAAGAGACAAATCAGTCAACATGCTCCACTATCTCGCTTTGCTCGATAGTGTCACTCGATAGCGTCAATAGCGTCACTAGTCAACATGCTCCACTATCTCGCTTTGCTCGGTAGTGTCACTCGATAGCGTCAATAGCGTCACTAGTCGATATGCTCCACTATCTCGCTTTGCTCGATAGTGTCACTCGATAGTATCACTCGATAGCGTCAATAGCGTCACTAGTCGATATGCTCCACTATCTCGCTTTGCTCGATAGTGTCGCTCGATAGTGTCACTCAATAGTGTCGAGAGGAAACTTTTCAACAATTGAAATAAAATCTTTAAACAAAGAGAGACAAACTTTTGTCAAAAGCCAACAAGTAGAACCACCTCTTGATAATATCTCATCCCTCTACGTGTAAATCCTCCCCCTCTCTCCCCCTCTCTCCCCCTCCCTCCTTCTCCCTCCCCCTTCCTTCTTTGTTTTTTGCCTTGTTTCAATTTTTCACCAAAATCTCAACAACTGAACAAAATGGATTAAAAAAATCAATCCTAATAATTTTTCCCCCTTTCTTTTTCATCATCTTTGAAGTATATGAACACTTGTCTTGCACTTGTTCACATTTAAGAGCTTGTCATATACTCAACAAGTCTTTCCAATTGAGAAGGAACCGCTTTTCCCTCCTCGAGGTAAAACCTATATTTCCAAGGGGTTTTTTGTCACTTTGGGTTTGGTCTGATACGTCTCATATATATCGTTGAAACATTTTTCAAAAAAACCAAAAAAAAAAAAAAAACCAAGTCATTTCCTGGTAATTGTCTGCTGTTGTTGAGCAAACATCTGCTGTTGTGTAATTGTCTGTTGTTGTTGTGCAATTGTCTGCTGTTATTGTGAAAATGTCGGAAGCTACTGCAAATGCTATTGCACCACAAGGCGAGGAAACTCCACCTGTTGAATCATCAACGACGGTATCATCTGCAGAGAATGATCAAAAAGTCGTTAAAAATGTTAGTCCCGAACCAGAACCAAATTCAGAACCAAATTCAGAACCAGAATCGGAATCAGAATTACCACAATCGAGCAAAGATTCTACAAAATCAAGCGAGGAAAATGCCGCCGTTCCACCAGCTTCTGCTATAGACGGTGGACGTGAAACATCAAATAGAATTTTATATGTCGGCAATTTGCCGAAATTGGCGTCGGAAGAGCAAATCAGCGAACTTTTCTCGATATCTAATCCTATCAAGTCTATTAAACTATTAAATGACAAGAACAAACTCGGGTACAACTATGCCTTTATTGAATATGACGATGTTCAAGATGCAGAGGTGGCATTAAATACATTAAATGGGAAACTAGTACACAACTCTGAAATCAGAGTGAACTGGGCTTACCAATCGGCTGCAATCACTGGCAGCAGCACTGCTGAGGAGCCCACATTTAATATATTTGTTGGTGATTTGAGCTCGGAAGTAAATGACGAGGCATTGAAAAAGGCGTTTAGCAAATTTGGCTCTATGAAGCAGGCACACGTTATGTGGGATATGCAGACTTCTAGGTCTCGAGGATACGGGTTTGTCACATTCACGAACCAGGAAGACGCTGAGTCGGCGCTTCGATCGATGAATGGAGAGCGGATTGGCGGCAGAGCCATAAGGTGTAATTGGGCATCCCACAAGCAAGCCCATAATTCTAATCACACAACAAATCAGTTTGGTCAGCAACAATATGGGAATAATAATAGTAATAACAATAATCATAATAGTAATAACAATAATCCTAACAGTAATAACGGGTACAGGAATCAAAATGGGCACAGTAACTATCGTCAATATAGGCCATATATGAACAATAATAACAACAATAATAACAATAACAATATTTACCCACAGGATACTACTACCATCACCACCACCACCACTAATAATAATAATAATAATAATAATAATAATAATAATAATAATAATAACAACAATAATAATAATAGTAACCGAAATTACAGCAACAACAATCACTTTGCAAACCAGGTCATTAGTAATAATCAGTATCCTCCTCAGCCAAGTAGTCAGCAACCAAACACGGGACTAAGCGGTGTAATGCTCCACAATTTTGGTTCAAATAGTAGTCTCACACAAGTTGCACCTCCGGCTCAATTGAGTCCCGCTACTAATGGATCACAACTAGGCAACGGTATAACTCTGATGTCGCCGCAATCATACGATATCGTATTGAGACAGACCCCATCCTGGCAAACAACTGTATACTTGGGCAACATAGCCCATTTCACTCAGCAACAAGATATAATCCCATTGCTACAAAATTTCGGATTCATTGTTGATTTCAAATTCCACCCGGAAAAAGGTTGTGCTTTTGTTAAATACGACTCACACGAGAGAGCCGCGTTGGCTATATTACAATTGGCGGGGTTCAATTGGAATGGAAGACCGTTAAAGTGTGGCTGGGGTAAAGCACCACCTTATCCGAAAACCAGAGGAATTCTCCAACTGAATCCTGTTTATAGACAAGGCCGTCCTTGAGTAATTGACTTGTTCCCTTGTGTGTAAAAAACCCATCCTGATGTGTCTCTAGTGATAATAGTATGTTAATGTAGTACTACCAAGGAGAGCAAATAGACTAGAGCAAATAGACTACCGAGCAGAGCGAGGTAGTCTATCTACCCTTTCTCCTCTTCAAAAGACTACCGAGCAGAGCGAGGTAGTCTATCTACCCTTTCTCCTCTTTAATAGACTACCGAGCAGAGCGAGGTAGTCTATCTACTCTCTCTCCTCTTCTACCTACTCTCTCTCCTCTTCTACCTACTCTCTCTCCTCTTCTACCTACTCTCTCTACCCTCTCTCCTCTTCTACCTACTCTCTCTCCTCTACTATCTACTCTCTCCTCTTCTATCTACTCTCTCTCCTCTACTATCTACTCTACTATCTACTCTACTCTCTCTCTAGTCTCTAATCTTTCTTCTACTTTCTTTTTCAACTAAACTTCTCTCTACTCTTTCTTTTTCGACAAGACTCGCTTCGCTCCTCTTGTCATCCTTTTCAACAAGACTCGCTTCGCTCCTCTTGTCATCCTTTTCAACAAGACTCGCTTCGCTCCTCTTGTCATCCTTTTCAACAAGACTCGCTTCGCTCCTCTTGTCATCCTTTTCAACAAGACTCGCTTCGCTCCTCTTGTCATCCTTTTCGACAAGACTCGCTTCGCTCGTCTTGTCCATTACATTGACCATTCCTCTCTTTACATTTTTCGCACCAATTTTCAAAATGACATGTTCCAGAAGGGAAGTGAAAAAAAAAAAAAATCTTTACCATTTGACATGTCAAGGTCATCTTAACAAAAGAGACAGGTAGGGCTTTAGTTTTCTTGTTATTGAAGGTGGTTGAGTTAATGAAAAGTTTGGCTTTGAGACTTTATAAAGAAACGTACGTTATTTAAAGTTTTTCAGTGAAATATTCAGAATTTGAGCTAAAGGAAGTTGAGATTATTTCCTTAGTCAATAGCTTTGAAACTATCGAGCAGAGCGACACAATCGAGCAGAGCGAGATAGTGGAGCGACATTTTGAAGCTTGTCAGGTATTGCAATTGTACCAGGTTCCTATATTGTTAGTACCAGGTATTACCATAGTATCAGGTTGCTGTATCATAAGTGCCGGGTTGCTGTATCATTGGTGCCAGGTATTGCCATAGTACCAGCTTTCTGTATTGCCAAAGTACCAGGTTGCTGTATTGCCATAGTACCAGGTTGCTGTATCATTAGTGCCGGGTTGCTGTATTGCCATAGTACCAGGTTGCTGTATCATTAGTGCCAGGTATTGCCATTGGTGCCAGGTATTACCATAGTACCAGCTTTCTGTATTGCCAAAGTACCAGGTTGCTGTATCACAACTACATGTTTATTCCCAAAAAACAACTATTGTTTATTCTACTCAATTTTTCCCTTTTCATTCAAATAATCAAAGTGTTGTTCAAATCAAATAAGCTTCTAGCTACATTATCAACATCCTTATTAGTGTTTGTTTCCTTGTATCTCATATCCACAAATTACATATTTCCCAAGATAATCAAGGATTCCTCCTCCTCTTCTTCCTCATCATCGTCAGAGTCCCAAGAAAGAAGAAGCTTTTTACCATTCAACATCCCACAAGCACTCCACAAAATCATGAATTCGAGGTTTGGAAGGGCAGGTTTCAACCGTTTTGGTAATGGGAAATCTAAAGAACACAGGTTTGCTTTGAAAAACGGTGGTGAACTTGGAGGTTTAAGCAATGACGGAAATACCTGCTTTATGAATTCAATAATACAATCACTTGCTTCATCTAGGCAGTTGTTGAAATTTATCGATTCCTACCTCTATGCAGAAATTGAAATCGATACAAACAAGATAACTGGAGAAAAAATCAAAATCAAATCCAATCAGCCTAATCCGGAATTAACGTTTACCAATGCTTTAAAGACTCTTTTGGATAACGTTAACGGGAAGTATGGTTCAAGAAGTAAGGAGTTTACAACTAAACAATTGTTGAATAAGATGCCAAATGGTCCTAAACAGAACTTTTTCAGTGGATATAACCAAGAAGATGCACAAGAGTTTTATCAGTTGATAATGAATCTCTTGGAAAAAGAGTTTAAAAAAATGAGTGTTAGTCGACTTCCAACTCCTGAACCGGAAACTGATCAAGCGGAGGAGGAAAAGAAAAAGAAGAAGGAGAAGGAGAATATATTTATTGATGTGCGGAATTTGAAAGAAATCATATCTGGCTGTAATAGATTGGGAAAATTGGGTACTGTTTACGTACCAGCAAGGCAGGTTGATCCTAATCTAGTTGACGCTGAACATAAAGTAGTTCCGCTAGAGTTGATCACCCCGGTTGACGGAATAACTGCTGAAAGAGTTGGATGTTTGACGTGTGGAGAACTGGGTGGTATACGATATGCAGTCAATAGTGGACTAAGTTTGAACTTACCTAATGGCCAAACGTATTATTCCGGGTTCACGCTTGAACAATTACTCAACGAATGGATAAAACCAGAGACTATTGATGATGTCAATTGTAATAGATGTGGGTTAATGCAAACGCGGAATTTGCTAGCGGCAACATTGACAGAGCTTGAAAGAAGTCCCAATAATACCACAGCAATACAAAAGTTAGAAGCAAGATTAAAACTTATAGAAATAGAATTAGCCAAAAACGAAGTAACGGATGAAGCATTTGAAAAATTAACGACAAAGAACTTGATAAAAAAGAGTAGAAAAACAAAGCAGATATTTATGGATAGACCACCTCCTTTGCTCAGTATACATATCAATCGCTCACAATTTGACCCGAGAACTTATATGGTTGTTAAAAACCCAAGCAATGTTACGTTTCCTGCTGTTTTGAATCTTTCGAGATACATTGTTGAGCCAAATGATATAAACATGGATGCAAGATTGCCATTCAGAAAACAAGATAAAGAATTGAATCAAAGCTTGGCTAATACTACAGCAAATGGTGGTGAGTTTATGCTGGCATTAGATAATAATAATTATAGTAACAATGGCAATGATAATTACGAGGAGTCCTTATCTGCATCAACCGCGTCATCACAAACGGCATCTTTTGAGGAGAAACCCGCCGAGTTGGAAACCCCAGCAACTACAGTTGACACGGCGTTTTCAGAAGCAGACCCTAGACTATTGTATAATTTGAAGGCCGTTGTTGTCCATTACGGTACTCACAATTATGGTCATTATATATGCTATAGGAAACTACGTGGTGTATGGTGGAGAATCAGTGATGAGTCTGTTTATGTTGTTACTGAAGAAGAGGCCCTTGGCGGTCAAGGAACATTTATGTTATTTTATGAGTACGATGACGGCTTTAAAGAGACGTTGCAAGACGTTACCGATGACGAAGAAGAGTCCAAGGAGGATGACAACGACGAGGTTCAGGACGAGGAGGAGGGGGAGGATGATGACAACGAGGTTCAAGAAATTGAGTCACAGGGAAGAGTTGAAAGTACAGTTGCTTCCAACGAGACAACAAATCTTGTTGCGTCTACATCTGAAGAGACTGAAGTGTATGATTTCAAAAATGCAGATAACAACAATGATTCAACTTCATCAACTGGCGGGAAAGAAGGTGATGTAGACATGGGCAATAATGATTGCGAATTCAATGTAGCTGAGGCGCAAGTGCATTTATAGAATGTGTGATAGCGACACTATCGAGCAGAGCGAGATAGTGGGGCACACTAGCTGCCACCACTAGTTATAAAAGAGAGAGTAGATATAGACTATCTCGCTTTGCTCGACAAAGTTGTTTGTTTATCAACAATACTCTCTGTCGTTGATCAATAATGGCAGCAAACGTCCATCTTCAGTATCTGTCCTTTCCGTTGATAATCGGTCATAGCGATTGTCAACAGACATTCGCGATACTCCGTCTACTCTACCGAAGCGACACACTATCGAGCAGAGCGAGATAGTGGAGCACATTGATCGACACTATCTCATTGATGAATGAAGTAGATGATGATGATTATAGTAATATCTCAGTTTTTGATTTTGTGTCTCTTTTTTTTTTGCGATGAGCATCGCAAGAAATCATTTTGAGATACGAGCCAAACTTGTCCCCATTTCTTATCCCCTTGGTCATGGGCAAAAAAGCTAGTCATGATAAGAGGATATCCTCGAAAGGTCTCCGTGGTGCATTAGCACGTCATCGAGCACAAGACTCAATAAACCAAAAACTCACCAAGAATGCACAAATTGAGAAACAAACCCAATTGAACAAGACGAAATCAATGAAATCAATGAAATCGTCCAAACGAGTAAAGCAAACCACACAAGAAAAAAGTAGAGGGTACCTACCATTTGATGAAGATGACACTGTATTGCTTATAGGCGAAGGAGACTTTACCTTTGCAAAATCATTAATTGTGCAAAATTTTGTCCCAGCTGAAAACTTGATCGCTACAAGTTATGATTCACGTGATGAGTTGATTGCAAAGTATCCAGAGGTTGACAAGACATTGGATGAGTTGGTCGAAGCAGATGTCAAGGTTATACATAATGTGGACGCGACTAATCTTGTCAAGACCTTAAATTTGACCTTGACTTCAAAACAGCGAAGAGCAGGCAAGACTAGAGTTGATTTATTTTCAAAGCATGGTGTGAAATTGAATTATATCATGTTTAATTTCCCACATACGGGGAAAGGGATTAAGGATCAGGATAGGAATATCCGAGACCATCAGGAACTTATACTAGAGTACTTCAAGAACTGTGATAAAGTGTTTGATTTGGTCAATGAGGCGCAATTGATCAACGATGATTTCGCAGGGTATAAACTGGGTGCTAATATTAATAACAAATCGGATATAGAGAAAAACAGTAATTTTGGAAAAATAATCTTGACTGTGTTTGAAGGAGAACCGTATAATTCATGGGGGATCAAGATACTTGCCAAGAGTCAAGGTTACAAAGTGATGAAACTGGGGAGATTCGATTGGCTGATGTTTCCCGAGTATCATCACAAGAGAACAAACAGTACGAGAGACACAACAAAGCCAGCTGCAGAACGAGATGCCAGATTATATGTATTTGAAAAGTCAACAACCACTCATAACAATGACACCAAAGGAAACAAAAAACGTAATGATTCCGATGATTCTGACGATGATGATAGTTAGAACTTTTGCTTGTATCATGCAGGATACACACGTTGACAATGATCAATCATAAAGATCTCTTGTGTTAATGGATCTTTGACTTTACCCTGTCTCAATAAATCATTTCTTTCAGAAAGGTATTTATCATTAGGTGTGAGCAATTTATCAAATGGGTAAATATTGCCATTGGGCAATTTAAAAGGTTCCAGGGAGACACTAGTAATTAATTGCGCAAAAGGTAAATTCTTACTGAGTTGAAACATTTCAGGTGAACAAATAGGGCAATTGTTGATCTTCCCCAATAATCTATAATATTGGTCTGGTCCTCGCAATTTCTTATTTGTAAACAATGGTTGGTTTTGATGTTCAACAAGGATGGACGCTTGTGGCTTTTGTTGGCTGGACAACAGTGCATCTGTTCTTTGACCCGATTCTTGTATGCTACTGGGTGTAGGGACGGGGAATCTGGTTGATCTCGCCCTAACATCGTTATTGTTATTGTTATTATTGTTGTTATTATTTTCATACATTACTGTTGAATATCCTTTTTTCTCCAAAGACGATGTTTGATCTCGATGTGTTGGTGAGATAAGCCCTAGGTCATTATCCTTGGTGAATATAGTGTTTTCATAGTTGCAATAGCACGATTTCGTTTTCAAACTGGACAATCCTGCAGAAAGGTATATAAACAAGGGATAATTCTTACTAATACCATATAACTTGATAAAATTCTCAATAAAGCATTGTGCCAAGCTTTGCCACCTTTCATTTGATAAGAGCTTTTGATATTCTCTGAAATATGGGTGTTGAAGCATAAATTTGTTTGAAAATGGCAACATTGCATTAGAGTCTTTATTGCTTTCGCCACAAATGGTATTGTTCACGTTGGCATCAAAACTTTCCATAGATCTAAATACTAGTAATCCACCTAATCCTTTCAATTTTTCCAAATTCATTAAATGGTTCTCATAGTCCCCTGTAGACTGATAGTTTTCTTTATTTCCGTAACTCGATAAGTTATCTCTTGAGAACTTGATTGCTTCATTAATATTGCCAACTTCAATCAATGTTAAGAATTTACAATAGTTTATTTCAAACTCCAAATTTGACCGATTCTTTTTAAGTTGAGATTTGTTCTCGTTGAACCAATTTACAACGAGTGTTAGTTCATGGTCTTGTATAATGGATAAAAAGATCTTGTTGAAATCTTGAAATAAATCGTAATCAATCAATTTCCGTAACTTGGGATTCGTCTTGCATAGACTATCAAGTAGAATTATGCCTATATTTTCATCTCCCTTTGAGTTTTGTAAATTTGACTTGATTAAATAATCAACAATGAGCAAGTTTGTCTGATCTCGATACCAAGTAATCAAATGTGGGTTTTTCAAGTCCAACTCGCCGTCATCATCAACATCAACCGTATTATCGTCGTTATCGTTATCGTTATCGTTATCGTTATCGTTATCGTCATTACCAATACCATTACCTTTATTACTATTATTAATATCGGTGGTTTTTTCCCTCATTTCGTCATTCTCTAGAGTCGAGCCGCCATTCACACATCTGTTGCCATTTTTCCTACAAAACTGGGTTAATTCATTAACGTTTTCAAGCCTAGCAAGCAAGCGACTTCGATATTCCTCATCTTTCTCAATCAACACTTTTAATTTTTTACGAAATAGTTCGAAATTCTTGATCAATTTGCGTATTATCTCCAACTTCATGGTCTTGGGCATAACCGAATTCTTTTTGATCTTGGTAACATCATCAATCAACTGTTTCTTTTGCTTCTCAATGAGTTTCTGAATCACCTTGAAATTCTTCTTGATTAGCTCAATAGGTATCCTAAATTGCAGCTGGTGCGTTTGAATATGGAAATTAATACTAGGTTCAGTCATGGCCCTATTCATATACCTCCCGTCAGCAAATGAAGACCACCGGCTAGCGTCTACTACTACTGTTGTTAAGTGCAATTTGAATCAAGACTTCACTATAGAGAACGATGTCACAAATTTGGTTCGTGGTTTGTTAGCTTATCAACGACGCTACCATGTGGGTCATCAATACCCCCCCCCCAATGGGCCCCAGCTTCAATGGGCCTAGCTCTAATGACGCCTAGCTTCAATGGGCCTAGCTCTAATGACGCCTAGCTTCAATAGGGCATAGTTTCCATGGAGCCTAGTTTCCATGGAGTCTAGCTTCAATGGGGCCTAGCTTCAATGGGGCCTATCTTCTCTGGGGTCTAGCTTCAATGGGGCATAGTTTCCATGGAGCCTAGTTTCAATAGGGCTTAGTTTCTATGGGGCCTAGAGACGTTTTACAAGAGGGTAATCTTTGCCTTTAGTGACATTTACACCATTGTTGCAATTTCTTGTACCTTTTCTACAGCGTTTACTATCTTGTTTCATAAATTATCTCTTATTTACACTAGCTGCCACCGACACTCTCGAGCGGAGCAGGAAAACGACACTAGATCCAATCATATCCATATTTCGACTTTAGCTAACTCTTTTCTTTTGATAGAGTTGTAGTTGGCTGAAATGGATGTGTATTGTAATTGTTTAGTTTTGCCATATCCTAGGCGTGAACAGCAGCAACAGCTTCTCTAATGGGTTCCCTACTGATATCTCCGCCAATGGCTTCCCTACTGGCATCTCCGCCAGTGGCTTCTTTACTAGCCTCTCCGCCAATGGCTTCCCTACTGGCTTCTCCAATAGCCTCTCCACCAGTGGCTTCTTTACTAGCCCCTCCACCAGGGGCTTCACTACTGATATCTCCATTGTTGTTCACCCAATTCGTCTCCTCGACTCTAATTCTCCCCTCCTTCAATCCGTAAAACAACTCCTTCAAGTAGAGACCACCGACATCAACTTCTTCAACATACCCTCCATCCTTAACCAATGGATCATATCTTCCCCTTGGGAAAAATGGCTTCAATAAATCAACAAACTTCCTTGCATCGTGATGATTATAGTAATGAAATAAAAGAGAGTCTCCTCTTTCCCCAACTTGTTGCGTCTCCCATTCTTGTTGGTCGCGTATACTAGGCAATTTCTTAGCTCCTGACCAGACACCAGCAAGAGCCGCCGAGCTGGCTTCAATTGTATGGAAATTCAATTGCGATACACAGACCCCAACCGTGCCCAATGTTGCATCTTTTTGACTGAATGTATGGTGGAATAATCCACCAACACGTGATAAATTACCAGGGTTAACCAATTTGAGGTATTCCTCCTCATCGTCCTCGGACAAGAATGGGAAATGGTAATGATAACCAGTTGAGAAAACAACCTTATCATACTTTCCCAGCAGACCATCTGCAAAATAAAACTCACCAGTTTTAGGATCAATGTACTCCAAGGGAGGTTTAGGTTCAATCCCTTCAGAGATTAACGCATCATTGATAAATTCAAACACCAAGTGCTTACCTCTTTTGGAGTCGGTGACTGATTTGGCAACGGGAACAATATATTGCAAAATATTCACAGTGGATATACTACCACCAATAACCAACACATCCTTATCCTTAAACTCTTGTGTGTTTCTGAATGATTTTGCATGGATTAGTCTTCCTGGATGAGTTTTGTTATATTCTGCAAGACCTTTTATATGAGGAAAATAGGGCACAGTATAATGACCATTAGCAATGACAACAGCATCAAACGTCTCTTGATACCATGCATTCTCACTACCCCCTTTCTGTCTAATTGTCACTACCCATTTCCCTGATTCGTGATTTTTGGTCACCTTCTCAACGGTAGAGTTCAATCTGATATATTCTAGTAAATTCTCCTTTTCAATAAACTCATCAAACCGTTTAGTCAATTCCTGATGAGTCATGAAAGGATAAATCTTTCGCTTTGTATCATAATATATAGCCTCATCGGGCAAGTAGCTGAATCTAGTAAATCTTTGTGGGATATTGGTGAATAAAAATGGAAATATACCGGATCTGCTCCATTGCAATTCATCAATCAATGCCTTTCCTTCTTCTTCTTTTCCTTCTTCTTCTTCTTTTCCCACAATCAAAGGCTTATCAAAACTAGCGCCATCAATGCCAGCGGGAACTTTATTCGAAGGTCTGATATATTTGGGATCGCTGTACAATTCAGTATCCAATATTTCCTGAGGAGGAATAGGTAAATCAGACTCTATAGTAGCCGGAGACCAAATACCACCGGGGCTATCTTTCTGCTCAAACACAACTATTTTATCAAAAGCATTAGCTTCACTTTTTGGGTGGCCTAATGGTTTTGAATAATTTGTGATTGTTGATGAACCATCTTTATTTGTATGAAGAAACTCATAAAGGGTAGATAATCCAGCAGGGCCAGCTCCAATAATTGCAATTGACTTAATATCAAGCTTCTCGTTGGTCATTTTGTGCAGCGGTGCATACAGGGAGGAAAAGAAAGATTGCAATCAAAACAACTACAACTATATATATATATATATACCGCTGTAGTGTGTCCTACATTAGCATTATGTAGGGGGTAAGGGGTTCAAACCCACAATTGAAAAACTGTGGTCTTTCAAAGAAACCCATTCGATATTTCACAAATGGTTTTCAAACTTTGTCCTCAAAGTGTGGCTTTATTGAGAATATTTCATTCAACCGATGACTTCAACTTTCAAGATTAAGGGGCCAAGAAACGAAAAGAGACGATAAATTGTAAGACTCTGCCTTGCCTCACTCTCATGAGAAGTTGGGGCTAACTAACCCCATATATATCTCACCCATGAATGTTGCCACAAAGGGTTTTCCCCTAAAGTTCCTCTAATGTTTGCATTACTGTTTCCAATAATGTTTCCCTTGCAAACTGTGGGGTTTCTTGTTGCAGTGATTAAATTGAAATTGCAAAATTTGGCTTATTGTGCTTATGTAATACATAGTTTATATTGTTTGATTGCAAAAATGTCGCTATCGAGCGACACTACGAGCGACACTACGAGCGACACTATCGAGCGACACTATCGAGTGACACTATCGAGCGAAGCGAGATAGTGGAGTAGCACTGACAACTCTTAGCCCTCCCCCTATCGAGCGACACTATCGAGCAGCACTATCGAGCGAAGCGAGATAGTGTGGTTGGACTTTGTAAACACTAGAAAGCGAAGCGAGATAGTGGAGTAGCACTTTGTAAACACCAGGAAGCGAAGCGAGATAGTGGAGCAGCACTGACTGCTCTTAGCCCTCCCCCTATCGAGCTACACTTTCGAGCTACACTATCTCGCTTCGCTCGATAGTGGAGCACACTGACTACACCGACAGTATCGAGCGACACTATCTATACCGATACACCCCACTACCTAATACTTATACACCTCTATACCACACCTAATTCTAATACACCTCTACACTACACCTCTATGCTACACCTCTACACTACACCTCTATGCTACACCTCTACACTACACCTCTATGCTACACCTCTACACTACACCTCTATGCTACACCTCTACACTACACCTCTATGCTACACCTCTACACTACACCTCTATGCTACACCTCTACACTACACCTCTACACTACATCTGTAGCAATCTGGTTCTTTACATCTAAAACTTCCTATACTTTTACAAATATGTTCTTTATTACTGCTTTTCAAAGAGAAAGTTTTGGTTACTATTCTTCTCTTACTGCCACTGACACTTTGCAATTTGTTACAACACTATCGAGCAGAGCGAGATAGTGGAGTACACAGACTACGCAGACACTATCGACACTATACACACTATCAACACTATAAACACTATCAACACTATACACACTATCAACACTATAAACACTATCAACACTATCGAGCAGAGTGAGATAGTGTCATAACAAGCTAGTGAGTGTCATAACAAGCTAGCACTTTGTAGACATTATCTCGCTTTGCTCGATAGTGTCTCTCGATAGTGTTGCTTCTCGCTTCGCTCGATAGACAACTTGATAAACCTTCAACTGTACAGTTACAACTTTATAACATAATCTACAAGTAAGAATCAACCCGGAAGAAGGACAATATATAGAGACGGTTGAAAAGAGTGGTTAGAAAAGACGGTTGTAGACGCCTGGCGGGGCAAACCTCTATACATTAATACAAGATACAATTCATATCAAGTTCTTGAATATATGTTTATAGACAATTATTATCAAGCTAACTAAATATAGAAATTACATAGTTGTAAAGACAGCTTTATAAGTTATCTGTACAGCTTTATAAGACTTTATTGTACAGTTACAACTGTATTCAACTTAATATCACCCAGTAGCAAGGTAGTCAATATAAATTTAATACTGTTTCCAACAATCTATAGGCATAATTATTCCCTTTTCAAACAAGAGAAGAGAAAATTAATAACAAATGAATATGTGTAGAATTCAAAGCCAATCTAGTCAATAACTTTACAAAATCAATTCCTTCTATATATCCTCTTTATCCATAAATACCCCCTTCAATATACTCTCCTCATCTCTTCCAATATACATCTCCTCATTTCCCCTCTTTCCTCCTCCTTCTCTCAATGACATCCAGTTAAAGTATTTTTTGGAAAGGTATACCCACCAGCCTCGAAACTGGTCAAATTGACATTCTCATACACGTTCAAGTGTTGTTGAATATAATCATAAGTTGGATAATCATCGGGATCGCAACCAACATTGGTCGCATTAGATGGTTGGTAAACCCTCACATAATCAACTTGCATAATGACTGGGAAAGAGATCGAATTCCAATCAATATAGGCCCAATTATTTGAAATACCAAGATTCATGATTATTGACATTGGCTCTTTAGCGATCCTTCTCCAATTAATATTTCCATCCGGATGTAATGCATATGAATGCACCGTTAGTGTTGGATCTTGTCCAACATACCATCTTATATATCCCAAATCGTCATCATTGAGATATTCATATCCATAGTTTTGATAATATCGAGGCCCTTCACCTTTTTCATACCAATCTGTATTCAACATGGTAGTCGCTGAAAACGCTTGTTGAAATGGACCTCCTGCATAAGTGTTCATTGTAGATATTGAAGCATTGCGAATTTCAATAAAATCATAATCAGGCATGTACCATATATCCATTGGCGCCAATTGTAACGACTGAGAAGCAACACCATTATTCTTTTTCTTTCCAGTTGAATCCGTCATAACTTCACCTTCAATTATATCAATCTCAGGGGCACCTCTGCCTACTCCTGGATTTGGATGTGACTCTCCTGGACATGTGCATTTGTTTAGTCTCTGTCCTGGTAGGTATGATATGCCATCTGGCGATGACTGATTTGGTGTTATACCTGCATCACAAGAATCATAAGTATATGGCCAAACACCCTCGGTTGATGCCAAATAACCAGGCCTACCTAAATTACCCATTGTCCATAAACCAGGCCATAAGCCTGTTACATTACCATAATTTGGTAGTTTAGCTGAAATCTCAATTCTTCCTTGAGTAAAACACATCTTGTTCCACGATTGTATCATTCCTGAACGATAAAATAAATTATGATTTTTAAAAGCATCCATTTGCAAGGTTAAAGTACCATTTTTGGTTGTAACGGCATCTGGGTCGTACCATTCTAAATCCTTAGTTGCATCATAATGCAAATCGGGAGCTGTAAAAAATTGATCGTCTCCTTCATAAAACGTTCTTCCTTCAGCATTGAACTCATCACTAAATACCAAGGGCCACATTTCACCCAGTCTAGACACCTTTTGCATTGCTTCTTCGGGAGTGTCTGGATCGATCAATGTTTGACGTATAGCACTCAACATTGGATAAGAATAATGAGTTAAAATTTCAAAAACTTCGGGCTTCTTATGATCTGTTACACCGGTGTATGTTACCGCAGGTAAAACAACAAATACAGCTAAACATGCAAGTGCCATTCCAATCAATCCAAGCAATCCACCAAGAGATCTTTTATCTAGATTTTTAATATCATGAAGGAATCTATTTTTATCGTACTCAGCATCTAATACAGGATCAGGATTGTGTAGGTAATCGTCCGGCTCTTTTTCATCTATGCTTAATGGAAATGAGCTTTCCGGGTATCCACCAAATGGTGACAAGTCATTGGGATGAATGGGAAGTGATTTTACAGAGGAGCCATCTAGTGAATTTGATGAATGCGATTGTGACAGATAACGATCAGTAGTTTGGTTTTTGTTGCCCTGTTGTGGATATAATTGTGATACAAGTGATGTTGAAGAAACAACTCTAGAACCAGCCATTGAGGGGTACCTATCAAATTCAGCAGGACTTCCCGGACTGAGCTTATTATTGGAGTAAGTACTACTGTTGCCATAATTGTTGTAGCTATAGTCTTTATTCAAGAACCTGGAATCTTCTGTACTTGAGTTTTCTTGGATGAGATGGCTAGAACTGTTGTTATTTAGATTGTAGTCGTCATAGGTTGTGATTGGCTTGCCATATTGTGAAGTTTGATACGAATTATCTAGATGAGGTGGTAGTGGTGGTTGATGCAAATTTTGTATTGATTGTTGCTGCTGCTGCTGCTGCTGCTGTAATCGCTGATTTTGGGATGAAGATGAGAATGAGGAGATGTCCGCAAAGTCATCAGCAAATGGGTTTCTTGAATCATACTCAATGAATGTCTCTTGATCGTCGCTTCTTGGGCCATCACCTTGGGGGCTGCGAATGGAAAATCTAGGTGTATTGGATGTAAGATCTCTTTCCGTCGCCATGCCAATCTATGTATGGTTATGCTGGGGGACTATAAAGTCTTGGCTAAGAAAATATTAATCTTTAAGGGAGCGTGGGGCGTGGCACTGCGGGACGCGGGGGGGGGGTTTGCACTAGTTTAAAGGGTTAAGCGAATGTATAATAATGTAGTAATTTGACCCTTCTAGAAGCTAGATCTAGATAGGTCTTTTAGGAATAATAAGGTTTTATCAAACAAAAGCAAATGAAAAACTTTGGAAAAACTTTGAAAAACTTTTCTTGGAAAACCGCTTAAGGAAAAATTTGGTAACCTTGGCTCAATTTTAAAGAAAAACGATAGGCACACACACGGTGGTTTAGTGAAAATGGCAGTTATAGCAAATACCAGTTGCAAGTAATAGCCAAGTTTTGTTTCAAGCTTTTTTTTTTTTTTTTCTTTTTTTACTTCTGGTGTTTCAACTTGTTTATTGATTAGTTGCTCTCGATGTTGATGGGCTATTTGTGTCAAAAGAATGTCTGTCACTTTTGATACCCTTGAATAGAAGCAAAAATAAGTCTTGGCTAATAACTTTCTTGGGTTAACAACAACACCGGTACTACCCTGTCACGTCACAGTAGATGTCCTTATTACCTATTGCTGAAACAATAAAAAAAAGAACAACTTCTAAATATAAAATTAAAAGTTTTTCCTTTTATTTTTTTTTTTTTTCTTGAAAAGATTTTTCCGGGAAAAATATTTTTTTTGTGCGAGAACTAATGGAAGGGGGGTCGGTCGAGAGGAGGAGAGAGGGAAAAAGAGGGGGCGGGGGAGGCGAATGGGAAAAAATACAAAAAAGACAGTAGGATGAAATACAAGAGACAGTAGGATGAAATACAAGAGACAGTACGATGAAATACAAGAGACAGTACGATGAAATACAAGAGACAGTAGGATGGGAATGGGAAATCAGAATACAGGGCTATAGCATATTATCCCGTTTCAGTAGCTTGATTATTTCCGTAGATTTTTAAAAAGAAAAAAGGTTTTGTAATGTTTGTTTTTTAGTGTTTGAAAATTAAACTGGCTTAGTAAGAATGCTAAATAAAAAAGTGAGAAAGCCTCCTATTTGTTTGTCTTGTACCCTCTTTCATGTACCTTTGGAATAGGTACCAAAGTAATCAAAACGCAAGCAGAATTAAATAAGCGACACTATCGACACTATCGACACTATCGACACTATCGAGTGAAGCGAGATAGTGGAGCAGCAATGGCTGCCACTGACATTATCGACACACTAGCTGCCACTGACACTATCGACACCATTTCGCTCTACTTGATAGTGTCTAGGGTTGGGGGGAAGGGATACTCGAGTTTTGTAGTATATTATAGTATTTGATGACAATATTTAGTATTTCAACCCAGTCCTAATTTATTGCTGCTTACTACCCATTGCTATCTACTACTACTTATTTATTATGTATTACTATCTACTACTTATTATGTATTACTATCTACTGCTACTTTTTATGTATTTACTACCCATTGCTATCTACTACTACTTATTATGTATTTACTACCCATTGTTATCTACTGCTATCTACTGCTGTCTCCTTGCTATTCATTTATTACTTTGTATCTACATACTGTTTACAATTTAGTCTACTTTATATTTGTTTGTTTTCTAGGTAGTGCAATGTGTATTTTATTTTTCATGCCTCTGATTGAAATGACAATCAAACGCGGTGTGCTTGAAATGGCTTGAAATGGTGCATGAAATAGTGCGCGTGAAATTGATCGAGGCGGGCTGAGCTAGCAAAAAAATCCAAACTGACACTATGGACCAACACTATCGACTATCGACACTATCGACTATCGACACTATCGACTATCGACACTATCGAGCAGAGCGAGATAGTGGAGCACACTAGCAGCTACTGACACCACCAACACTATAGACCAGAGCAAGATAGTGGAGCAGCACTTACTGTTACCAACACTGACAAGTATATGGATACAAGAATATAATCGCCATCTCTATATAATCGCCATCTCTATATAGTTACCATCTCTATATAGTTACCCTCTCTATATAGTTACCCTCTATATAGTCACCCTCTCTACCATTATCTCTACCATTATCTCTACAATTATCTCTACAATTATCTCTACAATTTCATTTCATAAGATCAGCTAGTCAGTATACACCACTATCTCGCTCTGCTCGATAGTGTTGCTCGATAGTGTTGCTCGATAGTGTTGCTCGATAGTGTTGCTCGCTCTGCCCAATAGTGGTGATAAAAGGGTCTCTGACTTACCAAGAAAAACGGTTGCTAGGAAACTTGAAAACAAGATTAATAATGACTTGGTAGCATTTCCTTGGCATTTACATTTGGTAGCCGTTTGCCACTAAAAAAAAGGTCAAGCTTTTTTTTTTGGTTGTAAAAAGCTTAACTATGAGACTTGGCCAATAAAGATAATTTTGCAACACGAATTAAAATAGGCAATTTTTTTACAACCAAAATGCAAAGTTATGTTAGGTCATGTAAGTAAACGTTTCTAATAAGGTGAGGATTGGCAATGGCAGCAATGGCAAATGACAACAGGCAACTATATTTTTTTACCTACTTCTTTTCTTTTCTTTTTACTTGTTTCTTTTCACTTGTTTCTTCTTATACTTGTTTCTTTTATAGGTGAAAGTTTTCTCCTTCAACTTTATTTCAAGTGCTGTCATAATTAATTAAGGTAAGTTGTTGCCAAACTCATTTTTGTTGTTGTTGTTGTTGCTTTATGAGACGAGGCTTTAACTCTTTTGTTGTTGCTTTATGAGACGAGATTTGACTCCAAATATACCCAGTATAAACTTTACCAGCTCAGAAAGAGACGAGCTGGTTAGTTTTAATGACGTTGACCAAGACCAAGACCAAGGCTATGCCGTTTCAAACCCCTTTGACGATCAACCTGATACCATAAGTGAAAGCTCAAGAGGCGGCCAATTAAGTAACCAAAGCTCAGACATCCTGCACCCTCACCACCCTCACCACCACCAACCCCATTTGCAACGATTCAATTATCCACCTTCCTACGACTCACAATCGGTCAACTCTGTAAATTCCCCAACAACAAACACTCAAAGCCCTCCTTCTCCTCACCATTACAACCACAACCACAACCACAACCAGTTTGAAACAAATGCATCTTCATCTCCTCAAACTTCAAAAATACGCACCTCTCTATTCATAAATAGTTCACAACTGATGCCTTCAACTTCGTCAATGTCTCCATATGATGACCGGTATCCAAAACAAGCAATATTCGACTATGCAAACTACTCAAACCAAACATCAACGGTAAATCTACTCGTTGATAGTAACAAAAACAATAACAACAACAACAACAATAATAATAACTCTTTTCAACATCACAATATGCATCTGCATCGAGATAGTTCATCTTCTTCTTCTATTCAGTACAATTACTCATCGCCACCTGTAACTGGGTCCTATGACGAATACGAATACGAATTCTCTCCATTTGGTGGATACCCAGCAAGTCAATTCCCTTTAAGCATAGATGAAAAAGAACCAGACGATTACCTACATAATCCAGATCCTGTATTGGATTCAGAATATAATGAACATCGCTTCTATTACGATTTGAAGAATATGGACAGAAAGTCTATTGGTGGATTGCTTGGATTTGTCGTTATGCTGATTATTGTGGTTGGCATATTTGTTTTATTGCCTGTTTTGACATTTACCAACTCTTCAGCAAAAACAAGAGTTGAAACTTATGAAGTTTTAACTCATTATTCTTATCCAATGTTGAGCGCAATACGACAAAGCTTGGTTGATCCAGATACTCCCGAGGAAGCAATGACAAATGTTGGTCAAGATGGTCGTGTTTGGAAATTGGTATTTAGTGATGAGTTCAATGCTGAAGGAAGAACGTTTTACGATGGAGACGATCAATTCTTTACAGCTCCCGATTTGCATTATGCTGCAACTCAAGATCTTGAGTGGTACGATCCAGATGCTGTAACAACCAAAAATGGAACACTCGAGTTAACCCTCGATGCTTTTCAAAATCATAATTTATTTTATCGTTCAGGAATGATACAATCGTGGAACAAGATGTGTTTTACTCAAGGAAGAATTGAGATTTCAGCTAAACTACCAAATTATGGTAATGTAACAGGCTTATGGCCTGGTTTATGGACAATGGGTAATTTAGGTAGGCCTGGTTATTTGGCATCAACCGAGGGTGTTTGGCCATATACTTATGATTCTTGTGATGCAGGTATAACACCAAATCAGTCATCGCCAGATGGCATATCATACCTACCAGGACAGAGACTAAACAAATGCACATGTCCAGGAGAGTCACATCCAAATCCGGGAGTAGGCAGAGGTGCCCCTGAGATTGATGCTCTCGAAGGTGAAATCCATGGAGTAATAGGTCGTGTTTCCCAATCTTTACAAATTGCCCCTTATGATATATGGTATATGCCCGATTACGATTTCATTGAAGTACATAATGCTTCAGTTACGTTGATGAATACATATGCTGGAGGACCGTTTCAACAAGCAGTTTCTGGGGTTACCATGTTGAATACAACATGGTATGAATTTGGTGAGGGAAAACGTAATTTCCAAAAATATGGATACGAATATTTAAACGATGACAATACAGGTTATATCACTTGGTTTGTTGGTGATGATCCAACATTTACGATGCATGCTCACGCATTACATCCGAATGGAAATGTGGGATGGAGACAAATTCCAAAAGAGCCAATTAGTATTGTGATGAATTTGGGTATAAGTAACTCTTGGGCTTATATAGATTGGCCAAGTTTAGTATTTCCAAGTAGGATGAGAGTTGATTATGTTCGAGTTTATCAACCTGAAGATGCAGTCAATGTTGGATGTGATCCCAAAGATTACCCAACATATGATTATATTCAGCAACATTTGAATATTTATCAAAATATGAATTTGACCAATTTTGCAATGGGAGGGTATACTTTTCCAAAAAATAAGTTGACAGGTTGTTAGAATGGGCTTACCATTGTCATTATTATCATTATCATTATTATCATTATCATTATTATTATTATTATTTTATTTTATTTTTTTTTTTTTTTTTTTTTAAAGTAAAAAAAAAAAAGAAAAAAAAAAGAATTGGGATTGCTAATATGGATATTTTATAGATTGAGAATCATGTACAGATGGATGGAGGAATTTAAGAGTTAAGTAGCTTATGTTCCACATTAACAAGTGTTTGTTTTTGGTTCACTTAGTATTCATTATATACAATAGAATGGTCTCTTCCAGGGTATATACTATCTAATTCAAATTGAACATTTTTCTCAAGACACGAAAAATTTCCTTTACTCAAATCAATGAAGTTGATTATACCTTGATTCTCTATGGCTATGATGATGTTATCATATCCATGCTTCCACAAATTGTCTCTTTTTCTCAAATACTCATTCCTCAACTGGATCAGCTTATCCAAAGTCAACTGTTTTTGAGCATTCCGTTTAGCGCGTATTTCTCTTTTTGATTCAACTGGTGGTTTTTTTCTTGGTGGTTGATTTTTCTTTTTTTCATTCTTTTCATCCTTTTCCCCCTTAGTTTTCTTAGTTTTCTTGGATTGTAGGCAATGGATCTGTTGAAACGATAAGTATTTGGTTGATTTAGAGGAGTCAATAACTACGAGTTGAAAATCTGGTTGTGGCGGATTCTTTTTGGAAAACGATGGTGTTGGTTTCCAAACATCGTATGTGATTTGTAAGTCTTGCGCAGGTGGTAGTGGCCGCCACGGCGTAATTTGTGAATGGGTTATAGCGATGGCTTTGAATATTGGAGTATACTTGAAATAGCTCTTTGTTTGAAAATGCTTAGTATGTAAATTAGGATAGGAAAGTAATCCCCATTGTCGAGGTAGTAACCAAAATGAAACATCACCATCAATTTGATTCTTATCTTTTATAGTCTTGTCACTTTCTCCGTCACGATGTTCCAATATGAGATATCCCAACCTTTTCAAATATGAATAAACTTGATACTTTGGTATGTCAACTTTAAGTAAACAGTAAAGATACTCCAAATCTAGAGAAATCAACTTCTCTTCAATTTTGAACTCCTCCTCGACCTCGACCTCCTCCTCCTCCTCCTCCTCCTCCTGCACCACCACCACCTTTTCCACCCCACTTTTCTTGACCCACTTTTCGTACTCTTCGTTTCCCAAATAAACAATTAAACTTCCCCTTTCAGCCAAATACAAGCATTCAATTTCATTAAGCACAATCTGTGTCCCCTTGGCAACACCCATATCGGTAAAGAATTTCCCTCGAATATGATAAATAATGCACTTATTCGAATAGACACTCCATACACCAACCAACTTATTGCGTAGAAAATGACCTCGTGTATGTGCCAATGCACTAAACATTGCACATTGTGACTCTTCTAGATATGTAGCTTGCACCATTGTTCCATCTGGTTCAAATTCTTTCTCTCCGCGTTTAGGTATCGATGACGTAGTTTTAGCGCCATGTGTGAGGTATTTCCAATCCTGGACTTCGTCTTCTTCTTCCTCAAAAAGGGCAGCGGAAGCATCTCGTCGTTGGATGCTGGAAACACCTTGCTGCTGAGTGCTATCGTCTTTTTCGAGATCAGACATCCTGGATCTGGCAGAAAAGATCAAAGAGATGAGTTCAACTTTTTCAGTAAAAGGTTTTTTTTTAATTCCAAAAAGTTGCAAAAAAAGATCAACTTTATTGAATGCTTGAATCTTTACAAATATGGAGAGTTTCGTAGCTGAGTGATTACTATCCACATGGATGGATTTGCAGTTGAGTCATAAGTAGGAAATAAACTAGAAGTTAATGGCAAAAAGTGCTAGAAACACAGTCGTTAAGACATTGACAATCCAATCCTGCGATGGATACCGCCGCATTTGATGCGGCGGTGTTGGAATGCAATTTTTTTTTTTTTTTTTTTGTCCTCTCACCTTTTGGCGATTGATATTCACCATTTAGTTTGAAACAATATATTCACACCATGACAGAACCTTCCTCCATTACATATCATAGAGTAGTATGTGCATCTACTGTAATCTCTGATGATTAATATTAACATTTATCTTCTTCCCTCTTTTGCATTTTCGTTTTCAGGCACAATCATTACTAGACAACATGATATCGAATATAATAAGAAATCAAACAACGATAAATTATACAAACTACTTGACAGTTCAAAAAGAAACTGCCTCAGCGTCAAACCCAGAGCTTAATAAACTTGCAGACAATTTACAATATACCGATCCAAATAGGGATATTTTCTCTCAGGAGAAAATAAAGTTGAAAAGTATTGAAACTTCACGATATTTCAGTTGTGAAAATTGCGGTAGAAAAATTGCCGGTGGACGATTTGCTCAACATATAAATAAATGCTTAGAAAGGAAACGAAAGTAGAGGTGGAAATCTAGAGGAGGGGGGGAAAGATATAAAAGATCTCAGAGAGATCATTTCCCCTTTGTAAAGATTATTTCCCCTTTGTAAAGATCATTTCCCCTTTGTAAAGATCATTTTTTCCCCTTTGTTACAGGTGATATTGGGATGTCATTATAATGATCATTGACCCTTTGTACAAATTTAGTCGGTGCTTGAAAAACAGCGCGATACAAGAAAGCATTGCAGTGAACTTTGTTTTACTGTGAAATCAATTCGTTTCCCGCCTGGGGAATTTCCACAGAGTTTCTTTCCAACTTTATTAATTCTATTACATCTCAACCTTAGCCCTCACCATCCAGTGCCCCACTAGCCACCCCCACCATGCAGTCTCCACTCACCACCATCCACCATTCACTAACCACTCACCACTCACCACACACCACCATTTACTCATTACCACTCACCAATATTGACTCACCACCACCCAGTCTCCACACACCATCATTCACCAAAGATTTAGGCGCGGGTTTGATAGCCGGGATTCCAAATCCGGCAGATTACCCCGCAAAAAAAAAAAAAAAGAAAAACCTTCGAGGGAAAAGTTGAGATGAGTAAGATCACATAGTGAAGCTTGGTAGGTTACGAATATATGAAATTGTAAGCTCCCATGGTTTGGAGCAAGTGCGGTCTTGCGGTATTTTTTTACCCGTTTACCGATGTTGTGCTTGTAGTTATAAAATAATTGACCTTCAGGAGACCAAAGTGGTTTTATACATAAAAGTGGAATATCTTATTCTTTCCTTATATTGAAATATTTCAAAGTATAGCAAAGCTTGTTTTTCAACTCTAGTAGCAGCTATACACCTCTTAATCCTTAGATAAATTAGCCATTGAGCAGAAAGAGACGCAAGAGTCACAAGAGTTTGAGAATGTCAAGTTTGTACTCGGGTTCTGACTTTACCGCCGATCTCGCGTTATCGCATCTTCCATTTAAGCAAGATGTTCATCAAAGTGTTCCCTTACCAAGATCATCGAGCAGGTTTAGTCTCAATAGTGCAAACTATTCAAAAACTTTTCGTAATAAAGTTATTACCAATAGGTTAATTGAATCAATACATCCCGATTTGAATACTCATCCTCAGCTATTTAACCATGCTGCAAAAAGATTCAAAGATAGACCATGTTTGAGTTCAAGACCTTACGATTATGCCAAAAAGCAACTGGCTAGTTGCTTCAACTCGTTTACGTATCAGCAAGTTTGGCATAAGAAGAACAACATTGGATCGGGAATCCTTAGGGCATTACTAGCAAATCCTTACTTAGATGAAAAATTAGAATCACATCGAAAAATTAAGAACCATTTAAGGGACTGGTCAACTTATGGAGTTGCTAGCTATCTTCGCGATAATAAGGACCATGAAATTGAAAAAAGCTGTTCATTTATCTTATCAATCTTTGCAGTTAATAGATTAGAGTGGGTTCTTACTGATTTAGCTTGTTCGTCGTATGCTATCACAAGTACCGCCTTGTACGATACACTAGGTTCAGATACCTCCCAGTACATTTTAGACTTGACAAAGTGTCCAATTGTAGTATGCACCAGTGATAAAGTTGGCACATTACTAAAGTTGAAGCAAACTTATCCAAAGGAAACAGAATCGGTTATTTCAATAATCTCAATGGATCCAATAGCCACCATTAACAAGGATGCATTGCAACTAGCCAACCAACTCAAAGTACAAATCACCGACTTGGCCCTGATTGAGAAATTGGGGGAAAAACAACCCATTACACAATTATCACCTAGTCCAGATGCCCTTTTTACCATTTCATTCACTTCGGGTACAACTGGATCTAAGCCCAAGGGGGTTATGATTCCTCACAGATGTGCTGCGGCGTACGTTTCCTTTTTAACCTCAATACAACCTCATGCTCAACTAGGAGATAAGGCATATGTGCTCTTACCATTAACCCATTTATACGAAAGAGAAACTAGTGCTTTTGCTTGGACAAACGGTTATGAGTTGGGGTTCCCTCAAACCACAGTTGGCCAAACTAAGATTGATACATTTCACAATATGATTGATGATTTAAAATTGTTCCAACCAACTTATATGTCAGTTGTTCCTAGATTACTAACCAAGTTGGAAACTTTGATCAAGGAACAAATTAAACAGTTGAGCCCAAATAACCAGGTCAGAGTGAATCAAATTATTGAATATAAAGTTAAGAAACAAGGTAGTAAAGATGGAGCGACTGGCTTTGACGCAATGCTTGATCTGTTTGAACCATACAAAAGTTTGCGAGACTTTATTGGATTTAATGAAATGCGGTGGGTGCAAACTGCCTCAGCACCAATTGCATCATCAACATTAATCTACCTCAAGGCAAGTTTGAATATGGGAATTCGTCAATTGTACGGATTAACGGAATCTGGGGCTGCTATTACCTGTACAGATGCTTATGAAGCAAGCCCGGGTACGTGCGGCTCTATTTCGATGACTGGAGAATTTAAACTACGAAGTGTAAGAGATATGGGTTATGATATCAACAAGTTGGAAGGTGAAATCTTGTTACGTGGTCCCCAGATGTTTAAGGGATATTATTATAATCAAGAAGAAACCAATAAGGCAGTTAATGAAGAAGGATGGTTTCATTCTGGCGACATTGCTACAATTGATTCCGATGGAAGAATACGGATTATTGATCGAGTCAAAAATTTTTTCAAGATGCAGCAAGGAGAATACATTTCTCCGGAGAAAATTGAAAACAGGTACTTGTCATCGAACCCAGTAATCAGTCAACTTTACGTTCACGGTGACTCTCTTAAGCTGTACCTTGTTGGAATAGTTGGAATCGAATATGAGCAAGGACTAAAGTTTCTTAACCAAAATTTCGGACTAAACAAAATTGATATGTCTTGCGAAGAACTATTGCAAAAAATAAATACAGTTGAAGCAAAGACTAAATTTTTAGCCCATTTGAACTCAAACGTTTGTAACCAATTGAATGGGTTTGAACTATTACATAACATTCACATTGAAATTAACCCATTAACTGTTGAAAGAGAAGTGGTGACACCAACATTCAAATTAAGAAGACCTGTTGCTCAAAAATTTTTTGCAAATGTTTTCCATAAATTGTATGAAATTGAGAAATCTTTAGTTATCGAGGCAAGATTACAAATGGCCAAACTTTAAAGATACTATCGACATTGTCGACACTATCGAGCAGAGCGAGATAGTGGGGCACACCAGCTGCCAACGACACCAGCTACCATTCATCCTTTAGTCTAGAAACTTTATCCTCTTTGAAGGACTCTTTAATATTAAACAAGTTCCATCCTTCACTCTAGAAGCTTTATCCAGTCTCATACTTTAGTTTAGTCTCTATTCTAGTATTTTTTGCGCCAATTTGACTCAAACTTAATAGTACCTAAATGCAACCAACAACCTATCTCTACACTATGGAGCAAAACAAGATACCATATAGCTACACACACTCTCTCTTTACACTCTATCGACTAGACTCGTCTCACTCGTCTAGTTTCTAGTTGACTTAGACTCAGTAGTACTCTAATAATCACTGCCAACATCTACCTCTACACTATTGAACAAAGCGTGATAGCATATATCGTACCCTCTTACAACCTATCTACTCTTTCTCTATTGAGTGCTCTCTTTCTCTATCGACTGCTCTCTTCTCTCTTTTGACTAGACTCGTTTCACTCATCTACGCTCTCTTCTCTCTTTTGACTAGACTCGTTTCACTCGTCTAGTCTTCAATCAGTACATTTGACTCAAACTGGTAGTCTGAAATAAATACCAGTGCAGCTTGATAGTCTCTCCCTTCTCTCTATTCACCTAGTCTCTCCCTTCTCTTCATACATCTACACACTGTCTTCTCTCTATATCTACACTCTCCCTTCTCTATATATTTTCCAACAATGCGAGAAGACAACAGTACTCTACTCTCTCTATCTACACTCTATCGACTAGACTTGTTTCTCTCGTCCAGTCTCTCCCTTCTTCCAATGATCTATCCAGTAAGGCGAGAAAACAACACTACTCTACTTTCTCAATATACCATGAGCTGTGCTCGTGGTTTGTATATGACTCTCTCTATATATGTATAACTCTCTCTATATATGTATAACTCTCTCTATATATGTATAACTCTCTCTCTTCTCTCTATAGACTACTCTCTGCGTCTACTCTTTCTCTATCAACTAGACTCGTTTCACTCGTCTAGTCTCTCTATCTACACTCTATAGACTAGACTCGTTTCACTCGTCTAGTCCTCGTCTAGTCCTCGTCTAGTCCTCATTTAGTCCTCGTCTAGTCTCTCTATCTACACTCTATAAACTAGACTCGCTTCACTCGTCTAGTCTTTTAGTCCAGCTCCTTATTCCATTGGCTGTGAAAGACTATGACTTTGCGTTTCCACTTTCCTAAATGAGCAATTTACGGCGGTGACTCAGAAGATTGAAAAAATTGAAAAAATAACAAGAAGACGAAGAAGAAGAAGAAGAAGAAGAAGCACTAAAAGACGAGCTTTTGGTGGCGGTTGTTAGTGAAGTTATAGTCAAGTAAGAGAAAAGAGAGAGTGAGAGTGAGTTTTTTTGTTAGCTATGATACCACCACCGGCGCCGTTTATACTCGACGCACAAGCAATCAGCGGGATTACGGGGTCTATATCTCTAGCATGCTGGATAATTGTGTTTGCGCCGCAGATTTATGAGAATTTCACTAGAAAGTCGTCAGAGGGTTTGTCTTTGAGTTTTATAATATTGTGGCTTGCAGGGGATGTGTTTAATGTGTTAGGGGCAGTGTTACAAGGAGTTTTGCCTACAATGATTATTTTGGCAATTTACTATACTTTAGCAGATATTGTTTTGCTTTGGCAATGTTTGATCTACGGCAACGGTGCAGCAAGGACAGACGACAATGAGAGCAAAATTCCTGACTTGATTCATTTGTCGCCTGCTAATCCACTTCACGAAGATGTTTTAGAATCTGTTTATTCGGGAGAAATCTCAGTTGATGTTGTTGATGATGATGATGAAGAACAACAAGGAAACTTGGAACAAGCAGGAATTAAACAAGCAACTAAACTAACCCAATTTCAGACTTTTTTATTAAACAGTTTAATGGTGGCTCTCGTTATTGTTTCCGGTTTCATTGGTTGGTACATCTCCTATTTACGAGATGAGGATCGTCAAAGAAAACATCCTGGGAAAATACACAGGCCACAAGATCTCGTGTTTGACCCATTAGCACAGTCCTTTGGCTGGCTATGTGCTGTTCTCTACCTAGGTTCAAGGATCCCTCAAATTGTACTAAATTATCAAAGAAAATCGTGTGAAGGTATATCATTTATGTTTTTCCTATTTGCATGTTTGGGCAACTTAACGTACGTCATATCGATTTTGTCTATCGATATGAGTTGGCACTATCTATGGGTAAACAGTTCATGGCTAGCTGGATCCTTGGGGACTTTAGGCTTAGATTTCACGATTTTTATTCAATTCTTTTTGTATAACGAGAATGATGAGGATAGTAGCATATGTGACAGTGAGACTCAAAGCGAAACTTTAACAGAGCCTTTGCTTAATGTAAATAGATCACAGTCGTATGGTACTAATTAATAATACAAGAACCATATAGATAACCTTTATAGAAGGATGATGAAGCAAGAGTATGTACAATCTACATTGTCACCTTACCACTCTTGTCGCGTCACGTGATATACCTAAAAAGAGTAATTTTTGATTCGGTCATTTATTTTTTTTTTTTTTCAATCTGATAAACCCCATTTACCATTACCGATTCTTCTTTAACGTATGTTTGCACCATCGATATGAGCTCCCAGTTGGAAGACGGAGGTGGTAAAGGGTTGGTTATTGACCCGCGTTTCAGCGAGAGCAAGAATATATATGTTACCGAGGGAGGAACGAAGGAACGAGCGGTGAAAAAACGGAATAGAGCTACACTAGTTTGTCTTCCTTGTAGATCAAGAAAGATAAAGTGTGATAAGGAAAAACCGTGTATTACTTGTAAAAAGAACGGGATTATAGATCAATGTATTTATAATAAGGAACCGCCAAAGAAACCCTTGAGGAAAAACTTGAATTCCACCAGGAACGGCACTAAAAGGCGGAAAGTTGATGTTGCTAATAAGGACAAAAACCAAAATCAGAGCCAAAGCCAAAGCCAGAGCCTAAATCAGAGCCAAAGCCTAAACCAGAGCCTAAATCAGAGCCTAAATCAGAGCCTAAATCAGAGCCAGAGCCAGAGCCAGAGCCAAAGCCAAAGCCAGAGCCAGAGCCAAAGCCAAAGCCAAAATCAAAGCCAAAACCAAAACCATGAGAGTAAGTCAACTGCTTCCAAGATGGGTTCTGGTCCCGAAATTTGTGTTTTGTTAAGAAAATCTGAATTGGAGGCATTGCAAGCAAAGGTTAAAGCTTTCGAGTTACTACAGAGCCAGAGCCAAAATGATAAGAAAAAAAATACGGCCCCATCATCGTTATCATCATTACACTCACAGCCAGAATCTAAAGATATCGTGTTTAATAAGTCTACAAACACGTATCGAACTGTGATTTTTTCAACTCACGAAGAATCAAGACCAGGATATATCCCATTAGAGAGTGTCACTACGGATACAATCGCTGATTATCAATCAAGTATGTCCGTTACTAGTGAAATTCGATTATCAGAATTGATCAAAAAGGCAACATTTTTAGTAGGCATAAACCCATACACCAGTCCAGACGATATTATTAAATTTCACTCCAAAGTGTCGCCCCGCAACGATTTAACAAAACCGAGAAACATGTCACCGTTATCTTGGTCTTACTTTGTTCGTGGCGACTCCTCAATGCTAGCACTAAGAAGTTATGCCTCGAGTCAAAAGGAAAAAGATTTGAGTGCTAAAAAGCCAAATGTAGGAATAACGTATGATCCATTAAAGATATTGATGGTACCCAAAGATGACAAGATCAAATCGGCATTAAATTTGGACGGAAGCGATATAACTAGATTCGAAGCAAAAACTGAAGAGACACAAGTAGACCTGTTACTGGGATACTCTAGAACAACACCAGCAACAATACAAATACCAACAATAGCAGAAGCATCGACCACGACTGGAGCACCTCCATCATCTTCCAGAACAACAACAGCAACAACAACAACAACAACAACAGCAACAACAACAGCAGCAACAACAGCAGAAGCAGCAGCAGCAACAACAGCAGCGATACCAACAAATTTCATGGCAACCAGTAATAAGAAAACATCTACACATACTACCCATGGGAAAGTAAATATGAAAACATTAGCATTGGAATTGTCCGTTTTAGGTGGTACAAAAGACAGAGAAAATACTCTTATTGAACAAATCAAATCAATAATTCCCCCGAAAAAAGTAGTATGGCTATTATTGAAACGTTTTTTGGTTTTGCTATACCCAATGATGCCATTCATTATAGAAGATAGATTTCGTGCTTCTATTGAAAACATACTTGGCATGGAATCCTATGAAAATGAAAAGCCAGAAGTTCATATACGAAGTCGACAAGATTTTGCAAATATTGGAATACTTTTTATAATACTTCGGTTATCGTACTTGTCACTTTTCCATAATCGAGGTTTTCATAATGAGAAAATCTTGACAAAACTGTATCTTTCAGAGGATGAAGCTGAAAAAAAATATCTATTGTTAAATCCAATCAACATCACTACTGCCGAAGTGGCACAGGCATGCTATTTTCATTTACAAAGACTAACTAAAGTTAGCGTGCCATTATTGCAATGTGGAATATATCTTCGCATATATAAAACTTATTCTCCAGAAGAAGGAGATGGGTTGGAAGGTAATGACTGTCATATTCAAATCAGCGAACTAACAGCAATGAGCTATGTCCTTGGGCTAAACAGAGAGCCCGATAAAGTATTTGATCTTAAAGATGAAAAATTGAAAAACTTGTATCGTAAAATATGGTATTTTATGGTACTGTCAGAGCAGAATTTTGCTTCAGTCTATGGATGGCCGGTGCTGATTAAAAAGACATCATATGACACCAAACGTCCTTATTTCTCTGAGGAGAATTCAAACTTGATGGACAAAGAGATTGATAAAACTTCATATTTTTTCTTTGCATTTATCACTGCGTTGATTAGAGGACCAGTACACCGAGTAGTTGACTTGTATTCGGCCATTGGAGCGGAAGTCAAAGTCATGGATTTGACTAATCATTTAAACCATTTGGAACAAGGGTTGAAAACTTTATTGGGTAAATTGAGCGACTACATGTATGCTTTAGAGGAAGAGAATCCTGGATATCACACTAGTAAAGTGATGAAAGTTCAAATTTTACTTAAAATGAATGCATTTTTAATGTTGAATTATTGTCATTTAATGGGCTATTACAAGGGGCGAAATCGGGGATTATGTTTCTTTTACTTGAAGAAATTGTTCACTATTGCTCTTTGTGAAAGTTTACCTTATATATTTGCCTTGATTACCAAGAGCCATGAGATTTTTGGGGAAGGCGCTGATATATATTTGAATCCCAGTATTATTCAAATCATTGTTAGAATCAGTGATGTGTGTCTAATTGCAGTGATTAGAGCAAATGTGTCTTTATTTATGTTACTGAAAAAAGCCGGTCATAAACAAAGGCAAGAAACTGATGCCGAATACAGAAATTTGCTTGACACAACAAATAAATTCATTATGATGATGGAGAAATCTTTCCGAGCATGTCTTGCTGCCGTTTCAATCTTGAGTAGCAGGTACTATTTTGCTTGGGAAGTAGTCCGAACTCAGAATTACTATTTGAAATTGGCCACAAGTGCTAGATTCTATAAGGAGAAATATACAGAAGCAACTGGTTTTCCTATACCAAAGTGTGATCAGATGGTTGAGTTGGTGAATATTGCATCATCAGGTTTACAGACTTTGCAAGATTTAGTGTCAACTTTTTGTGAAGAGGTTGATCTTACCGAGGTGTTTAAAATTGATGAAGCTTCCAGTAGCAAACATCAGCAGCAACAACAACAACAGCATCAACAGCATCAACAGCATCAACAGCAACAACAGCAACAACAACAACAGCAACAACAGCAACAACAACAACAGCATCAACAACAACAACAACAACAACAACAACAACAACAGCAGCAACAGCAACATCATCATCATCAACAACAACAACAGAGGGAAAATGTGCAGGCACATGCTATGGCACAAATGCCAATCCCGACAGATACAGGAATAAATCTTGATACATTTAACGATGTAGACAGCGGATATAACAGTGGAGGAATCAGCAACACCAGCAACACCGGCAACACCACTACATCTGATTCAAACGGATTGTACTTTACCGGATTTGAAGATATGCGATTTGACAACAGTGCTGAAATAGACTCTATTTGGTTAAAGATGCTTTCATTGAAATCTAATAGTCAAAATAGTGGAATTTCACTAGAGATGGATCAACACAGTCTGGGTTATGGCCAATATAATGGACCAACACTGACAAGTATTGGAAATAATTTCCCTGTGAATTTTGATACGTTTGACCAAACTCAAGCTGAATATAATGGGAATAACGCATATCTAGGGAATGAAAATACAAATGGTAGACCTTACCCATCAGCTAGTCTCTTCAATTATTCGGAGCTTTTTGCAGACTTGCCGTTGGACAAATTATTTAATATTTGAGAAAAAACAAGTAGTACTGGTTGAGGGTTTTCCTTTGTTAACTTTTTATATCTCTGTATAACTCTTGGAAACTAACCAAAAACTGATATCTTTGATTACAATCTCTTCTCAAGTGGTATCTTTGATTATAATCTCTTCTCAAGTGATACCTCTTTGAACATAACCTCATCTCAAGTGATGCTTTGATGCATTAAAATTGGCAAAACAGAAGAGCTATAATCTTATTACTGTTAAGAAAGTTCGAGCTCTATCTCCCCAGTATATCCAATAAAAGATAGAGAGGCCCATCTCCCTACGAGATAGGTCCATCTCCCTACGAGAGAGGCCCATCTCCCCAGTATATCCAATAAGAGATAGAGAGGCCCATCTCCCTACGAGATAGATCCATCTCCCTACGAGATAGATCCATCTCCCCAGTATATCCAATAAGAGATAGAGAGGCCCATCTCCCTACGAGATAGATCCATCTCCCTACGAGATAGATCCATCTCCCTACGAGATAGATCCATCTCCCTACGAGATAGGTCCATCTCCCTACGAGAGAGGCCCATCTCCCCAGTATATCCAATAAGAGATGAGATGCCTTAAAAAATTAGTTCGGCCGAATTTTTTTTTTCCTCCGAATTTTCATTTCTTTCAAGTAATATTGTAAGTTAGCCATTAATCTTTGCCTTCAAGTCGCCTTTGAACTCAGATAGAGCATCTTTACGGTATTGGTACGTTATCAGAAAATCTATTGTTCTAGGTAGAAGCTATTTTTTTTCCAATCTGTCACGTTGGTTTTTTCAAATTTGACCGGAGGGGTTTTCATTAGAGTTCAAGTTTGCTGTTACAATTATATGAAATAGACCAAATGTCGGAAATACTTACCGGGACAAATGGAGTGCCGGAAAATGGCCAAGTGATGCGTAGAAGGAAACGAGCAACTCGGGTTTGTACTCAGTGCAAGAAACGCAAGATAAGATGTGACAGGCAATTACCGTGTTCCAATTGTGTTAAATCAAGAGGAAAACTTGAGTGTCACTATGATGAAGAATCAGGAGCAGCTTCTGCCAGTTCCAATATTTTGCTCAGCAGTAAGACTAGGGCCCTTCCGTATGAACAAAGCGCTAAACAGCCATTACAGTTTTTGAACTTCAACTCCCATAATATGACAACTAAGCTGGACACAAGTGAAGGTGCATCGGATTCTATCAAGACAAATGGCAAAAGAGAACGAAGCAACGACAACTTGCGTGATAGCAGTAGTAGTAGAAGCAGCAGTAGCAGTAGCCGCAGTGCCAATGGAAAAAAGAAGATGAAGAGTGCAGACAATGTATCGATTTCGTTGAATGAGCTACGCAAATTGAAGGAAAGATTGGCAACTATTGAATCGAATTTGGGCCTGGCAAAAACTAAAATGTCTGAACCTCAACGAACAACACCATTGCAATATTCAATATCATCGCCAAAACTATCTATCCCAATGATGAATAACCAGAATTGGCCTTCTAATGTGCCACTGAGCATTCAATCTTTTGGTTCGCATTCTGGTCTTTCGCCACAACCTCAGTTTTCCACAACTCATAAATTGTCCAATACTAGACACCAGTCGCCAAATATCCAGTTGCCTCCAATAAACGTTAAAGATGGTATATCTCCGTATGAAAGTTCTGATTACAATGGATCTAGCGTTGGTAGCATTCCGTCTAATAATCCACCGCTCTCCAATCTTGCCCGTTTGCCAACAAACTTGATTGGGGTGAACCCATATTTGAATGAAACAGAAACTATCAATTTTTATGAAAATTATTCGTCTGTGTTTTGTAAAGATACTAGAAGAATTAGCTATGGACCATTTGCCTGGTCTTCGTTAATGAAGAGAGACCAAGTCTTGAGCACTCTTTGGGAGTACATTGGGAAGCAAAAGGAGTCGCTGAAGGATTTTGTCTTTTGCTCAGGTAGTAATGAAATCACCCACGAAAAGACTCAATTAGTTACGAGTGAACCTAAAGAGTCCGAAATGCATTTTAGAAAGAAAATGTTGGAGACTGGCGGGTATAGTGATGTGGTACCATATGATTTGTTAAAGGAGAAAATGAAGAAAAATTTAAAGAAAGAGACAATCCCACTAGGATTGACTTTATATGAAGGTCCTTTAAGTTGCGAGTTACAACTCGTTGACAAAATAAAGCAAATATTACCCAAGAAGAAAGTTATTTGGAAATTGGTTGATCGATTCTTCACTTGGTGTTATCCATTTTTACCATTCCTTGATGAGGTTGATTTTGTTGAATGGGTGGAAAAGATTGTTGGTCCAAAATCTTTTGATGATGTCAATATTGAAGAAGTGAAAATCGAGAGAAGACTTGATTTGGCAGTGATTGGTATCTTGTTAATTGTGATGCGGTTAGCATATTTGTCCTTATTTTCAAATAAACTACTGGTGAATGAAGAAAGATTGAATTCAACCGATCCTTCAGAGGAGGTTCAGGATACAAAATATATGATGCGCAATCCAATTAGTATAAACACAATAGCTATTGCTAATGCTTGTTTATACCAATTCGATATATTAAGAAGAACATCAATGCCTGTTTTACAATTGGCAATTTTCATAAAGTTTTATCATACTTTTGCTCCAGAAGATGGTGATGACGGGGATGGAGCAGATTCGAATGCTTTAACTGCAATGATGATTCAAATGGCTTACTCATTAGGGTTGTATCGTGAACCCAATAACTATCCTGGCATTTTGAACAACAAAAAGCTAAATCATTTGGGTCGCAAGATTTGGCATTTGCTTGTTATGATAGATATACACAATGCGTACTCTTTCGGAAGCCCTTTACTCATTGATTCAAATAGTTACGATACAAAAGTCCCGTTCCATGAAGATGGTAATGAGAATCTCAAGGATAAGGAGTTGGACCGATATATAACCGAGAGATATTTTCCTTCCAATACCGAGTTGAATGAAATGGTGAAACTGATATTGATAAAGACTTTGAATGTTTCAGGCCGAGTCAAACTCTGTGAGTTATGTAATCTTTTAAGTGAGTTTGAAGTGAAAATGGCACAGAAATATACATCATTAAAGGATTGTTTAACCATTAGAGAGTCAGAAAGTCACATATTTTCCAGAAACTTTTCATCCAAATTTTTCATTTCCTTAAAGTCATTTCTTGTTTCAATCTATTTCCATATTTTCCTTCATTATGAGCATAAGGACGTACAATTATCATTTTTTTATTTGAAGAAGATTTTGAAAATTGCAGCTACTGAAATCATGCCTCATTATTTTGAGTTGTTGGGAAACAGTGAAGTTATTTGTGATCTGTTTATCAATCCAAAGTTGCAACAAATAATCCATAAATCGAATCAGATCTTTATTGCAATGATAATAAGAGTCAATTTGTCAATATACTTTTTGAAGTCACAACTGGATCATGAAAGCAAATGTTTTTCAGATACATCGTATTACAATTATTACAAAGAGTTGTGCAAGTTTTCGTCTTGTTTGACAAGGTGCGCAGAGGTGTCTATTGCTGCTGTTTCGAAATTAAGTACGAGATACTTTTATGCTTGGAAATTAACAAAGAGTCACACATATTTGTTGAAACTTGTAACGACCTTGGATTTTTATAAAGATCCCTTACACATTGCAAGGCCAAACTTGAGATTACCGGAGTTTTCAACTAACCAAATCAGTGATTTGGTGGAAATGTGTGAGAGTGCATTACGAATTTTGGGTAAGGTTGGTCTTCAGGGCAATGAATTTTGCAGTGATGTTAGCTACAAGCAGTTTAAGCATCAAAATAGTGAAGTCTCTACGATCTCGTCCACGAAGCAAAGTGACAACAGTACAACCGATTTGGTTGATTTATCGACACCAGCATCCAATGTCTCATTAGATGGAAAAGCTTATACAAATGAGTTTGGATTGGATCTTGTTAATAATGCTGAGATTGATTCTATCTGGTTACAAATGCTATCGACGCAGCAGCAGCAGCAACAGCAGCAGTTTATACCGCAATCTCCTGGTGGTCAATCAGTGCCTTATTTAAGTCCCTTGACCGGTCAATTGTCTTCAGAACAAGCAAATATCAATAATAGCAAACCATCACCCAGTCCATTTCCTGGTCAGTCTAATCAGTCTGCGATGCAGCCAATCTCCACACCTGGTCAGATTTACGAAACTCCATTTACTTTAGGGTTCCCGCGTCCACCGAGTTCAGGATTTGGCGTCGACGAAAATGGGCTGGTTGATTTGTTTGCTGAGCTACCCTTGAATCAAATGTTTAACCTTTGATAACGAGAGGCTAGAGAAACGGGCTGAGAATTGTAACTAGGACTCAAAGAGTCGATTGTTTAACTTTTGATAACGAGAGGCTAGAGAGACGGGCTGAGAATTGTAACTAGGATTAAAAGAGTCGATTGTTTAACCTTTGATAACGAGAGGCTAGAAATGGGGTTTGAGAATTGTAACTAGGATTAAAAGAGTCGATTGTTTAACTTTTGATAACGAGAGGCTAGAGAGACGGGCTGAGAATTGTAACTAGGATTAAAAGAGTCGATTGTTTAACCTTTGATAACGAGAGGCTAGAAATGGGGTTTGAGAGATGGGTACATACTCTGGTATTTCTACATTCTCTACATTCTTTCGATTAGTGTCGGTGTAGTCAGTGTTGCTCTACTATCGAGGAGAGAGATAGTCTCGGTAACTGGGACTACAAGAATCAAATGTTCAACGTTGAATAACGAGAGGCTACAAGTGGCAACAGCACAACACAATAGTATAGCCAGCTTGTGTATATGTATTTCTTTTCAAGGAGTTTTCTTTTATAATGTTTTACAATCTATAAGTATAGACATCTTTGCTCGACTAGTCTCAGAAGCATAGACATCTCTGCTCAACTAGTTTCTACATCTCCGCTCGAATAGTCTCAGAAGCATAGAGGTCTTTGCTACTCGAATAGTCTCAGAAGCATAGACATCTCTGCTCAACTAGTTTCTACATCTCCGCTAGACTAGTCTCAGAAGCATAGAGGTCTTTGCTACTCGACTAGTCTCAGAAGCATAGAGGTCTTTGCTATTCGACTAGTCTCAGAAGCATAGACATATTTGCTATTCGACTAGTCTCAGAAGCATAGAGGTCTTTGCTACTCGACTAGTCTCAGAAGCATAGAGGTCTTTGCTATTCAACTAGTCTCGCTCTGCTCGACTAGTCTCAGAAGCATAGAGGTCTTTGCTACTCGACTAGTCTCAGAAGCATAGAGGTCTTTGCTATTCAACTAGTCTCGCTCTGCTCGACTAGTCTCAGAAGCATAGAGGTCTTTGCTATTCAACTAGTCTCAGAAGTATAGAGGTCTCTGCTATTCAACTAGTCTCGCCCTGCTCGACTAGTCTCAGAAGCATAGAGGTTTCATGGCTCCGAGAGTTTAACAAAAATACCTCAATAATAAGCGCCTTGTTTTTCTAGCAATCCAATTGAAATTCATGATGCTGCGGCTATCGATGGAACTTGCCAATGCAGAGCCTGTGGGTACATGCGTCAAGTGGCTTTAATACTTACAAAGCACTTGTTCTTAAATATTTACTGTTAACTAAAGAATAAAGGAGATTATTTCCCTTTTCGGTCAATGTGTCATTTTCCACTGTTATACCCGAACTTTTTTATTCAAGATAAGAATTTTCCCATTTAACCACAACGGTTTTGGGTAGGGGGGGGGGGGTCAATGTCAAAAAGTATCAATTGTTAATGACATATAACGGTATTTCTTTTTATTGGTATAAGGTTCTATTTCATCTTTGACACCCATATAGATTCAGGGTCAGGGTCTTGTGAATTTGACAGCAAAAAGAAAACAACTAGTAAAGAAAATGTAGAGTTGTACATTTATACCTTTGTCATTTAGTATTGATCCGCGTGTATAAGCGGCAGACTTATATTCTCTTCTTCTATACTTTATTATGATGCTTTAGTCTTTTTTTCATTATTTTTTGTTGCGCCAAATAATCTCTCGGAGTAGACTCTAAAATCTAGATTGCATTTGATTTCAAAAAGCTATCACGTATTTGGTTTATATATAAACGGTAACTCGTATTAAGTAAATGGTCTTATGATATCAACTAATTCGCTCATAGTTTCTATAGTTTCTAAAGCTTCTTTTGGGTCATAATTTCTAAAGCTTCTAAAGCTTCTTTTGGGTCATAGTTTCTATAGCTTCTAAAGCTTCTAAGGCTTCTTTTGGGTCATAGTTTCTAAAGCTTTTTTTGGATCGCTCATTGTTTATATAGTTTTCTTTTTGGTCCCTTTTTTTAGATGACCTTTAATGCTGAGGTCAGTGGTATAACTTTTGTATTTAAACCATCTAGGAGAAGAACCTCACAAAACACCAGACTCAGAAGTATAGAGGTATTTGCTATTCGACTAGACTCAGAAGTATAGAGGTATTTGCTATTCGACTAGTCTCAGAAGCATAGAGGTCTTTGCTATTCGACTAGACTCAGAAGCATAGACATATTTGCTATTCAACTAGTCTCAGAAGCATAGACATATTTGCTATTCGACTAGTCTCAGAAGCATAGACATATTTGCTATTCGACTAGTCTCAGAAGTATAGAGGTCTTTGCTATTCGACTAGTCTTCGAAGTATAGAGGGAGAGAGAGCGAGAGTGGAGGATCACCTTATAGCAACCTACTAGGTCTCAACAATTTAATTTTTTAAAATTTTTTTTTTTATATATAAAGAGCTGATTATCGATTTTCCAAAGATTGTTGAATTGTTGGTGATATTTTTTTCAAGGTATACCAACTAGTCTTTCAATCAGTGGTTGAAATTATTTTTTTCGTTGTTATCACTTATTGTTTGGTGTGTGTTCATTTTTCTTTATTTTTGGGGTGGGAGGGCAATGCCTAACGAGTCTTCTCGCAAGCGTAACAAGCCTTCATACGTTTGTCTAAATTGTCGAAGGAAAAAAATTAGATGCAATAGACAACTTCCATGTTCTAGTTGTGTGAAGATTAATGCTGGGTACACGTGCTCCTATGATACCAAATGGAAACCGGTTAAAACAGGAGGTACTGAGCGCCCTTTGAATCATAAGGCTAGCAGCAATATAGTGTTCAATAATGAAAGTCCATTGGAAACTGGTACATCGCTGATGGAGAATACTATATCACCTTTTTTACCTCAGCCTAGTACCCTTGCAGATGAAAACCGAATACTCAAAAATAGAGTAATTGAATTGGAGAGGCTATTGCACGATGTAAGTGAAAATGGTGGTGGTGTAGTGTCTGACAATTCATCAACTTCGCTGTCAACAGTAATGCATAAGCCATATATTAGAACCACACCAATACTACCACCAAACAAGCCTACTTCGCCTAATCCCGAGGTTGACGATGACGACGTGCTCAATTTTTATGATGGATATTCACTTATTAGAGTAAAGGGGCATGTTCGACGTGTAAATAGCGGCCCTTTGTCCCCAGTAGCACTTTATAAGCGCGATCCAGTATTGGCAATGGTGTGGAACGCCATTAGCAGCAAGGGCTATATCAAAATCATTGATGTCCAGACGCCAAATCGAGTCTCAGGAATGTGCCATTCGTTGCCAGTATACAGCATCTCCAATACTGTAATCTCGGATAGGATGGATCGGCTTTTCAAAAAGAAATTTTTGGAAGTTGAAGGATACGATGAAGTTACTTCTTACAAGTCGCGTATCGAGAAAGACATGGCTGAAAACCTTGAAGAACTGGAGGTAAACGACAAAGGATTGAATGACAATTCTAGTAACAAAATGGTATCTGCTAACGCGCACAATAGTGATGATGCTGGCAGAAATGAACCAGCTCCAAGAAAATTGACTTATACTCAAATTAGTCTTGCAAGGACACTTTTTGAAGGTAAAGTTAACCCCGAGTTGCATTTAATAGAAAAAGTGAAACAGCTATTGCCAAAAAAGAAAGTGTTGTGGTCATTGGTTGATATATTTTTCTCCAAATTATACTTGTCTATACCATTTATCGATGAGCTGGAATTTAGAAAGGATTTGCAAAAGATATTTGGACCAGCAAATTACAAGGATGAGCCATTCACGCGAGTCATTATTGGGAAGAAGATGGAGTTGGCAACTATTGCCACTTGTTTCATCATGATGAGGCTAACATATTTGTCACTATACTCAAATCGTGATTGTATCAATTTAAAAGAAATGAAATCAACGGGTGATTCTATCAAGAAGTACATTTTTGAGAATCCAGTCACATCTTCCTTTGTTGAGGTTGCCAACTCGTGTTTGTATTGTTTTGATGTTACAAGAAGGTCAAACTTGACAATTTTTCAAGCATGTTTGATGATGCGGATCTACAAGTATTGTGCTCCTGAAGAATGCGACGGTATAGATGGCGGTGGCTCGCAAATAGGAACAGCTATCTTGATCCAAATGGCATATTCTCTTGGGTTGAATCGCGAACCAGATAAACTCGACGTTTGCAACGATGACAAAATCAATAATATAGGAAGAAAGATTTGGTATTTTTTGCTCAGGTTGGATATGATGTATTGTGCTAGTGTTGGGAACCCTATAAACATATATCCACACCATTACGACGTGAATTTACCATTTGTGACAAAGTATAATAGCAATACAATTGATGTTGCAATAGATGCTGCTGCTGTTTCCAATATTGTGTATTTGCATAACCAATCAAAGATGATGAGGAATTTGGCAGGTTATGCTCTGGACATCAACAGGGGAGTAAAAATGAACACTATTACACGAGATTTACACGAATTTGAATTGAACTTGGAAAATCAATATAAGGCTTTACAAGAATCAGTTGACTTTCAAGAATGGCAAGATACTTGTACTTCGAATATTGATACTTTATCTTTCACGCTTCAGTTTCAATTGGTTTTGGGACTTCGAACAGCATTACTTTCATTTTATCATCACATTTATCTACATTACGAAAAGAAATTGGACTCGGAATTGGCATTTTTTTATCTTTGTAAATTGATGTATATCATAATATACAATCTAATGCCGTGTACCGGAGATGTGTTGTATGGATCCATGAGTTCAAGAAGTCTTTTCATTAATCCAGTGATTCAATTCGCATTGAGCAAGGTTACTGGAATTATCATGTCATGCTTAGTAAGAGTAAGTTACAATGTTCGAGTAATGGAACAAAAGCCATCGCATTCAACAAACTTGGCCACTAATTCTGAATACAAACAACATTACCAAAGTTTGAGATGCATTTTAAAAGCTTTGAATAGAGAAGCAAATCTACTATGCTCATTATCTGAAAGAATGGGATCTCGGTACTATTATTCATGGCGAATATCAAAAGCACATACTGTTTTATTTGGTAGAATTGCCAAACCAGAGTTTTACGATAAGTATGCAAGCAGTTTGAAAAAAATTAAAGCGTTCCAATTCACACCAGCGCAATTGGACTTATTTCAACGACTTATTAGCTTATTAGTTGCAACAACTACAAAAGTAGTTAACTACGAAGATGCTGAGGATAATCCAGTCCCGGATTTTTCACCAATGGAAAACCCCACCGATGAAAGTAGTCAACAAAACAATGAAGCGAATGAATTTCAGGAGAATAATAACGGATCGAGTCAAGGGCTCATGAATACAAACTCAATAGACTCGATTTCATTCTCGCCACTTGATTCTTTTGGAGAAGGAGGAGCATCATCATCATTGATACCTGGTATTCCCCATTCAACAAAGGATGAAATTGATCAAATGTGGCTCCAACTCTCTGCAATGCACAATGATCCTGATCAAGATGGGCTTGAGAGTTGGCTTCCCAGTATTCCCTTTCCATTTTACAACAATAACAACACCTCCAGTCAAGGTAATGGCGGATTATTTTACAATAACAGCAGCATGAACAACGGCAACGGCGGCAATAATAATAACAAGGATAACAATGGTAATTTTCAGAATGGAAGTTCAATTTCACTCCAACAACAACAACAACAACAACAAACGGGTGATCAGGAACCACAAGCACCCTATTTGAATTTCAGAGACCCTTTGTCGCTGGTTTATATAGACCCAAACTTTGATCTTTCTTGCAGGTACAACTACGATCAACTATTGTGATTTTAACGTTCTAATAATAAGTGTTATTTTTTAGCATAGGAGAATATAGATTCGGAACCAAACTTTTGCTTTAATTCGGGTTCATCAAAATGCTCTAAACAACCTCTTGCCATTTCGTCATCTGCAAAATCTACAAATGCCAAGTTTCTTGGCTTGACAAATCTAACAATTTCAAACCCGCTGAAATCTTGAAAAACCTCATTGAGAATTTCCTTTGATATATTTGAGTCAAGATTTTGTAAAAGCAATATACGATTAGGTGGTAAGTTCTTCCATACTGACAAATCTGTGGCTTTCTTATTTTTATCCTTAGCTTGAGTTGATTCCCTTTTCAGCTTATCTTTAATCAGCTTCTTCTTCTTCTTTGACTTTGCTATATTCTTATTCTTGATAATTTTTTTTTCATGTCGTATCTTTTTAATTTCCTTTAGTTGTGCTTCATCAAGAACCACTTTATCGCTATTGGTTTTGGCAAAAGTTGCTCTTACGGGCTTACCGAGTAGCTGTAAACCGTTTAATTCATTTACCACTTTTGAAGCTAAGTCAACATCACGAAATGTTATAAAAGCCTGACCTTTCAATTTCAATGTCTTTGCAAGCGAGATATCCAACGGCTCGAAATTGTGTATTAAGGGCTCCAAATTTGCTTTTAGTTTAGTTAGTGATACTTTTTCATTGAGGTTGTTTAGATATATCGTTTGTTTGGGACCAATGGACATATTTGGATAATGTGGGGGGGGGGATGTAGGGGTGATTTAGATGGTGATGAGGTAGATGGTGATGAGGTGATGGAAAGTTTATTAGGGAGTTTCTTTTTTATTTGGTACAACTGGTAGCATTAGAGAGACTATCGAGCGACACTATCGACCTACACTATCGACCTACATTATACAGCACTATCGAGCAACACCTAGTAGCTTGTTACAACACTATCGAGCAGAGCGAGATTCTATGCTCGATGGTGTTGTAATAAGCTACTGACTAATGACACTATCTTTCTATGCTCGATGGTGTTGTAACAAGCTACTGACTAATGACACTATCTTTCTATGCTCGATGGTGTTGTAACAAGCTACTAAGCTCCACTATCTCTCTCTGCTCGCTAGTGTCACAAGCTACTGAGTACCGCTCCACTATCTCGCTCCGCTTGATAATGTCGGTAACATTCAGTACCGCTCCACTATCTCGCTCTGCTCGATAGTGGCATTAGTCAGTGCCGCTCCACTATCTCTCTCCGCTTGATAGTGGCATTACTCAGTGCCGCTCCACTATCTCTCTCCGCTCGACAGTGGCAATAATTTTAAGTTTGAAACAGAGAATGGGGGTAAAGAGGGGATAATATCAGTACCTTACATAGGAATACATAGGAATATCTAGAATTAGAATTAACATTGACAATAACAGTGTAAGAATTGGAGTAAAAAACCAAAAAAGCTTAAAACACCTGTTCCTGGTAGGTAAAGGGGTAATGGAATGCAATTAAATACACGAGCTGATTAGCAACACATAACTTTAACATATACTAACTCTTGACACTATCAAACACTATCAAACACTATCGAGCGAAGCGAGATAGTGGAGCGGCATTGACTAATGACACTATCAAGCAAAGCGAGATAGTGGAGCAGCATTGACTAATGACACTATCGAGAGAGCAGCATTGACTAATGACACTATCGAGCGAGCAGCATTAATTAATGACACTATCGAGCGAGCAGCATTAATTAATGACACTATCGATCGAGCAGCATTAATTAATGACACTATCTCGCTCTGCTCGATAGTAGAGCAGCATTGACTAATGACACTATCTCGCTCTGCTCGATAGTAGAGCAGCATTGACTAATGACATTATCTCGCTCTGCTCGATCTGCTCTGCTCAATCTGCTCTGCTCAATGGTGTCGATTTTTGTCATTTTTTCCCCTCAAAAATAGTCAGTGGTCCCAAATGTGCTCCACTATCTCGCTTCGCTCGATAGTGTCGCCTCGCCTGATAGTGCCGCTTCGCTCGATAGTCGCAAGCCAATAAAATTCGTCCAATTTGTAAGCAACATAATAAAACAGTAAACGTTATACAAAAAAGAAACCTACTTCAAGAAAAACCGCCACATCTTTACTATAGAAAAAAAAAGCCATCTTATATAACCAGTATCTATGGACATCCCAGTATTAATATTTCAAAAAGATTGTATGTCTACGTAATTATTTGTATGTCTACGTAATTATTTGTATGTCTATGTAATTATTTGTATGTCTATGTAATTATTTGTATGTCTACGTAGCAAGTTTTGTATGTCTATGTAATTATTTGTATGTCTTTGTAATAAGTTTGTGGTGGTTTTCTTCATAACCATCGCATATCGTCTCTTTAAAAAGTCAAAACCTTATAACCCTCATCACAATTCCAAAGTCAAATAAATACCAAAGTATTTTTTCTTTTCAACGATATATATATTTATATATAGATATATATAAATTTTTTTTTTCATCAAAAGTCCAATCTCATCTCTGTTTAGTCCTATTGATTTAAATTTGTTTTGTTTACCGAGTTTCTTCCTCGTCATCACAAGTAAGAACCAATCGCCCTAATTGCCCTTATAAAATTATGTCTTTAGTTGCTTTGAAAAACGGGATAATTAAACTAATTAGCAGTAAAGACAAATCACAAGAAGAATTGCATAGAGTTAATAGGCTATTAGACAATAATCAGAACCCATATGGATCAACAGAAAACGGCTTTTTACCTAGAGATGAAAGGGCAGCAGATATAGCTAGACAAGAAGCCGTAATTCAAGCAGCTGAATCAATAGCTTCATCCTCGGAAGATAAAGAAGATGGCCAAGGTGAAACTTATTCGCTTACACAATTTTTCAATAGGTTTGACCCTAGAGTCATGTCGGATATTATCATTGGTTTGAGTGACGGGTTGACTGTCCCATTTGCATTGACTGCTGGTCTATCTTCATTGGGCGATGCCAAAGTGGTCATAACCGGTGGTATGGCAGAACTAGTCTCTGGTGCAATATCAATGGGTCTAGGAGGCTATCTAGCAGCAAAATCTGAATCAGAGTACTACATATCACAAGTAAAGAAGGAAAAATTGGATTTCTTCAAAAAACCAGAATCGATAAATCAAGAAGCCGCCGAGATTATGTTTGAACTAGGAGCAACTGAAGCAACTATCATAAGTTTTCTAAAAGATTTGGATTCAAAGCCGAAAAACCTTATTGATTTTATTATAAGATTTGGGAAAGGTTTAGAAGAGCCTGCAGAAGGTAGGCAACTTATATCAGCATTAACCATAGGCTTATCTTATTTCTTTGGTGGATTTGTTCCACTTTTGCCATATTTTTTCACTAGTGTGGTTAAGACGGGGTTATTGATTTCAGTTATTGTTATGTTAATTACTTTATTTGCTTTTGGTTATATAAAGACGTCAATTTCAGTAGGTGAAGTTTGTGGGTATCAAAAGAAAGTTACCGAGGGATTCCAAATGGTCGCTGTTGGCTCGGTTGCTGCCGGCGCCGCTTGGGCCCTTGTATATTTTATAGATAATTGATCGACCAGCTCCACTATAGCAGCTCCACTGTCGAGCAGCTCCACTATCGAGCAGAGCGAGATAGTGGAGATGGTGTCTGTGGCAATTACTGTGCTTTTAATTCATCTATACGACTTGATACTAACTCTGGTCAGAGATGCTCCACTATCGAGCGAAGCGAGATAGTGTCACTCGATACTGTCAGTCAATACTGTCAGTCAGAGATGCTCCACTATCTCGCTGCGCTCGATAGTGTCACTCGATACTGTCAGTCAATACTGTCAGTCAGAGATGCTCCACTATCTCGCTGCGCTCGATAGTGTCGCTCGATAGTGTCGCTCGATAGTGTCGCTCGATAGTGTCTGTCGATACTGTCAGTCGATAGTGAGTGGACTGGTGTTATGTCGCTACCATATGCATCCAGCCAATGATTGAATTCCGAAAAATTGAAATCATTGAATGAAAAAAAGCACTCTAAAAAGAGTTCAAAAGGCTTTGTTGATTAAAAGGTATACCGGGTTCGTAAACGGGGTAGATACATAAGATAGATAGCTTTATAATGTTAAGGATACGCAGTAGGTATTGTACAATAAGGAGAGTTTCCAACTTGTCGTCATATTCAATTCGTTACAGTTCCTCAATATCTTTGAAAGTCGAAGCTGAACCACCAGCAAACAAATTAAATAAAAAAGATTTGCAAAATAACCAATTTGCTAAACAAGCACCAAATCGTCAAGTTACCTGGTCACCATCGCAAGAGGAGAGAATAGAGGTTATTTCAAAGTTCCCATATAGGTTTACTCAAAGAGACTTGGAAAAGCAACCAAGACCTTATGCTGCAATTGATTTAATCGCTAAAGAGCCAATAAGATATCTAACTGCAAACCAAGGAAATATCGCAGTATGTGACGGAAACCGCGGTAACACATTGCAGGGTCATCCCAAGGTGTTTATCAATTTGGATCAACCTAAAGCTTCTACTTGTGGATATTGTGGGTTGAGATATGCCAAAGAAGAGTTTAAAGAGATTATTGAAAAGGGTGAAACACCGACACTATAGCCGACACTATCAAGCAGAGCGACACTATCGAGCAGAGCGAGATAGTGGAGCAACACTTTGTAGCTTGATACAACACTTCTTCGTGACACTATCGAGCAGAGCGAGATAGTGGAGCAATACTCGGTACTTTGTTTCAACACTATCTCGCTCTGCTAGATAGTGTCGCTCGGTAGTGTTGCTCGATAGTGTCGCTCGATAGTGTCGCTCGATAGTGTCTATAGTGTTTAGAGAACCGTACCAATATCAAAATCTTTTTATCGTCATGTTTCTGACTTTGTTCTTCTCTTGAATCTTGACTCTCGTCTTGTTCCTTTTGAGGCCCCATTCGCTCCCACTCTGTCTCTAAAAGTCACTATCGCCGACACTATCGAGCAACACTATCGAGCAACACTATCGAGCAACACTATCGAGCAGAGCGAGATAGTGTTGAACGAGATTACCGAGTATTGCTCCACTATTTCGCTCTGCTCGATAGTGTCACGAGATTACCGAGTATTGCTCCACTATTTCGCTCTGCTCGATAGTGTCACGAGATTACCGAGTATTGCTCCACTATCTCGCTCTGCTCGATAATGTCGCTCTGCTCGATAGTGTCGCTCTGCTCGATAGTGTCGCTAGATGGTGTTGGGGGATGCATTTCCCCAGAAAAAGGTGAAAAAAAACAATGAAAAAAGAGCTAGATAAAGAAAATTAGGCCAATTTAGACTTTAGATGTATATTGTAAGATGCCCGCTGTTAAAGTGAGTCTGTCGGTGGCTATTCAAGTTCAGCAGTTGATAAATAATGGGGTAACATTTGCAAAACTAATCCTTTTAGGGATATGGTACTCTCGCAACCATTTATTGCACAGCTATTTAGTAATACCGTTGGGGATCATAGTTATAATGATGGTCTTGTATGGATTCAATTTATTGCTAACCAATGTGTTCCACATAAAGTTCCCATCCTCAGTTTTAGGGCTATTGGTGAATTTGGTGTGGTTGTGCGTGTTGAGTGTGCTATCCGATATAAAACCAAGGTCAAATGAACATTATTTAATAAAAAATACTAGGTCTTGTTCAAATTGGATATTGACTAATTATCTTTGTTTGATTAAACCTCCAATGAATTTCACGTTAAAATGGATAAATGTCTTCTTTATCCCATCCTTCATTATATTGCCGCTATCTGATCATATTACAATCATTGAATGTATGAAAATCGCTAGTGTTTTTGTTTTTGGAATGATTGTCCTAATACTTGTTAATATCTACTTTATTGCGTTTTTGAAATTCGTATATGGTAACTTGGGGGTATTCAAAGAAGAAAAAGCAGAATTTGAAAAGGAAGAGGAATTGGAACTGGAATTGGAATTGGAAAGTATACAGGGCAATAACAGTATAAGAGATGATGTGACTACTATTGATGTGAATAGCTTGAGGTCGGTACAAACTACCCCCGCACTATCACTATCACCACCACCACTACCACCAAGAGATTCAACTTTACTCAACAAAAACCCGTTTTTACTTGAACCAGAGCGGATATACCACAAAACACATCATGTTGAAAACAATACCTCATATCCATCACTACAGCAGCACCGCTACCAGCAACTGCTGAGACATAGTATCTCCTCGAAAACAAGCTCCAACAAAGAGACTGTTGCATTAGAATCAACCGAAGTATCACCCATCACATCATTTATCACTCGTTATATTGATTGGATCTTGTATATTTTCCTATTCCTAGTATCGCTTCCATTTTATTACATTCCTTCAATTCATACATTTCTTCCGTATCATCTAAGTCTAACCATACTAGCTTATTACATTGCCGTGTTGATCCCACAATACTATCCCAAAACGAAGAAATTTGCCCATCCAATCTTGGTATCCACTGCAATTATTCTATTTACATGTTTCATTGGGTCATTGATCTATCACCATGAACCGCGAGGATTTCTCGAGGATTTGCGTTTTTACAAAACAGGCAAAAACTATCTCAATCTATTCAATGGACAAGAAGCAATGAACAACAAAAATAAGGAGTTTACACTGACTCCACAATGGCCCGGATGTGGAGATTTTCTTTCCTCATTAATGGACGTTTCAATCGTTGCGTTATCCCTACCTATGTTCACACATCGACGCGATTTCATCAAAAATTTCTGGATCCTTATGCCTACAATATTGGTCAGTGCCGGGGCAACATTTTTCATCTATCCTATAGTCTGTCATGCTCTAGGCATACAACCACAGAGATCCATTGGGTTTATAGGAAGATCGGTCACTTTGGCTTTGGGAACCCCGCTAATTGAATCGCTCGGTGGCTCGGTATCGTTAATGGCAGTGTGTACTATTTTATCAGGAATCTGCGGTGTTTTGATTAATGAGCCACTTTTCAAGTTTTTCCGTGTAGCAAAAGAGGATTACTTGACTAGAGGAGTGACAATGGGTCTTAATTGTGGTGCTATTGCTACTGCTCATTTATTGAATATTGATCCAAGAGCCGCATCAACAAGTTCCTTGAGTTTTACTGTATTCGGTACAGTGATGATCATCATGGCTGCTATCGGCTCTATAAGACAATTGATTAATGAACTAGCGACACTATCTCCACTAGCGAGCTAGTGGGGTGACACTAGTGACACTATCGAGCAGAGCGAGATAGTGGAGCACAGTAACTTCCACCGACACTAGTGATACCATCGAGCAGAGTGAGAGAGTGGAGCACAGAACTGCCACCGACACTATTGAGCAGAGAGAGATAGTGGAGCACAGAACTGCCACCGACACTATTGAGCAGAGAGAGATAGTGGAGCACAGAACTGCCACCGACACTATTGAGCAGAGAGAGATAGTGGAGCACAGAACTGCCACCGACACTATTGAGCAGAGAGAGATAGTGGAGCACAGAACTGCCACCGACACTATTGAGCAGAGAGAGATAGTGGAGCACAGAACTGCCACCGACACCATCGACACTATCTAGCTTCGCTCGATAGTGTCGATGGTGATTGTTGTTGATTTTGATAAAACGCGTCTGTTACAAAAACAAAAAAAAATTTTCAACTCTTTGACACGGGGTTTGATACTACTGGTCCACTAGCTCGCTTCGGCTTCTAGTGTCGCTTTTAAATATACAATGGAGATAGACAAGAGCAGTAAAGTGATAGTACTACCCCGTCTATCACCAGAGAAGGATTTGATAGAATACAAAGTTGTAGACTTGCCTATAGCTACTCTTTCTCTGACGAAACCGTACCTTATTACTACTCAAGAGGTTTATGAATTAAACACAATCAAGGGGGATGATTCCAAAGTGAAATTATCCAATGGAGAAGCAGTAAAGTCAATAATCCTTGAACCTCAAGACCACGATATTCCTGGAGCAGTAATACAATCAGGTGATGTTATACTTGCCACCAAATTCAACATTGTATACCTTCTTATATCTATTTTCGATAGACATTTGTCGAAATTTCGAAATTTCAAAACACTAGAAGATATAAAGGATTCCCTTTCCAGTATTGTGGAGGAGTATAGTTGGATATACGATATCCCTGATACGGTATACTATCGAAGCTTACCTGTGATATGTGACCAAATAATAGAAGGTAATGATGAAAAATTTTACAAATATTCAAATGAAAAATCCATGAGTTGGGTGAATGACAAAATTGAAGCTATGCTGAAGTTTGTAAGAGAGGAAAAGGGAAATAGCATATTGAAAAGAATCAATATGGAATTGAACGATCCGACTAATATCGAAAGTAAGGTCGATACTGATGTTCTACAAAGTACTATAACGCGTTATTCAATTGATTTTATCTGTGATTCTTATTTGATACCTGATATAAAACCAAAATTGATTAACCAATTCAAATACGATTTTACAAAGATGGAAAAATATCTCTTAGGATTGAGTCAGAAGCGGAAAAATCTAGAAGCCGTTGAAGCAAATATGAGTGATGTCAATCGCATCACATCAAATACAAAATCAAATTCAAATTCAAATTCACGGAAACAAGCAATGGTCAAGAAAAAGGCCACGAATAAAGTCGCTGTAGGAAAAGGAGCGCTTGATGGGTTTTTCAAAAGAGCATAATCTCAGATATAAGGACAGCTTCTCTGCAAGAATACAAGGATAGCTTATCTGCAAGAATACAAGGATAGCTTCTCTACAAGAATACAAGGACAGCTTCTGTCTTTTCTCTTTTTTCCAACAAACAAATTATAAAGTATATACACGGTCAATAAAAGAAGAAAAACTTGGTGGTACTTTGTTATTCTTGGTTATTTTTGAGCCTGTTTCTTCTCTTGTTCATTCAAATTCTTATAAATTGATAATCCCAGGGCCATGAAACTTGAAATATCGCCAACATTAGAAGGCACAATCATTGTATTTGATTCCTTTGCCAATTTTCCAAACTCTTTTATGTACTCTTGAGCAATCTGCAAACTAATTGCCCTTTCTCCACCTTCAGTTTGCTTAATTGCCTCAGCAATGATTTTCAATCCCTTTGCTGTTGCTTCAGCTTTTAATTTAATTTGTTCAGCTTCACCCATTGCCAAATTGATCTTTTCGATTTTATTAGCTTCCGATTGCAATATAATGCCTTGTTTCTCACCTTCACTTTTGTTGATTTTACTTTGCCTGTTACCTTCTGATTCCAATATTTCTGCTCTTTTACTACGCTCAGCACTAACTTGTCGGTGCATAGCTTCCAATACTTGCTTTGGTGGATGAATATCTCTAATTTCATAACGAAGACATTCAACCCCCCAGTTATCGTTAGCTGCTTCATTGATCACCTTGTTAATATTGTTATTCAAATTGTGACGTTCTTTTAAAACCGAATCCAAAGTCATATTACCAATCTCCGACCTCATTGTAGTTTGTGCTAATTGAGATACAGCAAATTGGAAATCTTCAACACCATAGCTTGCCTTGTATGGATCTATCACCTTCACGTAAAGGACCCCGTCCAACTCGAGCGAGACGTTATCCGATGTAATGGCACTCTGCGTGGGAATCTCGATGGCCGTTTCCTTGAGGGACTGGACATAAGTGATCTTATCCAATATTGGTAAAAGAATAGCCAATCCTGGTGGTAAAATTCGATTGAACTTACCCATTCTCTCAACTATCCATGCTTGTTGCTGTGGCACAAACTTGATCACTGTATTTGAGGGAAGACTCTTATTCTGGAAGTAGTTTAGCGAAGCCGCTGGTGGTACAGATGGCCCTCCTCCTCCTCCTCCTCCTCCTCCTTGTGATGATAAAGAAGTGAAACCACGCTTAGCAAGCAAGCCAGTACCAGCAAGACGACCAATACTTGGCCTTTGTATTATAAACAAGCTCCTTAGCATATCAAACCCTCCTCTTTGAAGTAAAACAATGTATAATCGCAAAACCTCGTCACCTTTATCAGAGTGATGGCAATGAATCCAATGGTGATTTTTTTTTTCACCATTTTTTTTTTCTTTACGCAAAAATTGCATCGCAGAAAGCGCTGGAAGGGAAGTGTTTGCAGAGTGTGTTTGCAGAGAGTGTTTGCAGAGTGTGTTTGCAGAGAGTGTTTGCAGAGTGTGTTTGCAGAGAGTGTTTGCAGAGTGTGTTTGCAGAGAGTGTTTGCAGAGTGTGTTTGCAGAGTGTGTTTGCAGAGAGTGTTTGCAGAGAGTGTTTGCAGAGTGTGTTTGCAGTAGAGTGTTTGCAGAGAGTGTTTGAAGTAAAGCTGTTGAGTAAAGGTTTCCAAGTCATGTCGCGATCGGTAGAGTTAACCACCAATGAAAAGAACTTTCTTCATCAAGCACTAGAGAATAATCTTCGATTAAATGGACGTGGATTTAATGATTTTCGAAATTTGGATATTTACCTATCGCCTACAGAATATGGCTACGTAGAGGTGTCGTTGGGCAAGACCAAGATATCTGTACGAGTTTCAGCGGACATAGTCAAGCCATATGAGGACCGACCATTTGAAGGGATATTCATTATCAATTCCGAGATTTCTCCCATGGCAAGCTTGAAGTTTGATACTACAAGGGCACAACAACAAGACGAGATACTAATTTCTCGAATAATAGAGAAAAGTATACGTAGATCCAATGCTATAGATTTGGAGAATTTATGTATTGTTGCTGGTGAAAAATGCTGGGAAATTACTGCTGATTTGAATTTCTGGAATTATGATGGTAATATGATTGATTTGGGTTGTTTTGCTACAATGTTGGCGTTATCGCATTTCAAGAAACCCGATGTTTCGATTAATCAAGACCAAGGGATTATAATTCACGACATTGACGAACGACAACCTGTTGGGTTGAGTATTTTGCATATTCCTATTTGTTTAACATTTTCATTCTTCAATTTGAGTACAAAGGAAATGAACATCAAGGGGGAGACAAATGGACAAGGACAAGGAGGTTTACAAGGAGGAGGAGAAAATGAAACTGGCAGTTTTGAAATTTGTATACTTGATGCCGATGCCACCGAGGAGAATCTTCGAGATGGATCAATCACAATTACGTTGAATAAAAATAGAGAGATTTTGCAATTGAGCAAAAACGGTGGTGTGCCTATTGATGCTGATAGATTAATTGAATTGTGCTTTATATCTATGGAGAAAATCGATCATTTGACTGAGTTGATTAAACAAAAGATAAAACAACATGAGGAATGGAGGTACAATCGAGATAACTTTAAATTATTAGAATCTAGCGCAGCAAGATAAAAAGCTAGCTTCACTATCGAGCGGAGCGAGATAGTGGAATACACCAACTAGCTACTATCGAGAAACACTATTGACCAGAGCGAAATAGTGTTGTAACAAGCTACTGAGTATTGCTCCACTATCGAGAGACACTATCGAGCAACACTATCGAGCAGAGCGAGATAGTGTTATAACAAGCTGATCAATGTTGCTCCACTATCGAGAGACACTATCGAGCAAACACTATCTCGCTCTGCTCGATAGTGTTATAACAAGCTGATCAATGTTGCTCCACTATCTCGCTCCGCTCGACAGTGTCGCTCGATAGTGTTGCAACAAGTTACTAAGTATTGCTCCACCCTCTCGCTCTGCTCAATATCATCATAAACCGTTTTGCAATATTATTACTTGCCCATCTCTAATGATTCACTATAAAGGTACTTTTGAATGCAGAGTCTTGAACAGACACATTTCACAGGGGGTGTCATTTGATGTAAAAGTGAAATTTCAGACAGACAGATAAATAGACATGATATGCAGACAGTCGGACAGACAGACAGTTAATTATGTAAATAGACAGACAATCAATTAAACAGTTAGACGGACAAACAATAAGACAGATAGAGAGATTGTTGATCAGACAGACAGACGATTGAAGAAACCGAATTTTTTAATTCCTCGGGACAAAAACAATAAGGCACTACATCTCGGCATGCTATGTTAGCGAGCGAAGCGAGCTAGTGGAGCAGCAATGACTGCTACTGACACTGTCTCGCTCTGCTCCATAGTGATCTTTAGAAAAGTGTGTTCCATCTCCTCTTTTACATTACAATATTAAAATATCGATTAAAACCTATTATACAATATTATCATTATACTCATCATTAAATTCATCATTTGTCAGAATATCGGCATCTTCAGCAGCAACGTCAGCTTCAGCATTAATACTTCGGTCTGAACAAGAAGCATCATCACCCGAAGATACTTGGAAACATTCACTTGTAAACAATTCTTTATTAGAATCTTTATCTGCCACTACAACCAGATTATCTTGTGCTATCAATTTTTCCATCATTTCTATATCAAATGGAAGATTTGAGTCTTTACGACTGCGTCTCTTAATAGTTGGATTTTTCTTCAAATATTGCATTATATTTATGCCCTTCATTTTTGTTGTCTTTGATCCTGCTGTTTTTCGTCTTTTCTTCTTGTTATCTATAGTTCCTCCAAGTGATTCTTCAACATCGTTATCATCATCATCGTTATTGTTTTCGTTATCATTCTCGCCACCACTAACATCTCCTTGTTCTAAATTCTTTTCTATTGTTGTATTGGTCAACCCAGGTTCATTGAGCAATCTATACTGCCTCATTGTTTGGTTTGATTCTATAAATTTATCCAAATTGAAAAACCTCAATATTCCCGTTATGATCCACATAAAAAAGTTTGCAATTCTGCCAGTTAATTTCTTAAAAAACGCTGAAATGATAAATGAGTAAAATAAATATTCCAATGCCAATATGGCAAGTGCAATAAGAAAACCACCAATAATAGCCAAAACTAAATGATTAGCTAAACTTTTGATGAAATTTGCATCACTCATATGCCACGAAGACCCAGGAGCTATAGCGAAAAATGAATACTTGTATCCTTTATAATTTTCAGGCATAAGAATCCGAATTTTACCTGCTTCAGGTACACCCCATCTCTTGTATTGTTTCCAAATAACTGAAAGAAATAAAGGTCCCGTCGAAATCATAATTGTGATGTAAGGCACTAACCAACTTCGTTGGTATTTTTCCAATGATTCAATGACTTTCAAAAAGAAAGGGTGGTTAGGTACACTTCCCATAACATCATTTGAAATACCTGTTGGCATAGTTTTTCTAACAAATGCAGAAACTGTCAACAATGGATCTAGTCTTCGTTCGCACCCATCATCTAAATCAATGTATATTCCACCATAGTGATATAATGCAAAATACCGTATAGCATCAGCTCTTTGAATGTTATATCGGTAATTATCCCACGTCTTTAAAAACCAAGGAAACTCTTCACTGATAAACTCTCTAGCCATTTCGTCGGTCCAAAGAATATACTGATAACCCTCATGTAGATCGATGCAAGCTTGTTGGCCTGCTTTCCAAATTTCAGGAATCTTGTCTGACTTGTAAGTTTGATGAATGATTTTTGGGATCAATGCAGATTTATTTGCGAGGCCATCATTTTCTGGAGGATTTAATTCAAAGTCCATCAAGGCATCACTAAAAGTGTCGTCATGGAGTAGTGTTATCAAGTCAAAGGATAAGTAGATGAGGTATACTATTAGAGCGATATGGGCCCATAGTATATACTTCAATTCTTTCCTCATTTATGCGTAAAAGGAGGGGCAGGGGGGGAGGGATTTGTCAACTTAACGAGTTAGGAAGACGAGTTGGGCAAAAGCAGTCAAAATCAGTCAAAGTCGGCAAAGTCAGTCAAACTCGGCAAAAGTCAGTCAAATTCGGCTAAAGCAAAATCAGTCAAAATCGTCAAAATCAGCCAAAATCAGTCAAAATCGTCAAAATCGTCAAAATCAGTCAAAATCGTCAAAATCAGCCAAAATCGTCAAAAGTCAGCCAAGATCAGTCAAACAATACCAAATGAAACTCTGTAAAGCGAAATAATGAGTAATGAGCAAAAAATGGCTGTTCAATAAGAAAGCAAAACGAGCTTGAAAAAAAAAAAAAAACCAACCTTGATAGGAAACAGTTTTGATAGGAACAACCTCAAAAGCTAGTGTCTCAGCCTTGAATGTGTCAGCTTTTTGTCTTAGTGTCAGCTAGAAATAATTAGTTTATCTTGCTGTAACCAGCCTTTGTATCTACAAATCTCTCTTGTGGATCCTCTTTTGAATCCTCTTGTGGCAAAGATCAAATACGATTATTGAAATGCAAGTAACAGAACAAACAGTAAATAATTTATATACAAAAACAAAGTTTGATTTTTTTTTTTTATTTATTTATTTATTTCTTTCTTTCTTTCTTTCTTTTTTGTATAATGTCAACCGAGGCGCAGTCTGTAAAATGGTAGCAAGAAATAACCAGTGTCTGTCGTATCTACCTGACTTGTCTAAGAAATGGAGATGACAAGGATAATTTAAATGTAGTTGTGGTGTGATGGGGGGGAACGCATACATTATACAGAGTCGCATCAAGGGGTAAACGCTGTAAGGAGAAAAATACTGGGACGATGAGTCTTACATAATACTATGGTAAACAATAAGATGGTATTATGGTAAACAATTAGCTAATACAATGGCGATTTGTTACATAATACCTTATATAATACCATAAACAAAAAAAAAAAAAAAAAAAAAAAAAAAAAAAAATTTCGCTAAAGGAAATTTTTTTTTTTTNAAAAAAAAAAAAAAAAAAAAAAAAAAAAAAAAAAAAAAAAAAAAAAAAAAAGAAGATTTCGCTAAAGGCAATTTATCTTTGTTTGTATTTAAAATTTTGGGAATATGTCACAAAATATAACAACCAATCGCTCTTATTGTGGTAAAGGGTTATATAGATCTCGATGTATATGTCACACGGGTTTGGTGTTGGAGGAAAAAAAAAAAAAGGTTTTTGGAAACTTGTGGTTGTAAAGTTTAACATTGGCAAGACCGTGTCGTGACCATCATCGTCCAAAGGCTGGCTAATGGTCTTTAAATCATTTTTTTTTCTCTCTCTCACTTCTTCATGTACCCCTATTTCTTAAGTTAGGCTTACAACAATTTCACGACTGAAATTTAATTTAGAAACTAAGCATTCTGTTACCTATTATGGTGATGGTTGATTTTCTGGGTAACTGAAACTTTAACACGCGGGATTGCCATAAATTAAAGCTTTATTCTGTACTTTTTTCCATCTTGTTAATGAAAAGAGGTGGCAGAAAAATATTTTTATAAACCAATAAAAGGCGGGTAAGAAACAAAGAAATAAAGGCAGAGAGAAAGAGATAAAGGCAGAGAGAAAGAGATAAAGGCAGAGAACAAAAGATAAAGGAGAACAAAAGAGGTGGTGCAATTCAAGGTGGGGATACCTTAGTCTCTGTCTCAGCCTTGTCTCAAAAAGAGTAGAAATGGTAGAAAGAAGAAGTCGGTAATCCTCTTATCTGCAATGGTTTGAAATTCACATTTCTCTTTCTTTTTCTTTTTCTTCATTTCTCTTGTTCAATTTTTTTTTTTTTTAACTTTTAGAGGGTCAATAGTAAAACTCTTTTTGCCAAATACGCCAATTTTTCAATTTTCAGCTATAGTTTTTGCAATTTCAGAAACTTGGACAAATCTGTCATGTGTCTCACGTCATTACTCTATTGCTGATTTTTATTGTTGATTCTTCTTATTGGTTGCTACTGCTGGTTTCTCTTTTCTTTTTTTTTTTTCTTTTTTCGTAACGGTGGCAGTGTTGATAATAACACTACTATTGATGTATGTCGCTGCCTCTTTACAACCAATGATCTGACATGTCGTGAAAGAGAAAACGAGGCAACAATATGCAGTTAAGAGATATGCAATTAATTTGCATATGCCACTATCGAGTGGAGCCGAGATAGTGGAGCTTGATAGAGACGCATTTGTCACTATCGAGCAGAGCGAGATAGTGAAGCATACTAGCTTGATAGACTATCGAGCAGAGCGAGATAGTGGAGCACACTAGCTTGATGAACTATCGAGTAGAGCGAGATAGTGGAGCACACTAGCTTGATGAACTATCGAGTAGAGCGAGATAGTGGAGCACACTAGCTTGATGAACTATCGAGTAGAGCGAGATAGTGGAGCACACTAGCTTGATGAACTATCGAGTAGAGCGAGATAGTGGAGCACACTAGCTTGATGAACTATCGAGTAGAGCGAGATAGTGTTGTACAAGCTGGTTAGTGTTATTGGTCTTATTAGTACACTATCGAATTAGAAATATCGTAAAAGCTGCCCTGGTCCAATTACCATGGTAGAGACTAGACGAGTGAAGCGAGTAGAGACTAGACGAATAAAGCAAGTAGAGACAAGACTCGGAAGCGCGAGCAACGACAATAGCGGGGTGGTAGCGGCGGTGGTAGCGGTGGTGGTAGCGGCAGCCGCCGCTGCAATCGCAATAGTATTCCTCGGGATAACAAGAGTCAGAGTAGAGTAGAGACTAGACAAGTGAAACGAGTCTAGTTGAGAGTCAGAGTAGAGTAGAGACTAGACAAGTGAAACGAGTCTAGTTGAGAGTCAGAGTAGAGTAGAGACTAGACAAGTGAAACGAGTCTAGTTGAGAGTCAGAGTAGAGTAGAGACTAGACAAGTGAAACGAGTCTAGTTGAGAGTCAGAGTAGAGTAGAGACTAGACAAGTGAAACGAGTCTAGTTGAGAGTCAGAGTAGAGTAGAGACTAGACAAGTGAAACGAGTCTAGTTGAGAGTCAGAGTAGAGTGGTGTGGTGTGATGTGGTGTGGTGTGGTGTGGAGTAGAGTCGACCAGAACGAGATAGTAGAGCAGCACTAACTAGCTTCTACTATCGAGATTATCGAACAGAGCGAAATAGTGAAGCAGTACTAACTAGCATCTACTCAGCTCTACTCTACTCAGCTCTACTCTACTCAGCTCTACTCTACTCAGCTCTACTCTACTCAGCTCTACTCTTGTTATCCCGAGGAATACTATTGCGATTGCAGCCGCCGCCGCCGCCACTGCCGCCGCTCGCGCTCCTGAGTTTCTCTGCTTCCTTAATTTTTCCTCCTAACAAAATATTTCAAAAAAGAATCTAGCGCCTATTACACCCCAATACCCTCCTCCTCCTCCTTCTCCTCCTCCTACTCATTTTTTTGTATCCCCCCAGTTACTTCCAATATGACTAAACCTTTCTTATCAATAATAAAGCCACTGTCGTTTCGCACTTTGCTTCAATCGCAACCACAATCGCAATCTCCGCCCCAATCAAGCTCCACCTTAGAGCATAGGACTATACCTATAGATGCCACCTGGTTTATGCCCAATAGTCCACGCAATGCAGAACAAGAATACCAAACAGAACGTATTCCTCATGCACGGTTCTTCAATTTGGACAAATATTCTCGTGACTCGCCATATCCCCACATGTTACCTACGCAACAGATTGCAAAACAAGCATTCCAAGACTTATCAATAAGACCAAGTGACAATTTGGTGATATATGATAAAATCGGAAACTTTTCAAGTCCTCGAGCTGCATTCACTTTTAAACTATTTGGTCATCAACGTGTATACTTGTTGGATAATTACCTCAATTATAAAGCTTGTGATTATCCATTGGATTTGAATCCAGTTAATTTCAAATTGAGTAGTAGTGATGCAGAGGAGAATGAGTACCCGCTTCCCAGTGCTCATGAATTCGAAGAAACGTATGATCGAGAAGTCATTGAATATGAAGAATTGTGTAACTTGGTTGAAGATAATTGTATTGGAGACTATCTCATATTAGACGCTAGATCAAAAGAAAGATTTACAGGCGAAGCATCGGAACCAAGACCAGGCTTATCTTCGGGTCATATTCCCACAGCTAGAAATCTACCATTCACAAAATTTCTCAATCCTGAGCAGAATAATCAATTTCGTTCAAAGGAAGAAATTGAAACAATTTTAAAAGATGTGGTAGAGATTAATGATATAAACGAATTGACTACAAAGTACCCTGGCGGTATTATTGTCATGTGTGGAACTGGTGTCACTGCTTGTATTTTGAAACTAGCATTGGATAACGTATTGAAATTGCATGACGTGGTCAACGTGAGATTGTATGATGGATCTTGGACCGAATGGGCAATGAGAGCTCCTAAAGAGTTGATTGTCAAGGATGTGTAGATATTGATTTGAATAAAAATGATCTATATACATCGTGTAATGATATAAACTATTAGGACCTAACTTGAAACACAACTAACTCCTTTCTCTCTTCTCCTTCTCTCTCTTCTCCCTCTCTTTCTTCTCCCACTTCTTATATCTTCTTCCTCTCTTCACGATCTTCTTCCGGTATGGACAAATACTTGTACTGTTTCTTTGTAATATCATATAAATCATTCAACGCCGCATCATCAACAAACCAGCTAACTCTTCCCGCAGCACCTTCGTTAACTATCGAGCTAGGTAATCCCTTCTCTGGTCTTTCCATAATGATTTTTATAATTGGGGCTTTGGTTAACCCCTCAACTACAAACACAACTCTTGCGGCATGGCAGATTACAGGTATAGTCAATGTGATTCTATTTTCAGGACCCAGAGGTGCCTTCGATACAGGAATACACCAAGCCAATTTCTCTCTTAATGCCTCGCCTTGGTTTGGAAACAACGAAGCAATATGACCATCGGGTGCACATCCCAACAATAGTAAGTCAAACATGGGTAATTTAACAGAATCCTTTTTGGCGAAATTTTGAATCAATTGCTTTTCATAATCATCAGCTGCTTCCTGTGGATCATCGATTAAGGATTCATCAATATGAAAAATTCTTGGCAACTTATCTCCAGTGATTTGTGAAAAGATTTCTCGTTGTGCTTGTCCATAATTTGAGTCTGGAGATTCAAACGGTACTAATCTCTCATCTGCAAAGTAAATATCCCATTTGTCCCATTCGATATATTTTTGCCTTTTCAATAACCCTTGATTCAAGATTTTGATCAAGGACCCCCCACTAATAGCTATTTTAAAACGTATTTCTTGCTTCTTCATAATTTTTTTCTCCTTTTTCAACTTATTGGATTGTTGTAGCAAGTTTGTAGCTGATGGTGACGATAAGTTGATTCCGCTTTGACTATGACTATGGCTATGGCTATGGCTTGGACTATGACTTGGTGTGTTTGAATTCGAACCGCAACTTGCTGAATGACTCGATGCCAATGCCGTATTTCCATTATCGCCAAAACCGGTAGCGCCGCCGCCATTGGCTTGGTTCAATGCCAATGCCACTGATAACGAACTATTAGTCTTTGTCATGGTAGGGCGTTTCATTTGGCCCAGTTTTATCATATCCACTTGTTTTAGATCCGTTGTGTTGTATAGAGTTTGGTTTTGAGCCGATATGATCAAGTCAGCAACGGCATCAGCAACGCCCAAGAACTCGGGGAAAGAATAAATTAATGGTACAGTTGTAGTCATTTCAGGGACAAATTGTAATTGACAATATATTGGGGTAAGATTAATAGTGGGGTAAGATTAATGGTATATTGGGGTGAGATTGATGGTTTATTGGGGTAAGATTGATGGTTTATTGGGGTAATATAGATGGTATATTGGGGTAAGATCAATAGTATATTGGGGTAAGATAATCAATACTATGTTTGGGGGATAGGATTAATAGGGATGTGTGCGAGTCACTAGCTTCAAAAAATACCTGATAAAACTTTAGTCAGTGCCTGCTCCACTATCTCGCTCTGCTCGATAGTGTCGGATTTGCTCGATAGCGTCAAATTTACTCGATAGCGTCAAATTGAATCTTGAATCTTGAATCTTGAAAAACAAAATCCGAGCTATTCGAATATTTAGTGTGCAAAGTAAAAGTAATATACTTCTTCTTCTTCCTCTTCTTCTTCTTCTTCTTCTACTTCTTGTTCTTCTTCTTTTTTTTTTGTTGTTGTTCTGTTCTCAGTTAACAAAATTTAAAAAGAGAATCTTGCGTGATCGAAATGCCCAAAATGTGGTTGCTTATATCTTGGGATGAATAAAACAGTGAGTAATATTCAACTATCGAAATTAATTTCTATGTCGTGTTGAGTTAACCCTAACAAAGAAAGAAAAGGAAAGGAAAAAAAAAAAAAAAAATCGTCACCAGTTACACTACTAAGAAAATAATATAGTAGTAACTAAAATAAAATAAAATAAAGTAAAGTATGGAGGAATGACAAGGGCGAGGGAAAAAGAGTGGTTTCAAAGAGAAAGTGAACTCTCCTGGATTGTCCCAAGAGTTTTTTTTTTTTTTGGGGGGGGGGCGCATTTATGTATGTCTTATGCCAAGACGATCCATCTCAATAGATTGGGCTAATTGGAAAAAAGTGTTTTACAACACGAAAACAAAAGCAAGAAAGCAAGGAAAGGAAGAAGAAGAAGAAGAAGAAGAAGAAGAAGAAGAAGAAAAAAGACAATTTCATAGGTCACGTGATACTTTTGAGCAACTTTTTTACTACCAAGCAAAGTGAGTTTAGTGGGGTAACACTATCGACCAGAGCGAGATAGTGTTGTAAGTAGCTACTAAGCTACTAAGTGCTCCACTGCTGACGGGTTTGCAAAAGCAGCTTTGGAGGTCACCTCAGTTTCTCTTATTGACTACTTTTTATCTCAGTTTCTCTTATTCTCAATTGACCTCAGTTTGTCTTATTCTCACCCCCTTTTTTTACTCTTTTCTTATCAGTCAAATTCGAATTTTGTTTTGTCCTACAAAAGAATTAAACTATAATCAAAAAATTGGTGATTTTTTCCTGTCTAAAGCAATCTAAAATTTTCGTATCGTATTGGATGGAAATTTCAAACACCCCACATACAATCGATATAACCACTCCAGCCTAATGACACTAGCATCTATATAGTAATGTAACAACCTAATAACATAATAACATAATAACCTAACAACATAACAACCTAACAACATAATAACCTAACAATCCATACATTTTAAGTATATTAACAACCTTCTAACAACCTCTACATTTTATGTATACTAACCTTCTACTTAAAATATACTAACCTTTTACTTAAAATATGCTAACCTTTTACTTAAAATATGCTAACCTTCTACTTAAAGTATGCTAACCTTCTACTTAAAGTATGCTAACCTTCTACTTAAAGTATGCTAACTTTCTACTTAAAGTATGCTAACCTTCTACAGTTTAAACACTAACAACCTTCTACAACCTCTACATTTTAAATATCAACAACCTTCTACAACCTCTACATTTTAAATATTAACCTCCCATAGTTTAGATATCAACAATCTACATTTATAGTGTACTAACCTCTTACATTTTAAATATTAACCTCCTATAGTTTAGATATTAACAATCTACATTTAAAGTATACTAACCTCCTACAGTTTAATTATTAACCTCCTACATTTTGATTTTAACCTCCTACAGTTTAGATATTAGCAATCTACATTTAAAGTATACTAGCCTTCTACATTTGAAGTATAGAACGAAAAACACTATCTTGCTCCGCCCTATAGTGTCAGTTTTCATAATTAAATGTTGTTTTTTTTCTGTATACAATTTAAGGGGTAAGCTGGAAAAAGTGAGAGGGTGGAAGGGAGAGCTAAGATACAAGTATAGGTCCCTGGAGGGGAAGTATCATTCCCAAAGGAATGAGAAAATAAGAAATGATCGAGGAAAGTAGAATGACCTTGCCAATTGAATGCACACACTATGCGTTAGATAAAAATAAAAAAAAAGGTTGTTAAGTGATCCTTCTCACTCTTTATCCTTCACCATTTTTTCTCACCAAATTACACATTTTTAAAGAAAATCTTTTAAAACAAGCTTTAACTTGTGACATCCTTCTCTTTCGAGTCCACTTCAAATTATTCTCTTTCGAGTCCATCTCTTTCGAGTCCACTTCATCTTTCCCTTTTCTAACAAAAAAAAACAAAAAAAAGATAAGATAATGAAAGAAGATAAGCTTTTTCTTTATTTTGTTTTTCGTAATTACTCTAAAAAATGGACGACTCTTTCCTATAAACCTATCTTTGAGTTGTCATGTCAATATTGTTCTCACACTATCAATTGGCCAAATAGGTCTTGGTCATGCAATACAATAAAGACATAACAAGTACTAAAACGGACGAAGCGGACGAAGCGGACCCACTCGTCCATTCTCCACTATTGGATTAACTTGCTTCTATCAATGTTCTAGAAGCGCTACCAAAACCAGGTCAGCTCATTTGTCATTCGAAAACACACAAGCGGAGTTTTCTTTTATAGCAATTTAGATTCTTGAAGCATTTGGAAAGCGGGAAACCTTATTTTTAGTAAATATCAAAGTTTTTACTTCTTCTCGTTAAATATCAATTATTTCACGAGGATATTCTTTGGAATTTGGACAAGTGTAGCAATGTCAATAGACAATTATTTCCAATTAACATTTTATCTCGTATCGGAATATATCAAGCAAATCTACCCATCATCGGAAAGCTACAAAACAGTCGTAACGACAAATGAAGAGAAACTAAAGCAAGTTGAATTATACTACAATGATGAAAAGTTCCTTATATTAAGCTTTACTGCGATAAGTAAGGTACAATCATTAATAAACTTGTTGAATCTAGATGGTAGATTGGACAATGCATTGATTAACTGGGAATGGTTTTCCTTGGACGAGATAAAATTCCCAATTGAAAAAGGCCAGTTGCCGAAAGATTTAGTTGAAAAGTTTCAAAGAAAATTTAGAATGCTTGTTGATGACGAAAAGGTTAGTTCTATATTCAACGATACTCCTGGAGGAAAACAAAAGGAAAAAAGTCAATTGCAACTGGAACAACAACAACAGCTGCAACAACAGAAGGAGGAGAAACAGGAGACACAGAATTTCGGTCCAACTGTAGAAGAACACACTGATTCCGAGAGTGCTTACACCAAGTCCCCTTCGCCAGAAGAGCCATACATCCCACCACCGACTAGTAATCCGTCAATTGTTCCAAATGCTCATAAGCAACCAACATTTTCAAATGAGCAATTCAAGAGACCTCAAGATATGCCCGATTTTGAAGACGAATACCAGATAAAGGATGTAGCATCATCAGGTCGTCATGGGCCATTAGGTCAATCAACCAATTTGCCCCCTATAGGTTCGGATGATTTGAACCCACCTGGTGTACCTAAAAACCCAACACTCCAAGGATACTTGGACCCATTACAACAACAGCAGCAGCAACCAATGCATGGTGGGATGTATCCAGATTCGAGTCATCCAATATTTCATCCAGGTGGAAGCCATGGTACAAGTGGTAGAAAGGGTGTTCCTCCTGGCGCAAGGTATGACGAGCCTTATTCTGAGGACAATTTAGATGCTTTGGGACAAGGATTACCAGGTGCAATGGGGTTGAGAGGTCCCAATCCGGGAGGTCCAGGAGGTCCAGGAGGTCCAGGAGGTTTCGGACCAATGGGTGGTTTATAGAATGGGAATCTAAAACACCCCGTATCATCAAAAAAGGGATGAATATAAGCACATCATAATGATTGAAGAGATGATTATTAGTACATATTCAAAGTGGTGATGAGCTTGTAAAAGTAAGTGGTATGTTATCAGACATCAAGAAATAAAACTCAAATTCTTTAGTCTAGAACATTTATTCAATCTTTTGATATATTAAGATGCAATTGGATGGTTTTTAAATAAAAGTGTTTGCTGGTAACAAGTTACAAAGTGTAACACTATCGAGCAACACTATCGAGCAACACTATCGAGGTTGTGATAGCTCGTTGACTATCGAGCAGAGCGAGATAGTGTTGTAACAAGCTACTAGGTGTTGCTCGATAGTGCTGTAACAATCTACAAAGTGTTGCTCCACTATCTCGCTCTGCTCGATAGTGTCGCTCGATAGTGTTCCAACAAGCTACAAATTGTTGCTCCACTATCTCGCTCTGCTCGATAGTGTTGCTCGATATTGTCGCTCGATAGTGTCGCTCGATAGTGTAGTTGATGTCTATAAAATCAATTCATATTTATCAAGTATTGAAGGTTTTGCAATTTGCTACCTCAATGCAACAAATGGATGCAAAAAAAAATAAATAAAAAAAAGAAGTTGAGAAAATAAAAAAAAAATTGAGAAAATAAGAATTTTATTAATAAGGCTGTACCAACCAACAGCAAGATACTACTTTTCTTTAGGTTACAGGCAATCCAAAAACTAAATAATTCAACTAAAACAAGTCAAGAAATGAGATTATAATCTTCTTTTTTTCCTTTCTCTTATGAAATTATTTTATAATTGTTTCAACATTGTTTTATTTAATTGTTTCAATATTGTTCTATTTATAAATCTTGTGACAACAAGACAAATGTAAGCCTGGATGCCTAAATATAGTAACTGATGTAGATTTAGCATATCTGATATAGCACCGTTTAGACTACCATTAAGGATAATCATCCTTTCTAGTTGTTTTCAATTTATCTCTTTTGGGAAAAAGTACGGGTTTCATTTTTCATATGTCGCACGTATTTATAGTAACAGTGATGACTAGCTACGGAGCGTGTGATAGCTCGTCTCGCTGTGATAGCTCGTCTCGCTGTGATAGCTCGTCAGCGAGATAGTGGAGCAACACTTTGTAGCTTGTTACAGCACTATCGAGCGACACTATCGAGCAGAGCGACACTATCTCGCTCTGCTCGATAGTGGAGCAACACTTTGTAGCTTAATACAACACTATCTCGCTCTGCTCGATAGTGGAGCAACACTTTGTAGCTTGATACAACACTATCTCGCTCTGCTCGATAGTGTTGCTCGATAGTGTTCGATAGTTTCTATTTTCTCTTTTTTGCAATTTCAAGATTTTCAACTTTCCATTTTCAGTAACAAGAAAACAAGTTCAAGATGACAGACAAGTAAAAAATGATAGATGGGACAAGTCTGACAAAACTAGACTAGACAAGATATAAGCTAGTAAAAGGAAGGAAAGAAAACAAATCCAGCCTGTTTATTCCATTAGCCCTTACTGACACATTTATACATAGATATCAAAAAAAAATAAAACCAAACAAATATACTAGTAATAGAGTAAAACGTGTATAACAGGTAAATGGTAAATGCAATATAAATATATATATATAATTTACTCAAACTCTATTCCTCTGACAGGTTAATTGACATATATATAAAATCAACCAGCTGAAAACAATTTTGGTCAACTAAACCACAAACTATAGTGCCGCTTCACTATCTCGCTCTGCTCGCTAGTCAAGGAGATATATCTCCCATTCAATTAGGCTTCTATTTTAGTTATAAAATCCTCCATTTGTATATATATAAATTTTTTTCCACTAACTTCGCTAAAGTGAGAAACAAACAATTAAGTCTCTTCTCTTTTTGCCTTTTTCTTTTTTTTTTTCCAATACAATTTGGTTACATATTTTTCGAAGAACCTCCCCCCCCCATTGATTATGTGGTATGTGTGATTATGTGTGTTGTTGTGTGTTTGTGTGTGATGTTGTGTGTGACTCTGTTTCATTTTGAGCTTTTAGAGAGGTTTAGACCCCTCTTTTTATGCTAACATTTTTGGTATTCCTATTTTTTTTTAGTGGTATATTTGGATATGTTAATTTCTTGGTCGATAAGTCAAGAGGTGAAATTATTGACAATTTAATTGAGGGCTTACAAAGATTAGAGTACAGAGGCTATGATTCTGCTGGTTTGGCTGTTGATGGGAGTCTTGTTAAAAGCCAGGATGGCGAAGAGGAGTACATGGCTTCAATAATTGTCAAGACCCCAGGAAAAGTCAAGGTTTTAAAACAAAAACTCATCGATGACGAGATCGACCGTAGTGCGGTGTTTGACAACCATGTGGGTATCGCACATACAAGGTGGGCCACACACGGTCAACCAAAGACCGAGAATTGCCACCCTCACCGTTCAGACTCGTCAAAAGCCGAGTTTATTGTTGTTCACAATGGTATCATCACCAATTTTGCCGCTTTGAGAAAATATCTCGTGTCAAAAGGTCATCAGTTTGAAAGTGAAACTGATACCGAGTGTATTGCTAAGTTGTTCAAACATTTTTACGACTTGAATTTACAAGCTGGTGTTTCACCAGACTTTAATGAGTTGACTAAACAGGTTTTGCATGAATTAGAAGGCTCTTATGGTTTATTGGTTAAATCTTATCACTATCCAGGGGAAGTTTGTGGTACTAGAAAAGGGTCTCCTTTACTAGTAGGTGTCAAAACAGATCGTAAGTTGAAAGTTGACTTTGTTGATGTTGAATTTGAGACTACTGCTGCTGCGGTGGCGGCAGCCGCAGCCGCAGTTGCTCCTGTTGTCCAACAGCAGCAACTGCAACATAAGAATGGCCACTTGTCACCAACCTCTGCTGATTTGGGCTTTATTCCTGTGGTTCCAGGCGAACAAAATTTAAGAACTTCTCAATCAAGAGCATTTCTTTCCGAAGACGATTTGCCAATGCCAGTTGAATTCTTTTTGAGTTCTGATCCAGCATCGGTTGTTCAACATACAAAAAAGGTTTTATTTTTAGAAGATGACGATATTGCTCATATTTATGATGGTGAATTACACATTCATAGAGCTTCTACCAAGAGTGCGGGAGAATCAACAGTTCGTCCTATTCAAACTTTGGAACTTGAATTGAATGAAATAATGAAGGGTCCTTATAAGCACTTTATGCAAAAGGAAATCTTTGAACAACCAGACTCAACATTTAATACCATGAGAGGTAGAATTGATTTTGAGAATTGTGTTGTTACCTTGGGTGGGTTGAAGGCTTGGTTGCCTACTATAAGAAGATGCAGAAGAATAATCATGATTGCATGTGGTACATCGTATCATTCATGCTTGGCAACAAGGTCTATACTTGAAGAATTGACTGAAATCCCTGTTAGTGTCGAATTGGCAAGTGATTTCCTAGATAGAAGATCACCCGTGTTTAGAGACGATACGTGTGTTTTTGTTTCACAATCTGGTGAAACTGCTGATTCCATATTGGCATTGCAATATTGTTTGGAAAGAGGTGCTTTAACTGTGGGTATCGTCAACTCAGTTGGTTCTTCAATGTCCAGACAAACACACTGTGGTGTTCATATCAATGCAGGTCCTGAGATTGGAGTTGCATCAACAAAGGCATATACTTCACAATACATTGCCCTTGTGATGTTTGCTCTCTCCTTATCAAATGACTCGATATCAAAAGTCAAAAGACACGAAGAAATTATAAAAGGATTACAAAGGATTCCCGAACAGATTAAACAAGTACTCAATTTGGAATCCAAGATCAAACAGTTGTGCAATGATAATTTAAACGATCAAAAATCATTGTTATTATTGGGTAGAGGTTATCAATTTGCCACTGCGTTAGAAGGAGCCTTGAAAATCAAAGAGATTTCATATATGCATTCAGAGGGTGTACTTGCTGGTGAGTTGAAGCATGGGGTATTAGCTCTAGTCGATGATCAATTGCCAATAATTGCATTTGCTACCAGAGATTCCTTATTTCCAAAAACAATGTCTGCCATTGAACAAGTTACAGCAAGAGACGGAAGACCCATTGTTGTATGTAATGAAGGAGATGCAATCGTATCAAACGATAAAGTGCATACCACCTTGGAAGTACCTCAAACTGTTGATTGTTTACAGGGATTGTTGAATGTTATCCCAGTGCAATTGATCAGTTACTGGTTGGCTGTGAATAGAGGTATTGATGTTGACTTTCCTCGTAATTTGGCCAAATCCGTTACCGTTGAATAAACAAAATGGGAAATGGAAGTTGGACATTGGAAAGTGGAAAATGAGAAATGGAAAATGGAAAATGAGAAATGGAAAATGAGAAATGGAAAATGAGTTGCTACTTGGGAGAAAGAGGCAAGAGAACTTATCTTGTAGTGGCGAATATAATACAATTATTTAAAAGGAATATTTAGAAGGTTTCGACAAGGGGAAAAGACGAAAAGACGAAAAGACAAAAAGAACAAAAAAAAAAAAATAAAGAAGTAACTGATTCTCTTAAACACTCAATATCGCAATATACAAAACTATCCTGTAGTTCCACCACCTTCACCAGTAACAACAATGCTAATCACCACCAGCACCACCAGCACCACCACTTCATCAAACACACGCATCCGATTCATAAATGAGCTTTGATCTCTTTCTTTTTTTCTTTTTCTTTTTCTTTTTCTTTATTTTCTTGTAAAATACTGACTACTGCCCAAAAACGCAGCAGTGCTATCCAAAACCAGTTCACCTAATCCCAAATATTTCCCAAAATAGTTCCTTATCTCTTTATTTTCAATTTGATCTAAATTTGGAGTCACACCTGTAGACCGTTTCATACCAGCTAAAAAGCCACTAATAAGTACTAGATCGACTCCTATATGGGTCAACCTTCCGATCATTTTAATCATGCAATGAAAAATATCTATATACGTAGAGACTCTTTGTCAATTTACACTTTACTCTAAAGTTGTCTTATCTTGTAATAGTGGTGTTGAGTGGTATGTAACTAAGGAAAGGATTTTCTAGTCGTTAACTTCAATTATAGATTTGTGAGTCGTGCATAATAGTCAATTTGTTTTGCTCTCTTTTTTGAAAACGGGGGAAGGAAAAAAGAGTCAACGAAAAATACAATGGATGAAAAAACATCCACCTTTCTCATCTAAAAACTTTGCAGAGAAGAAGAGAAGAGGGATCTTAAGAAGTGGTAATGAGATTATGTGTTTGACGATATGTAGAATTTAGCATCACGTACCAGTTGAAAAAAAAAAGGAAAAACCAGACAGGAAAACGTATTATATGTATAGACATACACGAGTTGATTTTGAGAACAAGTGTTTGAGAACAAGTGTTCTCAAATAGAGAGGATGCAAATTGGCTGATTTTGAGAACAAGTGTTTGAGAACAAGTGTTCTCAAATAGAAAGGATGCAAATTGGTTGATTTTGAGATAATTTAATGAAGGCGAGGCCCCCATGTGAGTAACCAATCTTCTAGGGTCCTTATGTGAGTTTGTTTCGAAAGAGGAAAGTTTGGCTATCTGTGCAATGTGAGGTTTTGATTTGCTGCTTAGTTGAAGAAGAAGAAAAAAAAAAAAAGGATTAATCTGTGAGAGAGTGTGTGGGTGGGTGGGTTCAGGCGAGAGTACAATAATCCATTTTACGCATACAACCTCCCCCCCCCCCTACATTCCGCGTGTCGTTATCCGCCACCCGCGCCCCCATGCTTCTCCACTTCAGTTTCAAGTATGGATTGATTAGACATCTTTCTCTCACCAACTCTTCCTATATCGCTGTGGTGGAAATGCCGCTTGCTAAGTACACCTTGCTGTGGATATGCTTGTTGCTGGTGCTTTCTGGACATGGCTCATTGCTCATTGCTCATGGCTCATGGCTCCATAGCTCATTGTTGTTGGTTATGTTGTTTTTTTTCCCTTGCTCCTATTAGAGAGCGCTACCATGTGGCTGGCAATTTTGAAGTGAGCGGTTTTTCTTTGCTGGTTTTTTTTTTTTTTTTTTTTTTTTTTTTTTTTCAGCTGAAGCATTAGAAACACCGGAAGCTCCATCATTGATTTGAGGGAGTACGCACACGCACACAATTTGACTTTTTTGAGCTTTGTTAAGCAAGAAACAGAGCAGCACGGTTCACCAGTAAGCATTCTTGAAGGAAGTAGTTCGCCACCCGCCCCTTTTTTTAGCATTGATGTCCGATAGAAATAGACCTAGAGGTCCTAAGCAAGTGCATCCCTCAAGTTCTCGGGATTTTCAATCTAAAAGATCGTCGTCGTCATATATACCGCTGCGAGATGCCAAAAAACGGAACAATGAGAGATCGAGCTATATACCGTCTCAACCCCGAGGGAATCAGCAAAAACTGCAGCAAGTAGGGCGAGATGTGTATCGCCCAAGTAATAGAAAGGGACCACCCCCCAGTGGACCTAAAAGTCAACAACAACTGGAACCATTGCCACCGCCACTGCTGCTGTTACAGTCACAGTCACAGCCACAGCCGCTGCATCTGCTGCTGCTGCATCTGCTGCAATTCCGTTCAGGAACCAAGAGGCCATTGCCTTCAGGACCATCAAACCATAGAAAGCGAAGAGATTTGAATGAACAAAAATATTCTAAAACGCCTTTGGGAAGAAGTAAAAATTATCCTGCCAAAGGAAAGTATGAGTATGAGTATGAGTATGAGTATGAGTATGAGGAAGAGTATCAACAGCGTAATCTCTCTCCAAATCAAATATACTGTATAAAAATACCCAAGGGAGCTCAGGCGTATGAAAGAGTACAACAAGTTGGCGAAGGAACTTATGGCAAAGTATACAAAGCAAAGAATACCACCACTGGGGAATTTGTAGCAATGAAGAAGTTACGATTAGAGCTGGAAAGGGAAGGGTTCCCTATTACAGCAATTAGAGAGATTAAATTATTACAATCCTTTGATCACCCAAATATTGTTGGTTTACTTGAAATGATGATTGAACATAATCAAATCTATATGATTTTTGATTATTTGGACCACGATTTAACAGGATTGTTAACTCATCCCCAACTAAACTTGCAAGAATGTCATCGAAAATATATTTTCAAACAGTTGATGGAGGGATTGGATTACTTGCACAAGAAAAGAATAATACATCGGGATATCAAAGGTTCGAATATATTACTTGATCATATGGGGAATTTGAAGATTGCTGATTTCGGATTAGCTAGAACAATGCAAATTTCAAGTGAAGGAGAGAAAGCCGATTTTACAAATAGAGTCATTACGATTTGGTACCGACCACCTGAATTGTTACTTGGTGCAACCGATTATGGAAGAGAAGTAGATATATGGGGTGTTGGGTGTTTACTTGTTGAATTATATTCTAAAATGGCTGTTTTTCGAGGCATGGATGAGATTAGTCAATTAGCCAAGATTTTTAACATAATGGGAACACCAACCTTGGAGCAATGGCCCAAGATTGATAATTTACCCTGGTTTGAAATGTTAAAGCCAAAAATCAACATAGTATCGAAATTTGCTAAGAAGTATAAGGATATAATGACACCTGATTCGTTTAAACTAGCTGAGAAATTATTGGCTTTGAATCCTCTCGATAGGCCAGCTGCAGATGAAGCTTTAAGAGACGAGTTTTTCACAAATGAGCCCAAACCTGAACCATTGTTGTTTTTACAAGATTTGAAAGGTGAATGGCATGAATTTGAAACTAAAAAGAGAAGAAGAGAAGAAAGGAAGAGAGTTAAGGATGAAGAAGACGCCGAATTGGCTGTAAGTAGAAAGAAATTGAACGGAGAGGCTGGTTCTGAAAAGGTATCTCCTGATGCGGGTAGTACCGGTTTGAATTCGAGTAGGATATAAAAAGTACATAAGAAGTAGTTGCAAAAAAAAAAAAAAAAGAACTAAAGAAAAGGAGAAACAAAATAAAAATATAGAAGCTGCAAAAAAAGAAAAAAAAAATAGACAAGTTGAAAGATGGAAAATATCAAATATTAATATTTAATGATCAAATAGTAGTTGGGTTATTGCTCCTCCAATGTTGTATCAAATAGTCTTAGTTTCTATGATGGCCGCGTATAGTGTTAGTATAACGCTAGACACTTCTAAATACCTGCCTACACCACCTGAAAACGGTGATTTCGAAACACATATAACTTTACAAGATGAATTTCCATTCACATCAAGATTTACGCATGTTTATAATGGAGAAGTGATAGAATGCATGCAAGAGATAGAGCAATCATTTATAAAGAATCATAATTGCACTTCTCGGGAAGATGATATACAATGTCACTGTTTATTCATGAATTATGTTGATGAGAATTGCGTTGATGTTGGGTTGAAAAACGATGGATTATGGGAATTGGAAAAGGTGGAGTATCCCGAATGTCAAATTGGGGCGTGAGAGCGATGGCATAGATTAGCAGAGGGGAACATATAAGGTGAATGAATTAGACTAACACTATCGAGCAGAGCGGGATAGTATTGAGGCAAGCTGCTCCACTATCGAGCAGAGCGAGATAGTGTTGAGACAAGCTGCCACCACTAGCTGAAGTTGCTTGTATGATATGTGTGACACTTGGTAGCATCTTATATATTGAAGAAAGATTAGTTTCAAGAGCAACACTATCAGGCAGAGCGAGATAGTGTTGGGACAAGCTGCTCCACTATCGAGCAGAGCGAGATAGTGTTGTACAGGCGAGATAGTGTTGAGACAAGCTGCTCCACTATCTCGCTTTGCTTGATAGTGGGGCACACTAGCTGCCACCACTAGCTATAGATATACATAATTACTTATAGTACAGGATTACCTCTATAGTAGAGGATTACCTCTATAGTACAGGATTACTTTGTAGTACAGGATTACTTTGTAGTAGAGGATTACTTCTTTTCACAACATCAATAATACAGTTTCCATAATAGCTGAGCGAGCAACACTACCTTGCTCTGCTCGATAGTGTTGAGACAACCTGCTCCAGAAAGTAAAGTTATAGTATCATGTTGTCTCCTAGTCCAAGCCTTTTCTTGAATTCCATTCTTTTATATTTTTTTCTTGTTTGTTTACCTCAAATAACTCTCAATTCGTTACCTTTATTTCATTCCAGTTAAAGGGTTCAATATATATGTGTGTTGTTACATTGTCGAATTATTTTATGTCAAAAAACTAGAAAGACGGCTAAAGATACATAGGATATACGTTATGGTTATGAATTACCACATCAATAGTTAGCTACACATACGCACACACACACACACACGCCTCGTTCACTTTTCGCCTCCCTCTCTCTCTCTCTCCGCTCTCCCTCCCAGTTCCCCCTCTCCTTCTCTTTTTAGTGCGGGTACTAAACTTATAATGAGAGCAAACAGTTGAAACTTTCTCAGTTAAAACCCAACTAGTTTTTCCAGCCAAATTCCCTTAACCTCTCCCGCCCAATATCTTCTCACAACACAGCGAAAAACCTACCCATACTGAGAGTGCCTTTCCCTAGTTCTTTGTATTTTGTCATTTTTTTTTCACTTTTGCAACTCAACGTCAACCACATTAACTTACCCCAGGTATCAATTAAATTTTCAAACTAATTTCTTGCTTTCACCCCCAGCGACCTACCGCCCCCCCCTTTCCCCCTTCCTCCCTTCCTTAAGGTTCTTTTTTTTCCGATTCAATATAAAAATTTCACAACATATATTGTTACAATAATAGTAGCGGAAGAAATCTAGTCCCGCTTTTCTATTGCTTTCACTGCTGGTCCTCATCACTGCTGGTCCTCATCACTGCTGGTCCTTATCGCAACTGGTCCTTATCACTGCTGGCCCTTATCACTGCTGGCCCTCATCACTACTGGCCATCATCACTACTGGCCATCATCACAGCTGGCCCTCATAACTACTGGCCCTCATCACAGCTAGTCCTCATCACAGCTGGCTCTTGCATTCACTGCTAGCCCTTTAATTCACAGCTGGCCCACTAATCAGTGCTGCACCACTATCTCGCTCTGCTCGATAGTGTCGACTCATCTTTCATAGTTAGTGCTGCACCACTATCTCGCTCTGCTCGATAGCGTCGTTCTTGCTCAAAATGGGCTCATGTACTTCAAAGGACCCAGGTTCTAAAGAACCAACAACAAAGCATCATCGTAAGCCGACCCAAGTGAAACGACAGGAGCAAACACAAGCACTACAGAATCAACAAGAGAATATACAACAACAACAACAATCTCGACCTCAGCGTGGGAACATCACCTCTTCAAAACAACAACAACAACAACAACAACAATCAAGTGGCTCATCTACAGAAAATGAACAATCAAACTCATCAACGCTATATAAGAATCATATAGCTACAAATGACAAACAAACATCACCATCGAATCTACAACAACAACAGCATCATTGTCATTACCAAAACGAAAGCAGCAATGGCACTGTTGCCACTGTTGGTACAACCTCGACATTTGTATCACAGAATCCAGTAGACGCAGCAGCGAAATCAAACCCGCACCACGAAGTAAAAGTGTTGTTACTTGGTTCAGGAGAAAGCGGAAAATCCACCATTGTAAAGCAAATGAAAATATTGCATCAAAATGGATATACTCAAGAGGAACTATACGAGTATAGACCATTTGTATTTAAAAATGTCATCGATTGCATAAAGAATGTCATAAATGCAATTATCGATCTAGAACCAGATTTGATCAAACCAAAGTCTACTATAACGAGTTTAAATGAGTTGAATAATGGTACAGAATTGCAAGAACTGACAACTACAGGAACACCACCACCAGCAACAGCAGAATCAACTATACCTACAACACCAACGGCAACAGTGCCTGCAGCAGCAGCAACAACAACAACAACAACAACAACAACAGCAGCAGCAGCAGCAGCAGCAAATGCTACTACTACTGCCAAAAACAAACATGTGCTAGACTACGATTCCCTAAATGAAATACTAGATTACGAAATCTTACTAGATGGATCCAACGATGCAACATTTGATCCTTCAATAGCTGAGAAAATTGAAGAAGTTTACAATAAACCAGAAGTTAAAGATTTTATGATTCATAAACAAGGAGACTTTTATCTAATTGATTCAACGGATTATTTCCTTTCAAATGTGTCTAGAATCACCCAGCCAGAATATATACCTTCAACAACTGATATATTACGTACTAGAAAGAAAACAAGCGGTATATTTGATTTCGAGTTTGATATGGGCAGAGGATTGAATATCCATATGTATGACGTTGGTGGACAAAGATCAGAACGAAAAAAATGGATCCATTGCTTTGATAATGTCACACTCATTATATTTTGCGTGGCTTTGAGTGAATACGATCAAGTATTACTTGAAGAGAATAATCAAAACCGATTAGAAGAAAGTTTAGCGTTGTTTGATTCAGTAGTCAATTCCCGTTGGTTTGCAAGAACAAGCATTGTTTTATTTCTCAATAAAATTGATGTATTTGCGGAAAAATTGCAATACCTGCCCTTAGAAAGTCATTTCCCTGATTATACTGGTGGTAATAATATTAATAAGGCGGCAAAATATATTTTGTGGAGATTCAATCAAGTTAACAGATCAGGATTGAATATCTACCCTCATGTGACTCAAGCTACCGATACCTCAAATATACAATTGGTAATGGCTGCTGTGCAAGAGACAATTTTAGAAAATTCTTTGAAAGATACAGGATTGATTTGATATTGATTTACAAGAATTAAGACAAGAGAAATGAGGAAAGCAAAGCAATGGAGGAACGTTATAGCGAACTAAAACAAAAGTAGACAATACATGGGACTCTACACTTGTGTGTGTGTGTGTGTGTGTGTGTGTGTGTGTTTGTTTGTTTTTCAACCTTTGAATTACATTTACAAAAGTCACATACAAATAAGCATATGTGAAAAATACATAAAATATATTTATCATGAAGCAGGTTTTTTCTTTTTTTTTTGTAATTATTTTACTTTCGTGTTTTTTACAGTCTCATTCTGGTTTTGGTCGGATATATGATTTATTGTGATATTCTCCCCCTCTAGGCCCTCTTCCTCGGCCTCTAGATCTGCCTCTGAAAGATGAAGGATTTCGGGTACCAGTGTGTGCGCGTTCCTCGTTCCTTTGAACCTTTAGACCATTTTTCATATCAGCTTGTTTTTTTTCATCCAACTTTATAGGTTGAGCCTCGGCCTCTTTAGAGTTAGTTGGCTCTGATGATGATGAAGAAGAAGAAGAAGAGGAAGAAGGTGATGGTTTCGATGGTGCCTGTTGTAGTGGTGTGATCAATTCAGCTGATACTGCTCTGGCTTTATGTACAACCCCGTCTAGTGCAGATAAAGACGTTGATGGAATGGCAGGTGTAGAAGAAGCCAGAACTGATTGTCTTTGTCGTTGATATGTTCGAAATTTCCGCGGGATGTGCTGTTCAATATCTGCGTTTTCAGTCACTACTTCTTTAATTGGTAAATTGAACTCGTCTTCAAGTTTCCGTTCTGTTTTTGCTTGAACAGCCACTGGGTTGGCTATTTTTCTACTTGGCATGTCTGTCGTTGTTGCTGTTGCTGTTGCCGACGATGATGATGATGATGATGATGGTGGTGGTGGTTGTGGTTGTGATATACGGTGATCAGAAACTCCTGGTTTCTCATGAGTGGTGGCGCCGGCGGTATGTTGATAGTGATTGTTCCTGTTTTGTTTAGATCTCTGCACTAATTGATCCAAGTTTCTGAAATTTGGTCTGTTTTCTTCTTTCCTTCTTTGAGCAGCCATTGATTTTGGCACATTCAGAACAGCAGTTTGCTCTTTCTGTTGTTCCTCTGTTGGCAAATTCCGATGCCTCTCTTGAGGTATAGTATTACGTAAACTATTCGCCTGTTTCGACCATGGCCTTGATTTCTCTTGCCCCGGAGCTTGTTTGGCAAAACCTCTCTGTTCTCTTGCAACTCCCTGTTGCGGTTGAGCTTGCTCCAGCTCTTGTTTTATTCTTTTCTCCTTTACCTCTACTTTTTTCTCTTTTCCTTCTCTTCCTACTTTCCCTTCTTTTCCCTCATTTTTCTCTTTTCCCTCATTTTTCTCTTTTTCTTCATTTTCTTCTTCTTTTTGATCTTCTTGTTTCACGTGGCCAGATTCTTCAACAGCTAGGTTTATTTTTTGAAGTGGTGGTGAAATAACTGCCTTCTTCTTTAGAATTACTGGTTTCGCCACTGCTGTTTTAGGCGTAGAGCTTTTAGGCGTATTTTTCCCACTGGTTGGATTTGACCCCAAGTCAGATTTTTCACTCAACAATTGGGCAAGTGACTTTCCTGTTCCATTTGCAGCATATTCGTTCTTTGGTTGTGGAGTCTTACTCGATTGTGTGGATTGTACTGTCGATTCATTATTAATGTGGGGAGCTGTTTGTCCACGACTTGCCCCAAAATCGTGTGATGTTGAACTTTGTTGCTCTGGTGAGCCTTGCGAGCCTCTTCTCAAAATTGCAAATGACTGCTTCCTTTCTCCCGTAGACAGTCTCCTCGATGTAAAACTCTCTCTTCTCGTGTATGTTGACGCGCCATTTTCATGGAATTTCTTAATTGTATCCTCTACATTCACGTCTGAATTATCTCCTAATGTTTGCACCGTTGTTTTATTCAAATTGATCAATTTCTTTTCAATCTCGAGTTGTCTTGAAACTGTATCTACAGGCTTTGCAGCACCAAATGGATTAAACTTTGGTTTATGTGGCTGCAGTGGTACTTCGTGTCCAGTTACTGATGATGTTGCTGACTGTCCCAATACAGGTTGATTATATGATGGTTTGTGTGGCGGGAACGATGACTCAAAAGACTTGTTGCGTTGATGATGTTGCATAGAGGAAAAGTGCTTTTCTGGTGACCTTGGGTCACCAAACTCCCGTGAAGAATAGTTTTGCTGCTGTTGCTGCTGCTGCTGCTGCATGCGAGAATATTGAGGGAATCCAGTCCCATGATGTGTAGAGCCAGGGCCAGGGCCGCCACCAGCGCCAAAACCTCCTGCGCGACCCCCCCTTTGGTCCAAGGCATCCAATAAAGCCATGTGTCTTGGTTGTCTTTGTTGTTGCTTTTGAGATATAAATTCACGCTGTATGTGCTGTATCTCCTGTGCATGCTCTTTATTAAATTGAATACAACTTTGGAAATCATGAAAATCTGCATATTCCACAATTACTCGTCTGTTGCCCTTATAATATAGATCATGCCATTTCAACACCTTGGATATATCCTGAGAGGACTCTAGTTCGACAAATGCCACTTGTTTAATAACATGTGTTTCCAAAATATTCGATGATGGGTCTGTCAAGATTTTAAACTTGACAAATGGAGTGAATCTACTTTGAAATAGATCCTCGATGAATGCATCATTGGCCGTTACTGGCAAATTGAGCAATTTGACTATAAATGGAGGTCCAGAGCTTCCATTGCTTGGAATTGGCCCACTTCGTGAATATCCATCACTATAACCATACGATGTTTCAATGGGCACTGAAATCGATGCCATGTCCACATCTGTATCTGCCCAAGAACCACCAAATGCTAGAGAAACAAGGTCAGTATGATAACACAATAAAAAACAACAAAAGGAAACTTGTAGTTGTACATACATTCATCTTTGAAGAATTCTTGTAAACTCATCTTTTTAGGTGGAACTAATTCTTTGTTAGTAAAATGACAAACTCTCTCTCTCTCTCTAATACACTGGCATAGATAGGCGAGACATACCCATTTTGCAATCAATTATGATAAGTTCCCTGACTTTTAAACAAAATGCTTTGAGTCTAATGAAGCAGAGTTAGAAAGCTCTCTCTACAGAAATAATTGTGATTATAAATTATACTATTTGTATATTTTTATTTGTAGAACATTTTTTTTTCTTCTCTCTTTCTTTTTTTTTTTTTCCTGTTGAACATTTGGGCTTTACTTACCAGAACATTTGGGCTTTACTTGCCAGAGCTGAATACATAAAAGAACCAAGGCCATATTCTTTGTATAGAACCAAACATCTGCTAATAAAGCTTAGCTATCAATGTTATTGTTTCCTCTTCAAATTTTTTTTGAAGTTTTTTTTCCTATTAATACTTTATAAGTCTATGTAATTGTCATATGTACTTCTCCAATTTTTGAAAAACCCAGCAAAGAACTTTGTACCTAAACCAATATCCTTTGCTCCAAGGGTTGCTCGGATAGAATGCATTGATAATTGTGGAATACCAAGATCAATGGTTCTTACCCCCGTTTTAGAAGAGATTGATGGTCCAATTGTGCCTCCAGATCTGCTATCATTTCTAATATGGCTATATTGAAGCTTGTCGTTGTTCTGCCTGGCTAAATCTTCAAGTAAAGAAACACCAATTGAGTCGGTTGCCATGTGTCCGTTAGGATCAAAGGATATGCAAACTCCCTTATTTGGAACTGGTCTGTGATGTTCCAAATAGACATCGGGGTAATTGGGATTAAACAAGTGGTTGACGTCAGCTGATAAAATAATCGAATTGGCATATGCAAGTCTCAAATAATCTTGCTCGCCATCAGGATTGTAATAGTTGCTGGCTAAAACTCTTTCGACAACAAGCTCTAAAAGACCACCTCTAGCACCGGCTCTTGATAAACTACCAACTTCTTCGTTATCATACAAAGCAACAATTGAAAATGAATCGTTTTTAAGCAATTTTTCATTGCTAGCATCAATCAATGCATTCAAAGCTGCAAAAGAGCAAACCCTGTCATCCACTCTGGGTGCAAATACAAAGTCCTTATTGATGCCCCCTTTAGCACCTTTTTGAACATCATACAACTGCAAGTCCCACTGAGAAATCGCTTCAACTTCAACATTAGCAATCTTGGCAATATATCTCAATAATTTTAAGGGATGTTTCCCATACAAGGGCGCCTTCTTCTCAGCTTCTGTTGGTTTAGGATCTTCTTCTTGTGAAAATCCAATCACTGGCACTGCTCTAGTTTCCTTATTGGAAGAATCGCCACCTTCTACTCCAAAATGAGGCGCTAATGTTGGAATATGCGCAATTGGATTTGGTGTAGAGTCAACCAAGTGCTGAGTGATTTTTCCCTTTGAATCCTTAACCAACAATCTGCCACCAATACCCAAATCTCTATCCCACCAGAGATTGTTCAAAGTACCGGAATAAGGTGCAACTCCAAGTAATTCGTAGCCTTCAACTTTCTGTTTTGTCGAATTGGGCTTCAAAACAGTAGTGAGAGAATCTATGTGCGAACCAATAGCACCAAAACCTAGATCAGGGGACCAATCGCTGCCCACCACAAACGCAACAAGCGATGAGCCATTTCTGGTTGTGAAATATTTACCTGGCTCGATTTCCAGCCATGGTTTACTCTCAGAAATATAATTGAATCCATTCTTCTTTAATTGATCCTTGAAATGTTGTACAACGTGAAAAATCGTAGGATTTCTATACGTAAACTCAATATAGTCATCAGCAATCTTGTCAAAATACTCTGAGTTATACTTTGACTCTCTTTCCGACACAACTGGGTTCTCAACCATTGTATACGATTTATCGATTTTTGAAATATTCAGTTCCTGAAGCTTGTTTAAGGATTCTGAGATACCTGCGACAATATCTTCTATTGTAAAAGTCGCCATCTTTATCTTAAAAGTACAAGAAAGTAAGAAGAAAAAGAAGATGCCAATGAAGGAACAGAAAAGCTTGTAAGAAGAAGCTAAAATGAACAAAAAAGACACCCTTTATTAATCGATTTGGCCTTTAATTTTGAAAAACTGTGGGTTTTTTTTTAAATGCTTCAGCGCGGAATTGTGAAACGTTCACTATAGTTACCGTTAGAGGGTGGGGGCGGGGGCGGGGCGAAAACGGGAACGGGAACGGGAACGGAATTTAAAGCAAAGAAAGTAATAAAAAAAGGGTAACAAAAATGGCTGGAAGGGCAAAAACTGTGGGCAAATATCTGGTGCCGCTTGAGTAAGGGTTCAATTGCGTGAAGTCATTAAACGCATACTAATTGGGATATAGTGCAAACTAATTGGGATATAGCAAGGTCTTGATTAGAAACATATAGCAAAAAAACCAAGTGCTTGACTATCATCAATATCACGACCATAAAAAATTTGTAGTAGGAAAAAGGAGTATTTGATTATTGTTTTGGGTGCAAAACAATAATCAAGAAATACAGAAAAGCCCATATAGTGTCGCTAGTTGCTGGTATGCTCCATCTCGCTTCGCTCGATAGTGTCGCTCGATAGTGTCGCTCGATAGTGTCACATGCATTGATCAAGTAAAGAGATATATATTGTGTATATACATTTTATTTTAGTTGCTATGTTATGGCCTTTCACTAGCGAAAGTTGCAGCAACAATCAATGGGAACACTAAACTTACATCTGCATAAACTTTCACCGATTGAGCATCGACCTTGATCTTACCCCAGCTAATAGCCTCATCGGGTCTAGCACCGGCATCTGATCCGTCAAACTCTTGTCCCGTATTAATATATACTGCATAATCTGCGCCGTTTCTCATTAAACATGCATTACAAATATGATGTTTTATTAACCCACCTCCTAAAATAATCATTCCTGCTCTTGAAGCAGCCATAGCCATTGAATTGATTTTTCTGATGTCAGCAACTATATCTAATCGAAGTTGTTGCGGAGATGACTTGAACGTGTGAAAGAATAGCATGTCTCCTATAGAACCATCCGTTAAAGCTGGACAAAATATAGGTATCTTGTTTTTATGAGCCCAGTACAAAACTGAGCTTTCATCGTTGATTTCTTTGCCTAGTCTATCAATAAGCTTTGATGGTGTCAAGATTGCACTTGAATTTGCATCCAATGCATTGGCTCCTTCTTGGGCAAGAGCTTCTTGTTGTTCCTGTAACAATTTATTGAAAATTGGAATGATCCACTCTTCAAACTTACAGTAGTTATCATTGGGTACCAACAAGTTGCCTATCCGGTTCATTCCTTGGTCTCTTAGTCCTTTACCTGGTAATGTAAAATCTCCCATGTACGTAGGTGCTAGGACTTTGATCAAATCTTCCTCTATCCCACCTGCAGTAGCTACTATAGCACTTACCATCTTATGTTGTACCAAATAGCGTAACGTGTCTCTTAGGCCACTCGAGATCAAATTCGAAGTATATCCCATAAATATAGTGGTTTTTTGCCTTCCCGAGTCATCAAACTCTCCAATTTGCTCATGCTCTTGCAATTCAGACTTGTGTTTCCCCCTCCAGCTTCTCATTTGGTCTATTATGTTACATGCCTGTGATAATGAACTTGCTTGGAACCCCATCTTAGACATGGACGATATCAAATCTTTAGCTGACATATTGTATGCATTGTCTTGTGAGTAGTCTATTCCCTTCACTTCAACGAAATCTTCAGGTACCGGTACAGAATGTTTCAAAACAGCATCTGACGCCAAATTTGGAAGTTGACCCGTCTCACTCATAACGTTTAGGCCACGGTGTTTTCTCTTAAAAGTCCTAGTATGTAAAGCCCAAGGATAGAAAGCCAAAGATAGAAAGCCAAAGATAGAAAGCCCAAGGATATAAAGCCAAAGATAAAAAGCCGACTGAAAAATTTATCGCGATGAGAATAAAAATTGCAGTGCATCTCCGAATCTCCAGTGACGATCTCCTTCTTCTCGCACGACAAAATTAACTACCTACTATCTACCCAATCGATATACCGATTTAGCTGGAAAAATCAAGAGAAACTTGTAAGCCTACAAATTCAAAGTCAAGGGTAAAGGTATCCTTTGGTAAAAAAAAAGAGGACTCATTTCCCCCCACTGTTTTAGCTGTACTAACAGTCTTGATATATATGTAGATATGGACTGCGAAAACTAATAAAAACCCTCAGACGAAACGCAAAGCTTTTACAACATGACCCTTAGGCATTCTCTCAAACATTACCCTTAGGCATTCTCTTCAACATGACCCTTAGGCATTCTCTTCAACATGACCCTAAGGCATTCTCTTCAAAAGTAAAGACTGCACAATTGAAGATTATCTCTTTATTTCTTTCTTCTCTCTCTCATGCTAGCTATACTCTCTCAGTCACTTGTGGACTCCAGCTCTTAAACTTAGGTTTGGCAGTGTTATAGCAAACATAGGCACCGGGAGAATTTGTGAAATTGGGCTTGTGTTTTGCAGGTAAGGGATAAGCTCGAATAGTCTTTTGGTCTTCTTGCAAGGCATTAGGTGGAGTATTATTACCGTATCCCAACCAATAATGCCAACCAGGCTCGACTTGTGAGATATCTGGATGCCAGCTACTATATTCCACCCATCTCGTACGTAAATGTATTTCTTCTGGGGCGTCAGTTTCATAAAATTTGTTACCAAAATCATCGGTACCAACTAACCTACCGCTCTTCACATCATTGTGCACTTGTAGTTGCCATGCCGCTCTTTTCAAGCCTGACTTGTAGATATTTTTCACAAAACGAACTATCGACGTAGACATTGTGCAAATGTAAAACCTGCTACGTTTCTGTTGTTGTATAAAGTAATCTCCCTTAGATAAAGAGTTTGTTGAGAGGTAGGAGTAATGGAGAAATTATTTTTGTCTGATTGGTTACGTGCAATGCGCAACAGAAATACTTTGCGTTGAAAATTTCACTATCGAGTAGAGCGAGATAGTGTCAGTGGCAGCTAGTCAGTGGCAGCTAGTCAGTGTTGCTTCACTATCGTGCAACACTATCGAGTATAGCTCCAGTATCTCGCTCTACTCAGTAGCTTGTTACTTGTGATAGAGCGAGACGAGCTATCACAACGAGCTATCACAACCTCGATAGTGTTTGGAACTTTTCTTTTATTTACAATATGTTGTTAATGACACTATAAAGTTTGATAATGTTTCACTCCCCCCTTCTGAATTTGGGTAATTACTGTTTTTCAACTGTGATACCTACGAAATATTTATGCTTACCTTTTCCAACTTTCAACTTGTAATTTTGTGAAATTAACAACAAGTCATCTCTATAAACAGATAAAATCTTTCCTAATTCACTAGCATTATTCCCCAACTCTTTGCTTGCTTGACTCATATCATCCAACCAATTTAAAAGTAGAGTATTTTCAACAAAGTCAATTTTGTTGCGTTTAACGTAACTTATTGAGCTTGAAATTCCCTTCTCAACCATTTGTAAATTGCTCTTTATTCCAGCTAACAATTCAAAACATTTCATTAAAGTGGCACGATTGTTTGGTTCTGGCTTTGTAAGCAAAAGCGCTTGTTTGTAACTATTATATGAAGGAAACAGAGGAACACCAATCGTTGACCATGGTTTCATCCTCAAGTAGTACAAGTGCTCCATTGACGTCAAGTTGTTTGGTGGTCCTTTTGAAAAATCAACAAGCTTTAGTTTAGCCAATACAATGCAGTACTTGGCATAGCAGTTGATGAATAACTGTATAGTGTGATAAAACCCTACTAAATAATCCTGGTAGTTGAGCGTGTGGAGTAGCTTTGGTACTACCACTTCATTATTATACTTGTTTTGCAACTTCAACATCTCCTTCTTTGGTCCATTCTTCAATTTTTTTAACTTTTTAGGAATCTTGACTTCAATCTCGTCAATCTTGCTCAATATGATACTCTTAATTCTCGTTTGTAAGTGGTCCAATAAATATCTCAATAAAAGTTCTCCATACCAGTAAATCAAATATAATTCAAATGGCTTATATAGTTCAAGCTCAATTCCAGCCATCAATAATTCAAACATCAATTCCATCTTTTGGAAATAAATGAATGAAGTAACACTTATTGCCGGCTCTCCATTTTTCTCGTTTAATTGATCTCCAATTTGGAAGTTTCTAACCATTTCTATTTCAAACGATTCCCATCCAACTTGTAAAGTATCCCACACAACTAGGTCCCGGGACATTATTTGTTGGGTTCTACATGGATTGATCCCATATAAGCATATATTATTGTACATTGCTTTTTCCAATTCATGCAAGTATGATACATGTTGTTCCATAACTTCCGTTTTCACTGCATCTTTTAATTGTGCCACTTGATTTCCGAGATCATGGAGTAGTATAGTTTTGTAACCAACAAGATTCTCAATTGTGTCTACGACGAGTACAGATATATCGACTGATGGAGACCCAAAGATACTTTTATCGTCACGAATTAGGAAAAACTGAAATAAAGCTCTAGCAAAAACGGAAAAGTGGCGACTCGGTTGTCTGATGTTATATTGTAAATAATCTTGTAGCTGGTTGATTGTTTTTACTTTGATAGCTTGTATGACAAAATTGTGAATGGTTGTAAACATGGAGCTCAAATAAGTGCAAGCATGTGAAACATCAACTGGCGCCACGTCATATGGGATGTATTGATTTGACATATCTGTTTGTATGAATTGGGAAAATACACCCTTGGGAATACTTGCGGTGTTGTATTCAAATTCTTTGATAGACTCTATATTTGAAAGTGCTTCATTACAAAACTCTAGATATGGTGTGGGTATATTGTCTTTTGAAGATGTTGTGTCTTCTTCTTCTTCTCCTCCTCCTCCTTTCCCTTCTTGCTCGTGCTGTTTTAAAAAGGGTAGTTTCAAATTTGGTACATCAATTTCAAACATGTTCAAATTTTGTACTATTCTCAATTGACTAATCAAAACGTTGCAATTTTCAATTTTGTTAACTGAAATCCATTCTATCACTTTATTTATCTCATCTATAGCAGCTTGGGGTGTAGTAACCAGAATGAAATTCAAATCCATACTTCTTGACATTATATCTTCTTCGTCGTATAAAAACATTGAAGCCAAATGAAGGACAAACCCAACAAATCGGCATAACCCCTTGATAAAGCTTTTGAGTACTTTGTGAACTAGCCAATAATTGGTATTCTTTTCAAATTCGCGAAATTTGAGTCGTTGATCTCGAAAAAGACTAATATGTGTGGGCAAACTATATTGGTTTTGATTATTTTCCAATAATGTTTGGACATAACGACAGCTAAGAACTGTTACTGGTAAGCTGTTACTTTCCAACCAATTCACCAACTGCGATAGCAAGCTGCTTTGAATATTAATGATGGTTTCAACCGGTTGAGGTTCCAGACAATCAAACGATATTTCATCTTGATCAAATTGGATGATTCCAGTGTCTAATTTGACATTTAGAACTTCCAAAGCACGAGTTCCTTCTAACAATTGGAATAAATCCGATTTTAATACTTTATTATCTTGAATGCCGACTAACGATGCAAAAACCTCCTTTGTAACGTCAATTAGATCCTGCTCCTCCACCTCTTGATGCTCGTCAGTATGGTCATTATCATTTTCACAAAGGCTTAGTTTTTCTAAAATAGACTTGAAATGTTAGTAAAAACAAATAAAACACTACCCGGGTTTCTAAACGGCAAAAAGAAACTAGTGCATACCCATAGAAAGTGTACTCATAGAGAGTATCAATCTTTTATAACTACTTCTACAATCTAATGTTAATAGATGCAAAAGAATAAAAAAAAAAATAAATAAATAAATTGAAAATTTTCAACCAAGGGTAGAAAACCACCAGGCAGGCAACACTATCGAGCAGAGCGAGATAGTGTTGTAACAAGCTAGTAATACTATTAACACTATCGAGCAGAGCGAGATAGTGTTGTAACAAGCTAGTAACACTATTAACACTATCGAGCAGAGCGAGATAGTGTTGTAACAAGCTACAAAGTATACAGACACTATCTCACTCTGCTTGAATTTTTACTACAAATTGAGCCCAAAAAGAGTAGAGTGCAAACCATTTCTGAAAAGGATCCTTTCTCTAATAGAAATGAACAATAGTTTTTTCTCACTCTGATTGATACTCTATAGAGAGACCAAAAACAATCAGCAAGATGATGTTTGCACCAATATTATGAGTATGCTCCACTATCTCGCTTTGCTCGATAGTCCTTTCTAACCAAATTCATTTACTGATATTACAGATAATTTAGATAACTTATTGAGCTATATGAGATGAGATTGTTATGCGCGCGCGGCTACGCTAACAATTCATAACTGGTCAACGTGCGACACTATCGACACTATCGACACTATCGAGCAGAGCGAGATAGTGGAGCACACTAGCTGCCACCAACACTTTGTAGCTTGTTACAACACTACCGAGCGGAGCGAGATAGTGGAGCACACTAGCTGCCACCAACACTTTGTAGCTTGTTTCAACACTACCGAGCGGAGCGAGATAATGAAGCAACATTTGTAGCCTGTTACAACACTACCGAGCGGAGCGAGATAAAGTTATATCTTGCTCTGCTCGATAGAGTTATATCTTGCTCTGCTCGATAGAGTTATATCTTGCTCTGCTCGATAGAGTTATATCTTGCTCTGCTCGATAGAGTTATATCTTGCTCTGCTCGATAGAGTTATATCTTGCTCTGCTCGATAGAGTTATACCTCGCTCTGCTCGATAGAGTTATATCTTGCTCTGCTCGATAGAGTTATATCTTGCTTCGCTCCCTAGTGTCACTAGTCAGCGTCTTAAATCAATACTGCTTCACTATCTCGCTTCGCTCGATAGTGGATCAGGGTCATACATCATCTATATTTATGTTTTTCTTTTTCACTGAATATGGCGCAAAATTATTTTCATTTATATAAACTGCAATTATATAAAAGATTGATAAATATCAGAGATATATACAAGTTAATCATAGACTGTTATTTACCTCTCAAATTTACTATTCAGCTACTGATTTTGGGTTCGACACTATCGACACTATCGAGCAACACTATCGAGCGACACTATCGAGCAGAGCGAGATAATGGAGCACACTAGCTGCCGCCAATAGTTTGTAGCTTGTTACAACACCATCTCGCTCTGCTCGATAGTGTTCTATCTCGCTCTGCTCGATAGTGTTCTATCTCGCTCTGCTCGATAGTGTTCTATCTCGCTCTGCTCGATAGTGTTCTATCTCGCTCTGCTCGATAGTGTTCTATCTCGCTCTGCTCGATAGTGTTCTATCTCGCTCTGCTCGATAGTGTTGTCTACAGAATTACTATCGATTCTATTTTCTTGGCTATAAACATTCTCATTGAAATTGATGCAATACTATGTTTTGCTCCACTATCGACTAGAACACTATCGAGAAAAGCGAGATAGTGTTGTAACAAGCTACAAAGTGTTGCTTCACTATCGACCAAAGCGAAATAGTGTCGCTGCTGGATAGCAGTCAATGCTATTTTATCTCGCTTCGCTCGAGAGTGTCAGTGGCAGTCTCTGCTAGGTGCTCCACTATCTCGCTCTGCTCAACAGTGTCGCTCGATAGTGTCGCTCAGTGTGGGTGTCATTTTTTCTCTTGAAAAAATGACACCTCTTCTACCTCATCTTACCATTTGTCTGATTACTAATACTCCCAATATCAATCTACTCATTCACTATGTACCAATAAAGCAAGTAAGATATCTCTTATACTTTGCTAGCTCCTTCTCTATTATAAACTCTACTACCAGGTTCTATTGAAGTCTGTGTGAGATTACACGACCACGTTGCTGAAAAACAAAGACGCCCCACGAGAAACAAAACTGGGCCCCCGCCACACAAATTAAAGGTGCTTCATCCCCCCCCCCCCTCCGCCCCCGTGTTAATAATAGCTCACTTAAAATCGATTTTTCTAGCGAGCAAAACTCGATAGAAGTAGAAGAAGAAAAAAGAAGAGCTTTATTTAGTTCAGTGTTGAAGGCTTTCTCCCTAGTTGAAAAGAAAGAAAAGGTCATATTGTTATATAAAGAAGGGTCAGTCATATTGTTCTTGAAAAGAAGGGTCAGTCATATTGTTATATAAAGAAGGGTCAGTCATATTATTATCATATTAAACTATTACTTTTCAGGTTTCAGTTACTAGTTTCACAGGTTTCGCAAAAGGGGACCAATTAGAGATATACCTTTGAGTTGTTATACCCCCCACACACACTTACGGGTCGACGGTAATGGGGTAACGAGGTCGACGGTAATGGGGTAACGAGGTCGACGGGTTGCTCCATTCCGAATGACCGATATTAAACGTAATTATTCCCATGCTTTAGCATCTCCTTCAGAGGAGGTCGAAGAAGACCTTGTTGACTCCAAAAAGTTCCATACAAAACCAGGAAGAAAACCTATTGACACCGAGCCCAAATCAAAAAGAACGGCTCAGAATAGAGCTGCACAAAGAGCTTATAGAGAAAGAAAGGAACGCAAAATGAAGGATTTGGAAGACAGAGTCAAAATGTTGGAGGACGAAAACGTAAAAGCAACTACAGAAACTGATTTCTTACATGCTCAAGTGAATATATTGAAGAATGAATTGGCAAAGTATAGAGGAACAACCGATTTTCTGGATTTAGAACTACCCCAGACAGTGGGGCATCTAACCCATCCACAATCAAACAAAGAATACTTTTCACATCATCATCATCACCACCACAACCACAACCACAACCAAAAACAAAATTCAGACGCTATCATTGATTCTACTTCTACTGATACAGCAAAAGAAGCTACGTCCAATGCTCCACCTACTGAAAGTAAGTCGACTCAATCTTCTGTTTCTGGACAGTCTCCTCAATTTTCTGTTTCCGGAAAGTCTCCACAGTCTTCTCGATTTTCATTTGGAGCTCCCTGGTCAAAAGATAATTTGAATTTTTTGAAGCAGCAGCAAGGACAAAGACAAAAACAAGGGCAAGGGCAGAGAAACGACTCCAGTACAACAAGACCTATAGACAACGGAGTTGACGGTCCATGTCCAGATTTGGTTTCCGGTTCATCAACATCAACTACACCACTCGACGACAATATTTTGGTATCTCCTGATTCAATCCCTTCAAGTAGTAACATTACTTCCAAAAATAGTAATTTGGAATTTGCCCACAATTTCGAAGAACAAATAGACCCATTCTGTAGCAAATTGAACGAAGCATGTGGCACTAAAGCCAATCCTATACCGAAACAAAGACGCACAATGAGTGGTGGTGTTGGTAATAAGAATACCACTGCAGCAATTGCTAATTCGAAATCAACCTCAATTTCAGATATAACACATTTCAATTCACCTTTTTCAAATGTCTCGCCAAATAACCAAAACTATACCTCAGTTTCTGACCAGGTGAACCACGATCTCACAAGTGATATATTCTTCAATAACCTTTCTGATCCAAGTACAGATTTCAATTTCAATTTGATTGACAATAAACACGGAGGGTTTGAATTATCAGATCCTTTAAGTTTTCTCAATGACAATAATTTCGATGCGTCTTTAGCATTCCAGGAAAGTGTGACCAGTTTGCCCTATAAAGAACAAGAAGTGGATCCAATATCGTTGCTTACTACAGAAGACTCAGTTTATGACTTTACTAATACTAACAACGGAGCAGTATTGGATACATCAGAAATAAATACAAACTTTAGCTTTAATGACTTTATTAAGAATTCATTGCCAGAAAAAAGAGAATCGGATAATAAAACATCATCAACAACAACAAGAACAGCAGCAGCGGCAACCTTAACGAAGGTGGGGAAGGATGAGGAAGAATATAGAGAAGAAGAAGAAGAAGAAGAAGAAGAAGAAGATGATGATGAGAACGATGTTGTACCTGCACCTCAAGAAACCATGAAATGCAGCGAAATATGGGATAGAATAACGGCACATCCAAGATATACTGAACTTGATATTGATGGATTGTGTGCCGAGTTGAAAAGTAAAGCTAAATGTTCAGAAAAAGGTGTCGTTATCAATACATCAGATGTTAATGAATTGTTAAGCCGAACTGCTAAGTAGTAAGTCGTAGTTCAAGATTTTTGGGTGGTTAAAGAGATTTAATGTTATATACGTGCTTTTGTTTTCTTTTTGATATGATCTTTTCTATCTTTTTTTTTTTTTGGTTTCATAGAAAAGGGGGTTCGGTACAAGAAAATACCACTTTACTTTGTATGACTAAAAACTAGAACTCGCTTTTCAATCAAAAATCACATCTGAATCTGAATCCGAATCTGAAACTGAACCAACATTTGTATTTGTATTTGTGTTTGTGTTTGAATTTGAATCTGAATCTGAATTTGAATTTGAATTTGAATCTGAATCTGAATTTGAATCTGAATTTGAGGCTGAATTTGAGGCTGAATTTGAGACTGAAAGTGATTCATTGTCAAGCGACTCTGTTCTTTTTCTAGATTCCAGAGAAGTCGACTCTGCTGCTTTGACCAAAGAACTTAGCTCATTGACATTGTCCTTGTCTGTTTCATTTGAACCTTTATCATTATTCTCATAATGAATGTTCTCAACTTCTTCAATACTTTTATCTGTTTTCATTTCCACATGCAAATCATCTAGTTGCATCGACTTGTCCTCAAATTCTTTTGTGATATTATTACTAGTCACTTTAAAATTTGTTTCCTGTAACAAAACTTGCTCTTCATGATCTTGCCTCACTATTTCATTCTCTTTTCCTGGTTCATCTTTGATCAACACTTTGTTCGGCACAACTTCTTCATCACCAATGGTCTTATTATTAACAGAAACACTTCTAGACTTGAGTCTATTGGTATCGTCATCATCTCCCTCTCCCTCTCCCTCTCTCTCATCTCCCTCCTCCTCTTCCTTTAACTCAGCTCTCACTAATGCATCTTCTACAGTTTTTTGAAAGTTGGATAAATTTTTCAAAGTAAATCTATCTAACTGATAGTCGATATTATTCTTCTCAGTATCCAAGAGATCTTGAACTTTTTCAATTTCCGCAATTAGTTTCTTGATCACATCAGCTTCAACTTGAGGGGCTATTGAAATCTTGCAAACATTAAAAATCATTGCACGTCGATAGTCCCTCGTTAAACTTTCTTGATCAAATACTTCCAATATACGAATGGCTTGCCATATTTGACTTGCTTCTTTCTCCATTTGTTCAGAGTTTAATTGAACAAGATTTCGAGGGTCGCCCCATGCAAGTATTTGAGGTAATATTTTAGCTGGTTGAAAGCGTTGTTGCAGCTCGGCAGCTTGGAGCAACAACGCACCAGATATTTGGGATAATCCCATTTGATGCTGCGGGTGGGAATAACAATAGACCGGTATGCAAAATGCCAATATTTGTCTCAACTCATGGTTCGTAGAAGTAGCAGGATTGAAATATGTCAATAGTAAAGCAATGAAAATTTCTCTTTCAGGACTGTTTTCCTCTTCCTTTGCCGCCACTTCTTCTGAATTCTCTTCTTCACTGAGGTTTATATTGATACTAAAAATATCAGCCAAAAACATCTTGATCAAACCCTCACCAACCATGGCCTGTAACTTCTGCGAGTCACTTTTGAGTAATCTGTAAAACAACTTAATGATTGAAAACCGACCGCTGGTATCTAAAATATCACTTCCATAGATTGATAGTATATCAATCACTCCCACAACAGCAACTACCTGAACTCGTTCACCAAAGGATTTTATTGTTCGAAAAAAGGTTGCCAATGCATCTTTTGCAATCGTTTCATCAATAAGTGCAAATAAACCCAAACACTTTAAGCCCGCTATGTATATCGAAAAGTTCTCGGATCTGCTCAATGCATGATTTACTATACCAGAATAGATTGAATTTAAAGACAAATAGTGCTCAAGACCATTCTCTACTAGCTCCAATACATGTCTTGTCATATTCAAACAGCGCAAGACAGTCTCATCGTCAGGCATTGTAGGTTTGACTTTACGTTTCTTTTTATTTCCTTGTTGTTTTTCATCGTTGTCCAATTCCATACCAAGGTCATCATCATCATCATCATCATCATCATCATCATCATCATCATCATCATCGTCATCATCACTTTCATCGTCATCATCACTTTCATCGTTATCATCATCGTCATCGCTGTCACCACTTGCAATTTTTTCATCAGAATTACCACTGACTTTGCCCGTTCCTTCATCTACAGTTGCATCTCTAATATCAGTTATAATCTCAACCGTCATACTGACAAAGTCTTTCTCGTTAATTGAGATTTTCTTCAATACCTTTAGGCAATTGATAATTATATCATCTTCAAGCAATTTCTCATATAATTGAGATCTAATAACATTTAACATGGCACGACGACCAATCTCATCACTAAAATCAAAATCCACGCATATCAATAGTAACTGATTTACTAGAAAATCGGAATCTCTTTGGGTCTCGATACATTTTTCAAATTCCGGATCTGACTCAACCTCTTCAATCATCTGCATTCTCTCCTTGTCCAATGTGTACAAAGCTTGCTGAAGTTCTTCAAGCCTATGCTCAATACTTTGTTTTGTCTCGAGAATCTGTTGCAAATTGTCATCTGACTCCCCTTGGTCCATAGCATTATTTCTTTGCCTTATAAAAAAACGGTGATTGAGACTTTCCAATTCCTTTTTTGATCTTGTAATATTGTTTTCAATGTTAAATACATTATCATCTAGAGTTTTCATATTTCTAATTAGTTGCTCCTTCTTCATACTCTGTTCGTCGCCCATCAGAAACACATCTTTTCGCACGGCTAAATATTTCTTGAGAATATCTGACAACTCCAAAGCATCAGGGAAATTTGCTTCTATCAAGTTATAAAGCTTATTTCGGTTACAATGGTTGTAAAAAGCTCTCAATAAAAAGGACTTGTTTACATCCAAGGCTTTCCAAAAGGCCTTATCTGCTTTGAAATTGTGTACTATTTCAGGTCGTTCTGTGAACAATACAGATATCGCCTTCTCTGCTATTGAGCTTTCTGTGACATTCAAATATTCTAAAAATTCAATCAAGTTTTCTTCACAAGAGTCGAACCATGTACGGCATAAAAGTTTACTTGCAGCTTTAAAAACGGTTTCGTCTCTATCATTTAACCCCCACTTTAAAAGAAACTCCCGATGTCTAAATCTCATGTTTTTCATACTTCCAATTTCAGGAGTGATTTTGGAATAAACAATCCTTCTGTTGATACTATTCAAATCTCGAACTCTTTCCCATAAATAAGGAATAGTCTGTACACTTTTCTCTAGATTCAACATTGCAGTACGTCTCACTTCGGCACTTTCATCGTAACATAATGAATTGATTAACAAACGACTCAAAGATTTACTATTTTCTTCCTCCTCCTCCTCCTCCTCTTTTTCTTGTTCTAATTCGTTATCCAAATCAAAATTTTGGAAATTGGATAGCGCTAATACCGCTTGCATCCTAATGGGTATCTCCCTATCCTTTAGCCTTGTTGATAGCGATATGAATAATGCTTTAAATGTTTGTTCGTCAATTTCGCCCATGTATTTTGTGAGTAGCGCAAGAAGCTGAACCACTCTATATCGCACCAGTTTGTCAGCGGCTTCTATACCGCGTAGTAGATGTTTAATTAGATAAGCTGTAAAATCGGCAACGGGCACCTGAGGCAACAAATCGTTTTTCATCTTCTTCTTTGCCTCTTCAGTCTCATCAATACCAGTACCAGTACCAGTACCAATACCAATAAATCTCACGAAATGGGCAACAAACTTGGCAACGCGATCGGCATTAGGTTCACCCTTTTTAAACTTTAGCGAATGGTTCAACAACTGGGTAAACCGCATAGCGAAATAATCGTCTAGACTCATCTCAATTGCTCGACAAAAGAGACTCTTCATTATAATCAATAGTTTCCGATGCGCATATGTTGTAAACTGACAATCATTGAATACGTGTGTCATTCCCATATCCAACTCTTTGGAGCTAGATATCTGTCGGATCGACTCTAATGTTGGTTTTGGCAGCAAACGACTCATGATAAGCTCAATCTAAGGACTCTATCTCTTTTCCTATTCCAAATGACGCGTCAACCTATAGCAACACCACCATAAAAGAAGCTCAAAACTCACTTTAAGGAACCTTTATCAACTATTAATGATCAATGGTTAATCAATAATCAATCTGGTCCTCTTTTAATTTTTTTTTTTTCGGTTGATTTTGATTATGTAAGAGATGATGTAAGCATTAAGGGAAAACGGTGGAGCCGTTGATGGAGGAGCCGTAGATGGAAGGAGCCGTAGATGGAAGGAGGTGTTGATGGAAGGAGCCGTAGATGGAAGGAGCCGTAGATGGAAGGAGGTGTTGATGGAGGAGCCGTAGATGGAAGGAGCCGTAGATGGAAGGAGGTGTTGATGGAGAAGGCCTTGATTGAATAGCAATAGGTTGGCTTCTTGATCTAGAGGATGTAGTTGATTTGACACTATCGAGCAACACTATCGAGCGAAGCGAAATAGTGTTGTAACAAGCTAGTAACACTATTGACACTATCGACACTATCGAGCGAAGCGAGATAGTGGAGCACCATTGATTAGTGTCTTAGACAGAGACTTGGACGTAGAGACTGAGATAGTGGTGCCCCACTCTCGAGCGAAGCGAGATCGATAGTGTCACTAATCAGTGGTGCTCCACTATCGAGCAAAGCGAAATCGATAGTGTCACCAATCAGTGGTGCTCCACTATCTCGCTTCACTTCTCAGTCTAAAACACTATCTCGCTTCGCTCGATAGTGTTGAGTGCCTTCGACTGAGCCTTTAACATCTATTTATAAATAATCTTTGAGACTAGTTTTTATACTCAATATGTATAAAACTAAATATCTAATAATACTAATAGTTCAATATGTATCACTGCTCGATAGTGTCGCTGAAAAGCCCCTCAATGTCTAGTTCATTGTTATTTATCTAACTTGAGACTAATAGACTGTTTTGTCAACACTATCGGGCAACACTATCGAGCAACACTATCGAGCAATACTATCGAGCGAAGCGAGATAGTGTTGATGAAAGCGAGATAGCGTTTATGAGAGCTAGTAACACTATTGAGCAGAGCGAGATAGCGGTTATGAGAGCTAGTCAGTGTTGTACAAGTTAGTCAGTGTAACAAGCTAGTCAGTGTTTTTACAAGCTAGTCAGTATTTTAGCAAGCTAGTAACACTATTGACCAGAGCGAGATAGTGTTGTACAAGCTAGTCAGTGTTGATGAGAGCTAGCCAGTGTTTCAATAAGATAGTCAGTGTTTCAACAAGCTACTAAGTGTTGTTCCACTATCTCCCTCTGCTCGATGGTGGAGCACACTGACTACACCGATGCTATTGAGGATGGATTCATTATTAGTAGAGATTGCAAGAAAAATATTATTCTTTTCAGTGTCGATGCCAGATACAAAGGGTAGCTCCACTATTGAATAACACTATCGAAAAACACTATCGAAAAACACTATCGAGCAAAGTGAGATAGTGTTGTAATAAGATACTGCATGTTGCTTCACCATCTCGCTCTCCTCGATAGTGTCGTGACAAGCTACTGCATGTTGCTCCCCTATCTCGCTTTGCTCGATAGTGGAGATGGCGTCAATGACAGCTAGTGTGCTCTACTATCTCGCTTTGCTCGATAGTGGAGATAGTAATGTTACTGATGCAAAAATATCCTTTTCACAATGATTGATGCCCATATCTTAAGGGGCATTCAAATTCTCACACACTACATCTTTGGTGGTCTTGATATGACAAGCTACTGAATGTTGCTCCACTATCTCGCTTCGGTCGATAGTGTCGGTCGATAGTGTCGGTCGATAGTGTCGGTGACAGTTAGTGTGCTCCACTATCTCGCTTCGCTCGATAGTGTCGCTCGATAGTGTCGTTGTTTCAGAATAGATGTTTAAAACAATGCAAATGAAACCAAACATAATCATCTCGAAATAACACGCAACTTAAATACCTTTTTTTCCAAGATTCTTAACCTTTCTCNTTCTTGTCCCCCCCCCCCCCCTCTTCATCTCTCGTCACGCCCTTTACTTCCTTTTCTTTTTCCGCTTCTCACTTTTCTTTCTTTCTTTGTTTGTTTTAAAGGAAATAAAAATCGAACAATGGATTCACACATATGCAAAAGATGAATACACCACAAACTAATGATTCTTTTTTAAAATGGGATACAGCTCGAGTGGCCACCTATTTCAACTCATTAGTCCACGGAGGCGGAGTTGACAAAAGTATAAGCTCGGCATTTCTAGATAACAACATCGATGGGTCTCTTTTAGCTTTCATTACTACTGAACATTTGAAAGAAATTGGCATTCAATCATTGAAAACGAGACTTGTTATCAAGAAAGGCATTACTGACTTAATCGCCAACCACTATCAGAACCACCCGCCTCAAACAATTTTTGACCCCGAATATATATTGAGTAATGTTAATATTAGTAACAACCATGTCACAATCGAATCCTTGAAACTAACAACGGTATTGATTCGTGATGCCTTACGAAAATTACACAACAAGGACCTAAAGGACCAAAATGCACACATTGACTCCCCCGTTTCGCCAACACAAAGTGAAATAAAGAGACTCAATGATAATTTCGTCAAGTTGAAAACTGACTTGATTCCAATAATCAGATTGTTAAAGGACTCAAAACCTTTACCAACACCAACCCTAGACCCCGGCCCAACTGCCTCGTCTCCGTCCTACTCAACCTACTTACATGATCACGATGTTTACGAGAAACTGGTGCCCAAGACAGATAATATTTCGAGCCGTATAACAACGGAAGGAGGAGCAGGAGCAGGAGGAGCAGGAGGAGGAGCACTAGAGATAGGCGCGACAACGGCGCCAGCAACAACAAACACTACAACAACAATAACAACAACAACAATACCTAGTCCTGCTTCAAACAGATTTTCATCAGGCACTCTTTTGTCCATGGGAACAGGTAAAATAGTTTCTCAGTCTATACCCAAGTTTTCGGATCCAAAGAGCTCATCTGAGTTTAAATTGCAAAAGGTGGGTATACCGAAAAGCGCAATCAATAGAAATATCGAGTCTGCGCTGGCTCTTGCTAATTTGAGGCCAAAATTAAATGAGAACCCTTCTTCAAATTCAACCATAACAGTTGAAACAATAAACAAAAACTTGGGCTCTACCGTTGGACCAATGAAAATGCAGACACTTCAGACACTTCAGAACAAATTACAGCCTGGAACTACAACCCCCGGTAACAATATCACTTCAGTGGTTACACCTCTATCCCAAAGCAACATTACTAGTACTGCTGCTACTGCTGCTGCTACTACTACTACTGCTGCTGCTGCTGCTAATGCTACTACCACCAACATAAATACAAATGCCAACAACGCCAACATTAACAACAACACACTTCCAGCGCAAAAGAGCCATGAGCAAACAGCAAATGAACCGCTAAAACAATTGCGAGCGTCTACAGATGATTCTTGTTTGAAGATTCTACAACAAGCGATGAAGCGCCATCACATTCCTCGAGACGACTGGTCGAGATACGTGCTTGTAATCTGCTACGGTGACAAAGAGCGAATCTTGAAGTTGGCTGAAAAGCCTGTGGTTATCTTTAAAGAATTACAAGAATTGGGACGACATCCAGCTATCATGTTGCGGCAATTGGCTGAGGACCTTCCCGTTGAGACACGTGAAAGTTCTCTCTACGAAGATTCAAGGCTTGCGGTTGAAATCCCCGGAGGTACTTTGTAAAAAAAAAAAACCCCCACACCAAAGTTCTTATTAAAGAGACGATTCTAATTAAAACTAGTACAGTATATAGATTAATTAATATGCTATAGAATTGTTATTACAATTTACAAATTAGTAGTCGCACTCTGGTCCATAGGCAAATCACGTGTCAGTTTAGCATCTAGGTCTAAGCCCTCTTCCTTATTTTTGAAAAATTCATCTTTTTGTATTGCGATGATGCTCAAGACTGAAAAAAAAAACCCAATGGGTACAGAAAAATTAAAAAACTTCCTATAAAGAAACCTTTTCCCCCCCCCCTTCCCGTTACGTTCAACCCTATAGACGGACTAAAAATATAAAATCAAGACAAGCCATGCCTCCAAAATTCGACCCAACAGAAGTTAAATTTCTTTACTTGAGAGCCGTAGGTGGTGAAGTTGGTGCTTCGTCAGCATTGGCACCAAAGATTGGTCCATTAGGGTTGTCACCAAAAAAGGTTGGTGAAGATATTGCCAAGGCTACTAAAGATTTCAAAGGTATTAAAGTTACCGTGCAATTAAGGATTCAAAACAGACAAGCTACCGCATCAGTTGTTCCATCAGCCTCTTCATTAGTCATCACTGCATTAAAAGAGCCAGTAAGAGACAGGAAAAAGGAAAAGAATGTTAAACACTCAGGTAACATTCCATTAGACGAAATCTTTGAGATTGCTAGAAAGATGCAAGAAAAATCATTTGGTAAGAATTTGGCTTCCGTGACTAAAGAAATCTTGGGTACTGCCCAATCTGTGGGATGCCGTGTTGATGGTAAAAACCCACACGATATCATTGACGCTATAAATGCTGGAGAAATTGATGTACCTGCAAACTAGAAGAAGAAGAGAAAAAATTGAACTGAATTGAATTGGGTTTTTTTTATTTTACTTTGTACAGATTTCTTTGTTTTTCTTTTCAAAGTGTTTTAATAGGGTTTAATTGATATTTAACGATTTTGTGATAAAAAAAGCATTGAGGTTTGGGGGCTTGTGGATTAAGTGAATGGGAATGTGAGTTTTTTACAAGGAAATGTTTGCCAACACTCTGGTGCCAAATCATATATCTGGTTGTTTTTTTTGTATTCAATTTATCATTAAAATTCAGATTATGCCATATTTGGTTCCTATTTTGGTGCAAACTAAATTGATTATATTGAGCTGATTACTCACCATTGTATCACAAATAATTTACTCCATGGGTATGATTGGTCCATTTTCAATAGCTCACATTTGGGATAGTCTTTAAAGAAGGGAAAAATTTTTCCCGTAAAACTCATTTCACGTTAGTTTACCAAGCCTCCTCTTAATCCTCCTTCTTAAGAGTCTTTACTTTCATGCTAATTTATTATCGAGCAGAGCGAGATAGTCAATATAAAGTGTTGCCCCACTCTCGACACTATTGACTATCGAGCAGAGCGAGATAGTCAATAGTATGGCTACAAAGTATTACTCCACTCTCTCGTTTTGCTCACTAGCAATGACACTATTTCGCTCTGCTCGATAGTGTTGATAGTATGGCTACAAAGTGTTGCTCCACTCTCTCGTTTTGCTCACTAGCTATGAGACTCTCTCGTTTTGCTTACTAGCTATGACACTGTCACTAGTCAATGATGCCCCACTATCTCGCTTCACTCGATAGTCCTCACATGCGCGCGCTCTCGCGAGCTTTTCTTTTTTCTGTTGACTTTTTCTTTATGATTTTATTCGCCATGTATAATAGCCTTGAAAACTTTATCAACATTAGTTATTCTGTTTGATAAAAAGGGTAAAGAGTGAAAGGGACCCCATGTCGGACAGTATTGGTATGTGAAAGAAGTTCGATATTTGAGACTTCACTAGGTATGAAAATTTTCAAGACTCTTTTTTGCTAACCTGCTACAATATATATGTTTAGATCGTGTCTTTTTAAAAGCTATCTCCACTATTAGGGCTTTATCATCTCGTTCAAATTACGGGTCTTTGCCTCGTCCGCCAGCTGAGAATAGAATCAAGTTGTATGGTTTGTATAAGCAAGCGACAGAGGGCGATGTTAAGGGTATAATGTTACGTCCTGTTGGCTTCACTCCTGAGGATGAAGGTGCTAAGAAGAAGTGGGATGCATGGAAACGCGAAGAGGGCTTACCCAAAACCGAGGCTAAAAAGAAGTATATTGCGTTTTTGATTGAAACAATGAGAGTGTATGCCAGCGGCACACATGAAGCACGAGAGTTGTTGAATGAATTGGAATATCTATGGGAACAAATTAAAGATTTACCGATATCGGATGAAGAAAATGATTATCACATGAATTTGCCCTCAAGATCTCCGCTGTTTAGCCAGGCAGATAGATTCTCTAATAGAACACCTAGTATTGGTGGAAGAGGTGGTGGTGGTGGTGGTGGTGCCGCTTCTACGTTGAGCAACATCTACTCACATACGCGGAGGAACACGACTTTATCTTTAAATGACTATGTCCAACAGCAGAGATTGCAGCATCAGTCACAACTCGCTGCAGGCTTTGAAACAGGTTCCCAGACTGCAGGATTCAGTGGTGGCCTTGGTGGTGGTGGTGGTGGTCCAGGCTCAATCTCATCTATGCCAGTCAGAGCTGGCTCGAACATCAATACTACTTCTAATAATAATGGTGGTAATCATAATAAGAATATTATTGAAGATTTCAAAAACTGGCAAAGTGACGTTAATGCTATAATAAACAAACTTACTAGAGAATTTATAAGTAGCCGAAGGGAAAACCAATCTTTGTCTCATGGCGAAAACGATGATAACGAATCTGTATTATCCTTGGATGAAATTGAAATTACTAAACGGAGGATTGTTCGAATTTTGAAGGTGGTGGGTATCAACATATTGAAATTCTTCAAAAATTTCGCTGTGAGCTTAATTGCTATATTATTTCTTGTCTGGTGTATTAAGAAAAACGTTGTTGTTAAAAACACAATAGTCAAACACGCCAATAGCAATGGTAAAGAAAAGAAGGAGCTTATAATTAATATGGTATTGAATACAGATGAGAATAAGTGGTTTATCAGATTGTTAAATTTTATAAATAGTTTTGTTGGGTTTGTATAGGGGAGGGAGGAGTTGTTGTTTTTTCTTTTTTTAGTTTTACGCTTTAACAAACACTTTTTGGCTAGTTTTGGATCCCAAGGTGTGTCACTGAATAAAAGGTGGATAACTTATTTATTGACAAGCCATTACCTACAAAAAAGCATTTGGTCCCATTTTCAACACTAACAGAAAATAAGCTCTTGTTAACTCTTTGGGGACGCAAATTAGTCATAAATTAGATATAAGCATGAGACCATTCTTACGTCAAGAACAGTCCCTAAACCATTAGTGAATAGGACTAATCCTAGTCCTATTCACCATTTACTTCTAATGTGAAAATGTTGATCACGTGCAGGGAAGTTTTTTTTTTTTTTTTTTTTTTTTTATATACCGGAGATCTTTTGAGATGAGATGAGATGAGATGAGATGGAATTGAAATTGTGAGAATATATATATCTCAAAGAGACGATCCTATTGTTAGTACAATTGACTAGTAGAGCTTGATATGAAGATTCACCGCTGTCGATTTGTCGACTATACCCCGCACACCATTACGTCACTTGCATTTTCCACTACATCATCCCTCGATAAACCGACACCATATGATTTACGATTAGCCGTTGGTCGGAATAATGGTGATATTGAAATATGGAATCCAAGGTATAATTGGACACATGAGCTCACTTTAACTGGCTCTAGAGGAAGATCAATAGAAGGGTTGTGCTGGGTATCTCAGTCAAACATTGAAGAGAAAAAGAAGGACGGTTTTAGTAGTAGTAGTGGTGGTGGTGGTGGTGATGGTAGTAGGTTGTTTTCCATTGGAGGTTCTACTTACATCACTGAATGGGATTTAAAGACAGGCCAGCCGTTGCTGAATTATGATTGTAATGCCGGGGTAATTTGGTCCATTGGAGTGAACAAAAGTGGGAACAAGTTAGCAGTGGGCTGCGATGATGGTTCCGTTGCAGTTGTAGACATTTCGGGAGGTGAGGGCTCATTAGAGTACGACATAATATGTCAAAGACAGGATGCAAGGGTATTGAGTTTAGCATGGAACAAGGATGATCAGATAATTGGGGGATGTGCAGACGGAAGAATCCGAGTTTGGGATTACGATAATAACAAAGAGACAAAGGGTAGGATCTTAGCCACTATGAGAGTAGACAAATCGAAAACAGAAAGCACACTTGTTTGGTCATTAAACGTATTGCCCCATAGGAACCAGTTAATTAGTGGGGACTCCACCGGACACATCAAAATATGGGACTTGAAGTTTTTTACCTTGACGCAGAGTTTGAAGGTGCACGATGCTGATGCTCTTTGCATTGTGAGCGATATCAAGGAGGAGAAATTTTATTCAGCTGGTATTGACAGAAAGATTCACCAGTTTGACTTGATTAATACAAAGACCAGCTCGAAATGGGTACACAGTTACAATAGGCTTCTACACTCGAACGATATTAGATCATTGGCCATTTATGAAAGTAAATCCTGTAATATCTTAGTGAGTGGTGGAGTAGAACGAGCTATCATTATACAGAACTTGCAACAGTTTCATCATGGAAAGTATAAAAAATTACTCATTAACCAACAGAAAAGTAATGTTGTTGTTGACATGACGCATAAAATGATTGCATTGTGGGGCGATCAGGAAGTGAAAATATGGAAGATATTAGAATCGGGCAAGCATAAACTAGTTGCAAAATTGACATTATCTGGCGATGAAAACTTAACAAGTGTTGATTTAAAAGATCGAATTTTAGTGGTTTCTAATATGACCTCCATAAAAGTATTTGAATTAGTAGAATCCAAAACAGGAAAATGCATTGTGAACAAAGTAAGAGATGAAAAATTCGATTCATTAGTATCGGGGGCTAAAGTAGTCAAACTTCTCAAGGATTGCAAGCTCTTGATTTTGACCCCAGACGAAGCTCTTTACCGGTTCACACTAGATTTGGGAGAGACGATCAAAATTAACCTCGATGAAGAAATAGAGTTGTTAGACTCAAGTAAATCTAGTATAAATACTTTTACGGTAACACCCGACTTCCAAGCCGTTATCACATCAAGATTTGATGGGTCAGTTGAAGTTTATCCCTTGGCAAATGATGATAACGGCAGTGGTGGTGGTGGTGGTGATGGTGGTGATGGCGATCCCTATGTGTTGACCAAGCTATCTTCATATCCACATTTGATAGCATGTCATGATAATGAGAAAATACTCGTTTTGTATGATGATAATAAGTTGTGCGAGCTCAACATTAAAAAAGACAACCTGTTACTCACACCATGGTCAAAACGTAATAGCGAGTTTTTGCCACGACAATTTACATCATTGGAGGACAAACCGCAAGGTTTGTTTGTCAAGGATTCCAAAGCATGGTTATATGGGTCAACGTGGATATGCTATTTCGATTTAACTCAAAATATTCCCATTAATAAGATGTACAAGAATCTAGGTAACAACAGCAATAGCAAGAAGAGAAATAGAAATGGGCTTAGTATAGATGAAGAAGATGCCACTGATGAAACAGATGGGCATATTTACCAGTTAGAAAATAGTATGAAACAAAGTGAACTAGACAAGTTAAGAGAACAACTTAAGGAGGAAGAACGCGATAATGGTGGGTCACAAGATAAACCATTTTGGATTACAACTGCCTATAGGCCAATAATGAAAGTAGCTGATTTTGGTTCCGACGAGTTGGTTGTTATTGAGAGACCATTTTTCGCGTTACCAACAACTCCTGCATTTAACTTGCCAAAAATGATGATATAGTCTGGTGTACTCTAATTTTGATTTTGGTTTATTTTAATTTGTTTTGTTTTGCTTTGCTTTGTTTTGCCTTGTTTTGCTCTGCTTTGCTTTGCCTTGTTTTGCTTTGCCTTGTTTTGCTTTGCTTTGTTGTTCTAAATTTTTGGCACAATTCTTGCACCTTGGAAAAATACTCTTGCAGCTGAGCCGTAACCCATAAGACATTTTTGTGGATTTCCATTACTATCCTTGTCTTCACCTTTCAAACTCCATTGTTTGCCATCACCAAACCATTCATGGTATTTCTGATCGTATACATGCTTATATGTATTATGAGGTTCAAAGCTTTGTATATATCCGCCATCTTTTGGATCCTTCATAAATTCGTAAAACATAATCAAATGTCTTCTTACTTCATCGTGAATTCTTTGTGGTAAACCCTGGGGAACATCTTTTCCTACATAAAGTAAGTAATCAGCTAATCCCTCAATTAAAAGCTGAACAAAATAAGATGAATCTCTCCAGTATCTCAAATTATCTGGAAAATCACGGTCGTAGAAAAAGGAATTGTGATTGATTGCAGCCTCGGCCAACTCATTTGCAATGTTTAACCATTTATTATCCTTGGTGATTTGATACAAGTGAGAAGCTGCTGATAATGTTGTTCCTGTGTTATAAGACCACTTGGCATCATCGACTTTATCGCTGTCCTCGCCAACACCATCGCGAATCAACTTATCAGAAGGGTCTTGTAACACCTTGATTTGCCAATCGATGCATTTAGCGGCAAACTCAACGTATACTTGTGCTTCATTGGGGATGAATTTGGAAATTTGCAAGCATGCCTTGGCAACTTCTGCTGTAGTACATGAATTCAATAGATTTTTAGATATATGCCAATGCATTCCACCCTTGGTGACTGCTTTTGGATTGTCATTCCAGCCGCCCATCAAAAAGCGAACCAATTCTCTACCTTGATCCAAATAAGTTTTGTCTCCAGTCACTTCATAAGCGGTAAGCATAGCACTGCAAACTTGTGCGTCATCATCATAATAGATGTCCTTGTCGTTACCACTATTTTCAGCAGCTGAATAACCTTTAATGTGCTTATTTTTGTACTTTTGGAAAACTGCTATAGCTGGCTGGATCAACGGTTTGAACTCGGGGTATATCCTTGCTGCATCAACAATTGCTTGATCAGCTACTGACACTGCCCAGACAACGAATTTATCGTCATTGTAACAGCCACTACATTTTTGTTTGGCAATATACGTTCCAGCTTTGGGATTGTAGTATTCCAACCACATGGCTCTGGCAACGTGGTATCCTTCCAAATTAGGGTTCTCAAGAGGCGCCATTGTCTATAATACTAATACTACCGACTTAGAAAAAGGATCCAAAAAATAGACCCCTAAATTAAAATTAAATTACCAAGAAAACCTTGCAAAAAAACCTTGCAAAAAAGAGAGCTCAGTCTAGTTGGAATATTTTAATAAAGAAAAATACCGATGAAAGCAATCGACTATAAATACTTTCAAAGTTTAGCCATTTGTATCTATAAAAAAAGTCAGAGCAACTGACAGGGGGATTCTTAACTAGATAAGAATTATTGCGAAATTTTAGTATTTCTTTTTATGGTTGCATTTTTTCCTGCATGTTGGTTGATGTACTACACAAGTGTTGTTTTTTTTTGCACCCTAAAGCAACAATAATGTTTGGCCTGTATAGTCACGACACTATCGAGTGGAGCAGCATTGACTACAGGAGCAGCATTAAATACTGGACTACAGGAGCTGCACTGACTACAGGAGCTGCACTGACTACAGGAGCTGCATTGAATACTGGACTACAGGAGCTGCATTGACTACAGGAGCTGCACTGGCTACAGGAGCTGCACTGACTACTGGAGCAGCATTGACTACTGGACTACAGGAGCAGCACTGACTACAGGAGCAGCATTGACCGACACTAGCAAAACCGTGTGTTTGCTAGTCTACTGCAGAAATCGATGAAACATGATTTTACTCGGTAGTGTCGAGGCAAAGAATGTAGTGAGACCACTATATCGTGGGAGGCGCAAGTCGACTGTTTGTTTCAGTATAGGCAATTAAATAGATTCACAGATTTGCAAAATCTTGCAATTATATACAACTCTCGCGATTATGCACAATTCTCGCGATTATGTACTATATGGCCTCTAACTCGCCATATTTTTCTTTAAGGTCAAAGAATGGGTGGCAGATAGTATGCTCCACTCGATAGTGTCGCTTAGATATGAAGAAACTTATGCAATCTATTAACACACACTCCCTCTTTTTTTCCATCTCTCTGATATACAAGCTATGCTACTACGCTTTAGATGTTTCTGGCTTTCTTGCCACATACAACATCATTGGCGTAAACAATTTCTTACGACCACCTTCAACTAAATTGACAGCTGCATCTTCCAATGCCAAAGTGACCTGTTTTGAACCCTTTGGCGCAATACCTACTTTCTCCATAAAACCAACTGTTTCAGTAGTAATATATCTACCTAATGTCGAGGTTCTGAACAATGTGTACAAGTCACCCAAAGTCTGACAATATTTGAGTTCTCCAGCTAAAGGATAATACCAAGGAATATCATCGTCAACGTCAGCCAAATCCTTTTCGTATTCAATTTCAAATCCAACATTTTTCAATGCTTTTTCGGCAACTTCACGTTTGTACATCTTGGGAATACCATCACCAACTTCAATACCATATGCAATCTTACGGTGTTCTTCGTTTGTTTCATCGTATTCATCTGTCATTACCCACTCGTAAACACCAAACACTCCGCCAGGTTTCAATACTTTGTAAATTTCAGAGTATACACCTTCCAACACTGGAGCATGGACTGTTGCTTCTATCGCATAAACGGCATCAAAAGTCTCTGGCTCAAAATCCATTTGCATAAAGTCACCCTTGACGTAAGATAATTTATGGTCCAATTTGTACTTTTTAGCATAAAAATTGGCTCTTTCAATCTGGTAATCGTTATTGTTCAACCCAACAATTTCACAGTCTGTAAACCTCGTGATTTCTCTACCGGGACCACCAACACCACATCCGACATCGAGCACCTTCATATTCTCATTTAAATTCATTTTAAGGGCCAAATAATGTTCATGTCTAGCGGTGGCTTGTCTAAATGCCTCTCCTTTGTAATATCTTGAAAAATGAAAAGATGAACCCCAACCATATTCGTAAAAATCAGTAACCAAATTATAGTAATGGTGAGTCAATTGTGAATAATCAGTTAATCTCTTTTTTTCATCATCCTTGGAAACTCCACCATCCCAGTGTTTGAAATATCCATCGTTTGCCACTGTTGACGCATCTTTGGACTTGGAGATTAACGCCGATAACCCGGTTTTTTTATAAGAGTCTCCATGAAGAGCTTTGGTGAATTTCTCGTCTCTATCGAAATTCTTCTCTGCTAATGGTACCTCGGACATTCTCTTACAATTCTATATTTATCTATAATATATATCTCAACAAATGAGCAAGAAATTGTAAAGAAAGAAAGGAAGAAAGAAAGAAAAAAAAAAAAGACAAACTGTAAAGAAATATTAGATGGAATAGATCACAGGCTGAATTAGATAAACTCGCTATCAAACAAACCCGACTTGTTGAACGACGCTATTATCGCTATTTATATACAAACTAATCAGTCTTATAGTTGAATAAAACACGACTCAAAACTGAAAAATGTGAAAAAAAAAAATTACAAGTTTGAGTTATATGCAGTATTAGAAGTACCACTCGCTCGTTTAGCAAAGTAGCGCGCTTACTGGCATTTAAAGCGGTTCTTTTTTTTCTCTTTCTTACTCATTTAGTTTAGTCCGTCGTATAAGCTGATATTTAGTAGGAATTCTATACGAATAGTTTATTTATAAGTCACAATGGCATTAATAATAAATTACCAGTGTTGGACATTTTGCGGCTTGCATTGAGTTGGATATTATTTTCATGACACGACACTATCGAGCGGAGCGAGATAGTGTCTATTCAGTTAGTACTGCTCCACTATCGACACGACACGACACGACACTATCGAGCAAAGCGAGATAGTGTCTATTCAGTGATGTAACAAGCTAGTTAGTACTCCTCATTGGTGTCGCTCGATAGTGTTGCTCAATAGTGTCTAGTCAGTGTTTTCAAAAGCTAGTTAGTACTGCTCATTGATATCGCTCGATAGTGTCGCTCAATAGTGTCTAGTCAGTGTTGTTACAAGCTACTTAGTACTGCTCATTGATATCGCTCGATAGTGTCGATAGTGTCTAGTCAATGTTGTGATAAACTAGCCGGTATTGCTCCACTATCTCGCTCTGCTCGATAGTGTCGCTGTCGCTCGATAGTGTCGATAGTGTCTAGTCAATGTTGGGATAAACTAGCCGGTACTGCTCCACTATCTCGCTCTGCTCGATAGTGTCGCTGTCGCTCGATAGTGTCGATAGTGTCTAGTCAATGTTGGGATAAACTAGCCGGTACTGCTCCACTATCTCGCTCTGCTCGATAGTGTCGCTGTCGCTCGATAGTGTCGATAGTGTCTAGTCAATGTTGTGATAAACTAGTTGGTATTGCTCCACTATCTCGCTCTGCTCGATAGTGTCGCTGTCGCTCAATCCTTTATTTGATCATCTTTCCAACTTCCCAGAAACATATGCTTTGCGTATGCCATTGGGTCCTTGGAATCTTTGGCCCCCATCTGGTTCACATCTGGACTAAATGAAGTTATCGGCAAAATTAAAACGTCGTCAATAGCTATGGGTTGTACCATCCCTGTAAACAATTTCCAATCAATGATTGTTTCAAAAGTCTTTTTAGTCAGCTGTTGCGGCAGCTGCATAATACTATTCATATAGTTGAAAACGTAATCTGTAAATATCCCTGGTCCTGTCCAATCCATTATATCTCCACCCAGATCCTTGCCCAATGTTTTGTGTAGCTGCCCCTTTTCGGATCGAGTCAAAGTTATCTCGGCAATTTTCGCAATCAAACCAAGTAACATTGGGTGTCCACGTTTCGATTGTATTGTCCATTGACAAAACTGGATCCGACGTGCATACCAAGAATTCCAGTCAGGTCTATCCGGATCAGCTTCAATTCCCACCACTAAACCAGCTTGGTTTGGTTTTCCCAAAATCTCCTTACTGTTACTAATCCAAGTGTCAATGGGCTTGAGACCAACCGTATCTATATCCGTGTAAACCCCACCACGAGCAAAAAGTATCAAGTACCTGAAAAAATCGGCCTTCATTATAGATTTGGGGAGTAACTTATAGGCATGGGCAACATCGGGAACACTCGCATACAACTCCTCAACAAGTAGGTCGCATTGCTCATCAGGGATCACAAAATGCTTATAATCTGGATTTGTATCATCCCATGTTGCTTGGTATCTTTCGTATCTCCTGGGAAATGTCTTATCATCCAAAGCTACTTTCCAAGTTTGCCAAATGAATTTGGGAAACGGAGCTTCTTGCTCATATGGAAAATGGGTCGCTAGTTGATTTTCAATCTGGCTAGTATATTCCAAACTGCTCTTGAACTTTGGCTGAAAATAGAGCCCCCGAGTTTTCCAATTTTTATTCAACTCTAATTCTTGAAGAAGTTGAAATTTGGGTAAACTGTAATCTGTTTTGTAAGCATGGTTACCCTTGACTTCAAAAAATAGAAAAAGACATGCCACAATAGTAACAACCCCAATGAGCACCAGTCTATACTTTTGCTTGCTCATTCCCTTTTAAACCATTTACCAAAGATTGGAGTATAAAATAAAGTACAAATTGAGAAATTGAGAAACCAAGTTGAAAAAAAAAATAATTATATATATAGAAAACAGAAAAAAAAAAGGGTCAAGCACCCTAAATGAAACCAAGTGTTATACAAAAGATCTCGAACAAAACTCTCTCACTTGAGTCTATGTGAATATAACTTTAACTTTAATTACTATACATTAACTATAACATCACCGATGTGTTTTCTTAAACTTAATAATAATAATACAAACGTGCTGTAAATAACCTAAATTTGCCTCTCCCTGTCGTCCTTTCCTTCTCCTTCTCTCCTTCTCTCCTTCTCTCCCTCTCTCCCTCTTAACACACACACCCCACCTCCAACACTTGCCACTTCAACAAGAAAAGCAAACTCTATAAGTACCCATAAACCATGCAATTTTGTATAATGATAAAATAATGAATAAATGAACCAGTCCCAAAAAAACCTCATCGAATGAAAATAAAAAGCAAATATTTGTAAATGATAAAAAAAATTTCCTTTCAAGGAAGGAATAAAATAAAGACTCACTTTCACAACTCACCACCATGAGTTGCTGGAAGAGGTTGGATTGCCGTAGCTGGAATTATCATGGAAGCTAGAACGTGATCCATAACCTCCACCATTTGAGTATGCTCCACTACCTCCACCGTTTGATGCGCCCCATCCGCTATTGCCTGAGCCGCCCCAACCTGTGCTGGAGTTGCTGCCCCAACCTGAGCTTTGACTACTGCCTCCTGATCTTCTGAAATCTCTATTTGCACCTCCGCGCGAACCCATACCGCCACCACGAGACGATCCACGTACCGGTTTACCAAAAGCGGATTCTCTTGATATCTTAGCTAAAAAGTCTGGGATCTCCTGGTTTGCTTCTGACAACAATTCTACTAAACCCTTGACAATATTTCTATTGTTTCTGTTAAAGAAAGCTGTGGCGATACCAATATTACCAGCACGACCAGTACGACCAATTCTATGAACATAATCATCGATATCACTTGGCAAATCGTAGTTAATGACATGTGAGACATTTGGGATATCTAATCCACGAGCAGCCACAGCTGTCGCAACCAAAATGGGAGCATTTCCGCTCTTGAATGCAGCAAGTGCCTTTTCTCTTTCGTACTGCGATCTGTCACCATGAATTGCAGTTGCTGGAAAACCTTGGTCATACAAGAAATCGGCTAAATTATCAGCCATTCTTTTGGTTTCGGTGAACACAATAGTCAAACCCGAACTATTGGCATTCAACAAATCTAAAATAACCGACTTCTTTTCTTCGTCTTCAACGTACAAAATCTTTTGTGTGATGTTTTCTGATGTTGAACCAACTCTACCAACAGAAAGGAAGATATAATCTTTCAAGAAATCACGAGCCAACATTTGAATGTCTCTTGGGAAGGTGGCTGAAAACATCAAGGTTTGTCTATCTGCAACGTCTGGCATATCACATTCTTGAACAATGTGTCTAATCTGGGGTTCAAATCCCATATCTAACATTCTATCTGCTTCATCCAACACCAAGTATTTAATATTGGCCAATGAAACCCTTCCTCTTTCTAATAAATCCTTAAGACGACCTGGAGTTGCCACTAACAAGTCGCATCCTCTCTCCAATTGTCTCATTTGGTTACCGATATCGGCACCACCGTAAACAACACATGCACGTACCCATGACCTATATGAAAATTTTTTACTTTCGTCGTAAATCTGTGAAACCAATTCTCTTGTTGGGGCCATAACAAGGATTGTTGGATAAACTTTATGGGAGGAAAAAGTTCCTGTAGATTCCGGTACTTGAGCTGGTCCATTCATATATGACTCAGATAACACTGGGAAAAGAAAACCACCGGTTTTTCCTGAACCAGTTTGAGCACAAGCCATCAAGTCTCTGCCACCGGCAACAATAGGGACTGAATATTTTTGGACAGGGGTAGGTTTTGTGAATCTTGACAATTTTATATTTTCAACCAATAATTCATCTAATGGTGGAGCAGTAAATGAAGTGATTGGCTCAGGAACACCTTCACCACTAGCTTCAACGGGGATATCGTCATAGTTGTCGAAATTAATACCCGAATGTTGCGCATTATTATCTTCGGGAGTACCAAATAATTCAAGTTCCATCCGTTCATTAGGTGGAGATGGCTCGTGTTTGCCGTTGACCCATCTACCTACGCCGGGCATCGATTTCTGGTACCTTCCGCCGCCACCACCATATCCGCCTCTTGCACCGCCACCGCCTCTTGCACCACCGCCATAGCCACCGGACCGGTAACCACCTTGATACAGATCATAGCCGCCGCCACCGCCACCACCGCCATTACGACGAGAACCACCAAAGGGGATAGAGTTCATCCCATTAGATTTATTTTGAACACTATTTCTTAAATGAGGTGGCACATATTGACTACGACCCGTTTGACCTGTTTGACCTGTTTGACCAGCTTGCTTATACTGACCGTTTCCGTTTCCATTTTCCTCAACACTCAAATTACTCATTTGTTGACTAATATCAGACATATTCTTAATAACTTTCCTAACTTTATTATTAATAAAAAGGGAGATGCCTTTTACTAAAGCCTTTATATAAAGAGAAAAAGTTTTTTTTCCTCTGCTCTTCTTAAAAATCAATTTTGGTAAGAAAAATTTTTCTCTTTTGCAAAAAGAAAAGAAAAAAAAAGAAAGAAAAAGGGTGAGTGTACTGCACAATTTTGTTAGTAATGACTAAACTGTTAGTATAGACTATTGAGCAGTAGACTATGGAGGATAGACTATCGAGCATAGACTATCGAGCAATAGACTATCGAGCAGAGCGAGATAGTCTATATCTACTCTCTCTCTTCTCTTCAGACTCTCTCGCTTTACTCGATAGTCACACTCGCTTTACTCGATAGTCTATATCTATTCTCTCTACTCTCTTCAGACTCTCTCGCTTTACTCGATAGTCTATATCTACTCTCTCTTCCCTCTATATAGGTTATCTCGCTCAGCGACTTTATCAACTAAAACAATTCTTGTTAATACCCCTTGAACCAATTTTGTTTTTTCTTCATAGCCTTTATATCAGTAGTACAATAGTATATCTCGCTCCGCTCGATAGTCTATAGAGAAAAGAGAGTAGATATAGACCATCTCACTCTGCTCGATAGTCTGAAAGTATACTGTAATTTAACGTTTCGTTAATTCAATTTATCCATTTTTATCCCCATTAAGGTGTATTCTTGCATGAGGGTGAGCATAGCAGCATCTTTCTTCTTCATTTTGATAATTGGCATTATGCGGGGTTTGTGTACCGCCACTAGAAGGCAAGTATGTAAAATCTTCACTAGTGGTTTCACTTGCTTCTTGACTTGAATTTGATTTTACCTCTAAAACTTGATAATTGTCGTCATTGTTTATATCGAAATCTTCTTCCGCATCTTTTGCTGCTGCGTCACCACCACCACCATCACCACCACCACCGGTGGCTGCTCCCCCTTGTTGAGTCTCCGCAAGTAATCTTTTCGTTTCTGGTTTCAAATACGAACTAAATGGTTTCTGTTGTTCTCGAATATTCCAATGCAAATTCCTACTTACAGAATCAATGTATTCTGTCTTGGAGGAAATCACGGTGGGAAACGGGAACGGAGATGCCTGAACTGTTACATAGTATCCCTTCTTCAACTCGGTCCTTACTCGACCATCAAAAGAACACCATGCAGTAGATCTACTGCTCAGTGGAACCTTGACCTTCAAAAACATGCCATCTGGTAATAGTATCGGCCTGAACGATAGCGTATGCGGGCAAACGGGTGTAACACTAATAGCGCTTACTCCTGGGTGCACTAAGGAACCTCCTGCAGATAAAGAGTAGGCAGTGGAACCTGTAGGGGTGGCTATTATCAATCCGTCTGCTTGTGCAACTGTAAGCAATGAACCATCTCCATAAAGCTCCAACATCGTGACAAATGGCGATGGGCCACGATCAACCACCAATTCGTTAAGCACTTGTTGCTCGCAAAGCAACTTTCCTTCAGCCGTGTGAACTCTGCACGTGAACCGCATTCTCAAATTTGCCTTGACACCAGAAGCAATACATTGATTCAAGTGTTCCTTATAGTCACCAAATTTGAAATTGGTCAAAAATCCTAAACTTCCTAAAGCAAATGACAATACTGGTGGAACGATTTTTTGAAATAGATTCGACACGTAAAGTACAGTCCCATCTCCACCTAAAGTAACAACCAAGTCGAACAATTCTGGCGACTTTAGTGTCAATTGCTTATTCCAGTACTTCAATTGCTTTTTTGCCACAGGATACTCTTGAATAATTGATTGGCTATTGAAGCGCTTGGAGTTTTCCAATTTAGAATCGACATATATAGTCATATCTTCATGTTGGCTCAATAACCATTCAACCACCTCTTTAGTCAAATAGACCAACGAATTGTCTCTTGCTTTTGTTATTATCAAAATTGCTTTAACGTCTAGTTGAATTGTTGCCCTCGACAAGTTCTTGGCTAGCATGCGCACACCATTTGCTGTTTCTGCCAACTCGGTGTGCGTTTTGACCGATCTTAGCTCATCGGTAGACAATCTACTCAATACATCCTTGGCTGACTTATTGTTCAAGCCAAGGTCCTCACAATACAACTTTGAGTGTATTTTGGGGCCTTCTCTAAGAAAAGAATCATTTGGCGAGCTGTTTATGCTAGGGAAAGCCGAGGATGCATTAGATGAGTTTGGCGACATAGGACTCAAACTAAAATGGCTTCGATTGAACATCCGTACGGAATTCTTACGTCGGAAAGATGAGTGCAGCGATTGCGGTTGCAGTTGCGGTTGCAGTTGAACATTATTGTTGTTTTGTATCTCCTGAGAATCAGCTTGTAACTGTGCTTCCGTAGCCAACGAAGAAACAGACGATAACGAGCTCTCGTGACTCTTTGAAAAAGCTTCTTGTTTTTTGGGTATATTCATCACTTTGTTTGAAGGAAAAAAAGAACCTGGGTCTTGTCTAGATGCACTATTGCAGTTGTCTTCTCGACTTATCTTCAATTTTTCAATTTGCCGCGTTAATTGGCTATCTGTATTAGCCGACATGGGATGAAACAAAATTCTACTAAAAATAAAAATGTATACAAAGGAAAAAAAATAAAGATAAAGTTTGATAATGAACCCTTAGGTTAAGAATTACTTTTATCTTTTTATAATCAGAGTACCTAATCTCAGCTGAATGTCTGTCTCGGTCCTAATCTAATTCTAATTGACTGCAATAAACTGTAAATGTAAAAACGCTTTTTTCAATTCTTATTACAATTACTCTTCTTTACCAAAAAAGAAAGAAAAAAAAAAGGGGACTTTAGTGAAAAATTATTTGCTAGTGGGGGAGGTGACAGGAAAAAAATGGCCAGTTTGAAACAGAGAGAAAATAAGTTGACAAGCGCAAAATTATTAAATCAATCTTGTAGTCACCCTGTATAGTCCTCTTCATTGTAAGGAAAGAAAATGCGTGCATGCGTGTGTGTATGTCTGTGTGTGTATGTTCGTGTGTGCGTATGTGTAAAGGCTTTAGTGCACTAATTTCTGCATTTCCATTGAACATTTGCCTTGTCAAGTAAAGGTAAAGATGCACCCAAACACCAACCCAACTCGTTATTATCAATAGTTTGAGCAGTCTTCAACTCTCTACTTAATGGTATATCGTAACCTGTATGTAACATTGCTGTAATAAAACTCAAATCTAAACACCATTGTGGTTCTTCGTTAAGTTTGGTTATATGATCTTTCATAAATACGTCACTCCATAAGGAATCTCCTTCACAAACGGCTTTGGTCAAGTCTCTCAACTCCTCCACTGTAAAACTAGATGGCATACCAATGGGGTTTGTTCTGTCATAAAAAAAGGAAAATACAAACATGTCCGAATTCTTGTTAAATGCGCGTGTCAACGATGGTTGATGTACACCGTTAAAGGAACATGGTTTCGTGTTGCAGCTAAGATCTTTATTCAACGTTTTCTCCGCCAAAAACCTGCATTGCGCTCCTGTTGCTTTGGAAGAGCCCTTCATGTTAACAATATAAAATTCCTCCTCGCTAATCTCAACCAAAACATTCTTTGCAATCTGGTTTGGTGATATGCATGGATTAACAATATCGACCTCGGCAGTAGCCAGTTGTGCTTCCTTTTTACTACTGTACTTTTTCAACTTTGAAATGTTCTCATCTTTATCGTTATCTTTTTGAAAGTTTTTTATTACCAAGCTATTAATTTTATTTCTTCCTTGCATCAATCCAAATCCCAAATGGCTAAACTGGTATAAAGTGAAATCGTGGTCACCAAATTTAAAATCGTATTTAGTTTCTTCTTCAACGGGGAATGGATCTTTGTAATCTGGTTCAAATACAATCTGGGTCGAACCTCCTCCTAAATCAAAGATAGCAGCTGTAGGAAATTTCTCCTTATGGCCAATATTTCCCAACAAGTAGTTGGCAGTGACCCAAGCATAAACGCCTTCATCTTTTCCGTCTAAAATTGAAATACCATCACCGGGCACTACCGCAAAGGGGTAATTTTCTTCTAAATGAGTTCTTACTTGTTCTAAAATGGCCTTGGACTTGCCTTCTCCAAGAAGTCTCAAACCTGCAGTTGCTTTCACTGCAATAGGTGTGCACTTTTGTTTATCTTTAGGAACTTTTTCTAATGCTGCTTTTAGTAATGGATCCAAAGACTTGGCTGCGCCTACAGTATCTGTGTCAAACGAACTCAAACCAGGATTGAGCATTCTAAACTCTTCTGATAACAACTTTGGAGGTTGAAAGCAAGTATTGAACTCATAAACGTGAATTCTGGAGCCAGTACTTCCAGCATCTACCATAATAACGTAATCTACCTGATTACATTGTTGAGAAACATTTTCTGGCGATTTCTCAGAAACATTTTCAACAACATTTTCTGGCGATTTTTCAGCGACATTATCACTTGTGTCCAATTTTTCAGCAATATTCGCTTTCAGCTTATTATCCTTTTCGTATGGCGGTTTCGAACCCAGATGTGGTTTACCTTGTAAAGTGTTTTTCTTTTCCTCTTCTTCTATTTCCTCATCTACACTTTGGGATGATTGTTCCTGGTTTTGAGGCTGTTGTGTTTCATTATTCCCTGATGATATCGAGGCGTCACTATTTTGTGCTGGCTTGTTTAATCGTTGCACGGGACTGCCGATAGAGTTCTGAGACCTAGCGAAAAACACTACAATACCGAAAATTGCCAAAACTGCAATTACCAATCTTAAATTTCGCGTATTTAACATTTCCACTTTGGTATATTCAAGAGAAGAGAAGAGGATTATTGTTTACTAAGATAGATTTGAAGATGAAAAGTATTTTTTTTTCTGATGCTCTTTTTCTCACAGACTCACAGACTCACAGACTCATAGACTCATAGACTCGCTCTCTCACACTCACTCACTCACTCACTCAATCTCTTTCTCACTCTCTTTCTCTCTTTCTCGCTCTTTCTCTCACTCTCACTCTCTTTTTATCTCACTCTCTTTTTATCTTTCTCTCTCTTTCTCCCTCTCAGATCTGTCAAAGAGAAAGAGAAGAAAAAGAAAAGAAAAAAATAAGGCTTGGGTGCATAATTGTATTTTTTGCACCCAAGCACTTTTGTAGGTTATACGAAACCCTAAAAAGATTATAGAACTGGGTATAGGTGTATCTTACCGAGCTAAATACGCTTTAATCTGAAATCTAAAACCCTTTATAGTAAACTATCGGCCAACACTATCGAGCAACACTTTGTAGCTTGTTGCAACACTATCGAGCAGAGCGAGATAGTGTTCCACTCTATTTACTGTACACTATCGAGCAACACTTTGTAGCTTGTTGCAACACTATCGAGCAGAGCGAGATAGTGTTGCTCGATAGTGGAGCAACACTTTGTAGCTTGTTACCACACTATCTCGCTTCGCTCGATAGTGTTGCTCGATAGTGTTGCTCGATAGTGTTGCTTTTTTTCTACCCAGGAGAAAAAATATCTTTATATTTTCAAGATCTCATAAACCTCATACTTTCAAAGATAAAAACATACTATATATACAGTTGTGTAAGAATCTTAATCTTAATCTATACTTCTTAGTGGGTTCATAATCTATTGCATATCAAACCCGTGTAAGATAAGTTTTTGCTCTTTTTCGATATGCATCAACAATGAATCACGAATCTATCTAAAAGCGCCTATTTCAAAGTTTGGTTGCATTCTGTCATGTATATGGACCCACGTTGTCATTGTATTATTAATTCTTCGCATCATTTTGTTTTACTTTTGCCCTTTCTTTTTTTTTTTTTTTTTTGTTTTGTTTTGTTTAACCAAAAGGTGTGCGAGAGGGATTGGGACATGTGGGCTTGGTTTAGCTACCACATGTCATTTTTTAGTAGGAGGGAATATATATATAATATGGGTCAGGAATAATGCTTTTGAGATAATGTTTGTGTGAGATATGGTGATAGCCCTCAAATGGCAGTATTACGGAGTAAAGAAAAGTCCAAATATCTCAAGTTCCCATTTTCTACATGCAATTATACTCATCTTAAGGAACCCACTAGTTTAGTAAAGCATGGAATTAATCTCACTATACAATTGGGTCTTTTGGATTTTGAAAATTTCGACCATAGTGGCGAAAATATACATTTAAAGAAAATAAAGGCAAAGAAACGCAATGGCAAAGAGACTGATTTAGAGGAGGACGATTTGGGAGAGGATTTGGAAGAGGACGAGGACGAGGAGGACGATGTACTCCGATTTGATCATATACCGCCGAGTCCGATTTTGATACCGACAGATTTGCCCAAATCCTCATTTCGGAAAGGAAGTTTTGATAGAAGGGGATCTAATGATAATAACCAGGAGATGTCATTAATTTTGTGTCGCAGAAAGATTGAAAACATGATTGGTGAGTATTTCCCCCCAGATATGATAAATGATGGAAAAGTATATGTTGAGATTAAAAACTATATCATCAACTCAATAATCCAGAATGAGGATGATATTGAGCAATTCTTGAGCCGAGTTGTTAATCATCGATTCAAAAATGAGCTAGCAGACGTGATTAAGTCAATATTTGTTGAAAAATTCGAAGAGCTCAAGTTGGAAGAATTGGTTGATTTCTTTTACAGCTTTTTTAACCAAAAGTATCTGAGTCATAAACTAAAAAGACTTGAGAACCCGTTTTTGTATGAAACGTACTATCGGATTTGGAGGCTACAAGCAAATAACTATGTCTACTATGAAGAAGAATATTTCTTTGACTACTTCAACAACGGCGGCAAGTCACTCACATCGATTGAACATGTATTCCTTCAAAATGGGTTTCTTGTAAATTATGCACGGTTTGTTTCGTATTTTGCTAATGATGCATCGAGCTATTGCGATGAGACAGACGAGGAATCTGAAGAATTGGAGGAATTGGAGGAAGAGGAATTGGAGGAGATTAAAACACCATCTTCCTGTAATATTTCTCTGCTGCTTTCGTTAGAGTCAAACTACTTTACCCACTTGTCAAACAACTACTATCTCGAGTCAAGCAGCCACTATCCTGAGTCAAGTAGCCACTATCCTGAGTCAAGCAGCCACTATCCTGAGTCAAGTAGCCACTATCCTGAGTCAAGCAGCCACTATCCTGAGTCAAGTAGCCACTATCCTGAGTCAAGCAGCCACTATCCTGAGTCAAGTAGCCACTATCCTGAGTCAAGCAGCCACTATCCTGAGTCAAGTAGCCACTATCCTGAGTCAAGCAGCCACTATCTCGAGTCAAGTAGCCACTATCCTGAGTCAAGTAGCCACTATCCTGAGTCAAGTAGCCACTATCTCGAGTCAAGCAGCCACTATCCTGAGTCAAGTAGCCACTATCTCGAGTCAAGCAGCCACTATCTTGCCGATAAATCGAGCACACTTGTGCTAGATCCCTTGATGCACATTCCAAAATCTCTACGGTTCAATGATAAAATTGACATCATCAAAATTAACCGATATCTACCGGTTGACCATATTCTATATAAACAAATTATAGATGAAATATCGTAAATAAATATCGTAAATAAATAAATAAATAAATAAATAAATTAAATAAATAAACACAATGATAATAATTGCCCCTCTTCTACTAACGGTTTTTCTGTCACGTGACTACGGCTCTAGAGCTTTAACTTCCAAAACATATATTACCCATGATGCATGATGATTCTATTTAGTTGGTTAAAATTTTGCACAATCTAAATACGAGGTGAAGTTGACATTCTTTGTATCAAGATTGGTCTGTGAAACCTTTTCCCCACTATCTTTTGATACGAACTCGAGTAACAAGACTTGAGTAAGGTGCTAGAAAGCAAAAGAAAAACGAGACAAAAGAGACAAGAAAAAAATAAAAAGGAAATAGGTCTTATGTTTAGCAATATTGCAAAATTTCGAAATGAAAAAATCACACCAGGTTCGAGCAATACTTCGAGTCAAATTGAAGAAGAACCCCATTTGGCAGCACAGCAGCCGGTGAAAAAGAAGAAAAGATCTCTAGGAAGGTTCCCATGTCGGCATTGTGATAAGGTATTCAGCCGCTCCGATCATTTAGCAAGGCATAATTTGAATCATGAGCCCAAGGAGGTTTATATATGTGACTTTCAAATTGAAATCAATGGACAAACAGCAAATTGTGGGAAAACTTTTGTTAGAAAAGATTTGAAAGAAAGGCACATCAAAAGACATTTTGAACTACTAAACTCAGAACGTTTGCCTTCTTCATCGTCATCATTACCTTCCCCGAAAACAACAATATCTAATCATCAAAATGACACCTTGAAGCGAGATAAACTGGGTTCGCTGATGGGCAGCGAACCATCATCACCGGCTAACATTATTGACACAAGACCACAACAGCAACTCAGTAATAACATGCAAATATCAAATCTCATCAACTCTTCAGCTGAACACAAGAGATCGTTTAACTATGTAAAGCCGCAGACTTCAACTTCAACTTCAATTTCATCCCCATCACGCCACCATGTCGCATCGGATTTGAACAATGTTTTACCGCCGGTAGAACAACCTCCTTTTAATCAACAAACACCATCAGCATACAAGTACCCAATGGCTAATAGTGCTAATGAGCCATTGCAACCGGCTCCAGTTGATTTGGAAACTTTGATTAAAAGTCATGGTACAACCTTGCCACAATCAGATATCTTGACTTGGTTGTTTAATGATACATTACTGGCAGGAGTACCTAATCCATACTCAACCACAGCTTCTTCTTCTTCTTCTTCTTGCGGTGGTGGTGTAACTCGTAAACGCGATTTACAAAAAGCGTCTAACCTTGTTAATCACGTTTTCAGTTCTCGTTCACATCCCCATCCCCATCCCCAATACCAGCCAAATGCTTCTTCTCCGCATGGAGGAAACGACTCACAAATATCACCCATGACTCCAAATGAATTGATCGGCTTTGATTTGCACCACAACCACCCAAGCTTCCCATTACAGGGAAGTAGTTTTCACAATGGTATTTGTGATACAAATGTTTTCCTGACCGAGACCAACCCACTAGACGATCTATTTTTCACAAATCACAACCCACTACAAAATAAGCCAGAATCTCAAAGTTATCTACAACAAAGAGCTTCCAATCTTGCTGCAAACGATGAAAATGCACGTCGATCCAGCTATCTATACGCGAGCACTTCATCTCCTGCAAGCACCATGGAATCCGGGAACGATAATCGAGCTTCAATATCAGAAGCATATTCTTCTGAAGAAAACCAGTATATTCACCACTCAGAGAGATGCAACGTTGAAAGGAACAAGGAATACTTTTTAAATAAAGATCTAGTTGATCGGATATTGAGCCCGCTACATATAAAAAGGGAAGAACTTTTGTACATCGATACCAATCTTGAAAACCGATTATCTTTCTACTTGTGGCTGTATTGGAAACACTTCCATACTGAGTTTTCCATTCTTCACAAGCCGTCTTTTGATACAACAACAGCTAATCCATTGTTGTTGGCCTCGATGGTCATTGTTGGTGCGCAATATAGCTTCCCCAGTAGTGCTAAATTCTTGGCTCAACAAAGCAAAAAGTCGCCAGAGTGGAAAATTAGCTTTACTCTAGCAAAGCCCTTGAGATTTGCTTTATTCCAACATGAAGATTTCAGATCACCTGTGAAGTTATGGATTCTACAAAGTTTGAATATGTTGGAATGGGCAGAAACGAATTTTTTATCACGAAGTATGCACGAGAGGGCACATTTACACCATGGAACTACAGCTCAACTTTTACGGAGAAGTCCCGTTTTAGGCGGCAATCCTGCATCATTGAACAAGAAAAGAAGTAATAGTGGTAGTGATCCTTCGAGTGCAGGCGAAGATAGCGAAGCCGAAGAACTCAAAAGGGCCAATGAAAACGAGAATGCAGACCAAAGTTTATTTGAACAATGGGTTGAGTCTGAATCTTTGAAAAGGGCAACATTTATGACCTTTTACTTGGACATTATCGATTACATCAAATTTCGTCATAATCCGCAGATTCTGTTTTATCAGTTGCAATTGCTCAATTTGCCATGCAGCGATGAGCATCTTTGGGGATCATATGAAATAAACGGCTCTTTTAAAAAGTTGGCTAAACGTCAAAGAAGACTCCAAGAGGGAAGCAAAAAGAAAAAATTGCCCAAAACTGATAGTTTCTTGACTGGTATTAAAAAATTGCTCAAGGGAGGCAAGTATGAGGGGTTATCGACGGAATCAGTATTTTTAAAGAAGATCTTGCTTGCTGGGTTGATATCATTGATACACCAAATGCAACAAGTTGAGTTGCAAAACTGCTCCCCGTTATCTTCAGCTGGTCATTTGAACACCACTACCACCGATAACAACAACAACAATAACAACAACAATAACAATAACAATAACAATAATAGTAATAGTAATAGTCATAATAAAAAATGGAAGAAAATGCTCATACGAGCTTTCGATAGTTGGAAACTTGAGTTTATGCAAAACTGCAAAGGGGCAAATGGGTTGTCGATGTATAGCATACCCAATAATACCGTTTTTTTGCCTATGTTTTATTTGACTCAAATTATTGGAATACCCGAGTTGAATCATTATGATATAGCAATATTCTGCGGGTCTCCGGCAAACCAAAGTGTCGCGGCATCAATGAAGGACCACCACATTGTTCAACGCAAGATTTACAATTTGTTTGTGAAAAATAAAAGCGTAGAAAATTTGAGGAGCATAATTTACTGCTTTATTTTCCTTTGGCAAGTGCTTTTAGGTGAAAATAATGAGCCTCTCGATTGGGAGCCAAACTGCGACTACTATGATAGTTCAGCTGCAATAGCCGTGGCTGTGTTGGTATTATGGAGTTATTGTTTTGTAACCAGCGGCGTTGAAAGTTTCCATACTCAAGAAATTGAACTGTATGGGTCCCACTTTGATGAACAACTAGTGCAATTGAGTGTCGAAGATGGGTACCAGTACTTGATACGGATAAAAGAAGAATTTATAACCACTTTGCGTAAAAAACACTTGCACGTGAAATTTAGCTTACATCCTTATCTGGGAACAAACTATCATGATATGATAATCAAATGTTGCGAGATATTGCCGTTTATATCAAATATGAAAAACATTTCCGGATTATGCTTCTTGATCGGTGGTAAGTTAGCTACTAGTCAAAGTGAAATTATGAGAGAACACGGCAAATTGGTAATAAATTGTGGGATGAGATCATTAGGGAAGAAGAGTATGCTATGTCAAGACCTATTTGAAAATGAGTTCACCTAAAGATGGGTTTTGTTTTGTCAGCAAGAGATAGCAGCTTTTAGATTGATAAACTTTTTCTTAAAAAATAACAACTAAAAACGTATTCTTCCAAATATACATCAATTCCTTTTTTTATCACTCAATCTATACTAATAACACTGCGTTTACACAACCATCTCTGTCGGGCTCATTTGTGATTTGAGCGTATTTACCCCAAACAACTTTACCACCAGCGGTAACCAATCCTAACTCGGAAACGTTCACTTCTATAATAGTACCTTTCGTTAAAACACCCAATTGAGTATACATGGGGGATTGTGGATTCTTTTTTACACCTAAAATCGGTAAGAATACAGTGACGCCTAATTCGGGGTGCGTTACATTTGCCTTTTTCTGCCTCAAAGCTGCTGGACGTATGATCCTTTCCATTTTCACTGGTCTACGAGTAAAGCCCTCGCCTACAAATGTGTGCTTTGTAATCATCCGCTTCCAACTCTTTGTTTTGCTTTTACCTGTCTTTATCACTTTAAACATTTCTTCCTCTGAAATACCTCTTACCTTTGGTAACGGAACAGAAAATTTGTCAGCCTTTTCTAGTCTTTTCTGTTTGATACTGGAAGATAAGGCTTTAGCTGTGTTATTGGTTTGACGATCCAAAAGATAGGTTGGTAAAGCTTCTCCTTCATCTTCTTTAGGCGTAGATGGACCCTTGACCTTACTTTCTTGATGTGCTTTAATCTTCTTTCTCATAGAAACTTTCTCACTATACCTCTTTTTAGCAAATTGTTTAGCTCTCCATCCTTTCAATGTTTGAGCATCTTTAGCTACACGATGACCTTCCCTTGCTTCCCTTTTTCTTTTCCGCTCCTCGTGATCAAACCTTCTACCATGTTGTTTTATATGCTGTTCAATATATTCATTTTGGGGCATCCTGAGAGTTCAAAAGCTGGTGGAATTGCAGTTGAAGAAGTTGAGATGAGATAAAATGAGATAAAATGAGATGAGATGAGATGAGATGAGATGGAAAAAAAAAAAAAAAAATAAATAAATAAATAAATAATTCATACATGTTATAAAAGAGGAAGAGATATTGATACATTTTTCAACCTTTATAACCCGAGATCTGAGCTGCTGTTTTCTTTTCCTTTAAAGGCATGTCTGAGGTGGATAATCTATTAAAGTCAATTGTATCATCCACAGAGGCGGCCAAGTTGGCTGTAGAAGAGCTTAATCAAAATGTGCTGAGTCCTGTCCAAGAGTCTAATGATTTAGTACAGAATCTATTACAAAAATCAAGACAAAAAGAGCCAGAAGGGATTTCCTTGCTACTGTTAAAGAATCAAGCGTTATTGTCGTATATAAACAATTTGGTATTGGTTGCTCTTGGTAAAATAGAGCGACTTGAAAGTGACGAAAATGCTGAAAGATGCTCAGAAGCAGTGGAAAGAACAATAGTACAGCGTGTGACATTGGAAAAAGGTGTAAAACCACTTGAGAGGAAGATAAGCTATCAAATTGAAAATCTTGTAAAGGCATATAACAAAATGGAGAGTCGGCAGAAGGAAGTGGTAAAAAAGGATCATGAAAAAGATGAGAATGACCAAGAAAGCTCCAATGAGATTGATTCTGAGGAAGAAGAAAATGATGATGAGTTAGCTTTCAGACCAGATGCATCTGCATTGACTAAATTGGCATCCAAGACGACTGGAATCTCGTCGAGTTCTGCCACCACCTCCTCCGAAAAATATAAGCCTCCCAAGATATCAGCAGTTGCGCCTCCCACGTCCCTCAGAGAAACAGGTTCTAAAGGAGACAAGACCAAGAGATTGCAAAGTATGGAGGAGTATTTACAAGAACAAAGTGACTTGCCTACAGCGGAAGCTAGTATTGGCTCCACTATTGTTGCCCATGGACGTGGAGGTGTAAAGACTCAACACGACAGGAAGAAGGAAAAGGAAATACAGGCTTACGAAGAATCAAACTTTACGAGATTGCCCACGGCGCAAACAAAGAAAAACTTTAGACAGAAACAGAGAGATTTGGCCAATCAGTTTGCCGGTGAAGATTGGAGTATGTTTAATAACAATGATACGAAAATGAGTGAGGGGACTTCTAGAAAGAGGAAGCCGAAAACGTCTTGGGATAGAGTAAAGAAAAAACATTCATAGGAATAGTCGACACTATCGATCAGAGCGAGATAGTAGAGATTTGTTTTTGGCGCTATATATCATATACCTCCTATAGCTAGTGTGCTCCACTATTGAGCAGAGCCATAAGCTGGAATCCAAACTGGGTTGTAGTTAATACGGTTATATAGTCAACAGAACAATCTAGGCAATAAAAACCTTTTACTAATGATTGAGACTTTAATATCAAATCTGGTCCTACACACGGGTTTGATTGCTCCACTATCGAACAGAGCGAGATAGTGTCGGTGGCAGCTAGAGTGCTCCACTATCGAGCAAAGCGAGATAATGACGATAGTGTCGGTGGCAGCTAGAGTGCTCCACTATCGAGCAAAGCGAGATAATGACGATAGTGTCGGTGGCAGCTAGAGTGCTCCACTATTTCGCTCTGCTCAATAGTGTCGCTCGATAGTGTGGTACAAAATGTCGCTCAACGACATTTTGTATTTTCTACCAATTGGTACACATCTTCTTTAGTGGTTCCAGAAACATTAATGGATTATTAATACAGGGAAAAAAAAGTTTTCTCAAAAAATTTAAGGACGGCTTTTAATGTGTGGCATGCGCAGGAGCGGTGGTCGGACAAAAAAGTGTGGCGTCCTAACTAAGAGTATCGCACCGCGACCTTAGGGTGCGAGCCGAACGTGGGGTTTTTTCTTTGTTTCTTCTTTTTTCACCAAAGAAGACAAAAGTGGATAATGCATTAAAAGAAAAGGTGCGTTGGTTGTAGAGGTGCGTTGGTTGTAGAGGTGCGCTGTTTGTAGGTGCGCTGTTTGTACAAGTGCGCTGTTTATATGATCCTCATGTATTGTTGCCTAATTTAATCCAATCTAGTTGGAGAGAAATAAAGGTGGGTTTTTAAAATGAACATACATATATTGTTCCTATTAAACTATGTAGAGACAAATTTATTGGTACATAGTTTTTTTTTCAACAAGAGACTTTTTTTTTTTTTTATTTGTTCACTTTTGAAAAATACTCCTTTGAATCTTTAGGAGTAGCTTTAATAGTGTCTGAACCTGGTTGCCAGTTAGCTGGGCAAACTTCACCGTATTTTTCAGTGAATTGGAAAGCTTCTAATAATCTAAATGATTCATCAACTGATCTACCTACAGGTAAGTCGTTGATTGTAATTTGTCTCAAGATTCCCTTTGGATCAATCAAGAAAATACCTCTCAATGCAACACCTTCTTCTGGGATCAAGACACCGTAATCTCTTGATAATGAGTGGTTGGTGTCTGCAATCAATGGGATGTTCAATTTGCCCAAACCACCGTCTTTTCTTTCAGCATTGGTCCATGATAACAAGGTGTATTCTGAATCAGTAGAAGCAAATAAAATAACAGCATCCTTGTCAGCAAATTTCTTTGCAGCTTCTGAATAAGCAATAATCTCTGTAGGACAGACAAAAGTCCAGGCCAATGGGAAGAAAGCCAAAATGACCCACTTACCCTTGTATTGTTCTAATGAAACTTCTTCAAAAACACCGTCAATAACAGCGGTTTTCTTGAATGATGGTGCTGGTTTTTGAATTGTTGGTGACATTGTATCCTATACTACTATAAATTAAACCGGAGAAAAAAAGAAAAGAAAGAGGCAATTGATATAGAAAGATATCAAGCAAGAAAGAAATTGAAATTTTAATAAAACGGTTTAGAGGGGCAATTCGATCTCCTTATATACTCTTTCCAAAATCACAAAGGGAAGAAGAAAAAAAAAAAAAAAAAAAAGGAGGCCAGCGAGGGACAAGCATAATCAGGATACTTTTTAAAATGTGCGAGGTTATTAATTATCGCATTTTCTATATACGTTTTATTCACGCGCCCTCTCTTCTTCTTGCTCCTCCTCCTCCTTCCCCCTCTCTTTCTATTTTTCTCGCATTTCCATAGATTCTGTTCATTTTATTGCATTTACATTCCATTCATATTTTTTTAGTAATACAAAAAGAGTCTCGAAAATACTAATTGATGTCGTTTTTGAAAAAGGCACAATAATTAATGTCGCTTATAAAACATATTTCGCATCTAGAATGTTCTCACTATAAAGACACTATCGAGCAGACGACACTATCGACAAACGACACTATCGAGCAGAGCGAGATAGTGAAGCAGCACTTTGTAGCTTGTCACGACACTATCGAGTCTAGTCTATATCACTAGTCTCTCTATGGTCTACTATCTCGCTTTGCTCGATAGTCAAAGAGAGCAAACAAAGATAGTAGAGCATTGACTGTCAAGCGAGATAGTCGAGCATTGACTGTCAAGCGAGATAGTCGAGCATTGACTGTCAAGCGAGATAGTCGAGCATTGACTGTCAAGCGAGATAGTCGAGCATTGACTGTCAAGCGAGATAGTCGAGCATTGACTGTCAAGCGAGATAGTCGAGCATTGACTGTCAAGCGAGATAGTGGAAGCGATAGTGTCACTGGTGTCGCTGGCAGTGATTGTTCCACTATCTCGCTTCGCTCGATAGTGTTCGATAGTGTCGCTGGTGTCGGTGGTAGTGGTTGTTCCACTATCTCGCTTCGCTCGATAGTGTTGCTCACTGGAAAAAAAAATGGGTATTGATTTTCACCTTTTATCTTAAAACTTTACTCTTTACCTGTTTGACAATGCAAGATATTTACTTTTTCAAGTTTCTAGTGAATAAGCAAGTGTTTTATCAATCCAAATTTACATATGCCTTGGTCAATTTGAAACCATTGGTTCCGGGACACGTTTTAGTTGTGCCATTACGTACATCTGTATTAAGGTTTGGCGATTTAACTCTGGACGAATCTGCTGACTATATGGCTACATTGCAATTGATACATAAGTTCATTATCAACACTTACCACGCAGACTCTTTGAACATTGCAATACAAGATGGACCCGAATCTGGGCAACTGGTGCCGCACTTGCATACACATATAATTCCCAGATATAGAGCAGATGGATACGGCGATTCTATATACAAAAAATTGGAAAACTTTGATTGGGCAAAAAACTACCAAGAATTTGAATTAAGAAAAAGAGAACATCACCAAAGACTAAAGGAAAATAAGAATGAGTTGGACCAAAAGGATCAAGTGAGAATTGAAAGATCGCAAGAAGAGATGGAATCTGAAGCTAACAGATTGAAAAGAGCTTTGGAAAATTTCAAAAGTCGCTACCAATATACAAGTGAAAAATAAAAATAAAAATAAAAAGAAGCTCAAGCTTCATCTTCTTTCATTTCCAGCAGGTTGGATTCTGTAGATTTTATTGCTACATTTCAAGGCCAGGGATTGAGAAAAATGGAGGCGCTTGACGAGATACAATGGAAGTCACCCGAATTCATTCAGGAGCGGGGGTTAAATACATCGAATGTCTTGGAATATTTCTCACTTTCTCCATTTTATGACCGTACATCTAATAACCAAGTGCTAATGATGCAATTCCAGTATCAGCAGATTCAAATACCTCCACATACAACGTTTTCTCAATTCTTCCAATCTAAACTCTCGGAAATGACTGGAATTGAGTTTATTATAGCCTACGTAAGAGAGCCAGATTTTTGGATAATACGGAAACAAAAAAGATTCGGCGCAAACAGCACCAATACTTTACAAGATTATTATATAGTCGGTGCAAATGTCTATCAAGCGCCTAAAATTTTCGACGTGCTTCTGTCTAGAATTTTAGCTAGTGTGTTGGCACTCAAACAATCGATCAACACTCTAAATGAAATGACAAGCTATCACATATCGGATGGTGGTCATTCATTCAACAACTCAATTCATGGGAAAGAGAAAGCAACATCGTCACAGGCTCAAACAAATGCCGAAACGCCAATGCTGCTAAATGACAGCCCTCAAATACAATACTATTCAACGGCGATATCCAGCACAGCGTTTGACTCTCTCTTAAATGAAGTTACCAATGAATCCGTGGAGCGAAAAGATGTATACACATGAGTTTCATTTAAAGAAAAATACAAAGAACTACGCTATACGACCATTTCTCTCTCTCTCTCTCTCTATCTATCTCTATCTCTCTCTCCCTCCCTCAAAGCTCATCCTTTTCAATCTTTTCATTATCGTTGTTGTTATCAATCTTACCGGCTTTTTTGATCTTAATTTCCTTAGCAGGACGATCGCCACGGCCTGTCTTTACATTTTCGATATAGTCAACAACATCTTTACCATCAATAACTTCGCCAAACACAACGTGCTTACCATCTAACCAACTCGTGATAGCCGTGGTAATGAAAAATTGAGATCCATTTGTATTTTTTCCAGCATTAGCCATACTGAGTCTATACTTTCTGTCGTGCTTCAAAGTGAAATTTTCATCTTCAAATTTCTTGCCATAAATTGACTGACCGCCATAACCCTCTCCGTATTCATAGTCGCCTCCCTGAATCATAAAATTCTTGATAACACGGTGGAAAATAGAGTTGGTATATTGTTGTTCTGGATTAGTCGACTCGGCAATTGTCTTGAAGTTCTCAACGGTTTTAGGTACAACCGTGCCGAATAATCCTATAACAATACGACCAATAGGTTTTCCTTCTTCCTCAATATCGAAAAACACTGTGTCTGTAATTGGTGGATTCTCAGGAAGGGCCTTAGCCCCACCTCCTCTAACTTGATTAACAAAAAAGAACAAGAGGGAAAATACAAGTGCAATTGAAGTCAACAATTTCATCATTAGCTTATGTAGAGGTTTCTATTGAAGAAGCTACGGCTACTATCAAGATTCCAAAAGGAAAACAGAATGGCTTGTTGAAAAAATTTGTACATTGTGGCAAATTAAACATCGCTATTTCGAGAAAACGTTTGGTAGCATCATTTGAGTATAATCCCTTTGTTTCACCAGGCTTTGTTTGAAGACCCCAGTTGACTTGATGTTCTCATTAGGGCATCTTTTTTAATATAAAACCACTCTTTTCCGGCTACTTTTGACTTTGCATTGCAATATCAAAGACTGTTTTTATAAAATTGGGCTTTTCATCTCTATCAATATGGATTGGAATAACAAACTAGCCTCACAGACATAGTTACAAAGTAATAAAACGCCAACAAAAAATTTGTAAAACAATACATTGAGTTTTTGCTTACTATCTACTTCTCTTTCAAAATTCAAAAGTGAGAATTGTAGAAACAGCAAAAGCACCCAAAGAAATAAATTTGGAAACGCTAATTTTGAAGTTTCCTCTTTCTTCCTTATAGATATTACTAGAAAGTGGTATAGTCGGTACTTTTTGAACAAATAGTGTTTATACTACTGTTTGAGTGCAGTGCTAAAGATCTCTTCCTGTTTGAGTGCAGTGCTAAAGATTTCTTCCTGTTTGAGTGCAGTGCTAAAGATCTCTTCCTGTTCGACAGCAGGAAGAGATATAGCCCCATTATCCTTTATTGAATTAAAGGTTTCGGTCATCACGGGAGCTTGTTGAAAGTTTCCAATCTTGAATCTAAACGCAATTTCAACAATATCAATGTCAATGTAATTGTTCATACTTATATTACCAAACCCGTGTGTGTGTGTGTGTGTGTGTGTAAAGTTTGAAGGAATACTGTTACCCCCATTGGCTTTCTTCTTTTACTCGACTAAATCCAAATTTTTATCAGTAATTCGCTCCATCTTCTTCGCAGCTCTTACCCTAATTAACATCAATATATCGTCCTTAAACGAATTCGGCGTCAAAACGGCCTTACATCCGTCAATAGGACACTCGTTTTTCCCGTTCTGAAGATGTGCTAGAATACTCAGCTCTTCAAATGTATGTCCGCATATTTTAGACAACTTGGGCTTGACAAAAAGGTTTAAAGTTATAGGGTCCTTCAACGATATTTTCCCTCCTGCAATGTTCAACTCATCATCTTCATTATCTCCTTCGTCGTCGGGTACTTGTTCACTGGGATGCTTAGACACAAAAATTATATTCTTCAAGAACAGATAAAACTCGTCCTTTTTCAAAAGTCGTTCCATCTCACGCTTATCAACATTTCCATTATGCTTTTTTATCACATCTACAAAACTCAAATTTGGCTTGGTGTGGAAAAAATCCATAGTACTCAATGTCAACGGCTCGTCATTGGGATCAGCTAAGGAAGATATCTCGGAAACTTGAACAAGCTTGGAAAAGTGTTCCTGTTGATAAGACGATTGAAAGAGGTTCCTATACCCGCATGCAAAATTGACTAGTGTGGTCTCATCAAATTCCAAATCTTCTCTGGCCAAAATGTGATTAATGTATTTGTTTGTGATATCTCGGTGATGCTTAAGGGCAGGTTTAATTTGATCGTTTGCACTGGTAGAAAAGGTATTTTGAAAAATTTGACGTAAATCACGTTTAAGTGGGACGTGTGACGGTAGTGATAAGTTGTTTGGTAAATATGAATCTACTGCTTGTTCCCCCGCAAACGCAGGTTGTGACATCGTTGGCATCAATAAGCAAGTGGAAAAGAAAGCCCCAAGTCTAAGTATATGCTTTTGATATTTAACTTACTCTTTACTATACTCGCGTCTCAAGGAGAGTTCCTTTTTTTTTGTTTTTTCATTTTCCTTCTCGAGATGAAAAAGAATAAATAGAATATGTCAACTAAATTTAATATAGAATAGAGGTAAATTTGTTCATAGTTTTAGTCAGTCTAATTCTCTTTTGTAGCCCTATATTCTTATTGAAGTTCCATCGGACTTTCGTGTTCGTCATCAGCTACCCCTTCACTACCAATCTGACTTGCGTTGTCCTCCAAAGTACTGTTATTGTTATTGTTATTGTTATTGTTATTGTGAATGTTATTGTGAATGTTATTAATACTATTGTTGTTATCGTTACCAATGACTCCTGAGTCCTGTTGTGTATGAATTGAAGAGTTTGTAGTAGTAGTGGTGGTGGTAGTGGTGGTGGTGTTGTTGTTGTTAATACTGCTACTACTCGATGTGCTAGGGATGCACCAATTTCTATGGCAATGCCAAGCTCGCATTTGGCAGTCTCTTGAACAGTACTTTGTGCGTTTACATCGTCGACACTTCAGGAATTCACGAGGGTACTTTTCCCATTTGCCGCACTCCAAGTTTCCACATTGTCGAACACCGCCTTTTAAATCGTTTCTTCTACAAGAATTTCGCATTATGACTCCCGACCAATAGTACATGTCTGATCCAGAAAAAAATGTAAACTTCTCAACAATGGGGAATAAATTAACTTTTTTGTACTCAATTAGGGAATCATCCTTATCCTCATCAAACTCATCAATGTTGAAATACTTATAATCCTCGTACTTCCATTTTTTTTCAAGATAATCCTTAGTTTTCAACCTCGTTTCAATTACCGCTGTTGAAAGCTTTTTGCTTTCCATTTCGATATATCTATTAATTCTGTCAAAAAGCTGATAAAATTTAACTTCTCTTTCAAACTCGTCACTCATCTTTTCACACTCTGATATCAAATCGTGAAGCTCGCGCATATAGTTATGGCAAGTCATGAGTCCCGCGGCTGGGCTCTCTTCGGAGTCTGATGTGGTGCCTCCAAAGTTGCCTTTATCGTTGTTGTTACCTTTTTCGTCTTCCTTTTGTCGCTGTCGCTGTCGCTTTTTGGACACATCATAAACATCCTCTGATGTGTCATTATCATTATCATTATCATCAACATCATCATCGTCATCATCCTCATCCCCCTCCTCGTCCCCTTCCTCTTCTTCATCTCCGTTTTCCCGCTCCCGCTCCTCCTTCACTTCTGAGCTGACGGAAAGCCCAGTCTCGCATAATACAAATTTGTCCCTACTTAGAATCAAATTATCGTCATTCAATGCGCTCACCATTTGTGGAGAATTTGATGCACTAGGACTGAACCTCTCAAGATAAGTTGCTTTCGGCTTTCTTGTTTTTGGTGTTATAGTTGGTCTTAATTTAATTGCCAACGCTTCTTTCATTTTGAGTTTCATTTGATTTTCCAAGTAAATTTTGAACAGCTTGTCTCGTATGCTCATATCCAATACTAAATGGGTATTTTGGATTATTTCCTTGAGGTAGGGGTACTTAGAGATGTATGCTAAAAGTTGTAACGACCAAACAATATCATCGTCTTTCGGTATTATAACTCCAGTTTCTGAAAAAGCTCTCACAGCCAATTTGGTATTGGACATTGTATCATTGATTTCCAAATCCCGCGCGTACAATTTTGATAAAAAATTCAAGTTGCTGTCCATATCGTACTCGCAGTCATTAACAAACCCATCTTTCGGGGCTTCTGCTTCTTTGGTTTCTCTCAATCGGTTCAATATGTTCAACACCACAAAGCCCCTTTTCACATCCTCGCTTACCAAGGTGTTAAAAATACTCAGGGACTGAGAGTCCAGGATTCGATCGTCTCCTTCTAAATTTGCCAATCTAAGTAATCTGAACAATTGTTCCACACTTGAGCTTTCATAATCATCAATTGTTAGATCTGTGGTGTTCAAATCATTTGAGTGGATGCGGTTCATATTGTCAAAATCAAAACTTGACAATGAGGTTGCTGCAATTGCAGCCATAGTTTCCTGTACTTCACCTTGATATGCAACGTTTGTTAGTAATGGATTAGCAGCAGATTGCATGTGAGCTTCCTCTTCTGTTTGCAGAAAGTTTCGAAACAAAAAGCTCTCCGATTGTGGCTGCAGCTGGTGATTTTGCAGAAAAATATTTTCCACTGGACTCATGGTGGTGTTGGTGGTGTTGGTGGTGGTGGTGGTGGTTGCTATATTGTCTGTGAGTTTGGAATTTGTGTTTACATGAAGAAAAGCTCTCTCGTGCAACGATAGGTAATTGTCCAAAACAGTTGCAATAATTGGTAAAATGCCAGCTTTCACCACTTTCTGTCTAATTTTTTCTGTGCCTCTTGTTCCAACTAGCACTATGCATTGGAAGGCCAAGGTCCATTTCCAAGCGGTCAACAATTTCTTATCATCATTGTCATCCAAGTTGTGATTGCAGTTGTGACACTCATGTAAGATCTCAACCAATCTTTCAACACCGCCATCGGTTGATAACGTTTCTCGGACTTTTGCTGAAGAGCTTACGAGGTAGGTTAAATAATTCAACGAGTTTACCAAGGGTTTATCTGACGTCACATCTAGTGCTCTTCGATCATATAGACTTGAAGTTATTGTGAGTGCGGCCTTATTATTGGAAACGGCTCTATAGTTGGAATCACGCATAAAGACTAGGAAATGCTAAAACAAGGATCAAAGGGAAATTGGGGAAATGCTAAAACACAGATTGAGCAGGCCAGGGAGATGCTAAAACACAGATTGAGCAGGCCAGGGAGATGCTAAAACACAGATTGAGCAGGCCAGGGAGATGCTAAAACACAGATTGAGCAGGCCAGGGAGATGCTAAAACACAGATTGAGCAGGCCAGGGAGATGCTAAAACACAGATTGAGCAGGCCAGGGAGATGCTAAAACACCAGATTGAGCTGACCAGGGAGATGCCAAAAAATACAGCTTCTTTGTTCAAGGAGGCAAAAGAATGACTTAACTGATGAACCTATATGGGAGCTTATGGATCGGGGGAGGGGGGGGTGGCGGTGGCGTCGTAACCTCCTGGCTCGCACCTTGTGTCACTATTATATCAGGAAAAAATTTGGCAAAGGCAACCTTAACAATAAGAATTCAACTAATACCTTTCTAAATGTTCGACCTTGTCGGCAACCTGTAACACTCTTTCTTTACTTATCAATAATAACACTGATATTTTTGATTAGTCTTTCTTTTGTATCTTTCTTTTCTTCCATGTAATTTTAATTCTTTTTTTTTTTTTTCGCTTACTAACAAAGCAGAGAAGAGAAACAATACATTTTGTCAATGGGAAGAAACATTGTTGGATAATATAAGGGTTTTGGGAAGGGGGATTGGAAGTGTGTGTGAGGGGTTAGGGGAGTGGAGAGATTATCGAGCGAAGCGAGATAGTGGTGCAGCACACACTACTCTCGGGCTTTGTTTTGCCTCTGTTTTACCTCTGTATTATCTATTGTCTATTGTCTATTTTGTCCCCATCTATAGTCTCTGATCCGTATTGGCTCTGTATTGGCTCCGTTTTGGCACCTTTTTGGAGCTGTTTTGGAGTTGCCTTGGCACCTTTTTGGAGCTGCTTTGGCACTGCTTTGGCACTGCTTTGGCGCCTTTTTGGCACCGGTTTTACTCTATTTCACCTATTGTCTATTTTGTCCCCATCTACAAGTCTCTGATCCGTTTTTGCACCTTTTTGGCTCTGTATTGCCTATTGTCCATCTATAAGTCTCTATCCAATCTATACATATTTGTGTAATTCCCTTTCAATCTTCACCATACCCTTCATACACTGCTCCATAAACATTAAAGTCAATATACTATGAGGCGCAACTCGGAATAATTGGGCCCAAAACCCCTTATATAACGCCATGGGCCCTTCAATTGCAACAATCTTTTTAAAACAATCTAAAGGGTTTTTATACAAATTGCCCTTTTGATTATACATTCTCGTCAAAACAACGTCCCATGGATTCATTACAACTGCAACGCCCAACCCTGCCATTGAAGCACTTATAAAGTGCAACAAAAAACTATCATCTTGAGCAATATGGTGCTTCAACACAAAATTCTTGGTCAAGTAGTATACGGGCAATTGAGCAGCCGATCCTGCACCGGTCCTCAATACCGCTGCATCTACTCCTCGGTATAATCCTTTGAACCCTTCGTGGGTATAAATTTGTTTGAGTCCATCCCAAGCACCCAAATAATGGGTCTGTTGTCCCACGGCACCAGTTTTGGAAAACGATTGCATTCTCGTTTTGATCAAAAAGAAGGGAGATGCCAAAACAGCACCAGCTGCGCCAGATATAAATCCAGCAAGCACATTGATAAACAAATTACCAACTAAAACTCCATCATCCTTTATTTTGGAAGGTGCGAGTAATTTTGTGAGACAAAGCCGACTAGGTTCATAAAGCCCGATTCTACATCCATTAAGTCCCAACTGATAATAGTATCCACATAATAGTCCTTGTTGTAGACCCCTTAAACCTTCATGCTGATATATGACCTTAAATGCTTGAAACGGGTTTTTGTACATTTTAGCCTCACCCTTTTGACTTTTAGATAACTCTCCTTGTAGTTGCATCCTTGTTTTTATCAACTCTATTGGATTTGTGAATGTGACTGCTCCACATGCAGCTAGACCTCCTGCAATAAATCCTCCTATTGCAGATACTTTTTGCGCATCATTTATCATGGGGGCAGCTATTGCAGGTACTTTTTGCGCATCGTTTATCATGGGGGTAGCCGTGCTACCTGCTGGTTCACGTTTCGTCTGATGTATACCTGAACTAGGCAGTATACCTCTGTCTTTGTTGACGTCGCTCATCAGCTAGAATAGATCTGTCCTCCCTCGGCCCCTCCCCATAGAAAGTAATAACTTTTTGAAAAATCTGAAATTTATTGAAAAGTGAAAAAAAAAAAAATCAAAAAAAAAAAAAGAAATAAAAGAAATAAATGTTAAATTTACGAATTTTGAAAGCTATTGGAAGTAAGGGCGAGTGTGTGACTGAGCAGGAAAGCTATTGGAAAGACGTTGGAATAAGCGCTGATGAGAATCTAATGCTTTCGAGTCAACAGTATCAACTTGTGCAAAAAATATGTTTTATGATTTACCCACCATTGTAATGTAGTGAAACCTTTAAGAAAGGAAATAGGTTATTAATCTATATCATATTATAGTTATACTATTAACATTTAATCTATTAGATATATAGTATTTAATTTATTAGATATATAGTATTTAATTTATTAGATATATAGTATTTAATTTATTAGATATATAGTATTTAATTTATTAGATATATAGTATTTAATTTATTAGATATATAGTATTTGTTTTGTTAGCAAGAAAAAGTCAACATTTGCGTTATACATATTATATACGTATTGCAAATAAAGTTAAAGGCACCCACATTTAGTAACACAAATACTTTTCGTTTCTCTCTTGCAGTGTAGATTTGCGCGCGAGTCACGTGTTGAAGTTTTAAATGTGACTTGACGAGTGAAACGTGTAGATGGAGGGAGACTAGTTGATAGAGTGTAGTGAGAGACTAGTTGATAGAGTGTAGTGAGAGACTAGTTGATAGAGTATAGAGAGAAACTAGTCGATAGAGTGTAGAGAGACTAATCGATATAGGTATTATAAAGGATAATTCATATAACATGAAAATTACATATTGATATAGAATTTACAGCTTACAATTAAAGATGAATAAAAAAAGATATTAATTGTTGAGATAAGAATATATATTGATACATACTTTTTTTTCTTTTTCAATGTTTATAGACTTGAAACGGTCTTTTGACACTTGTAGAAGGGGGCAGAGAGCAATTTATATTTCTGTACCACATTAATACTATTGTATTATATTTAGTTTGTCTTACTATATATTGACTTTGACTATCGACTAGACAAGTGAAACTAGACTAGACGAGTGAAACTAGACTAGACGAGTGAAACGAGTCTAGTCTAGAGATAGAAGAGAATGCTATCTCGATTTGTTTAATAGTGTAGAGGTAGAGGTTGTTGGTATTAGAGTACTATTATGTTTAAGTCAACTAGAGACCAGTCGAGTGAAACGAGTCTACTAGATAGAAAGACCAGTCAAGTGAAATGAGTCTACTAGATAGAGAGACTAGTCAAGTGAAATGAGTCTACTAGATAGAGAGACTAGTCAAGTGAAATGAGTCTACTAGATAGAGAGACTAGTCAAGTGAAATGAGTCTACTAGATAGAGAGACTAGTCAAGTGAAACGAGTCTACTAGATAGAAAGACCAGTCGAGTGAAACGAGTCTACTAGATATTTACGATCGAGCTGCGCTGGGTATAATTTTTGCTAGTGTTAATATAGAGTACTATTGAGTTTGAGTCAAATTGATGCAAAAAAAGAGACTGATCAATAAAAAAAGAGTAGACAGAGACTAGTCGATAGAGAGTAGATAGAGAGAGCAAATAGAGTAGTGTTATCTTCTCTCTTTCCAGGATAGTCTATAGAGAGAGTAGAGTAGATATATAGAGAGAAGAGAGAGTGGAAAGAGAGTAGATATAGACTTTTTAGTCATACAACAGTTTAAACGGATCTGGATTTTGTGATAAGGGATGGTTTGTATAGATGGCTCGATCTTGTGATAATCTACCGCCTTGGAAAGTGGAGAATCGTTACGTATAACAGGTGGAGACCTATCAGTTAAGAAAGCCTACAAAATGGAATGAAAAAGTACTATTCAGCTGTGATGGGTAAGATATGTTATAGGTAACAGTACACTGTGCTATGTAGATTGGAATATCAGGATGTGAGTATATAAAAGGTTCTTATTGCCCTGGAAATGGATATCTAGAGCAAAGCAAACTTCACTAGCAGTATATAACCTTCTCTATCATAAGATAGCCACTACCTGTTTAGTGTTGATACTACAAACTGCTCCACTACCCGTTTAGTGTTGATACTACAAACTACTCCACTACCCGTTTAGTGTTGATACTACAAACTACTCCACTACCCGTTTAGTGTTGATACTACAAACTACTCCACTACCCGTTTAGTGTTGATACTACAAACTGCTCCACTAGCTCGCTTCGCTCGCTAGTGTAATATGCTTTTCATGTGTTAAATTTTCAAGCTGGTTTGAAAAGATGCTTACACCTCCTCTATTACCAGCAATATCATGTCATCTATGGACTGCTAGACACTAATACCTGTGATTACTTACACCGTTAAGCCAACTTGAAAAAAGAATGGTAGGTGAAATTTCTTTCCTGAAAAAAAAAAAATTAGAGTAACCGCCATTTATAACAATCTATAGAGAATTGGCATCATTTTATAGAGATAAATATTTGCAAAATACCCTCCTTTGAATGATAAGAGCGTGTTTTCATCAAAGATGTTTGAGGGCTCAAACATTCAAACGCTATGCACACACTAATAGCTCTTTATTAGAAAAGTATCCACTAGGACTCAAGTCTCACGGGTTTCAAGTTTTGCAAGCAGAATTAGTACCGGAGTTTTCTTTAGTGGCGGTACTACTCAAACATGAAGAGAGCGGAGCTCAGCATTTGCACTTGGACTCGCCAAATGATCACAACAATGTGTTTCTGATCGCCTTCAAGACCAACCCTCCTGATTCGACGGGTGTTGCACATATTTTGGAACATACAACATTGTGTGGGTCAACGAAATACCCAGTTCGGGATCCGTTTTTCAAGATGACGAATCGAAGTTTGAGTAATTTCATGAATGCAATGACAGGACACGATTACACTTTTTATCCTTTTGCCACAACGAATCCAAAAGATTTTGAAAATTTAATGGACGTTTATTTGTCCTCGGTGTTTCAACCGCTTTTAAACTACAATGATTTTTTACAAGAAGGGTGGAGATTGGAAAACTCGGTAACTGATGATATCAACAGTAAGCTTGAATTTAAGGGAGTTGTATTTAATGAGATGAAGGGGCAATATTCAAATACAATGTACTATTTTTATATAAAATTTTTAGAGTCAATCTACCCATCTTTAAATAACGCTGGTGGGGATCCGTTGAAAATGACCAACTTGAAATATCAAGAGCTCAAAAAATTCCATTCTGATAACTATAACGCGTCAAATGCAAAATCCTTTACATATGGAAATTTGCCGTTGAATAAACACTTGCAAAAACTAGATAAATATTACAAGGATTGGAAACAAAACCCCTCAGCCAACTCAAATATAGTATTGAAGAAGCCAATATTTACAACCAATAACCAAAAAGTTTATGATTTTACTGTACCAGGCCCTGTTGACCCTATGATTGATAAGGACATCTCCGAACAATATCACTCTTCTGTCACATGGTATTTGGGTAATCCATTGGACCCTCAAATGCATTATATGTTATTCAAGTGGAAGATTTTAGGGTCCTTGTTATTTGATGGGCACAATTCCCCCTTTTATCAAGAATTGATTGAAACTGGATACTCTGAAGATTTTTCGGCCAACTCAGGATTGGACTCGACCACTGCCTTGTTTTCATTAACTGTAGGGTTGAACTTTTTGACCAAAGAAAAAGTGGACGGTTTGGAAAATAGGATTTTGGGCATTATGAACGATAAAGTGCTCCCAGAACTAAGGAATCCCGAAAGTGCATATTATGACAGAGTGAAAGCGTTATTGCATCAAATAGAAATAGGGTTCAAAAAACACAAACCTGATTTTGGGTTTGGTTTGCTCAGCTCGCTTGTTCCTTCTTGGGTTAATGGTAGTGATCCCATAAATCAATTGCGAGTGGAGAAGATTTTATCGCAATTCAAAAATGAATTTGAAGCAAAGGGTTTATCGATGTTTGAAACTATGTTGAAAGAGTCCATTTTGAATAAAGAGTCAAAGAAGTTTAAATTCACAATGGTGCCACAAGTTGAATTCTACACGAAATTGGCGGATGCGGAATCTAATAACCTTGAGGCAAAAGTTCAGAAATTAACTAAGCACGATAAAGAAGTACTCTTTAACCGCAACATTGAATTGAAAAAGTCGCAATCCAAAGAGGAAGACAGTGAAGTGCTACCCACTCTTACTATTGAAGATATTCCTCCAAAAGGGGAATTTTATCTGGTGAATTATGCAAATGTAAAAAACAAAAACAGCAACAACAACAAAGGGGAGAAAAACCTCAGCGAGAGGATAATTGATACAAACGGCCTAGTTTATGCATATGCGTTAAAGGACATTTCGTTTTTACCTACAAAGTACTACAAGTTTCTCCCCTTGTTCAATAGTTGTTTGACGAATCTTGCTGGCACAACGGAAACTTCAATAACGGATCTTGAAACCAAAATTCAGATCCACACTGGTGGAATCTCATTTGCCTCGAAAGCCAGTGCAAACCCTTACAATATTAATCAAGTAAAGATGCAATACCTGCTTTCGGGTGTAGCATTGAGGGAGGATGCAAGACACGTATACGATTTGTGGTACGAGATATTAACTCAGACTCGATTTTCAGCTGAAGAAGATGATGTGTTTGACAAGTTGACAACTTTAATAAAGAATATGGGCCAGAACCAAATTAACAACATAGCTGATCGTGGCCATTCGTATGCTTGTGGAGAGAGTAATTCAAAGTTAACTCCATCAGGCTATATTGCTGATTTGACGAGTGGGTTAACTCAAGTTCAGTTTGTTATGGAAATGAATAAGAAACTTGAAGAAAAGGGCAAGGAGTACCTTTGTATGGAACTTTTACCAATATTGAAAAACATTCAAACTTACATTTTAAGAGGCGATTTTAAATATAGATTAGTTGGCGATAAAGATATCATCAGTGAGAATGAAAAATTGATTGCACAATTTGATGAAAAAGTCTCGGGCGAGTTTCAATCATCCGCCACAAACGAACTTGCCCAGTTGTTAGATAAGAACATCAACAACAACAACAACAACAAGACAGAAAAACTTTTAGTTAATCTTCCTTTCCAAGTAGGGTATTCTTGCTTAGCCAAGATTGGTGCACCATATTGTTCAAAAGATGGGGCAGCATTACAAATTCTTTCTCAGCTATACACATTCAAAAACTTGCACTCAAAAGTTAGAGAAATAAATGGCGCTTATGGCGGTGGACTCAATTACGATGGGTTAGGAGGTACACTCGATTTTTACTCATACAGAGATCCCAACCCCATCAAGTCAATTCAAACATTTGAAGAATCTTTTCCATATGGTCTAGACGCCAATTGGAACGAAAAAGACTTGACAGAAGCAAAGCTAAGGATATTTCAAAGTGTAGATGCTCCAATTAATATTTCCAGTCAGGGTGCTGTTGAGTTTTTCGAAGGTATATCTTACGAGCTAGAACAAGAAAGAAGAGAAAATTTCTTAACTACAACAAATCAAGATTTAGTAGATGTTACCCAAAAGTACTTGGTTGGTAATCCAATCAATATGGTTACAGTAATTGGTGATGAACAAATTTTGAAAGTTAAAGATGATTGGAAAATCAAAAATTTGAAATGAATTAAAGAAAAAAGAAAATAAAGAGAATAAAATGGAAATAAAAAGCGCTTATAGATTTGAATAACTGTACATAGGTAAAACGTTAGAGAGAGTGTGTGTGACACTATCGAGTGGAGCACAACACTTAGTAGCAATACTTTTGACGACTCTATCGAGCAGAGCGAGATAGCGGGGCACACTGTACATAGGTAAATTCTTAGAGAGTGTGTGTGACACTATCGAACAGAGCGTGATAGTGGAGCACAACACTTAGAAGCAACACTTTCGACGACTCTTTCGAGCAGAGCGAGATAGTGGGGCACGCTGTATACAGGTAAATCGTTAGAGAGAGTGTATGTGAGAGAGAGAGAGAGAGAGTGTGTGTGTGTGTGTGTGTGTGAGACAGAGAGATTGAATTTGAGATTCAGAGAAACCAGTGTTGCTAGTATGCACCACTATCTCACTCTAGTCGATAGTGCCAGTGGGTAATATCACTATTTCATTTTTCTATTATACACCATCCTCCTCCCTCACGTTGAACTATTTACACAAAACTCACCTTCTTAATGCAATAATAATACCCTCTCTTCTTTAGCGATGTCTCCTTGTGTAATCCTTTGGAGTAATTTCTGCTATTTTCCGTTTTCTATCTTCTTGGAAAAGACAATGCCTCTTAGCTCGTGGATCGTATAGTATTAGATTTAGTTTTCTGGAACTTCGAGGTATCTTGAACCATTTTTCATACCCTGTTAAGGCAGTCGATACCATCTTTATCATGGTCGTATTTCCTTTAACCTTAGCCATTTGCTTGTATATTATTCAACTCTTGCAAAGTTCCTCTACCCAATTTATCAATTTAGTTTTCTCTCTATGAATTTTTCAATTTTTTTTCCCATTCTTTTTTTGATCACGTGGAAGCGTCTTTAAAGCGTAGACTTTTTATTTTGAAAGTATATAGTCGCATACAACAACCTATACTCAATGCATCTGTGTCTTTTTTTTCCCCCTTCTTTTTTGATCACGTGGAAGAGTCTTTGAAAATGTAGACTTCCTATTTTGGAAGTATATAGTCACAAACAGCAATCCCTGTTCAACGCGTCTGTGTCGTTTTTTTTTTTGTCGAATTTTTCAATTTTTTTTCACCAAATATGAACACGCTTCAAGATGATAATTTAAAGACTAGTTTATATATTTCACACTCTTTTTTCATAAAAAGGTAATAGAGCTAACACGCCGTGTCGAATAATTGTTAGTTAAAAGAGACACAATGCAGTCGGTACTTTGTCTTTCATTACTATGTGCATTCTTTTTATCCTACTTGGCTAGTGCATTACATATGGAGATTCCAGCACTTGCTAATCCTCATCCTGTATGCATTCGTGATTTTGTTCAAGAGAATCAGATGGTGGTGGTTAATGTATATACCGATGGCTACAAAGGGGATAATCAGAGATTAGATATGAAGATCACCGACTCAGTAGGTAACACTTATGCAACAAGGAAAAACATTGTAGGTAATGTCAAGCTTGCGTTTACATCTCATAACAATGCAGCTGTGGATATTTGTTTTAAAAACTATCAAGAAGCAAAATGGAAGAAACACGGCTCAAGAGATTCCTCTGTGCGGTTGGTGGAATTGGAGATTGAGAGCGGAGCTGCTGCGAGAGATTGGAATGCTTTACAAGCAAGTGAAAAATTGAAACCCAATGAAATATCGTTGAAAAAAATTGAAAGTCTAACTGGTGAAATTGTACAAGAATTGCAATATTTGAAAACTAGAGAAGAAAGAATGAGAGATACTAATGAATCAACAAACTCAAGAGTCAAGTGGTTCTCGGTGATAATTATTGCTTCTCTTGTTGGATTTGGAGTTTGGCAAATTCAATATTTGAGACACTACTTCAAAGTCAAACACATCATTTAGAGAGAGTGAGAGAGGAGAGGAGGAGAGGAGGAGAGGAGAAGAGGAGAATGGAGGGTATGTAATGTACTGTACTGTACTTGTATATTGGCGAAACAAAAAAAAAAAAAAAAAAAAAAAAACAAATTGTAAAAGAATGCCTATTAAGTTGGGATTTCTTCTCTAGTTTTATAGGTAATTGGCAATTATTGATGTAAAACTATCCTGCTCAAAAACCTTTCTCTTGTACTCTTGTGCCGTTTCTTTTGTTATTTGGAACTCAAGATTTGACTTCTCAATGGATTCAGTACATAGATTGAGAAACTCGTCGTACTTTGATAATCGTAGATCATTTGCCAGTATTAGCTTATCAACAACCAGTTGATCCTTATATACAATGCTGCCCATACGAAAAAGATCTTCAAGTATCCAAATCAACATCCATTCTAAAACAAAGTTCAACTTCATCCACGTTTGGTAAAATTGTTCAAAGCTTTTCCATAATTCGTCCTCCGTTATCAGTGCGTAAACCAGAGGATCATTGAGCCATTTGAGTATCAAATCGAGATTATCGACTTGGAAGTTTGCGTCGCTGGACTCAAGGTGGCAGTGCAAAACAAACTTTCTGGTAGGTGATGCATATACATCATTCAAAATCCGGGTGGATAGTTTCACCAAAAATAACTCTCGGTACTTGAAACTTATATTGGATGGGTTTGCAAACGAGTAAAAAAATTCAACTATATATCGATAATCGATATACAGGAACTTTTCACTGAGATTTCCTATAAACACATCTGGTGCCAAACTTTTTGAAAAAGACCCTCCTGCTGTGTTGCACCTATTAACCACTGCTTCGTCAAATGCTAAACTCCAGTAAAAGACGATGCAGCTGATTTTGAATCGAAGACTCATCGAGTGCAAGTTGTCGCTCAAAATATCATTTCCGTCAAACTCATCTGCTGATTGTCGCTTTTTCTTAAACTCTTTTCTAACAAGTGCAATTTCATGTTGATAGCATCCTTCCGGAAATGCTGGCAAGTGCGGTGTTAATCCATTAAAAACAAATTCAACGATATATTCATACCACAGGCCTTGATAGCGGCCCAAGCATTTGATCAACATCAGAAACAAAATATCAGGACTATTTTCCACTTGCAAGCTAACCAATTTCCTTTTATCCTTTGGATTAAAGAGCCATAGGTACGGATCCTTTTCATTAAACAATTTTGCCATTTCAGAAACCAAATTATATTCGATTAAATCAAAGACAATTGAAAGCATTTGAGACTGTGCTTCGTATATGTAATGGCAGTCCGCTTTCACTTTTAGATAATACAAACTTGATAGTCCAGCACAGAAAAAACACCAGTTGATGAGTTTCCATAAATGGAATTTGCTATTTGAGCCAACTCTTTCCTGCAATGATGGTTCATCGTAGATTCTCAACCTATCCCAAGTTTCGGTCGGTTGAGCTATTAACCTGGCAAACATGGGGAGCTCAGCAGAGTCATTTATACTAATTTCTTCTTCCATATTAAGTATTGAGCTTGAGTTTTCCATATCTCTTGTAGTATCGTAATCGAGATCTGAATTTTCTTCCCCAGAATCCTCGCCAAAGTTACTATATTCATTTCCATTCTTTGCGCCGAGATCAGAAGCAGCTTTTTCAGTAAAGCTTTGTCGCCTTTTTGTCGTCACCTCCTCTTGTGGTTGAGGTTGAGGTGGAGGTGGAGGTTGAGATTTACTTTGTGGCTCTCTTGCGTTCCGATAAAATGACGTAATGTCTGATAATCCCAGGGTTCTTATATTATTCAGACGTAACAAGTCGCCAACGACTTTCATTAATGCAGGATATATTGGCTCGGACGGATTTGCAAACAGAATATCCAAGTATTTGCGTAGCACTGCAACACAACGGTCCCTTAACGGTGACTTGTGCAAACAAGTATCATTATACTTATTAGACATTTTGACTTGCTGCTGAGACTCGCCAACTCCATTTTTGGTGTATGACGGTTTAACCGTCCAATTACATTTGCGGGCTCTCGAAGCAAGGGTCAACAAAAGATGAAGCACCGCTGTTGATGGTATAGGTAACAAATTATATTCGTGTCCTTCATTGACTATATAATTATTTTGAGTTCTAAATGAGGATTCAAGTATAGTTAATAGATCGTCGAATGTCTCGAAATTGTTTAAATTGACCGAGTCTTCTCTCAAGTCCGGTACTATATTATCAATAAACTTGGTCTGGATCTTCTTAAACGACTTCGGTAGGAATAAATTCGGCATTATTAATGATACAGAGAGTATAAAGATAAATCGAATAAAGTATTTATATATTGAAAAATATGTTTTTATCTTCTTGATCATCGCGCGCGTAAACAAACCACACTTTTCCTATAAACAAGATTGAACTCATTTCATTGAGTGCATTCGAGAGTGTCACCTGGGACTGGAGAGAAAGAGAGAGGGGAAGGGGGAAAGATCGACCCTACAATGTCGATTTTCAGCTTTAATTACCTGCTCCCGTACCTTTATCTAGCTGTGATTGTTGGTGTGTCTCAAAAAGTATTTCTTGTTTGATGTCTCTGACACTATCGAGCAGAGCGAGATAGTTTTGCTCGATAGTGTCAGTCAGTGTGCTCCACTATCTAGCATAGCATGAATGCTTATTCTTCCTCTTTTTATCAGTCTAGTTCGCCTATTCGACCCAATATTTCGGCAAAGTCTTTAATTGTAACACAAGCACCACCTTTGTTGAAATCGTAATTCAACAACCTTTCATTAGAATCGTACTGACAGCATCCCAACATATCGATCATAAATGAGTCACTCAATATAGCTCCGCCGTGGTGAAGGTCATTATCCAAGCCTAAACTTGTCTTTACTGCTTTTAGCTCCGGTAGGTAAAGTCTAAAAGACTCGACATTTGAGGAAGAGGAGGAGGAGGAGGAGGAGGAGGAGTTAGAACTGTCAAGAAACAACTTCCAGTTTGCCTTTATGTGTGAGAAATGATTTCTAAATTTGACCAACCGGTTAGTGTACTTTATCAATTTGTCAATGTCAACAATGTCTAATATATCATTGCTGGTAATTACTTCTGTCGAGGTAGAAGTAATGGTGAACGAATTAATCATGTCCATAGTTATATTCTGTCGCAGGTTGGTCCTATCAATTGTGATGTTCTTTTGGCTGATAGCTCTATAGTAATAGTCTATTGCTTGTTTTATGTCATTGGTGAAACATTGAGGAATCTTTAGCGCATCAAATAGACTAGGTAACTCATCCAAATGTAGATCTTGGTCTTTTGCTTCTTCGTCGTCACCACCGCCACCTACACATTTGAAATAAGCTTCTAATATCTCATCCTCAATTTCAGGATCAAGTTTTTCAAATTCTTTAGACGCTGCAAAGGCACCTTTCTTTCTAGGTGGCATCGACACTAGGGAGCGAAGCGAGCTAGTGGAGCCAGTACTCACTAGTTTTGGAGCCAGTAATCACTAGTTTTGGAGCCAGTACCCACTAGTTTTGGAGCCAGTAATCACTAGTTTTGGAGCCAGTACTCACTAGTTTTGGAGCCAGTAATCACTAGTTTTGGAGCCAGTAATCACTAGTTTTGGAGCCAGTAATCACTAGTTTTGGAGCCAGTACTCACTAGTTTTGGAGCCAGTAATCACTAGTTTTGGAGCCAGTAATCACTAGTTTTGGAGCCAGTAATCACTAATTTTGGAGCAACGATAAATTTTTCAATATTCCGCGTGCGGAAAAAGAGGACAAACAAGGAATAGAGAGAATAAAAGGCATAGGCAGATACAGTCGATGGTAAAGCTTTCCAAATATTCAGTCACCTCAACTATATCTATTGAAATTCAACTGGCGATCTATCGACACTATCGAGCGGAGCGAGATAGTGGAGCATAGTGGAGCAGCACTGCCTGCACCCTGTAATTAAGTATATTTTATAATCTCTTGTATTTCTTGCTATTGTACACGGGTTTGAAACGTTTGAAGCTTATGCGGTAACAAAGATCTCTTTAAACTAATACACTAAGGCAAAAAAGAACAAGTCTAGTCTTTGTTTCTGTAAAGATGTTTAACCAATAAATCTAATCTCTCTTTGAGTCAAATCTAATCTCTGAGTCAAATGATAATCATTGACAGTGTGCGAAAAGGAAACTAGAGGAGGACCCCTGCTACTCAGTGCTGCGACTCTATCGAGCAAAGCGAGAGTCTTTTTCGTTACAGTAATGTCAGCAATGTGAAGCTTGATCCACAGATCGATCTTGTGATAAGGGATGGTTTGTATAGATGGCTCGATCTTGTGATAATCTACCGCCTTGGGAAGTGGAGAATCGTTACGTATAACAGGTGGAGAAAGCCTACAAAATGGAATGAAAAAGTACTATTCAGCTATGATGGGTAAGATATGTTATAGGTAACAGTACACTGTGCTATGTAGATTGGAGTATCAGGATGTGAGTATATAAAAGGTTCTTATTGCCCTGGAAATGGATATCTAGAGCAAAGCAAACTTCACTAGCAGTATATAACCTTCTCTATCATAAGATAGCCACTACCCGTTTTGTGTTGATACTACAAACTGCTCCACTAACAGTATATAACCTTCTCTATCATAAGATAGCTACTGCCCGTTTAGTATTGATACTACAAACTACAGCCACTAGCTCGCTTCGCTCGCTAGAAACTGCTCCACTAGCTCGCTTCGCTCGCTAGTGTCTCACGTCCTTATATTAGTTGCTTTGCTACTTGTAATCCTCCACTCCATACAGAATTCTTAAATGGAGGTTTTTGTTTTCCACATGGGTGTAAGGAACAGTGGAAAAAAAGAAATGAAATGAAATGAAATAAAATAAAATGACATAAAATGAATATGAAATGAATATGATATAAAAAAAGGGTAACGAATATTGATACCAAACCTTTTGTCGGTACGTCAACTTTGCTTCAAATAGAAAATTGACTTTTGTCGGTCGATATTCAAACTTGGTTTTTCTTAGAGGCGGATATTTTTGGTCTTTTTTTTTTTGCGTTTGCGTCCCTCTACTCATAATCCAGTATGTCAAGCTCATCTAGTAAATGGTTTGGTTCTTGGAGTAAAAATGGGTTGGAGAAGGAGGTGAAACAGCTGGAAATACAAATTGCTGATGAACCCGGTAGTGGCTCGACGCAGCTGCATTCAGCACAGAAGAAGTTATCAAATTCGGTAGAGGTGCAACTGCGACTGGCGGTGACAGCCTTGAAACACAAGACATCTTCTATATCACTTGCGTCCAAGACGTCCAGTAACTGGTTGAACTGGAAAAGAGAACTGGCTCCTCCTCGCCAAATAGAGGAAGGAAACGAGGAGTTTGGTAGTATTAATAACGATGCTGATGCTGATGCTGATGCAGATGCAGATGCCGATGCAGAGTACGACAATAACCAAGATGACATAATTGCTGACGATAATGGCGACGAAGTTGATGATCACGTGACGCATAACAACAACTGGAAAGGTATAACTTGGTTTTGGAATAGCAATAACAACAATAACAGTAGTAGCAATAGCAATAATAACACTGCCGCGAGAAACAATCGTGTGTCTAATGGCAAGGCTGTGAATAATAATGATAATGAAGGTAGCCAGCAGGATAATACAAAAAGGGAAGAAAATGAGAGTAATAAAAAGGCTACGACTAGCAAAAAAGATGCAGCATTGATGAATCCGGCAAACACAATTTTGAACTCAACTCCGTCTTTGCCTTCGAAACTGGAAACTACCAATGGTGCTGGCGGTGGTAATGGTGGTGGTGATGAGGAACAAGCAGATGATGCCGTTTTGTACAAGCCTCATGACAAGACTGCCCAGTTCAACAAAATTAATACTCACAAAAATGAAGATTTAAAAGAAAACACAATTGTGCCTGATTGGAGTACCTGTTTGCCATTGGCATCTGAGGGACACTTTTTCCACAGCTCGTCAACTTCGAATCAAAACAATGCAAATCAAACAGTTAAAACAGACTTGATAAATTGGAGACATTTTTTGAATCAGATATCTAACAAGTTTGGCTTTTCAACAGAGCCAGTCTCCGACCTGGAAAGTGGTAGTCAATTGAGTAAAAGTGATAAAGCAGAAAGGGAGGTTGGCTTACTCTATGAAAGATCGTATAAGCTTTATGGAAAATCTTTGGCTGTATTACCTAATGATAAGAGAGCATGCTTACCAAACTATAATAAGTTTTATACCAACACTGCTGACGGTGGTGTTATTACCACTCTGGCTACTGCTGCTGCTGCTGCTGCTGCCGCTGCTGCTTCTTCTTCTTCTCCTTCTCAGTTTGAGGAAGACCAAAAGGACCCAAACTCGATATCAATCACTAATGATGCCATGGGGAATCTCTTAATCAACAGCAAGGGGCACAAAAAAAGAGCTTTGCACGAGGCTGTCAATACAGAAATTGTCAATTACAAGTCTGGACCATTGAAAAAGATCAAAAATATTTTGATAATTGGTGTGCACGGTTTTTTTCCTACCAAAATGATCCGTCCAATTATTGGAGCTCCTAAAGGTACTTCATTGAAATTCGCCAATGAAGCGGAAAAGGCAGTAATACGTTATTGTGTAGAAAACAATCTTATCAACGAGGAAGAGTCAAGTGTTAGTATACAAAAAATCGCACTAGAAAAAGAGGGCAAGATATTTGATAGAGTTCATTTTTTCACTGAAATTTTACAAAAATGGGAAAAGGAATTGAATAATGCTGATTTTATATTTGTCGCATCACATTCACAAGGATGTGTAGTTTCAATTATATTATTGGCAAGATTGATCAGAATGGGGATTTTAAGAGATCCAATAAATAAGCGTATTGGTTTACTCGGAATGGCGGGTATCAACAATGGCCCATTCTACGGAGCCGAAAAGTCATTCTTCATGAAAGCATATAGTGCCATCGAGCACGACTCGTTGAACGAGTTGTTTGAATTGACGAAATTCGACAGCTCGCAGTCTGTTGTTTACAAAGAGTCTATCCAAACCATTATCAATGTAAATGTCAAGATTTGCTTTATTGGGTCCATCAACGATCAGTTGGTTCCATTATATTCGGCATTAGCATCCCATATTTTCCATCCCAACATTTACCGGGCTTGTTATATTGATTATACGTCACTTACTCCCAAGTTTGTTGAAAGAATGGTTTCATTATGCACACAACTATTGAACCTCGGATATTTCGACAACAATGTGATTAAAGAATTGAGCATGTCTTTGGCTGGACCATTGACTGCTGGCGGACATTCCAAAATTTATAATGATGGGAAAGTGTATGATTTAGGTATAAAGTTTTTCCTCGATACGGACGATTTGGTGATACCTCACGATGGGAAAACTGATTACGACGATTTTGAAAATAGCGAGTTACCCGTTTCCAACCAAGTTTATATAAAAGAATTCAATATAGGTAAAATAGGCACAAACCCCTTTATATTGCCATGGTGCCTAAGAGGTTTTCTTTTTAACCTTGAGAAGAATTGGCCACAACGGAGTTACTCGCACGATTTACATAGTGGTGGTGGTGGTGGTGGTGGTGGTGGTGGTGAAAGTACAAGTGGTTTTGCTCAGATCCATGAGTTATATGAACTTTTTGAGAATTGGAAACCAGAGACAAAAATATATAAGGAATTAAAATTCAGATTGAGTGGAATTAGGGCAAGTAAGTTATGAAATAAATGAGAAAACTAAAGTTGAAAATTAAAGTCAAACCCGTGTGTCAGTTGACACACTAGCTGCCACCACAATTGAGCAGAGCGAGAGTGGAACACACTAGCTGCCACCACAATTGAGCAGAGCGAGAGTGGAACACACTAGCTGCCACCACAATTGAGCAGAGCGAGAGTGGAACACACTAGCTGCCACCACAATTGAGCAGAGCGAGAGTGGAACACACTAGCTGCCACCACAATTGAGCAGAGCGAGAGTGGAACACACTAGCTGCCACCACTATTGAGCAGAGCGAGATGATGGAGCACTCTAGCTGCCACCACTATTGAGCAGAGCGAGATGATGGAGCACTCTAGCTGCCACCACTATTGAGCAGAGCGAGAAAGTGAATTCTTCCTGGTCAATGGTAATCCACTATCTCGCTCTGCTCGATAGTGAATGCATTTTTAGACTTTTATAATAAATACATGTATAAATTGTGAGTATTTTGTTGATGCTGAATTCTTCCTGGTCAATGTCATTCAACACTATCTCGCTCTGCTCAATAGTGAATGTCAGTCAATGGTAGTTTTGACTTGACTGCGAATCGAACCTGGGTGTTGAAAAAACCAACTGCGAAAAAAACAATTCCAAAGGCCTTGCCAAAAACAAAACAAGATTTTATTAACAAAGCCTTTTGCAATCTATGGCACCTTCTTTGGATATTCAAGAGTAGAGTTGGGGCTGAAGTAGCAAAGATAGCTGAAAATATAATGAGAAAGGGAAATGGGCACGTTTTGGGACAAGTGTCGGCAAAAGAATCTTTGAAGGTTGTGGATATCAGGCTAACAAAGGTTGAGCTCGATAAATTGAAACAATGTATACAAACAGATTTAACAAGTACCACGTTGAATTTCCATTTCCCAGATTATAGCATTGAGAAAATTTGTCAATTTGTATCTTGTCAGCCCCTGTTTGATGCAGATACTTTGACTATTGGTGAAAAGGAGGAATTGGCCCAATATGCAAAAACAAATACGCCCATTGAAGATGTCCATGACAAATTCCCACTACGATCAGAATCACTCATTACTCTGGAATATAAACGCTTATCATATATCAGCTCTAGAAAAACTCGATTCAAGACTGCCGAGGAAAGGTTGGCTTATGAGGCGGAAATGGTGTTTGCCGGTGGTGCAAGTACCTTATCCAAAAGAAACATAAAGAGAAGACGTGGAGAAGTTGATATAGACAGCTTCAAAAAATTGCAAGAAAAAGCTAGTAAGATCACCAAATCTGCTAAACCGCCTCCTACGCCGATGGAATTAGCGGCACGGGCCGAAAGAGCAGACAGAATTCGACTCCAAGCCTTGAAGAAAAAGGAAGCGCGAGAAAGGCAACGGCAAATTGATAAAGAGCGTAGGTTGCGAGCGCCTCCTTCTCTGTCTAAACCGGTAAAACTAAAGAATGAGTTAAACAATCTCATTGAAGCTACATTGCACTTTCAATCGGTAACGGGAGATAGAATGGCACTAGAAGACGGCGCAAAGAGGAAAACTATACCAACGCATCGTTGGGCGCCTGAGGTTCATCATATTGCATTGCTAAAAAAGACTAGATCTAGACAAGTGCAGAAGAATGAATTGAGAAAAAAACTCAAACTTGAAGAAAAAGGATCAACAACTCGAAAAAAGAGTACCCTGTTTGAAAAGAAACTTCAAAAAAATAAATCCATCAAGAAGAAAACTCATATGAAAAAGACCCGCGAACATGAGACACCAGAATATCATGAACTAGATTCACAAGTGGCTACTGAATTGGAGGTTGAGGAAGATCATATATCGCCATTCGATCCGCCAGACATCAATTCAGATACACTTTTTAATTTGCATGGTCGGCGTTTGTTTGTGGATGGTGTATACGAACTGATCCCCAAACTCCCTCAACTTCAATTCAGGGTTTGCGATGAAAATGAAACTGCAAAAGAGGCAATGACAAAGAATGATAACACGATTCTATATGATGATGAATTAGGTGCACACGTAATTGCTAGCCATGAAAAGTGTTATCGTGACATGCCAATATCGTTTCCAGAATGCGTGAATCCTCAAACTGGCAAATTGAATCAGCTAAACAGTGTAAAAGTGAGATTTTTGTTATACCCTCAGCACTATGAGCTGTATGTGCTTGCAGATCCAAAAGACAATGAATTAGACCCGGTCCATGAAATCATTAAATTATTTATGCTTCATTTTGCATTATATTTTTCTTATTCAGAAGTAATCAAGGGTTTGATTAATGGGTATTGTCATAGTCTTGAGAGAACGGTTTACGATAATAATTTTGGTGAATTTATATTCATAGTGGATAAATGGAACAAACTTATGTTATATTTATCTCCCAATATAGAAGCAGTAGAAGAGATAATGAAGGGAGACAATGATCTCAATGCTGGTGCCAAATTATGCTTGAACCAATCGGAAATAAGAGTTCCCACGTTGGACGATTTGGATTTGGAGACATTCTATAGCGAAATTGGATTTGAATCTGCAAGTCCGTTCTATCAACAAGTGGAAACCAAAGAGTGCTCGTTAAATTTGGCGAAAGGGGAGGGGGAGGAGGAGGAGGAGGAGGAGGAGGAGATTATCATTGATGAAAATGTAGATACTTCGATAAACAATGTTCAGCCACCCACAAATGTTGCAAGCACCAAAACTTATATAAGGCCTGATAATTATGTTTCAAATTTTTTTAAACGACTTCAATCCAAAACAGAAGTATCGAGATACGCAGTTCAACAAATACTTTTGCGAGTATATGCTAGAGTTGTTTCTACTGATTCCCGAAAACTACGCTCGTATAGGGCATTCACTGCTGAAGTGTATGGTGAGCTTCTACCATCCTTCACTAGTGAAGTGTTGGAAAAAGTTCAACTTAAACCAAATCAAAAGTTTTACGACTTGGGTTCTGGTGTTGGAAACACTACTTTTCAAGCTGCGTTGGAGTTTGGCGCTATAAGTGGTGGTTGTGAATTGATGAGCCATGCTTCGAAATTGACAGGCTTGCAAGAAAATTTGATACAAAAGCATTTGGCTGTCTTTGGTCTAAAACCACTCGAACTAAAGTTTGCTTTGAATCAATCGTTTGTGAATAATGAGCAAGTTCGCCGTGACTGTTTGGACTGCGATGTAATAATTGTCAACAATTACTTATTTGAAGGAGAATTAAATGATGCAGTGGGTAAATTGCTATATGGCTTGAAACCGGGTACAAAGATCATTAGTTTGAGAAACTTTATAAGTCCTCGATACAGAGCTACATTTGATACAGTATTTGATTATTTCAGTGTTACTAAGCATGAGATGAGCGATCTAATGTCTGTTAGTTGGACGGCAAACAAAGTTCCTTACTACATCTCTACTGTGGAGGAAACCATAAGGCCTGAGTATTTGAAAGGAGAAGAATCGGTGTTGGAAATTTACAGTGACGGCTCTAAATCAGCAAGTCCAACTACGTCAGTATATCATTCGCATGAGGAGATTTTAACTCCTCCAACTGAACACAACTCCGAACCTGAAACAGAAAAGTCATAAAATATATTGATTTTGTAGACCAAGCTAAAGTGACATCATCTGTTATTGTCTGTATATGTACTATTTTGTTGGAGAAAAAAAAAAAATAAAAAAATAATCATAGCTTAAAAAGAAGGTTTTTATTATAATTTTGTTCTTCTTCTTCTTCTACTTCATCATCATCATCATCATCATCATCAATGTTTCACCTTCTTTGTTTGACTTTCAGTCAACAACTCTGAAGGTGTTCGTTTTTCGGCGCTGCTTCCTATCAGCGACGACGGTTCCACAGATCCAATTCTAGAACTACCGTTTGATCCACCAACAGAATACGTTAATCGTTTCTTATTCAATGTTCCATCAGCTTCTCTTGAAATGGCCAATAAAAGTGTATTGATACGTCTCCCCAATTCTTGTGGGGTTCTTGACTGAATAAACCAGTCAAATTTAAAAAGGTCAGAATCCTCAATTTCTTGCTTTATACGATAATTTAATTTTTCGTCAAATATACCGAATTTGTAAACACAGTTTAAAAGGAACTTATCTTCTTGTTTTGAATAAACTCTTTTCGAATTGTTCGGTGGGTAAACAATAACAAGGTCTTCCATTGGATCTTGCAAATTTTCGATTTTTGAAGCAAGCAAGTTTTGATGTATTTGTAGTTTCTCCCGTTTCTTTTCCATTGTCTCTATTTGATTGATATATTTTTCATATCCGTCTATTAATTTATACTGTTGCCAGAATGTCTTTGCATACCTCTCGGTTTCTCTTTTCGATTTATTCAATTTGCCTGCACTGTTTCGACCTAGTGCTTTAGAGATTTTCCCATATTCGTGACGACCATATTTGGCCGAAGCGTGGATAAAGTTTGTAAAATCTCGCCTAGACCAATTGGAAAACGATTTTTCTAATAATTCGTTTTTGAGTGCAATCTCCTCTTCAGTTAACGGTTCAACGTTGTTGATTTTGTCTTGCTCCTTACGTCTCTTTTGCTCTCGAGTTAATTCGTCCTTGTCTTCATCAACAAGAAACTCCTCGTCTGAATCTCCAAAATCTTCAAGAGAGTATTGAAAATTGATCTCCTTTTTATAAGCTAGTTGCTCTCTCTCAAGTAGCTGTGCTAAACCAGGTGGGAAAAACTGATGATCTTGTGCCGTGTAAACCTTGGGTGCTTTTGGCTTGATAAACACTTGCCTAACGGCTTTCTCCTTGACTGCTGGCGGTGGTGCTTTTAAAACGTCCTTATAATAATTGTCCACTGAATACGTTTGTTCTTTTCTAATTCTTTTTGAAGGGTTAATCCAACTAAATCCTAAACCATTATTTTCCTTTTTGGCGAAATTCTTACCATTCCATTGATAAGCAGATGCATCAGATGTGAAATTTTGTAAATCTTCCAATCCCAATTTATTAAACTTTTCATTCATTGTTTTCGTCTTTACAAAACCTTTTTCCAAAATCTTTTCTATATCATCATCCATGTCAACCGTTTGGTTACCTCCTTCAAAAACTTTCTGAGCTCCATGTTGAATCATTTCAATCAAATCATCTTTTGAATTTCCCACGCCATTGTTATTATTACTAGAATTAGATTGTCGACCTTGTTGAATAACCAATTGGTCCAACCTAAGTTTTTGTGCCGCTCGCTCAAGAACCTTCTCTTCAATTGCATTTTCAGTAACAAATCTGTATACCTTAACTTGTTTTTGCTGTCCAATTCTATGAGCTCGATCCATTGCTTGTAAGTCCGCTTGTGGGTTCCAGTCCGAGTCATATAAAATGACAATATCCGCCGATGTCAAATTGATACCGAGACCACCGGCTCTGGTGGTAAGTAAGAAAATAAATTTATTGGAATCGGGTGCATTGTACTCATCAATAGCTTCAATACGATCTTCGTGAGACGTTGATCCATCAATACGGCAATACTCGTAATCTCTGAGGTAACAGTAGTCTTCAAGAATATCCAATACTCTGGACATTTGGGAAAATATAAGCACTCGACTTTTCTCCTTTTGAAATTTCTTCAACATCTTGTCCAAAATTATCATCTTTCCCGAATTGTAAACAAGGTGCTCGTCAGTAGTATACGGTGGTCCTGGTTCGGCACCATCAAACAAATATGGATGATTACAACATTTTCTCAATTGCATCACAATATTCAAAAGTCTAGTTTTACCTTCTCTTTTGCCAACAACACCATTAACTGCATCAATATCCTTTTCGAGTAATTTTTTGTACCATTCTAATTGCATGCTAGACATTCCTATGTATACGTTAGATTCGATTTTGGGCAATAAGGATTTTTCTACATCAGATTTGACTCTTCGGAGTAAAAAAGGACTTAAAAGCTGGTGTAACTCTTGTATGATCTTGTCCTGTACTTTAAATTTGGATTTTTCATCCATAGTTTCAGTAGTGCTACTGCTGCTGCTGCTACTGCTACTGCTGCTATTGCTATTGCTATGGCCATTTTGTTGTTGGTCAAAAGTTTCATCAAATTGATCAGAATCGCCAAATACATCCGGTAATAAAAAATTCAACAAGGCCCAAAGTTCATGTAGGTTATTTTGCAAGGGGGTCCCTGTAATTAGTAATCTATTTCTTGAATAGAATAAACGAATGATTTGGGATAACGAGCTTTGTTCGTTCTTGATTCTGTGTGCTTCATCCACAACAATATACTCCCATTTAAATTTCTTTAAAGCGCTCTTTTCTCTTAAAACCATTTCAAATGATGTGATCAAAACATCAAATTTAGCCGTATACAATCGGTTCTTTATTATTTCGTTTCTTTGATCTTTGTCACCTTGTAGTATAACCACATTTACTTCGGGAGTCCATTTAGCAAATTCTCTTCTCCAATTGTCCAAAGTTGATTTTGGGACAATTATAATGAAGGGTCCATCAATATGCTTGATGTACCTCAAATAGCCCAAAAATGAAATTGTCTGTAAAGTTTTTCCCAACCCCATTTCATCAGCTAATATTCCACTTAGTCTATTTTCATAAAGTGAAATAAGCCAATTCAAGCCTTCAATTTGGTATTCTCTCAATTTTCCTTCCTGCACAAAAGATGGGGATTCGGTTAAAACGGTATGTTGGTGTTCTTCGTCATCTTCATTCACCTCATCTTGTAATAACTCAGCATCTTCTTCCTTTTCAGTTTTTCTTCGACGAAAATTACTCCTTTTTTTTTTCCTTGCTGTTTCTTGGAAAAACCTTTTGTTGTCAATCTCTCTTACTCTTTTCTTGAATTCAGGATCTCTTGACGAGTTCAAATCTATGAATTTCCGAAAGATTGAGCTCAAACCAAGTAAATACTGAAATCGTTTGGTTGCATCATCTTTATCGTTTGCATAAGCATGTTTTGCATCGACTTCGAGCAAAAACCTCCTTCTTCTCTCCTCGCAAGTTTCCTCGTGTATTTTCAAAGCAACACCATTACCACCATTACCACCACCACCACCAAGATTGCTCTTTACATGCACATCATCACGTAGCAAATTTCCCATAATAAAATCAACGATTAACCAAACCAAACCAAAGCTGCAAAAAAAGCTGCAAAAAAAGCTGCAAAAATTGGCCCTCAAACACTCGGGTTAGATAAATAAACTATTCCAAATTCTTGTTGATTGCACTTGCCACCCTATATTATGCCAAAATTCCCCTGGCTATTTTCTTGTTCTTGTAATTCCTCTTGAAACTTGGCTATTAAAACTAGAAAGTTTTTTCTTATACCTTTTGGTAAAGTGAAAATTAAAGGCCATTGAATATGGAAGGATTGTGAGCCGCATTTGGGACTAAAATGGAATATCGAGCGAAGCGAGATAGTAAGAATATCGAGCGAAGCGAGATAGTAAGAATATCGAGCGAAGCGAGATAGTAAGAATATCGAGCGAAGCGAGATAGTAAGAATATCGAGCGAAGCGAGATAGTAAGAATATCGAGCGAAGCGAGATAGTAAGAATATCGAGCGAAGCGAGATAGTAATAGTTTGCTCGATAGTGAGCACTTTGTAGCATTTCACGACACCATCTCGCTCTGCTCGATAGTGTCTTAGCACTTTGTAACAAGCCACTGATTTATTGCAGACCGCTTCCTTAAATGTGGTTGTTTTGCTCGAGCAGAGCGAGATAGATACAGCTGTCGCAGCTAGTCAGTGCCGCTCCACTATCTCGCTCTTCTCGGTAGTGTTGTAACAAGCCACTGAGTGCTGCCCCACTATCTCGCTCTTCTCGGTAGTTTTGTAACAAGCCACTGAGTGCTGCCCCACTATCTCGCTTCGCTCGATAGTAGATCGCTCTGCTTGATAGTGGCGCTCCTACAAGAATATAACTAGTAATAAGCTAATATTGGCTCTCGTGGTTGTAACAAGGTACTAAATGTTGCTCCACTAGCTCGCTTTGTTCATCGTAGCGAGATAGTTTGCTCTTCTCGATCGTATCGATAGCGTTATTGCTAACTATTTCTCTACCATCGAGCAACACTATCGAGCAACACTATCGAGCAGAGCGAGATAGTGTTGTAAGAAGCTACAAAGTGCTGCTCCACTATCTCATTTGCTCTATAGTGTCATCACTAATATCGCTACAAAAGGTGCTCCACTATCTCGCTTCGCTCGATAGTGTCGATAGTGTCGATAGTGTCCCTACAAGTATTTTTACAAAGGGTGCACCACTATCTCGCTTCGCTCGATAGTGTCGGTAGTTGTGTCGGGAAAAAGAATACCAAAAAAGAGCAAAAACTGATAAAATTGTCAATGATAAACAATCTACAATTTTTAACGAATTTTGTTCCCAAATTAGCACTACTACCATTTTGGGAACTTTTCACTAAAAAAAAACATTTACGAGGGTCAAATTTAAAAAAGAGGTAAAAATAAAAAAAAAGTACTCGTTTTTCGATTTCCAATGGATACTATCGAGCAGAGCGAGATAGTGGAGCACACTGACTACTCTCAAACCTCGACACTATCGAGCAACACTATCGAGCAAAGCGAGATAGTGTTGTAAGAAGCTACAAAAAGTTGCTCCACTATCTCTGCTCTATAGTGTCATCACTGATATCGCTACAAAAAGTTGCTCTACTATTTCTACTCTATAGCTCGCTTCGCTCGATAGTGGAGCACACTGACTACTCTCAAACACACGGGTTTGTTGCTCCACTATCTCGCTTCGCTCGATAGTGTGGTAGCTCGATGCTGGTGCTGGCGGTGTTATTCATCCACCAAGCTCCAATCAATTTTTTCTCCATTATTCCTCTCTAACCAGGTATTACAATTTTTAAATACTTGCAGCCTAAAGAATCCACGATGTGCAGATAATGGTGATGGGTGAACAGTTTTCAAAACCAAAAATTTATCCTTATGTTCATTTAAAAATCTATTAAATTTTTCAATTCTTCTTTGAGCAGGTGTTCCCCACGCCATTATAACGAATCCCTTTTCCCCATTTTTCACATGATACTCTATTGCTTGTTTAATCACCTCTTCTGTAAACTGTTCCCATCCCCTTTCTGCATGACTGTTGGCTTTATGGGCTTCAACTGTTAATACTGCATTCAACATCAATACCCCTTCCTCCTTGGCCCATTTGGTCAAATCTCCACTTTTTGGTGTTACAAAATCGGGATAATCTATAGCTAATGTTTTGTAAATGTTTATTAGCGAAGGTGGGGGTTTACTAGGCTCCAAAACGGAAAATGCTAGCCCGTGTGCTTGATTATAGTTATGGTACGGATCTTGACCCAATATCAAACATTTGATATTATCCACAGGCGTTAATTTAGACCATGAATAAATATCTTTACTCTTGGGAAATATCGTTTTGTTTTCAAGTTGTTGTTGTTGAAGAAACCGTTTTAAATTTAAAAAATATGGTTTGGTTAATTCGCGGTATAAAAGTGCTAGCCATGTTATGTGCAACTCATCAATCTCCAACTGTAGTAACCGTTTCTCTTCTTGAGAAAGGCTCTGAACCCATTTTGTTTTATCAAAGTTGTATTTTGCACAATGAGCATCATTTTTGGATACCGCCGTTGTAGTTTCAGCCACAGCACCAGCCACAGCACCAACACCAGTACCAGTCCCAGCACCAGCACCAGCACCAGCACCAGCACCAGCCGCTGTCAACTTCACCTTCTTCTCTTCCTCCTTCGTTGCTTTTACACAACCTTTAACCTCAACCGCTCCATCTTTTTTTACACCTTCTTTTCCATTCTTTATTCCGTTTCCCCTTTCATCTCCTTTTTCATTCTCCTTTCTTTTCTTTACATCCTTCTGACTAAAATAGTCCGTTATATAACAAGGTCGTTTGGTCATGGAAAAATGCAGACAAATGTTGACGCGTCTACAATACTTTAGAATCAAAGAGTGTGTGAAAAATCGCAAGTTGTTGAAGAGAATTTTTGGCAGCTAGGGAAGCTTTCTAGGCTAGCAAGTTAGTGAATTGTTTACTAGAATACAGATAAAAGATATAACTAATAGTATGGCTTTCCCTTTGCATTTTTCAATTTTCAATTTTTGTCCGTTTACGCGTCGTCTGGTTATTAAAGTTTTTCAGGTAGCTTTTAATTAGAATAGTTTAGTTAAGCTATATGGATATCCAGCATCTTTCCTCAAGACGATACTAGTGAAGCAGCTATATAGAATGTAAATCAAGATGCAATTGATTATGATCAACCATGTTCGTAAGTTTTCGCTCTTGATTAAACTTGACTCATTAATTTGATAGTTGCCCAATTTGATCAACAAAAGAGTAATACTAGCCAATGCAGCATAATTCAAGTCAACGAGCAAAGTTTCTACTGCAAATTGGTAATGTGTACCACCGCTAATTAGAATTAACTCGCCATTATCTCCCTTAATCAAAAAAGGCACTCTATTTTGTACAGCATATTGGTAACCCCCCACACATAACAAGATAAACGCAATTGATAAATAGCAAATAACCGACAGTTTCTTGGTCGATGTAACAAACGTTGGCCCCTTTTTCTTGATAAATATTATTGCTGAAAACGTGATAATAAAAGTTTTTATAAACTTGCCCGTAGCGTCTTCTCCTCGAACTGAAATGATTTTTTGCAAATGTTCACCCAAGAATTGTGCTAATGCCATAACTTGTTGATTTTGAGAGCTCTTGGGGATCTGAAATTCCAGAAATGGTGTATTTTGTAAATCAAAAGGCACATCGTCCATGCTTGGAGGTATCAACCATAAATGCGGCACGGTAAACATATCCAAGTCTCTAAAAAGTTTATGATTCGAAGCATCGTTTAAGTCAATTTGAACAAAACTGAGAAAATGAGATTCCGAATAATCAGCAAACCACGATTTGGAAACTTGAGCAATTACAGGCTGCAATTCTTGACAAGTTTTACATTCATGCAGAGGATTCGTGGATGTGAATGTAAGCAAAGTGTAAAAGTATCGAGGACCGTCCAAGAGCGTTAAATCGCTATTCTCGATATTAATAATGAACCCATCTTCCGCTTGTGTCTTATATGACTCGAAAGCAAGCTCGGTCAACTTAACACCATCCAGAGCTAATATTGGTAGTATACATGATACAAATAGTATCCAATGAAGGAGTTGAATGCTCATTTAATGCTACTCACTCAAATGGCCATCGACTTCAAACCTGTAAGTAAGTAACCTATTTTCTATTCACTATAGCTGGTTAACTTTTTATTTTTATTATTTTTTCCACTTCCTGATTGAGGAGACCCCCTTCAAATATGGCGAAAGAATCCCGATCTCAAATATCCACACCTCTTGGAGAAAAATGTAATCCATTACATTTAAATACAAATAAATATAAATATAATCTATAGTCAACCACCTGATACTGATACTACTCCTTCTACTACTACCTCTTACTCATCCTCTATAAAGTCTTGTTCCTCTTCTTTGTTAATTATCAAAAAGCCAATGGTCACAATTGCTGCTCCAAAAACGTAAATGAAATTTATTTGAAAACCTTTAAATACCCAATCCCCAATCAATGCCAACGGAATGGTCATTGATAAACCAACAGTAACGGTTAAAGGACTTGTCAAAAGTACGGCGTTACACCAACAGAAATCACTTATAAAAGTAATAGCAGCATTTGAAACTAATAACTGAGCCATTGATGAACTTTGAGGCAATGAAAATTTTTCAACTCCAGTGAAATGTAAAATGATTAGTATTGGCCAAAACCCAAGCAAACAAACTAGTCCCACGAATCCAAAGAACAAATGCGTATTAAGATTTTTTTCCTTATGTGAATTGGGAATTGTTATCTTGAACTTTAAAAGAATAGTGTAAATACCATATATGACAGCGCCAATAATTGCAAGAAGGTTTCCCCAAAGTATCAAAAGAATCGAAGTATTTTGCCCATTATTGGGATTATCCTCAGCTGTGTCTACCTTGGTGACGATTAAGACCCCAGCAAAACTAAGCAATATCCCTACAATTTTATTTTGGTTAATCTGCTCAATTGAGACTAAATAGCCAATTATCAAAGTGAAAAATGATGATGTCGACGACAAAATGGTTTGTGAAGCAACAGAAGTGTATGATAAAGAAGCATTCGTTACCAAATTGGCAGAAAACCAAAGAATAATAAACTGAAGTGATAATCTGAAAGTTTCGTATATGTTGACATTATCAACACTATCTTCATCTCCATCCTCTTTCGCCAACTCTTCACAGTTTAACCTGGTGCTTGGTGGTGGTGGTGGTGGTGACGGTGACGGTGACGGGGACGACAGCAGCTCCGCTTCCTCTCGTACCTCTTGAGACAGTTCCATTTCTGTAAGATTGTCATCTGACCCATATCGAATCCTAGATAAACTCTCCTCGTCCTTCTGTGGTATTCGACTATACCTCCAATCTTTACTCAATGTGTTCAAAAATTGTTTCAACGACATTTTATTCAACTTGAGATACGGTATTATATAGAAACTGAAGCAGCTTGTATTTATCCACGTTATGAAAAAGGGTTTTCTGTATTTATCATCCTCAACCATGGCATTCACTAGGAAACTAGATAATACCCAAAATAGTACTACGGCTGCTAGATTAATTAAGCCAAGGACCCATTTCTGCCTCGAGTGAAGTGTCGTATCTGGTACAAAAAATGCATGTAAATACCGAAGTAAGTTTAGTCTCATATTCGTAAGCAAAGACATTTGTTGGTGAAGGAGTAAATGGAAGGATTCCCCAATAAAACTGTGGATCTTCAATGTCAAATTTTTTAACTTGTGATACGCTACCTCTTTGCTTATCACCAAAATTTTTCAACGGGGGGGGGGCATCGCTTAAATAAATGTCAAAAAAGCTGGAGAGCGGGTTTCATTAAAAGCGATGCCGCCAAAAGTGTATGTAAAGTCACACAGTTACGCATTCTTTGCAAGCTCTGTTGAACCCTCTTTGCAAGCTCTGCTAACCCTCTCTTCCATAGACCAAAAGTAAAAGTTGAAAAACCATTTAAATATGAACGAAATTTAACCACGAAATTCAAATTTGGCGCACATGTTGGGATGGCAGGAGGTATTTATAACTCTGTAACAAATGCCAGAAATATTGGAGCCAATAGTTTTGCCTTGTTTCTAAAATCGCCCAGAAAATGGGTATCGCCAGAGTATAAATCAGAAGATGTTAAGAAATTTCATCATCTATGTTCTGTACATGGGTATAATCCTAGGACAGACATTTTACCACATGGGTCGTATATGATCAATTTGGGCAATCCAGATTCGGAAAAAGAAGAAAAAGCATACAATTCATTTTTAGATGACTTGAAAAGATGCGAGATGTTGAATATTGGGTTGTACAATTTTCATCCCGGGTCAAGTTTGGATGGAGACCATAAGGAAGCTTTGGTAAGATTAGCTAAGAACATAAACAGGGCCATAAATGAGACCAAGTTTGTTAAGATTGTAATTGAAAATATGGCGGGACACGGCAATCTTATCGGTTCAAACTTGCAAGATATAAAGGATGTTATCAATATGATAGTTGACAAATCACGCGTTGGCGTTTGTTTAGATACGTGTCATTCCTTTGCCGCTGGGTACGATATTACAGATTCTGCCAAATTGACCGAATTCATTAAACTATTTGACGATTTGATTGGACCAGAATACCTTAGTGCAATACATTTGAACGACTCAAAGGCGCCCCTTGGTGCTAATAGAGATTTACATCAAAAATTGGGCTTGGGTTATTTAGGTTTGGAAGTGTTTCGCGCTATTGCCAATTGCGAGAGATTACAAGGTATACCAATAGTTTTGGAAACACCTATAAATACTGGTGAAGACGATGAAGTATACGGAGAGGAGATCAAATTATTGGAATGGCTCGAAGGTAGGCTGGCAGAGGATTCTGAATATACCATAAAAAGAAAACAACTTTCACAATTGGGGGAAAAAGAAAGAGAGGAACAATTGAAAAAGTTTGAAACTAAACAAGAAAAGGGTACCTTGAAGAAGAAGAAAAACAACAACAACGACAACAACAACAAAAGGAAAAAAACAATTGCTGTTGAAGAAGAGGAGGGGGGGAAATCCGAAACAATAACCCCGGTCAAGAAAAGGAAAGTGAATCCAAGGTAAAAAGGCATCATCAATTAAAACGGATATCAATTAATGTCTTTTTCCTCACTGTAAATTTTCATTTATTTTTTTTTTTTTTTTTTTTTCACTTCGATCTCTTCAAGCAAAAAAAAAAAAACACCAGTAGATATATACATTTGTGAATCTCAAGACCCAATCCATCTTTGATCATTCATGTTTGGAAGTACATCTTCAGGGTTCGGCAGGTTTGGTAGTAGCTCTACAAACACTGGTACTCCTTTCGGAAGCGGTGGCACGAGCTCAACTAATGCTACAACGGCATCTCCCTTTGGAAGTAGTAATACCAATACAGGAGGAGGTATATTTGGAAGTACCACAACCAATCAGCCATCAGCCTTTGGCTCGGGAACTAGTGCATTTGGTTCGGGAAACGCAAATACAACGCAGCCGTTTGGTAGTAGTACTGCTACTAACACTGGTGGTGGCCTTTTTGGATCTAATACAAGTTCGTCGCCCTTTGGTCAACAACAACAACAACTGCTGCTGCTGCAACAGCAACCATCAATTTTTGGAAGTACCAATACAGGCACCGGTACCTCAGCTTTTGGCTCAAGCGGAGGAGGGCTATTTGGACCAAAGCCAACAACAACAACAGCAACCTCATCTGCATTTGGAGGCTTTGGATCATCTGCTAACAATGCTAATACAACATCATCGCCATTTGGCCAATCCACAACAAATGCGTTTGGAAGTATTGCCGTAGACCCCAACGTCAATAATGGTACTGCCGTGAAACCATTTACTCCATACACTGAAAAGGATTCTGCCAATATGAATAATGTTTTCCAGAATATTTGTTGTATGCTGGAGTATAAGAATTTTTCATTTGAAGAGTTGAGGTTGAAGGATTATGAGCAAGGTAGAAGATTTCCAAGCCAAACTGCTGGAGCTGCTGGAGCAACCGCCACTGGGTTTGGATCCACAGGCGGCTTTGGATTTGGAGCAAATACACAACAGCAATCAGGTGGTGGTGGTGGTCTTTTTGGCTCTCAAAACACGTCCACTACTCCATTTGGAACAGCGGGAAGGTCTACTTTTGGATCTGCTTTTAATAAACCAGCAAGCTCTTCTCCCTTTGGGGGTAGTGGGACAAGTAATGCATTTGGATCAACTCAGCAAGCATCACCCTTTGGCAATAATGCATTTGGAGGGGGATCATCTGCATTTGGCAGTGGTACTACAGGCGGCGGTGTGTTTGGCGCAAAACCAACTACTGGATTTGGATCAAGTACTACAGGAGGAGGCGCATTTGGTAGTGGTGCAACCGGAACTGGTGGAGGGCTATTTGGATCAGCAGCTCTGAGTGGCAATGCTTTTGGACAAAGTAACCAAAACAATGCATTTGGAGGGAACACCGGCAACTCGCCATTTGGTCAATCTACAACAAATGCATTTGGCAACACCTCCTCGCCTTTTGGTCAAAGCAACACTGGGGGTAATGTTTTTGGAAACACTAATACTAACAACGTATTTGGTTCGAGCTCAAATACCTTTGGTCAATCTACTAGCACGAACAATGCATTTGGCTCTGGTAATACTGGTAGTGGTAGTGGTGGCGGCGGTTTATTTGGTCTGCAAAATACTGCATTTGGAGCAAATAAACCAACTACCGGTTTTGGCTCAACCTCGGGGGGCTTATTTGGACAAACCCAACAAAACCAGCCACAAAGTGGTGGTGGGCTTTTTGGACAGAATCAACAAAGTCAACAAAGTGGAGGACTCTTTGGATCCAAACCTGCTGGGACGTCTTTGTTTGGACAATCTAATACAACTGGTGGTACTAGTGGTGGCTTTTTTGGTGGAGCTAACCAGCAGAATAATACTGGTGGAACTAATACTACTGTTGGTGGTAGTAGTGGTTTATTTGGCGCAAAGCCAGCATCAGGAGGATTGTTTGGTAGTCAGCAGCAGAACACTAGCGGAGGTCTTTTTGGCCAGCCGCAAAATCAACAACAACAACAACAACAACAACAACAGAGTGGTATTGGTGGTGGTGGTGGTGGTGGATTATTTGGCTCAAAACCAGCAGGAATTACTGGAGGCGGTTTATTTGGAGGACAACAGAACAATACTACAGGAGGATTGTTTGGCCAGCAGCAAAATCAACAACAAGGAGCTAGTGGCTTTGGTACTGGTGCTGGTACTGGTGCTGGTGTTTCCGGTATTGGAACTGGTACTAGTACTGGTATTGGTGGCGGACTTGGCTCCGGAGGTGGTTTATTTGGTTCAAGGCCAGCAGCAGGTGCTTCTTCTACTGGTGGCGGCTTATTTGGTAATTCTCAGCAAGCAACAAATACCGGTTCAGCGGGAGGTTTGTTTGGTAATACATCATCAAGCGGGTTATTTGGTTCAAAGCCAGCGCAAACAGGATCTGGATTATTTGGCGGCGGTAGTTCTACAACACAGCAATCCCAACCTCTGTTCCTTCAGCAAACACAGCAGCAACAAACACAACCATTGACTAATATTACTGTTCAAAATCCTTATGGAAACAACCCACTATTCCAATCGATAACAGGTCTGGCGCAAGAGCCAAAATCACAAAATCAAGTTCCCCAAGCCATTGTTGTTAGCTCTTCCGGGGGGGCAACAGCCAAAAAGTCAGTAACCTTGGGAAGCACATCTCAGCGAATAACGCCGTTATTCAAAGTAAGTGTCTTGCCAGTAAAGAGGCTCGCGGAAAAAGTACAGGATGAAGTGTTTAAGAAGAAGACCGATAATCTATTTTCGTCCATAACCGACCTGGCAATCATTACATCTGATGTTTTTAAACCCAATAACAATTTCAAAAAGTTAGTATTGGAGAAATCCAACGGGGCATTATTGCCGGAACCAGAGTCGCCAACTACAAAAGTCTCATTTGTCTTGGAAGAGAAGGAGGCATCAGGAGTTGCACCTCAAGATAAACATGAACATGCGTCTATTCATGAATCTAAACATGAGCATGATTCTGAACCCGAAGAAGCTACAAACGATGAAGGTTACTGGATGTCGCCACCCCTTTCTGTATTGAAGAAGAAAACTTTGACCGAATTAAGATCAATACCAAATTTCAAAATTGGAAGAAAAAATTATGGTAAATTGGAATTTATCGATCCAGTTGATTTGTCATCACTAGTAAATCTTGACGATATATTAGGCAACTTGGTTATTTTTGAAACAAAGTCTTGTATTGTTTACCCCGACGATGATACAAAACCAAGACCAGGTGAAGCACTTAATTTGCCAGCCGAAATTACACTAGAAGGTTGTTATCCAATAAATAAAGCTGATAAATTACCCATCTTGGATCCTAAAAGCGACGTAGTAAAACGTCATATTGAGAATTTGAAGAATATCCCAGAACTTGAATTTGTACTGTACGATCCAGAAACCGGGAACTGGAAGTTCAAAGTAACAGAAATGTGAGTAGAATAGCAAATCATAAATAGACCTTTAAGAGAAAAAGAATGATCAAAAAAAGAAAGAAAGAAGAAAAAGAAAAAGAGAGAGAGAGAGAGAGAGAGAGAGAGAGAGAGGAAGAAAGAGAAAGATGCACCTACCTTACCTTCCCCTCCTTACCCGCAAAGTTGTAGCCCCATAAAACCTCTAAAAATATGTTTACTTTTTGTTCCTGATAGTCAGCCTTTTCTTTTCGGCTAGAAAAATAATTGTGGTGATTTTTCCTTATCAGTGGATAAATTAAATTGAAAAAAAAAAAACAACAATATATTCACAGGAAAAATTCACAACAATAATAATAACAGCAAGAAGAAGAAGTTATTTATATAACGATATTTCTAGAATAGACATTATATTATCATGACAGCAGCAAAGGCATATGTGACCTTATTGGTTGGTGAATCCTACTTACCGGGAGTATTGCTTCTTGGTAGGAAGTTGCGAGAATTGAAAACTGCTTATAAATTGGCAATTTTATTGAACACCGAAACAATTTCGCAAGACTTGCAAGATTTGATAGCAACTGTTTACGACGATATAATCGCGGTAAACACTATCCATTCGCCATTGATAAAATTGAAAGAAGCATTGAATCGTCCTGAATTGTCTATTACTTACACCAAATTGTTGCTTTGGAGCTTAACACAATACGAGTCAATTGTTTATCTTGACGCCGATGTTTTACCCTTACAAAACATGGATGATATTTTTGACAAGTTTGAGATTGGTGAAGGAGAAATTGCAGCGTCTCCAGACTCAGGATGGCCAGATACCTTCAACTCTGGTGTTTTCAAGTTAAAACCAAGTAAATCTGTGTTGGATAAGTTGATTGAATTTGCAGCAAAAGGCGAGTTGCTGACTTTTGATGGTGCTGATCAAGGCTTGTTCAATGAGTTTTTCCCAAACTGGATAAGGTTGCCATATCTCTATAACGTTACTCCTAATTTTCGCCACGATTATCAATTTTTACCAGCATTTAACAGGTTTTTCAAAGATATTAAGGCTTTACACTACATTGGCGATAAAAAGCCATGGCATTTTGACGATTTGTTATCAAGTGATTTGAATAATTTTCATCAGTATTGGTGGAATGACTTTAATAAATTTTTCGATAAGAGTTTAAAACATAAGTTATTGAATTTGAGAGGAGAGGCATCTTCTCTAGAGTTCAACAAGATTGGAAACAAATGGAACGAGCCTGTGGCTAGTGAGGAAGATTCAAAATTGGCTCCTGTAACTGATCACCCAGCTATTTTCCCATGGGAGCATCGCGACAAAAGAGAAGCAACTAGAGTATTTTACCAACAAAACTTTACTTTTACTGAACCATCATCCCAATCATCATCTCAACCACAACCAGAAGGTAAGGATAAGGACGACTCTTCATTTACTGAAAAGTTAAATCAAAATCTGGAGAAATTAAAGGGCACAAAGATTTCATCGTCAACACCCAAGAATGCTCCATTGCTGAAGGAATACGGATTCGGCCAAGAGAATAAGAATTTCAATCCTGATCAATCGTTAGCCGAGGTGTCTAAATTGCCAATTAAATTTCTTTCTAAGGAAAAGGCAAAGAGAGAAACCAAAGACTAAAAAAAACAAAAAAACTACGCAAACAAGTGCCTCGATACAATTAAATATTAATAATATATAGTTAATATAGTTTATACTTAAATGTACTATTAAAAATATATTAAGATATAGCAAGAACTTTAATATAGTTCGTATAGTATAATATATAGTAAACTAGAACAATTTTGTCTGTCTCAGCCTTACCAACACAGACGAGTTTGAGGGGGGGGGAAGGTATATTGTTTATTGAACACAAAAATCTTTTGTGTAATTCTTACAAGTTGGTAACAATCGACCTTTATCTCTCTCTCTCTCTCTCTCACTCTACATATATATATATATATATATATATATGCTAAAATGATGCACTTTGCCATTCATTCATAGGTGAATTGAGCCTATGACGGGTCCCACTGCCGCTTAGAAACTAAAGAAATTGTTGTTTCTTTTTTATTTTTATATTTTATAGTACAGCAAAGCTTCATAAATGCAGAATTTTGGGTGCAAAAAAAATTACTTAATGTGCAAGTATGGGGGGGAAAAGAGAAGAAAGAGGGAAAAAAAACTAATTGTAGATAATTAGTAACTTGTTTCATCAATCTATCCTTGGCTTATTCTCTCATCTCAATATTACATTCACCCTTGTTTTTTTCTTGTTCTAATTAGAATTTCATTTCTTGAAGTACGATTTTTATTGATTTTTATGCAAATATTACTTTCCTTGATATAGGAAAGAAAGGGGGAAAGAAAAAGAAAAGGAGCTAATTAACTAAATATTTGGTTTTATTCAGAGATTTTAATTCTGTAATACTCTTGATATGCAGATACGTGCTCCCCCTTTCGTTACTACTTGTACTTGCTTTAACAAAGACTTGATGAGAGATTTGTAAGGTATAAAGAAATAAGTGAATCAGCAATAATAGTAGACTTGCCTAAAAGATTTTTTATCACGAACAAGTGCTTAATAGCCTAGTTAGTTTACGTAGTATAGTGGTCAGTACAGCTCGTTGTGGCCGAGCAGACCCAGATTCGATTTCTGGCGTAGACAATTTTTTTTTGCTTTTCAATCTTTTTTTTTTCTTTTTTTTTCTTTTTTTTTCCAACAAGCCAGCTCTACAAAACTTTTAAACTTTTACTTATCTCAAGACTCTGTATTCATATATGAGTGTGTTAGTGCACTCAGAAAGTCGTATACAACTATAATCAGGATTTTACATTCTTGGCCTGTGCCAACTTTTTCACGTTTTTAAACACTTTTCTTTGTTTGAAGAAACTCTGAATAACAAATTCAACTAACCACAATGGAAAATATCTGCTTATAAAGTGCAAAAAGTATCCGCGGTATCCACCATAAAGATTGAACTTACTCAGTTTTTTACAAACTTTTCCAACCATATCCTTGGCATATTTATCTGGGCTGTACTTGCTGTCATGTGACATTTCCCTTGTAGCGACAAAGCATTCAACAATCCCATCCACCTTGAACTTTGAATCGCCAAGCTCTTCTTCAATTTCCTGAATTGATGGGTTTCCTGATATATCCGTGTCAACACCACCAGTTATAACACTATGCACTTTGACGCCAAAGGGAGCCATTTCGCCATGTAAAGTTTGCGCATAAGCATCAATAGCAGCTTTTGTAGCACTGTATGCACTTGTCCATGCTAATGGAACGCGTGCGGCAACAGAACTGGTATAGACAATAGACCCCTTAGCATTGATTACAAATGGCGATAGCTGTTTGGTAACATTGATATGACCAATGACATTAACCTGGAAAATCCTATTCAACTTTACTTCATCAATCTCAGCCGCAGGACCGCCAATTGCAATACCAGCATTATTGTAAAGTACATCCAAATATCCCAGAGTATGTGCAAATACAAATTCTTTTAATCTCTTCAAATCATCAATATTGGTTATATCACAAGCAACTGAAATAGCTCCAAACTCCTTAACCAATGGCTCTTGCAAATGAATTACTTCCTGAGGCGAGCAGGCAATCACTTTATACCCTCTTTTACTAAACTCTTTAGTGAGCGCATACCCAATTCCTGAAGAAGCTCCTGTAATCAATGCAAATTTTGGCCGATTCTTATCACCTTGTTGAAGAACTGTCATTTTTCTCTCTCTCTCTCTCTCTCTATTTTTTTTTCTTTTCCCCACTATGTAAGAGATCAAATATGACTATTACTACTAATAATACCACCAAATACTTTTTCTAAAGGTTGTTAGGTTTCAGTGAAATTTTCAAAGAGAATTCTTTGATGGTTTTATATATGCGCATGTGTATTTCTCACAAGGACTCTTGCTCTATTGTGGGGTAAATGTTGAATATTTTTTTGTGTTCTCGCCAGCTTGCAGGTATAGGCAAGAGTATTTTTTGTAAAAAATAAAATAAAAAAATGTCAAAAGAAAAGACAGCTATAGAAGAATAAAAGCGTTGAACAAGTTTATCATATTCTAAACACCGTCTATCCTCGAGCGTTTCTCGACAGGCTCGATTATTGCTCGCAATGTTAACTTAAAACACCCACCACCCTCTTGTTTTTTTTTTCGATTTTTATGGTTTTTTTGATTAACTCGATTATTTTTTTCCCTCGTTATCTTATTTCCTTCAACAATTTTATCTCCTTCAACTATTTTTTTTTTCCGTTGTTATCTATTTCCTTCATCAATATTTTTTGTTGGTAACAACAGTGTTATACATATGATTATTTGAAGAGATCTTAATTTCAAGTTAATTTCATATCGAGAAAAGCGAGATAGTGGAGAAACGCTTCGTAGAAACTATATCGCTTTGCTTGATAGTGGAGAAACGCTTTGTAGACACTATATCGCTTCGCTCGATAGTGGAGAAACGCTTTGTAGACACTATATCGCTTCGCTCGATAGTGGAGAAACGCTTTGTAGACACTATATCGCTTTGCTCGATAGTTTAGAATAAGCAAATACCTTGGTTTCTGTATACCTCGATACTACTATACAGAAGAAGGTAATAGAGTAACGGAAATAAAAATGATACTGCCAAATCTTTATTTGATTATTTCTAATTTAACTATTGCAGCATCTACTATATGTAGAGTATCGTATTATAATTTTGTTTTTAAAAGTTAATTGCAATCCTTCTACCGCTTTATATCAAATAGATGTAAAATATTTAGCACACAAAAACAATTACTCACAATATAATAACCTATGTAGTGTAGATATTGCAAAGGATGGACAAACTGACCCATTTCACATCACCGATTGATGACACATTGAGACTAAACAAAATAATACTGCTAAAAATAGGCAATGAGTTATATACCACTTTTACTCTGGCAATCTGATTGTAACGTAAAACGTCCCTTCTAACGGATCATGTTTGTACTCCACCAAATCATTGACAACACGTTCTGGTGTGGGTGGTCTATAGTTTGGATTCTTTACTTGTGACTTGTTGACAAAAACATCATTGTATTCGTAAATATCAGGAACTCCTAAATCAACGGCACCAGGTAGAATACTAGATGGTGCTGGTGTCCTGAATGTTTTAGGAATATCTGACAAGTCTAGCACGGTATTGCCTCTTCCCATGTGTGCTGCTGTTCTTCTAGACGATGCAAAACCTCTCGAGCTACCGCTACCGCTACCCCTATCTGTCGACAAACCAAAGCTGCTGCCACTACCTGCACTGAAACCAATCATTTGTGCATCTTCGTTAAAGTTATGTCTTCTTTTTCTCCGACTCTCTCTCTCCAACTCTTTATCCATTCTTTCCACTTCCAATTCCGTCAATTTGATCAATTGCGGACTGAAATCAGAAACGTTCAACGGGTTCCTTAAAATCGAAAAAAAATCGTCCATCACTTGATAGTCTTTGGAAACTAATCGTAAAGCAGGGAGAAGATGGTTCCTGATACCATCATCTGTGATTGGAGTTCCGTCGTAATTATAGCCTGCTATATTCAACGCTTTTAAGTACATTTGAGTTTGCTCTCGTATGCAATGCGCTATTGCTGTTGTGAACTCTCCAGGCAAATACAATTCATCACACATGCAGCTGGCAAACTCCTCGGGATCTCCTTCACTTGAGTTTAGTATATCCCATTCAAATTGATCAGTCAACTGAGTGTTGTTGATAATAATGTCAATTTTGATAGGAATGCGGATTTCGCCTGTTGTTTTAGGCGGTTTTTGCTGGTAATCGGCAATTTGCTCCTTAATACTAGACAAGATTGTTTGGTAATGAACGTTTGGTATGAATTTATAATCTTCTAGCAACTGATTAGTGAAATCTTCAACAGTTAGCACCAGCTCATTCAAATCCCACAAAAATGTATCTCTTAGCTTAAATTGGTCTCTCTCTTGATCAAATTCAAGTCTAATGGGCACGTAGTTTTTAACAAGTTTGTCTTGGACCATTATGCGCTCATTAATCATTCGATCTGTATAGTCTCTCGGTGGCAAAATCAACTTCGTGCTTGTGTTGGTTATACCATTCCCGTACCCTTGATAACCTTCTCCCCAAATGCTATTGTTCATTTGATTCTTTGTGCTCAACAGAATCGAGTTCATTCGAAGTTGTTTGATCTGGTTGTAATATTGCAAATCTTTTGCTAATGACTCCATTTCCATCTTGTTTTCATGCACTTGTCTAGAGTGGTCAGCTAAAAACATGGCATCTTTTTGTATTATAGACTCGTAAATTTTCGTATCTAAGGGAACTTCTTTTCCTTCGCGTTTTAGTTTATCCGACCATTCGTGACAACTGGCTAGCTGCTTCATTGGAATTTTACTCAATAGCTCCTGTGGAGGAGGCATAGTTGGGTTAGGTGGTTGCTGCGGGTACAGACTAAATTGAGCTTGCGCAGTGGGCCCCATTGTCTGAATGGGAACTACCTGTGCACCTCCAGTGATCGATGCGCCATTGATACCTCCCTGTATTATTGCTCCTCCTCCTCCTCCTCCTCCTCCTACCAGTATGTTTCCTTGCACGTTTGCTCCCATATTAGGGCTTGCTCCAGTACCACCCATAGGGATCGAAGGCATTCTGCTACTAGAAATTTTATTATTCATAGGCAATACACCTGGAATACTCATATTTTGCGCAGCCATAGGTTGGGTCTGAGGTGTCATTTGATTAGGTACGCCTCGTCTGTATGCCGCAGCTGCAGCTTCCTGTTGTTGTTGTTGTTGTTGTTGTTGTTGTTGTTGTTGTTGTTGCCGCTGCTGCTGTAAAGACTGCTGTTGCGCTTGTTGCATCATCTGTTGCTGCTGATTTATCATCATCTGCTGATGCCTAAGAGCCTGCTCTCGAGTCACTTGTACCGAAGGATCTTGTTGAGGAGTTTTATTAATCTGTTGACGTAGTTGTCCTTGGCCAATAGCTTGAGGCAGCTGCAGTTGCTGCATGTTCCCCATCATGCCTTTTCCTTGCAGTTGCTGCAGTAATGCCTCCTGACTTTGCCTGTACTGTTTTATCATCTCCTGGAATTGTGGGTGATTTTTCATTGCTTGCAATTGTTGTGGGTTTAAAGATGCCAACAATTGCGGAGTGAGGACTGGTATCCCTCCAATCCTTCCCTGAGGTTGGGGTTGCTGCTGCTGCTGCGGTACCTGCAGAGGATTACCCATGGGTCCGGGCGAGGCAAACGATTGTTGATTACTATTCATCCTCCTTACTGATGGGCCATTTATTGGGGGGTTGTAGTGAAAATTTAAGTTTTGATGTTTTTTTTTTTTTTTTTTTTTTTTTTCTTTTTCTCCCAAGCAGATAGAGCTTAGACGCAAAGAGGGATACCAGAATAAACAGAGTAGAACAGAGGAGGAAGGCAATAATCCCAAGTAATGTTGACGTGTTCTACAGTCAGTCCGACCAACGTCTATGTGTACTTTTTTGTAACAAGATTTCAAATTCGTTGTAATTGTTCAAAAATTGTTTTTTTTTTCTTTTCTATTAGACAGTCATGAAGTCAAATATAGAGCCCATGTTCACGTATCGACGTCCACACTCTCCAAGGTACTTCTGAACAACTTCTTGACAACAAGAAAACATATCTCTGTTCTGCTCGGCCAAAGCTTCTACTTGCCCCGAAGCTAGAGCGTCTTCTTTACGAGCTTTTTCCAGAGTCTCTTCCAAAGCATCTTTTATTGGCCTTAATTTGCCTTGCTTTGTTTTCTCCACATCGAATATCGACAAAAAGTACATCAACTGATTGTATAAGGCCTTATCAGAGTATCTGTACCTCATGACTCCTCTACAATCCAAACCTTTACCTGAGGCACCAATACATCTTTTTCCATAAACCGAAATCTGTCTTGTAGTTATTCCACATGATGCATCATCACAAATCAACCAGCCTGCATAATATAATGAAATGTGCTTTCGAATGGTATATTCTAGCTGAGCTGTTAGTTTTATAAGGGGAAAAGTAAAGTCACATCTTCCGCATGTAATTCCATTAAAGGTCACTTTGTAATCCTTGGATAATTGTATACCACCAAATCGAAAATGATGACCACATTTACAGTGCAATACCATGTAGCTCGATTGTCGGAATTTCTCCGTGTCGGATAACTTTGACTCCATTGGCATAAGATCGTCCAAGGAGTCTCCATTCTTCACTTTCATTATATACCGTTTGGTGTCAATTCCTAAAGACGATGCTACACGCATCATATCAACAGATTCAATTTTGTCCAACAATCTCTCAACTGGAGCAAATATCTGCTTTTCAAGATAGTACACAGGGTCTGGCTTCAATTCAATGTTTTTTACGCCTAGCATATCTTGTATGGATCTTGCCCTTTCAGCAACTGATGAGTTGTCATTGTCGTCAACAGGGGCAGTGATAACGTAAGCAATCACACTACCAGCTTTAATCACTTTACCTTGTTCTTTCAACTTCAATGCCACCTGCACTTGTGGCATATTTTTTCCATTGGGATAATTGGCGGGATCCTTCGATAACTTGGTGTTGATCTTGTACTTTATCAGAGGAATCTCATTTGCAAGAATCTTGTCCCTCATTTCTTCCAAATATTTGTACACTTCAGATAATGCCTCCTCGGGATCAGTGTCAGACAATATTTTCATCAAAACAAATGTGGAAATCTCTTTTGAAAGCTGACAATACTCACGTCTTCTCATATCCAACCCTTTCACCTCCAATGTGACAACCTCCTCACCATTCGCTTTGTTTATCGATGCATTCATAGCTGCATACTTTTTCTTTGCATGCAATAATAATCTTTTGAATACATTATCAATATCGATTTCCAACAATCTGTACCTTTCATTAACTTTTACTTTAAATTCCTCACCAATCTTAACAGCATCTTTAAGGTTATCGGCACCTGTGTCAATCATCACGGAATCCGTATCACCATAAACGACTCTTAAGCTGCTCAACTCTGCCAATTGCCTAGTATCCATCAAAATTTCCCTTCCTTTGTTGGTAACTAACATAGCCAACGGTTTCGCATAAAACCTTGAATTGACATACCCCAAACAACCGTACATAGAATTAGCAGTTAATTTAAGAGCCTGTTGCTTAATATCGTATTGAGCTTTTTGGAATGGAGTATTCTTTGGATCTTTTAAAAGCTTTTTAACTTCACGACGACGGGAAACTAGTGTGTTCAATAGTTTGGGCAATACTCCGGTATTTGTATCATTATCGGGTAGAATTGGCAAGTCTCTGTCTTCATCGTGAGTGATGTTGAATCGGTCTCTATCAACCGTTGTAAAACATATGTTGTACTCTTGAATAATACTGGGATACAATGAGTTGAAATCCATAACCAAAACATAGTTTTTATGCAAACCCTTTTCTGGTTCAAAAACTAAACCACCCTGGTACTTTGGCTTTTTATTTGATGTTGATGTTTGCACATCCTCACCAACACTTTCCAACTTGGCCTGCTGTTGAAATGAAGTATTCTTGTGTGACGCATCCTCTTTATCTGGCACAATATAGTTGTTCTTTTTGAACTCATGCAATAAAATATATTCATTTCTACCAGCTCTTGTTCCACTTAATGTATGTGACCAGGCATTACCTGCAATGTTGGTCAACTGTTTTGACAAAGAAAGAATTTGAATTGCAAATGCTATTTCACTAGTCATCTTTGCGTTGATCTCATTCTCCTTCAATGCCAAGAGTAACAATGTTGCATCATCAGCAAATTTGGAATTTTGAAAGTTTATCTCCATTGAATCGTGCTTTTTATTACAAACGACATCGTACATTTCGGCTAAATCCCAAGATTGACATTTCGTGGTGAGCGATTGGCCCATTTCATTAGCAATGTCGCATAGTAATCTCCCTTGAAAAACTTCTCTAATAAGCAAGTTGTTGTTGTAACTGGAGTTGTTGCTGTTACTATTGTTTTTATTGATCAAATGTGGCCACTGTTTCCTATTTCTTCTTCCAAAGGCTGACCAAGTCATCACTTGATTATCATGCATTCTGTGCACCAACACATCGAGCGAAATATTCTCCAAACGATGACCAATAAAGACATCTGGATCTAGCATTTTGACCTTGGCAGCTACAGCGTTCAACAATACCTTCTCGTTGGGACACATCCTTAATTGGAAATTTTCCTTTTGAGCAAGTTGGGAAACTCCGGGAGGAAACGAAATTGATCCAACTGGTCTAACAAGCGTGAGTATATCATTCGGTTTCAATCCCTCTGGAATTGGTGCGTCTTGAGGCAAATCGAAATATGTTGCCAACGAAACTGACACCACTTCTTGTTTGTTACGTTTCGGATTCATCACTGTTTGCACTGAGATAGATGTACATGTCAAATTAGGTGCTGAAGGGGCATTGTCAACAACAACTGATATTTTATTTGGCAGACTAACTGAAACTTCCACTTGACAATGTGACGAATTCTGTATTGCATTAAAGTCACCACCTTGTATCTCAAGCCAACTTGGACCCATAACATTCCTCTGTGTCACAAACGACTCAAACATATTAGTATTGGTACCAAAAACATGTCGAAAAGTTTCGCCTTCCGTGTCTGCAGGTAGAACCTTTTTGTTGGTTGCTGTATTGAAGGGTAATAGTACTTTTAAATATTCGGCTTCCTTAGGTATATGAGCCAATTCGAATGCATATTTCTTTGTTTCTGATTTTGCTTTAAATGCCTCTAGCCTATAATGTTGCATAAAGAAAGGGGTGATTTCCTCAAGAACGTCATCTGTTGTAACAGTTGTTGATGTATCTTCTTCACCATCAACTAGCCTATGTTTCCTTGGCAAGATGAACAATTCACGGCAAATGCCATTAACTTGTACAACACCAGATACCAACTTATTTTCCTTTGTTCTTATCTTACCGAATAACAAAAGGGAATTGTCCACCTCTGCATAATCCATCCAAAACATCTTGAACAGACTAGAGTCGCCGTCAATCTCATCTTGGTCAATTTTCTCTGTATGATTTGCAAAAGATGTGTGTGTAGTTGCCGCACCAGGCTTTAGTGAGTCAATTTCAACCTTGACAGATGATACAGTTGCTTCGCTATTGGCTTTTTTCACGGCAGAGGCTCTAGGTCTTCTAGTGATAATGACTTCGTCGTCGTCTTCTTCTTCTTCTTCTTCTTTTTCTTTTTCCTCTTCTTCTTCCTGCTTCTTCAAATCACCTGCCTCCTCATACTGATTTGCTGGTTTCTCAATATCAATTTCTGAACAAAGTTTACTTGGCGATGACGTAGAGTTAATGCCCATGCTTTCCGGTTTCTCCAGCATCGATTTAATTGGCGAGGAAGGTTGGTCGAAATCATCGAAATCTACGGTATAATCTGATGATGCATTGAATGGCCCGACAGCATTAGTACTACGCTTTTCTTTCGATACAGTTGAAAATGCAAAAAAGCTATTATTTTTCTTATTCCTTTTGTTGTTCTTATTTTTGTTTTCAGGATTGATACTGCTTGAAAAGGTATTCAGTATGTTTGACTTTTTCTGAGAGGGCTTAACGTCATGAAACCCATCGAGAATATCATCAATGTTTGTATCAACTCTTTTATTTTGGTTAGAGTCAACCCCACTAGAAGGTTTGAAAAAATTATTAATTTGGGCAGTCTTTGCAATCTTTACCGGTTTCTTACCATCTTTAGTATTCTTTCTCCTCTTTTTCGATGATGAAATATCGTCTTCTTCTTCATCAGAATAATACTTTGGTCTCGATGTGTCGTCTTCCCATTCGTCAGCCCCATTGTCAACGTATCCTTCTCCATTATCGTTAACAACAAAATCATCATTCATCAACTGGTTCCTCTTATGTTCTCTAAAAGTTTCTTCGTCTACCTCATCGTATATTTGGTTCAATTTCAAATCTTCATCCAGATCAAAAACGACATTTCCTCCAAGTCGCCTAGCTTCTTTCAATTGTCTTAGCTTCTCTCGTCTAGCTTCTCTCGACAGCATTACAAATCCTTATACAAGTGGAGGAAAAAAAGAAAATAAAAATGAAAAGCTATTGGTAAAAGTGTTACTTCAAACAAAAACAACAAAAGAAAAAAAGAAAAAAGGGCGTTTTAATAAAAAGATATATAAAGATCACTGGTTATTACTTGAACATTAAAAAAAAAAGAGTTGATGATACGCGTTTTTCGTGAACATACAATTTACATCAAAACCCACCCAGACGCGTTTCACACATGAAGTGGACAAAAATATAGAAACCTCAATAATTTGGGCATAGATATAAAAAGCCAACATTGCAATAATATGAAAAGTAGTAGTTGGTAGTAATTAGTGGTGGTGGTGGTAGTCATTGGTAATGGTAGCGGTGATGGGGTTGGGGGTTGGAAATGTACATAGAGATAGAGAGATATGGTGGTGTAGATGGAGATGGATGTGTTGATGATGATGATGATGATTTTTTTTTTTCTCCTCCTTTACTTATCACCAAGTAATTTTTTCGGTATCAAACCTCTTACAACTCTATCTTTAATGATACCGCCAAATTCGCGGAGAATTTGAGGATTACCCAATAATTGTTTAATCAAATCCCATATGAAATTAGCCTGTTTAAGAGATGAAATAAGATCCATCAAGTTGAAAGCGTGAGACTGCAAAATAGAAACCAAAAAATGAGCATTTGCTTCAACCAATTCGGGAGAAGTCAACAAATGAGTAATCACGGCAATAGCCAATCCAGATTCTCTTAGGGAGATAAACAATTGATCCAAAAGGACACTTTCCCTTTTGCTAAGGGAAATAGCAGAAGCAGGTGCAGAAGCAGCAGGTGCAGAAGCAGCAGGTGCAGAAGCAGGTGCAAAAGCAGGAGCACCATTCTTGGATTCAATACTGCTTTCAGCAAAGCTCAGTTGATAATCTTCTCGTTTGTTAAACAAATTAAAGTTCAAATCACTTTGACTTATGACTTCCCTGGTAATATTGATCAAGCCCGGTAAAATATCGGGATCTTCCAATCCCAAGGCCAATGTATCCAAAGCCAAGCCTGAAGTTTCCAAGGCATTCAATAAATCAGTCAAACTAATCAACCTCAATCTTATAATCCAAATTGTTGTATTTATTGCAATTTCCAAAAATTCTGGCCTTAAAAGAACAAAGTCAATCACCATAATAGCCAAGCCAGAGTCATTTAAATAAGTCAAAATCGTATCCAATATCGGGAAATCAGATCTTCTAGTCAAATGAGCAAAATTAGATCCAAACTTGTTTCCTTGTACATAACTGGGGACATGATGATGCGCATTAAAATCCTGCAATGCTAATACCAATGAGTCAAGCTTTTCGGTGGATGCACTCGAGTCTAAAGCAAGGTTGGAGGTGAGATTAGTTGCCAAAGTGGCAGCAGTAGCGGCTGCGGCTGCGGCTGCAGCATCAGCAGGCGTTGCCTGTGCAGCATTCAACAAAACACTCAAGTAAAAGAAATTGTTTACTACTCTCATCAAGGTTGATATGGTACAAAAGTTACAAATCTACACCCATTACCAAAGATTAACTGCCTTATATACTTTTCCACCACCATCTCCCAACACCATCACTACCACCTCCTTTTCCTTCTTAGCCTCTTCTCCCTTTCTCTCTGGATAAGTTTCCCCAATTTTGATTTTGGGAAACTCGATGCAATGGAAGTTATAACTTCAAATGCAAAAAGAAAGAAAGAAAGAAAGAAAGAAAGAAAAAAAAAAAAAAAACCTTCTACGTGAGGAATAATTTTGAAATGGCAAGTCCTAAACCAGTACTGTCATATGCATGACTGAAACTAGGGAAATAAGCGTCAAGTTGTTATCAATTGGAAGGTGTACATCAGGAGTTCGAGATCTACTTATTGTTGCCCTATCTTGTGGTTTTCAAGAAGTACTAAATCTTCGCCTTTCCATATAGTTAAGCGCGCGCGCGCTGTGCGCTCCTGCACTTTTTGTCTTCAAGATATTGAGATACGATTTAACCAGCACCGTTTTCCAAAAAGCACAGTTGTGTATATCCTAAAATACAGGTTTCCTTAGATTACTATAGCTTTTGGATCTGTTACTAAATACGGTAATTGAGAAGATGTCGTTTGCTAATATTGATCTCGAGGCTCAGAAACAGCCATTAGTGAAAAAATCGCCAGTTACAAACTACCATTCTACAGCCTCCCCCACTAAAGATGACGCAACTGAAGGCACAGAGACATTGGAAATGATAATACAAAAGACTTCCGAGCAGCTACAACACTTTAACCAGTTGATTTCCCAGTTTGACTCTCAGCGCAGACAACTTGGATCGAAGCGAGATTCGATTCAGCTTCGAAACAATATTGACGCCTTAGTCGAAGATATATCGCTGCTCTACACAGCAATACAGTCATTGATGTCTAATTTATCCTTGTTGATCAACAGGTCAACAAATGCAAATCTTGCTAATAGCAGTGTCGTCAAGGTGTCGAGCCGGCAAACTATTATGAAGGAAAGACTTAATAGTGAGTTTCACAATCTAGACAAGAAATTTCGACACCTCGTTACAGTGTATAAGGAAAGGAAAGATATGATAATTTTGAATGAAAGGGAACCAGCAAAAGAAGAATCAGATGAGCAGCACCAGATGCAAAAACAGACACAAATGGAACAAGAAGTAGAGGATCCTGATTTGGTTGAACAAACAGAGTTACAGTATCACTTGTTGCTCACCGAGGAGAGAAATAGGGAGATTGAACAAGTATCAGAGGGTATAATGGAGGTGAATGCAATTTTCAAAGATCTCAATCAGCTTCTTCATAGTCAAGGTGATCAAATTAACAGTATTGAGGATAACATCTTGCAATTGCATGGACACACACAACAAGCTGAAAGAGAATTGCACAAGGCTCATGAATATGGAAAGAAAAAGGGTAAATGGTCATGTATACTACTTATAGCAATGACCGTTTTCCTTCTAGTTGTAGTTCTCATTGTAATAAGCTAACAAAAGCCAAAAAAAACAAACAAACAAACAAACAAACAAAACAAAGTAAATGCACACACACTCTCTACTTAACAACACACTAATCCAAACTGACTACACTTGTAGCAGCACTGTTATCGTTGTCTTCCTCTTCCTCTTCCTCTTCTTCTCCTTCCATGTCTGTGTCTATCTCCAGAAAATCTGTAGTATCTGGAGTAGAAACGTTTTCGTAGTCACTCTCTCCATCCCTCAAATTTGACCCGGTAGCTCTTGCTTCAGAAAGCTCAAAATCATCGATATCATCAGCATATATCACTTGCGAGTTTTTGATTTTGACCTTATCCAACCTCTGTCGACAATAGTCTGCACTTTTGGTAAATATCGTTTCTGCTGCTTGTAAAATAGCCTCTTGGTTATTTGCCACCGCCATGCCTGCACCAACAGCAGCGCCTATTGCAACAGCAATTTTCACTGAAAATGGAATAGCTTGATAAGACAAACAAAAAAAAAAAAGAAGGGTTAGATAAGCTGGATTTGTAATAAATAGAGACAATTTAACGTACTGAAAAACGGCATATTTATCAAGACTTTCTTACTCCTACTATTATTTGCTCTCTGTAGGAAATGAAATAAATAGGTATTGAATAAATAAGAGCTCCTATGGGAGGAGGAGGAGGAGGAGGAGGAGGAGAAGGAAGAAGTTTTAAAAGATAAAATTGTCACACTGAAATAAAAAGGGATAAGTCTTTATGTCGCGAACATAATATATTAAACGACACTAGGTGACACTATCGAGAAACACTATCGAGCAGAGCGAGATAGTGTTGTGATAAGCTACTAAGTGTTGCTCAATAATGTTGTAACAAGCTACAAAGTGTTGCTCCACTATTGAGCAGCACTATCTCGCTCTGCTCGATAGTGTTGTAGCAAGCTACTAAGTGTCGCTCAATAATGTTGTAACAAGCTACCCAGTGTTGCTCCACTATCTCGCTCTGCTCGATAAGTACTGAATGATTCTATATAAAGCTAGTTTGCGCTTGAGCTCTATGTATAAGAGATAAGCTAATAGCCAATGAAACAAGATTGTTTCTATCTATAATTCATGAAACTCTATCGAGCGAAGCGAGATAGTGTCGATAGTGTCAATAGTGTTGTTGAGGTAGAGAGTGTGATAGAAAGTAAGCACTTTGACCATTTCTAATGAGGGTCAGTATCTTTTATTCTCTATAATTCGCGCGATAAGGATCTTGATATCAAAAGGTCCACTGGTTAGTATGTCAATGACACTATCGACACTATCTCGCTCTGCTCGATAGTGTCCATAGCATGGCTACAAAGGGCTGCTCCACTATCTCGCTTCGCTCGATAGTGAATTCTTCCTCCTCAAGTTTTTTTTTCATTCCTTTTTTTCTTCTTCTTAGTTTCCGTTGTAGTTGTAGTTGTTGTAGTTGTAATTGTCTATTGAAGTTGAACCTCGTTGCATTGAGGTTTTCTTCACCCCAGTTATGTCATTTCATCCGCAGGTTAGTGATTCCTTTGATAACACATTAACTACTGGGTCGCTACGAAGTACAAAGACAGGGTCTTGGATAAACCAAGAGAAGATCCGCGAAGTTAAAAGATTCAATGATTTTAGAACAATAGACTGGGTAGAGGACGAACTTGATGAGCAGAAACAACGATTTCTAAAAGTCAAGCGAATCTCAAGTAAGGGAAGCAATTTCAAGGATAAAGTAATATCACAGGTACTCAATTGGCTTGTGCTAGCGGCAATGGGAATTATTATAGGTTTAATTGCAGGAATCTTGAACATAGTAACATCCTTTCTTGCGAGTATAAGAGTAGGACATTGTAAAGAGACTTTCTACTTGAACGAATCCTTTTGCTGCTGGGGCGAGAATAACGAACATTGTGAAAAATGGCAGAGCTGGTCCCGTTTTGAAGTCTTGAATTATTTCATGTTTGTTGTTTTATCACTCACAATGTCATTAGTAGCCGCCAAGTTGGTCAAGTTTTACGCTCCGTTTGCCGCTGGTTCAGGTATATCTGAAATCAAGTGCATCATATCGGGGTTCGTTATGGATGGCTTTCTAGGATGGAAGACACTTTTGATCAAAAGTATTGGATTGCCCTTGGCAATTGGCTCTGGTTTAAGTTTGGGCAAAGAAGGGCCGAGTGTTCACTATGCAGTATGTGTCGGTAACTCAATTGCCAAGTTGGTAGCAAAGTATCGAAAATCAGCTTCAAAAGGTCGGGAGTTTTTGACAGCAACTGCTGCCGCCGGCGTAGCTGTTGCATTTGGTTCGCCTATAGGCGGTGTATTGTTTGCTACTGAGGAAATGTCCTCTGTGTTTTACTTGTCCACGTTGTGGAAATCGTATTTTTGCTCCTTGGTTGCAGTTACAACATTGGCGACAATGAACCCTTTTAGAACAGGCCAATTGGTGTTATTTGAGGTAACGTATGATACAAACTGGCATTATTTTGAGATTCCAGTATACATTGTTTTGGGAATCTTTGGAGGGGTGTATGGAATAGTAGTGTCGAAATTGAATATTCGAGTGGTTGCTTTTCGAAAGAGATTTCTTGCAAACTGGGCAGTACAAGAGGTTTTTCTATTGACTTTGCTCACTGCAAGTTTCTCGTATTTCAACCAGTTTTTGCGGTTGGATATGACAGAGTGTATGCAGATTTTGTTTCACGAATGTGATGCAAATTTCAACAATCCTATTTGTGACCCAGAGCAAAGAAAAGCTGGCATTTTCGTATCCTTGCTATTTGCAACAGTAGCAAGGATGGGTCTAACAATAGTCACGTACGGTTGCAAGGTACCTGCTGGAATTTTTGTACCATCAATGGCAACTGGTGCGACATTTGGAAGAGCATTGGGCATCTTGGTGGACTATATATATCGCCGATATCCAGAGTTCTTTTTGTTTTCGGCATGCCGCGATGAAGAAAAATGTGTAATACCGGGAATCTATGCCTTTTTAGGAGCTGCTGCTGGATTGTGCGGGATAACAGATTTGACAGTAACTGTTGTGATTATTATGTTTGAGTTAACAGGAGCGGTTCGTTATATTATTCCAACAATGATTGTAGTTGCAATCACAAAAAGTATTAATGACAAATGGGGGAAGGGGGGCATTGCTGATCAGATGATTCAATTCAATGGGTTACCGTTGATTGACGCAAAAGAGGAATTTACATTTGGTACAGATGTGACATCGGCTATGTCTACCGTGGTTGTTGCTTTTTCAAGTGACGCAAACAATGTATTGACCGTGGGCCAGTTGAGAAAGATTTTGACAAAAACCGATTATCGTGGTTTCCCAATTATTCTTTCTGGAAACAACCCCAAATTGTATGGTCACATTTCGCGATACGAACTAGAGCACATTCTTTCTCAACACAGAGACATAAATGAAGAGTCCTTGTGCAACTTCAATAAGAAGGAAAGCGGTTTCGTAAACAGACTAGATTTCAGTGGTTTGGTCAATACGTCACCGTTAACAATAAGTTCTAGCACTTGCTTGGAATACGTTTTGGACATGTTTGTAAAACTAGGTCCAAGGTACATTTTGGTTGAGCAAGATGGTTTTTTGATTGGTATCATTACAAGAAAAGATATTCTACGATACGAATACTCAATGCATGCGACCGATGATGCTCAACAACAGCGGCAAGATGAACAAGATGCAAAAGTTTGGGAGTTTATCAATTTGACCATTGTATCAATGAAGAAGAATTTGGGTAAACTTTTATTCAATGACCCTACTAGGTATCTAGTTTAAAGAAACAGAAAGGGAAAGGGAAAAAAAAAAAAAAGAATGAAAATAGATTGATGTTTTAGGCTTTCCATTTTCCATGATCCTTGTAACTATTGTACAAACTTTTAAACAAAGCCTTTCCGGCATAATCAAGGGACGCATTAATGGTTTCAAGCTCATTCTGAGATAGGATGTTAAACATGCTGTATATGCCCTCAGTCAAAACATCATTTACCTGCTTGCTATAATTGAACTTCAAATGAAAGTAAACGTAATTACTCATCAATACTGATAGGTGCTTTCTCAATGATTTTTTGTACAAGTTTGCAGAAGTGGTTAAATGTGCCGTGGTGGTAGCTGTGGAGGAGGAGAAAGAGGACGTTGGGGAGGAAGAAGAATCCCTAATTCGTTCCGAAGGCTCACAGATATTGTTCAATAATCTTGCGTACGAACTTGCAGCCTCGACACTATTTTTCCAAGGTGACTGCATACTTAAACGATTCAAAAATGAAGACATTATGCTAATAAGGAGGTGATGACGTGTAGATAATTTATAGCGATGGTATAACAAGATGCACGATATGACTTGTGTCGCGGTGATATAGACTTTTTCAAGTTGTTTGATATCTGTGAAACATAGCACTGCAAATATGTGATTCGTGATGTTTAATGTCAATTCAAGTATATATTGAGTAAAAATACCCGATTTTGTAATGAGTGCAGTCTTGACTGTTTCCAAAAGCGTTATGGCTGTACCAAAATCCACATTTTTCCCTTTAACGTTCACCAAAAACGAAAATAAGCTAGCACTTGTTTTAGAATCTGTGTCTTTTGTAAGTGTTGATAGGAACGAACAAGCAATCATGATCAAGTCATTTACAAACTCGTTGCTTTCTGAGGCCATAGCAGACCCAATGAAATTTCTAAACACATCCGTGTGCACCTCCAAATCATCACGGGCTACTCTCTCCAAATAATGTGATAATTCTTGAAACTCGGCAGTTTTATTCAGCTTTGTTGTTGTTGTTGTTGTTGCCATATATAGAGCCAATAAGTATATCGCATGATTAAAGCTAACAGGTATTGCCCTACCCACAAGCTTGAATATCGCCAGCCTTATGCAATCATTTTTTGTTTTCTCCAAGTTGATGTTTTTCACAATTTCTTGCACTTGAGCAAATGACAGTTCCAGCGGGTCAACTCTTGATGCGAGCGCTTGCAAGTACCAAACCATAGTAGTGTCATCATATTTTATGGTTGAGCTTTTCAACACAGTTGTGCAATGTAACAAAAGCTCATTGTGTAGCTCAATGACTTTCTGCTGCAATGGTAATGGAGTTTCCGCAATGCATCCTGATATTACTAGGGCAAGTTGAATCTCTGGAGATCTTGGGTCCATCATTGTTGAGTTAAGAACGCTAGTTAGTCTCATTATAACATCTATAACGTAGGTAGTAGGCTCACCATTTTGTCGTTGGTTCAAATTTGAAGTCCATACCAAATAAGTTATCTCCGAAATCAATAACTCCCACTCACCGCTTGATCGTTCAATAACTTGCAATAATATACTGAAATCCAGCTCGATAAGAGACTGATAAGAAGGTATGCTCAACAAGTACTTAATGCTCTTAGCCCAGCCCACTGAAGGATTTTGAATAAATACTTTGGTGGCTTTGTCTAGTATTTCTCTTTTCAGCCCCTTTGTATAACAAGCTAAAGGAATTTGTCTTATGAGCTCATCATTAGGGATTGGGGTCTCAACCAAATGCCTAATTGTTGCCGATACTAGTCTACGTTGTTCAAAAAATTCATTTGGAATATCCTTTAAAGCTTGCGAGTTCATTGCTAATAAAATCAATTTGTCCACGTTTTCAGCGCTAAAAAAGTCATTAAATATAACAAACCATCTTTTAAAAGCACCAACAACGGCACTAGTATCAAGAGTTTGGAGTGCTGACATAAAACGCACAATTTGAAACTGCTGACTATCTGTGACTTCCTCAACTTTTCCTAATTCAACAAGCCTGAGAATTGTATAGTAAAAGTATAAATCATCCTCCAGGTTAAGAATACTTTCGGGTATTTTAAATTGTAAACCGTACAAACAAAGCAAGTTGTACCGCACTTGCCAAAAATCACTTTGGAGGTTAATAACATTTTCGTTTCGAAGAAAAACATCCTTTGAGTAGTCTATTATTTTCCAGGTGCATTTCATCATCATCATTCCACTCGTGATTGCTGTGAGAATTGGTTTCATATCAATTGTATCCAATTTGAAAGATTCCTCTATTATGAGAGAAAGCTGCTTTCCCGATAAGGACAGTATTGTGGTAGCAACCTTGCTGACAAATTCATCACTTTCCCATACCTCATCCTTCTTTATGGCTTTTGGCCAAACCTTGGTGAAAAACTCAAATAACTCCCTATTCTCTACATATGCATCTACAACGACTTTCCCTACTGCTAGTACTTGATCATCTAGCTTAAATGCGGAATTGTATTTTTCAAAAATGAACTTTGATTTTTTAGTTGCAAGTTCACTGTCAACCTCAAAAATGTATTTGACCATACTCCAGTTCAAATCGATGAATTTTTTGTCGGCTATCTCCGATTTGTATATAGCACTTGTGAAATCCAGGGATATTGGTTTTTTCGAATTCACCAATATACCCAACATGTCTTCTGATAGGTGTTTATACTTGGAAGATAGTAACACGTAAATTTGTTCACATTCTTTTATACTCTTTGATGCTAGGTGCTCAACCACGAGAGCATAGAGATATAAAACTGCTTTCAGGTCAAGGCCTGCCAGATGTTTGGATAATAGCTTTTCGAGATTAACTGGTATTCGATCAACATATTCTGGAGCAAAGATTTTCTCAACAAGAAGTGACTTGAGCACCAGTTTTGAAGTCGAGCTGAGCTTGCCTGGAGATGATGATGATGACAACTCCACCACCACCACTACCTCAATTAACGGCAAAAGACACTCTTCAAAAAATTTATTGTACAGTTTTTTAGAGCCTTCGTATCCCAACCTCAGACAAGAACCAAGATAAATTCTCACCACCAACTGCGACCAAGCATCTATATCTCGAAAAACTGTTTTCCCAACAAGAGCTGATAGGTATCCCTTTAGTAAGAAAAATCCCGTAGGTTCATCCACTTCCACATACGTGTAGTTCATTAGCATGTTCAAGGCATCAAGAATTTTTGGTAGACAATTGGCTGTTTCTGGTGTAATTTGGTTCAACACTTGCGTTGTAATCTCAAAAATCTTCAAACTTTGCACAATCCTATCACGAGTATGAACATCATTATAATCGGCGTCGGAGACACCTAAGCTTTGCCACGTTTTAATGAATAAATCCCACACATCCACACTAAATTTCCACTCGCTGAATTTCGAATTTGCCGACCTATCGTTTAAACGGTCAACTAGTAGCTTCAAGATAAAGATTCCACTTTTGGGGAAATAGATATTAAAACTTTTCTTATCTAGCACTTTATTGGCATATTTTACTATAGTGTCGAGCTTTTCATCTTTAGATCTAAGTAATCTGGTAATAGTTTCTGCCGAAACTGGTGCCAGCATTGAATGTCTACCCGAATTCTGCACCCTTATACAAGAAATGCTTCTCAAGATGCTTTCTAAACGTTTTTTTCTTCTCACAAAGTTGAAAAATTCGATGCTCATCGCAAAAAGAACCAAAAAACTTGAAGAAGAAGAAGAAGAAGAAGAAGAAGAAGAAGAAGAGGAAGAAGAAGAAGAAGAAGAAGAAGAAGAAGAAGAAGAAGAAGAAGAAGAAGAAGAAACGGAAACAGAGTGGAGATGCAAAGTAGGAGATGTAGAGTGGAGATGCAAAGTAGGAGACGCAGAGTTGTAGAGGTAGAGCTAGAGAAGTCGAGTTGTAGAGACAGAGCTGGAGGAGTAGAGCTGTAGAGGCAGAGTGGAGATGCAAAGTAGGAGATGTAGAGTAGGAGACGCAGAGTTGTAGAGGTAGAGCTAGAGGAGTCGAGTTGTAGAGGCAGAGCCGGAGATGTAGAGCTGTAGAGCTAGAGCTAGAGAAGTAGAGTTGTAGAGACAGAGCTGGAGAAGTAAAGTTGTAGAGGTTGGGAATTATGAAAAGTAACAAACGATCCCACTTGACCCCAAAAAAACAATAAAGATGATTTATTTGTACATTGAAGCTCATACACTGAAAAAACAGTCAGTAGCGGTGACAGTCGGTGTAGTCAGTAGCGGTAACAGTCGGTGTAGTCAGTAGCGGTAACAGTCGGTGTAGTCAGTAGCGGTGACAGTCGGTGTAGTCATGTCGGTGACAGTCGGTGCTGCTCCGCTATCTCGGTTCGCTCAATAGTGTCGATTTCTATATCAACAAAGTTTCAATTTTGTCTTTGATACCGTAAATTTGGTTCTTGATAGAAGAGGCGTCATTTGTTGTCACAGAAGCAGAAATGACCGGCCTCGAAACACCGCACGCTCTACCCAAAGCAGCCTTGCTTGGAACAAACACATATGGAACATTCTTATCCTCGCACAATAACGGCAAATGCAATAAAATCTCAATAGGCTCAGCGTCAGCAGCCATGATTATAAACTCCGAAATACCTCTATTCAACGTCTTGGTGGCCTCATTGGCCCCCTTCTTCAATTGTCTCAAATTCTGTGCTTGTTGAACAACATCCAAAATCTGCTGGGTCAAAGCTGAATCGGCTAATGGGAAAGCTTTTGGATTCGGTGAGGACATTTCCTATAGTTAGTAAATTGTAATGTAGTGGTCGGTTCCTTGCCAATATGCTCAAACAATAAAAGCTCGCCTTAAATCTCACTGGTGGTCCTATAAAAGCTTAACTTGTATAGATAGATATATATAGTGTCTCTATTCCTTTTTCTTCTGGCAAAAGGCGATGAGGCTTTTTGGAAAAAAAAAAAAAAAAAAAAAATTCCTTCAAAATGACATTTGGTAGCGAGCAGAGAAATAAGGTCGTGTACAAGAACCCAAAGAAGCACCGTTAATTTTAATTTCAGTTTTCAGCAAATAGCTTTTATATATATATATAAAACCCTTGTTAAAGTTGAATTAAGAAAGGAAGATTCCTATTTTCAGTCAGTTAGAGGTATTAAAAGTTGCATATATAGAGAAGTCATGTCAGATTTATGGTATGTACATACAGAGAAACGGTAGATGGTAGAGGTGAATGGATTTTTGGAAGAAGGTAAAGGTGAAGGGATTTAAGAAGAAGGTAGCTTTAATGGAAAGGGCAAGATTGCTTTAAGGTTTAATTGAACTGTTTATGGGGGGCAGAGAAGAGGAGAGAAAGCAGATGCAGTGGTGCTGGTGAGATAAAGATGCAGTGGTGCTGGTGAGATAAAGATGCAGTGGTGGTGAGATAAAGATGTAATGGTGCTGGTGAGATAAAGATGCAGTGGTGCTGGTGAGATAAAGATGCATTGGTGCTGGTGCCAATCCTTATTCAAAAAAGACATGCTTCACTATCTCGCTCTGCTCGATAGTGTCGATAGTGTATCAGTCTTTTCTTCCTTTTTTTCCATTTTTCCAACTACTATCCTACTACTTCCAGATTCCACTATACTAACCCTATATTTTAGCCCAGTTTACGCTCCCTTCTTTGGATCTATGGGTTGCGCAGCCGCAATTGTGTTTACCTGTTTTGGAGCCTCTTATGGGACTGCCAAATCCGGTGTTGGTATTTGTGCCACATCTGTTACCAGACCTGACTTATTAGTGAAAAATGTTGTTCCGGTTGTTATGGCAGGTATTATTGCCATTTACGGGTTGGTTGTTTCTGTTTTGGTGAGTGATTCTTTGTCTCAAAAGCAGGCATTATATACAGGTTTCATCCAATTAGGAGCCGGTTTATCAGTTGGGTTATCAGGTTTAGCTGCCGGTTTTGCAATTGGTATTGTTGGTGATGCCGGTGTTAGGGGTACAGCTCAACAACCAAGATTGTTCGTTGGTATGATTTTGATTTTGATTTTCGCCGAAGTGTTGGGTTTGTATGGATTGATTGTGGCATTGTTATTGAACTCAAGAGGATCTCAAGATGTTACATGTTGATCATCTCTCAAGCTTTTCTTCCATCGCAATTGAACAGCAACAATACAACAACAACAAGAAAGAACAATTGGTTCTTGCAGTATGTGACTCATTAAGGGCGTGAATAGTAGTATTACACTTTGTTTTTCTTTCTCAATTCTTAAAAAGAAAAAGGGAAAGAAATGAAAACGAATTCTTATACATTGACAATCTTACTCTATAAAAATCTGACCAATCTTTGTAATTGTTTTACATCTTAACGCCAATACAAGAGATTCGACGTTGGGTGGAATCGGTTCCACTATCTTTCTCCAGTCATGCTCATTTAAAAGATCTTGGTCCTGTTCCATTATTGAGTATGTATAAAGCTGTTCTCCCTCCCTCTTTTCCTCGTCCGACGCTTCCGTCTCGAAATTATCAATCAACTCTACCATAATAAGAAGGTCAGGCAATCGAAGTTTCAGATCTGGTGAAAGAAATGGAAGAAATTGACTCAACAATAGTGGGCAAAATTTCTTTGGTAAAAACTGAAATTTCAACAAGTGAATGATTTTGGAAAGTTTGGCTGCTACCTTGATACTCGAGTCACTCAATGAATCATAAAACTCCTTCAAGACTGCATAAGGCGAGATGCATTGCTGAATAATAGGATGCAATTCTAGATCAACTTTTTGGTCAATAATACTATTGATAAGTTCATCTCTAACGGGACTATTGTTGACAATGCAGTCCGTGAAAAGCACTTCCCACACAATGTAGTGGATTTTTTGCAATCCTTCTTGATGGGATTTGCCCGATACTTTGAGAGGGTCGTAACAATTCACAAAATGATTTAACGCCTCGTACAAGTAACCGTCATCAAATGCTTGTACACCAGCTTGAAAGTATAAATCCCGCGCCGTTGATGTTAAATTTAAATCTGCGCAAATAGCCAAGGCCCATTCTAGATCGTTATTGGAACCTACATTGTAATTTGGAAGAAAGTTGGCTATTGTGTTGCAATTATGCTCACGGCTTTCGGGTCTAGAATTGACCCATTCGTTGGACAATATTCCAACTCCCACAGGAACTAGTTCATACACGTTTAAACAGTTGTATGCATGACACAAAAGGAAGTACTCTGAAATCAACTTTTTGTTTAAAATGTTACCAGCAATGTCTTCTTTATTACCAAAGTAATAGTTCTTGAATAAGCCCTTCAATTCCATCAATATAGCCACATAGGACGCCGTGGCAGGGCTCAAGCTAAAAATTGTCTCCATCACCTTCATTAGGTTTTCTTCAAGAATATTGATAAAGGTTAATTCGGTTCGATCTTCTAGGTTGCCGTCTGTATCAGGCGACGACAACGACAACGACAACGACTGCGGTGGCGGTGGTGGTGGCTTTTCCGTTACTGCAGTGCGAAAAAAATTCTCATAAACTTGGTCGTTGTCCCGTATTTGGTACAAACATAATGCAAGGTACACATCGTACCAGGTGTTACTGTATATAGCGATGGTTCTTGGAAGTCCCGTCATTACACAGGCAATGTCATAGATTTGTGTGAGCATGATTCTGTGATGGGCATTCTCAACAACCTGACTTGTATCATTTTTCAGCAGAGACAATGAGTCTCTAAATTCACAGGCTAGCAACTTCCATTGTGGGAATTGTCCCTTTAATGCATATGATGTATAGGTGGTCAATAAATTCTTAATGTCTTTAATTGCGCAAAATAAGAAAGGATTTAACTCTTCGAGCTCCTCATAATTGGAGTGTTGTATCACTTCATCTGCTTGCTGGAATAAGCCTCTACTAACCATTTTACAAACCAAACTATTCCAAAAGAGAGGGTGCATATAACTGTTTTCGTGATCAACCATTATTTCGTTAATCAATTCACTCGAGGGCTCGGGATCAAAGTTGTTAACCCAATCGATTACCATTTCTGGTTTTCTTCTCACGTATCCATAAAAATACGTCGATGCAATGCACTTCAAAATTGAAAGTACATCGCGTAACTTTTCCTTCTCCGTCATATCCTCGATATTATCGACAGGTTGCTCGGCAAAAATAGTTAAGTGGTCGACAATGTCTTGGAAAGCCTCATCTATCATTACCGACTCATTGTTGTTGTTGTTGTTGTTGTTGCTATTGCTCACCAGTTTGGAAATCACACCAATTGAGGGGGAACGCAAATAATCATTTTCTGTATCGTTTAAACTCGACAATAAGTTTTCCACCGTTTTGTAATTCGAGTTTACGTATTCTATGTAAGCCCTTTGGATCCTTGAAGAACTTCTTCCGCCATCACCACTACTTAACTTGTGGAGCTTGCCATCCGCATGGAATTCCAACTCCTTGTCGGAGTTTATCCAATCCATCAAATCAGGGTACTCATTATCCGGACAAAGAATTTGCGCCGTAGATAAAGGCGATAAATGTGGCAGGTGGCAGGGTGAATTGGTAGACGACTCAAACGTTCGTCCCTGTCCTTTTTCTCTTTCTTGTTCTTGTATTTGGCCCTCAGACAATTCTGGTGATTCTGACAAACTTTCAGTTTCAGAGGTGACCAGCACATCATCACCATCGTCCTCGACTTTTTCCGCATCCTGTGGAAGTTCCAACATCTCAATGTCCTCAAACTTTCTACTATAAGCTGCCGGCATGCTCTCTGCCATGGTTACTTGTACCAAACTGTTATATATGCAAATACAAAGTATCTACAATTGAGATTGAAAAAAAAAATATAAAAAAAAATTCAAGAACGAGAAGGAGATGCTCTGGCTTTATGAGAAGGAGATGCTCTGGCTTTATGAGAAGGAGATGCTCTGGCTTATGCTCTGGCTTTATGAGAAGGAGATGCTCTGGCTTATGCTCTGGCTTTATGAGAAGGAGATGCTCTGGCTTATGCTCTGGCTTTATGAGAAGGAGATGCTCTGGCTTATGCTCTGGCTTCATGCTCTGGCTTTATGCCCTGGCTTCATGCTCTGATTTTATGCATTAGCTCACTGTACTCAAGGTTCCGTGTTAAATATCTATACAAGACAATACAGCAAGAACTGTCTCAATAGTTCTACGTGATTTGTTAAAAATGGGTATTTTTGACACTCCTCTGGCTGCGATACATACATTTCAAGGAACTTTTTAGCTATTTTTGTATCGATAACTTTCATCATGAGCGTCTCGTCAGTATCATTATCATTATCGACTTCCATATCCTTTTGCAGAACCAGATGGATACACTCGTTCAGCGCAAAGTGAACCAACCATGGTTGAATGTCTTTAAGTTTCTCTATAAAATCTCGATTGGTGACTTCACCTAGTAAATACAATCCGCCTGAGGAAGTGCCAATGAAGGCCAAATCTTTGACTATATCATTACCTCCACTTGCTTTAACAATTGTGTTGATTTGGCCCCAATCAATATCAACACCCACCTTTTTGAAAAGCTTGCCATGGATATCAATATAAATTTTACCCAGAGTGTCGCCCGTGACTAGATATAAATCATTAGTACCAGTCAAAGTCATACACGTCAACAAGGCCCGGTCCTTTTCCAAGTGAAATTGCCATTGATGTCGTGCAAAGGTCACCATATCAAAACAACAAATTCCTTCAATTGCATCGGCAATGAACACCTCGTGTTGCGCAAACGATTGACTCACAGCAAAAGATGGAACTGTAGTATAATGTTTCGGTCTTGTCTTACATTTATATTGCCCGTCGTATATCAAGTCAACCGCAACCAAGACCGTGCCGGATATCATCAAGACTAAATGATTGTCATTATCATTGTCACTACTATCATCTGGATGAATTTGAGTCATATTTTGTAGCTTCACATCTTTAGTTATCCGTAAACCTGTTATCACACATTTCTCCCTTAGTTTTATTTTGGAATCCTGTATTCTAAACAATCCCAAGGGATACTGATCAGAAGATGATAGAGTTATAAAATCTATTCTGTCACTAACCGGAGCGATACCTGAAAATGCGCACTCGGATATTTCACACAAGTCAACTACTTCTGAATCATCATTAAACTTAAAAGTGTCAGTTACTTTGAAATCTCGTAACCGTACTAATACCAACTCTGTACGTATGTCCATATTCACCTGCAGCCTATCGTAGACAACTGCAACTAGATATTGGCCCTGGGGAAGGACAATACATTTCGTAAACAACTTGTTGGAATATAATACATTGAGTTCTCTAAAATGAGTTCTTGTGCCAAACTCGAGTTGTGCCCGTTCAGCAAGGCCATAACTGAACGTAACCAAAACTTCCTCCACCTTTGATTTACCCGTATTTGCTCCTGTAAACACTATTTCTGTCACGTTTGACTTTGGCACCCTTGTGAATCCATATATATTCAAATTTTCAATCATCCTAGGAACAATAATGTCGTGTGAGTTGAACATCACCACCTCAGATCCACGTCGTTTTATATGGTAGGGTTCCATGGAGTGTAAAACGGTCGAGCCCATACTAAACAACTTGGGACATTTTTCTCCTTGTCTTTCTATAGTGAGTTGTTGCACCTCTTTGTTGGTATACAGCAAAAATGCATATATTCTGGCAGATTGGTTATCAAGATTAGTAAATATGGCAGCCGCAAACACAGATCTTGAACCAGCTTCTAATCCTTCATTATGAACCATTTTCATTGCTTCGTTACTAAACAACCAAACATTCGATTTGCCTGATAAAAATCCTGCAATGATCCAGTATTTGCGGTGGCCCACTTTACATATATCCACACATGTCACTTCCTCTTTTTCCTCTTTTTCCTCTAGTCCCTCTTTGTTAGCTTCTATAGTGTACTCAAAACGCCCATCTATCAGATACTCACAAAAGTAAATTCTACCATCATCTGTGACCATAATTGCAAGTTCGCTCTCCCTAATTATATGCCCAAATAATATGGCCTTTTCGAGCAATACCTGCTTGTCTATTTGAAAGTTTTGTTTTGTTATTAGAATCTCACGTCCATTATCAACAACCTTTTCTAATAAGTTATCTGCCTCGTCTGGTAGAAGCTCTACTTGTAGCAGGTCTTTGTCAATCGCAAGAAACTTTGAGCTTCCTGCAATATCAAGATTTTCATACAAATACTTTCCATTGTCGAATCCAGCCAGAATTAAGAAAAAATTGGTGTCTTGGGTAGCAGAGTTGACGATATTGTACTCACCACCACCTCGCGAGTCATCAGAATATCGCCGTAATTCGCTACCATCCCAGCCACCTTGACATGTATAAAAATTGCGGCGAGTTGACCTCCTTGATATATCTATTACTGGAGGACTTGAATTAATAACGCCAAGGATATTGATATTCGGCCTCGTTGGAAAAATCTCAAACAAAACAGATTTAGATACTCTTGAAGCTTGAAAAAATAAATTATTTTTGACATGGTGTAAAGATCCAGCCATGGGTACTGTTAGGTCTCCTATATCTATCAAATTTAACTGATTTACCACGAGTGCATTGCTAGTTGATTTTTCAATATCTGCGTAAAACATATAGCATTTCCCCATTTCTGTAACTAATAAAATACGAGAATTGTCAATAACTTCGAATGACTTGTAAACTGCTCGGGACTTGCCCCTGCCCGGTTTGTTCAATGTCATGATCAAGCGTAAATCTTTGGATTTGTTGGAGATGATACACACATCCTTCAAGTTCCTGGCCAATGACATATGTTTGATTGCGGTTGAGGGAAAGTAGAAAAGACTTGAGCTTGTGAATGCTAAGAACCCTCCGCCGGCTTTGAAAGACCATGGGACGATGAGAGATGGCTCTTCATCAAATTGTGCAAATTGCCTTGTGATTGAAAACTGACCCGTATAGAAATCAAAACTGACAAACCTGATGCTGAAGTTGGAGAGGAAATCTTTGTATAGAATCGCAAATTCCGTGTTTGTTGTATCATCATCATAATGACGATGACGATAACGTCGTTTCCTTGTAGATGCGTGCTCTTCTGTCCTTGTAGATGTGTGCTCTTCTGTCCTTGTAGATGTGTGCTCTTCTGTCCTTATAGCTGTATCCTTTTCTGTCCCTTTAGAGGCATCATCCAAGGAAACAATCTGTACTATATCAACACTTCCGATTGGTGCGGAAATAACTTCAACGGCAGAAGAAAGGACCGCAGTTCCCTTTTGCATTTCCTCTATAACAGCTGTAATCGAGATAACTTGTATGTTTGAATAGAAAAGATGAAGAAGAACATATTCTGGATCAACTAGCCTTTGGGGAACGAATATTGGCTTCTCAAGATTAGCCGATAGCTGTTGTCCTTTACTCGATAAAGTACAAAGCAAAACCACCTTCATCTCGCTCATCTTGTGCAAAAGCATGCCTTGAGAAATATTGAAAATGTAAAGCTTATGAGCGGCATCTATGAATAGGATATAGCATTCATGTTGAAAAATAATCTTAGCCCATGATAACACTCTGTATGGGAGACTCTTGACGCCTCGAAGCTTGAAGGTATTAACTTCAAGTGTATAAATGCGTACCTCATTGCCCTGAGATAGTACCAAAACTTCTTCACCATTCAATTGAACCTCAGCTGAATTCGTAATCGCTTGCGATTGAGATAACTCGGTTAAAACAAGCATAATTAAACCTCACCTCCAGCAAGTATTGCCATATATAAAACTTCACCGCCCAGCAAGTATTGCCATATATAAAACCTTACCTTACCGCCCCGCGCACGGCACCTCACTATGTAGCGTTATGTTTTGCAAATTGCCCAGTTTAGTTATAGCGTTGCTGGGGCGAGTAAACTGTGAGCAGGTTGCCATTGTGCGAGAAAACAGTGAGCCAGGTTGTGTTAGGTTGGCGTTCGTGCGAGCGGTAACATTTTTTCGCCTGGTTTACAAGTCGCGACTAGATGCTACCAAATGCGGGGCTTACAGAGATAAGCGATTGCATATCAATATCTATAACCAAGATCTTTCAGCTACTACTACTACTTTTACCTAGATGGGATTACGGATAGTTTAGAGCAGCTGGATTGTATGTATGAACCAAAAGGGTATTGGTGTGAATAAGTTTAACCGAAAGAAAAAAAAAAAACCCACACAGGAGAGCTTGTGCTTAATATACATAGACAGATATCCAGCTTTCAATTATTTTTCAAGGTATCCAGCTTTCAATTATTTTCAAGGTATCCAGCTTTCAATTATTTTTCAAGGTACCCTCTTTCTAATTTTGGTTGAGTGAAGCAATCAGGGTCCGTCAGTGCTGCTCCACTAGCTCGCTTTGCTCACACTGGTGTCGCTAATGCAGCTTCAAAGCAAGAACAAGGCATTGTCGTTTTTACATTTTGAATCCACGGGACCTACAACGAACGCTACTAGAGTCTCGTCGAAAGTTTCCAACGATGTTGCCAAAAGACGTAAAGGCCAAACAAATTCACCCGGTCAGAGTGTACCCGCAGCTTTAAAATCGACATTGACTCCTGCAAATTCGGTGACTACGGCTCACAGCGACTCTTTGGGCAGCTTACCCAGCAGCTCAAACTCAAACTCAAACTCAAACTCAAACTCGCGAGATGTGTGCAAGTGCTATTGTTGCGGCACAATCTTGTCATTTCCCAATGAAGCCAACAAGTATAAGTGTTCCATATGTCATACGACGAATATAATGGAGAAAAGTCAATCGACGAATAAAAATGAAACGAAATTAGAACTTTCCTTTAAAGAGATCACTCGTTTGGTTGAGCAATGCTTTGAACGAATCATTTCAAGAGAAGAAGGCAGGGGAGGGGGAGGAGGAAAAGAAGGAGGAGATGGAGGAGGAGATGGAGACGGAGATGGAGAAGACGATGAGAGAAAGTCGCTTCATGAGATTTTTGAGCCACTCTCAACATACTTGTATGACGCCTTCCGATCGCGAGATGTGTTGAACCGTGCTTTCAAAGTTGATTCAAACTGCAAACGACCGCACCAGAAAACGTTCAATGTTTGCTATTCTGAAATCCACGAGATTTTCCATTTACTCACAAAGTTGCCTACAAAGAGACCTCTATACTCCGCTTTGAAGGGAGCAGTTGAGCAATTGAAAAGAATAAATGCATATTTTTCAGAGACCATTCTGGACTATCATTGGATTTTTGTTTTACTTGATATTCCTATTTTGTCAAGAGCACTTGTTTCCAATGATCCAAGATTAAGGCTAATGAGCGACGTCCCAGAGATAAAAATGCTAAGCTACGAGATTTTAAAGAGGTGCCTTGGAATCTTGTCTTGTCTTGACCATCTGAAGCTTATGAAATACTTTGTTAGCTGGTTTGCCAAACTTGACATAGCAGTGTTCAATAACAAAGTAGATGTACTCAATTTATACATCACTTTCCACTTGAAAAAGTATTTCTACTTGATTAATAATCCTCGAGTGAAATTGGCATCAGTCCCCCTACATAGGATGTCGAGTATGGATACAGACAACTTGGAGTATTTTCAAAGCTTGAATTTGAAGAAAAATATTGAGTCAAACCTGAGCTTTTCTTTATCACTGCTGCTCAATGGTTCTGTTAATCAATACAACTCGAATCCGTTTCCTTTGAAATCCAGTGGCAAAGCGAGAGATACCAAAAAGGAAAGCAAGATCAAAGTTCAGCAATATGGCAATGATTGGCATATAAAAAGTGCACTTACATTGTTGTCGCTTCTATATAAAGCCAATAAGCTAAGACATGATTCAGTGCCTGTATCAAACTTTTACAACACGCTCGTTGATTATGTTAATACCAAGTTTGATTTTGATTCCTGGCAAAGAAACAAAAATATGAACTCTTTATCCAAAAACTCTTCTCAACCGGAGATAAAATCTATTATTGGATATATACATGAAACTTCGTCTAGTCACAGTGGCTTAAGCGCCAGTGGATCCTTGTCGTTTTACATGTGCCAGTACCCGTTTGTTATCTCACTCGGAAGTAAGATTGCAGTTTTGGAATATGAAGCACGCAGGCAGATGGAACGCAAAGCCGAGGAGGCATTTATAAGCTCTCTTGATCGAAGAGTGATTATTGATGTGCATTTAAAGATTAGGGTGAGAAGAGATCATATAGTGCAGGATTCTTTACATTGCATACAATCGAATATGGGGAATTTGAGGAAAAGTTTGAAAGTTCAGTTTGTTAACGAACCAGGTGTAGATGCTGGTGGGTTGCGCAAGGAATGGTTTATGTTGTTAACCAAAGAAATTTTCCACCCAAATTCCGGTATGTTTTACAATGTCGAGGATTCGAATTTATTATGGTTCAATCTAGTACCGGTTGAAAATAAGGACATGTACTATTTGTTTGGTGCTGTTTTAGGTTTGGCCATTTATAATTCAACCATATTGGATCTACAATTTCCCAAAGCTCTATACAAAACCGTATTGGCAAAACCTTTTGATATGGATGATTGCAAGGAGATATTCCCGCAAACTTTTGCCAATCTCAACAAGTTGAGGAAGATGGAAAAGCACGAATTGGATGCATTGGAGTTGACTTTTGAGGTTACCTTCACCGACGTTTTTGGCGATTATCACAATAAAGAGCTTGTACCCAATGGTCTGAACATACATGTCAATGAGAGCAACGTGAAAGAATACATTGAAAAGTATTGTATGTTTTTTGTTAGAGACGGAGTTAAGGAGCAGCTAGATGCTTTTACTGAGGGTTTTGATAACGTTATTGGCGGCAACGCATTGTCACTATTTTCCGAAGAGGAAATACAGCTTTTACTATGTGGCAATGACGATCGTAGCGTAGATGTGGACATTTTGCAGTCGGTAACGAAATACAGCGGGTGGTCATCAAATCAAGAAGCTCAGAACTCGAATGTAGTACAGTGGTTTTGGCACTATTTGAAAGAGATGAATAATTCTGGGCGCAAAAGGGTTTTAGTTTTTATTACAGGATCTGATAGAATACCTGCAACGGGAATACAAAACTTGCCGTTTAAAATAACATTGTTGAACCATGGCCAAGATAGTTCTAGATTGCCATTGGCTCATACATGTTTCAACGAGTTGGCAATTTACAATTATAGCTCAAGAGAGAAATTCACTGATAAGCTAAACAAGGCCGTTTATGAAAGCGCGGGATTTGGCATAAAATAGACACGACACTATTGGCACTATTGGCACTATTGGCACTATCGAGCAAAGCGAGATAGTGACAAAACAAGCTACAAAGTGTTGCTCTACTCAACAAGCTGCAAAGTGTTGCTCTACTCAACAAGCTACAAAGTGTTGCTCTACTCAACAAGCTGCAAAGTGTTGCTCTACTCAACAAGCTGCAAAGTGTTGCTTCACTCACCAAGCTACAAAGTGTTGCTCTACTCAACAAGCTACAAAGTGTTGCTCTACTCAACAAGCTGCAAAGTGTTGCTCTACTCACCAAGCTACAAAGTGTTGCTCTACTCGACAAGCTACAAAGTGTTGTTCTACTTAACAAGCTGCAAAGTGTTGCTTCACTCACCAAGCTACTAAGCGTTGTACCAGTTACCAAGTGTTGGTGGCAGCTACAAAGTGTTGCTCTACCTAACCAGCTACAATATGTTGCTCTACTTAACAAGCTACAAAGTCTTTCTCCACTATCGAGCAAAGGCAGCTAGTCAGTGTCACCAGTCAGTGCTGCTCCACTATCTCGCTTTGCTCGATAGTGTCAGTGCTGCTCCACTATCTCGCTTTGCTCGATAGTGTCAGTGCTGCTCCACTATCTCGCTTTGCTCGATAGTGTCAGTGCTGCTCCACTATCTCGCTTTGCTCGATAGTGTCAGTGCTGCTCCACTATCTCGCTTTGCTCGATAGTGTCAGTGCTGCTCCACTATCTCGCTTTGCTCGATAGTGTCAGTGTGGTGTCGATGCGCTACCAAAATCTTTCAGCCAATAAAATCAATGGCAAAATGCGTTAGCTTAATTTGCCCAGAAGTGACGTATTGTTAATACGCCTGCATATTAGAAGAAAGTATTTGATATTTCTTTCTCATTACTTTCATTCTTTCTCTTGTTGAAAAATTAACAAAGGTGAATTAAAGAAGACTTTGAAAGTCGATTATTTACGATTTATTGAAGATGTCGTCACTTGCCTTTAGATCATTGAAAAATGGGTTGGGCTTGAAAAGTATGTTGACTACACTACACTATCGACACTACACTATCGAGCGAAGCGAGATAGTGGAGCAGCACTGACTACATCGACACTATTGAGCGAAGCGAGATAGTGGAGCAGCACTGACTACATCGACACTATTGAGCGAAGCGAGATAGTGGAGCAGCACTGACTACATCGACACTATTGAGCGAAGCGAGATAGTGGAGCAGCACTGACTACTCCGACACTATCGAGCGAAGCGAGATAGTGGAGCACCACTGACTAGCTGCCATTGATACTATTGAGCAAAGCGAGATAGTGGAGCAGCACTGACTGGTGACACTGACTGGTGACACTGACTGGTGACACTGACTAGCTGCCTTTGACACTATCTCGCTTTGCTTGATAGTGGAGCAGCACTGACTGGTGACACTGACTAGCTGCTTTCGACACTATCTCGCTTTGCTTGATAGTGGAGCAGCACTGACTGGTGACAGTGACTAGCTGCCTTTGACACTATCTCGCTTTGCTTGATAGTGTTTCTCGATAGTGTTTCTCGATAGTGTTGCTCGATAGTGGAGCAATTCATAGTATCTTGTTACTAACCTCCCCCTTCTTTCTAGATACCGTTAGAGCCTTGTCTACATCGACATCTAATTTAACCAACTACCAGCACCCAGACTACTCATCATACTTGAACAACAAGACTCCACAAGCAAGTAGAAATTTCACCTACTTTATGGTGGGTTCGATGGGTTTGTTATCTGCAGCTGGAGCCAAATCAAGTGTCGATGCTTTTCTTTCTTCTTTAGCAGCATCTGCTGATGTGTTGGCCATGGCAAAAGTTGAGGTGAAATTGGGCGCAATACCAGAAGGTAAAAACGTGATTGTCAAGTGGCAAGGTAAGCCAGTTTTTATTAGACACAGAACACCAGAGGAAATAGAAGAGGCCAACGACGTGGATCTAAGTAAATTGAGAGACCCTGAAACAGATGCTCAACGTGTAAAAAAACCAGAATGGTTAATTATGTTGGGTATTTGTACGCATTTGGGTTGTGTTCCTATTGGTGAGGCTGGTGATTACGGTGGATGGTTCTGTCCATGTCATGGTTCCCATTACGATATTTCAGGAAGAATTAGAAAGGGACCAGCACCATTGAACTTGGAAATCCCTGCATACGAATTCACCGATGACCTGACCTTAATTGTTGGTTAAGCCAACCTCAGAACAAAATACAATAACCAAAACAAAATACAATAATCAAAATAAATAACCAAACAACAGAACATGACATGATATAGAAAGAGAAAACTGAGAGAAGCACATTTTTAGTTAGCTATATATTGTAGTGCAAGAGAATAACATATTCGCTTTTTTTTTTTTTTGTTACAAATCAGGATTATCGTTCAAAGCATCGGATAGCTCATCGGGTATTTTCTTCCAAATATCACAGTTCCAGTCATCTTTGATTTTATGGAATGTTAATTGACTTGCATACTCTTGTAGCTCATTAAATGTGAATTGCTTAAACTCCAACATCAGCTGTAGAAACAAATCTGAAAATGAGAGTGAATGGATATTAGGTGGGTTATAATCTCTGATGTAATGCAATCTGTAGAATAAACTCCAGTGAACCACGCAATTTTCAGGAATAACTCGGCATTGCCCCATATTTGGAGTAAAGACCCTTTTCCATTCGCCGTAGTAGTTTTCCCTTCTATAAAATACAGGGACGCCTTCAAGAAGCCACCAAAAGGACCAATTGCATATGCCTTGATTACCCCTTCCTGCGCATTTAAAAATCGGCTTTAAGGGTAGCTCTACTTGAGAATGGTTCTGCAGAGTCGTCCCCAATTGCAGATTTCCCGATAGAGATAGAATATCATGATTAGTAGACAACAAACTCGAGAGACTCGGATACTTTAATGACCAATTATGGAGAGATCCTGGCAAAAAAACAACCCCGAATTTTATTGCTTGTGCCAACATCCATCTAAGAGAAATGTTGGAGAGCGATTGACCATTCGAGTCTGTACTCCACCCGCCACCTATATCGGCATGATCGCCGGGGAAAAACACCTCAACCAAGTCATCATGGTGCCTGGGCTTACGAGCTGACTCCGGCTTTTTGCCAATAAGATGTCTTATTATATCGCCAATGGAGTTTAATGAAATCAACAGTGTCTGAGTCGTGCGCGAATTGCAAGTGCTGCATTCGGCATCCTCGTCCTCGAAACAAGTTTCTTTTTCGGGTGCAAAAAGTTGTTGCTTGTACTTGGATCTTCTTTCATCGATACTGACAGCATGACGTATGTGGTTCACATTACAGCTCCTTACAGTGAAGGGGAACATGCGATCCCATAAGAATCCAACAGAGTTGATTGTATCCCATAATCCCATGAAATGTATCTCTACGTCACTTCTACTAAAAGTTTGCTTAAACTCTTGTGCCATGGTAAAAGTCATGTTCTCTGAATATGGCTGTCCTGCCTGCTCCCAGTTGTTGTAGATATCCCATGCCATAGAGATTGCATCTGTGGAACCTGTGTAGACTAAGCCGACGAGCTCGATCATACCTGCCACAATTCTTGCAGTAAAACTCCCTCTACTATCCCAAAAAAAAAAAAAAAAAAGGAAACAAACAAACAGAGTAATGTTAATAAAACCATTCTTTATCAAGAAGGTAAGTAAAAGTCTTGAGATAACAAACCTGAAGCCAAAAATATATATCTTGTCATTTTTACTGAAAAACTTGACTAGAAACTCATAAGCATCTAGGACATGTTTTTTCAATGTAAACGCTACCATCGCGTCGATTTTACTATTGAGCTTGTCATATCTTGAGCTTAGAAAGTTTTCTTCCTTGATATTGCTTGATTCCGCTTTAAAAGAACTACCTATTCCAGATTGATAGTAGCAAATTTGGTTTGTATTGTTTTTCTCTAGCATTTGGAAAAATTTCAACACATTTGTGAATGGTTTCGGACCAAACTCATTATCGGTTCCGTCTAAACAAAGAATTAGGTTCTTTGAACTATTTTGTAAACTCCTATCAACTTTGCAAAGCCTACTTCGAAGTTCTTTTAATGAATAGTCCTTGTTCCTGAAGCTAATTGCTGGTTCCTTCATTAGTTCGCTCTTTTGGTGTACGAGGGAGAGGGGGTGGACTTGGCGGAAAGTATGTAATGCGCACAATAAAACAAGAACAAATTTGAAAAAAGCAAAAGGAGTTTTCAAAGGGGAAAGAGGAAAAAAGCTCCCTAATTCACAACAACCTCTTCTACATTTCTTCCTCTACATTTCTTCCTCTTCTACATTTCTTTCTCTTCTTCTTTTTTTTATTTTCATATATTTAGTCTATATATGTAATCTATACATGTAATCCAAAAATTCGATTTAGGTATAGAACACTTCAATTTTGGCTTTTGCGTGGTTTCTCGCAACAACAATACAGTAATCAGCATTCAATGAGTTTCCTGCTGATACACCACTTGCTTTATTATAGCCGTTCTTTGGGTTGATTTCACAAGGTAACCCATTACACTCATCTGGGTTATCACAAACAATTCTAACACCAAAGCTTGGAGTCTTACCGTTAAAATCGTCTATATGCTTTGGATTGACGCCAATTGTAACATATGTATTTGCTTCATTGTCCATGTTCATTCCCGCAATATATGGTGACCAATTACCAATTTCCTTATCTGCTGTGCCCCACACGCATCCCTCTTCAGTAGAAACACCCGGTGGATTGATATAGTAGTGTGCACCTGTTCCAGCGTAATATGATGGATTAGGAACAGCAAGGACCTGTTCGTTTCCAGCGTCGACTTTTGTTGGGATTAACATGGCCTCATTACCAGGTAGCACTGTTTGGCAAAAAGCTACTTCTTTGTCTGCTTGATTCACAACTGAGACTGTACCCTCACCATCGATGCAAAGGTCTCTGTCTGTAAATGGTTTGGTTAAAGAGCCATCGGGGTTGCAAAAGAAGCCACCATTCATTGAGCTGGGGTACGAATATGTTGTTGCCAGTGGGTCCCATTGATTCATCAACTGGCCTGGAGGACATGCATATGGACAATATTTGCCAGGAACACATGGCTCGTCTGGACTCATTGCCCAACCAGCATTAGCACCATCTTTGGCAACTGCGACAAGACCAAGTGTTTCTGGGAAGGGACATTTAACTATTGGATTAGCGAGAGTTGCCGAAACAACGAAAGCTGTAAATGAAAGTCTTGAATACATCATTTTTTTTTAGTAAAAGGATGTAAAGTTTGTTTTTAGTAAAAGAATGTAAAGTTTGTTTTTAATAAAAGAATGTAAAGTTTGCTTTTAATAAAAGAATGTAAAGTTTGTTTAAAGTAAAGTTTGTTTGTTAATGAAAGAATGAAGATGAAAAGAATAAGAGAAGAGTATCAAGTAAAGTTGCAATTATGGGGAGAACCAAACCCTTTTTAAATCAAATTTTACTACATATATTTTATTTTTTTATGACTTTGACTTGTACCTAAAGCTAGTTCATGAATTATGTTACTTCTCAACTGGTATACATTAAGTCATAACAACTAGCTTTCAAAAGAACCGTGACCATGTGTTGGAAGAGGTTGAAGAGGTGTTGAAGACCAAGTACCAGAAGCTAGTGATTTATTTTTAAAAAAATGGCTGCAAACAAAATGAGCCAATATAGCCTGCATAATAAATTGCTGCAAAATTATGCAACCAAAACAAAATAAAATTTCTTCTTTTCCGATAAGAGACAAGATATACATTACATTATAAAAGACGTTTCCGTGGTCCTAGATAGATCACCAACACCGGAAATGAGACAAAAAAATATTAAAACAACGGAACCTGAAAGAAAAAGAAACAGGCTCTTTTGTCCTTTATTTTTTTTTTTTTACTTTAGCTCCTTACATATTGAACAATTTACCAATAAGTGGGGCAGAAAATATGTCTAGTTCCGTTAACCTTTAGCAAAGCTGTTGTATCGCAATTTTCATTAATGCATTATGTTACATTGACAGTTTGATGAGATTATCAAGATGTATTTTAAGCGAAAGTCACGCACAGAATACCATTGCAAGATAGATGAAATTATTAAGAAAGTCACGCAGATAATACCCTTGCAAGATAGATGAGCACTGTAGACTAAGTTGTAATTAATTTTGGTGGTCCAATTATTTATGACGACACTATCGAGCGAAGCGAGATGGTGGAGCAGTACTCACTACACAGACGACACTATCGAGCGAAGCGAGATGGTGGCAGTACTCACTACACAGACGACACTATCGAGCGAAGCGAGATGGTGGTAGTACTCACTACACAGACGACACTATCGAGCGAAGCGAGATGGTGGAGCAGTAATCACTACACAGACACTATTGGCCCACTTATTGATGACGACACTATCGAGCAAAGCGAGATGGTGGAGCAGTACTCACTACTCAGCACTATTGGTCCACTTATTGATGAACAAGGTGGATGCCCCTTGTTATGTCTTTTGGCCCACTTGCAACAACAGTGACAATAAACCCAGTCTATGCTAAAAGGCTTTTCCCTCAACGTAGACAGGCTCTTCCCCCAACGTAGACAGGCTCTTCCCCCCCCCCACCCAGTATATTCTTATTGAAGAGCATTCGACGAAAGAGGTTTATCACGTGACCTCATTTTAGTGATGGAGCACTACCAATTATCCAATTTTTCATGGGGAACCTTACTCAGTAAAGGTGGGAGATGGTTGAATAGATGAAGCTTTCTTCAGTAACGAAGAGAGAGGGCCTTGTATTTCAGTTTCTTCTTCTTTCTTCTTGTTATTTTGTGTTGATGGACCAATGATGGGGTCAATCGTAAGGGCACTTGATTGGGATGATGTATATGAGCAGCAATTTATAGCGGTGATGCCGCTGGGTACAGAGGTGATCTTATACCAGACAAACCACGAGGATCCTGGCATTGAGTCAAACTCAATGATACAGCTTCGGTCAAGAAAGGGATTTGAAAACATACTGTGCTTGTCGTATTTGAATTCTACACCGGGGATAATTGGGGTAGGATCAATGGGGGGAACAGTATCTGTATTTGATATAAATTCACCAGGCATGGTTACTTTGAATCTACGACCAAAGCAAAATCGGCCATGTAATGCAATATCTTTCAATAGGTCAAATTTGGTTGTGGCAGGGTTTGATAAGGGGAGACAGGATAACTCATTGCAATTTTGGGATATTGAAAACTGCTTCAAGAATCCATCATCATCGTCATCAACATCAACCACCGATAGTAATTCACACCAAAAAAAACCAACAGGTTCCTATTTGCCTAATGAGGCTGTATTGTCTATGACGTTTCTTCCAGACAAGGAAACAAACATATTATGTGGATCATACAAATTTTTACGACAAGTTGACTTGAGAGCTGATCAGCCAATTTTTCAAATGGCAACTAAATATACGTTGGGACTAATGGTAGATCCATTACAGCCTCATTATTTCCAATCCTATAGTGAAGATGGGTCTTTAGCAATTTGGGACCACAGGAAACTAACAGGTAACCAGAGAATGAACGTTACTGCATCATCTGGGAATAGTGCGGTAATTACAGAGACACCTGTTTTGCAATTCAACAAGTTGCTTAATGATTCGGCTGCTCGGAAGATTCAAAATCCTTGCGTTCGCTATTCTTCCATAAGAAAAGGTGAGTTTGCTGCGATTTTTAATGGTGATTTGATTAGAAGATGGCACACGAGCATCGTACCAGCGAGCGATAATACCCCATCAGACTACAACAACAAGGCAGTTGAGGACTCAGTTCTTTATAATTTGAAACAACAATCTTGCCAACTATATCAAAGCAATGAGGACTCTGTTTTTGTGTCCATGGTTCTCGATAATAAGACAGATTACGAGAAAGTAGTTTCGTTTGATTATTCTCCAGACATCACATCTCACACTTCGACAAACTTTGTGTGCATGAGGCAGTCAGGAACTGTCTTTAGAATGCCAGTTGTCGAGTCGGTTGAAGGATTTAGTTTTAATCCTTTGAATGAGTTTTCCATTGCAGGTCCTGAAGGAACCCTGACCAATTACATATTAGAAACCAATGATAATACTACTACTACTATGCACGAAAATAATGGAAACTCCTTATCCAAATTATCTCTACAGGAGAAATTAAGGAGAAGACGAAAAACTAACCACAATATACGACCTGGTGTGTCAGCAACAGTTAATGACGAGTTGAGCGTGATGGAGGAGGATGGAGAAGAAGAAGAAGAAGAAGAAGATGATGATGAGGAGGAGGAGGAAGAAGAAGAAGAAGAAGAAGAAGAGATATTGCGCAATCGCGGATTTTCAAACGATGAAGCATTCAATGATTCTGCATTTGGTAAACTTCTAGATCCAAATGATGTAATAAGGAACGATATTTGTGTTACCATTAGAAAGCGAGTTATGATGAATTATGGCGTTGATCCCGATACTAATTTCAAAGTGTTGGAAGATTTGGATCCGAATGATAATCAATTGGCATTGCGGAACACTTGGAAATGGCTTAGCTTGGCCAAAAAGGCTTTGGAGAAAGGAACTATGATATCAGATGGTATCGATTTGGGGTATCAGGGCGTTCAAGGTATATGGAATGGCGCACAAGCTTTGAACGATCAAAACAGGGCTATATCGGTCTCGGAAACAATTACAGAGACATGGTATGTCCAAGCAATAAAGTCGATAATTGCAGCTAAAGGCAAAAAGTTTTTGGGTATTAGCATACCAGCTGATAGCGAAAAGAAGGCGCAACGAAAACTCTGCTTGATTGTATCTGGTTGGTACTTGACAGAAACAGAATTTGAAGATAAGCTTCAATTATTGATATCGATGGGTCACACTTCCAAGGCGGCTGGTTGGGCGGTTTTTCATGGCAAGGTGCCTAAAGCGATTGAGATATTAGCTAACTCAAAGAAAGAGAAGCAACGATTAATGGCTACTGCTGTAGCGGGCTATCTTGCCTATAAAGGGTCACATGTTAACAGTCCATGGAAAGACCAGTGTAGGAAAATGGCATCGGAATTAAGCGATCCTTATTTGCGAGCAATATTTGCATTTATAGCTGATGATGATTGGTGGGATGTCTTGGATGAGCACTCTTTGCCCTTGAGAGAGCGAGTTGGTGTTGCCATTCGGTTTTTGTCTGATCGCGATTTAACTGTTTACCTCAACAGAATAGCTGATACAATGGTGAGCAAGGGAGAAATCGAAGGCTTGATTCTCACTGGGATTACACCGAGGGGTATTGATTTATTTCAAAACTATGTTGATAGAACTAGCGATGTGCAAACGGTTGCATTGATGTCGGTTTTTGCTTGTCCCAGGTACTTCACAGACGACCGAGTCAAACATTGGGTAGATTTCTATCGCAATATGTTGAACAGGTGGGGATTGTTTAATAAGAGAGCTCAATTTGATGTTGCTCGTACCAAGCTCTCTAAAACTTTCAATGGACTGATAACTATCAAGGCTACACCCAAGCAATTTTACTTACAGTGCAATCGATGCAATAAGAATATATCCAAGCCAAAAGCATCATCATCATCATCATCAGCACAAGCTGGATTCAACCAAGTATTAATGAAGCAATTTTCAAAGTCGACCGGGAAAAAAAACACACTATTAAATGCGTGTCCCCATTGCGGTGGACCTTTGCCAAGATGTTCCATATGCTTGATGTCGTTAGGTACTGGTGTTTCTTCCGACAATCTGGGAAACATCCAACAAATGGAGAAAATAGACACAAACCTGTCTTTATCAAAGAAGATAGAGGATAAGTTTAGAAGCTGGTTCAGTTTTTGCTTAACTTGCAATCACTGTTATCACGCATTTCATGCGGAAGAATGGTTCTCAACGCATTATACATGCCCGGTACCTGATTGTAATTGCCAATGTAACAGCAAATAGAAAACAGTTGAGCAGTTGAGCAGTTGAGCAGTTGAGCAGTTGAGCAGTTGGGCAGTAAAACAGAACAGTTTCACGGTTTCACGGTTTCACAGTTTCACAGTTTCACGGTTTCACGGTTTCTCAGTTTCTCAGCTTCTCAGTTTCTCAGTTTTACAGTTTACAGTTTACAGTTTACAGTTAACAGGCTATAGTTACTTACCATCTCTTCCCTTTCCCATCATATCACTTCCCTTCTCTTCCAATCTCTGCTTCTCTTTTTCATTGGTAAATCAATCGGATCAAAAATCAAAAAAAAAAACTTCAAAAAGTAAAAGAAAAAAGATTTCATAATAAAGCCAACTATTATTTTGTTGAATACTCTTTATTACAGAAGGATTTAAAATCTTACGAGAATTTTGTTGGTATTAGGTGTCAGTTTGAGTTGATACAGGTTCAAGGTTCTGGTTTGTGAGAGGTTGAATTATTTGCAATTGGTTGGTTTTACAAGCAAACGGTGCACACGGTTGTTTTTTTTTGGTTTTGTTTTGGCTAGGTTGACTCTAAAAGGTGGTTTACTTTGCATATCCAAAATATCGATAATATAAAAAAAAAAAATTAGGAGGAATGTCACCACCGAAGCAGGGGCATACTCCGAATAATCCGGAAGATGTGATTAAGGATATTAAGGGTAAAATTGAAATAGAGCAGAATATTATCCAAGGGTATCAGGATGTAAAGAAAAACTCAACAAATACCGAAGTCATCCAGAAATGTAAGTCCAAAATCATTGAGTCACAAACTTTGATTGATTATTACCTGGAATCGTTGAATAAATTAACAAGACAGATGCAAAGGTTGAACACTGTAGATGGCACAAGTTCATTTGGTGGAGGGGGTGGCGATAGGAGCTCGACAATCTCCGAGCATAAACCGTCCTACTCAAGACTTGATCTTATCAAGTATGAGTGTCCTTCATTGGGTCATAAGATACAGCATATGATTCAGCAATTGCAGTTCAAATTGCAGGTGGAAAACCAGTACCGCGAAGCCAATATGAAGATCTCGCATCTTTACTTGATGGACGGGGACAAGTCCTCAAGCAATGCTGCCGAAGGCGGACGCGCCGAAAGTGACCAAAGAATCCAGCTATTGGAAAAGGCATTGAAGAAATACCAGAACTTCAACATCAATTCGGAGGATTTCAATAGAGATTTTGAAATAATAGATACTCCTAAACATGCAAGAAAACCATTAAGTGGTAAGCTTACAGTTTGTATAACGTGTGTTAGAGATGTTGATCATATGGCCACCGCAGCGTTTAAAAAGCGAGAAACTATTGTTATAATTAAAATCGATGACGTTGAGAAGGCGCGTACAAAACCTTCAAAGAATGATAACTGGACTGAGGAAATAATTATCAATGTTGAAAAAGGTCATGAAATCGAGTTGGCTGTAATGGACAAACTGGGAGGTAACTATGCGCCCATAGCCGTGAATTGGCTTTCCTTGTTTGATTTAGCCGAAGAAATCCGTAAGAAAAAAGTTGCAAAGGATCAAGGAGTTAATGGGTGGTTGCCAGCATCTAACTTGCCAAAGACGCATGGTGGCTCCAACAACAACAACAACAACAACAACAACAACAACCGTAATGGCGCCCCCTCAAGGGGGGGAGGATTAGGTAGCAGCTATGGCTCTACATTACCTCTTCCTTCTCAACACGATATCACTCCCTTGAAATCGCCAGTTAAAGCAGACACTGAGGCCAATGATAATCAGAAAATACTGATAAACACATGGCTAAGTTTGGAGCCTTGCGGGCAAATGATGATTAACTTGAACTTTGAAAAGGCAATCACGCAGGGGAAAAAGTTTACCGGGCCCCTTGGTCGTCATGGTGCTATTCGTCAAAAGAAGGAGGAAGTCTTTGAACAACAGGGTCACCAGTTTGTGCAAAAACAGTTTTATAACATTATGTGCTGTGCCCTTTGTGGGGAATTTTTGCGTTATACGGGGTTCCAATGCCAGGATTGTAAATTTTTGTGTCATCGAAAGTGTTACCAAAAAGTTGTCACCAAGTGTATTTCTAAGTCTAGTGCAGACTTTGATGCCGCGCAGTTGAAACATCGTATTCCACATAGATTTGAGTCCGTAACAAACCGTGGTACCAAATGGTGTTGCCATTGTGGATATCTTTTACCTTGGGGGAAAAAGAATGTCAGAAAATGTTTGGAGTGTGGTGTTATGTGCCATGCCCAATGTACCCATTTGGTCCCAGATTTGTGCGGCATGTCGTTACAAATGGCTAATGAAATCTTGGCAACAATCAAATCAACCAAGATATCACCAAAGAAAGCCAAAACTATCACACAGGAAAGAAATTTCTTACACAATAACAATAAGCAGGCTTCCCCTTACACTCGTACTCGTGTTCAGGAGGAAGAGCAACATCAGACTTTGAAACCTTTACCTCCAAAACCACCCATATTGAGTAAACCATCAATGGAGTCGTCTGAAACGTTGCGTTATTTAACAGACGAAGAACATGAAAAGGAGTATTATGAGCATAAGTTACCGACCTCGAATCGAAAAATAGATCAAGAACCTCTAGAATCAGCAACGGTTCGGGCAGGTAGAAGGCGCCCACCCTCTGAGGAGCCAAGATTTGAAACCCTTGCACCTGAAAGAGAAACTCTTGTTAGTTCAGATTACTACTTGAAGGAGCAAAGGGAACCACCACATATGGACGCAACGTATGGTCACCTTGACGAAGCTCGTTTGATGAAAGAACGTATGGCAAAAGGCAGTAAAAGTGGACCAACTACTGAGGATAAAGTTGGTACAACTCCAGAAACAATCAATAAAGAACCTTTAGGGAATAAAAATGATGATTTCAACGATTTTGATTACAATAATGATCAGATGCAAACTCAAATCATGAAAGTAGAAAATAAGAGGGAGGAGCAACTTGTGAATCCGTTTGCAAACCAACCAAGTCCAGTAGAAGCAGAAAATAAACAGCAGCAACAACAACAACAACAACAACAACAACAACAACAACAACAACAACAGCGTCATCATCACAGTCAGCATCAACATGATCGTTCTACTGCAACAACCAAATCCGTCAAGTCTAAGCGCCGTAGAAGAAAAGTTGGATTAGATGATTTCCAATTCTTGGCTGTGTTAGGTAAAGGAAATTTTGGAAAAGTCATGTTGGCGGAATCAAGACATACACAAAAGTTATGTGCGATCAAAGTGCTAAAGAAGGACTTTATTGTTGAAAACGACGAGGCAGAAAGTGTCAAATCAGAAAAACGGGTATTCCTCACGGCAAATAAAGAAATGCACCCATTTTTGTTAAATTTACACTGCTGTTTTCAAACCGAAAATAGAATTTACTTTGTAATGGAATATATCTCAGGTGGTGATTTGATGTGGCATATTCAAAAAAATAGATTCAATGCAAAGAGAGCCAAGTTTTATGCATGTGAAGTATTACTAGGCTTGAAATACTTTCACGACAATGGTATTGTTTACCGTGACCTTAAATTGGACAATATTTTACTTACCACTAAAGGACACATAAAGATTGGTGATTATGGTTTGTGCAAGGAAAACATGTGGCATCAAAGTACCACCTCAACGTTTTGTGGTACCCCTGAGTTTATGGCTCCGGAAATTGTTGCAGGAAAGCAATATGACAGATCAGTTGATTGGTGGGCCTTTGGTGTTTTGTTATTTCAAATGCTTTTGTGTCAATCTCCATTCAAAGGTGACGATGAAGACGATATTTTTAATGCCATAGAACATGATGAGGTCAAATACCCAATTAGTTTATCAAGACAAACCGTTTTGGTCTTGCAAGCACTTTTAACTAAAGATCCTCAACTAAGATTAGGTAGTGGTGCCAGAGATGCCGAAGAAATTATGGAACATGCATATTTCCAAGACGTCAATTTCGACGATGTCTTCCATTGCCGAGTACCACCTCCTTATATTCCAGAAATACAATCTGAGCATGATTACTCCAATTTTGATCAAGAATTCACTTCCGAAACCCCTAGGTTGACACCAGTAGAGACGGTCTTGACTTCGGAAATGCAAGAACAATTTAGAGGCTTTTCTCATATTTCCGATCAAGCTGGAATTTGAGCTAGAAAGACGGGCAAGAAAAAGAATAAACTAATAATTGAAACTAAAAAGCAATGAGAGAGTAGGTATAGACTATCGAGCAAAGCAAGATAGTCTATAGAGAGTGTAGATGGAGAGAGTAAATATAGACTATCTCGCTTTGCTCGATAGCCTAATAAGCAAGCCAAAGCCTACAAAACAGAAGATACGGAAATCAAGCGTTTACCTAATGTTATATCATTCGTTTAATATTATGTTCTATTTGCGATCTACGACTGGTTCCGTATGGCATCATTGAATGCTTGTGGCCATTTCTTGGTTGAAACTCTTTAAATTCTTTTGTAAACCTATTAACTAAAGCTTGGTGAGACGGTTTCAAGCCAGCATGAAGCTTCTCGCTTCTATTTACAGAGGTATGTTGAGAAGTGCGCGTATCGTTACATCTATGTGTATACGTCTATTTGTGGGAAGAGGAGGGGTGGGGAATCAATCAAGACCCTCTCGAAAAATGTGTTTGTAAATTTATATTTGGATGATCGGATAAGCTAGCAAAACACTCAGTAAGACTCATCCGTCAGTCTTTGATAAGACATATCTCCAGATGTGCAAGATAGTTTTGACTCAATATTACTTAAAAAAAGGTCTACCCTTGTCTACTCAAGATACTGTGCATAATCTTCGGCAGATGCAAATAGCGGAAGGTCTTTTAATCTTTGATGTTTTGATTTCTTCTTGTTGTTGCTGTCCTTGCTCTTATCGTGTTCCAATTCATCCGACCTTGCTCGTTTCTTGCCTAGATTGGAAGCTTCTGTAATTGATTCTTGTTCTTCTTCCACATCAAATTCGCTCGATTCATCACCTTCATAGTCCTCACCGTTTCCCAACATTTGTAACTCGACATCTGAATCCGATAATTCGTCGTCATTGTTTATATTAAAGATCTCATTGTCTTCTTCATCTTCGGAATCATAATTTGCTTCATCGTCCTCGTCCTCGTCCTCGTCCTCGTCATCTTCGTTCTGGGTCTTCTTAGAAACCTCCGGATTTTTCAAATCAAACGAATGGTCAAATTCGTTATCTCCAAACTCGCCTTCCTCTATTTGCTCTTCTTCTTGTTCATCATCATCATCCAAATCTGAGAAATCTGCTTCATCAAAATCAAATTGTCCATCATCATCAGATATATCTTCAACATCTGGTTTTGACTTCACTAATGCTTGCCATACAGCATCATCATCCATATCACCATCATCATCATCATCAATATCCTCCTCGTCTACCCCTTCATTCGCTTTTTCAGTTTTCTTATTTTTCAACTTGTTAACTTTAGTTGTGAAATATTCATAGAAAAATCTTTCATCGGCCTTGATGTCAGTGATTTTTTTGTCCAACCAGTTTTCTGTATTTGCAGGCAAATCCTTATTCAAAGTGTTTGTTGCTTTGACTAATAAATCTCCTGTGTGTACACCTCCCAAAGGTTGCATAATAGATGAACCTTTTGTCTGTGCTTTTTGTTTGGCATTTTTATAAACAAACCTGTCCAAAAAGTGGGCAAGTGTGTATAATCCCAAATCGGGTTTCGGCTGAGATGTACCATTCATAAATGATTCCGCATAAATGGCAACTGTGGGATGATAATGGTTCACAAATTGGTTGAGTTCCCATAAAGAGGAATTGAGGGCATTGGCATGTTGTGGATCACGTTTTTTGGGGTCATAAGAATCATGCGCTATCTCTTGCTCTTTTTCTTGCTCTTTCCCCTTTTCTTCCTCCTTCCCCTGCTCCTGCTCCTTCGATGGGATGCTTTCTTCCGATTTTTGCTTTTGTAGCACTGCTTCACCTGACCTAAAGAGGGAGGTGGAAATTTCTGGTATTGTCTTGGACAATTCCATTAGCAAAAACAACATACCAGATATTGCACCAACATTCAACCAATGTGCAATAACTTGCATAATTCTCTTGACAAAAGCCAAAACCCTTGGAATATTGTCCTTGTCGTTTTTCAAAGACTTGTACAATAAATTCAAGTATATTCCTTGTTTCGAAGTATTTACCAACCTAGAGTCTAACAAAGACTCGTACAATGTCTTGTAATATCTATCCGAGTTCAACTTTTGCTGTGTGACTATATGGTTAATCAAAATCAATGCCTGTATTGCAGTGTTGAAATTAGTACTGTGTGTGATTTTGAACAAGGTGTTTAAATGAGCTTGGAAAATATCATTAGGCAAATTTGAAAATGGAAAGGCACGATTTAACCCTGTCAATAAAGCAGAAAACAATTTGGAATTCTTCTCCTCAATGATATCCTGTTCAGTCTTTTCATCAAGCTTAACAGATTTCCCACCTTTTTTGCCCTTTTTAAAGTTTTTTCTATTATTCTTTCGACCTTTTATTGGCTTTCCTATAGTTGATGCTTGGTTTTCTTCTCTTATTGAAGAGCCGGTTTCAACTAAGACTTTCTCAAACAATGCAAAATATGTCTTGACCAATGTATTTGCCAATTCTTCTTCCTTTCTGGTGATAATTGTTTGGTTGAGTGTTGTGACACCATAATACCTCGAATGGTCACTATTGTTGCTTTGGAAAATCACGTCAATCACAGCATCGGTAATAATCTTTTTCATTGCAGGATGAGCTTGCTCTAATTGTAAAATTAAGAAAGATGCTTTTGAGGCAACTTTATTATCGATATCACCCAACTTGTTTACTCCCAATTTCAATAAGTTCACTTCTTGCTCCGACTTTGAGCTCAACAAATCAAAAATGTGAGTCAATGCATTTATTCGTACATGCACAATTGAGTCTTGAGATAACTTTTCCAAAATTTGAATCAATTTAAAGTATGTCTTTTTTAAGGTATCCTCGTAGTAGTACACTGCCAATTGGGCATCTGTGTCATCCTTTTTTAAGGGCTGTTTGTCAAATGCCAATAATTTACGATCAGGCAATAATCCATTGAGTAACAAATCTTTTAACGCTGCAATCGACTGCAAAGAAGCAGTCCTTGATTTTTTATCACAGTAAGCTATCAAAGTGTCCAATGCCTTGAGATTATGCAAAGGTGCTTCTTGGATTAACAAGGTCAATGCAGAAATCTTATCATTTAAAGTACCGCTTGTTAATATTTGAGACAAAAACTTCTTTTGAGAATTATTAGACGCAAACTCTTCCAAGTAGGTTTTGTTTTCTTTCTCCAAAGTACTCTTGGCTCGTTCTAAAAGTCTTTCTCTGCCAAATCTATCTAACTTTGGGGGTTGTACTGTTGGAATAGGGTAAATGTTGTACCACTCTAACTGGGTAGGAATCAATAATTTTTCACTTGAAACAGTTGAAAAGTCTGTTATCTCATCATTTTCCTTCTCCTTCATCTTCTCCTTCTTTTTATTGCTCAAGTTTGCTTCCTTGATAACAATGGCATCCGATCTTGCTTCTTTGGCTATATCACCATCATTTTCTATCAATTCTGGAGCATCTTCTTCTTCCAAAGTCGAGTCTGAAACGTCTTCCTCTGCTGGTGCCAATTCTTCACTATCGTCTTCTCCATCTTCTCCATCTTCTTCTTCTTCTTCTTCTTCTTCTTCTTCTTCAATGTCATTTTCCTTTTGACTCTCCTCATCAAACCTTTTCTCTTCCTTTTCTGCTTCATGGTCGTCAATAACAGCCACTTCGCTATTACCTAATCCTATGCCATTCATAAATGTACTCAAATCTTTACTGAGCGATGCTTCAACGTCAGACTCGTCATTGAACTCAATTTCGCTCTTTTCATCATCATCATCGCTCATTATTCCTTTCACCAATGCAAAATCTTCCTCAGTGGCTCCCAATGAAAAAGCCTCTTGACGTAGCGTATTCTGATATTCTTCTCTACCCTTTGTTTTCGTCAGTGACCCTTTCTTGCCAACATCAGCAGGGACAGTACCATCATTCTTTTGACTACTATGTAAACCTCTAGACTTTTGTTCTTCTTTCTTCTTACCCTCTTTCTTCTCAACCTCTTTCTTCTTACCCTCTTTCTTCCCTAGCTTTTGTTGATTTAACTTACTGGCAATCTTATCTTTTAGACCGGATAGTTCTAGCCTCCTACTCATCTTCCAAATGCCTCTTGTTTGAGTGGTGAAGATGTACAATCACAAGGTGAATTTTGAAAAATTCACCGTGCGATGAGATGCGCATAAAAAACCAATTTGAAAAATTTCCAGTCAAACTCAAAGAACGCCTATGTAGCTATGAAGCTGCCTATGTAGCTATGAAGCTGCCTATGTAGCTATGAAGCTGCCTACGTAGCTATGAAGCTGCCTACGTAGCTATGAAGCTGCCTATGTAGCTATGAAGCTGCCTACGTAGCTTATACGAACCTTGCCTACGCGTGTAACACCACACATTGGACTAGTACTTACTATTCCTTTTGTATTTTTAAAGATAAACTTAGAGGTTCACCATATCTGGACACGACTGATTCTCTTCAAAAAAACGATATATCATGTTCTTTATAAACTATAAAATACAAAGACCTGTCTTGAACATTTCTTGTTTTCCTGATCCATAATCATCTCTAAAATGCCCAATCTCCGCCCATCGTGATCCACCTCTGCCACATACCTCAAAAAGCTAAATTCAAAGTTCTTAAGCATCTTCGGCAAGCAAAGCTTCTCTCTTTTCATTGATTCTTTGTTGTCTTCTTTCCCTAGCGGCTCTGTTCTTAACTCTTCTAGCCTCTGCCTCTTCTTTCAATGCCTTCTCACGTAATGCTTCAGCCTTAGCGGTGATGATGTGTTCAACTAAAGATCTCTTGTGTTTAAAAGTGTTACCTTTGGCAGCTTTGTACAAGTTGTGGTACAAGTGTTTGTCAATCTTACCAGCATCTCTGTATTTAGCCAATAATCTTCTCAAAACTCTCAATCTTCTCATCCAAAGAACTTGTTGTGGCATACGGGCATCTTTGGTACCTTTTCTTTTACCGTAACCCATGTGTCTACCTTGAGATTTCGACTCCTTCAAAGCTCTTGCTCTTGATCTGGAGTGAACAGTGTTTGGCTTCTTGACAATAGTACCATTCTTGTACAATTTTCTAATGGCTTGTCTTGAGTTGGCACTAGCAATTTCAGCAGTTTCGTTTGGGTCCAACCAAATCTTTCTTTGACCAACTCCAATGACACTAGCTGCAAGTCTCTTTTGCGTTCTTAAATTAGCCCTAAAAAGAAGAAAAAGAAAAGTTTGTTAGTATGGTGGTACTTTGATATCAAAGGATAATTTGGGTTAGTTTATAAAGCAATCGTTTACTGGCTTCAAAGACACAATTTCTACAAGGGATATAGCCTCAAGATTGTATAGCTATATGGGGTTCAAATCTGCTGCTTCCTCGTTGCCATTGCTCTCTCATCAAGATTTCCTATATGGCTCATCAAGATCCTTATTATTGCTCATCAAGATCCTTAACAACACCCCCTCCCCCTTCCTCAACCCTTGTTCTTCCTTGAGAACACCCCCTCCTCCTTCCTCAACCCTTGTTCTCCCTTAAACCACGTCTTCATAAACTATCCTCTCATCATTATCTCCAATCTCATGACATACATTTCTGTTAATCCACTTGTATTCTACCTATAAAAGGAATCCTCTCCCTAATCAAACTTTTACTGATATAAAATTTCAAATATTTGAAAAAAAAAATGCCAGCTAGAATTTCACTGTGCGCTGCGCGGAAATAAAGATGACCTTAACTATTGAGGATTGGGTCTAATCACACTCACTAAGAGCCTTTTTCTCTCTCTTCGTCTTCTTTAGGTAATTTTTTTTTGTTGAAAGGGAGAATGGGCTATACCCTGATTGTTGCGAGGTTACACGTGACTGACGACATTTTATCTCATCCCCCATCTCATCTCATCTCATCTCATCTCATCTCATCTCATCTTATCTCGTTTGAATCTCTAGCATTAACTTTTTTGGGGGTTATAACATTGTCTTGATTGCATAGTCAGAGAGTTTTGGTATCACAGCGATGGCCAAATCATTAAGATCGAAATCTAAGCTACAAGCAAAGTCGGTTAAACGTAAAGGTGAATTTGCTAAATATGTAGATGCAAGAAGTAAAAGAATAGCTGAGAAGTTGGCTGGGGAAACCAAGGCACAGGAGGCAAAGAAGGAAAAGAAGGAAAATAAAGAAAAGGAAAACGAGTCCATGGATGTGGATACAAACGTCGTTGCAGATCTGAATCTGAATGAGAAACCCAAAGTAAGTACATCGGGATGGAGAGCTTCAAACTCGCAGAGGTATAAACAGAGCAAACTCAAAAATAAGGTAAAGAAAAAGACCATGAAATTTTAATCCCCTCAGACACTAGCGAGCGAAGCGAGCTAGTGGAGCAGTACTCACTACCACCGACACTATCGAGCGAAGCGAGCTAGTGGAGCAGTACTCACTACCACCGACACTATCGAGCGAAGCGAGCTAGTGGAGCAGTACTCACTACCACCGACACTATCGAGCGAAGCGAGCTAGTGGAGCAGTACTCACTACCACCGACACTATCGAGCGAAGCGAGCTAGTGGAGCAGTACTCACTACCACCGACACTATCGAGCGAAGCGAGCTAGTAGAGCACACTGGCCGCCATCACTACCTGCCATCACTACCTGCCATCACTACCTGCCATCACTACCTGCAATCACTACCTGCAATCACTACCTGCCATCACTACCTGCCATCACTACCTGCCATCACTACCTGCCACCATGAAATTTCAATCCCCTAGAGAAAAGACCATGAAATAAAGCCAAAAAGTTATATATTAAAGGTGTTTGCCTATAAATACTAGCACCTATCGACACTAGCGAGCGAAGCGAGATAGCGGACCAGTACTCACTAGCTTGTTATAACACTATCTCGCTCTGCTCGATAGCGGACCAGTACTCACTAGCTTGTTATAACACTATCTCGCTCTGCTCGATAGCGGACCAGTACTCACTAGCTTGTTATAACACTATCTCGCTCTGCTCGATAGCGGACCAGTACTCACTAGCTTGTTATAACACTATCTCGCTCTGCTCGATAGCGGACCAGTACTCACTAGCTTGTTATAACACTATCTCGCTCTGCTCGATAGTGTCGCTCTGCTCGAAAGTGTCGCTCGATAGTGTTCCTAAAACAATTCTCCAGCATATCATTTCAATTCTTTAAACATTCTAAATTTTTATACATTACTTCAAGTCTTTTACCACTTTTTGATAAACCCAGCGATCAGAAATACACAGCAACTAGAAACTATTTCACCTCTCTTTTATACTTTTTTTAACTTATCAGCAAGATAGTTTTCGTACCCAATATCTTCCAAAGTTTCAGCCTTGAGCAAAACCTCGGATTCCATAGTGTTCATATATGTACTCATCTCGTTTAACCAGCGAGGCTCGGAGGATCCCAATATCCTAATAGCCAATAGCGCGGCATTGGTACTGTTGTTAATAGCCACAGTAGCAACAGGTATACCTCTTGGCATTTGTACAATTGAATATAACGAATCAACACCATCTAGAGTCGACCCCTTGACAGGTACACCAATCACAGGTAATGGTGTCATTGCAGCAACCATACCTGGTAAATGAGCAGCACCCCCAGCACCGGCAATTATACACTTCAATCCACGCTTGGGTGCATTTGCTGCATATTCTGCCATCCTATGTGGTGTACGGTGTGCACTTACTATAGTGACTTCAAAAGGCACACCAAACTGCTTTAATATACGCGCACCAACAGACATTACTGGTAAATCCGAATCTGAACCCATGATTATTCCAACTAGTGGTTTTTCTTGTTTTCCCTCGGATTCAGAATGTTGCGGCAATCTCGAGGCTTCTCCCATAATATACGCTAACCTGTTTTCAACATCACTCATTGATGAAGACACGATATTTATATGACCCATCTTTCTTTCTGGTCTAGTAGTTTTCCCATAGAGGTATACGGAAGCGTGCGGAGTTTCCAAGGCTCTATGGCATATCTCTAATTCCTTATTTGCTGTTTCTTTATCTCCCAATACATTCAACATAATAGCGTTTGTAATCGTTGTTGTGAAATCGGTAAAGCCTTTGGGCATTGGTAATCCCGACACTGCTCGAACATGAGCTTCAAACTGTGACGTGACACAAGCGTCGATGGTATAATGGCCCGAGTTGTGGGGTCTAGGGGCAATTTCATTAATTAACAACTCTCCATTGGGTAACAAAAACATTTCAACTCCAAATATACCACACCCTGGGAAAGTCTTTACTGCGTTTTTAGCCAAAATCTGTGCTTTTTGAGCTAATGTATCGGTTATTCTTGCTGGCGCATATACTAAATGGCAAATGTTGTTTTTATGAATCGTTTCAACAGTGGGGTATGAAAAAACCTCACCTTCAGTAGATCTAACTATCATCACTGCTAACTCTTTGGTAAATGGACACCATTTTTCAGCATATAATGGACGATTACTTAAAAACTCTAAAGCCTGTGGAATAAAAGATCGGTCCTTAACAACAAAATTACCCCTTCCGTCATAAGAAAATGTTCTCGACTTTAACATGAAGGGATACCCATACTCATCTCCAATCTTGGTCAAGTGTTCTTTGGTATTTTCAGAGACAGCTTGTGATTGTGTAACTGCAACACCATGATGAACCAAATGCTCCTTCTGCAAATACTTATCCTGAATCAACTTGATAGTTTCAGGTAACGGGTAAATTTCAATTTCAGGAAATTTCACTTGAATTTCTTGCAAGGCATCTACATCAACATGCTCAATCTCTACTGTCAAAATATCAACTTTTTCAGCTAGTTTGACAATAGACTCATAATCCGTGAACGAGCCATCCACGTGATCGTCTAAAGCATTGATTTGTTTTGCTGGCGATTGAGCTGCGTCAAGTATAACCGTTTTGATATTTAATCTATGTGCAGCTTCAACAATCATACGGCCTAGTTGGCCACCACCCAAAATTCCAATAACCTTCTGATCCATCTTTCTACTGTAATTTTTATCTTACCTCTTGGTACAATACACGTGCACTGGTGTATATCAAAAGCAGCCAAAGCCAAAGCCAAAGCACACAATATACAGCGTATATTACATTAAATCTACCTCATCGCAAATTGAGGTGCTCAATTGAAGAAAAAAAATGGAGCTCGTGTGGAGCGACATTTGAAATTTTACAATACGACATTGAACAAAATGTACGACATGAGATATAGAATGATTTGCGACATTAGTAATGAAATTGAAAAGGAAACTTGGGCCCTGTCAGTTTGGACCTGTGGCTGATACTAGTGGAGCCACGAGCTCCGCTATCATCTAGTATATCTAATCTACTCCACTAGCTAGCTCCTCACTAGCGTTGTTCCCAACTCCGCTAGTGGAAAGAGAAAACTTTGAAGGGGGTTTTTTTAACAGCCCCCAACAACCCCTTTATTATACTTTCAAAAGAAAAAAACACTACAGAATCACTTATGAAATGAGACTAGACAAGTGAAATGAGTCTAGTTGATAAAGAGAAGAGAGAGACTAATAGAGAGTAGTCGTTCTGCTCGATAATGTTGATGACAGCTAGTAAGTGCTGCTTACTATCTCGCTCTGCTCGGTAGTGTGACGTAGTTTTTGATGAAGCCATCATTATTTCATAAAAAACATTACCCTTAATCCTTAAAAGTTATTGCATCACTGATTCAAAAGTAAAAAAATAAAAACGTAAACAATCTAATGTATAGAAAAAGAAGCTCTAATAAAGTAAAAACCATGACTCAGGCTAGCAAACTACTATGTGGGGTATACAGCTAATATAATGATTGCGGTTGTACCTTTTCTCTCTTGACTCCATTAATAAAATTCAGGCTCTGTAACAGCAGCGTAATACGTACCGCTATAGTTATCCTCTTGATTTCCGGTGATGGCCACTGCGGCAAGAGAGTCCGTCTCTGAAATATTACAAGCCTCGTCGTTGTCTGTTGGGGTAAACATAAATAGACTCATATTTGCCGTAGGTTGAGCTATATATGAATATGAGGGAGAAGTACCAAACGGTGCAAGCGATTGATGATGCTGTTGCTGTTGCTGATGTTGTAGTAAATTCTGCTGCATACTTTGCTGTTGTCGTTGATTTTGTAGAAATGCAGACTGATACTTTGGATATTGCCCATTCAAATGGTGAGATATAGCCAGCTGTTGTAGCTGTTGTTGTTGTTCTTGTTGTTGTAATTGTTGTTGTAATTGTTGTTGTAATTGTTGTTGTTGTTGTTGTTGTTGTTGTTGTTGTAATTGTTGTTGTTGTTGTTGTTGTTGTTGTTGCTGTTGCTGCTGCTGTTGTTGCTGTTGTTGTTGTTGTTGTTGTTGCTGTTGCTGCTGCTGTTGTTGCTGTTGTTGTTGTTGTTGTTGTTGCTGTTGCTGCTGCTGTTGTTGCTGTTGTTGTTGTTGTTGTTGTTGCTGTTGCTGCTGCTGTTGTTGCTGTTGTTGTTGTTGTTGTTGTTGTTGTTGTTGGGAATACATGAATGTTCCTGCTCCTGATTGATGGTTTGTCTGAGGCAGTGTAGATAATGATCTCTTATTCTTAAATATGGGAGACAGTGAGGAACAGTTAGAGTTAATTGAAGTGGAAATTGTTGTAGCAGAAGAAGCAACAGCGGTTGTTGAATGGCCAAGCTCCATCTGTGAAGCAGCAATAGATATAGGAGTTGGAATAGTACCATCGGCTTGGATCTGTTGTTGCATTTGTTGAGAATAACCGAGCACTTGTGGAGCTACATTTTCGCTCGAAGAAGTGATGGCGGTATCGTCATCGCTATTGTTGTTATTATTATTATCATTATGCAGTCTGCTTGGCAGTGTTGGTAAAATCAACCTGGAAGTTGCGGTAATTGCATCTTTCAATTTGTCAACTTTAGCAAACTCCCATAATAAAACCATTTTAATCCTTAGTTTAGATATCACACTTGTATCTTCTTTTTGGTTTTTGCCACCATCAACCTCATATATGATTTGTCTGATGGTAATTCCCTTAACAGCCAAGGCTACACCGGAAGCGCTTTTCCCACTCATGGTGGAGAAGAAAAATTTCCAAAACTTGACAAGAAAGTCACAATCTTGATTCAAGTGTATTTTGGCCTTCTCATCAAGTTTCCATATTTGTTTTCCGTATGAATAAATACTAGTAAAAGAACTGTATGCTTTTGAAGTAGAAATAATTTTCTTTCGTGACGATGAGGGTATCAATGTATCACTATCACTCTCTTCATATTTTAGCTTAAAACTTGATCTAAGCTCAATCTCCATTTCGTTTTTTATTTGCAAGTCTGCGGGTAGGTATATCTTTACCATATTATGTATAATTGGCACGTGGGAGCAATTTTTCAAATCACTTAAACAGGGAAACCTACTGTTATTCGATAATATGGCATCATTACTCAATTTTAATGTCGTAACTTCGTGTGCAGGTTGGTTATGTTGGATTGTCAATACAATCGGATTAGGTGAGAATCGATTACTCACAGACATGAAAAAATTTTCAAAACTTATTCTGGTCAAAGGATTGTTTACACCATAATCACTACCACTGCCTCCTCCTCCTCCTCCTCCTCCTTTTCCTTTTCCTACACAACTCTTTTGCCTTACTCTTTTTGTCGCCTGTAAATGGAAATCTCCACTGCTTTTCCTCCTTATTGAATTACTAAATCCCAATGACTTGTTCAAATTGATCTTTGAAAAAATCTCTTCAAACCTATTAATTGCTCTGATTTGATCTTCTTTTGTGGGGTACACTGGCCCCTCATTGATCAACTTTATTATTTCGTGATCTTGTTCTAAATTCTTAATAACTTGTATATGTGAAGAGACTTGTTTTCTTGTTCTATATTTACCAGTCTTGTTGAAAATGTAATCGGAAATTAGTTCGTTTCTACCACATGATCTACCAGCTATCTTGATCTTGTTCAACCCGTTTTTGGGAATAATCCGTAATACTTGTCCAAATGCTTGCTCCACATCATCTGACCAAATATCGGTATCTACAATCTTCGAATGCACAGGGGAGCAAGGATCAGTATCAACCAAATTCATATTTTTTACTTCTTGATCAAAGTATTGATTAGCAACACCACCACCACCATTGTCTTTGGCGTTGTAATTGTTTCTAAATTGCAGTGGCAATTGTGACGAGCAGCTGGAGAAATTATCATCGTGAAATAAACTCTCTCCTCGAAATGTCACATTTTTTGCCTCCCCTTTGCTTTCTTCTTTATTGACATCGTCCTCTTCTAAGCTCTCTTCATCATACTTATATACTTCCTCGTTATCAAGAAAGCATTTCTGTTTTGAATCTGAAGGGGACAAAGTCCTTGTAACTTTCCTACTCAGAATCATCCTTCCTTCTTCTTCTTCTTCCTCCTCATCTTTAACAAAAGGGCTCCTACTATTACTGAAAAACCTTTCTCCATTGAAATCGTGGTGAGAAAAGGAAAAGTTTGTAGATTTAGGCATTTCTTTTCTAATGAGTTTGGAAGATTCGTGAACCTGGTATAGTTGTTTACCATTAGTGTCTAATGCTACATCAATGATAAGTGGTAATAGCTTTTTTTGATGTCTCAGAGATATTTTCTTTTGTTGTGGCTGTGGTGGCTGTGGTGCTGGTGCCGCCGATGGTACCGCTGGTTGTTCTGTAGAATGCCTTTTGTTAAGCCTATCTTGAGCCTCTTCGTCAGCAGTCGCAATCAAGGAGTGTTGTTGCTGTTCTTGCTGTGGGAAATATTGAGACCGTGTATTACCAAAACTTGTTCCAATTGAGGTTGAAATTGGAGTAGCTTGAGACATCATCATCATGCTGCTTATTGGTAGAAAGCTAGTGACAAATTATATGATACTACTAATTATAGTAACCTAACGGTGCAGATTTGGGGAGTGAGTGAGTGTGAGTAGTGGGTACTAAAGTGTGCCTGCTGTAAAAAGTAAAAAGGAGTGGAACAGGAATGGAAGATAATGAACTTAGCCTAAAGGTATAGGTTTCTCGTTGTGGTATAAAGTGGAATGAACTTAGCCTAAAGGTGTAAGATCTCGTTGTGGTGTGGCAACTGTGCCCTTTATACGGGTGTTGTTTTAGATAAAGTTTGAAAACCACGAACTGAGTCGAGATAGTTCCGTGCTCAACTGAACCTCTTTTATGTTGAGCTTTGTATGCAACCGAGGCTAAAACCTTAATCGACAAAGGTTTTAAATGAGTCCTTCAACGCCAAAGCAACCAACCAAAATAAGCAAAGCAAAGGAACCAAAAATAGGCAAAGCAAATGAATGTAAAAACAAGTTTGAAAGAAAACTGTAACAATATATCCTCCTTAGCCTAGCAAAAGCTCTCTTTTAGCGGGTGAATACCTTCCCTCCCCTCCCTTTTACCAACTGTGACCGACAAAACAAATTACCACCAAAGTGTCAGCTTTTCCCCGGTAAAACGTCTCACAATGGTATAAAAGAAGCATCGATTGAATCATTTCTATTAATAAAATTTCCAAATTGGTATATTTTTATATGCAATACAAAAATGCAACCTTTATAAAGACAATGCAAAGAAACAGTTTCACCCAAGAGATGGGTTCCAAATAACAATTAAGTAGTAGTACACAAGAGTAAGAGAGGATCAATAGGAGGAATTTAAAACAAAGGAGGAACAGTAAAAAGAATGGGAAGAATATTTGTCTCTATGTTTCTTTGTTGAAATAATACGACGTATATTGTAGACTTGTAAAAACCCTTTGAAACAGGAAAAAAAGGTTATAAGAAATTGATGCAAAAGAACTAGAATGAAATAGCCTAATGTTCAAGCGGCCTAAGGGGCCTCAATAAAGGTACATATATATAGAGTTTATAGGAATGTCGTAGACTTTGTAGATTTAGCAGTAAGAACTTTGTAGGGTAAAGCACAAGTGCAATAATCTCTAGAGACAAGTAAATAATCTCTAGAGACAAGTAAATAATCTATAGACTCATTGAGTGTAACGATAAGATAAAAACTTTAATTGTAAGACAAACCTTGTAAATAAGGTTTGCATTTTGATAGAATATAATATACAATTGCGCCCCTTCTACTTAAAGGCATGACGAAGGATACAATTAAATGATTGCAATATGGTGGTATCTATAGTCAGAATTTCTTACAATCTGCACACGCGTTTGATCGGTATCATCGTCAATTGTCTTGTCTTGTTGTGGACACTATCTACCAGAGCGAGATAGTGGAGCACACTGACTACATCGACACTATAGAAAGAGATGAGAAGCCACTATCGAGCAGAGCGAAATACCACTATTTCCCTCTGCTCGATAGTGGAAAGCAATGGTGTAAAAGATGAAAAACAGTAGGGTAAGACATGAGAAGCAATAGTGGGAATGATGGGCGGTGATAACGGAGATATTGGAGGGGAAACACTATAGAGGGGAATGTGTAGGATTTAAAGCACATGGCGTTAAATTAGAGGGGCCGTAAATTAGAGGGGCATTATGCAGAGGGACATGCGCGGTAGAGGGGAATAATGCAGTGGGGAATCAAAAACCATCATCTCAGGAAAACCCCTATACAATTGCAAAACTATACAAATGATGGATCTATCGAGCAGAGTGAGATGGTGGTACCTTGCTCTGCTCGGTAGTGGTATTTCGCTTTGCTCGATAGTGGTATTTCGCTTTGCTCGATAGTGGTATTTCGCTCTGCTCGATAGTGGCATTTCGCTCTGCTCGATAGTGGAGCTTATTAGATGCACGGCCCGTAGTTGATCAAAATTGATAAATGAGGTTGCATCTCCTTCTACAAAGTTTCTATCACCTAATAAAGGACATGTTGCTGTTCTATTTATAAGTTGCAAATATAAATACCCTGCATGCCTCTCCCTTTATAGATTTTTACATTGTATTGCAATTAAACTTTGCACTTCGACATATACAATAGTATCTTCAAGCCAAGGTCAACTACCGCTCACTTATTCTATTTTTATTACAATAATGTGAATAAAAGCGACACTATCTCGCTCTGCTTGATAGTGGAGCACACTGACTAATGTCACTCGACTCATTCTCTTTCTATCTGAGAATATTCAAATAAAAACTCACCGCGCAACACTATCTCGCTCTGCTCGATAGTGGAGCACTTTGTAGCTTGTTGAAACACTCTCTCGCTCTGCTCGATAGTATTCTTCTTAATGGAGTTCAATGGTTTCAATTATTCTCTTTGATATGGCACCAACTCATATTGGCAATATTAGTCATCCATAGATGCTTGGTCCTGCTTGTTCTCGCCAACTCAATTCGATTAGCCAAAACCAACATTGTTTTGCTGTTTGAAATCTAACGTCTCCTCCATTTAAAGCCCATCCTCATTAATTTCGTTACGATTCAAAAATGCTTCAAATAGCCGATTATTCTCTTCAGTGTTCATCTCGTCTTCAATTTCACTAAGGTCATTCTCCTGTAGAACCTGTTGATAATCTACTTCTCTTATTGTTGTATCTGTACCATTCAAATTAAATTGGTGAAAACGTAATAAATCATCATGACTACTTACACTTAGTTTGGTAATGTTCTTTTCGAAATCCCGTTTCCAATTTTTCATCTTTTTGTAGATGTTAAAACTAGGCTTATTCTCAGTAAAGACACATTGCCATAAATTCGTTGCATCTTTCTGAAACTCGTCAACTGTTTTATACCCATAACGATCATTATACTCCATTATTTGGAAAAGACTCTTGCATTCGCTGTTTTTCGGTATATAGTTCTTGAGCGTCTCGTTTGTGTCATGCTTAGCAGCAAGTGTATTTAGTAGCAACGAGATCATTGTATTCAAAGAAAAGTAAGCAGTATTAACTATCTCCAAGTTCAACAGCTCCATCTCCTTAAATTCTTTTTGCCGCTCCATCACATCTTGATTAATAGCAATCAATTTATCCAAATCATCAACTAACAAATTGGCAAATTGCAATTTTTCTTCAATTACTGAACCTTGATCATAATTGTTACCATTACTTTCCAAATTATTTGAATCGTAAAGGATCGAGCTTGTTGATATCAAATTGTTATTCTTCCTCACCAAAGGTGCACCATTTTTCAACTCTCTTTTCAAACACCAATATCTACATACTTCATTGGCGATAGAGCGCAAATCTTCATCAATCTCCGCTTTAGTCCTATTAGGTAGTCGACTTAACTCTAAAACCTGACTCGTAGTTTCCTCTGGTAGGCTTATTTGATTTTCAACTTTCAAATTATACATGGTTTTGACCAAAATGTCGCTGAACAATTTCGGTGCTATTGGTGCTCCTTGTTCAGTTTTCCATTTAAAGATATTCAATTTATTGGCAAACTTTTCATTACTACTCAATCGAGCATTTTCCTGGTTAAGTAATTTGATATCTCGAAAATAACATCTCGTTTTGTCTATTCCCTTTAGAACAGAGTCTACATCAAATGAAGCTGGACTGTGTTTCTCACAAAAGGATTTCATTGATAATTTATTCAAAAGTGCCCCCTTTATGCCATGGGTCATTTCCATATATAATCCAGCACGCTTTGCACATGTGACATGATATGCTTGGAAACAGTTTCGATTAGTACATTGGATACACGCACCAACTCTTTGCTTGCATATATAACAAGTCAATTTCCACCGACTTTTTGGAATAGCATCAATGCCCTCAATAGGCTCCATATAAACAGGATTAGCAAAATATAATTCATTAATCCACAATGCACATATAACATGACTCCATAAGCTATTATCCAACTGTTTGAATGCACCAGTGGTGCTTGGGCAAAACACACATTCGGTGGTTTTCTTATTTTTATTAATCATACATTTACGACAAAGCCATTGCCCCTCAGGGATAAATGCAACACCATAACATTCCTGATGTACTGCTATATCGCATCCATCACAAAACACAATTGCATTTGAATTGTCACAATCACTATCGTTGCAAACTGCGCATTTTTGATCGTATATTGAACCCGGTTCAATTCCATCGTCGTTCCCATACCTAGCGTTATTGTGACCCACTGTCAAAAGTTTCCTCGACAAGTTACCACCACTGCCACCACCATAATCACCACCAAAACTACTTCCGTTGTCATTATTGAAATTGCAAACCGAGTTCATTTGGTGTTCCAATTTGCTCCATTCCGATTCTAAAGTACTTATCATGATTTCGAATATTTCAAAAGTGATTTTAATCACATTTTTGCTTTGATCGTTTCTTGCCTTGAGAAACAAGACGTCTTGCTCATCCATATCGTATTCAACCAAGTTTTTCTTTTTGTCGAGGAACTGCTTTACAAGCTCTTGCGAATTCAGATCCTTGCGAGTAAAAGAAGGTAGTTGAAAGGGACGTATATACGTATTTTGAATTACCTTGTTATATGTTTTCAAGGGCTCTTGGTATCCATACTCTAGTAGTTGTTTATTGAACTTTATATTGGGATTGGGAAGTTTAAGCTGAATCTTCTTAAATGTTGGGGTCTTCAAATTCCTCTCTGCAATTGGAGGAGGAGCAGCAGCAGCAGCAGCAAAGTCCCTACCCGATGCTCGTCTTGTCTCGGTCACTTCTTCCTCGTCATTATGGACGAGGAATACAGGTAATTGGGCCGTTTCATCGAAATCCGGATATAATTCCGATAATTCGAGCTCTTCCCTTGGCTTAAGCGTAGAATCCTGAACATGAGTCTGAAAAAACCCGGCGGAGCTGGAACTCAACTCACCAATTGTCATAGATCACCCAAGAAGCAAGAGCAAACCTTCCTACTCGCCAAAAAACCCCAAAAAGAATACCAATAAATACTCTTTTAAAGAGATATGTCCTCTACAAAGAAATCAAATTATTTTTCATATCGGCGCTTAATTTCGATAAACTTTTTTTTCCGCTACCGGAAAAATTCATAGTACGAATTTAGCAACTTCGCATTGACTTTTTTCCATCAGAAGAGTTATTGATGGCGGATCAATTGTCCGTTGTAGGTCCACCATTGAGGTTTCTCGAGACATTTCTTGAGAATGTACAGGTGAGTTTAGTTCAGTAACACATTCAGGCGAAGGAAGAAAGTTTTTCTTGCAGGTTTGGCTCAATTGTGATGAAAAATTGAGTTGATGCTTCGATGATACATTTGCTAGGAGAATGTTTTTTATTTGTTGACAATCTTGTGTTGATATTGTCCTGTAAGTAGCAGTAGCAGTAGCAGTAGTATTGCCCTCAACAGGGGATGGTAAAATGACATTGCCTTCTATAAGGAATGGTTTGTTTTTCAATTCCAGCAGGCTGGGCCTTTCGCCATTTTCCTCATCCCTAAAGCAATCTAGAATAAATGCTTTGGCATTTTCTGACACTCCAGTCCAGTACTCGCTTGGCTCCATCAAGTATTTTTTGCCCATAATTGCATCTTTTGTTTCCTCGTCCGTTTCACAATCAAACGGCAAATACCCACCTAGCATAAAATACAAACAAACTCCAATAGCCCAGACATCAATCGGGTATGAATAGCCTGCTTTTCTATCAAACATTTCCGGCGCCATGTAACTCAAAGTTCCAGAAATATCATGCAATCTCTCTCCTGGCTTCAAGACTTTTGCTAAACCAAAATCGCCCAATAGTATGGAATCGTCATCTTCACCTATTGCTTGGAAAAAGATATTTTCCGTCTTGATATCACGATGTACGATATTATTGCTATGTAAAAAAGCTACCGCTGAAACTAACTGTGATACTATATTTCTTGCCTTCGAATCATTCAATCGGCCACAAGTTGAACCATTTACAATCCTATCATATAGATCACCACCTTGAGCTAGATCAGTGAGTAGATAAAAGCAATCTTTGGTTTCGAAATAATCGATTAATGATAAAATATGTTTATGCGATTTGGAAACCAGCTTCAATATTTCAAGCTCGCTCTGTAGTAAACTCTCCATACCATACACTAGTTTCTTTCTGTACTTCTTGGCCGCACAATGCCTCCCATTGGATCTACTTTTGCATTCATAAACTATCGAGTAAGAACCTTGGCCAAGCAGTTTTTTCGCTAGAATGTACTCCGAATTCGAATGCAAAGACGTCATTAAGTTATGGGGAAAGGATGAACTGGAATAAATATGACTTCCATCTTCTATACACATAAAGAATAAAACAAACAAACAAACAAACAAACAAATTAAAATACTTGAAAAGTCTAGACGAAGTATAAATTCGTCAATCAATGACCAACTGAGTTTCAATTTTTCGGGTTAATTTATATTTTATTTTTCCGTTTATGTGTTTCTACCGTTCCCTATATAATTAAGTCATAGCTTGTAGGTTCCCAGAAGAGGTTGACCAGAATAAATTCACTTTTTCTTTCCAATGCAAGGGGAGATCCTCGTTTTATTGATTCTTCAAAGGTTATGTGTATTTGTGCACATTGTTTAACAATAAACATTCAGTAACAATAGATAATCCGAAAGAGGCTGCGGGGTCGAGGGAGGGGGTATGTATTATATAGCGAAGGGGAACCGGAAAAAAAAAAAAAAAAAGAAAAATCAACATTCACGTGACTAAAAGGAGTCAGTTTTTTTGTTTTTTTTCCTTGGCTGAGAAAAAAAAAACATATTTCCAAATAAAGACTGTTTCCTAAGTGAAGAGTGCTACTAGATAGTAAGGGTTTTCCTAAATAGAGAGGTCTCCACCGATAGAGAAAAAGTATTCGCAGGTAGAGAAGGTGTTCCCAAATAATGAGGGATTGGACTGAAATAAATCCATCTCAAAAGATATTTGGAAACTCCACATTTCTCTTTACATCATCAAGTCTCAATCATGTAAGTTTGTATTAAAAATTAATATTTGCGGAAGAATTGAAATACTAGTATTTCTTCCATGGCTTTAATCAGTACATATTTCTTTTTTCTTTTCGTGAACAATATCTTGAATTACCATGGAACTATAGATTATAGTCGATGACCAGGAACAAGACTAAATAAAACAGTAAATACCGCCGTAAAAACTAAAATCAAAAACATCACCCAGAAACTCCGTTTGACAATAAACTGATGAACAAATTTTTCCTCGATTTTCAATATCGATCTACCATTACTTTTACTAAACGTTTCCAGTAAACCTGTCCATGCCAAGAATGGATCCACAAGATATATTGAAGAAACAATGAAATAAAATCCAATGAAGTAAGGAGCCACAATGACTGGCCGAAGACCTTTTCTATAGTTGAGAAAAACAAAAATAAAACTCATCCAAAAAGAACCAAATATAAAGAAAAATCCCAAAACTATACGTAAAAAATTGGAATGATTAATGTTTCTAGTTGCCATAAAGTCAAGGAATTTGGGTAAATGATCATTTTCCAACCTGTTATATATGAAATTCTTGACATAGTTAAAGACATCAGGATCATCACGTCCATCAACTTCTATCGATTTGATGATGTATGCATTGAGCTGTTGGGGTAAGTTTAAGTTTTTTTCAGAATCCTCAACGAAATATTTAAGAAGAAGATTATGTGATGATTCGCGTAGGTTTTCTCTCGTTATAAATGAATTGTTGTTGCTGGAAGCTGCAGGTGAGTCTTTGATCAATCTCTCTAATAATGATGGGTTTATTGCTGACGATACTCGTTTCTGTGGTGGAACAGAAAGCACAAGATTACTAGTTGATAGATTAGCTACAGCATCGTTTTCTTGGGGTGTATTGTTACCTGAATGTAACGATACATACTTTGTAAAATGCACAGCTCGATTTGCTTGGCCTATATCTAATTGGTTTTCATATAATGAATCTCTCGAGTGCTCGTGATTGTCAGTATTGTTGTCGTCTTCGTCATCGTCTTCATCTTCATCGTTGAACAAATTAAATGTGGAGCTTGCTCTTTTCCCTGGTGGGTATTGTGGTGGTTGATATGATGACAAACCAGGTACTCCTGGACTTGGTATGAAGCCAGGTGATGATCTTGCTGAAACATTACCCTTGTTTAACAGCATTTGTGAATGTGTATTCTCTCCTGTTTCTTCATTATATTGCACAATCAACTCTTTCAATTTAGGGTCCAAATTGTCCAAATTTATATCACCTCGTAAAAATGCAGACAATCGATGAGAATCATTCTCTTCCAATATATTATCATTGATAATCAAATCTAATAATATGGATGAACTTAATGATTTATGCTTTTGTTGACTGTCCAAATTTGAATCAGAATTCCTCAAACCTGAGAGTGATGGGGAATTTGAAGGGAATGAAGGGGATATGGGACTATAGTTTTGATTCTGATTCTGATTGAGTTGCAACTGTGGATTAGGTGAGGAGGTGTTTGATCTTTGAGTTGCATTTGACCCTTGAACAACGTTTGGTGGTCGCTGCTGCTGTTGACCATTGAATGTACCGGATTGTCTTACAATAGAGTCTCTCAATCCCTTAATATAATGTTTACACAAGTTCAAATGGTTGATCAAATCAAACCAAAAATCAAGATAATCCACTTTCCCTTCGACATCCTTCATAAACTGATAAAATGTAAATAAATCAACCGGAGTTTTAGATTTATTGGCCAAGATTTCTCCCAAAGTAGGCAAGCGATTTAAATGAATGGTTTGGTTTGGTCCATTTGGGTTATTCAAGCTTGATAAATAATGGGAATTGGGGAAATTCAGCTCGTTTTTTATGTCAACCATTGTGGTGAATAAGTTGGAGGGGCTAACTCTGCTCTATTTGCTCGGCTCTGCTTGCTCTGCTCTCTCGGCTCAGCTCTATTTGCTCTGCTCTTTCTCTCGGCTCAGCTCTATTTGCTCTGTTTGCTCTGTTTGCTCAGCTCTTTCTCTCTGCTGAGCTCTATTTGCCCAGCTCTGCTCTATTTGCTCAGCTCTTTCTCTCTGCTGAGCTCTATTTGCTCTATTTGCTCTGTTCAGCTCTTTCTCAGCTCTATTTGCTCTGCTCTTTCTCTTAGCTCTTTCTCTCTGCTCTTTCTCTTAGCTTTTTCTCTCTGCTCTTTCTCTTAGCTTTTTCTCTCTGCTTTTCCTCTATTTGTCTCTTCCTTCAACAAATCCAATCAGTCTAATCAGTGACTTGGTGATTCAATGACTGGGTTTCCAGGTGGGGAAAAAAAAAAGTTGCCTCGAGTCTAACAATAGCGGGATAACAATGAAATGTGAAAATGTGCAAATACAGCCTTGGCCTCCGACTCTGATCAAACTACAGCACCTCTTTTTATAAATATATGTGTTTATTTTATGCCTTGGGATATGAAACCTTTCCTGCCCCTCCCTATACGCCAAGGGTAGTTTCAGCTGCTTCTCAAACTTCAAATAAAAAAAAACCAAGTATGGGAAAACTCACCAAAACTCAACAAAAGATTATTCTTACCCTAATACTCTACACTTCTACAACTCTGTGTCCCCTTTGTTATATTCTTCCTTTTATTTTACTCGTTATTCAAAGTTGACGATGGACCTTAAAAAAGGGTAGTGTACTTTGTACCAGAAAAAATAATAATATAAAGAAGCGCGGTTTGAGGTTTATAGGTGGAGAGGAGTTAGCAAAGAGTATATCTATGTATAGTTGTTTAGAGATGGGATATATACGAGCAAGTGTTGTATAGGTGGGGAGGGGGGTAGCTCTATGAGAGAGATGTTGGTGGTTGGTTTAGATGGTTCTTTAGCTCGTAAGTAGAAGTTGAATTTTACATGTTGTAGAAATGTTTCATGATTGATAAAAATAATCAAGGAAACATTTTGGTTATTATTCTTTTTGGGAAATACAACCATTTACTATTACGAAAACTATATTTTAGATCCTGATACTACCGTAGTAGTAAATGGCAAGACGATAAACTTTAATTTCTGTATTGCTTTTTCAGGACCAATCTCCTTGTTGTAGAAAATTGTTGTTCCTAATTTTATATACTTGTTATTTATGGTATAATAAAGGTCCATCTCCAAGTGTCTAACCCATCTCTCGAGTTGACTAGAGGCAAAAAAATAAATAGAATATTGGTTGAAATCTGCCATAAATAACTATATCTTACTCTCATGTCAAATATGTTCTATTATCAAATGTGCTCTTTTGGTAACTATCTCTCATGTTAATATGCTCTTTTGGTAACTATCTCTCATGTTAATATGCTCTTTTGGTAACTATCTCTCATGTTAATATGCTCTTTTGGTAACTATCTCTCATGTTAATATGCTCTTTTGGTAACTATCTCTCATGTTAATATGCTCTTTTGGTAACTATCTCTCATGTCTAATAAGATCTTTTAGTTTTATGGTGAGGAACGACACAGTTTTTGAATTTTATTTCATTTTCTGATATTGCTTGCCTGTGGTCCAAATTGGGCTGCAAGCTCGTGCTTGTTTGATCCAACGGTAAAAACATCCATATGAAAAGCACTCCCTTAAGTTTAACTGTTGAGGCACAAAAAACCATTCAGATTTGGGTATAGAAAATAGCCTTCATCAGTTCCTTTTGTCACAGAACCTTAATAGAACATAGGAAACTTGGCATAAATATCATCTAGAATAATCCCCTCTGTGATATCTAAAATAATGCCCTCTGTGAATGTCCTCTGTGAGATCCAAGATAATTCCCTCTGTGATATCTAAAATAATGCCCTCTGTGAATGTCCTCTGTGATAGATAATGCATGTAAGGCTTTCACATGCAAACAATTTTGAGAACAAAATGCCTTTTGACGGATTCTAGTAGGGTTAACTAAAAGTATGCAAGTTGAAAGGACATTTAGAAAAAGTACCAAGTGTTGCTCCATTCTCTTGCTTTGCTCGATGGTGTCGGATGGTTTCAATTTAAATCTTAAAACTACCAGAATACCTTTCTTTGTGTGTTGCTTATTGGTTTTTCAGATCTTTCACTTGGTTTGCATCTAGTTGAAACCTTTATTTGTATTCTACTTGATTTCACATAATATGAGTCTTGAAAAGAACTTGTGTAAAACACACGGGTTTACAATTTACTCAAGTCACTTGATGTAAAGATTATGTGAATTTTGGGCTGCAACTGTACCAAGTTTTGCAAGAATGATAGCAGTCAAACCCGTATGTGGACGGGTTTGATTTTTGCAATTATTAACGATGCTGCTCGTATTTTTTTGCACCCATAATTCCTTTTTCTTCCATCTCTCATCAAAAAGAAATTGTCAATATGAAAGGCTCAAGAAAACAGATTTTGCTCTTCCAAGGAAATACTAATAGATACATATACCACAATTGGAATTTTAAAATTCCTATTGTAGTTTGGTGGATTAGATTGATGTCAGCTGAATGGAATGGAATGGGAATTTTAGATTAAATTGATGCTAAATGATTGAAAGTTGCAATTGGGGCTACCAATTAAATTGCAAACTAAAATACAATAACACTAGTGAGCGAAGCGAGCTAGTGGAGTACTTAGTAGCTTGTTACAACACTATCGAGCGAAGCGAGCTAGTTAAGCACTTTCTAGCTCGTTACAATACTATCGATCAAAGCGAGCTAGTGGAGCGCTTTCTAGCTTGTTACAATACTATCAATCAAAGCGAGCTAGTGGAGCGCTTTCTAGCTTGTTACAATACTATCTCGCTCTGCTCGATAGTATTGCCTTTGTATCTTCTGACAAATGAGTGAAACAAAATGACATTAAACAGAATGAGGGCACCTAACTATGGATTTCGCAATCGTATTTTTTTTTTTACATCTCTGCGTTCAAAAAAAGATAAGAGCATCTACTCAAAGACAAAAACATTTCAAACAAACCTCTATTTCCTGCATGTTCGTATAAAGAACATGTTTCTTTATATTTCATGTGTGTTTGAAACCAGTTTCCAATGTTTGACCGGGCTCATAATGTTTATCTTATATTAACAAAATTCCACGCGTAGTATATCTACTTATAGTTACTCATTCAGCCGCATTTTTATAGATGCGGGAAAAAAAAACATATATAGTCACTTGAAAGAAGACAAGTGGAAGACAAGTGGAAGGCGAGTGGAAGACGAGTGGAAGACGAGTGGAAGACGAGTGGAAGACGAGTGGAAGACGAGTGGAAGACGAGTGGAAGACGAGTGGAAGACGAGTGGAAGACAAGTGGAAGACAAGTGGAAGACAAGTTGAATTAAGAGCAGAGTTAAGAGCAAGTCCAGAGAACAGTTTATGAGGTTGTAGGGTGCCATTGTCGGGTGCCTTCATTCTGTAACATTGTCAGGTAGACTCTATTGTCATGTGGACTTTCTTTGATAAGGTTGTCAGACGTCTTCATCCGGAAAAGCCCGTAGGAGGGAGGGGGTGTGGTAGGTGTAGGTGGTAAGAAAATAACAAGACGATGCTATCCTAATATGCACACATTTCCATCATCTCTGATGCTATTTTTACTTTCTTTCTTGGGTATGGATTCTTATCTCCGCAAACGATATACCCAAAGTGGAAAATAAACGGCTTCGGATATAAGTTCAAATTGAAGATGCGGATTAGTCAAGTTTTAGGTGCCATGCAAAGAGTAGCATTTGTAAATAGCCCTTGTAACATTGTACAATTAACTCATACTGCCCAGTAGAATATAGCAAGTAACTTGATTGCACCATTTGGGTAATATAATTTTGATAACCAGAACGTTTGTTACCTGTTTCAAAGTTGACTGAATTTTATTTTTTTTTTTTTTTTTCAATTGCAGATTCGGTAGCACTCCATTTGTTAGCGCTGGAAGGGGGCTTTAGTTTTCTATACGATGAGAAACAATTTTGTGAATTGCGAGATAAGTATTAGAGACCCTGAGACTTGGAAAATACTGTATGACTGAGACTTAGAGAAGGTACTGTATGAAGGGGAGAAATTTGGTCGCGGGTGGGGAGGGGGGGTGTATTGAGCAGTTTCATTATGAGTCAGAAAGAGAGCAAAAATACTGCAGTATTGCTTGGTTAATTTTTGTCATCACTGGAATTACGCGGGACCGCTCTCCTCTCTACAACGGGGGGAAACTTCTTTTGTCAAACATGCGGGATACAGCAAAAAACAATTGATTTCCGTAATTCTGCATTGCCATTAGCCTGCATCTCACAGCATTGTTTTTTTAATCTAGCACCTTTTATGTATAGTAACATCAAAAAGCATACTCAATCGTGTTTCTAAATTACATTTCCTCTATTGTTCTATCGTGTGTCCTCTCGTACAGACCTCCCCTCCCTTGGAAAGGGAAGAAAAAAAAAAAAAAAAAAAGAAATACATAGGAAATAAGGTTCAAGTAAATAAAGGAACTATGAATTGGGACATGGCTTGGGATATAAATATATCTCAATGAAGGGTAAAAGATTTTCCTTTTATAGAATAGATACTCTCCCTCTCCCTCTTTGGCCATATTGCTGAGAAAATGTATATTTTTCGATTTTGATTGATGTGTACCCCCCAAGTCACACTAGCTAATACTATTATCGAATGTTCATGTTATATAAATGGACAGGTGTCACTTTCTTAAAGAATAAACTTCACAGATCTAATAGCCTACCGACACCTACATCTACACCTCCCCCTACATCTCTACTGATACCAGGAAAGAATAACAGTGTATCAAAAGGTAACAATAATGTCAAATTTAGTGAGGACCCTTGTACTACTACGAGCCAAGTAAGGTCTCCCAGAAACAGTTTCCAGCCAAACCCCGACGATCTCCCCTCTTTATCCAAATCAAACTCGACCTCGGCCCTACTAAAATCAAGGAAAAAGGCCATTTTCAATTCAAATTCAGATATTGCACATCCATCACTGAAGAAAAAATCAACTACTACAAAGAATAATAGAATGAGTATAAATCGTGCTCAGATATTACATCGGTCTAGTTTGAGCAATCAACTGCATAGGAACAACAGTAGTACCGTTGTCGCTTCACCAGAAACTATCAATCCCACTTCATTATCTGGTTCTAGTTCACCTATATTGCCAACAAATGAATTGAGTAACCTCTCCAATTCTTCTGTGATCCAAAAAACATCAGTACACAATCCAGCATCGTCATCATTAGCATTGTCGTATCCAAATTATAAGCTAAACTTGTCTACTCTGAAACGACATAATAGTATATTAAACGCAAGTGATTATTTGACTATTGATGTAAATTTCGATAGAGATTCAATATATACGTTTAATGAAGATAAGTACAGCGACATAGCCGATGAAGAGCCAGAGCAGAAGCATGAACAGAACAAGGAAAAAGACTGGAGTAGTAGTGGTATTGAAAACACTGTTGTTGCGTCTAGAAAAAAAGTCAGATTCATATAGCAGTAGGCCAGCTCAACTGCAATGTAATGACTTGGAAGTTAATATAATGTATCTATAAACTTACACCAACTCAAACCCAGCCTCTCCTTTTTCTCATTATGTGTATATTCTGCCGACTAAGGTAAATAAAAAGTACCTTTTGATATTCGTATCACTTTCACTTTTCTTTTGTGCAAAGAAGGGATCTAAAACAAAAACAGCTACTAATTACAATTGTCCGAGATTGCAGAATAAAAATCATTGTTCTGCGATGTATCCTCCTCTTTCCTCCTATTTCTTTGCTACCATCATCACCACCACCACCACCACCGCCATCACTTCTGCATGTGGCTCTAACTTTCCTTTTATTTTGCACCCGCTTACAAACGACATTGCATTTTTTTTTTTCCTGATGCGAGTAGGTCCCGGGACGGAACTTCAATTATATGTTTCGGTATGCTTTTAGAGCCGGCAGTGCCAGAAATAGCTAAAGTATTCAGGTGTAAAAAGGGGGCCCACAACCGGTACCACAAATATATAACATGTACCTTCCATTGCTGTTTCTTTTTTGTTCCACTTGGTATATGTATCTGATAGTAAACTTCTCTTCTTGTGGTTGTTTTCCCTATTATAGAGGAAATAGATATACACTAATAGGAACGGTTGGAGATAATAAAACAACGATGAAACTGCAAAACGGTGAAACTGTTTTAGTGTTTTAGTGTTTTAGTGTTTTAGTGTTGTTTCATTAACTATAGAGAAGGATTCAGACGTTAGCGTATTGTTCTTTCTTCTCTTATTCTTTATTTTGTATTTTTGAATGACACATATTGCTTCTTACAATGGTTTTCTTTCTTTTTAGAAGGTCATGACTTGAATATTGCAGGTAGAATAAGGAACCAAACTTATAGGAATTAAAAAAAGGTATCGATTTACTTTTTTATTGCTCTATGTGGGAAAACGGTTCCCTTTTCACATGTATCTCCCCGGAAGAGCTCTTCTTATCATATCATCTCTGTTTCTCTATTGTATATAACTAGCATCATATTTCCTCCCCCACATTTTGAAGAGAAAGCAAGCTCCTATTTTGAGAAAGCAAGCTCCAATTTTGAGAAAGCAAGCTCCGATTTTGAGAAAGCAAGCTCCGATTTTGAGAAAGCAAGCTCCTATTTTGAAGAGAAACAAGCTCCGATTTTGAAGAGAAAGAGGCTCCTATTTTGAAGAGAAAGAGGCTCCTATTTTGAAGAGAAACAAGCTCCTATTTTGAAGAGAAACAAGCTCCTATTTTGAAGAGAAACAAGCCCCTATTTTGAAGAGAAACAAGCCTTTATTTTCAAATTGCAAGGATGATCATAATAAAGCAGTCAAAGTCACTATTGAATAAAGTTATGCCGGAATCAAAGAGTGTTTCAACTTCACCTCCATCACACACAGCAACATTATCACCAAAGGTTTCACGAAGACCAACGGTACTGTCACATCAGCGAGGCGATGGGTCGGCAAAAAGCGGCTACTTATCAGATGACCATGATTTAGATATAAGTCCCATCAATTCTATTAGTGATTCACAGCAAGAGCATGAGGAACTACAGCATATCAGAAATAGTTTAAGGCGAGAAAGCGAACGTAGCGATGGTGGGCTACACGTTCATCGTAAAACTAGCAAGAAACACCGTCGACATAAGGAAAAGGAATTAGAGACGGGGAGTCACAGCGCAAGTGGAAATGATGGTAATAACGCTGGTAGTGGTGGCCATAGTGGTGGTATCGTTACTGGCGCAGCTGCAAGTTCCGACATTGGACAGAAGCTTAACTATGGTCTGATGAGTCAGTTTGAAAAGATCTTGCTTGTAATTATACTATTTTTAATTATGATGGTTTATTTTCTATAATAGCTCATAACAAGGTAATAGATATCCATGGTATAACTTACTTTCTACTCTCATTACTGCTTCATAGAATGCTACTCCTGCACACTAGCCGTCACGGACACTATCTCGCTCTGCTCAATAGTGTTGCTCGATAGTGTTGGTCATAAAGTGGCTAGTGTTCTAATTGCTGCGAAAAGAAACGCGTCGTGTATTTCAGCACAAGAATAATCACTGGCTTTGTAAGAAAAAGATTTGTTAACGAATAAACAAGTAAAGAATAAACTTCATCACTAACTTTTCTTTCAAGTTTGGCTGGGTCTCGGACTTATTGGTACAAACTGGTCATATATAGACAAAGGCGCTAGTACTATTACAGTCAATTACATTGGGGAGAGGGAAAGAACGACAGAGAGAGAGAGAGAGAAAGAAAGAGCAAAAGCGCAGTTTTCAAACGGGTTACACTTTAGCTTCCATTGCAATGAAATTTCTCGCTGGTTTAGCAATATTTTTAGCCACGCTTTCGAGAGTTCTCGGTGACGTAGAAATTACATCACCAGAAGACGGGGACACCTTTTCCGGATCATCAGGTCAAGCAAGCATCAAAGTTGAATGGAAAGACGATAGTTCAGATTCAGATTTTTCTTTAGATAAAATCAAATTCTATACTATATCATTATGTACAGGCACAAACAATCCAATACAATGCTACGAACCAGCATATGTCGATCAAAAGAAACTCACAACAACATCCTCCACAATTAATATTCCTCAAAACGCTGTGCCTAATGGGATGTTTTATTTTCAAATTTATACAATGTTTACCAATGGTGCAGATACTATCCATTATAGTCCTCGATTCAAGTTAACTGGAATGACCGGTCCTACAAGCACATACGTTGTTACAGCAACAGGTGATCAACCGGGTGCTATTACAGAAAATTACAATCCTGCGGGAAACACGGATTTTAGCGCATCTTTTACTGTTCCGTATACTTTGCAAACTGGTAAGACAAGGTTTGCGCCTATGCAAATGCAGCCTGGCTCTACAGTCACAGCGACTACATGGACTAGAAGGTTCCCACTGAGCGCTGTAACATACTATTCTACAAAGATGAAGAGTCCCGTGGTTCAGTCAACTATCACACCCGGATGGAGCTATACTGCTTCATCAGACGTTAATTGGGCTAGTGTTGCTCCGTATCCGACAAATTGGTATTCTGCCAGTGAAAGAGTTAGTAAAGCTAGTATTACCGCTACAAAGAAGAAGAGAAGATGGTTAGATTAAGCGGAAGACGAAAAGAAGAGAAGATGGTTGGAAGAGATTCATGGGGGGAAAAGATATTTAAGGGTCTAGGTTAGATTTTATATACGATTGCATTTTATTTAAGTTTGTTCTCTGAAAATGCTCTCAAGGAAGAGAAGGGAGGAAAGGGAGAAGAAGAAAAAAGTGATAAAAGAGATCAACATCTCTTTCATCACAACTACTGCTATAGTGTGCTGTGTAAGGTTAAGAAACAGTACGTATTAATGTGCATGAACAATCTCCATTATCGAGCGGATCGAGATAGTGTTGCTCGATAGTGTCGGTCGATATGGTTATAAGCTACTGAGTGTTACTCGATAGTGTTATAACAAGCTACTGAGTGTTACTCGATAGTGTTATAACAAGCTACTGAGTGTTACTCGATAGTGTTATAACAAGCTACTGAGTGTTACTCGATAGTGTTATAACAAGCTACTGAGTGTTGCTCCACTATCTCGCTCTGCTCGATAGTGTCATATATGGGTTCGAAGAATATAAATTAAAAAGAACAAGAAAAGAGAGATGTAAGGTAATAACTGTAGCCACGATTATACAACTACTATTGTTATTTTTATTTTGTGTATTCACAGAAAAGAATTAGCCATACCATCTTCACTAATTGAAACCTTTACAAAGTATTTATTTCATTTGTTACTCCTCTTATAGAAGATATAGCTTGGATATAAACAGAAGAGACAACAAACTGGCAATTTACTCAACTAATGAACATCACGTGATTATATATTCAGATAAGACATCACGTGTCCATAACGGTGAAAAAATATATAGCCGAGACACCCATAGTCGATCTGAGCGAGATGTTGGAGCAGCACTGACTACACCAACTCTATCGACACTATCGACACTATCGACACACTATCGAGCGAAGCGAGATAGTGTTGCAACCAGCTACTATGTATTGCTCCACTATCTCGCTCCGCTCGATAGTGTCGCTCGATAGTCACGTGATCAGAAATGATAATTAGCCGAGACCACTCCATAGTTTCCCGTCTTATTTAACCATTTTACTTATACTAAAAAGTTTCATCGGTTGGTTTGTTCCCCCCTAGTTATCTTTCTCTCAGTTATCTCTCATTCATAATCCTCTAGCTACCATCCTTCTTCCCCCAAGCACTGCATATAGAATTAAGTCAATTTTAACGAACTTTCCGGAATAGCAATTTGAACAACAATAAAAGCCATTTTCCTCAACTGGTTCTAAAGAAACTACAAGGTTCTATTCAAGTTAACCCCTCCTCCTGCACCCTCCTCCTACGCCCTCCTCCTACGCCCTCCTCCTGCACCCTCCTCCCCGTTGGTAAAAGTGTAAGCAAGAAATCAGGCAAACTTGTATCGATTCTAGGTACACTGAGCCTTTTTCCTTTTTCAATCTTTCTTTGCTTCGGCAATAAAAAAAAGAAAAAAAAGAAAAAGAAAAGAAGATAAAGAACAATAATGAACAACACTTCTGGTCAATAAACCCCCAATTGGGATATAACTTTTAATTCTCATGTCGCTATAATTTGTCCCTTTTCTGGCTATTTATTTATTCTTCTCTTCTTTTGAGTTGCCATTTATCCCGAATGAAACAAACTACAATAGTGATAAAGTCTGGCTGAAAATTTACTTGAAGATCAATTTTTTTTTTTGCAGGTGCTCTGCGTTGTTATAACATTGCACTCAGTAGCTTGTTACAACACTATCTCGTTCTGCTCGATAGTGGAGCAACACTTTGTAGCTTGTTACAACACTATCGAGCAGAGCGAGATAGTGTCGCAACAGCAACCAGCCTTTCTCTATGGGAATTGAGAAAAATAAAATTATAGCAATTGAACAATCAACAGTTATGAGTTTTTTTTTGCATATAATGTATAATGCTAAAGATGGTATTGTTAGTACATGCTGTAAGGTGGTATTGTTAGTTAACTAGACAAAATAGAAGTATATAGGTATGAGTGTATTCAGGGATAATAATAGATATCATTATCACTGAATACTACTCTTGCTTCTCTCTCTCTCTCCCATCCTCCTCGTTAGAAGATGCCTTTCAGTCGTTCTCGAGATTTGACGTCTGATTCCAGTTTGATAGCAGGTGAAAGCCAAGGTGAAAGCCAAAGTGGAAGCCAAGATCCCTTTAAGACCAATTTCAATGAAGAAACTACTGCAGATTTCTCCCATCACCAGCACCACCAGCACTATCACAACAACAACAACAACAACAACAACACCACCACCACCACCAACCACAACAACAATGTAACAATAGCTTCTGATGTCGACCCGGCTAGTCTGAGAGGTTCCTCATCTTCGACACTCTCGTCTATCGGTAAAATTAATGACAACAACAGTAAGCACCAAAAGCTACTGCTGATGCCGCTGATGCCACTGATGCCACTGTCACAGCAGCCATATATCACCAATGCAAACTATCCAAGTACCGAAAGTTGTTCAAACCTATTCAATCCATTTGCATTTGGATCTGCTTCTACCTCTACATCTTCATCTTCGGCTAGAGCCCGAATGACCCCACCGTTAGCTCCTTCTCCACTTGGACCACCTAAAATTAGCGCATATTCCTTCACCAACATATCATCATCGTCTTCTATTCCTCCTTCCCCCATGAAATATCAAAAAAACCATATACGAAATGACAGTTTGGTTATCAACTCTCCCCCACCTTATGATAGGTACCCTAAAATCCAAGATCTCGAAAACAGCTTCCAGCTGCGGCAACAACAGCAACAGCAACAACAACAACAGCAACAACAGCAATACCCATCTCCGCCAGACTCGCCATACTCAGATAACTCCAATTTGAAGCTTCCCCTATCCGAAAAAGACGATTCCTTCCTTGTCAAATACGACCCTAATCCATTTGGCGGGTATCCGGCATCATTGTTCCCACTCGATATAAACGAAAAAGAGTCAGACGATTACCTACATAACTCGGATCCTATCAGAGATGCAAATTACGAAAACCACAGGTTTTGGTACGACTTAAAGTACGGTGATAAAAAGTCATATTTCGGCTTATTGGGCTTCTTATTCCTTATCGCTGCAGTTATTGCAGTATTTGTCATTTTACCTTCGGTTACATATACAGGTATTACAGATCATGCTAAGCCAATCCATCATACATACGACATTCTAACTCACTACCACTATCCTCTATTGAGTGCTATAAGACAAAGCCTAATCGACCCCGATACGCCAGAAGAAGCATTGACAATAGAAGCTCGAGACGGTAGCGTTTGGAACCTAATTTTCAGCGATGAGTTCAACTGTGAAGGAAGAACGTTTTATGAAGGAGATGACCAGTTCTTTACAGCTCCTGATTTGCATTATGATGCTACTAAGGATCTTGAGTGGTATGATCCCGATGCTGTTACCACAAAAAATGGTACTTTAAACTTGCAAATGGATGCTTTTAAGAACCATAATTTATTTTATCGTTCAGGAATGGTACAATCGTGGAACAAGATGTGTTTTACTCAGGGAAAGATTGAGATTTCAGCTAGGTTACCAAACTATGGTACTGTTTCTGGGCTATGGCCTGGGTTATGGACAATGGGCAATTTGGGTAGACCAGGCTATTTAGCTACAACCGAGGGTGTTTGGCCATACTCGTATGATTCTTGTGATGCAGGTATAACTCCAAATCAGTCATCGCCAGATGGCATATCATACCTACCAGGACAGAGACTAAACAAATGCACATGTCCAGGGGAGTCTCACCCAAATCCAGGAGTAGGCAGAGGTGCCCCTGAGATTGATATAATCGAAGGTGAAGTTATGACAGATTCAACTGGTGTGAAAGAAAGCAATGGTATTGCTTCTCAGTCTTTACAAATTGCCCCCATGGATATTTGGTATATGCCTGACTACAACTTTATTTCAGTACACAACACCTCAATAACCACAATGAACACTTATGCCGGTGGTCCTTTCCAACAAGCAATCAGTGGAACTACAATGTTGAATAAGTCGTGGTATCAACGAAGTCGCACTCCGGGTGTACCACACTTGTACCAAACTTACGGCTACGAATATCTTAATGACAACGACCTGGGTTATATACAATGGTTTGTTGGAAAAGATCCAACAATCACAGTAGAAAGCACCGCACTACATCCAAATGGGAATATTGGTTGGAGAAGGATTTCTAAAGAGCCAATGTCAATAATCATGAATCTTGGTGTTTCCAATAATTGGGCATACATCGATTGGAGAGAAATAGTGTTCCCTTCTATATTTCAAATCGATTATGTAAGAGTATATCAACCCCCAGATGCAATCAATGTTGGCTGTGACCCAGCGGATTATCCCACGTATGATTATATACAAGACCATAATAACATCTACCTGAATGTCAACTATACAAAGTTTGAACAAGGCGGGTATACAATTCCAAAGAATAAGCTTACTGGGTGTCGATAGTATATCAAAGAAAACAACACTATACAACCTACAGTTTCAATTCCCTTTCCCTTTTGTTGATGTGCATTTTTCTTTTTTATCAAAGAATATTTATTTATTTGTATAGATATATTTTGTAGGTATTAATATTATAGAACGCAACGGTACATTCTCTTCAACTTTATTTAAAATATGATCCATACATGTTCCAAATGCGATTAACCAAACGCAATTTTGTCTCCAAGTCATATCCGCTGTTATTTAACTCATTTAAATCTTTAACCCAATCACTATGTAATTGCTTTGGAATAATTGGTTCAGAGCTAATTATCAAGTTGATAATTTCAATCAATAATTCACCTTCGTACAGCTCTCTACTTATGATATCATGATGCTGTTGTTTCTCCCCCTCTTCACATTTAGCATCTACTACCTTATTGCTCTGCAACATAATCAATAAGTTTTCAATGTTGTTCAAACATTTCAAACAAACGATATTTAATTGTTTCCCATTAACCATTATTGGCTTATGGTTGTCACTGGTGAAGTATTGATAAACTTGATACAAAATGAATAAAGAAGGACTCATGGAAACTATTCCAAACACCAATTGTTGGCTTTTTAGTAATTTATCAATACCATTGATGGCTACTGCACCGTCGACTTTTCCCTTTTGCACTTGAATCAATACTAGTCTTAACAATGAGCCGGAAATAATATACTTTATAGGTTTTCTAATCTCTTGTTCATACTGAGACATGATCAATCTCAAGTCTCCATTTTTGACATCAGATGCAACACGTTGGGGCGTTGTATCGATATTATTATCCTGAGCAAATTCCCAAATCATCTTTTCCAATGAGTCAAAATCGGACTCAAGAGAATCACGAGTCATTATAGTGACTCCGCTATCACGTCTTAAAATATTCAACATTTCATTCATTGGTTTCACTACCCAATTGACGAAAAATCCTTGAATTGGCTCTATTCCATTATATTGTATCCAGTGGTAAATCTCTTGTCGGTTGTTATACAAAGACACGGATTGGCCAGGTACGTATCGAATGAAAAGGACAATTATAGGCCAGTATCGGGTTAGTACCAGTGGTCTCGAAGTCGAGTTGTACTGAACCTTGTCGAATGTAGATATTGAATCTATTGATTGGAGAATTCTTTTACTTATATCACCTTCATCGTGATCTATATTGAAGATAGTCACCAAGGTAGGAAGATAATTCAGTACATCGCCTTTAATAATCTGGTCAAGTTTGTCGGTATTCTGACTCATTTCAAACTTGATAGTTTTCAATTTGAGTTTAATCTCCTTATTAATTATCGTAATAGGTGCTTTAATAATCGATGTGATATACCACTTTACGGAAGAAAAGACTGATATTTGCGTTTTGGAAAACAAGGTGATTGCGGGATTAACTTCGATGAAAACCGTTTTGATTGAACGAACCATTGATTTTGCCATTGCGATAGTAAAATGTTTAATCCTACGCCACATGGGTGTAGTAGTTGCTGCTGATGATGATGATTCTTGAAAAGTAGCAGATACTTTCTGGTTGGTCTTTTGGAAAATGGCAGTGGTAAATCCATATATCCTAAGAGGCAAGGTCTGAACAAAATAAACCAACTTGTTCAATATCGAATTATATATAGTCTCCCAATAAACCTGTTGGTTTTTCAAGATCAATGTTTTATAAATCAATGAATTGGATATCTTTAAACTCAATATGAGAACCATATACTCAGTCATCAAATCAAGCAACACCTTATTGTCCTTATCACTTATTTTTATCTCAGCGGCTTTGATATAGATTGACCGTAACTTGTCCAAATCAACATTACATGTTTTTTCGAAATTAAAATTTTCAAAGTCAAGCAAAATGTAAAAATCTTGAAACGTCTTCTGTAATTGCTCGCTCTCCTTGGATTTCTGCTGCTGCTCTTGCTGCTGCTCTTGCTGCTGGTATCTCGTTGCTAAGAATGTCTTTATATCTGAATTCAATTTCTCAATTTGTTTCCTTATAGCAAGCGATATACGATTATTGTTGTTTATCACCTTGAGAATCTTCTTGGACCGTGAAGAGTTGGGAGTGAGACCCAACAGCACAATATCCATTATGAACCTTCACTTGATAACAAGAAAGAAGACGCCGTAAAGGTGCTGGTAAAAGGTTTCAAGTGGTGGAGGTGATGGTGTTGAAGGAGCAAGGAAATTTTGACGGAAAATTCAAAGAAAATTGAAACGCCGCACCAGTTGCGGTGTCGGATATAATAACCGTATTTGGGTAAGAAAAGTGCCGCATAAATTGTGGTGCATCTGGCAACATCGAGCGACACTATCGAGCGAAGCGAGATAGTGGAGCAGCACCGACTAGTGATACTGACTAGTGACACTACCATCGAGCGAAGCGAGATAGTGGAGCAGCACTGACATACTGATTAGTGATACTGACTAGTGACACTGACTAGTGACACTGACTAGTGACACTGACTAGTGACACTGACTAGTAATACTGACTTGCTCTGCTCGATAGTGGAGCTGTCAAAGTAACTGATATTTCAATTACTTTTCATTCAAATACATTTATGCGTAGAAAAAATTTTTAAAGAATAGACATACAATAAAGGTTAAAGACTGAAGCATCGCTGTGACACTATCGACACTATCGAGCAGAGCGAGATAGTGGTGCAACACTTAGTAGACACTATCGGCACTATCGACACTATCGAGCAGAACGAGATAGTAGTTCAACACTTAGTAGACACTATCGACACTATCGATAGTATCTCGCTCTGCTCAATAGTGTCGGCGATAGAGTTGTAACAAGCTACAAAGTGTTGCTCCACTATCTCGCTCCGCTCGATAGTGTCACTCGATAGTGTCACTCGATAGTGTCACTCGATAGTGTCGATAGGAACCATTCAAATACTAAAGTGAGCTCATGCTATTGTCTAGAACCTCTATTCGAAATCGGGTAAGATTGCGCTTTCTTAAGTTCTTGGGGTAATAGTTTTTCGCGCATTGGAAATCGAAAAACAAGTACATTTTTTTTTGTTTTTACCTCTTTTTTTGATTTGACCGTTGTAAATTTGTTTTTTTGTAAAAAGTTCCCAAAATAGTAGTTGTGCCAATTTGGGAACAAAATTGCTTAAAATTTTAGATAGTCTATCATTAACAATTTTATCAGTTTTTTGCTCTTTTTTGGTATTCTTTTTCCCGACACAACTACACTATCGAGCAGAGCGAGATAGTGTCGATAGTGTCGGTGACAGCTACTGTGCTCCACTATCTCGCTTTGCTCGATAGCATAGATAGGACCGATAGCGCAGGTGACAGCTACTGTGCACCACTATCTCGCTCTGCTCGATATTGTCGAGGTTTGAGAGTAGTCAGTGCTCCACTATCTCGCTCTGCTCGATAGTGTATGTCAGTGTTGGTCAGTGTTGTCCACTATCTCGCTCTGCTCGATAGTGTCGAATCTATAGTAAGTACTTAACATCATATACAACTAGTAAGCTAATATTGGCTTTCGTGGTTATAACAAGGTGCTAAATGCTGCTCCACTATCTCGCTCTGCTCGATAGTATTGAGGTTTGAAAGTAGTCAATGTGCTCCACTATCTCGCTCTGCTCGATAGTGTAGGTCAAATTTGTCCACTATAACACTCAGTAGCTTGTTACAACACTATCTCGCTCTGCTCGATAGTGTCGCTCTATTCGTCATCGTTACTTTTATCATTCAAAACTCCACTAGCTTTTATCAATTCCTCAATATTCTCGTTACTCCATATCTTCTGCAAAACTTTCCCCTCCTTATCCAAGCTCAATGTGGCAAACTCCAACTTCTCACTATTCAAATTAGAAGCATCCATGGTTTTAGACAATACCTTAATCGCCAATTCGCAACCTTCTCTCAATGTCATCTCTTCCTTGTAATCCTTCTTCAATAACGTTTGTGCTGCCGAGTTATTAGCCCCAATGCTCGTTGCTTTCCACCCGCTGAAATTCCCCGATGGATTCGATGTATACAACTGGAACTCAAATCGGTCATCAAATCCGGCATATAAAAAACTAACACCAAACGGTCTCAACCCTCCATGCTGAGTATACCCCTGCATTATATTTGCCACCCTCTTAATCAACATCTCACACGGAATCTCCTCAGAATACGTCTTGAGATATTGCTGTGCTTGTACACGCGCATTATTCACCAATATGGATGCATCAGCAGTCATCCCGGCAACTGCACATATCATTTGGTCATTGATAATGTACAATTTCTCAGCACTACCATCGTCATCCAACAACTTCGACGTAACCTTTTTTTCACACGCTAATATCACCCCTTGGCTCGTTACTATACCTATCGCGGTACCTGCCATCGATATCGCTTCTTGTGCATATTCAACTTGATACAACCTTCCTTCGGGAGAAAAGATTGTCGTTCTCGAATCGTATCTCCTGGACATAGCAAAAAGTACAAACTAACCTAATCCAATGGGTCTATATGGCAGTGGCAATAACAATTGGTGGCTCTATTTGATGAAAAAAAAGTTTCATAGTGGAAGAGTGTGTCGTGTTGTGAGTGTCGTGAAAAATAAATCTACGACAAAATGCTATATAGAAGGTAAGGAGGGAAAAAAAAACATCACCAACTACGAAAAGGGTTGCCACCAACAGACTACGAAAAGGGTTGCCACTGTAACTTGTTGAGGTAAGGAAATTATACTCTTGAAGTGGTAGGATAGGTTATATAGACGATGCGTTTTTGTAGATGTCGGTATTTATCAGCTCAAGTGATATACCGATAGGTTATACGACACCCGAGTATCCATCGCTATTTTGGCCAATTGGAGCTACTCGACCAGCCTATTTAAATTCGTTTTTGTATTATTCATGGGATGTTTGGAGGTTTACGGTGTATTGGTCATTGTTATTATCGGGCTCGTTATATTTTTGTGTGGGACTTGTTTCTGCAGCAAGTAGTATAATAAATTACTATCGACATAATTTTCCCCTTAAAGGGTCAAAGATTGTTGCTTGTATTTTTATAGTGGTATTTTATGTGTTTGTTGGTTTGATTAAGGGACTTATTGGTGGTGCTATAATTGGGATCATTTTAGCTGCTATATATCAAGCTGGAAGTTTAGCTATGAGTTGCTGGATTCCGCTAACTTGGTCGATTGTGCAAATATTATACGATATTGCATCTTCATATCTGACCAGCTCAATTATACTCTAAGTGGGGGGGTAAAACCATCAAGAGAAAAAAGAAAATTGGGTAACCAGTATGGGTACCAAGTGTGGGTATGGTGTGTATTGTTGCTGCTCTACCAAGCGTAAATATATATCATCTCCAAAGTTTTTTTTTTGTATAACCTACTTTTCCTTGGATAATCTGCTTTTCCTTGTATACCAGCTGCTTTCCTTGTTACCAGCTGCTTTCCTTGTATACCAGCTGCTTTCCTTGTATACCAGCTGCTTTCCTTGTTACCAGCTGCTTTCTTTTCCTTGGTTTTACGTTGTTTGGTTTCCCTTTATGCCCCTTATGGCAGAGTCAACTTTTGATATCAAGTTTATTGCAATCAATCAGATTGCCTATACGTTTAATAAACTTGCAAGTATAAATAGTAATGATGACAATAGAGAGCTGCTCATTGGGATGGCCATTGAATGTTTGGCTTTGATGGAACAGTATCAAACGCTACATCCTTCTTATACCACATTATTAGCCTATTTGGCCGCTGCTGAGAATGTTGATATTACAATTTATAATAGTCAATGGGCAATGAGTATAAAACAGAAAGCTAATGTCTATATCACAAACTTGCTCGAGGAGATGAAATTGATATTCGCCAAAACAAACAGCGCATTGAAACCAGAACAAGCTCAAGAGCTATTTGTAAAGGTGAGAAAAGGTGTCATTATTCGAATAATACAAACAGAGTACCAAGAAGCATTAAGTTTACTTGACAAATTTGCTTCAATAGTGGAATTCTCGACTCAGCCAAAAGTAAGACAACAGTTTCTTGATAACAGGTTTATTGAGTATCTATTCTTGAAATATATTGGTAACTTGTTTAGTTTGATCTGGTTTCCCTTGGACGACAACAAGTATACAATTGCATCAGGCGTCTATGTCAAAGAAGGCGATAAATTGCTATACTCGAGTTCCTCGTTCAAACCGATGGACAGGATCTATAATCAAGTCCTAATGTACCAAAAGAAGAATGAATCCTTGTTTGAGGAAAATGATGATGAAACAAGGTATTTTTGGATTATTCGGTTCCTTCGTTTAAGTCTTTTTTTTAAACAATTTGAGTTTATTGAGTTTTATAAAGAGTTTTTGGACTTGTTCATTTTGCAAAAGGAGCCGTTGCAGTATTTGGTATCTGATACATCTTTAATCAAATGCAATCTTTTGGTCATGTTTGGCATGGTTTTGATATTTGTCAAACCATTCAATACGTTGAGCTTGTTGGATAATGAGAATGACAATCTACTCGAGCTTTACTATGAAGACCCTAATAAAATCGAGTTTAAATTATACAACCAACTTATGAAACCACTTAGTAACGGTGATTTTCACCAGGTTAAGCATGTGTTTGAGGATACAAATCTCGTGCATTTACTTGTCTCTTATTTGGAATACAATTTTCCAATTTCAACATCCAAATTTTCCAGCAACTCGAGTTCTTTTGTTGACTATATCAAATTGATTATTGACTTGAAAACGTTTCTATCCATTTTATCAAGCACTAGAGCAATTCCTCGGTTGAAAATGTTGAGTTTAATGGGGTATGATTTGAAGAAGAAGAATGAGCTGGAACTAAATGAGGTGTCGAATCATTTAATTGGAGTCATATCAGCTCTTGGATTAGGCCAGGTTGGAATCGGGTATTTGGCGAGTGAGCAGGTTTTTTACAACAATGCCACGTCTGCTTCCAATTCTCAAGTTGAACTTGTTTCCTTACAAGAGGATATAGATCGAATTAGTCACAACTTACAAGGTGACTCGCTAGCTACATTAATGACTAACCTGTTACTTGAAAAATTCTACAGTTGAAAGTAAAATGCCATTGCTTCTATTTGCCATTGCTTCTATTGCCATTGCTTCTATTTGCCATTGCTTCTATTTGTCAATTTTGCAATTAGCTTCATAATATACAACCTAGCATCTAACGGGTTGAATTGTACTTTACCTATGTCCATTGATATCTCATCATGGAATAGGAATTGGCCTATAAAATAACACGTAAACATAATGACAAACACTCCACAGTCATCAAAGTTCTTCTGTTGGTCACAATTCATGTGTACCACCTTGATTTTGCCCTTGACCAATTTTGAACAGCTTTCCAATCTTTTGCATAGTGCTTGCAATTGCGTATCCCCATTTATGTCATTGTCAACCTTCATTGAATCATACACAAACAATTTATTATCCAAGAGAGATAGTACACCCAAAGCCCAATGGTCTCCATTGTTGGCATCTTCCATATCGATCTCCACGCTGGGTTTATCAATAAAACTAATTGGTAAAAAAAGAAACCTCAGCTTGATCAAATCGTCCATAGGTAAAAGATTCTCGATATCGTCGGCTGGGAAATGCTGTAAAAGCTGGACTAAACTCGGGAAAAGAAGTTGTATTTGGTTTGCAAAATCTCGACATTGATCCAGCTTGATAAATAGTTGTATAATAAGCTCATAAACAAAAGAAATATCGTTATCATTTAGCCATTCTCCGGGGAGTAAATGCTCTAGATCTGATTTATATAATGCAATTGAGTGATACTGAAGAACTTTGAAATCTTCTCCTTTAGAAAGAAAATTCTTTCCCGTATCTGTTGTGTGCAAAATGACGTTTGTATAAATATGCTTTATTTCTTGCTTGGCCAAATATGGTTTGAAACTTGCTTCAACTTCGTCCCCATACTTGTCGAGCTCAACCTGGCGCTTCATTTGTCGTTTCTTTTGAGCATTGATCTTCTTCAGTTGTCGCAACTCCCGTTTTTCCAGTTTGCTTAATTTTTTGTTGCACGGCATACTCAACGTAGCTACTTCGCCTCCAATGCCCATAAGCTCGCTGCCTCCATTGGCAAGGTCAGGCGTGTACGCATCCCATGGTAAACACGCTAAACCATTGGTGATAAATCGCTCGCGCTCACTTTCTCCTACCGCCGGCTCATCATGCGAAAGACAAAAACCTTTATGCTCTTTCCATTCAATAAGGGTCATTAGCACTTTCAACCAAGTTCCGCGTGGTCTCCTATAACAACAACAGCAGCAACAACAACAACAGTGGTTTCGTGATAATCATATCAGCCTCCAATTTAAACGCTGATGTTCCTTGATGGAAATTTTGCAATCGAGCCGCAGTGAAAAAAAAAAACGTGAAAAAAAAAAGGCCCAGGAAGTAACAGGTTTGTTATTACGATAAGGGCACGAGGCACCTCCATATGAGTAGACTAGGGACGAATTACAGGGGGTTAGGTATGAAGAATTTGAGCGCGTATACCAGGACTTGTTTTCGAAGGTTTATCACGTTGAAAACGCGACCGAAAACTGATGTTAAACTCGGTCAACCAAGTTATGAAACTCGGAATCACATTTTACCAACACCAGGGAATCTCACTCCCGGAATCTCGGCAATTGAGTATTTTCAGCGGAGGTTGAAACTAGCAGCACAATTACCAGATAAGTCGCTTGCAATTATTGTAGGCAATACCACAAAATTTAGTTCCGGGAGCGTGTTTTATGATTTCCAACAGGATAACGATTTGTATTACCTCACTGGCTGGTTAGAGCCAGATACAGTGATGGTTTTGGAGAAAAAGGGCAGTCATGGTCGTGATGAGGATGTGGCACTACATTTGCTTGTACCGCCTAAAAACCCGCTGCGTGAACAGTGGGAAGGTTCGAAAACAGGTTTAGAAGGAGCTTGTGAGTTTTTCAATGCTGATAACGTTGAGGATGTGAGCAAAGCCGCGAGCTATATCAAGTCTTTGATATCGAGAAACAACACTATTTTCTACGACAGCAAGTATCAAGCAAAACCGGCTACGGAATCTTTGTTTAAACTGTTTTTTGATTTTGGTGGCGGGAAAGGTAATGATTCAATGATGTTGAATGATATTATTTTAAAGTCAGGGAAATCGATAAACCCATTAAGGAAGGTGATTGATCGTTTACGTAGCGTGAAGTCATGTGCAGAAATAGAAGTAATGCATGCAGCCGGGCAGATTTCGAGTAGGGCGTTCAACAAGGCAATGGGGAAAGTAGCTTCAGAGAGCCCTATACAAACCGAAAAGACCCTTGCAAAATATTTGGAGTACCAGTTTGTGAAGGGGGGTTGCGACAAACAAGCTTATATTCCAGTAGTTGCCAGTGGTCCAAATGCATTAACGATCCACTATACAAGGAACGATGATTTGCTTTACCAAGATGAATTGGTGTCTGTTGATGCAGGTGGGAAACTAGGTGGGTATTGTTCGGATATATCTCGAGCTTGGCCCAATTCCTCCAAGGGGTTCAGTGAGCCGCAAAGAGATATATACCAAGCCGTCTTGAACACAAATAGGAGCTGTATAGATCTTTGCCATGAGGGATCAAATTATTCATTTCACGACATTCATGAATTCTCCGTTAGATGCTTGAGAAAAGAGCTTCAGAACATTACGGGGTTTCAAAATGTGACATATCAAGATATACGGGTTTTGTACCCACATTTTATTGGACATCATCTTGGATTAGACTTGCATGATGTGCCATCAGTTTCGCGCAATGAAAGATTTGTGGAAGGAAACGTCATCACAATCGAACCTGGATTATACATTCCAGAAAATAGCAGTTGGCCCAAACATTTCCAAGGAATTGGAGTTAGAGTTGAGGATGATATTGTAGTGGGTAAAACCAGTGATGAAATAATCAATTTATCAAGCGGATGTGTTAAAGAAATTGCTGATATTGAATCGTTGATTCGAAATGGAGTCTCAACCCCTGGTATAGATGCCGAATTGGTTGTCTTGGATATTTGATGAAAATCTTTTTTATTTAGAGAATGAAAGGACAAAAAGAAAAAGAAGGGCACCTTTTTCTTTAATGTCTCTTTCAAAATGTACATATTTTACCTATTTGCAGTTATTTTCAACGACCTATATTCAATAATAGTGAATTCGATGCACCGTCCGAGCCTCCTTCTTTGCCACTACCACCACCACCACCATTACTTGGCAAGTACGTAACATTAGGAGATCCGGCCAAAGTATTTGCAATATCCTTTGAAGCTTCCAATCTTCTAATCATCAACAACCCATCACCGGCTTTAGCCAATGCCTTGGAAACCACGTCTGCTGATTCAGCTTCACCCTCAGCCCTAATAATACTTGCCTTCTTTTCTTGTTCTGCCTTCTCAACTAAGTATTTTGATCTCTCTGCATCTTGCTGGGCAATCTGTTTCTGCTCCACCGCTTTTGTAAACTCACGACCAAATGTCATGTGAGTAATGGAGACATCTTCCAACTCAATGTTGAACTCCTTAGCTCTTCTTGATAATTCTTGTCTTATTCTAGCTGATACGACTTCTCTTTGAGTAATTAGTTCCGCTGCGTCGAATTGCGCCACAATAGATTTCAAAATCTCATTTCCAATAGCCGGCAAGACCCTTTCATCGTAATCCAAGCCCAAGGTTTGGTAGATAGTAGGCAATCTGGTCACATCAGGTCTTGTTAAAACACGCAATGTGATTGACACATTCTGCAAATCTTTCGAGCCTGTAGTTGTTGTTATAACTTTTGGCTTGATTCGTACATCAAATATAATTGCCTTCTGTAACCAGGGCACAAGAAAATGCGTTCCTTCACCAATAACTTTTTGTTCAATACCTTTTAAACGATCAAACAATATTGCTTTTCTGCCACCAGGAACATCGTACATCGACGATTGGCCAATAGCAAATGCTACACCTGCTGGCAAGGCAATCTTGGAAATTATATCAGCAATTCTATGCGACATTGACCCCAACTATTTGTGTAAAACCAACTCACCGGTATATATATATAATGGAATATATATATAATGGAATATATATAATGGTATATGGTGATGAAAATTTTATGCTTGCCGTTTCCAGTGCGCGTATAAAGGCGCTACCAAATGGACACTATCGACACTATCGACACCATCGACACCATCGAGCGAAGCGAGATGGTGGAGAAACACTTTGAAGCCATACTATCAACACTATCGATACTATCGAGCAAAGCGAGATCACTTTGTGGCCATACTATCAACACTATCTCGCTCTGCTCGATGGTGGAAGGGAAGCTGGTCAGAAAGAGAGGTGATATAGCGGAGCCAGAGATAATGTGATAGCTGGTCAGAACAAGCTACAAAGTGCTGCTCGATAGTGGAGCAGCATTGACTACAACTCCTACAACTCTTACAACTCTTACAGCTCTTACAGCTCTTACAGCTCTTACAACTCTTACAGCTCTTACAATTCATCCTACAACTTCTTCTTACAACTTTTCTTACAACTCATCTCATAACTTCTTCTTACCACTTTTTCCTACCACTTTTTCTTACAACTCTCGACTCTTACAACTCATCTTACAACCCATCCTACAACTTTTCTTACTACTTCTTCTTACCGCTTCCTCTTACAACTTCTATCACTCTTACTACTCTCAACTTTTACAACTCATCCTACAACTCATCCTACAACTCCTACAACTCATCCTACAACTCATCCTATAACTCATCCCACCACTTTTTTCTATAACTTCTTCTTACAACTCATCCCTACAACTCCTTCTTACCACTTCTTTTTACCACTGCTTCTTACCATTATTTCTTACCACTTCTTCTTACCACTTCTTCTTACAACTCTTACAACTCCTATCACTCTTACAACTCTCAACTCCTACAACTCATCCTACAACTCCTACAACTCATCCTACAACTCCTTCTTACAACTCATCCTACAACTCCTTCTTACAACTCATCTTACAACTCATCTTACAACTCATCTTACAACTCATCTTACAACTCATCTTACAACTCATCTTACAACTCATCTTACAACTCATCTTACAACTCATCCCACCACTTTTTTCTACCACTTCTTCTTGCAACTTTTCTTACAACTCCTACCACCCTTACTACTCTCAACTCTTACAACTCTTACAACTTCTCTTACCACTTCTTCTTACATCTTTTCTTACAACTCCTACCACTTCTCTTACAACTTCTTCTTACAACTTCCTCTTACAACTTCTTCTTACAACTCTTACGACTCTTACAACTCTTACAACTCTTACAACTCTCACAACTCATCCTACAACTCATCCCTACAACTCATCCCTACAACTCATCCCTACAACTCATCCTACAACTCCTTCTTACAACTTCATCCTATAGTGGCATTTCTAACGAGTCGTGCACCAATGCAAAGCCAGCATTTTGAAAAAAAAAAAGATCATTCAACGCCACTTTTTCTTTCAACTTGAACCATATAGTCAATACTTTTATTTCTATTCAAGTGTTACTGTTACTGTTACTTCAATCATGTCCGCCGCTTTAGATAAATCTTTGGATGATATTATTTCATCTAGTAAAAAGACTTTCAAGTCAAGAAGACCTGGTGCTAAGCTTGGTGCTAAAGGTTCTCAAAATAAAGTTGGCAAGAAATTAGTCGGTAACAAATCTAGAAAGCCAGCTTCAGTTTCGTTTAATAGACCAAACGCACCAAAATCTGCATCTGCTGCTGTTGTTGTTCCTGCTATAGACTTGAGCTATGCTACAAAAGTGAATGTTTCGGGATTACCTAAGGATTTGAAACTTGATAACGTTAGGGTATGTTTTTGAAGGAAGAAAAAGAGAGAGAGAGAGAGAGAGAGAGAGAGGATGTGTCTCTGACTCTGAGAGAGAGGATGTGTCTCTGGCTATGAGACTGTGGAATGTGGAATGTGCAAGCCTCATCATTTCTATATGGTGAGATATCAGTTGATTATTCAGATTTGTGGATCGATTCGAAAGAAGAAGAAAAAAAGTGGAAAAGTGTGTGGTGGTTTTTACTAGAGTTGGTTTTGTTTTGATGTGGATTTCTAATTTCACCATTTTAGAACCAAAACTCAAACTTTCTTTTAGATCTACTGACAAAGCTTGAAAAACATGACTTGTGATGCACTAAACTTTTCTTTGTGGGTGTGGGTGTGTGTTTGTTGTTGGCTGGTTCCAACATTCAATCTCATTTTCATGTTTTTCTTTTTTTGGCTTTGAAGAGGATCAAGCGAGACTCGATAAGCCGAGCATAACTTGATTCTCACAACTCGATCTCGTTGTGTCTTGAATTTTTTTTTCATGACCACCATAGAGACTTGAAGAGTTGAATTTGGTATATGTGTGAGCATGAGTGGATATTGCATATGTGTATGTCGGTGGGTATTTTGTTTAAGCTTGAGGTTTGATTTTTTTTTCTTTCTTCCTTATTCCATCATCTGGGCCTGATGAATTTTCTGGACAATATTCTCCTATACACGTATGGATGAATACCCCGTCTTACATACATGAATATCCATCGTTGTTACACACGGGTTTAATTGATGACAAGGCAAGAGATTTGTTTGTTTGCCCCCTTCCCTTGTGGTAAAACTGGTGTTTTGTTCCAATTGAGTTTGTGAGCGGAACGCCCATACACGTCTGAGGCTGATGTTTTGTTTGATTGTTGTTGTTTTTTTATTCAATTACCCAGGGGGGGAGGTTCTTGACCAAGCTTGTTGAGTCATAAAAATCCACTTTATTGTGGCATACGCATTGCAAATACCACTCAAGCTGAGCAAATACCACTCAAGTTGAGCAAATTCCTCTCTGGTTCAGGAAAAATACCACTCAAGTTGAGCAAATACCACTCTGGTTCAGGAAAACCACTACACGAGCCCTTTAGGATAAAGATGGGCAGCTACTGTGCTCCGCTATCGAGCGAAGCGAGATAGTGTCGGTGACAACTACCGTGCTCCACTATCGAGCGAAGCGAGATAGTGTCTGTGGAAGCTAGTGTCGGTCGATAGTGTTGGTGACAACTACTGTGCTCCACTATCTCGCTCTGCTCGATAGTGTCTGTGGAAGCTAGTGTCGGTCGATAGTGTCGGTGGCAGCTACTGTTATCCATCACCGTCTTGGATATTCACTTTGATATTTCTTTGCACTTTTTTCTTTTTTTTTTCATTTCCATTCATCTTCTCCGTGTGTAAAAAGATATAGAGGACTAACATTTTTAGGAATTTTTTCAATCACAAGTTGGTGGAGTTAACAAGGTGGATATGAGCTATAACGAAAAAGGCCAGTTCAAAGGTTATGCTACTGTTATATTCAAATCTAATAAGAATGCAGCATTAGCTGTTGAAAAGTATAATGGAGCTTCAATCGATGGCGGTGCTGGCAAATTGAGATTAGAGTTGATTATTGATACTTCCAAGAAACCGTTAGCAGCTAGAATTGCCGCTAAACCTGTTGAAAAGACTAAAGTTGTTGCTGCAAAGAAGGTTTTGGCCAAGAAGAAGAATGCTGTGGGTGCTAAGAAGAACTCCAAAAAGCCCAACAAGAAAAAGACTGTTGAAGAATTGGATCAGGAAATGGCTGATTATTTTGAGAATTAAAGCTTATTATCCTTTTCTTTTTCTTTCATAGGAATCTACTGCTTTTCCAAAAAAAGCTTCATTGCTTTTTACCAGTATCTTTTTTTTTTAGTTGTGTTTTTCTATATATATATATATATGTATATATATCAAATTGTATTTTTTAATTGAATCTTGTGTTACTGAAGTGAGCAACATGGACTTTCGGCGTTATCAAATGGAACTACTTTCGATGTTGTCGAGGTGACCTGTTGGTGGTTTTGAAATTTTGATTCTCTTCGAAGCCTCGCGATATTTTTTTCAAGTAAAGGAACTGAAAAAATATACTAGAGACGTTTACATTGTAAGAAGAAAGATTAGGATTTACTTGAAGTATTTGGTCCATTGCTTTAGTTGACGGTGTTTTTGGTTGTTTGGGGGTTTATTATTACTAGTTATACGATATGGAGAACTTGAGTTATATAGTGACGGCGGAATTTCATATAGACAAGGGTCCATTATTGGTTTACCAGTACCCGAATGAGATTCCTGGTTTGAAAAATCTCTATTTTCTTCCCGAGTTGATGTTGCCCGACCAAATTCATAAGCGAAGTGAGGATTATACGTTGTTTTTGCTATATCGGAACAAGGATGGGGAGTTTCAGTACAAGTTTGACAAGGATACTTGTCAAAGCGAGCCATACTTTTTGTATACCATTGTTTCCAATTTGCAAAAAGATGAGTTTAAAAGAGGAGCCCAGATTAAGAGTGTTTCTATAATTACTAAACTACCGTTTTTCAAGAGCTTTAAGCCTTTGCTTTTGATTTGCTTGGACTTGTATTTTGAGAATAACGATTTCGAGATAATCAAAGAGTTGTATCATGATATCAATGAAAAGGATTTCCAAATAAGCCATCAAGTCACTAGTGGTGGTGGTGGTGATGGTGGTGGTGGTGGTTCACCTGATAATGAAATTAACATTGTCAAAAAGATTTTGCTCACTAGTATTTTGGACTTACCTATACATGATAAGATATACCATGATGAAAGTTTCCGAAATAAAATATTGGGGATCGGTAAGAATCAAAGCTTGAATAAAGATTTATTTCTTAGAAAAGATTTGAGTTTTAACTCAATAATAAATTTCAATTCTATGAAGATTCCAATACGGGTTCCATTATTGAACTTGCCGGACACTATTGGCGATTATTTCAACCCAACAGATTTAAACTTTAAGCCGAATTTGATCAATATTATGAATTGCAAATTGACAGGCACTGTGTTGAATAACGAGTTGACCATTTACGGATTGCAAACGCCGCCTATAATTATATTAATCAATGCTATACTAACGGGGAAAAAGATTCTATTGTTAAGTTATGAAAATAGCGCTGGATATATAATTGATCACCTTTTATTGATTTTGAAGATAGTAACAGGCGGAGGGATTTTAAGTGGGATTCTTACAAACTATAATATTTTCCCCATAATCGATGTTTCCAAAATCGACTTGCTTGAGAAATGTGACAGTTTTATTGCTGGTACAATAAATCCATTTTTCAAGAATAACAATAAATTGTGGGAATTGCTATATGACTTGGACTCAAACGAATTGATAATTAGCCCAAACATCGATACTGGTTCTGGAGTGGGGGATATTGAGTTTAAAAACTCGATTATTACCGAAGATGCCAGATTCTTGTCCAACTTACAGTTGTCCCTTTTTACCTATAACGATGATTTAACAACAATTCAATTAATCTTTAGAAGGCACATTAATGAAATTATACGAATCTTGTTAAGTTCAAAGAATTTTAATAATAGTTTGTCACCAAATAAAAACGATTTGATATTGTTGCTTGATGGTATAGGATATTTCTGGACCAGTGATACCACTAAACTACTTGAAATATCGTGTTACCAGTTGATTTCCAAAAAATTCCAAGACTTGTTGTATGAAGAGAAATTAGTTTATAATCTTTTTTTACCGAATTTATCAAATGAACTAAACTTGATGATTGATCTTCATTATCACTTGCAAAGTTTAAGCAATGTTTCAATTATTGGCAACAATAAGATCAATGAACGAGAGATTTGGTTCAATATGTTGAAATTCCTTATCAGTGGTAAATCTTTGGAGATTTTCTTACTAGTGACTTATTTGATACCACCAAGTAGCTCAACAAGTTTGCAAAGCTCTTCGGCACATGGGGGCAACTTGACAATATTTGATAAGAACAAAGGAATTGAGCTTTTATTGATAAATTTATTCAATCACGATGATCAAATCAAGTCTAATGTAATTATGATTTTACAGGAATTACAGGACAATTTCTTGTGTGGATGGTGTCTTGACAAATTTATATCCTCCAACCTTGTTTATGAGATTGCTTTCGATGATTTGGTCAATGGGTAAACATTCCACTATCGAGCAACACCATCGAGCAACACCATCGAGCAACACCATCGAGCAACACCATCGAGCGACACCATCGAGCGACACCATCGAGCGACACTATCTCGCTTTGCTCGATAGTGTTATAACAAGCTAATCAGTATTGCTCCACTATCGAGCAAAGCGAGATAGGGTAAGGAGGGGGGAGGAGGGAAAGCTATTACCTATATACAAGTACATACAATTTGAACATTTGAACATATGAAAACGTATTAGCCAAAACTTTTTCGTAATTTTCCGCTTCCTTGCTCCTTGAGTTTCTCTGCATTTCTTTTAGCCTCCTAGTCAGTGCTGCTCCACTACCGAGCAGAGCGAGATAGTGTCGATCGCTCTGCTCAATAGTGTCGGGTGTGTAAAAGTGAGCCCTCCTTTCCAATTTCCTTTACAGCTTTATCCATCTTTCCTAGTCCGTTGTGCTCGATGGTGTGCCTCCTTTGTAATTTACTTTACAACTTTATCCTCTTGTGAGGGTGTGTAATATTGAGCCTCCTTCTCCTTATCTTCCGGAAACCATTTCATTTTAAGAACACTATATAGACTCAACCGATCTCCTGGTCTTCTCGAACTATAAGCGTTTCCGGTACCAATATATCTACTCTGCCTATTAATATCGTCGTAGTTTAAATTTGGATTATTTTCAGGAAAACCAGGTCTTTTCACACTTATAGCAAACTCATTATCGGAATTGTTTAAATCGGCATCATTTTCCAATTTATGACGCTGTTCTTTTTCATAGGCTATATGTTTTTTACCAATAAGGAATAACGACACGGCAATCGCGGCGAATATCCCGTATCTTCGAACGATACTTCTTTGGGTTTCTGTAGACCTTGCAGCAAGATTGTTCATCGACATGGTGAATAGTAGAACCACTCTTTAACGTAAACCTCTTTTCAAAGTAAAACCCCTTTTCTTTTAAGCCTTTGCTCTTAAGCTTTTGCTCTCAAGTTTTTTCTTTTAAAGCCTTTGCTTTCAAGCCTTTGCTCTCAAGTCTCTTCTTTTAAAGCCTTTTCTTTTAAAGCCTTTTCTTTTAAAGCCTTTGCCTGAGCTTCTTCTACAAAGAAAGCTTTGCAAGTTGATTTTTTTTTTTGACTTCTCCTTTTCTCTAAAGTCACGTGACTATGGTGTACTTTGACAAAAACAAAGATTTCGTGAAAGGCCACCAGCCAATTAATGAAGAAGGTGAATTGTTAATAGTAAAAAAGGTCACCTGATTTGGAACGAGATCAAGGAAAGATTTCAGTAAGGTGAAATCAACATTTATGGAATGGATAATGACAAATACAGCTACTTTTGATCAACAATTGTTTGTAAACAAGGGAGATTTGGTAAAAGAAACAAGTTGGAATAAAGAGGAGAGAACATCTTTGCCTTTTGTTGCAAAAGTGAGAAAATGAGAGAATGGGTCACATGATATACACGTGATGCTATCGACGCTATCGAGCAACACTATCGAGCAGAGCGAGATAGTGTTGTAACAAGCTAATCAGTATTGCTCCGCTATCGAGCAGAGCGAGATAGTGGTATAGCAAGCTAATCAGTATTGCTCCGCTATCGAGCAGAGCGAGATAGTGGTATAGCAAGCTAATCAGTATTGCTCCGCTATCGAGCAGAGCGAGATAGTGGTATAACAAGCTAATCAGTATTGCTCCGCTATCGAGCAGAGCTCAATAGTGTCTCTGGTCAGTGCTGCTCCACTATCTCGCTCTGCTCAATAGTGTCGATTGGAAATCGAAAAACGTGTACTTTTTCTTTTATTTTTCCCTCTTTTTTTGATTTGACCATTGTAATTTTTTTTTTAGTAAAAAGTTCCCAAAATAGTAGTTGTGCCAATTTGGGAACAAAATTGATTAAAATTTTAGGTAGTCTATCATTGACAATTTTATCAGTTTTTTGCTCTTTTTTGGTATTCTTTTTCCCGACACAACTACACTATCGAGCGAAGCGAGATAGTGGAGCACCCTTTGTAGCGATATTAGTGATGACACTATTGAGCAACCCTATCGAGCGAAGCGAGCTAGTGGAGCAACAAACAGGTGTTTTTGAGAGTAGTCAGTGCTGCTCCACTATCTCGCTCTGCTCAATAGTGTCGATTGGAAATCGAAAAACGTGTACTTTTTCTTTTATTTTTCCCTCTTTTTTTGATTTGACCATTGTAATTTTTTTTTTAGTAAAAAGTTCCCAAAATAGTAGTTGTGCCAATTTGGGAACAAAATTGATTAAAATTTTAGATAGTCTATCATTGACAATTTTATCAGTTTTTTCCTTTTTTTGGTATTCTTTTTCCCGACACTATCGACACTATCGAGCGAAGCTAGTGGAGCAGCACTGTTAAGCAACACTGACTGGCGGCCACCGACACTATCGACACTATCGAGCGAAGCGAGATAGTGGAGCACACTGACTACTCTCAAACCTCGACAATATCGAGCAGAGCGAGATGGTGGAGCACACTAGCTGCTATCGACACTAGTGATCCTCTAGTATAACTACACTAGCTGCTATCGACACTAGTGATCCTCTAGTACAACTACACTAACAGAGTGAAAGCCTAATACTAGTATAGTAATCTCCTCAAGTTGGTTGTTCACGTGTATCTCATGTAAGTTACCGAATCAATTAATTCACGTGTGCCTTGTTGTGATTATCAAATCAATTTAATCTCGTGTATCTCGTGTGACTTGATTATAATCTACTCGAGCAGAGCGATACTATCGAGCAGAGCGATACTATCGAGCAGAGCGACACTATCGAGCAGAGCGACACTATCGAGCAGAGCGAGATAGTGTCGCTCGATAGTGTCGATAGTGTTAAGAGCTAGTGCGGTTCATTATTGAGCAGAGCGAAATAGTGTCGATAGTGTTAAGAGCTAGTGTGCTCCACTATTGAGCAGAGCGAAATAGTGTCGATAGTGTCAAGAGCTAGTTTGCTCGATAGTGTCGCTCGATAGTGTCGCTCACGTGACCGAACCCCACTTTCTCTTTTGATGTTGCAGCTCAAGAAAAATCAGTGATTGATGTTGTTGTTGTTGTTGTTGTTGTTAATTTGCACATGACAAAAAACAGCCCATACAAAGAACACTTTTTATTCTCTCTACATTGTTTTAGTGCATTTCTATTGGCTGTGGCTCGATATTGTCAAGAGCTAGAGTGTCGACTAGTCGCTCGGCTCAATAGTGTCTAGTGTCAAGAGCTAGTGTGTTCCACTATCTCGCTTTGCTCGATAGTGTCACTCGATAGTGTCTAGTGTCTGCATTTATCAGCTCTTAAACCAATGTAACCAAAAACCCCGTCTTTTTTTTTCTTCCTTTGGTTCTAGTAATGAATTTATCGCGCTAGATCCGAGGCACTACTTACATACTACTCCACTAGCTCGCTTGGCACCTTCACGGCGAGAAAGAAGTGAGCGCAAAAGGCAAACAGCAGCGCGCGGACTTGGCTCAACCGTTTTCAATGTTCTATTAGTGAGTAGTGTCCCCCCTAGACTTTGTTCTATCATCCCATCTTCTCTTTGTCTCTTTGTCTCTCTCCTAACTGGTTTGTTTTGACATGTTTTGATTTTCCACCTTTATTTATTTTTCTCTTCTCTTTCCCTCTCATCTATTCCTTTTCCTTTAATCAATAATGTCAGATACGGAAGAAATAGCTCATGCAATTGCTGGAGCCGGTGGTGGCGCATTGTCAATGATTGTCACATATCCATTGGTAACTTTGTCAACCTTGGCTCAAACACAAGCTAAGAAAAAGAAGACAAAGACAAAGACGCTGGTGGAGGAGGAGGTGGTGGATAACTCCAATGGTGAACCCCATCATCTTGGCAATGGATGTCTATTGCAAAGATTGAAAAACAACTCTTCGTTTGTTGCTGCAAAAAAGATTATTAGTGATAAGGGAGTATCTGGCTTATATTCCGGTTTAGAGAGCGCTTTATATGGAATCATGCTCACAAATTTTATTTATTACTATTTTTACGAGTTGACTTCAAATATCTTTTTAAAAGCAAATAAGAAAAATAAGAGGAAACAAGCAGGATTATCCACGCTCCAATCGATTGTTACTGGGGCAATTGCTGGCGCTGTCACCTGTATTGGCACAAACCCATTTTGGGTCGCAAATACAAGAATGATGGTTGCTGCCGAGAAAAAGAATGAGGATGAACGAGAAGCTGGCAAAGCTGCTTCGTCAAATTCAACTTTCAAGACTATTTTGAATATCATTGAGAAAGATGGTGTTGGAACCTTGTTTGCGGGTGTTTTGCCTGCTTTGGTATTGGTAGTCAATCCAATTATTCAATATACAATTTTCGAGCAAATCAAAAATGCCATAATTGCAAATGGTGCTTCGTTTACATCAGTTAAAGCCTTTTTCATTGGAGCTTTTGGAAAATTGATTGCAACTTCTTTAACCTATCCATACATCACCTTAAAATCGAGATTCCATATCAAGAAGAAAGTTTTGAAACAAGAAAACGAAGAGAATGTTCCTCAATTATCAATGTTTCAGGAAATTAGAAAAATAATCAATGAAGAAGGTTTTGAGGGTTTATATGGTGGTTTAGTTATCAAGCTCAGTCAAAGTATTCTTACAACCGCTTTCTTATTCTACTTCAAAGAGGAATTGCTTGTTGGCAGTGTTAAGTTGGTGGAAATTTTCAAATTGTTAAACTTGAAAAAGCGGGTTAAAGCTTGAAGATTTTTGAATTGAAAAGCAAGTAGTAGACACTTTTTTCTTCTCCATTTTCATCTTCTCCCAGTGAAATTGTTTTAGTTAAAACTATGGAAAAGAAAACAATAAATTTTGATGATTTTAGTTTTGTTTTTGTAACAAACTCAATTTAGTAATACCTGTGGTAAAAGAATACAGCTCAAAAGTATATGTAATTGTAGTTATAAGTACTTTATAATCTCCGTATCAAGCAATATGGTCAACACTATCGAGCAGAGAGAGATAGTGGAGCAGCACTGGCTAGAGAAGATAACACCATATAAACTTGTCCATGCCCATAGAAATTGTCCATGTCCATAGAAATTGTCCATGCCCATAGAATTTGTCTATGCCCCTGTATCTGTGTAAAACTGTCTCGACTGTATCATACAAATGAAATAAGCTCTCTCATATATATATTTTTTTCTTTTTGGGTGCAAAAAAAAAAATATAATACACAAATCAAGGCTATTATATAGCAAATACAACTATTCTGACTTGATGTAGACAATAAAAGTGCAGTTTAGCATTTTGTCTATTTGAGAAATTGCCGAGAGTTTAGAGGATCTAATCTTTTGAACCATGTGTATATACAACTACTAAGAATACAATGAAGCTAGGTCCTCAATTTGCCCAAAAACTAGCTGAATTGACTCAGCAATCTTTTATATTCTTGCTATGGTTACAACTGTTGGTGCACATCTCATTACTAAACCTTTGATTAGCATGGGTTGATCCAAGGATAGACAATTGATCCAAGGGTAGACAATTGATCCAAGGGTAGACAATTGATCCAAGGGTAGACAATTGATCCAAGGGTAGACAATTGATCCAAGGGTAGACAATTGATCCACAGAATGGCGCAAGAGTTTATTTTTTTTCAAACGCAGCAAAATAATAGCAAAGTGAATTGTGACATTGTAGAATAAATAAAATCATTGTGTTCGAAATGGACTAGGACTATAAAAAATTCTTTCTTTTTCTGTTTATTCTCGTAATTACTGCCTTAGTAGGGGCATTGTTTGTTGCTGTTGCTGTTGCTGTGAGTAGCATTTATTTCTATAACTTCCATTATGCGTCACGTGATACATTCAACAAAGTTGTACTTGAAAAGTAAGTGGTGGTCTACTATGTTCAGGTTATTAGAGGGCTCAATGAGGGCCCCACGTGAAACTCTTGTGGCTTCTCATAAAGCTACTACGAAACCGAGGTCTCATCTCTTTACTGGTTCTGGTTAAACACGTGTATTTCTTTTTTCTTTTTTAGTACGCTTTGCAGTCGTCGGTGAAAATTTCGCCGAAAAGCAAACGTCGGGTCAGTTATACCCCACGTTGGCATACGCAAAGAAATGATCTCATCACGAATTCGGCCCAAAAAAAAAAATGAATATGGTTAAAAGGAAAGGGATTTAAAGGTTGTTTTTTTTTCACCGGATGGGGAGAGTACTTTAAATAGTTGTTGCTTATATCATATTTTCTCCTTGTGGCGGGTGTTTGTTAGTTTGTAAAAGTTAACTTTCCAGCTTTTGTAGTCATGATCAACGTATTTAAACCACCAACGTTGTATCCAAGATATGCGGTTTCTAACGATACTTCTTCTGCTTCGATATTACAATATAACGGTAGTAGTCTATCTGAAACACCCATCTTGCCCTTTAATTACACGATAGAAGGCTTGACTCGAGATGTTTATCCCAAGCCATTACATTCTCACAACGATTATTGGAGAAAGCACCCGTTATTCGATGCTCTAGGGGTCGGTGCTGTATCTATTGAAAGCGATATTTGGCATTTCCCAAAGAACTATACTTTGCAAAGAACAACTACAGAGTCTACCGATGTAACAACAACACCAAATGAAACTTTATATTTCCGCAATGACGAAATTTACGTTGGTCATAACCAAGTGTTTTTGCACCCAATCAATACGCTATTTAATTTATATCTTAACCCTTTGTTTCAGTTTTTGCAATATGCTAACCCTGACTTTGAATTTACTGATGGTAGTGGCAATGCATTGCTAGGTGAGACTCTGGCCACTCAAGCTACTAAGCATAGCATTTTTTATAATGATCCTGAACAACAAGTGTACCTTTGGTTCGACTTTAAAACGGAACCCAACTCAACATACGATGCTTTGAAACCACTTTTGAAACCATTTATTGATAGCAGTTATTTGACGTATTACAATGCAACTGATGATACTTTACATCAAGGACCATTGGTTTTGACAATAACTGGAAACTTGCCAGTTGAGAAAGTTCAAGAAGAATCGGTTCGCTATGTCTTTTTGGATGGCCCGTTAAGTTCTTTCAACTCATCAGCAGATGACGATTATTTGCAAAAATGGAGTAAATTATCAAGAATTGCTAGTGGTGGAATTGAGGAGTTGTTGGGAGATCAATATAATACAAGTTTAAGGAATAAGTTTGATGAAACTCAAAAGGAGACACTAAAGGGGCATTTCGATGTGGCTCATAAATATGGACTAGGTACTAGAGTATGGGGGGATATTACCTGGCCTTTGAACTTAGTTGATCTGCATTTAGCCGATTTGTTCCAATTGGGTTCTGATTTGATAAATGTAGATGATTTACAAAGAGCAAAAAACTTGCTTTTTTGAGATAAGCTAGACTATTTTAGACAATATGAATTGTATTTACCATTTATATTCTACGAAAATTCACGTTTCAATAGCTCATAAGTGTAAAATAGTAGTGCATTTGCAGGTATACACCGTATCATGGTGATCCCTAACCCATTATACAAGTTTAACACCCCACCTTTTTTCAGTAATAATTTCCTAGTTTCCTGCCAAAAACCAGTTGTTAAATGTTTATCCTTGGTGTTATTTAAAATGTCATGAGTTTGGATATTTGATTTTATAGTATCTATAGGGAAAATGCAAAAGTTGAAGGTTATCCCAGCCATGGCACCACTGAATAATGATTGTATATTATCATTCTTGATAATGGTTGGGCTGGTGGTACTCTTAAAGTGGGTGTTGATATATTCGTATGTACCGAACCAAATTGCGGTTCCAAAAACTTCTCTAATCATTGTGGATTCCAATCCTTTCCATAAACCACTAATACCATTATTCTTTAATGTTGACTTTATAATAGAAGTATATGAATGTGACAAAGTGCTACCTCCACCGCCACCAATTAAGTTGACAACTTGTAACTGGCACTTTACCAACTCGACTGGTGTCAATACAAAGCTAGCCATAAACCCGGCAAACCCGCCCGCGACACATTTACTCCAAAGTGGGAGTATATCAGTATCTGTAACTTTTAGGCTTTTAGCAAATTTCATCGATGCATAATTATAGCTACTGAACAAAATAGCAGTCTCTAAAGACGCCCCAAGAAGAGGCGCCTTCAACCCTTTATAAAAACCATCAACTATTCCTTCACAATGGTACGTTTCCGAAATCATCTTTATTGTGGATACATTTCTTGAATGATTTGATTGTAGTCGAACTTTTATCGTATCAAGCGGAAATTCAACTAATTTACCAACCATACCTGAGATTGCCCCAAACGTGATTTCCTTTACAGGATGAATACTATTATCTCCATGGTGATATCGTATTTCATTTTCCTCCATATTGTCCCACCACCCAAAACTATTTACTGCCAAATAGAATTGTAAAGTTTATCCATCTATATATATATCTATATCTATATCTATATATCAAATGAAAAAAGGTGAAAAAAGTGAAAAATTAAAATGCGATGAGTAAAAAAAAATTACTTGATAAGCCCGATGCGGGACTCGAACCCGCAGCCTTGAGATTAAAAGTCTCACGCTCTAGCCGATTGAGCTAACCAGGCTGTTAGCTGATGTTGAACGACTGGACGCGTGAAACACTAGGTGATTAGACGACTAGATGACTAGACGACTAGATGACTAGACGAGTGAAACGAGTCTAGTCGATAGAAAGGGTAGACGACTAGACGAGTGAAACGAGTAGAGAGAGACTAGTTGGTAAAAAGAGTAGAGAGAGACTAGTCATAACTGCAACAAGCTGGGTGTACATCTCCACTATCTCGCTTTGCTCGATAGTGTCATAACTGCAACAAGCTGGGTGTACATCTCCACTATCTCGCTTTGCTCGATAGTGTCATAACTGCAACAAGCTGGGTGTACATCTCCACTATCTCGCTTTGCTCGATAGTGTCATAACTGCAACAAGCTGGGTGTACATCTCCACTATCTCGCTTTGCTCGATAGTGTCATAACTGCAACAAGCTGGGTGTACATCTCCACTATCTCGCTTTGCTCGATAGTGGCGAGAATGTCGCTCTGCTCGATAGTCAAGTCTCACTATTTATTTTTTCCCCCTAATTCCCTCCCCATGAAACTCGCAGGCTCGTGCGTAAGCGCGTTAATCCTCAATGTTGGGGAAACGTGCAAGTTGTGAAAGTTGTGAAAGTTGTGAAATTCGTTAAATTCGTTAAATATGTGAAAAGCCGCGGGTGAAAAATTTCACCAATTGAAAAACTCTCCTCAACAACTCTTTATAGACGAGACGAGACGAGACAAGACAAGACAAGATCAAAAGCAAATGTCTTCCCAAACAGATCTTACCAAGTTGACTCAAGAGTTGAATACTCTTGTTCAGGATATTCAATTCCTTGTCCGTAATTTGCCATATTATATCACCATCAATCAAGAGCTTCTTTATACTATCGCTTGTATATCATTCAATCCTATATTTTGGAACGTTGTAGCGCGTTTGGAATACCGTACTCACTTTATTACCAAGATTGTTGGTTCGGCAAGAAGAGGGTGCTATTTATTAGCATTGGTCATTTTTTCACTTGGTGTTTATCGTGATCATGTGTATAGAAATTGTCTTCTTAATCAACCAACTTACCAACCACTTGTTGATTCAACAATAGTCAAAAGTATAGCAATGGCTACATTTGGTTTTGGTAATGTTTTGGTCATTAGCTCGATGTGGGCCTTGCGTATTACTGGTACTTACTTGGGTGACTATTTCGGCATATTGATGAAGCAAAGAGTTACTAATTTCCCATTCAATATCAATGATAACCCAATGTATAATGGATCTACTTTATGTTTCTTGGGTACTGCTTTATGGTACGGAAAACCAGCAGGTATTGCTATTTCCTTGTTTGTTTTCATCATGTACAAGGTTGCTTTAATGTTTGAAGAGCCATTCACAGCTAAGATTTATGCTAATCGTGCCAAATTGGATTAGAGAGGATGTATAGCACTATCGAGCAGAGCGTAGTGGAGCAGCACTTGATAGCAGCACTTGATAGCAGCACTTGATAGCTGCACTTGATAGCAGCACTTGATAGCAGCACTTGATAGCAGCACTTGATAGCAGCACTTGATAGCAGCTCCACTATCTAGCTTCGCTCGAAAGTGTCGTAGCTAGTCAGTGTGCTCCACTATCTCGCTTCGCTCGAAAGTGTTTGATGAGCCATTCACAGCTAAGGTTTATGCTAATCGTGCCAAACTGGATTAGAGAGGATGTATAGGAGTATGTATATATATAGAGACAAGTCTGATTTATTATGCCGCCAAAAACACGCCTTGTAGTATTAAAAACGAAAACACCTTGTAGTATTAAAAGAAGAAGAAAGTGAATGTGTAGAACTGAAGAGAGTTTTAATTCTGAAAAATAAATGCAAATAAAAGAGCAACAAGAGGATTGAATCTGTGGAGTAAACCGTAAAGTGATTTGTATTGTATCGTCTGGTGTGGAGTAGTGTGATGATGCCTGCTCATTAATTAAAGTCAAATACTCCTGAAACGCCATGGTTTACAACATGTTGTAATGATAAAGATTGGAATTTCTCAGAAGAATTATGATAGTATAACCCACTGATTGAGCCACTTTTGAATCCATTATTATGTGACTTACCACCACCGATATTCAAAACGATATAATAGAATCCTTCAAATGATGCATTTGGAATCAGTTTAATTCTTGAATCTGGTAATAAAAACTCTTCTTTCCATCTCATATAAATTAATCGATCCTTATTCATAGCTTCATTAATATCGCCACGATGGATGTTTTCCAATTTTGACTTGAACTGTTCTGTAGATAATGTTGATGAATTTGTCAATTTTTTCCAATGTTCCAAATCATTTTGGGGATAAGATCCCCATTCCTTATTCTCTGACATAAATGAGTAACCTTTCAATAGCGGTTTCTGGTAATGGTGGTGGCGAGATGTTGGGGTATTTAGTGGATTATTGATAACTTCTCCTTTGAAATATGTTGTAATTTCCGAATGATCTTTAGTTAATCCATTTATTTGTAAAAAACCGGTAACCATTGAATTATACAAATCGACAGTTTTAAACTCGACTTTAATGAGAAATCTTGATTTACCCGATTGTTGTTCCCCGACAAATTGTGCATTTGGTTGTAAATATTGTGAATAAAATAATGGTGACTCCGAGTGGAAACGCTGCTGTTGATGTCCTTTGGTCAAGATATTCAAATTACTGAATGAGTTGAAGTAATCAAGATTGTACCTCCTAACTGGTTTTTTTTGTGGTTTTGAAATTGTTTTTGAGGTTATCGCTTGATGCGAGAGGTTGGCGGGTATGGTGGTGGCGGGTATGGTTGTGGTGGTGGTGGTGGTGGTGGTAAAAGTTGGTGGATGTATATGAGTTGATGCAATAGGACACAGCGTAGTGGGGCTACTACTATTCAAAGTATTGGCACGTTTGTTTGGTATATCATGATTATTTGCATATATGGGATTACTCAGTGAATCTATAAAGGGAAGCGATTTACTGTGGATACAGTCATGAGGAGTATTTATGTGAAATTGAGCGTCATTGGTCAAGCTAGTATCATCATGATACGATTTCGTTTCCTTTAATTGTTGTAGTTGCTGTAATTTTAAAAATTGTTGAAGTTGCTGTTGTTGAGTAGGTAGTTCGTCCTCAACTCGAGCTTGAGCTTGAGGTTGAGGTTGAGGTTGAGGTTGAGTTTCAGTTTCAGTTTCAGTTTCGGTTGTTTGTACATTTAAGCTTGAAGATTGTGTTCCCCTATTTGAGGGACAAGTATTGATTTCCGTCACTGGCATGTTATGATAACAAATTTACCAAGTATAGATATAGCAATAAGAAGAAGCTCTCGAATAGATAAGCAGAAACAAATATATATATATATATATAGGGGGAGAGAGAGAGAGAGAAGAGATAGATAAATAAGATGCACACGGGTTTGATATGTCAAAAATTTCAAGATGACAATAATCTGTGAAACGGATCAGGTAGCTCAGATAGCACCAGTTGAACCCAATAGGTTTTTAACTCAGCGAAATAGCCAATAGGTTTTTAACTCAGTTAAATAGCGTACCAGGTCAATATAGTTTGTTAACAAAAGCCAAAAGGTGAGTGAGTAGTGCATAACTGATTGGCGCGCGCGCTTTTTTTTTTCTTTTTTCTCTTGAGCTAAAATGGTTTTGTGAGATTAGCGTCACGGTGATATCGCAATTAAGACACTATCGAGCGACACTAGCTCTTGACACTATCTTGCTCTACTCGATAGTGGAGCACACTAGCTCTTGACACTATCGACACTATCGAGCGACACTATCTTGCTCTACTCGATAGTGGAGCACACTAGCTCTTGACACTATTGACACTATCTTGTTCTACTCGATAGTAAAGCAGCACTGATTGTCACCGATACTTGCCTACTACTTGGGTCGTGTCTTTTCCTGTTTTCCTGAACTAGGTATATGACTAGGTATATATTTTTCCCTATTCTATACATGCTATGTTTAGTATATATTTTCAAATATAAGGTATAGAGTATGATATAATAAAGTTTAGCGACACGACACGACACGAGACTATCAACACGACACTATCGAGCGCAGCGAGATAGTGGAGCAGCACTGACCGTCGACATCATTAACACTATCGACACGACACTATCGACACGACACTATCGAGCGCAGCGAGATAGTGGAGCAGCACTGACCGTCGACATCATTAACACTATCGACACGACACTATCGACACGACACTATCGAGCGCAGCGAGATAGTGGAGCAGCACTGACCGTCGACATCATTAACACTATCGACACGACACTATCGACACGACACTATCGAGCGCAGCGAGATAGTGGAGCAGCACTGTCCGTCGACAGCATTGACACTAGCTCTTGACACTATCGACACTATCGAGCGACACTATCTCGCTTTGCTCGATAGTGTCGCTCTGCTCGATAGTGTCGCTCTGCTCGATAGTGTCGATATATATTGATTAAATTGCTGTTTATTTTAGTTGCGTTTTAAATTCTGTTGCGACACTATCGAGCAAAGGGAGATACTGCACACTAGCTGCCACCGACTCTTGCCTACTACTTAATTAGCTGTTTGATACTTGCGTCTTGATTCTATTTACTTTATACTTATGTTGATTGTCTATGGGTGTCTATTTACTTTGAGTATCTTATTTTCGGTGCCGACAATTAAGCTTTACACATATTTCAACCAATCGTCATCAAAGAGCAAATTTATTTTATTTTTTCCCCTTTTTACTAAATGATAGTGTCGGTGTAGTGTAGCTCCACTATCTCGCTCCACTCGATAGTTTAGAATGTATATACATACGACATACAAGATATTACTTTTCTTTTCTTCTTCTCACCCCTGGTGCATCTATATTAGTGCACCTACATATATGTAAATGTGTGGCTGAAGCAGAGACATATAGGGTAAGCAAATTTGCTCTCAAAATTACATCACCTTCTATTCTTTTCCTTATAACTGATGACCTAGTTGGTTTCTCAAACTTGCAAACACTATCGAGCGGAGCGAGATAGTGGAGCTGCACTGACTACACCAACACTATCATTTAAAGTGACACTCTGCTATTAAACACTATCGAATGCACTCTGCTCGATAGTGGTGCAATCAAATCAAACCGGTGTGTTCCACTATCAAATGCACTACTATCTCACTCTGCTCGATAGTTGTGCAATATAGAGATGATCCTAGCTACTACAACACATTCCGCCTCTCTGCTCTCTACATACTCCTCCACTAGGGAGCGAAGCGAGATGATTCTAGTATAAAGATAATCACCAGTATGCAGAATCATTATGCAGAATCATTATGTAGAATCATTCAGTATGCAGATAATCACCAGTATGCAGAATCATTCAATATGCAGAGAAGATCACCATTTTATTCTTTTCCTTGAGTAGCAAGTATCAAATCAGTACAAGACACTATTATCATACATTTCAATTTTGCTTTTCGCAGCAAGTCCTTACTGGATTGTCGCGAAATCACTTTGTTTATTATTTTGCGACGAAATATTATGACCCAGTAAATCTACCCCAGACTTTCTCAAATAGACTCTTTAAAAGACAGACTACTTTACAGACAGACTCTAGACAAATTCTACATAAACTAATTTTCAGACATACTAATTTTTTCAGACATACTAATTTTCAGACAGACTCTAGACAAACTATTTTTTAGACAGACTACTTTTCAGACAGACACTAGTCAGACTACTTTTCAGTCAATAGTGTTCCACTAGCTCGCTCTGCTCAATAGTGTTATAACAAGCTACTAAGTACTGCTCGATAGTATTTAACAAGCTAGTCAGTTTAACAAGCTAGTCATTGTTTTAACAAACCAATCAGTGCTGCTCACTATCTCGCTCTGCTCGATAGTGCCTTTGCTCGATAGTGCCTTTGCTCGATAGTTTTCTATCCAATGGAACCAATAATAACGCCAATGAGTCCGATGCATCCTGCACCAAACGAAGAAATCAATCCGCTTAGTCTCCCCACAACACAGCTAGAAAACAACGATATTGATCTAAATCCAGATTTATATGACGATGATGACAAATCACCTCCATCAACACTACAAAATAATGCGAATCTTGCTGAGGAAGAGTTAAAGGACCACAATGAGGCAATGAGAGAGCTCGAACAACTGAAACAGTTTAGCAATGCCGATATTTACAAATTGCATCAAGTTACTTTGCCATTTACTGAGTCTTATCGATTGTTCACTGCTAAATTTGATTCTTTCCCCCCAGTATATACATCTCCAATTACATCGGACCAACAATCAAAACTTATCAGGTACTTGGATGAACAACTCCTTCAAATCCAAAGAAAGTTTGTAAAACAACAAGCAGAAACAACTGTTTCATATTCTTGTCCTCGATTGATTCAAGATTTAGATTCTGTAATTGATCTACTTTGGGTTTCCATTGCACAAAAGCAACGTCTTTTTGGCCAAGAAGAGTACTATATCAAGATATTGGGTGATTTGGAAGATTATATAAACCATTACAAAACATTATTTGATGAATTATGGATCAACTCAAATGTACGAGATAAATTTCTTGATTTAGATCGAAAAAAGATGATTGCCTTCTTCAAGTTTATCCAGAAATTGGACTTGCAGTTAAGCTTGTTGATTGACGGGTATGACAAGCTAGGGAAAGTTCATGTAGCAGAGGAAAAGAATGACGGCGATATTAGCATCACCAACAATAATGGTAGGGGTGTAGCCATTGCCCGTAATTTACAGAAATTTAGTGCTACGGAATTAGTCAGATTATTTCCAATTATATCGCGATTGAGACTTGCTATAATTGAGAAAATCGATTCCTTGAGAAAGAAAGTTACAGATGAAAGTATAAGAGACGTTTTGGAATTAGAGGTGAGCAGAATATTTGAAGGTGTTCTTGAACGTTCATGTTAGACACTATCGAGCGACACTATCGAGCGACACTATCGAGCGACACTATCGAACGGAGCGAGATAGTGGAGCAATACTTAGTAGCTTGTTACAACACTATCTCGCTCTGCTCGATAGTGGAGCAATACTTAGTAGTTTGTTACAACACTATCTCGCTCTGCTCGATAGTGTTTCTCGATAGTGTTGCTCGACAGTGTTGCTCGATAGTGTTTCTCGATTGTGTTGCTCGGTAGTGTTTCTCGATAGTGTTGCTCGGTAGTGTTGCTCGGTAGTGTTGCTCGACAGTGTTGCTCGATAGTGCTGGTTCGTTGTCTAGTCAACTTGTATGATATGATCTTCACCAACAAGTTCTTGTTATACGTTTCTCTTTTTTTTTTTCAATTTATCTCTCTTCTTTTTTTATTATACCAACCACCACCACCACCAATCTTTCCATTCTCCAATTATGTGGCCGTTCTCCAAGTCTGAGGATAAACAGGACTTAGAGGAGATAGGTAAAAACCTACCTCCTGATTTGAAAGAGTTTCTAATCAAGGAGAACCCCGAAGTCAGAAATCAAAGTGAAATAGAAGCACCTTATAAATTTGAATCATCAAAGCGTGTTAAACAGGTTAACCGAATACTCTCGCAGCTACCACCAAGAAGCAGCGAAGAAGAGTTGGAATTTGGGAATTTCAAAATAGCTAATCAGATAAATAAAGTTACCGATGTTAATTGTGCCGAGTTAGAATATAGCCTACATCAATGCTATCACCAGTTTTCAGCCTTTTTCGATTTATTTAAACTTCCTTGTCTTGATAAACAAGAAAAAGTACGCGTTTGCAAAAACTTGCAAAATGATGCGTTGAAATTGTTGCATTATCAAAGTTGTTACGATATACCTCAATGTTTTGCCATCAAGGCCTTTGTGGACGTTGCGTTTGTAAAGAATTTTGGAAATTTGGGAGAAAAAACTGACAATCTGGATAGCACAGACCAATTCTATAAAGATATAAATAATGCATTTGACGAGCTTTGGAAAAGTTGAGCAGGCTATCGAGCAGAGCGAGATGGTCCTATCAAGTACACGCTCTCTATAGTGAGTGAGAATACACTATCGAGAAACAGTCAATGCTCCACCATCGAGAAACAGTCAATGCTCCACCATCGAGAAACAGTCAATGCTCCACCATCGAGAAACAGTCAATGCTCCACCATCGAGAAACAGCATTGACTGTTTCTCGCTTTGCTCGATAGTGGAAGGAGTTTCTCAAATATTAGCTGCCATATCCTGCCATAGTTTCAACTTTTCGGGAAATTTCATACTGGCAACTAGTCCTGATGTACTAGGAAAGACATATATTGTTGTTTGTAGTGGTATTTGAGAGTAAATGTATTCGATGAGTTTGTTATACAATTCATCCTTGCCCGTTTTGATCTCACCCCAAACAAAGTTATCCCTAGTCAACAGAAACTTCATATTTAGCTGCTGCTTGTAATACTTTACAAAAACCTCCCAAATTCCTTTCCCTATTAGCACCACGTTTCTTGCCTTACTCTCATTAATCTCCTTTATTAGCCGAGGCAAGTTATCAAATTTCTCTGCCTCTGTTAGATCCTCTGCCCTTTGGGTACACCTTAAAGATAAATCTGAAAATCCTATATCGTACTTGATCAAGTCAAAGTCGTCAGCTGGTGTACACCCCCTAGCTATCAAATTCTGTAAATCATCACCATCACTCTTTATCTTAACAGCAACTTTTTCCAACAAGTTTGACTGGTTGAATAGTTTCCAAAACAAATTAGAATGATGCGCATAGTGGTGCTGTTGGATCGAAGACTGTACACCTGGGTTATACCCCACAAATAAAACTTCAAGATTCGAATTTAGCGAGTGTCTTAGATCTGGTAATTCAGATGTGTCAACATTTGCTCTTTTAGATTTAGGACTGGATCTGGGACTGGATCTGCTACTAGATCTGCTACTAGATCTGCTACTAGATCTCACGCTTTTTGAAGGTTTTGATATTTTCACATTATCGCCAATTTTCACCAAACCATCGTCTTCTTCATATTTGAATGTTTGTATAATACTTTTGAGGGTCTTTGTCATATCCACTGGGGTGCGGGAAAAAAACGAAAAAAAAAAAAGGCAACCAAAGCTCAGATGAGCAGGAAGTGAAAACAAAAAACTGTTTTCAGGGCTAAGGGGCGCTTTCAAAGAACGTTTTGGGGCTCAAGAAAAAATGGAACGGGAACTCTCACCTATTACACCTGATGGAATTGGGTCTGAGTCGACCCCTATCAGGAATAGAATTGACTCGACAGAGTATATTACTGCTCGTGGTGGTGATGATGATGATGGTGGTGGTGGTGATGTCACCACAAGCTCTTACAATCGATTGGATGATGAAGAGACCGAAAAGCAAGAACTTCAAACCATTCTTGATACCCACCCGGATTTGAATATCGCTGGAAAGGAAACTCACAAATTAAACCCCGTCAATGTTGCTCATGTCATGTTTTCACCACGAAGAAAGAATCGACAGCGTGAGTTGCAATCGTTTGAGGATCAGTCTCCTATAAAATCGAGGCAATTGCTGCTGCTGCTACTGCTGCTACTGCTGCTACTGCTGGTGCTGCTGCTGGCACTGCCGTTGCATCAACAATATGCTGAACGTAATAGTGGCAATAGTAGAAGAATATTTGATCCATATACCCCCTACACCTTGAACTTGTATCTACAACTAATTATCAACTTGATACTATGGTCGTTTATTGTGTATCTTATTTACGTCACCATCACCACAATTAACTCTGATATACAGATAAAGATTGAAGAGTTTTCTATACAAATCCTAGAGGAAATATCAGCTTGTTCTAGGGAATATTTGAGGAATAAATGCGATTCTCCAGATAGACCGCGAGTCATTGATCATGAATGCAGCTTGTTAGACAAGTGTCGGAACCAAGATCCAATGAAATTTGCAAGACTGAAAATCTCCATTGAATTGATAGCCGAGATTATTAATGCATTTTTTGACAAAATTAGCTACAAGAGCTTGATTATTTTGGTGATATTGCTTGTAATAACTATTGTGTACACAAGCATAACTCTTAAAAACTACCAGGTGGAAAACAAAGGCACTAAAAACACAGGACACGAAGCAGGAGGTGATAAAGAGGTGACACTATCGAGCAGAGAAAAGTTGTCAAAAGGTGATAAAGAGGTGACACTATCGAGCAGAGAAAAGTTGTCAAAAGGTGATAAAGAGGTGACACTATCGAGTAGAGCGAGATAGTGGAGCAACACCTAGTAGCTTGTTACGAGATTATCAACACCTAGTAGCTTGTTACGAGACCATCGAGCAGAGGAAAGTTGTCAAGACACGCAGGAGGGAGAAGAAAGGGGAATCAATGGCCCTTCCTCATTGGTTCCACCCAAAAGGTATATTTTCATTGTAAAAACCGTTTTCAGTAATCTTCCTTATTTTTTCCCAAACAGGACTAATTATTTTTTTTTCGCAGCCATTGCAATAAATAAGAACATCAGGATAGACAATAAAGATGGACTAATCGGAAGGCTACAATACTCAGGAGGCAAGGTTGCAATACATATATAAAGTAGCAATTATCAAATATGATTCATATTGGTTTCATTCACCGATCAGTAGGCCACATTTGCTACTGTTTTTGATTCTTTTTTTTATTTTTTTATTTTTTTCCTTTCTTTATGTCTTCCCAATTATTTTACACCATGGATGAAAAGCACAGGTTTGATGAAGATGTAGAGGAGATCGAAGCCGATCTCGAAAAAAACATCTTTATGTTTGTTGATTGGAGGAAGGACTGGTTTATATTCTTACGTGGGACAATCTATATGTGTACATCAGCCGTGAGCACTCCGTTAAATACATGGATCTACGGTAATATAATGGGTGCGCTACTGGACTATTATCTTGGAGAATTTGAGTCATATGACCAATTCATCAAGCAATGTTTGATATTATGTGGAGGACTCATGATTGTTGGTGTAGGGAAGATGGTTTTTGTCACGTTGGGTATTTCCACATGGATGAAGTTTGGTGAAATTCAACAACTGAGAGCTAGGAGACAAGTATTTAGCAAAATTTTGAACCAAAATACCAAATTTTATGATTTAAATCCAAATATAATGGGAGAGTTGACTCAAGTAAATAGATGCATTGAAGAATTGCGTTCAGGTACTTCAGAGATTATTGGAGAAACGATACAAACGGCGGCGTTAATTTTAGGATTAACGGTTATTTCTTTTATTCAATCGTGGGCGATCGCTTTGATTATATTGGCTTCTGCACCAGTGATGGCTGCCTTTGCGTGGTATTTTGGAAGGTTGAGTTGTGTGAATCAAGAAGACGAAAATGAAAAATCTTCAAAGGCAAGCAAAATCATGGATTGGTGTTTAGTATCGCCAATGAGTGTAAGAGCGTTCAACGGGAAATATATCGAGCTTGTAAAGTTTAACAGGTTTGTCTCCGAGTCTGCACGAGCCTACTATGGGGTAGCCAATGCTGTATCTGCGAATTCTGGAGTATTAAAGTTTTTAACCTTGATGATGTTTGTTCAGGGGTTTTGGTTTGGTAATTTCTTATTAACAAATGGTAAAGTTACAATCAATCAGGTATTTACTTGCTTTAGTTCGTGTTTAATGTTGGGCCAGTCTATTTCCGAGATAAGTCAATTGATGGCCGTGATGAACACAGCACATGCAGCTGCTGGAAGAATATCAACATACTTGAACAAGTCCTCTGAAAAGAATTGTGAGGAAAAAAAACACCAGTGTTTTCCTTTGTCTTGTTTCGGAAAAATTTCATTTATCAATGTTAGGTTCAAGTATCCTGCAAGGGATAATTTGGTCTTGAATGATGTATCATTCAAGTTTTTACCCAATAAAATGAATTATTTAGTTGGTACTTCCGGATCTGGAAAATCAACAATTCCCTTACTTTTAATGAAATTGTACGCATCTTCTGGCTACATCACAATTGATGGTATTGACATTGAGCTACTTGACCCAAGCTGGATATCTCAAAATATAACTTTAGTGCAACAGACGCCTATAGTATTTGAAGGGACGATTCGTGAGAATGTCGCTCTTGCAGTTATTGATGAGTACGAGTCACTCGAATGTGTTCCTTTAAAAATGATAAGAGATGCTGCCGAATTTGCCTTGTTGGATTTGGATTTAGATCAGCAGATTACGTCATCATCGCTATCTGGTGGACAGCGACAGAGGCTAGCTATTGCCAGAGCGAAATTGAAAGATTCGCCAGTTTTAATTTTGGATGAAGCTTTTAGTGCCTTGGATGAAGAAACCAAACAACAATTGATAAAAAGAGTCCATAGCTGGAGACGAGGACGAACTACAATAGTAATCACCCACGAATACAATCACATCGAGACGGATGATAATGTTGTTGTAATGGAGAACGGACGAGTTATAGAGCAAGGTAGATTTAGAAACCTTCGAAACAGTTTGTTTTTCACCAGTGAGAGTTTGAAAAAAAGATACAAGTCAGCAGCAGCAGCAGCAGAGGCATCTACTCACGAAAAGAAGAGATGTAGTATAGAGGTTGAAGAAATGCTGATAGAATCCAATACAGATACAGATATTGAAGCCCAAGTTCAGGAGTCAGAACACTTAATGGGGGTGTTGGCTATTCTCAAATACTGCAGCGAAACAATTGATGCAAAGGCAATTATTATTCTCGGGGTAATCTTATCAATACTAGAAGGCGGAGCTTCACCAGTATTTTCATTTTGCTTCTCAAAGTTGCTATCAACTACGCTTGATGCGTCGATTGGGAAAAACATCGACAAAGCAATTATTCAATGGTCATCTGTTTCCATTGCTGTTGCCCTTTTCGTTGGTATGACTGCCTATGCATCAAAGTTTTGTTTGTCTTATGCTAGCGAGAGGTGGGTAATCTCTTTGAGAAAGTTGTCTTTGCAAAGGATTAATGGTCAAGATATGTCCTTTTTTGAAAACATAAAACCAGCACAGATTACTACCTTGTTGATGAATGATACTCGAGACTTGAGAAACTTGGTAAGCTCATTTCTTTCTGTTGCGGTGAATCTTTTTGTAATGGTACTTTTAGGAATCATATGGGCGATTGTTTCTGGCTGGAAGCTTGCGTTGGTTGGAATCTCATTCGTTCCACTTATTTTCCTAATTACAGCTGCTTATGGAAGAGTTTTGGAGTCCGCGGAGAATAGATACAAAACTAGTGTTGCTACTCTTGAAACACTTTTTCATCAAACAGTGACATCTATTAAAACAATAAAATTATTCTACATGAACAAGCATTTTTATGACAAATTTGAAAAAGATATGAGGGACTTGCATTGTCAAGGAACTTACAGAGCTATCCAAACTGGCATCGGACTTGCTATTAACGAGTTGATCACTGCAATAGCCACGGGGGTAATTTTATACTTTGGCATGGAGTTAGCGGGAACTTACAAATATAATCATGAGCAGCTCCTACAAGTTATAACATTGTTAACTTTCACCTTGACAAATGCATCTAGCTTGATCCATCAGCTACCAGAGATCACTAGAGGACAAAGGGCGGGCACCTTTATTGTCAAATTGCTTGAAGACATTCCATTTTCGAGAATTGAAAATGACGGAGAGATAATACCTCGAATTAAGAATCCTGTTTTGTGTTTTGAAAACGTTTCATTTGGATATGGATATCAAAGCGTACTTGATAACGTCACGTTTTGTATTGAAAAAAATCAATTGATAGGGTTGGTTGGAAAGTCTGGAACTGGAAAGTCAACTATATCGTTTTTAATTCTTCGTCTTTTAAAGCCAGATACTGGTTCTATACAAATTTACAACAAGGACGTTTCAAACGTTAACATCGATTGGCTTCGAGAAACAATTAGTATAGTACCCCAATTCCCAAAGTTTTTTGAAGGAACCATATTGGAAAACCTCATCTACGGTATCAGTCCCATAAAACAAATATCTATGGAGGAGTTAAACAAACACCTTGTGCACTGTGGAATGTATGACTTTGTTGTATCTCTTCCGGAAGGTATACATACTCGAATTGGAGAAGGTGCCAATACGTTACTTTCTGGAGGACAATTACAAAGGTTGTCGATAGTTCGGGCTTTGCTAAGGCGTCCTAAGATCTTGATATTTGATGAGTGTACTTCAAACTTGGATCCAACGAACGCTACACTAATCATGGAATTGATTATGAGCTTGAAACATCAGTACACCATTCTCTGTATCACTCATGACGAGAAACTAATGCAACACGTTGACAGAGTAATCGAATTAAACAGAGGTTCAGCGATTGAAAGAATATAAAAATATTTATGGAAAACATGTTTCGAAAAAATAATACATAACAAGTGAAAAATAACAAATTACAATTCTTCTTTCACTTTCACTTTCCTTCTCTCTCTCTCTTTCTATATATATATATATATAAATATATATATAATTATGGCGAGTACTTTACACTGATTGGAGGAATGTCAACATCCTCGCCGTTTTCATCTTCACAACATGCTTGAAGAACCAAGTACTTAACATGTGAAGGAATTTCCTTTTTGCTCACTTTTTTAATCACTTCTGAAATTGTCAAACCTAATCTTTCTTGATTCTTTTTAGCTGGGAAGAACGAAGCGTACAATACAACTACGTCATAGGATAAAATCGAAATTTCCAATCCATCTTCGTTCTGGAACCGGTCTAATAATTCTTGTAAAGTAATATCATCCTCAATTACGATTTGATCCCACACAGTGTCAAATTCTTTCTTACCGTATTTTCCTTTTGCAGATTTTATTGGTTCAGAGAATCCAATAAACGGCAAAGCCAAATTGATGAATCCATTCTTGTATTGTTCAATATCATCTTTTTCATCCACTACCTTGTACAATTCCAAACAAACCAACCCGGTGACCAATGCAGTAGTTGTGGCAATTGCAGGAATGATCTTACCCGCAATAAACTTGGTTTTGTGCGCGTCAACTGTTTCAATACCATAGTTCAAAGCTCTACAGTTTGAAGCAGCCGTAATAAATTCAATGTGATGATTAGTATCGTCATCTTTTTCAAATTCTATTGGGCTTAATCTATAGCCAGCCAAAGTGCTTGGCTCTGGTAACGAAGCGGCTATTTTACGAATTTCATCATCATCAAATGAACCTGATAACCGGTTGGCTTGCTCCTCTGCTTCTGCCTCGGTAGTCGCAATGGAAACACCTGATTTGGGTTTAAATTCTGGGATTTCCAAATTCTGCAAAGCCTTTTTATATTCTTCTATTGAAACGTTTGGTTCTTTTAACCCATAAATAAACGCTAATAAATTAGCTCCCCCAACAATAAAGTCCAAATGATCCTTATTGTTGATGTCAAACTCTAATGGTTTGGGTGCTCTCTTTGGTCCCGACCAAAATGGTTCTCCAGAGGAAGTCTTGGCATCAGGTGGGAAATTGTAAAGCAATTGCTTGATATCGTGATTGAATTTTGCTTCAAATTCAAGTCTTGCCCATCTTATACAATCGTCAAAGTCATAAGGGCGTTTGTTCAAGTAATTTGAGATATTCTCCAAAGTTCCTTTCTTATCCGTGTTTTGCTTCAAACTCTGCTCAACAAAATTTGGTTGACTCAAGTACAAGTTAACACTTTCGGGAGATTCAACAAAGTAGCCTTGAAATAAGGATTTGGCCCAGGCAATTGTATGGTCGATCTTACTTGGAAACGATCTCAAGGTACACAAGGGGATAGATTTTTCTGGTGGATCATGGGAAGACGAGTACGACTCTGTCAAATTTGGGACAATAACTTGGGTGTTACCTTTTGTACCCAAAGTACCCGATTCCAACAATGGCTTCTTGTGGAAGATACAACGACGATCAACATACTCTCTAGCTTCAATGTTATCCAACGCATTAGTAACAATATCCAAATCGTTCCAGAATTTATCATCAAAAACATTTTCAGTTTCCGGGCCGACTTTGTCCAACTTTGATACTATTTTACCTTTCAAGGCAGGATTCATTAGTTGAACGGCACGAGCAGCTACATCCGACTTATTTTTATTAACATCTTTTGGTCTGAATAAAAATTGACGGTTCAAATTTGATTTCTCAATTGAGTCGTTATCAGTGATAACAATTTTACCATTTGGTCCAGACCCTAAACCCATCATCGCCCAATTCTTCAACATCTCACATCCAATAGCACCAGCACCAACCAAAAACACTTTCAAGTTTGAAATCTTTTCCTGAAATGCCTTTCCAAAAACGGCAATCTGTCCGTCGTACCTTGATCCAATAGGTTTGTTGTTTTCGGCATTTCTTGGGAAATCTTTTCCTGAAGGTAATGACTCCAATGAATCAAAATATAGCCATTGCTTTATTGGTGTAAATTTAGAAGAGCAACATTTCAAAACTTCTTGTGCAATCAAACCACCAAAAAATGCAACCACACCTGGAATGTCACCTTGAGCTTGATAAAACAACTCCTTTAAATACTTTTCATCTAATTGTTCAACAATGTTTTTATTTTGAGTAGCCAATTCTTCGGCATATCTAAAAGCTTCAGTGGCATCTTCTTCATTGTATGGAGAAGGTAATTGTCCATTGTGTTTGCTTCTAAACGCATGAAGCGCCTGGAAACCAATATGCAATTGTCCGGGTCTATCGAATTTAGCAAAATCCGAAATCAAATATTCTGGATTTTTCAATTGTTCAAGTAGTGGTTCGAATTTAACATCCTTTGGCACTTTAACTTGTGTATATTGCCCACCTCTTTGATATTCCCCATAACTTTCATCAATCTCGATTTTAAAAGCATATGGACCCAATACTTCTACTCTATGTGGGGTTCCATCATTCAATTTGGGCATTCCCTGTACTTCTGTGAACTTTACATAATCGCCGTCCTCTAGACCGTGTCTACTTTCATCCAACATAGATACAGTGCCGTTTTTTTCAATATCAGATACAATTCCCGTCAATGGTTCTTCTCCGCGTTGGTCAACAATAGTAAACTTTTCACCGAAATCAACAAATATCTGCCCAAATAAACCCCGAATATCACCATTGATGTATCCAATGTCATTGGCGTGGGTTATTTGGTCAATTTTGACTTGCTCCTCCAAGGAGATATTCGTTGAAACTATACACTTGAACTTGAGCAATGTTTCCTTATCAATGTTATCAACAACGCCAATTGGCACGTACGAGTTCAATTCCGCCAATTTGGCTGCACTGACTCTATCTGTAGGTTGGCCAATTTCCGACTCAGACAAGAAGAACTGGGTCGACAAATCCTTTAGCTCAATAGGGTGTGGGTCATACAAACTCAAGGACTTGACTCCTGCAAGAGCTATATTCTTTGCAATTTCAATGCCTAACCCGTTCAAGCCAATAATCAAGACATTGGCATTCTGCATTTTAAGCATAGCTTCTTTACCCAAGACGTATAATTGACGGGAGTATAGCCCTTCATCGATGTCCTGAGGCGATGGCAAGTCAATCTGCATATTATCCGACATTATCAAGCTTGTCTCTTTTATTCTCAATCTCTCTTTTGTTTTGCTTCACTTTACCTTTAGCTAACCTTACCTAACCTGTCCGTACCTTTAGCTAACCTTACCTAACTTTACTTGAACTTACCTAACCTTACTTGACCTTTCTTCTTTCCACCAATCACCTATAAAGTGAATAAACCTAGACTCCTTGTTTTACCTTCAAGTTGCTCAAGATTCGTACTTTGAAAAAACTGAGGCAAATTGAAATGGTAGAAGAGGTCGTGTTGATTGTTACATTTTTCACTCCGAAGTTCGAAGGTGTACAAAAGGGGAAATTAATGCGGCATAGACACTAGCGACGCGACACTATCGAGCGGAGCGAGATAGTGGAGCATACTAGCTGCTATCGACTCTATCGACACTATCGAGCGGAGCGAGATAGTGGAGCATACTAGCTGCTATCGACTCTATCGACACTATCGAGCGGAGCGAGATAGTGGAGCATACTAGCTGCTATCGACTCTATCGACACTATCGAGCGGAGCGAGATAGTGGAGCATACTAGCTGCTATCGACTCTATCGACACTATCGAGCGGAGCGAGATAGTGGAGCATACTAGCTGCTATCGACTCTATCGACACTATCGAGCGGAGCGAGATAGTGGAGCATACTAGCTGCTATCGACACTAGTGATCCTCTAGTATAGCTACACTAGCAGAGTGAAAGCAAAGCTAGTGATCCTCTACTGTAACTACACTAGCAGGACGAGAGCGAAGCTAGTGATCCTCTACTGTAACTACACTAGCAGAGTGAAAGCGAAGCTGGTGGTTCTCTAGTATAACTACACTAGCAGTACGAGAGCGAAGCTAGTGATCCTTTACTATAATTGACAGGTTGTTCAGCTTATCAAGAAAAGGCTTATACTTGATAGGTTCAGCTTATCAAGAAAAGGCTCATACTTGATAGGTTAGGCTTATACTTGACAGATTCATCCTGTCACAAGAGTCTACGCCTCTCTACTCTATATAGTCAATAAGTAGCTAGCGTCGGTGTAGTCAGTGCTCCCCGATCTCGCTTTGCTCGATAGTGTCCATTCCGTATCTCCTTAGTATCTCATCAACGTCGAATTCAGCATCTCTAGGTTCCATAGTCTTTACTACACGTCCCGGAACACCAGCTACGAGTGAATTTGCGGGCACGTTTTTGGTAACGACGCATCCTGCGGCGATTACACAACCATCGCCAATTGTGACACCCCCAACTACTGTGCAATTCGAGCCTAGCCAGCAATTGTTCCCAATAGTGACCGCAAAGGCATTTTCCAATGCGTGGTTTCTCAAAGTTGGATCAATTGGGTGCGTTGGGGTCAAGATTGACACTCCTGTTCCACACATTACATTATCACCAATTCTCACAATTGAGCAATCCAAGATTGTTAGATTGTAGTTGCTGTAGAAGTTTTTTCCAAGATACGTGTTGAAACCATAATCGAAATATATGGGATATTCCATAAACGTACCTTCTCCAACATGCCCAATAAATGTTTTCAAAAAGTCTCTTTTGGCATCTTGATACTCTTTAGAGGACTTGTAATCTCTAAATCTGAAATTTCCGTAATCTAACAAATAGTCTCTCAACCTCATTCTAGCCAATTCCAAATCTTTCTGACCTGGGTTATAAAGCATCCCCGAGATCATTCGCTCATAGTTTTCAAACGCGTTTTTGTCTTCAAGAGTGAATGGAAGATGGTTTAAATTGTCCTTGGCAAATTGGATCAACTCATTATCTTTTCCAATCCTGACGTTTACTTGCTTGCAAAAGTCCTCTTTACTAGCAAAAACTGGCATTTTGTGGGAAAAAAAGAAAAGAAACAAGGTTTTCAATTATGGAGCAAGGTTCAAGTTTTTCGATTATGGAGCAAGGTTCAAGTTTTATGTTGTAGTTTTTATATAACCTATACGCGGCTTGGCATAAATCGACATCTCCTCTCGACATCTTTTCATCTCAGAATTGTTAATATCTGAGAAAGTGTCAAATACCAAAGAAATGAGTCATTACAAAGAGATGAGTCTCAAGAGGAAAAAAGACATTGCCCCATATCCATAATACCTATTAGAAAATCAAGTCTAATTAGTCACTACAATGTGATGTTTGTTTCTTGACCAATTTGGAAAAATAAAAGAATAAATATCAGATTGCGAAAAAAAAAAAAAGTAAAATGCTTCCCTTTCATAGTTCCTTTTTCCTTTATCATCAAAGATATTACAATGGCGGTAACATTACATTGTCTTGCTGACGTGTGTTTGATTCCAGTATGTGTAATACTTCACACCCATATGTGTTCGCCCAATTGACCTTCTTCCCTTCCTTCTTCTTCCCTTCCTTCCTTCCTCCCTGCTTCTTCCTCCCTTCTTCCTAATCTATCTTTTTTTTTTTATTACTAACGTCACCTTTTTTTTTTCGTGATAGATTGGAACAGGTTCAGCTTCGGTATCAGATCAAGTCACGAAAATCACCAAATTAGCTCAGGAGTCTTCTCTTGAAACAACTTTACATTCCGCAGGTACAACGATTGCTGGACCTTGGGATCAAGTCATGGACTTGATTGGTCAAATGCATGAAATTTTACATAAGGATGGAATTGTTCGTATTCAAAGTGATATTCGAGTAGGTACAAGAATTGACAAGTCTCAAAAGCCTCAAGATAAAATTGATGTTGTTCAACGTAAGTTAAAAGAATTGAACCTGAGCATGGCCTAGGGGCCAAAAAGATAAAAAGAAAAGAAAAGAAAAGTAAATTAAATATTAATACTATATAAATACATAAGTTTCATCAAATATGAATAAACCTTCAACTGTACCCAATTATTCAAGCTTTTGACGTCAAGTCCCAAGCTCAAAAAAGAAATAAAAAAGAAAGAACCATTGCCTCTGTTGCATCATCAGTTTTCACTTTTTTTCTTTTTTTAATTTCTCTTTTCTTAAAAAAGAAAAAAGGTTTAGGTGCCAAGATTCAAGTTCTGGGTGGTGATGGGGTTTTGAAAAAGTCTAGTAATATGGCTTGTTGTAATAAGAACAAAGTGAAGGTTGATGGATTTGCAGAGGATCAAGTTGAGGTTGCAAATGAGTATGAGGAAGCGATTGTTGTGACAGAACCTGTTGCAGCAGCAGCAGTTGTTGTTGCTGCGGTTGCGGTTGCGGTTGTGGCTGTTGTTGTTGTTGTTGTTGTTGCGGTTGTGAGTTTGCATAAACATCATACCTTCCATCAATAATACTAGCCTTTTTCTTCTTTTGCTGTTCTCTTTGCTCAATAGTTTTATCGGTCTGTTTTCTCTCCTTTATACTCTCCTTTATAGTATCTTCACTAACTCCAAAACTGGAAGGATTAGCCCAGAATAGTTCCCTAATCATTTCACGACATTCGTAATCGGTAAATACTTTACCTGTAGATTTATTCAACTCTGCAGTGATATACCTCCATTTTTCAAATTCAGCCGCATCTAATAGATTTCTCAAGAAAATCTTGTCATTGTTATCCCATGCACTTGAATTATTATTCCCTTGTTGTCCTACAATAACTTGATATCGATTTCTAGCAGCAAGGTATGACCCGACCCCAGAAATCTCAGCTATTTCTACCCAGCTTTTCCCCTTTCTCTTCAAGTTCACAATCAAGTCGTCTTGTTCTTGCGTAAACTTAGATTTGCGTTTGGCTCGCTTGGCAGTCGTACCCACTGTAATATCTGGACGCACTGGTGCTTTAGATAAGGGGGGAGGCGGTAATATTTTTTGCAACCTCTCTGGGAAATTAGGGAATATCACTAAACTATGTGGTTGTAAAGGAGATGCAACCTCTGAAGATTGGGAAGAGTCCTGAGATTGCTGTTTTTGTTTTGAAGTTGATCTAGATCTTGCTTTTTGTTTGTCAGGCGTACTATTATTTGGTTTGCCAGTAATGGTGTTGGTGGTGGTGGTGGTGATATTAGCGGCGTTGGTGGTTGTAGAGGAGGGTATAGTAGAATTTGAGGTTGGTGTTGTTGCTTGATGGAAGTTATAATAGGACAATTGTTGAGGTCTATAATGCTGTTGCTGTTGCTGCTGCTGTTGTAATTGATTCGATTGGACCAAGCCGTGAGTTGGTGATATACCCATCATATAGTTACTACCAGGATCGAAATATTGAGTCCCATTATCGTTCAAAGTTGGTTGCTGGTTTAGTGATTGAGTATGACCCTGAGCCTGGGTCAGCATCTGTTGGTATTGCCGATAATAAGGCGGAAACGGCATATGCTGTTGCTGCTGCTGCTGCTGCTGTTGCTGCTGCTGTGTTTGGGGCGGTGGTATAGAATACATCATCTGTTGTTGAAGCGGCACATTGTTGTTTGCATGCTGCTGTGGCTGCGAATACTGCTGTAAAAGGTATGGCTGTTGCGTCTGACGCTTTAATGGCTGCTGCTGCTGCTGCTGCTGCTGCTGCTGCTGTTGCAGCAGCTGCTGGCTAAAATGGTTGAGTTGAGGTTGCTGAGATTGTTGTTGATTTAGAGCTTGCGGCTGTTGCTGCATATGGTTATTAAATAGTTTACCTGGCAGCTGTTGTTGGAGCTGGTGCTGCAGCGGTTGATTGAGCAGTTGCTGATGGTTCAGCAAGTTTAGACTTTGACTTAGTTGAGACGGATAGTTATAATACGAACTGTTTGAACCTTCGTATGGCGACATATCGATTGGGTATAATTTAAGTGGTTTTTTCTGGGTGAGTGGGGGGATTTTATGATGCAAAAAAAGAAAGAAAAAATATAAGTCAAAGTTATAAAGTCAAAGTAAATGGAGGTTTAATGAAGATGCTCGTAGACACCATGGGCTTTTGTCAAATCAATGGGTGCTATACAGAGATATATATGCAATACATGGACAATATAGATAAATATAGATGTTATTTACTTGGTATTATATATTCAATTCTTAAAAGTTAACGATATTTACTTCGAATATTTCCATCAGTGAAACAAAAAGCAAAAAAAAAAAAAAAAAAAAGTCTTGTCCGGAATCCACCTTAGAATCGCCCCGTTTCTTCTACGTTCTTGTTGGTCTTGTGGGTTGTTTTTATGTTTACGTTTCTATTTGTTTCTATATTACATATAGTAGATACGAGACATATGGCGAAGAAGAAAATGATACGGTTTATTTTTCAACAATTTTCTACCTTACAAGATAAATTTTTTTTTTATTTGGTACTTGTTGATGATATTATTTATGAGCAAAAAATAAAATGCGTTTAAAAGAAGGCAGAAACATACATTGACAAACAGAGACAAACAGAGACATACAGAGAAAGAGGTTGAAAACACAAGTCTGCTAATGTTGTATTTGCTTTTCCCACATTTGTTATCTTTCAATTGGGTGGGAGCTTGGTGTAATAATATATGTCAAATCATGTACAATCTTCCCCTTTTGTCGCAATTGCATAAGATGAAATTAATAACTAAAAATTTTCAAAAAAAAAAAAAAAAAAAGAAAAAAAAAAAAAAAAAGANAAAAAAAAAAAAAAAAATAAAAAAAAAAAAAAAAAAAAAAAAAAAAAAAAAAAAATAGAGCAAGAATTTCTTACTTTGTAGGAGGTGTCGTAGTAGATGGGGCAAACAGTTTTTACCATTTAAGGTGGTTTTGGGGAATGGGGAAGCCAGAGCTTTTTAAAAACAACAAACAAACGAACCCCTTTTGTTGAAGAAGACAAGTCAAGTTTTTTTTTGTATGTGACGCATTGACTATTTTTTTTTTTTTCCTTTTAGCGAACCAATGGTTTAAATGGGTTACGGAATTATGTCTAGTTCTAAAAAGCACTAAAATATCTTAAAAGAACAAACCATACAAATGTTGAAAAGCCCCTAATTAACTCCTTGCAGTAGCGGGATAAATAAGCTAAACTATTTCTTTTTTTTTTAACTAAAAATTTGAGTATATGACATTGGCCACTTGTCCCCATTTGTGAATGGGAGCAGGGTGCTGGTACAGATGGTGGCGGTGGCTGAGACAATTTTTAGTTACTTTAGTAACTAAATCACATCACTATTTTCCATTGCTCTCATTATTGTCAATTTTCACTCATTTTTTTTTTCTTCCCCCCCCCCTCCCCACTCAGTTTCACATCCGTCTCCTGCTGACCTCCGACTTTCTACTGGTCTAATTGTTGAAAAAAATACATTGGATGACAATAGTTTGTTCAAGGCTCAAAAGACATGAACGACTTTTGTTTTGTTTCTAACCCACAAAGTCACAAAATTAACGCTTCTGGTAGCAGTACAAACAAAAATTATTATTATTAGTATTATTATTATTATTATTATTTATCGTAGTAAACTTATCAAAAAAATAATATCTACATAATAATAATAAGAAAAATAATAATATTCAGTTAAGATTTGCTTATAGATTGTACAAGTGTTTTCCTGATAGCCTGTAAATGTTTTCACCGTTTGTTTTCCTTTAGTTATAAGGAAGATATGGTTAAGGTGGTGGTTAAGGTGGTGATTTCTCTCCACCCCTAAGCTTCAGATATTACCCCCTTAACTAAAAAGATAGACATGATAAAAGAAGCTTTTGTTTAGATGTGTCACTTTTTTTTTTTTGGCTTGAGTTATGTATTATTTGAATAAGGTTGCAACAAAGCTTAAAATTTCAAAACGCAGCAATAAAATATCAGCTTAGCGGTTAATATACAACTTTCCATACAGAGTCCCGGTGATACAAAGTGTAGTATAAGAAAATGTACATACATGTAGAGGTTCCAAGTAAATAATTTTACAAACACGGCAACAATAGCTTACGTGTTTCTTCCCAAAAACAAAGTTCGTTTTTCTTTATCTATCTTTGAGAAAAAGCACCTAACCTGTAATCAGAATCTACATTTTCTCTAGTAAACAGTTCCGAGATATTTGATTAAGAGACATCTTGTTTGATGATACTGATCAACCGTGACCCTTTCTCCCATCTTTACTGGTTTTTCTTTTTTTTTTCTTTTCTTTGTGCATGGATGTGCTTTATAATGTGACATCTACTCCACAAGATTAATAATTAGCAATTCTTTTTTTTATTTCTTTCTTTTGAAAAAGCATCTCACAGGTCAGATAATTCAACGATTTTTGCTTGCAAATTTATATATATTTTTTTTTCTATTTGGACTGACTGAAAGGAGCTAAGATTTTATTAGGAATATTTGGGAGTTAATTACTCCAGTGGAGGAAAACGGAATTGGAGGCATTGGTTAAATGATCAATTCTACATTCAGGTGTTGAACATCATCAGCACTAGTGATTTTGAAGGTTTCACAAGGTAATTGAATCTTCAGGAGATCATTAGTATATTATCAATATACAATATGGCATATTATATCCTACCTGACATCTTGTTTTTCAAAAATTTTGTAAACTAACCTTAAACATTATAGGTGAGGGTGGATTTTGGTTGTTTTGAATATTATCTAGGTTGAAGTATTATGCTATTTGTATAGAGTTGTTCTCATATAATACCCAGTATATTTTTCTGTTTGAAAGAAGCTTTTAAGCAAATATGGTGTCTTTACTCAGTGAGAAATAAACTCCATATGTTTAAAACCCCTTTGAACTGGAAATGTCAACTAGAGACTAGACGAGTGAAACGAGTCTTGTCGATAGAGAGAGAGTAGTCGATAGAAAGAGAGCAGTCGATAGAAAGAGAGTAGTCGATAGAAAGAGAGTAGTCGATAGAAGGAGAGTAGTCGATAGAAGGAGAGTAGTCGATAGAAGGAGAGCACTCCAGAGAGCAGTTGATAACACTCCCCCCGGAATGAGTCCTTTTGCCAACCAACTATTACGTCTTGCCTTTTTCAGAACTGAATAAACCTTGGTCCATGGAAAAACAACCCATTCTTCTACTACAGCAGGTCTCCCTTACATAGAATTCCCTTCAAATGAAAGATTCAAGGACATTTAAGTAGAAGATATATTACCAACAAAAAGAAACAAGAAGAAGATAAGGGCTTTTAAAACAAACTTATTAGGTAGATATAACACTAGATAATCTTATTGAAATTGCAAAATCAATTTAAAATCTCGTCCCTGCAACCACGTCTAAATCAAAAAGCACTCCCCTTTTCCATTAAAACCTTGAACCTTGAACTTTAAACTTTAAACTGTAAACCTCAAATTCTACTCCTCCATACTATACCATAATCATATACTTTATAATTTGGGGGGAGGGGTTAAGTGGGGTTTTTTTTCTTTTAATAAATTGAGGCTAATTATTTTCAAGACTAAATCAAATATTCATTTATTTTTACTCAGGGCAAAAACTTTTTCCTCTTCTTTAGGAAAAAAAAGAAAAAAAAAATAACAATTTTTACTTTTCTTTCGAAATAAAAGAAAGGGGTCTTTCTTACAACACAGATGTAAGATTTCCAAGAGACAATTAGCTTTTTACAAGATTCAGTTAATCGACATTAGTTTCTTCATAAAGAATTAATCAAGAATATGCTTTTTAATGATTTTATTTTCCTGGCTTTGAGGTTTAGTTTTATATTATGAGAAAGTTTCTGGTTTGGTTTTCCTTCTATTATACATTATGTATAGAACAAAGATTTGCGAGCTTTTTGTTTTTTTATTCTTCACTTCTAATAATATGCGTTGACAACTAATCATTTTAGCACCCTGCTGAAATAGATATCATACATTTCGGCTTGTACATAATGCATTAAAAAATGTATTAATTTAAATGCAAGAATAGGATTTGACACGCTCAAGGGTCCGAAGTTCCTGTATATTACTTTTGCTACCCTTCTCCCTCCCTTCGATATTGATGATCTGCGTTTCTGACGCGGATCTTTTTTATTGCTATGCTCCGAGTGACACTATCGAGCAAAGCGAGATAGTGGAGCAGCACTTGGTAACTTGTTACAACATTATCGAGCAGAGCAAAATAGTATCATTAATCAATGTGCTCCACTATCGAGCAGAGCAAAATAGTGTTATTAATCAATGTGCTCCACTATCGAGCAGAGCAAAATAGTGTTATTAATCAATGTGCTCCACTATCGAGCAGAGCAAAATAGTGTTATTAATCAATGTGCTCCACTATCGAGCAGAGCAAAATAGTGTTATTAATCAATGTGCTCTACTATCGAGCAGAGCAAAATAGTGTTATTAATCAATGTGCTCCACTATCTCGCTTCGCTCGATAGTGTTACTCGATAGTGTTACTCGATAGTGTCGCTGATACAGTAGACAAAAAATTGACGACATCAGTACTTGCAGTTTTGTGCAAAGTTTTACAATCTCATACAGTGACTGTACGACATTGTTTATTTTCACTATGTGTGTTTGGGTTCCACAATAATAAACACATATTACGAAATGGCTGCAAAAAAAATGTCCATGGGACCTCAAATCTTAGTGCATCTCTATTCTTTTTTCGTTTAGTATTTCTTATTGATGATTAAGTGGCCCTTGGGTTCATTCATTGCTACAGGATCAGCAGTTTTTATTTTATTGTAACTACACTTTATCTTCATCCCACCCAAAAAAAAGAGCGAGTCTTCCTTTGGAACTTTGTCAACTTATCTTTATCCACTAACGATATCGGCAACTCTTTCCCCCCCTTATTATTTTCTTCTTTATGCATTCGCAGTGAGAACTCTTTCTTTCTTTTTTTTTTTTCCTGGACATACAATGGAGAACAATATACAATCACTTGTTCCACATAAACATTTTTCCAATCTACTATTAGGTATTGATCTGATACAGGTAACTATAGACGGTAATAGTTGTTGCAATTAAATAAAATTGCAAGTATAATTCATATTAAAATCTTTATGTTACAAGGGTTTGAGTCTGGTTTATGACTCTTTCCAACTTATTGAAAAATACGTAAAGCATACAATTTACACTCTAAAACGAATATATATATATATTGTCTATTGTCTATTGTATCCGACCCTAGGTGAGTCATTCAGTATAATGTCTTTAGTATTCACCTTGTTGTTGTTGAAGATACAACCTTCCTTCCCCCAGAAAAAAAGGTAGTGCTCGTTTGACGAAAAAATAGGATCTTTAAAACCGCTGGAAAATAAAGTCACCTTTACCATTCCCCTTCGTATACACATTATTCTATTGCCACCAAAAAAGGATACAAGACACAAGTACCAATAAGATGACAGCGTATGAACGGGTATGTTAGAGAGACAGTTTTTTGTTTTATGTTTCTACATGAACTAGACCTCTCAGGTCTTTTGCTGGACTGATTTGTTTTTTTTTTTTAACCATTTTTCTGACACATTCGGGATTACTAACATATACACTCTCCCTGCCTTTCCAGCTAAATAACAAGGAAGAAACGTCAGAAGAAAGTGGAGAAAACAGTAGTGAACAACCACTTCTCCATATCACAAATGATACTATAATTAATTCCGCAAATGCGCCTGTTGACTCCAATGACACTGCCTCGAATTTTTTGTCCGACTTCCCCGTACTACCTTCTTCGTCCTCCTCAACTTTGCCAACTTACAACACTCCACAATCGGCCATAGGAGACCTTGAATCTCAAACACCGGCGCGCTTAACCGCAAAACAGCGTGTATTAAGAGTTTTAAACCATTTGGTGCCTATTAAACAAACTTATCATCGGTTGAATAATGGTATTCACACTGGACGTATGCAGCAAAATGTACCAGGCCGGTTTATTGGTCAGGGAACAGACGGGGTGTTTCAGAATCTCATGGCAAAACCAGATACACAAGCGGTATTACAACAACGAGAACGTGAGTTGCATCCACCTACATACGAAGAAGCCAATCAAGACGCTAGTCCCGAATATTGGGAATCAACAATGATCTCCCCAATGTATGAGGATGAGGTATTTGTCCAAGGTTTACCAGTAGGGAACATTGCTAATTTCATTTGGAATGCATTGGTTACTATAGCTTTCCAATTTGTCGGATTTGTGTTGTGTTACTTGCTACATACTTCCCATGGTGCAAAGCAAGGAGCAAGGTTTGGATTTGGTGTTAATTTGATATTTTTTGGCTGGAATATAATACCTTTGAATGTGGGTCACCCAAATGAGAAACCCAAGAAAATCATTGTTGATAATCCTAATCAATTTGACGTTAACAAAAATGTTAAAATTACTGGGAAATTGGATACCTATAATGCTGGCAGCAACGTGTTTGTACAAAATTCGTCAGGGAATGATGACAACGTGGATAGGTATGGAAGCGCGCCTTATATCGCATATGGAGTAATTGCATTTGGTTTGTTTATTATAATAAAGAGTGTTGTTGATTATTATAGGGTGAAGCAGTTGGAAAAGGCAATTTTGAACCCACCCAATAATCCTCATTCCAATATCGTCCAAAGTATTAGTGGTCAAGTTGATAATAACGATAATAATAATAATAACAATAATAACAATAATAACGATAATGATAGTGATAGCGAGAGTGATAATAGTGCAATTCTAGAGAGTAGATAGTAATATATGCCTTGGTTAATTTTTTTTTTCCTAATATTTTAGTTTAGCACCACCAACATCTTCTCATATATAGTAAAGACAATACCTCCACTTAGAATTAATCTTCCTAATCTAGGAGTAGCACCCTTCCAAAAAGTTGCGATTCCTTCATGTTTGAATATCTTGACAAAACAATTCACAGTTGAAGAATATTGCTTATCTGATCCTAATGCTTGCATTCTTGTTTTCACAGTATCTATGGGCATTGTAGTATAAACAGTAACCAATCCAGCAAACGCCCCTACTAAAAACGTAGCACCCGAACTTAACGGCTGGTTTGGTTTCGATCCAGTTGCTTGTTGAATCGTAGTCTTGATGGCATTATACGACCCCAATCTAACTGCTTGGTTAGCCGCTTGTCTCAAACTCACAGGAACAACTCCCGCATAAATACCTTTCAAACCCATATCTTTGCACAATTTCACAGTTCCACTAACGAGCCCATTTTGATACTTTGGATTAACTCGTTGCTTATCATCAATCAATCCCGTTTTAATGGCTTCAAAGGGTGTCACTGCAACTATACTCTCCAATAATCCTGCTCCCAATCCTGCCAAGACTCCACGCGGGCCACTCAACTTCCCATTCTTATCCTGAAGAAGATTCTTGATTGCGTCAAACCCAAGAAACCGTACTGAGGCCTTAACCGTGTTTCCAACTACAAATGCAGGACAACCAACGTATACTGCTGATACACCATTAGTCCTTGCAACGTTATAAATAAGTTTCAACGGATTACGCGAGGTGTTGCGCGCTTGGGATTTATCAACTAATTGTAACCGGGTCTTGGCAAACTCAAAGGGGTATGTTATAACCCCCTCAATTGCACCTGCTGTACCTCCTGCAATAAAAGATTTCCATGGATCTACCTTCAAAAGAAAAAAAAAAAAGGGGGGGGGAGAAAATATGTTAGCTAACCGATAGTCGAGAAGAGTGTATAATGGATATTGTTTAAGAACTATTAAGAAACGTACTTTTTTCGTCGCCATTGCTACAGATAAGTATAAGTTGTATAGAAAAGTATACCTCTACTGTATGAATATTTTGCAATTTTTGAAATTTTTCAGCACTATACAAAAAGAAAAGTTTTTTTTTTTTTTGACATGATTGACTCACCGTTATCGGCTTCAGCCTCTTGTTGTTACTCGCGATAAGTTAAAGAGCCTCTTTCTCCACACTTGGAAAAACAACAAACGCCAACAAGACGAAAACAAAAAAAGAATGTCAATTTATTAAATAGAATAGTACATTGAAAAACACTTATTTCTAAAATAAAGATATATATATATAAAAAAAAAGGGTAATAGAAGAAAAAGAAGAAAGGGGAATAAAAACCAAGCCAACAACGCCATGATTCGAACTAAAAAAAAAAAAAAAAGAATAGAAAGAAAACAAACAAAGGCAGAGGATTTTATCCTCGAGTCATTCCCGAGTCCAACCATAGGCTTTTCATTTCTTTATTTTTATTTATAAAATTTGTGATCTTCGTTCATCAGGATTGATAACTTGTAAAAATTTTCCTTGTGAATAAATAGCTTCATCTACAAGTGAACCCTCGCTCAATCTTCTCCTTCCAACCAGGGCCAAGTTTATTCTAGGATCAGCTAATCCCAATGTTGCTCCGTTAGTTGTTGTCCTTTCTGTTGAATTTTGATTTGCTGTATTGTCGGCTGGGTGTTGGAATGGATTAGACATTGGCATGTCTAATGGTGATGCTCCATTATTATTATTATTGTTATTATTATTATTGTTTCTGTTGCTGTTTCTGTTGCTGTTTTTATCACGAGTTGAACCATTTGATCGAGACATGGCAAAGAAATTTTGTAATTTATCATTGCTGTAGTATTTTTCTTCATCGTGGCTATAACCTTCATCGTAATCATTATCATCGTATCCTCTATTTCTTCTCCTTATGAAAAAGAACAATAATCCAGCAATGACTACGGCTCCTGCTACTCCTCCAACTACTCCACCTACAATTGACCCAACCGATGATTTTGACTTGTTTTCATTACCATTTGTTGCTTCGGCATCTCCTTCTGAAGAAGAAGTTTCTGAAGCAGGTGTAGCTTCAGTGTTTGAAGCATCTCCCGAAGAAGTTTGTGTAATTGTTCTAATAACAACTTCTCCAGCATCATTGCTCGATGTGACAACATTTGTAATTGTTGATTGTTGATTACTTGAAGGGGATGATGATGAGCCCGATGCAGAAGAAGACAAGGATCCTGCTGATGATGATGAGCTTGTTGAAGAATCTGAGTCATCAGATGAAGAACTACCACTACTACTACCACCACCACCATTATTCCCACTATTATTAACGCCAAAAAATATCGAATAAAAACTTGATCCACCGCACATTTCCTTATTATATCCGGGACAAGGTATATTGCATTTTGAGTCATCGGACTGTTTATTGGATGATGAAGGCAAGCTATTTAAACAAATACACTCTTCGCCTTTTATGGCAACATATTGTGAGTCGGGGCATAAATGATTAGAGCAATAGCCTGAAGACTGCCATTGGTAATCTCCCTGAGAGTCAGCTTCTGAATCACCGACTCCCGAGTAACAACCAACTAGTTGTGCTGCTGGATAATACACATCTGCTGCATTGGCAAGTGATATGAGGGATAGTATTAGTGGTATTAGCCTTGAAAACATTGAAAAGTAGTAGGGAAGGAGGAATACTGTGGTGGAGGGTGGGGGTTTTTGAGATGAAGGAGCCTGTAGACACGTAAAGGTAGAAATCTCACTGGGATAGTGAGAGGCTGAAAATGGAAATAATTGATAAAGTTTGGACGTAAAGGAAAGGAAGGTGAAACGAATAAAGATTCTTCGATTTCGATTTCTATTTTTTTTTTAAAAAAGTTAGATAGCAAAAGACTAAAGCAAGAGAGTGGGAAAATGAAGTAAGAAAACAAAGGGGAAATAACCACCTGAAATGTTCCTAAAGTTTGTTGCTGTTGTTGTCAAGAAAGAATGTTGCTGTAAAAGTGGTTGTAAAAGTTGGTTGTAAAAGTTGGTTGTAAAAATTTAGTTGTAAAAAAAAATTCTTTCCCTAAAAGAAAAAAAAAATTGGTAGTTTAAGTTTTTTCTTTTTTAAGGTGCAGAATTTTTCTAAACAGAGTAACCAAATTAATTAATTAAGTAAGCACAATAATGTAATATTCACGAGGATAAAAATATTGCAGAACCGAAAGGGCAAAGAAAAACACGATTTAGAGATACGATGGAGGAAAATATTCAAAGATACGATTAGTCTGATAATACAACTGATTATACAAATATGATGGGTAATAGAAGGACTATCTGATTATTAAAATATCAACTGTAAAGCTATAAAAATAAAAGGACTATCTGGTTTGAAAATATCACAGCTGTAAAGTTATATTTTTATCACTACTGTGTAGTTTTATTTTTGTCACCACTATGTAGTTATATTTTTATCACTACTGTGTAGTTTTACTTTTGTCACTACTGTATAGTTATAAAAACACCACTAAACCCCGTGTGTAAGAAGCTCTGTCCCCCTTCGCCCCGCTCCAAGAGCCAATATACCACAAGGGGTTTTTTCTTTTTCTTTTTCTTTTTCTTTTTTTCTTAGTGTGTTAGTTTGCTGCATTTGGTTAGTGTCGCGTTTACGATTTCACAACACGACACGACACAACACGACACGACACGGCTAAATAGCCTATATACCCACTTGGGTTTGATATGGTTCCATAGATGGATATTGCGCGTTATCAGATTGTGGCACAGAGAACTATTATTGTATGAGCTGAGTGTGTAATATAATACCTATATACTTTCAGTTTGTGGTAATCTCAATGATGATAATTCATCTTCCTACAGTGTAATTGCTTATATTGTTTTGTTGCATATTATTGTTACATGTAGATTATTTACTGTTTTAGAAAATAAAAATAACGTTGCATTTAGTTGACCCCATTCTATATTGAAACATCAAAACAGAGTGTACCAGTAGCACCATATGTCTGTAGCATATAGTAGCATACATCTGTAGCAAGCTTTGGTTAGCTCAACCCAAACTTTTTACAATTCATGTTTTCTTCAAACTTGTTACAACTAACGTTTTCTTCAAACACATTACAATTCACGTTTTCTTCAAACACATTACAATTCATATTTTATATCTCAAAAACCTACATATCTTTTTAAAAAAAAAAATATAATCTTACATAAATCTCTAAAGCTTACAGAAATCCCCCTGATGGTCAAATCCGTGTGTGCGTGTGTGCCCATTGTCTTAGCATATGTTATAGGGGAGGAGGAGGGGGGGGGGGGCAAGCTATCAGTCCAATCTATTTCCAATCTTTGTCAAATAATAATCTTCTGTAAGTAATAAAAAATTCCGCCATGATCTAAAAAAAAAAAAACAATAATAAAAAACGCGTGCTTTTACAATAGTCGTGTGTTTATATTTACATTCCTGTCTCAGGTGTAATTTTTATATCACGCGTCTTCTTTTGAAACCGTTTCTTTCAAAAGATTAGTTATCTGATCACGTGACTACGCTATATACCACTATTGAGCAGAGAGATAGTGGGACAACACTTTGTAGACACTATCTCCACTATCTCGCCCTGCTCGATAGTGGAGCAACATAGTTGTCATTTTCTATGTAGCTCCTTTAACAATATCCTTGACAAGTCTATCATCCATAATCAAACAGTTTCTCATATATTCTTTGCTTGTCAATACTAATTCATAGTACATCATAAATCTGGGTTTTGGATTTTTCCTCTTGTATAACGTAGATGAAGGATGAATAAAACAAGGTATCTTGTTCTTGTAGCTATGAACACTCTGATAACAATCTCCCATCGGCGATAGTTTTACTATATTATTGAAAAATCCACTTAGTAAACACTTTTGAATAAGCATACTATCGTTTGAAGTTTCCTTCTCTTCCCCTTCCCCTCCAAACTGAATGCCAATCTTTCGACATATCTTGATCAACTGTTCATATATATTACGAACTCTTCTCATTGTCTTGTATTGGATAAAATAATCTTGACACCATTGGCTACTGTATCCACCAACCGTTTCCCACTTCTTATAAATATTCAACAAAGTTAGGTGATCCCCTTGTACATCAATAAACTCTTCATGTCTCTTATCCACCACTTCACGATCAAGTTTCTTTGGTATGTAATACAAATTAGATGATTCTATCAACATAGCTATTATAATACAAATTTGTTTACTTATACCAAACTGTTCACTCGTTAATATGCACTTGGTATATGTTGGATCTAAAGGAAATTCACTCATTTTCAACCCTGTCTTAGTTAACATCCCCTTGGAATTTAAGGCTCCTAACGAATACAACAAATTCAATGACTTGATGAGACTTTGTTTTTTAGGGGGATCCAAAAATGGAAACTTGATTAAATCATTAATACCAAGTGATAATAACAATAATACAACCGAATTTAAATTGGTCCTCTTGATCTCGGGTTTCATATTCAATTCCATTTCATTGTCAAATGAATGCTTGGTAAATATTCTAAAGCATTTTCCGGGTCCAACTCTACCCGCACGACCAGCTCTTTGATCACAATTGGCCTTGGAGCATGGCACAACTAAAAGACTTTCCATTCCTGTTTGTGGGTTAAATTCAGTTTGCTTGACATAGCCGGGATCTATAACATATGAAACTCCAGGAATGGTAATCGATGTCTCGGCAATATTCGTGGCCAAGACTATTTTCCTAGTAAATGGAGGTGTTGGCTCAAATATTCTTTGCTGATACTCAGGTGGTAAATTGGCAAATATACTACAAACTAACAATTTACCATGTTCCTTTAATTGGCCGCCTAATTTGGTGATAGATTCTTGAATCTGTTGTTCTAATTTTTCAATCTCTTCTTGTCCCGTAAGAAAAACTAAAATATCCCCCGGTAAAGGTTGGGTCAAATGAATTTGGAAAATAGTGATGATTATAGCTTGTATGTAGTTAGCTTCAGGCTGCTTTGTGTAGTGGATCTTAACAGGAAACCTCCTTCCGGGAATATTCAAAATCGGTGCCTTGTTGAAAAAATCGGAGAATTTAGTAGCATTTATTGTAGCACTTGCAATGATGACTTTCAAATCCTTTCGAGCAGAACTTGTCAAGTCCTTTAGCAAGCTTAGCAAAAGCTCTGTTGATAACGTTCTTTCGTGTGCTTCATCAATCATAATCGCTCCATATGAACTTAAATGCGGGTCGTTTAAAAATTCTCTCAATAGCATACCGTCAGTCAAATACTTGATTGTGGTATTTCGACTAGACTTGTCATCAAATCGAACTGTATAGCCAACTTTATCACCCAAGGGAACGTGCATTTCCTGTGCAACCCGTTGCGCTACTGAAGTAGCTGCAACTCGTCGAGGCTGAGTACAGCCTATTTTTTTAGTATCTTTATACGAATACCCTGCTTCATATAAATATTGTGGTAACTGTGTCGTTTTACCCGACCCCGTTTCTCCAACAATAATCACAATTTGATTCTCTTTAATAACTTTGACAAATTCTTGCTTGTATTTAAAAACAGGTAAACTTTGTTGTACTTGTTCAATATCTTTTTGTTCTGATGTTTGCAAATCAACTTCTTGTTGCTCATTCTCCTCCCCCCCATTCTCCTCCACCTCGTCTCCTGACAATATCTCGTTCTCTTCATAGTTGACAAATTGTGATTCATCAAATACGTACTCGTATTCCTTGTCATCATTCACATGAATCTTTTCATCTGTTTGTAAATGTAATTGTTTAGCTCTGTTAAATTGTTCTGTTTCCCAGTTGACGGTTCTGAACAGTTGCTGTTGCTGTTGCTGTTGTTGTTGCTGCCGCTGCTTCTGCTGCTGCTGCTGCTGCTTACCATGTAATAATTCGGCTTTACTCAATGTCAGCTGAGGCACTTGATATTGTGCGTCTGGCCTTTGATTTTGTAAATACTCTAACTTGTCTTGCAAACTTTCCAATTTGGATTGTTCTAATGGTTCAAGATAACTTCTAGATTCTAGCTCTTCGACTTGTAGCTGCAACCTTTCTATGTAGCTAGGGTAGTTTCTCCGTCGCTTTTCGTACCGACGCTCTTGTGGTGGAGGTGGTAAGAGAGACTCGTTACTTTCTTCAATTGGAATTGCCGGTTCTGTCATCTCTATAGGCGGTGCCGCCAGCTGTTGGCTATCTGCCTCGTCTTCCCTCAAGGGCATACCGGCGTCGAGCTCTTTTCCCCTCGTATCGTCATAATCTATAAATGCTCTTTTTCGACTAAACCCTTTCCCTGTAAAATGCATACTTCCCTTGCTCATTTTTTACATTACCTTTTCCTTATATTCGAGGTGATGGATTTTCTGCGATGAGCTCTCTTTTCTATAAAGATATTAAACGAACCTAAAGTAATACACACTTTGTATTTTCTTCTAAACACTTTTCATTAGGTTTGATGACCAGCCACAACAAATCAAAGCAAAGGAGTCACTCTCGAATATCGCCGGTCCAAAATGAAGATCTTTCCTTTATAAGTCTATCAGCGGAAAGTTTGCATTCCGCTGTTAATCGAGTAGAAGAGCTAACTATTGATAATGACCGAGAAATTGGTAGTGGTAGTGGTGCTGGTGCTGGTGCTGGTGCTGGTAGTGGTAGTGGTGCTGGTAGTGGTAGCGGTAGTGGTAGTGGTAGTGGTGCAATTCGCGATGACCTAGTTACACCAACAGCGTCACATCGGAGCTCGAGATTTGGTGATTCCGCTATCGCTCCATCGTCATCAGTAGTTTCTATCACGCTGCTGCTGCTGTCCCTGTTTTCCCCTGCAACATCGTCATCACCTTTGCTCGATTTATCAAGACCCAAATCAAATAGTGCATTACATCATTTGACCAAGAGTAGTAGCAGTATGAGCACACTCAAAAAGCCTTCGTATATCCCACCCTGGACAGAACCCTACATCATTGGTATAGCAGGGAATTCTGGAAGTGGAAAAACATCCATTTCACAACAAATCATCCAGGGCATTAATCAACCGTGGACTATTCTATTATCATTTGACAGCTTCTATAAGTCACTAACTCCAGAAGAGAGTGAGCGAGCATTTAAGAATGAATACGATTTTGATACTCCCGACTCTTTGGATTTGGACATGATAGTTGAAACTATTAAAAATTTGAAACTGGGTGGGAAAGCAGCTATTCCTGTTTACTCGTTTTCCAAGCATGCTCGAACAGGTAAGACCAATACGATTTATGGTGCTAATGTTATCATTGCCGAGGGTCTATATGCATTATACGATGAAAGGTTGTTATCGCTAATGGATTTGAAGATTTATGTTGACACTGATTTGGACGTTTGTTTAGCAAGGAGATTAACCAGAGATATTTTATATCGAGGAAGAGATTTGAAAGGTGCCATAAAGCAATGGGAGACGTTTGTTAAGCCAAATGCAGTCAAGTATATAAATCCTACAGTAAGCAATGCCGATTTGGTGATACCTCGTGGGTTAGACAACAGTATTGCGATAAACTTGATGATTAAACATATCAAGAACCAGCTAGCTTTGAAAAGTGCCAAACATTTACAAAATTTGAAAACCTTGGGTATTGATATTGATTTCAATGTTGATTATTTTCAAAATATTGGGATTTTGCCTGTTACTAATCAGTTAAAAGGTATCAACTCAGTTCTATTATGCAAAGAGACTTGCAGAACCGATTTCATATTCTATTTCAATAGAATGTGTGGACTCTTGATTGAGTTTGCTCAACAACACTTTTTCACCGATTTCGAAACGAAAGAAGTTGCAACCACAGGTAAATACAAGTATAATGGGCTTAAGCTTATCCAAGAGCAAATAGTGGCTGTTAATATAATGAGTAGTGGCGATTGCTTTATGGCCTCATTAAAAAAATCGTTTCCTGAATTAACAATTGGTAAGATGTTGATTCAAAGTGATTCAACAACAGGCGAGCCTCAATTACATTACGAGAATTTACCTTCAAACATTGACAGAATTGGAAAAATAATGCTATTCGATGCCCAAATAATCAGTGGAGCTGGTGCAATCATGGCAATCCAAGTATTGATCGATCATAAAGTAAAGGAAGAAAACATTATCTTGATTAGTTATTTATCAACCGAGATTGGCGTAAGAAGGATAATGAATGTTTTCCCTAGAGTTAATCTTGTTATTGGGAAATTGTCATCAATGGATGCAAATCGTTTAGAAGAGGAATCAAATATACCATGGTACAACAAAGAGAAATTCCTAGATACCCATTGGCATTTCAGGAATAGATTTATAGATAGTTTATACTTTGGAGCTGAATAGAACACTAGCGGAGCGAAAGCCGAACACTAGCGGAGCGAAAGCGACGCTAGTGGTTCTCTAGTATAACTAGACTAGCAGAGCAAAGCCCTAACACTAGCAGAGTAAAGCCCTAACACTAGCAGAGCAAAGCCCTAACACTAGCAGAGTAAAGCCCTAACACTAGCAGAGCAAAGCCCTAACACTAGCAGAGTAAAGCCCTAACACTAGCAGAGCAAAGGCCCAACACTAGTGTCGCTTTTGCTCGGCTAGTGCTAGCAGAGTAAAGGCCCAACACTAGTGTCGATTTTGCTCGGCTAGTGCTAAAAAAGAAAAAAGAAAAAGGGAGCAAGTATTAATTTAGCAAAGTTTTATTCATCCCTATAAAGATCTAGGCTCTTCAAACTTCAAGGCTATTGAGTTACGCCTCCGGTGATTCCTATGATGTTCTTCGTTCCATTGTCTTTTTTGTTCAGCACTTTGTGGCATTTTATTGAACGGGTTTAAGCTGGGAATGTCTGAATCTCGTTCAACTGATTTATCGTACATGTAACTTAACGACTTCGCGTGTGGATGGTGTTGATTGAATGCACCAGTACCACCCAAATCTTCTTGAGACATTGAACTGAAATGCCTGAATAGATTTACTTCCTCTGAAAAGTTATTCAAATCGCATATTGAAATTCGCCTAAGACCAGGATGAAAATCTCTTGCAATGCTACTTTCGTGTTGCTCGTGTTGCTCGTACCTACCCTTTAGCATATTTGGCACAGAAGCTGATTTCGTCAAGTATGGGTATGGTTTGGAAACGTATTGTTTATGTAGACCAAATTCACCAAATGAATTATACCCCACAGGACTGGGTATGGGAGTTGTAAGCGACTCAATTCCCCTTGTCGACAGTGTTACTGTACTAGCTGAAGATTTCCTCGAAAACGGAGGAGCATTGGACTCTATATATGAAGGAATTCTCTCCCTACTACTCCTATTACTGGTATTGCTATTGCTGTTATTGTATACCAAAAAGGCATTCAAAGGATTATTAATTGGAAAATCTTCAGTTGGTGACTCTATTGCTAACGAACACTTTTTAGTATTAAGGTGTGAAGACATTTTCAAAACTCTCTCATCTGTACATTTCTTCAGCTGCGTCTGTTGTAGTAGTAGTAGTAGTGGTAGATGGTAGTTAGTGGTGGTAGATTTTCCAGTGTATATGTATAAAACTGTAGTAGTAGATTTTCCAATATGTATATATATATATATATATATATATTTTTTCCCTCTTTACCAAACAGGTGACTTTCAATACTTGGTGATTTTTTGATTTTTGGTTTTTGATTTTTTAAAGTTTTCCAAGCCTTGGATTGCCCTAGCTCTTAATTAAGTATTGAGATTAATTTGGTGTTGGAACCTTAGTTGTAATGATCTAAAAAAAAAAAAAAAGATGGCACAGTAAAATGTCCTCGTTTAGAACTTAGTCAGGACCTAGTGTTTACAGGGGAGAAATATATCTACATATATATAAATCATGTTTTAATTATGTAAATCTAGGAGAAGAGAGAGCAATGCTGCAAAATTACAGCTACCAGTTGTCAAGCCAAACGAGGATAGGAAGAAAGCAAGATAAAAAGTATTACAAAGAAAGCATTACCAAGAAAGCAAGATAAAAAGTATTACAAAAAAGGCAAGATAAGTATTATGAGTATAGCTCTCTAAATCCTGATATACTGGTGGCTATAATAGTGTAAAAAGATTAGGTTGGATGGTGTGGAAAAATAAAAGTGCATTTACTTCTCCTATGATGGTTTTTTCCGTATAAGATGTCCATCTACTATTTGCTTATTCAATATGGAAAACCGTTAATAACAAAATAGATTGTAGAAAAAGGTTTAGGAAAGAAAAAAAAATTAGTCGACTAAAAATTATGATAGTCTTTCTAAACTTCAAAAAGGGGAAAAAAGTAACAGCAGTTTTTGTTAGTGACTTTAAGATAATTTCAGGTGAACCTAGAAATGTTGGTGAACTAGAATGTTGATATGGTTGTTGGTGGAAACTACAAATGTGGTTGATGGGAGGGGAGATGGGACTACCCATGACAAATGATGATAGTGTTGAATTTAACACAACAAAAAATTCACACAACTCCCTACCCCGTAATCCCTTTTTTCCCAACACACAGACGTACATGACACAGACATGCACAATACACACATACATAGTATACACATATATAGTACACATAGTACACAAACATAGTACAAATACATAGTACAAATACATAGTACACAAACATAGTACAAATACATAGTACAAATACATAGTACAAATACATAGTACAAATACATAGTACACGAAGATGTATAAGATGCACACATACATAATAACATACATAGTACACACATATATAATGCACGCAGATGTATAGGATACACATGACGTATGACCTGTAAAATATTCTTCAACTATAGTAATAGTCATCAATCCCAGCTTGCCAACGAAAAAGAAAGAAAAAAAGAACTACCATGACAGTATGAAAAGAACTACCATGTATGAAAAGAACTACCATGAAAATATGGTAATTGGGATAAACTTCCGTGTCAATATTGTAATTGGTATAAACTACCATGTCAGTATGGTAATTGGGATAAACTACCATGTCAGTATACAGTAAATAATATGAGAATTACCATGTCAGTATGGTAATTAATATGAGAATTACCATGTCAGTATACAGTAATTAACGTGTCACTTGTTACAACACTATCTCGCTCTGCTCGATAGTGGAGTGAAAAGAAATGCTATTCATGCGAAAAGAGTTATGTTCTCACACGAGATTAGAGGTATAAATTTCCCGTTTAAGTCTCAAACCCGTGTGTCAATCGTGTTTAGATACAATAAAATCTCGTGATTTTTCTATTTAAAAGAGCCGCAGTAAGAATTGCTATTTTGGGTAATTCTTTTCCGAACTGACAATCAAAAAAGATTTAATCAAACTGACTATAAAAAAATGCAATCAAACTGACTATCAAAAAGATGCAATCAAACTGACTATCAAAAAGATGCAATCAAACTGACTATAAAAAAGATGCAATCAAACCCGTGTTTCTCTGTTTTGTATATGACTACTCTGTTTCACTGTTTTATATTCTATTACACTGAATATTCTATTACACTTTGTATATTCTATTACACTCTTATATATTACTATAGTTTATATCACTGTTTTGTATAGTGCCCTTTTTTTTATTAGTAATTTAAGTTTAGCAAAGTCGACAGAAAATGAAGAACCAAAGTAAAAACCAAAATCTAACCAATTGTACTTGAATGTATTCACTATTTTTTTTAAAAAAAAAAGGTGTCATTAGGATTGGTTTGTGGGGATATATTTAAAGTCCTAGAAACAATCGAGGGAAGCGCAATAGTGGAGCAGCACTTAGTAACTTGTTACAACATCTTCTATTTTCCACCTTCTCAACAATAAAGAAATGCTTAATCAACTTTTCGCTACATAGGTTTGAGGGGTTTCTCTATTTGAGTAAAAGGTATATAACTTTTCTTTCTTTTTCTCTTTGCCCCTCCTCCCCTTATTACTATATGAAACTTTGCTTTAGAAAACCTGGCATATTATACACAATACAGACTGACTACTAACCTCAAATTGTCTAGCTCAAATTGTCTAGCTCAAATTGTCTAGCTCAAATTGTCTCTAAGGTCAAATTGTCTAGCTCAAATTGTCTCTAAGGTCAAATTGTCTAGCTCTAAGGTCAAATTGACTTTAAGTTTGTATACTCCAACTCAAATTGATAAAGTTGTAATAGAAAAGAGAGTCTAGATATATACTATCTCGCTTTGCTCGATAGTCTTAGAATATATCGTGTCAACATTTGTTTACCAATCGGTATTGTATTCAAAAAAGGCTTTATTCCCTGCCCCACATTTCGCAACTAAAAAAAAGATTAATGACATCTGCTCTCTTCTCATTGTTTTCATCCGTCGGGTAAATTAATTACTCCAACATTTGAAAAAAAAAAAAAAAAAAAAAAGGTATGGGGGTATTACTCCAGTAACGCAATAAATTTTTTGCATAAATAGAGATGATTATTGCTAGATCGAGATTTACTGGTGCTGCTGGTAGAAGTATGATCCGTTCACGTAATATAATGCTGTCTGTCCAATATGTTACGCGTTGCCACTATACAACCAGTTTTGAACCTGCTCCAAAGCTAACTATTCATGAAATAAGCCCGCAAACAGTTGAGGCCGAGTATGCTGTAAGAGGCAAGATCCCCATTATCGCTGAAGGGTTACAAGATTTGATCAAAAAGAATCCAACTGATCATGGTTTACCTTTCAACAAGATCATCAATGCCAATATTGGCAATCCTCAGCAATTGGATCAAAAACCATTGACTTGGTATCGACAAGTTATGTCTTTATTGGAGTACCCCAAATTGCTAGACGAACCTGCACTCAAGTTTCCACAAGATGTGAAAAAAAGAGCAAAGTTGATTTTGGACAATGTTGGGTCTATCGGTGCTTATTCTCATTCTCAAGGTGCTCCATTTTTTAGACAGTCAATTGCTGAGTTTATAACTAAAAGAGATGGCGGTTTGCTTCCTGCAAATGCCAACAATATATTCTTGACCGCGGGTGCTTCAACCGCAGTATCCTATTTATTAGAGATTTTGTCTCAAGATGAACATTCAGGCTTTCTAATTCCAATCCCTCAGTATCCATTATATACTGCAACTATTACGTTAAACAAAGCTAAACCAGTTGGATATTATCTAGACGAATCTAACCATTGGTCTACCAATCCTCTGGAGATTCGCCAATTGATTAAGGAAAATAAAAAAAAAGGTATAAACATCAAGGCCTTGGTTGTGATAAATCCAGGTAATCCAACAGGTGCCGTGTTATCCCATGAAGACATTCACAAATTAATTGATATTTGTGCCGAGCACGGAATCGTGTTGATTGCTGATGAAGTATACCAGGAAAATGTATTTCATGGTAAAGATTTCATCTCATTTAAACGTGTCCTTGGTGAATTGATCCAAAAAAGACCCGATTTATATAAAAACGTCCAGTTAGCATCTTTGCATTCTACTTCTAAAGGTGTTAGTGGGGAATGCGGACAGCGTGGTGGATATATGGAATTAGTAGGGTTCAGAGAAGAAGTAAAAGACATAATTTTCAAATTAGCATCAATCAATTTATGTTCAGTAGTTTCGGGCCAAGCAATGGTTGAATTAATGATCAACCCGCCTAAAAAGGGTGACGAATCATATGAATTGTATAAAAAGGAAACAAGCGGTATTTTTGACGACTTGAAAGAGAGAGCTAAATATCTTTATGAAGCTTTTAAGGAAATGGAAGACGTTACCGCTGATCCTCCTCAAGGAGCAATGTACATATTCCCAAAGTTGGACTTTAAACCAGCACAATATCATAAATTATACTCAAGAGCTAAAAACTCTAGCTTACTTATTGATGATATCTACTGTATTGAATTATTAGAGCATACGGGAATATGTTGTGTGCCTGGAAATGGGTTTGGTCAAAAGCCTGGAACTTATCATTTAAGAACCACTTTCTTACCACCGGGAAAAGAATGGGTTGAAAGGTGGACTGAGTTTCACCATCTATTTGTCAACAAGTATAAAGATGGAACGTTTTGCGCCTGAAGGTTTTAATCATCACTCACGCTCTCATGCACACTACTGTTAATCCCAGCTGTTTACTCCCCTGTTCTCACTCCCTTCTATTTTTACTGTACGATAATGTGTTTTATTTTCAATGTGCATCAACATCTATTTCAATTCTTTTCTTTCTATATTCTTTTTTTTTTTTTTTTTAATCTACTTATATACATTTCCTAAGTTAATCGACTTGATCACTGTGTAGTCATCCATTCCATAAAGAGAGCCTTCTCTACCAAATCCAGACTCTTTTATACCACCAAAAGGCAATGCGGCATCGGTAAATATTCCGGTATTAACACTAACCATACCGGTTTCCAAAAATTCAGACATGTACCAGATAGTATTGATATCTTGTGAAAAAATATAAGAAGCTAACCCAAATGGTGTATCATTACACAACTTCAAAACTTCATCTCGAGTTGAAAAACTGGTGATTGCTGCTAAAGGACCAAATGTTTCTTCATGAAACACTTTTGAATCCTGAGGTACATCACACAAAACAGTGGGCGCGTAAAAGTTCTTACCAAGATCTGGTAATCTACCACCTTTCACCAAGACTTTGGCTCCTCTTTTTATAGCATCTGCAGCGTGGCTCTCTACTTTATCGATTGATTTTGTATTAATCAAACAGCCATGGGTCACACCTTCAACTAACCCATTATCGATTTTGAACTGCCTGACTTTTTCTGAGAATTTTTCGCAAAATTCCTTGTAAATACCATTTTGCACATAAAGTCTATTTGCACAAACACAAGTTTGGCCTAAGGATCTAAACTTTGAAGCTACAGCTTGCTCAATTGCCAATTCCAAATCTGCATCGTCAAATACTACAACAGGAGCATTGCCACCTAATTCCATTGATAGTTTTTTCAAAGTCTGCGAACTTTGCTTCACTAAAAGTTTCCCCACAGCGGTACTTCCAGTAAAACTCACTTTTTTGATCAATGGAGATTCACAAATCTTTTGCCCAACCATTGGTGTAGATTCGACTGATGCCAATACCACATTAAACACACCTGGAGGAAATCCGGCCTCTCTTGCTAAATAAGCAAGAGCTAACGAACTAAGCGGCGTTTGACCATCAGGTTTCAAAATACACGTACATCCAACCGCCCATGCCGGAGCTGCTTTTCTTGTTCCCATGGCACTGGGGAAATTGAATGGACACAAAAGTCCCACAGGTCCAACAGGCTGCTTGTAAGTGATGATTTTGTTATTTCGGTTCGAAGGTTGTATTGTGTTTCCATAAACTCTTTTGGCCTCTTCGCTAAACCATTCAAAGTAACTGGCACCATATTTGATCTCTCCTTTTGCATCGGTCAAACATTTACCATTCTCCAATGTAATAATAGTAGCTAAATCATCCAAATTTTCCATCATCAAATCATACAATTTACGCAACATTTTAGCACGGACATAGGGATCGCTTTTTCTAAATGATTGAAAAGCTTCGTGGGTAAGCTTTATTGCTTCTTCGATTTCCTCAGGGGTTTGTTCGGGCAATTCCGCAATTACCTCCTCAGTAGCCGGGTTGACTACTTTGAAGGTTTTTGTTGATTTTGAATCAATAAACTCATTATTAACAAATGGTTTCGTTTGGAAAAGATTTGGGTTTTTCAAATAAGAAGTTACGCTAGTCATACCTACGAAATTGAGTTGAACCGCTCTGGAAATGTCGATTTGGAAGTGGCCTTTGCTATGGTTAACGAGCCATATATATACTTTTTGTTTTCATCTTATACTTGTAATGCAAGCGTTGAGATCTGCATTAAACTTTGTTAGCGGCAATGCTCAAAGAGGATATGTAGGCGCCAACATTTTGTCAAATTTGTTGCTCTGCTCAAAACGGGGCCATAAAGAACAATAAATATTGAAAAAAATGAGAGATACATGTAAAAATGACTACACCCAACAATGTATGGGAATACTATAGCATTGAGAGCATATGTATCCTTGGATAGTTGAATTTGTTATATACTCTCCCCCCTCCCCCCCACACACCTCATCGCTTATTTTTTAATTACAACTCCTCCCAATAGTGTCTTACATAAGCCACACAAAAAAAAAAAGAAGAATCATCGAAACGTGGGGGGGGCGGAAAGAGGACAAGTTGATGGTGGCAGCTAGTGTTGCTCCACTATTGAGCAAAGCAAGCTTGAAAAAATTTGCCAGGATATTATGTACAAGTCCCAGCTTCCCACTAAAAACCTCTCCTTCTCCACTCTCTACTCCGCTAGATCTAAGAATAGGAAGTAAAAAAAAAAAAAAAATAATAATTGTTAATTTTGCTTACTGTATTATTTTTCTAGTTTTAGGCCCTTAGCGAAGTATAGGAGGGCAAAAACTAGTCAGTGTTGTAACAAGTTACCGATAGTATCCTCTTCCAAAATGTTCAATTTACTCTCTATGCTAGACAATCTCAAGGTCATACAAAACAAAAGGCTCGTAATCTGAATCTACCAATGATGCATACTCGTGCAAGTTTGAGTTGTTCGAAGAATAACCGTCTCCACCTAAATATCCAAACTTCTCAATCAACTCTTTCTTAGCTTTGCCAACATTCTTCAAATTGTTCCCTTCGAATTTGATTAGATAATTGTCAAATTGTGGAGGTAAACCATACCTTAAAACAGCTTCAACATAAACTCGAATGACTTTAATATGGAACCAGCATGCTACAATGTCCAGATACGCTGTTTTACTTAATCTTATCAACTCGCTCTTCAGTTTCAATTCGGTTGCTTTTGTGATATCAAACTCTTTCCTCAAGTTATTAAGTGTTTCCTCGCTGTAAACGAAATCTGTACGTGGATGCCATTTGCGCTCGCGCGCATTGTTAATAAATTCTTGTTGAAATTTTTTGAATAGTGTCACTGTGAATAAGGAGAATTCCAGATCCTTGGCTATTAATTCTGTAGATCTTGGTATCACAAATTGTGTCAATGTCTCATAGTGACTTTTGAAATCAGATACTAGATTGTTAGGCACTGCAATCAAAATTGTCACCAAGTTTTCAGAGTCCAATACAAATTGTTCTGGCTTAACAATTTCGTGCAACGACTTAATTGATAAGTCACCATTTCTTTTCCTATCTGCAGCTACGAAATTCGACTTTGCTGTTTGGTAATTCTGGTAACTAGAACGAACATCGTTATCTAGAGTTATTGCTTCACTCGATATGATTTTCACCAATTGACTAATAGGTCTGTCCAAACGGTATTTGGAAGTGTTCCAATGGAAATTTTGAACGTAATCGAATATAGACCTTGACTGAATCGTACGTGAAGAAACAATTTTAGATTCGCTAACTGTGTTCAATATCTCAACAACTTTCGAAACAGACGAACCCAATTGCTGATCAATCTTACTCAATTCTTCACTCTCCTGAACCAACGAGTCTAATGTTCCACTTTGAAAATCAGGGACGTTCAAATTGAATAAGGGCTGTTTGCCATTGTTCAAAGATTGCTCTAACCACTCCCGTGCATGTGCAGACTGCGGTAATGAGAGAATCAAATAGTCTGCAATAACTTGTTTCAGTGACGTGTTGGACATCTTTCTCACTCTCTTTCTCTTTTGCTCTCTCTTTTGCTCTCTCTTTAGCTCTCTCTTTTGCTCTCTCTTTAGCTCTCTCTCCCTAACTGCGTATCTATCTATATTGCACTTTTACACACGGTCCACGTGACTCTGGTGTATGTCCTTCTAGAATATAGGGAAGGCGGGTAAAGTAAAGTGGTGCAATTCAACAGACCTATATTTAAGAGATTAACTAACAAACAAACTAACAAACTCTCACTCACTCACTCACTCACTCACTCACTCACTCACGCAGTAACGCTTTGTTGAATTTTTGAGGCTTCAATTTGACAAAGTACACGACTTATTCCTAACCCTTTTTGTAAGAGTTTGTTCCTCATTACCTTTTTTTGTTAGATGGGTAAACATACAGATTCGTGGGTGGACTATCACAACCCATTGTTACTTCAAATTACTCTATTCTACTTAGAATACTCTTCTACACAACCTCTAATGACTCTTTTTTTTTGTCCCTTTGTTCCTTTTTCCCTCTTTTAGCCAACTATCAAAATCGATAAATCTCCTGAAGCTGTTATATCTTGGGAGATGCCCATCTCCATCGCATCTGAAAAGAAAAAAAAAAAAAAAATTTAAACTCGCTTCAGCTGCAAATTAACAAGCTTTGCAAACTGGATAAGGATGAGTAACAGTTTAGAGGTATGGTGATAGCTATGACGATTGAAAGATATCGAAAGACTATTTGAATTTTCTTATATACTGACTTTTTTTACTCTAGGAACGACTAAAAGAACACTCATCTGCTTTTGATGGGTTGTTATCCTTGATACCAGCCAAATATTTTTATGATGATGCCACTCAAGACCAATGGCAGCAGAAAAAGAAGGGTAAGGAAGAATTGAAGCAGAACAAAAGAGCAAAGTTCAATCCTGAATCCAAAAATAATGCGGATGAGCTTGTGAACTCACATGCGAGTGCTAGAGATGTAATGGAGAATAACTCTAGGCGTGCACTTGAAGAACAAAGCGTGAATAAGCATGAGTTGGACGTGAAGCTGAAACTGAAAACTGATGACGGTGATGGTGATGGTGATGGTAAGAAGAATGTGCAGAGTGGTGCGGGTACAGGTGCGGGTGTGGGTACGGATAATTTGCCAATATCGGAGTCCACTATGAACGGTGGGGTGAAGAAGGAGGAGGAAAATGATGATGGCGATATACTAATGAACGATGATGATAATCATTTGATATTTGACGATGACGGGAACGAAATAGAGAACGGGTCATTTCTTAAGGAGCTGATACGAAATAACAACAATACAAAGAAGCCCAAAGCACGAGCATTATCTCCTGAAGAGCGAAAGGAGAAAGAGGAAAAGCTTGCAAAGTTGAGGGAAAAATTAGAAACCAAAATCAGTAATCTAAGAGATAAAAGAAAAGCAATAGGGTCAAAGGCACAAGGAGCACCTCAATCTCGTGAACAGATTTTGGCCGAGAGGAAGAGAAGGGTTGAATTGTCGAAGCAACAGAAACGGAAACATTCTGAATTAGAAGAAGAAGAAGAAGAAAACAACGAGGATGAGGAGGAAGAACTTTCCGAATTTGATAATTCCGACATGGAAGATACTGGAGGTGAACATACAGACAAGTCTGTGATTTTTGGAAACATTGCATTCCAAGATGGGTCCCAGGTGACATCTGATTTGACTAGGTTACGTAAGTCTGCGGATAAAAGAAAACAAAAGGGACCAGCAAATAATGACATCAAGGCCCATTTGAAAAAGATTGAGAAAAAGAAACAAAAACTAGCATCAATGACTTTGGAAGACCAGGAAAAGCAGAATCAAAAGGATAAATGGCAAAAAGTGATATCACAAGCCGAGGGCGTGAAGGTAAAAGATGATGAGAAATTGTTAAAGAAAGCCTTGAAAAGGAAAGAAAAGAAGAAATTGAAAAGCGAAATCGAATGGAGAGAAAGAAAACAAATTGTCAAGGATACAGTTGCAGCTAGGGCTAAAAGAAGGGAAGAAAATTTGAAAGCTAGAAAAGATAGTAAACGTGTAAAAGGTAGTAAGAAGAAATCTCAGCAACCTAAATTGAGAAAATTTACAGGTGTGGTGAATAAAAAGGCACAGAGTAAAAAGAAAAGAGCAGGCTTTGAAGGAAGTGTGAAAACCAAGAACAAGAAATAGTATCAAATAGAGCAGTACATATACACTAGTGAGACAAGCATTAAATGTGGAACCCCTTTTTTTTTTTGGAGTAGCAGTAGCAGCATAAGCTTTTACTTGCTTGCTCATTTCTCTTTCCTTCTCTTTATGAATCAACAATCTAATTATTGAGGAAAAAAAGGGTAACATATAGCAAAAAAATAATAAAATAAATAGATGAAAATTGGTAAATCAAAAACTTTGATTTTAGTTCTCAAAATGGTAAGCTTTTCCGCGTGTAACTTTTGGAAAAAAGAGTTGAAAAAAGGGTGAAAAATCTAAAAATAAATTTCAAACATTGATCATCTCTAAAACTTCGAGTTTAGTTCCCAAAATAGTAATCATATCCATGACCTATGAATGGGACTTTATTACTCCTTTTGTAACTTTAAGAAAAGCAATTTTTACAGAATGGGTAAGAACAAAGAGAAAAAATGCACTTTCTTCCAACACACTGTGTTACGTCAGGGGGTTTCATCAAAAAAACAGTCCTGTAGTGTAGTTTGCTGTTGCGAACAATAAAATAAAATAAAAAATTAAAAATTAAAATTAAAAAATTGAAAAAAGCACCAACTTGCTAAGATAGAAATTTGAAGTTTTTCAACACATTCAAACTCTCTCTCTTTCACCCTTTTCTTTTCTTTTCTTTTCAATTTTCTTTATTTATTCAGCAAGCCAAATCAATCGATATCAAAAAAAGTTTAGTAGAAATGTCGGGATTACCAGTTCAAGTAAAAAATTTCTTGTCCGAAATTGATAGAGTATGTGTGTATTCAAAAGAGATGATCATTTTCAGAGATTGAGTAGAGTCTAAATTATATAGCTGGAAGATTCGATTCTTTCACTGAGTATGTGGATCGCATTTCTTGATGGAGTTTGTATACTGACAAGTTTCTTCTCTTTTTTTTTTTTAGGGAACCAATGGCTTTCAACTTTTGAATCATTTTGAAAAACAAACAGGTTTACCAAGATCATATGCTGTTTTGGCCTTTGTTGGATTTTATTTTGTTTTAATCTTTTTGAATTTTGGTGGAATTGGGCAATTATTGTCAAATATTGCTGGGTTTGTTGTACCAGGTTATTACTCGATTTTGGCATTACAGACCGCTACGTCAAAGGATGACACTCAAATTTTGACATATTGGGTAGTCTTTGCATTTTTGAATGTTATTGAGTTTTGGTCAAAGGCTATTTTGTATTGGATTCCATTTTATTATTTGTTCAAAACAATCTTTTTGTTGTACATTGGTATTCCAGCTACTGGAGGTGCTGAAACGATTTACAATACCGTTATTAAGCCAATTGCTAATCAATATGTTCGTCCAATTGACACCAATGTGACTACTAATGCCAATGCTCCTCACAGCTATGCGGATACGATCCATGACACTGCTGAAGGTGTTTCAACATCAGTTCACATCTAAGCTGAGGAGAAGAAGAAGAAGGAGGAGGAGGAGGAGGAGGTGAAAGATGAGGGTACAACAATCATGTATAGTGATGGTGAGCAAAACTGATGCAGCAATAAGAATGTGGTTTTTTCAAATTTTTGATTCTTATTTTTGCTTTACATTTGTGTGTCATTTAGGAATTAAATCGATTTTGTATATACTATTTTTGTCAAATGTACCTACATTCAACATCTTCCAAACCTGTTAAGAACAAAAGAGTAAACTTTTTGTCCTTTTTGAACGTATTTAGCTTGGTTGCAAGCTTTTGTAGTTTGCGATTCCATTTCATCTTTTTAGAGTGGGGGGTTAAAGTTACACGTATAGGAAAAACTCTCAATTGTGCGGTTCTACCAGCGATAACGGGACAGGTGCAATACGTCGATGAACTCTTTGAAAAATCAACCTCTGGTGTAAATGACCCTCCAACAACTCCGCCAATCAATAGAAATAGTCCGGCATACAAAGGCATACTCAACTCGTACTCCATTGAGATTTTTGAAAGCATGCCTCTTGAATAAGCAATTTCACCTCTTGCATTATCATCGTTTATTGTTGTCATTGTTTGAACAAGTATTCCGCTTTGGTCTATGCTTGGAGTAATGTCTGTAGCATAATATTCTATCCAATTTTCAGGTATCGTGTCAAAATCGCTGTTTTGTAAAGGCAGTGACAGTGGTTTTTGGCTGTCATCTGGGATCAAGTAATGATCATTGTCTATACAATGTATGACAATAACCTTGTTCTTCTTGTTTGATTTGAGTATGTGATTAATATTTTTCTCAAAACTTTGCATGTTTTCTACATGAACTATTTCGTGCGATGCATCTATATCATCAGCAAGAAACTGATTTGTGACAGAAAAGGGATTAGGGAAGTCATTCTGATGGGAGAGACTAAAGAGTTGAACAAAGAATACCAAGAAGAAAAGCAAGTTCGGCATAGTCTAGAAGTAAGATGAATATATGACTGAAAAATGTTATGACCAGGCCATAACTCAGAATTGGTGCGAAAAAAAAAAAATCAATGATAGTAGAGCACTCACCGCTACCAATCGACTATCAAACACCCGTCTTTTAACTGTAGCTTCTCAAACATTGTGAAAGAATGCTTGTTTTGCTAATGATGTCGGATGTAGCTGTCTACGACAAACGTGTCCAAAACAATTTTACTAAACGAATGTTTGTTATCTTAGTTACAATCTTGTTCATAACAAAACATCATAGTGTCCCCATTAGCTCCCCTTCTTGTGCTTTCTTTACCCTTCACCCTAGAACAATCCATCTTCTTTAGAACCTAAATGTTTTCAAAAGCAGTATGGACGCTAAAACGTTGTCATCAATATTCTCAATCTCAAAAGATGTAGACCCGGTGTGTGTGTGTGTGTGTGTCATTCAGATATTTGATTGGTTAAAAACAGCACACGGGTTTTTTTTTTTGCCTCTTACTCAATACCAAGGTGTAATATCATACTCATTCATAGCTGAAGAAACTAACTGTTACTTTTCATTTCACACTGTTACTTTTCATTTCACACTGTTACTTTTCATTTCACACTGTTACTTTTCATTTCACACTGTTACTTTTCATTTCACACTGTTACTTTTCATTTCACACTGTTACTTTTCATTTCATACTGTTACTTTTCATTTCATATTTGTTGTCCTAATAAACAAACAAAGCCACGTCTCGCGTTTGTAAAGTCTAACTCTCGTGTATATTTTTTGAGCTTCGCATCTCTTAGATTGTGTAATGTAGCCCAAATGGGTTTTGTGTAATTTATTCTGAACGAACAAAACCCTCATTTGTCATGTCAATTATAAATGACATCAACTGACAGAAAAATCCTCGCCAAATCACACGTATTCCTCTTTGAGAAGGCGGCTGTGTTATCATGGTCACGTGATATATACATATATATATATTTATTTATTTTTTTTTCTTTCTCTCTTTCTTCCATAGTGCAATTGGTGATGTATGATGTCATTTAGAATTAAATAGATATCCAACAAATATTGCTATTGCATTAAACTAAGATTGCTCCATGGCTTTGTTTTGTAAAAATAAAAAAAGACACTATGGAGTGAAGCGAGATAGTGGAGCAGCACTCACTACACCTTTAAGTACATGCAACATAATCATGTACAGTTAGCTCTAAAAATTTGGTCTAAAACACAATTGAAAAAAGAAAACACAGTTGCAAGAAATGACAGTTGAATATCTGAATTACACAAGTTGAAGGTACATGTCAAGCAAATATATGAGAAGAGAAAATGGTGAACCAATTGATCAATGAATTGAGGCAAAAAGAGTAAGGTTTGAAGAACTAGGGGCCTTCCTAAAAACTTTCTGAATGGCTTAGAACAACAATGAGATTGCTTTCACTTTTTTTTTAACAAATTTTTTTATCTTCATTTTTTTTTTTTAACAAATTTTTTTTATCTTCATTTTTTTTTTTTATCTTTTACAGGGACTGTGATAACGTTGTAGTAGTTGCTTGCGACAGATAAAGATCAAGGAAACACTCAGCCAAACCCGTTTTAATCTCAAGGTCAAACGAATAATAATAGTAAAGATAGGTAACGAAAATGCTAATTCCGTTCGAAGTGACATGGTCTATAGAGGAGTGTCAAATCGAACAACCTTACTGATGCGGCTGACACGAGTTAAACGGATACGAGTCAAATTTGTACATTAAAAATAATTGATCAGTTCCAAGCAAAAAAAAAAAAAAAAAGGAAAAATCAGTTTGTAACTCTTGCCCAATTACTCCCTTCAGGTAATACACATCATATCTAGATACACATAAAACAGCTCAAGTCCATGTGTTGACCTACTGATATTTCAGTTACTCATAACATTTTAATTTTTTTCTTTCTTTTTTTTTTTGTTCAGTACATTGTTTTCATTTCAGTCACCACCAAAGAATGTGATACTAAGTTAAGGTGCACGCAGCTTTTCTTACTTAGATACGCTAAACTAAACGCAAAACAACTCTCAGTTTTTCGAATTTCAAGTGCCTAGCAATAGGCGATGATGCTACATATTTCATATATAAACATCACGATGCCTCCTCGTCTTCCCCTCTTTTTCTCTCTCCGCCTTTTCACTCTAAAAATATAACTTTTCACGAACTAAACTGTATCATCAATTGGTTTAGAACTCGGACTGCAGACCAAGGTTACACACCACCAAAGTATATTTAGTTGAGAAAAAAAAAAGTAACCAATATACATACGGCTGTGTTTCTTTTTTTTATTTGTTACTGGTTTCCTCAATTATTCCCATCCACATTTTCATACATATTTTTACTTTAGAATTTTATCCCCAAGGGTAAAAAAAAGAGGAAGTAAGACTGTTACTGTTGCCTGTAAGCCTTGGATTTTATAAGATTACAGAATTCTTTGGAAATCAGTGGTATTTTACAAAAATTCCGAAATTGAGGTTTTCTGTGTCCTTAAATAGTCGAGAATAACTTTATCATCTCCTCATTGGGCTATAGATTTATTGCAATAAGTCACTTATAAACAGCAACGACGATAACAAAGCGAGAGCAAAAGATTGTACAACAAGTAAACTGAAAATGTCAGAAAAAGCTTCAACAAACACTTCAGTCTCTCAGTTTATATCAACACTTGTACCTACTTTGGTCATTTCAGTTGTATTTGTCGTGGCCTTTGTAATAATACGTAAGTATCAAAAAAGAGTTTATGAACCACGTTCAATTGTCAAGTCGTTACCGGAAGATTTAAGACCCCAATCACCACCGGCAGGCATTTTCAGCTGGTTGGGTTCACTACTTCGCAGGCCAGAAACTTTTATAATCCAGTATGCGGGCCCAGATGGATATTTTTTTCTTCGTTTTTTATTTGAATTTTGCTGTATTTGTATCTTGGGGGCTATAATTACATGGCCCATATTGTTCCCAGTTAATGCATCGAATGGAAACAATAACCAGCCAGGCTCAACAGTTGCTGGATTTGATATCTTGACCATTGCAAATGTGCGAAATAAATGGAGAACTTTTGCACACGTTTTCTTATCTTGGATCTTATTTGGTGCTGTGATTTTTTTGATCTACCGTGAGTTGGTTTATTATACTACTTTCAGACACGTTTTACAAACAACTCCACTATACGATTCCTTGTTGAGCTCAAGAACTTTGTTATTGACTGAGATTTCAACCAATAATTTGAATGATGAGTCTTTAAGGAGTTATTTCCCAACCGCTACAAACATTTGGTATGGCAGGGATTACAAAAAGTTGGAAGAGGAGTGTGAGGAAAGAACCAAATTGGCTAGCAAGTATGAAGGTGCACTAAACAAAGTAATGACTAAAGCTGTAAAGCTAAGAAACAAATGTATTAAGAAAAAGAAACCAGTTCCAGAACCTGCTGACGATCTTGACAAGTACTTGAAGGATGGTAAGAAGAGACCAACCCACAGATTGAAATTTCTTATTGGTAAAAAGGTTGATACTTTGACTTATGGTGCTGAGAAATTGGGCGAGTTGAACAAGTCAATAGTGAAACGACAGGAAAAGTATCAAACGTCCACTCAATTGCCATCAGTGTTTCTTGAATTTCCAACTCAATTGGAATTGCAAAAAGCTTATCAAGCTATTCCTTACAATAAAGATTTCAAAGGAGTTAAAAGAATTACTGGTGTTTCCCCAGATGATATCATTTGGAAGAATTTACAATTGACATCAACAAAGAGAAGAATCAAGACTATTCTTGCAAATACCTTTTTGACATTGTTGATTATATTTTGGTGTATTCCAGTTGCTGTTGTTGGTGCCATTTCCAATATTAATTTCTTGACTGAAAAAGTGCCATTTTTGAGATTTATCAATAATATGCCTAGTGTCATCATGGGTGTTATTACAGGTTTACTTCCAGTAGTTGCCTTGGCCATTTTGATGTCCTTGATTCCGCCGGTTATCAAATGGATGGGAAGAATTTCTGGTCGTCTTACAGTCCAGCAAGTTGATGAATATTGTCAATCGTGGTTTTTTGCCTTTCAAGTTGTTAATGTTTTCCTTGCTGTTGCCTTGGGTTCATCTGCAGCTTCGGTTGCGCAAGAAATTGTTAAAGATCCAGGTTCGGCATTAAAACAATTATCTGAAAGATTCCCCCCATCTGTGAATTTTTACTATTCATACCTTTGCTTACAAGGATTAACAATAAGCTCTGGTGTGTTATTACAAATTGTTGCATTGATTTTGTCTCATATCTTGGGAAGGATTTTGGATAGTACTCCAAGAGCTAAATGGACAAGGTGGAACACCTTGACTCAACCAGGTTTTTCTGTGTTATACCCTGGATTTCAATTGTTAACCGTTATTGCTCTTGCTTATTCAGTTATCGCGCCATTGATTTTGGGCTTTACTGCAATTGCTTTTGCTTTATTCTACTTTGCATATATCTACACATTGATTTATGTCATGAGACCAAGTACAGTTGATGCAAGGGGTAGAAATTATGTTAAATCCTTGTTTCAGTTATTTACAGGGTTATTTTTGGCACAATTGTGGATCACTGCATTATTTGTTTTCACCAAGAATTGGGCATGTGTTGCTTTGGAAGCTGTGATTATTGTCGTTACAATAATTGCCAGATGCTGGTTAAAGAGACGATTTGTAGCCAATGTCGACGCGGTACCTATTTCAGCAATAAGATATGCAGCAGGTGATTCTGCTTATGCTTACCCAATGCATGATCAAGGATCGAAGGAGATTAAGACTGAAGGCCAAAATTACTGGGAAGGAGGTAATCAATTGGGATTAAAAGCAGGTGATGATGTCAAGGATCAAGTTTTGCCCGACAGATATCTTGGTACGTCAACAGCAGCAACGGCTGTTCCCAACATCAACACTAGTGGTGCTGTTCCTAATGCTGGAGTTGTCACTCATGAACACCGCGTGTCGGACTCTTCAGCCGCAGATAGTAAGATTATTAGTAAAATGGATAGTGAAAAAGTATCACGCTCAGCAACGGATCAACGTAGCTTTTCGGCAACTGAAGGTCCTTTTGCTGAACCAAATTCAAACGACGAAGAGAAAGGAGAAAGAAGTCTTGCCAAAAACACTATTAATGGTGTTGCAGGTGCACCAGGCAAAGGCATATCGTGGCTTAAGATATTTTTCCGTCCAAAAACTCAAACTTTTGATATGATTAGAAACATAATGCCAAATTCATACTTTAACTATATTGAATATAATCCTGAGTTTATCAGGCATGCATATGATGATCCTGCAGTATCACAAGAAGAACCTCATATCTGGATTGCCAGAGATCCTATGGGATTATCCGAAATTGAAAAGAACAAGGCACTTAAAGAAGGTGTTGATGTGTCTAACGAGAATGCTACATTTAATGAAAAGGGTCAGATTGTTTTCACAGGTCCACCTCCAACTTATGAAGAAGCTATTAAGGTATGAGAAAAATAAAAATAAAAACAAATAAACAAAGAAGTAGAGAAGACAGAGAAAGGAAGGGGGAAAAAAAACGAGATTCGAGGCTTGTGTAGTATAATGTGTTGTTTTACATTTTCTTTGTATTAATTGGTGTGAATAGTTGTTTCAAGTGTTTAATATATAATTTCCATTGACATGCGAGGGTAGAATGCAAAGTTCCGGTATTCTACCGAAAGTTTTGTAAGCCGGCAGATTTGACTCCTTACCTTTTTGAATGCTGTCATTAAATGTCGCAAGCAACTAAAACTTCAAAAGTTTTCATGATGTCGCTTGGTCTCTTTCACTATAAACAGAATATGTTTGGCGTCTGACGCTACCGAAATGCATATCTCCCCCTTCTAATCAGGATAAAATAAATTTTTACAACACCTCTTTGCTGCAAAATCTTAAATTCTAAATTTCTGAATTTCATACTCAAACTCAAAACTTGAAGTGTGTTCAGGTCATATACCTACTGCTTTCAACTTTAGAAGTTGTGAATGATCACAATTTCCAAGGTCTTTTTCTGCCAGTGATGGGCATGCTAGATTTCTAAAAAAAAAAAAATTGAACATATGTTTGTGTGATAATAACTCCAGCTTCGCGTGCAATGAAAGGCAAAAAAAAAGATACCCCAGATTGTCAAATACAGGTTTTATATGTAGAGTTTTTGTTCATATTTAGGCAGAAGTTGTATTTCACAAATAGGTGGGAATCTGTGACCCAGAATTTAAAAAAATGTAAATGAACTTAGTAAGATTGATTTCTATCAATTTATCTTCATTTTGATACAAAAATATAAAATAAAATAAGAGGAGGAAAAAAAAAAAGAAACTGGCAAAAATATGTACAGCTAGATTTCGAAGACACATGGTTGCAGTCACTCATCTAGAGAGGTCCAAATGCCTTGTGGATCTAAATGTGATAGAACTGGAGATGAAGAAAAAGACTAAGTTAAAAAGTCAAAAGAAACACACATTTTTTAAATAAGCTCATATTTTCTTGTTTAACACAAAAGTGGAGTCGAGTAGTGTCATAAAAATGTTCTTTTTTTTTTCTTTTTTTTTTTTTTTTCCTTGCCTGATAGTTAATGATCGTCTTGGGAGATGTTACTGGTTAGTTTTACCACACGGATTATCAAAGACTGAGGTAAAGCAAACAATCTTGTACTACTGAATGATGCTTTTTCCGAGACACCACTTACTTGGGTAGTTGACTTGCCATATTTAACATCATATACTTTCACCTAAAATGCCTGTGAAATTTGCTAATGGTGAATTTCAAAATCTTACAGACTACAACTCATAGTGCATTATAATGCACTTTTGTTAGTATAGAATAATAATAATATATAACCCATAAGTGGAGTAAAATGTAGAGGTGTAGGAGTAAGTGTAGAGGTGTAGGAGTAAGTGTAGAGGTGTAGGAGTAAGTGTAGAGGTGTAGGAGTAAGTGTAGAGGTGTAGGAGTAAGTGTAGAGGTGTAGGAGTAAATGTGTATGGAATATTTGCAGTATACTGCGGTGTCAAAACTCTTCTCGTGTGTCTCTTTTTCTTTCACAATGCAGGTACTATACTGTTCAAGACGAGTAGAAGTATACGGATTGTAAATATACCCGCCAAAAGTACCATCTCTCCCTCTGTACACACACACAGCTCTCTCTAACCCTCCCCCCTTTTCACCCTACAATTTCTTTCTCTATAATGGTGGGTTATACTTTGCTATGTTGTGTAGTAGTATGTGCACTTCATAATAGAATTGAAAAATGAAATTTTTCAAATATTATAATTGTCAAATTTATTGTGTAATAAAAAAGCAATACTTGGGTCAATTAGTCAAATAGTTTATTTGACAAGTTAGGCATTGGTTAGGCTAAAGTTAACAGGTTGGTCTAAAATAGTTATGCAGTACTTTTAACATCAACGAGAAATGAGACATAACTCGGCAATAATGAGGTATTTTTTTACCAACACAATAGAATAAGCCAACATTTAGCACAATAGCTGTACAAATTTTTACAATATGTGCCTTCCTCAGCAAAAATCCAAGAAAAGCCACCCAAGCTACCGCTCTCCCACCAACAAGTACACAATACCTATCTATACTCAATGTGGAAAGGAATAATTAGACATATGCGCAGAAGTAAGATACATATATTTATATTTTTATATATCTATATATATCCTCTTTATAGCTTCTTCTTCTTTCCGTTTTTCACCGATTCTTTCAAACTCTCTCCCTCTACCTTATCTATCCTCCACCGTTCTGGATCCCCCTGTTTCTGCTAGCACTTACTGGGTACCTCCTTACTAAAAAAAAATAATCTACTATTAGACTTAGGGTAGTTTGGCTAACTTTGTCGAAAATTTTAAGGACTGAAATTTGACATAAAAGAAAGAAAAAAATTAGTTGAATAATTAGATTTTTTCTTTGGAGAAAAAATAAAATAAAGGGTCACAGCACAATTTTTATTTCAACCCCAAAACCAAACGAAATCAAAAAAAAAAAAAAAAAGAGAGGGAGAAAGAGAGAGAGAGAGAGAGAGAAAGAGAGAAAGAAAGAGAGAGATCCATTTATATCGGACTGGATGAGTAAAAATTAGTTACGCGGTGTTATTAAGTGTCGTAATTACTGGATATTATATGCTTTTATTCAGCATTTAAGGGGAAAAATGTCTGAGATTAATTATCCCAATGGTCATGATGGTCAGCGCCCGCTACACCAACAACATCATCAACAACACCATCAACAAGAGCAACATCGACAACTACTACAACCACCACCACCACCACCACCACCATTATCAGCGCAACAACAACAACTACAACAACTGCAACAACCACAACAATTTCAGCTACAACAGATTAATCAGTCTTCGCCGCACCACCATTATCCAATTCCCCCGCGAACAAAAGAGAGGAAAAGTAGAAGACCTCATAAAAATTCTCGTGATGGTATGTGATAAGTTCAATCACCGTTTTGCACAATGTGTACCCTTCCATCTATCTTCTTTTTTTTTTTTTTTTTTTTTTTTTTTTTTTTTACATTTTTTTTTTTTTTTTTTTTTTTTTTTTTTTGTTTTACTAACATTGTCATTTTTTTTTTGTAGGGTGTCCCAACTGTAAGCATAAGAGAATAAAATGCTCAGAAGAACTTCCATCTTGTCATAATTGCTTAAAGAAGAACTATCATTGTGGTTATCTTGATTTTCCCAAAGAAAAATTGGAAAAACTACTAAGAAAGCATCTGAAGAAAACTGGAGAAAAATATGCCATAGAACAGTCTTCACAGAAGGAACACATAAAAGCTCAACAGTTTCCGGAACCACGACTAACACCATTACCACCTTTATCTTTGTCGAATGTGACCATAATGAACAAGAATCAGTTCAATGCCGAAAATGTGAAAAAAGTTACCAATTCAATTAATAACTCAGGCATACTTTCTTCATCCCGGTTCTTGAGTGAAGCCAATCCAAACAATGTTAGACCACCACCCTTGAATTTGGGCGTTCCAGCAAGACTTTTGAATTTCCTGGATAATGGAGACTATAATTTGACACCAGGAACACCAGATTTGCTTAACAATAGTCCCTCAATAATCACTCCTCCAGTTCCAAATCAAGGAACCTCCATAGACTCTTCTCCTTGCTCGGATACACCCAACAATGTCAATGAGGTATTCTCGAACTACTTATCGACTTATATACCGAATCAAACAACAGCATCCTCAACACCTCCCAATATATTTGACTTTGTACCAGATGAAGATTGGGGCCAATACTTTTTTGCACCTATAGGGGATAGTGATTTGAACATGGCGGTTTATAAAGATGCGATAAAAAAATTTTCGAGCAGCCGCAGCGATTTTCAACTTCCAGATATTCTATTTGAGGCACCACAGGCTACTCCAAATAATGTAGTACCAGGTTCCAATAGTAAGAAGCTTACCTCGGAAATCCTCGAGACACAAAACAGATTTCACGATTCAGATGCTCACTCAGTGGATAGTTTTGAAAGATCTTTTTATATTTTTGGCCAGCATTATGGTACAGAAAACCTTGGAAATGGTTACAATGGTGTATCAAAAACCGATCTCGCTTCAAGTTCACCATCTCTGCAAGTTGGAGAACCATTGCCAATGGCAGTAATATCACAAACATCCTTCAATGTTTTAAGCCACCCTGACAAAATTAAACATTTGTTTACCAAAAATGCCAATAAGTCTAAATTAGTTCCAGAAAACTTTGGCACGTTACTGCAGCTGCAGCCCGAATTGACGGAAGCAAACGCTAAAAATTTATGGATAGGTGCATTTAGTCAAGCAATAGTCTTACATTACATCTATTTCACATTTTTCATGGATAGAGCTTTGAATGTTATTTTGAAGGTGTGTCGGAATTCTGTCAACTCAAGCAGCAGCACAACATGTTTCACCCAAAAAATTGAGGAAACACTCACGGGCAAATCGTATGCCTACTTTGGAACCTTAATCAAGAATCTTAGGGAATCAGTAGACGGTATCGACATTGAAAGCTCGACTATTGTATCCTGGTATGCAGGGTGGTCACTATTCTTGCATACACAAGCGAGCGTCAAATCAATCATTCTTTTTCATGGTGGTTCAGCTTCCTTATTGTGGAACTGCTTAAACGGTTATAAGAGCATAAACGAACTTTCCCCGCCTTTATTATTTTTGACCTATGCGTTGAGAAACCACACATCCGCGATTGTAGCCCCAGATTACAAATTTGACGTTGTCACAGAGTTGTATAACGATTTTATTCATTTCAAAAAGTTTATCAACTATAATTCCGAGTTGACAACAACCAAGAATGGGTACATTTTGAAACAGTTTGTTAGTTTAGAAAGTTTTTTGAAAGATCTTACACAAGAGATTTACCCTCGGTTTATGAAAATTGATCAATTTTACAAAAACAAGAATGGAGAAACAAACAATAGCTTTGGGATTAAATATTTTTCCCCTTCTATGCTTTATGACGTTTTGACTAGGTGGTTCAAAATAGTACCTAGTTATGCGTACTCAATAGGAAGAGGAATGACTCCCCTTAAGAGAGTGTTTTATTTGTTTTTTGTTGCAGTGGCCAAAGCTTTTATTCAAGTTTTTCCCATCATCAGATGCACGTTCCTAATTGATACTTGGAATATCATATATCCAAAAACATCCTTTGATTACAAGTTGTTTAAATTTTCTAGGTCTGAAGTTTTGAACGATAGCCAGTATCATTACTTGACGAATTTATCAGCAAAATTATTGAGAATTATTAAATTTTTCAATACAAGGGAGCAAATCATATCGCATTACATGTCAGCGCATACAGTTCTCAAACCGGGAGAACAATTTATAGACTATATAAATCCAGGTGAAGGAAATCCAATTGAGGGATTATCAGTACGAGACATTGTTTGCACCAACCCACGGAAGATCGATTTTAAGGAAATAATGATTACAAATTTTTCCATCAACACCATTGTGAACATCTATAACTATCCTATACTACTTGATTTCGGTAATCACCTAAATGATATAACAATGGATTTTCGAAAGATTGTAGAACAAGAAAATCGTAGCCAGAAGGTGAGAATTCAAAGTTATAGAGCTAGATACGAAGGAGTGCGAAGCTCTAATAAGAATGGTGAAACTTTGACCAATGTGAATCATGCCTACGATTTTGACTTTGATAGAGGGATGTTTTCATTTGACTATAATGTAGAATTGGCACTTGTCTACCTTTTCAACTACTTGGAAACAACTGCTGGCGGCAAAGAGTTGACAATCGAGGAGGCCAAGAATCAAGCGCTCAATTTTGAAGCTTCTCAGAAGGCGGTGCTACACAGTTTGGACTTTATTAATGATCATTGATATAGCTGAAATCTTATTTATAACTATCAAGAGTGCCACTCACATAAGGAGAGCATTCTTGAATTTCCGGTACCTTTTCAGAATAATGACTTTCTCTCTCTCTCTCTCTCTCTCTCTCTGTCTTTTACTATTTTTTTCTATTGTTCGACTTCATGTTTTAGTCTAATCAATTTGGTGACATGTAGCAAACATTGTTTCTTTTAGTAACACAAAGATAAGAGCCACAGTATATAGTTTACTCTTCTGGAAAGGCAAAAACCTATAACTTCCACATCACACCACAAGCAACTTGGTAAACAGATAGTCAATTATTTCATCAATTGTGTTTAATAATATTACCCATTACTACCCTAAATCATTAAGGATCATGAACAAGAAGGTGCAACAGTCATCGACATTGTTGCGAGTCAAAAGGTTCAATTCTGCCCCTTATTTTCTATTCACGGTGGTAGCACTTTTATGTTACTTCATCACACAAATACCTTTCAGCAGCTTTGGTCCCAGTCTTCAATTGGACATTAAAGATAAAGATGACAATGCTAGTATTGACCCTGAGCAGAATGTACTTCAATCTCTAAAAATAAATTTAGCATCAAATTGGGCCAAGAAATATACAGCCGAGGCACACTTGGCAGGTACCAATTACCCCCTAGTTGAATGGACCGAGCAGAAACTTCAGGAATTTGGTTTTGACACTACAATTGACCCATACGAAATATTGGTGAGTTATCCCAAAGACCATGATTTGAACTTGGTAGATGCAGATGGAAAGTTGGTCTATAAGGCACCATTAAAGGAAGATGTAGTCAAGGAGGATCCAACTACTTACAACGACACCGTTCCAACATTTTTGGGATATGCTGCTAATGGGAATGTCACTGGTCACTACGTATATGCTAACTACGGATCAAAGGAGGATTTTAAGGCCCTAAAGGAACACGACATCGATGTCAGAGGAAAGATTGTTGTTGTTCGTTATGGAAAAATCTTTAGGGGTCTTAAAGTGAAATTTGCTCAGGATTTAGGTGCAATCGGTGTGTTGATTTATTCAGATCCAGGGGATGACTTTGGAATCACACCAGCTAATGGTTTCAAACAGTATCCAAAGGGACCAGCTAGACAAGAGAGTTCAGTCCAACGAGGTAGTGTTCAGTTTTTAGGTGGAGAAGGTTCAACACCGGGTGATCCAACCACCCCTAGTTACGCATCCAAGCCCGGGGTCGAGAGAAAGGACCCACACTCAAGCATTGGCAAGATCCCAGCCTTACCTATATCATATCGTGAAGTTAAACCCATTTTACAAAAGCTAAACGGCCATGGAGCCAAGATTTCCGGATTTGAAGGTGAACTTGATGGATTTGACTACTATACTGGTCCTTCCAAATACCAGCTTAACCTATTCAATGAGCAGGAATTCAAGATCACAACATTGTGGAATGTATACGGTGAAATCAAAGGTGAAAAATCAAATGAGGTTATCATTTTGGGAAACCACAGAGACGCTTGGATTAAAGGTGGTGCAGCAGATCCAAACAGTGGCTCTGCCACCTTATTAGAAGTCGCACGTGCATTAGGTAACTTGAAAAGGGCAGGACACAAGTTCAAAAGAACTATAATATTGCATAGCTACGATGGCGAGGAATATGGATTGTTGGGATCTACTGAACAAGGAGAGTACTTTGCTGAAAAGTATCAAAGAGACGTTGTTGCTTACCTTAATCTAGACGTTTCAGTTAGTGGTAAGAATCTCAATTTGGGATCATCGCCAGTTTTGAACGCGCTCTTATTTGATGTTGCCAAAAAATTGGACTATCCTGAAGGTGGTTCGTTATACGATCATTATGTAGAAAAACACCATGGCGAGAAAATCAAAACGCTTGGAAGCGGATCGGACTACACTGTCTATTTGGAGCACTTAGGAATCCCATCAGTGGATTTAGGTTTTACTGGTGGAAAAGATGACCCAATATACCATTACCATTCAAACTACGATTCATACCACTGGATGGAAAAATTTGGCGACAAAGGATTTGTTTATCACAACTTGGCTGCAAAATACTTGGCGTTATTGACCTTGCAGTTGAGCGAAAGAGAAATCATCAATTTTAATCTTGAGAATTACGCAGCAGGTTTGTTGCAGTATTACAACGAAACTGTAGCACGTGTTCCCGAAAGTTGGTTGAACAGATCAGCAAATTCAGATAGGAAAGAAGTAGAAAAAGAAAAGAAGTTGGACTTTGAAGAATACAAGTATACCAAAAGAATCACACAAAGCCATTATGTCACACCAATTTGCAGAAGGATGCAGATGGGAATTATTCATGGCAACAAACACCACCATCACGATGAAAGTAGAAACCTAAGACAAATACTAGATCGCACATACCATCAACTAACATTTTTGAGAAACTCAACTGAACAATTTGACAAAAAATCAGAACTACTTCAAGTGCAATATGACCACATTGATGAATTGCCACTATTGCAAAGAATCAAATTGCGTTTGCAAATTAGATTTCACAACAAATCCTTAAAATACTTTGAACGTAATTTTTTATACTCAAAAGGATTAAATCAAAGACAATGGTTCAAGCACATAGTATTTGCAAGCGGCAGATACACAGGTTACGCAGGACAAAATTTTCCTGGTTTGAATGAAGCCATTGAAGACAAAGACTTTAACATATTTGTTCATTGGCTTCATATTCTTAACAGAAAAATAACCACAGTTGCTAATCACTTAAACAATTCCAACTAAAACAACTGAAAGACGTAAACAATACGTATCATTATATTATCTAGACAATTTTTTAATTCAAACTCTAAAACTTCAAATTTATCCTCTAACTCTGCTCCTTTCCCGACTTATTGTACAGCTGCCCTATAATCTTTTCTATACAGTGTTCAACCACTGACATTCAGGGTCATCCAAAAACACTAAACATTTCGACAACCCTAATTAATGAACTATTGAATAAAACAAAACGATAAATAAAACTATCCTTTCAAGTTACAATATACAAATGGGAACTGAATAAACAATTATTCTAAAAAGATATGAGATAAGCAATATAACTCGGTTTGCACATTTTCAGAATATAACAAAAAGGTGATAAATTTGAATAATTTCCAACCACTTATTCATATTAATGCAACAATATTCTTATGTTGATACTTCATGTTTACTGCTTCTCCGCCACAAAAAGAAAGATAAGTTCGCAATATCAATACAACTAGCCTTCCACCCACGTAATGTGATTTAGACAAGAAAACACTCTACAAATAAAGCAGAGAGCAAATATTTCAAAACTAGTTCGCAAACTTAACGGGGTTTGATGCATACACAGCAACCTTGCATCTTCATACAAGAAATTGAAACCATAGTTTTCCAAATACCCATGAACTCTTCAAAATATACTTACACTGAATCATCAGTATTACAATTGAGACCTGATAAGTCACCATGTTTTGCTACATCTTCCTGATTTATCTACATTTCACTTTCAACTCGTCAAATGAATCATACATCATTTTTCACAGCACTTATAACTCTCGTGCTTCAGTAATTTTTAACATTTTTATCCGTCAACTAAATCATTATCCTTTTACCTGCATTGATTAAGATTCTTGCTAGAAATTTGAAAAAACCAGGACACCATCGTACCTATAGACTTTTCTGGGAAGTAAGTTTATCATCAAAGCAAGAAAAAAGTAGAAAACGACTCGTAAGTTCAAGGGATAAGAGCAAACAGGAGTTCAAGAAGAAAGTTTGTTACGTGGTTATTTTGGATTGATGTTATTTTTTGTACTGTTCCAAAAAATTATTCAGCTTACCGGAACTGTTCATTCTAATCAATACGATTGAAACAGATTATTTCAATGTATTCGGTTAACTTAGTTTTTAAAGCTTGTGTATATCCATAAAATGATATCCAACGTAAAGCTGTTTGTCGGAGTAATGTTTTTTACTAGTTTTTTTACTTCTGATTGAGCATTAAAACAATCCCAAATATGTGTTGGCTGCTTGTGTCTTTTTTCTTCCCTCTCAGCTATTGTGCCTTCTGTTGCACTAACATAGAATTTGTGGAATGAGTTTGTACGGTAAAAATTGTTTCATCGAATTTGTGTGATTTTCCGTTCCATACTACACCATGTCTAGATTTGTTTACCGAGTCGCTAGTGAGGTCATCTGTGAGATGTTTCAAATTTCTCACTTGTTTTTGGTATGTGAGTATTGATTAATTGCTCTCTGTGTTTATCTAATGTTAAAAGTATTTGTAACATCTTAATGATACACAGATGGTTCTATCATTTCGTTGATTTATACTCGAAGGAAAAGCTTATACGTTTCATTTAGCTCAGTTTTTTTCATTGCCAATTTGCATTAATTGGTAGTAAATCTGGGGAATGAATCGATTTGTATGAGTGTGTATTTTGTATCTCATCATGTTTAGTTATGACATCCATAAAAAGATTGAAATTGTTTCTAGCTCAATGTTTTGTACTTCCGTCCACTGTGGTTTTTTTTGAATAATCTAAGACTGCAGGTACTGTTTTAGCGTTAAAACTCTTCATTTTCGTTCATTGTTTATGTCGAATGGAGAGTTCAAGCCAGAGCAAAAGATTATTCGAAATTAATGGTTAAATCTATAAAAATCGATATATAATTGTCTCTGTAGGATATTCTGTTTATCGGGTCAGACTCTTCAATCTTGCCTCAGCTGCACGCGCGCGTTGTTCTCTCATTAGTTTTGCCTTTTGTTCAGCAGACAAGCCATTGATGTTAATGTTACTATTTGGTACTGGTTTTGCTGTACGAGTGGGAGGTTGGTTGTCTTTTTCCAAAGCTAGTTCTAGTTTTAGTTGTTTTTGCTTTTCCTCTTTGATCTGATTTTCACGTTTCCTATCCTCTTCTTCAAACTCTGCTTTTGTGCGAGCCACTCCCACTTTTGCACTGTCCCAATCGCAGTAATCTTCCCCTAGCCTACTTCTTGCAATTTGAAAGACTCTTCTTGTGTTTGAATCACCCAATTCTGCAGGCACTTTTCCTAGATCATTCACTACAAGTGGGGAAGCTCTCAAGTTGAGTAAGAGAATTTGAACCATGTGAACCAATCTATTTGCAGAAGCATAATGAAGTAAGGTTGGCGTATTTGTAAGTTGGCCACTTGTGTTCAACCTGTATTCGTCAACATTGATGTTTTTTTCCTTAATTAGTTTCATAAAGGATGGTCCCTTTTGTTTTTTTAGTGCAGTCGTTAATTCGTTTGCCAATGCCTCTTGCTCCTTCTGTTCAGGTGATATTTCCATTTGTTGTGGCAATTTTTCCTTTTTAATCGCTTGTTCTGTCTTAATTGTTGGCTCTGGAAGAACAACTATTTTCAAATGAGTCAATTCGTACCAGCTTCGTTTCACTTCTGACAAACTTGCTCGTTTGGTAGAAAATGGAAGCTTTTTGACTCTTTCATCACCCGGCTTGATCAATGCACCATCGTACCCAACAAGTACTTTTTTGTTTGTAGGACCGTTAGCCCTAATATATATCGAAGAGCATTCGCGTATATGCTCCCCCCATTCCGAAATCAATTCTCGGACTTCCTGTGCCAATGCCTGTTCATTGTATCTCCTGATGCTTGACCCAGCCGAAACTGCTTTCCCGCGAGAGTTATCGCTTGCTCCTTGAGCACCACCCTGTTTCCTTCTTGTAGTATATCTATGAAATGTCTTGGACAATATGACGTTGACACTCAGCTCTCTTGATGATAATGTAGCTTGTCCCTTGAGGTCTAGTTGTTCATGAGAAATGATCGCTCCTGCAAAATGTCCTCCGCCAATCATGAATATAGCAGACTTACCGTGGGCTTGCCTTTTTATAGACATTAAACTGTCGTGTGGAGAATCGAGCTCATTGCCCGTAAAGACAGCCTTGTATATCCCAATTGCTTTGGATTCAGGAACAAGAGGGCTCTCAAATAATATAAAAGGACTTTTCGTGTGTAGATGTGATGCTGATGAGTTGTAGTCGTTATCTTTTTCTTCTTCTTCTTGTATGCTCAATTTATTGATCAAACTTTGCACTTTTAGATCTTGTTGATTCTGATCATCCAGTTCCGACTCGCTGTTAATATCTGACCCTGAAATGTCCTCTATAGATTCCGTCTCTAACAATTCTTCAAATTCTTCTTCACTCACAGGTGGTAAATTGCTTTGCGCTCGTTTTAAATTGTAGCGGTGAAGATCTGATTTGTAATAACTTTCATCTTTAATTTCTGCTTTTACCTTGACTTCCTGTGTTTGTTCAATAAGTTGCACTATTTGTGAGGTATTCAAGTCAAATCGTAGCAATTTTAGCGAGTTGAGAAACTCGTCCGACAAGTCATAGATGTATGTCTGATCCATACCACCTTTTTCTTGAAAAAATAACATAAAAGAAATGGGTTTGTAAAGTGAAATTTGTTGCTTTTCATCTCATTTTTTATCTGGATTTTATTTTTCTTTTCTTCCTCGAGTTCATAAAGTTCATCGCAAATGTTCTCACTATACAAGACCTATAACACTTACTCAACTCTACTCTACAACTACTCTGATCCATACTTATGACACAGTTCCAAAAAGAGCTTTATTTTGTCTGGATTCATGAATGGGTGAGTTCCGTGACCAAAATTTATAATATAGTTTTGAATTCCAAAACCATTAATCATTTCTTTCACCTTCTGTTCAATCAATTGGTCAGATCCATACATAACTCCAGGATCTAAATTACCTTGTAGTGTCACTCTTCTGTTTCCAACTATCTTTCTTGCAACTTTGGGATCAAACGTCCAGTCAAGAGATACGCAATCGTAACCAGCCTCACATAAATCGTCAAGAGAATACCATGCACCTTTTCCAAATACTGTCAACGGTATCTCGTCTGTCACTCCCAACTCCTTCAACCTTTTTGGTAATTTGGCCGCAATTTGTTTCAAATAGGGCAATGAAAAAGTGTTAAAGTCATCGGGACCAAGTTCTCCTGCCCACGATTCAAACACTTGAAGCATTTGAGCACCTGCAACAACTTGCTGGGCCAAAAATTCCACACAAGCGTCACACGTAGCTTGCAATAACTTGTGGGCAGCATCAGGATACTCAAAGATCCACTGTTTTGCAAATCTAAACATTTTCGAGCCTTGCCCCTCTGTCATGTACACCAATAAAGTCCAAGGAGCTCCAACAAACCCCAAGAGCGGTACCCTACCATTTAGTTTCTCTCTAGTCAATGTAATGGATTTATAAGCCCAATCCAACTTCTTACTAATATCTGGTTTCAAATCAATTTTAGCCAAGTCGTCGGGATGTCTCAATGGATCTGCAAAAACTGGTCCTTTTCCTTCAACCATATTGATTTCAAATCCCATGGCCTGGGGTATGACCAAAATATCACTAAAAATTATGGCTGCATCTATCAAGCCGTCAAAACGGTCAATAGGTTGAATGGTTAGCGTTGAAGCAATCTCTGCATCTTGACAAGACTGGAAAAAATCTCTATCTCCTTTAACTTCATGGTACTCTGGAAGATACCGGCCTGCTTGGCGCATGATCCAAATGGGTGCTCTTTCCACTTTCTGACCTTTCGCAGCTCTTAAAATCAAATCATTCTTCAATGGTGCAAATTTTGGCATACTTGGGAAGCTTTGATTGAAATTGGTCTTGAGAGAACAAACCGTCTAGGTGTATGAAAAATTCCTTCCTAAGCAATTTAATTGATTTTCTTTCTCTTTCTCTTTTTTTTTTTACTATATTGCTTAAAGTTTAAAAGATCTTTAACTAAAATCATGATGTAGTAATAGAATAAAAAATAAATAAAAAATAAAGATAAAAAAAAAAGGTCTCTATATATGGAATGTGCCTTGCGTTTTTATTCCAAAACCTAGCAATTAAACATTGAACAATCACAGCACAAAGTAAAAGTCTCGATAATATGACAGATGAAGATGATGGCTCGTTGTCCCCAGGAAACCATAGACGACACACTTCAGCAAAGAAAAGGCAACCAGGCATATTGGTTTCTGCATTGAGGTCGGTTTTTGGTTATAGAAAAACCTCCTTGTCTTTGTTCGTGATAACAACAATTTTTGTTGTGGTGCTTGTCTCCTATATTGATAATAGCTTGCTATACACTGTGGACTTACCGTTGGACCAGGTTGAGAAGAAACTAGTTGACGAGACCTGGTTAGATTTACAGCTCATTTCACAACATGAGCATCCATATGGGTCAATTGCCAATGATGAAGTTCATAAATATTTGGAAAACAGAATAAACGAACTTATAAGAGGCATTGATTACATCAAGTATGACAATGATCTAAACGGCACTAATAAAATTTTGTTTGAAGCCAACTCGAAACCTAAAATCGTTACTTATTATGAAAGCAATAATTTATTGGTTCAAATTGAGGGAAGAGACAAGACGCTTCCCGCATTCTTATTGAGTGCCCATTTTGATTCTGTTCCAACTAGCTACGGGGTCACAGATGACGGGATGGGAGTGGCAAGTTTGTTGGGTGTCTTATCATACTATTCAAAACAAGAAAGACAACCAAAAAGAACAATAATTTTTAATTTTAACAATAATGAAGAGTTTGGCCTCTTTGGTGCTAAGGCCTTTACCTATCACCCATGGTTTAAAAAGGTAAAATACTTTTTGAATTTGGAAGGCACGGGAGCTGGAGGAAAGGCAATCTTGTTCAGAGGCACCGATTATGGTATTGTCAAATATTTCAGCAAAGTCAGATTTCCTTATGCTTCCTCTATATTTCAGCAAGGTTTTAGTAGCGGTCTTGTTCATAGTGAAACAGATTACGTTGTATACAAAGAAGCTGGACTTCGAGGTCTCGACCTTGCATTTTACAAGCCACGGGACATTTACCATACAGCAGAAGACAATATTAAGAATATTCGTGTTCAGTCCTTATGGCATATGCTTTCTAATGCTATAGATTTCACAAAACACATGGCAGAAAACGAAATTGATGATGTTGGATCAAATGACTCCGCTATGTATACATCTTTCTTCAATAACTTTTTCGCAATATCATCTTCACAGTTGATTATGTTGAACTTGTTTTTGATACTCGTGTTTCCAATTTTGAATGGACTTCTTATGTTTTATTCTGTGAAATCGAGGAAGTGGGTTATTACATGGACGATGGTGTTAGTATTGCCATTGACGATAATCCTTGCTATGTTTGTTACCTATTTTGCGGTGACAAACGGTTTTCAAGAAATGAATCAGTTTTTGCCCTCATCAAAGCCTCTTCTTCTAGTGGCCACTACTACGTCAATTCTATTGTTGCTTTATTCTGTCTTCTCCACCATACTTAATCGAATATTTCATGTTGCAAGCACAGACCCAAAGTTGTTATCGATTATTGTGATTTCCTTCTTGTATTGGGTGTTGTTGATCTATACAACGAACGGGTTAGCAAACAATGCAGAGTCTATGGCGCACACGGGTGAGTTATTCTTCACCATATTGTTTGCATTGCAAGGGACTGCATCTTTCTTGGGTCTACTTGGTTGGAGTCTTTCAGGACTATCAAGGAAATATTTGGAGGAGGAGGAGGAGGAGGGGGAGGAAGAAGAAGAAGAAGAAGGAGGAGGAAGAGGAAGAGGAGGAGGAGGAGGGAATGATGAGGAACCGCTCTTGGATGGATCTGTCGAGCGTTACGTGTCTGATGGGGACGACGATGAGGATGAGAATGGAGATGCGAGTGGAAGACGACAGCATGATAAAAACCCAGTAAAACATCTTGTCCAGCATTTTGGATATGACTGGTCATTACAGTATTTGTTAACTGTGCCAGTGTCCTTATTCCTCATCTATAATTCGGGTTGGCTCGTTCTTGATGGGGTCAATAAGACCATGCAAGAGTCTTTATCTGGAGAGACATTTGTTTACGGTGCTATTCAAGTATTTTCCTTTTCTTTGATTGTCCCTTTAATCCCCTTTATTCACAAGCTCAATAGGTACATGGTGTTTATCTTGATAGCAGTTGTGTTGTTTGGGTCTGCAATCATACTGATTGAAGAGCCGTTCAATGAACAAAATCCATTGAAGCTTCGATTGTTACAAACAGTAAACGATGACCAGTCATCGTCGGTTGAAGTGTTTGGAAGAGAAGGCGTGATTTATGATGTTATATCCAAGTTGCCCTCTGTCGTCAAATCACTGCTGCTGCCGCTGGGTAATGTCAAATGTTCATCAATTGCCGAAGGCAACGAAATTTGCACATACAAGACCGAATTGATTCCCAACATTTTACCTCCAGGCGCATCTTACATTGATATTAAAATCACAAATTCAAAATCTAGTTCATATGGTATAAACTTTAATGAAGTCATCATTAAAGCCCCAAAGAACAGAATGTGTAATTTGCATTTCCGCAAGGAGGAAGTGAAAGCAATAGTCATAGGAAACACTACAGATATTCCACCTTTCAAGCAAATACCAAATGGCTACTCTTACAATAATAGGAAGAGCCATTTCTACAAAGACATTTCAGGTATTGAAAAGCTATTTCTTAATAAATTGGATTGGGAAGAGCCTTACAATTTGGCGTTTTATTGGCTTCCAAGTATCAATGATGATAGCAATTTGCTAAACTTTACTATTGATTGTTTTTGGGCTGATTTGGCTCCAGTTTCACGAAATAATGAAACGTTGAGTGCTATCCCTGCATACGAGGAGTTGATCAAGTATACGCCGAATTATGTCACATGGGCCAATAAAGACAGAGGATTAGTTTCGGTGTCGAAAAGTATAGCCATATGAGGACGAAGTAAAAATAAACAGAAATTCAAGTAAAACAAAATAGAGTAAAGAGGCTTTTGTAAAATTGTTGTATTAATTATTGAAATTGGCTATAACAGAGTATATATATATATATACATATACATATACATATACATATACATATAGTTATAGATGATAGAACCAATTCCCCCTTGTCACAAAAGTAGTGATATCAACGATATGAAAAAAAAAATTAAAATGCGGCTTCTGTGGCTCGAACACAGTACCTCCAGATCTTCAGTCTGACGCTCTCCCAGGTGAGCTAAAGCCGCAAAGAATTTAAAGGCAGAAAAGAAACCCACGCCGGGACTCGAACCCGGAATCCTTTGATTAGAAGTCAAAAGCGATAACCAATTTCGCCACGCAGGCATTTTCTGATGGTTTCGTTGATCATAAAAGTCTTTACTGCATGAATTTCCGTTTCGTGATTTTAATAGTCTGAACTTTTTATGAGATAGAGATAGCCATCACCACTTTTCCTTTTTTTTTTTTTTTAATTCATTTAGTCTATCTATACCTACTCAGTAGAAGTACCGTGACTAACAATCTTGATGATTTATTCCTAGCCCGTTACCACTTTGAGGAAAAGGGTGTGGAAAGAAACTCAGAAAATATGAGTAGTAAATATCACACAAACAATCAGGCAACTAAGGATGATAACATCCATTTGCTAGTTAATAGAATACATACAGATTACTTTGTCTTCGAGTGCTTATGATTAGAAGATCAGAGTTTTGTTAACGAGGACTCGGGAAGGGCAATACACGTGAGCTATAAAATAGAGTGTGGGATGTCTTATCTTGAGCAAGTACAATATCAAAACCTTCTTCACTTGCAAAGTTTTTGATACTTAGCTAATATATCAGTGTTATTCCTTAAACATCCAGTAACTCACATCCAAATGGTTTAGTGGTGTAGCGGCTATCACGTTTCGTTTACAATTTCATCAGATTTGTAAAATACCGAAAAGGCCCCGAGTTCGATCCTCGGCTAGATCAAACTTTTTGCTAATCTACTTTCTTGTTTTTTTTTTTTTTTTTTGAAAATAAAATGATAAATCTAAACTTTATCTTTTTAATATACACCTTAGACTGGTATTGAGTTAAATAGGTAAGTCACCAAATGGAGCAAGCAGTTAGTCGATAAAAGGGATATATGCTGTTAATTTCTTGTTTAATGATTGAATAGTGGAGTGTACGACATTTGATTTCATTTTGTTGCGAATTTTTTTTTTATTTTTTTCCAATGAAAGTGCGTTTTTGAGATCAAGTGCAAGTTTAAAGACAAAACGATCCTGTTGATAGGTATCATAAAGTGAAATTTCAATCAAAACAATCAAGCGCATTAAAAAGCCTATATAGACTGTACAATAACCTATAATTTAGATGCATTGACAAACTCAATACCTTGATCAATAGATCCCTTTAAACCCTTCAATGCAACGCCAATTAATTTGTTCTCTTCTTCAGTAACTCTTAATTCCTCAAAAGGATTAATAAATGATCTGATTTCGCCATTGCTCAATACAACTGGAACAGAGAAAAACTCAACACCATGTAAGTACTTTTGGGAGAATTCCTTGCCTCCTTCGATGCCAGGTAAATAAATATAGGCAGAGTCTGGCACTTTATAACTATTTGGACCACCGCTCAAGGTATTAATCAAATACTCGGCAAATCTATAGCCAGCATAAGCCATAGATAAAGTTGCCGATCCTGCTCCATTCTTTGCCTTGACAACTTCATCACCACCATATTGAACACGGTGAACAAAAGCTTCATACTGTTTTTTGTTTAATATTCTTACACTAGGTTCATAGTTAACCAAGGGCACAATTGTATCACCAGAGTGACCACCAACAACCGAAATCTTGCCCTTTAAATTTTTTGGGTTAGTATTTGTCAACTCACCCAAAAAGGTTTCAGCTCTAACGCTATCCAAAGTTGTAACACCAAACAATTTTCTAGGATTGAAAACACCCAATTTCTTCAACACTTGTGCTGCAATAGGTACTGTTGAGTTGACTGGATTCGAGATGATCAAAATGGCTGCGTTTGGGGCCGTTCTAGCAATATTTGCTACCAAGTCTCTGATAATTGACGCATTGATGTTGAACAAGTCTGCTCTCGTCATACCTGGTTTACGAGGCACACCTGCAGGGATTATAACAATATCTGTACCCTTCAAAGCATCAACTATCGCAGTTCTATCCTCCTTGTCCTTTGGCTGATAACCTTTGACCACAGCGGGGGTGTTGATATGTGATAAATCTGCAGCCACACCTTTTGCATTGACTATATCAAACAAGGATAATTCCGTTACATTAGTGTTTAATTTGAGCAATAGGGACAATGGCTGACCAATGCCTCCGGCTGCACCCGCAACTGTAACTTTTACCATCGCCTTATCAATGAAATGAATTTAATAGTAGTAACTAGTAGTAACTAGTAACTTTGTAGAGAAGAGAAGAAGGTGAAAAAAATGATAATTTTGTAAAAAAAAGAAAAAAAAAAAAAAAAGATGTTCTGAAGTTGATTAAAATTTAATTTATACTGATACTCGGATCCACTAATTCCAGAGATAAATTTGTTCTATACGCACAACAACAACAGTTGTTGAAAAAAAAAATCAACCTTCCTCGCTTCACTTCTAATTGTGGGGAAATAATTCCGCTTGTAAAAAATAATAGAAAAATATACCCAAAATGCCCTTGATAAAAAAAAAAAAAAAAAAAAAAAAAAAAAAAAAAAAAAAAAAAAAAAAAAAAANAAAAAAAAAAAAAACAAAAAAAAAAAAAAAAAAAAAAAAAAAAAAAAAAAAAAAAAAAAGAGAAAAGAGAAAAGAAAAGAAAAGAAAAGAAAACATTGTCAATAAGTAGGATACATATGCCCAACACTTGAACTTCTCTAGCACATATCAGGTTGTGTTTTTTTTTTCTTTTTTGCGCCCAGGTTGCCTTGATAGATGGTTTTTGAGTGGACAACTCTCTTTACTTCGACAATTATTGTATATTCGCGCCCCTGTGAAATATTTTATAGGCCGAAAAAATAAACTCACTCAAAAATCACGATCACGTGCCACACCATCTGCTTTATCAAGATCACGTGATACAAATTTTGTTTAAAATTGGAAAATTAAAATAGTTTTAGTGGATTAAGCATGGACTTCAAACTGCGCCAAAGATAGTAATACGATTTTCCTTTCTACAGAAGAAAAATGCCTGACAATTATTGACAACTATTAACAATTTCTAACTCAAGATTTGACTTTTGTCTTCCCTGTCAAAGGAATAAAAAAAAAAAAAAAGAAGGACGAAAATCTCAATAAAATCACATCAAAAAAAAAAAAGGCAAGGGAAGCAAAAGAATCAAAAGAGTATTAACAAGAAAAAGAAAAAATATAAAAAAAAACGTGAAAATTGAATACAACAGGAGAATTCTTTTAGACCAGATTCGTGTGTCCCCCTTCCATCTCATCCCCTCCCCTATTTCATCATGTTGATATATGTACTAGTTTCATTAACTGTAGCTTTCACATCCGTGGCTATTGACTGCCTGTCACGGGAGCTTCAGAAATATGATTTGCAAAGCATCAAGGGGACGCATTCATTCATCACCACTGACAACACTCCGCCAACCAAAAGAGAAATGACCTGGAATATAGGCATTTGTGATTCAGTTAGGGATGTTCCAGGATGTCCTGAAAACTCAGAGTTTTGCGTCATTACAAAAGTATTAAGCGATAACGAATCTCCCGTGATATCTGAAATCATTGCATTTAGTTCAGACACAGAAAGGATTTATTCTCCTGAAAATCATCCACATCAGGGATTTCGTATCCGATATGAACCAATAGAGTGGGGGGACTCAATAGTTAGTGCCACCTTAGAGTTTGTTTGTGAACCAGATGTTAATACAGGTGTAGAGCTTGTATGGCATTCATCGAATGAAAGGAAATTGAATATAAGAATGGTGACAAAAGCGGTTTGTTTAAAAAATGATCAGGATAAGAACCCAAAGGATGACGGCGAATCATGGGGTTGGTTTACATGGATTTTTATCTTTTTGGTATTATTTTTGAGTATCTATATTATTGGCGGTGCCTGGTTTCAGTATAACAAGGGAAATGCTATAGACTTTCAGAGTGCCTTAAAGGAAGTTATTGAAAACTTTTTAGAGTTATTGAGCAGTCTACCAAGCTTCATAAGGGAAATAATTGAAAAGTTTACAAGAAGCGGTAATAGAGGAGAATATAGTGCTGTATAAGGGAGGTAGTGGAACCAAATTGTAAGTAATTGGCATCAATGAACGTATTTGTAATTGTAATTGTACCTCTTTTTTATTCTTTTTGTACTTTTTTTCTTGTCTAGTGTGTCCCCCCCATTATATAGTCAAAAAAATGGGAAAGGTAGCGCATTACGCTTTATCAAAAGTGTTGAAAAGCGATTTATTCATTCATCTATTCTCGATATTAATAAGGAAGAGTATCGTAAATGTCAACAGTTACTGACTTAATTTCGTCTTTAAAACCAGATGAAAAGTTTGTTTCATTTGAGTTCTTCCCCCCGAAAACAGATTCTGGTTTTAGGAACTTGCTAGCACGGCTAAACCGTTTGCTGGCATTCAATCCACTATTCATCACTGTGACATGGGGAGCTGGAGGTTCAACTAGTGAAAAGTCCTTAGATCTTGCAGCAACGTGTCAGAAAAGGATTGGATTGAATACGGTCTTACATTTAACATGTACAAATACTGATAAGGAGGTTATTGACGAAGCATTATCAAAAGCAAAAGAAAGTGGTATTAGAAATATTCTTGCATTGCGGGGAGACCCACCAAGAGCGGAAGAATACTGGACACCCAACTGTGACTTTAATAATGCCGTTGACTTGGTCAAGTACATAAGAGAGCGCTACGGCGACTATTTCTGTATTGGTGTTGCAGCGTACCCTGAAGGACACGTTGATGGTGCAGATACATCTGGGCAGAATCCAAGAAAAGATATCCCGTTTTTGATTGAAAAAGTCAAAGCTGGGGCAGACTTTATGATTACTCAATTGTTCTTTGATGCCGATAAGTTTGTAAGTTTTGAGAAAATGATACAGCAATGTCCGGAGTTGAAGGATGTGCCATTGATACCGGGGCTTATGCCAGTAACAACTTACAAAGTATTCACAAGAGCAACAAAGATGTCGCACGCAACTATACCGAGAAATGTTCTTCATGAGTTTGATGCTATTAAGAATGACGACGACGCAGTCAAGCAGTTGGGCGTCAACTTGATTTGCGATATAATAGATAAATTAGATGAAAATACAAATGTCAAGGGATACCATTTTTACACATTGAATTTGGAAAAGGCAGTGGCGTCAATATTGAACAAATCGGATGTGTTGAGAGGCATATTGGAAGGTCCATCGACCATAAATGAAAACGAAAATGCCATTGCTTCAGACTCTGAGGACGAAGGTCCGAAACACTTTAGAAGGAAGTCCTCCATTAATGAAAGAGCTATACAGGAGTCCTTATCAATCGAGGTTTTGAGGAATAAAAAAACGCTTGTGGATATCAGTAGAGGTAAAGGAGCTTTGGGAAAAGACGCGACTTGGGATGATTTTCCAAATGGTAGATTTGGTGACTCAAATTCTCCCGCTTATGGTGAGATAGACGGGTATGGACCGAATTTGAAGATCCATGATTCAAGTGAAGCCATTACAAAATGGGGCTGCCCCGAGACATTAAAAGAAGTGAGCCAAATTTTCATTGACTATCTTTCGGGGAAAATCGATGTTGTTCCCTGGGCAGATACATCACTCTCGCCTGAGACTGCATTGATCCAGGAAGAATTGTTTGAGCTTAATCAAAAAGGTTGGTTTTCGGTGGCTTCTCAGCCGGCAGTCAATGGTTGCAAGTCTACAGATAACATTTTTGGTTGGGGACCACCAAATGGTATTGTATATCAAAAGTCCTTTGTGGAACTATTCATGCCCTCCCAGGACTGGGAGGAGGTTAAGAAGCACCTTGATGATTCCACAACATACTACGTGGGAGATAAGTCTGGTCGGATTGATCTGAATTTGCCCATTGGCAGGGAATCCAGGAATGCGGTAACCTGGGGCGTGTTCCCTCTGAAAGAAGTTGTACAGCCTACTGTTATAGATTATGAATCTTTCAAAGCGTGGAACGAGGAAGCGTTTTTATTATGGTTGGAATGGGCGAGATGTTACAAGAAGAACTCGAAAACTTTTGAACTTTTAAATTCTATACACGATACCTATGTATTAGTGAGTTTGATACATCATGATTACCAAGAGGAAAGCGCACTATGGGATGAATTGATGCAATAGCAATTAGCAAAACCAAAGTTGTGACTACAACAACAACTGATTGGATAAAATTTCCATTTCACGCGCCGCAACTCCTTCATTTAGCGTTGTCACTAATGCTGCATCCGCTGTATGCGTTTCTTTATATTCGCAATTTTTATGATTTAATAGAAGCACTCCTCTCAGTATCTGTGCACCTTTTTTCACTACAAGTCGACCACCCAACTTTATCGGCATTGGGGTACCAGTGTTTTCGCTTCTGAGAAATCGCAACGGCTCTTGTTCATATGCGTATACAAAATTGCCGGAGCCGTCTCTTAGTAGAAGCTTATACACTGTTGTTGAGCTAGTCGGAGATGCTGTATTGAGTTCCACATCCATATTTACCTCTCTAATCATTCGATTTTTCTTTATTCGATCTACTGAGGCGTTATTTGGATCTACAAGCTCTTTCCATTCATCTAATTGGTTCAACTTTGATTTGCTAATGCTTTCCACCCGCAAAATGTGGAATATAACAGTATTGTTTAATGGCGCCAGCTCAACATCGGCATAATTTGAAGCTACTAGTGACATGATTTGCCTAGATGACAATCATAGGAAACGAAATATATATATATATATATATTTATATATATATTTATATAGGAGAAAAAAAACCTTTCTTTCTCGATTCAATTTCGCAATCAAAACTATATAATCTAACGGGTGGCATAGATTATGTCATTATTTATAGAAGACGACGATGAGCTAAAGGAGGAAAAGACTACTTTATTAGAAGATAGAGTTGATACTACCAAAAACAGCAGTAGAGTTAATGCCGACCCTCACCAGTCTCCGCGAAGTGCGCAGTCCATACCGATTGCTTATCATCAAGATGAGATGATACCTGTATATCCGGATCGTGAAGTCAATTGCGCTTTGCCTTTGAAGTACCAACAGGAGATTGTAGAGGATATGTTAGCCAAAGACACTCTTTTAATTCTAGGACGAGGTTTGGGATGGGAGGTGATAACTGCAAATTTGTTACATGCTCTTAGCTCACCGTTTGTGCAACTTGGCAAAACTCAAAAGAAAAAGAGCTTGATATTTGTTTTAAATGCACGAGAAGAAGAAATGATAAGGTTGAAGGAAGAGTTGAATGATCTCAATTGGATAAACAATAACAAGGAACCTAGTGAATTTGTATCAATTTCCGGAGATTCTCAATCGCCAAAAAGGAAAGCAACTTACTTGCAAGGAGGAATAATTTCGATTTCAGCAAGGGTATTGGTAGTCGATATCCTAACTGGGATGATAGATCCAAATGACATCACTGGGTTGTTTGTGCTACGTGCAGAGCGTATCAGAGAAACTTCCAACGATGCCTTCATCATCAATTTGTTTCGAGATAAGAATAGTTGGGGATTTATAAAAGCATTTTCAGATGAGCCGGAGCTGTTTACTGGATTCACTCCTTTGGCAAGCAGGTTGAAGGTGTTGAGGTTGACTAATGCAATGCTTTGGCCACGGTTTCACGTTACAGTCACACAATCGTTTAATTATCATAAGAAGAAGGACGACTCGAGAAAGTATGTCACAGAGATCAATGTTAAACTCTCAAGTAAGATGAACCGAATCCAAGCTGCTCTATTAACTTGCATACAAGCTTGTATAGGGGAGTTGAAACGACATAATCCAACACTAGCCACTGAGTATTGGGATATGGAAAATGTACATGACCCTGATTTTGTTAGGATAATTCGCTATTCATTGGAATCCCAATGGCATAGATTGACCTTTACTTCTAAGCAATTGATAAACGATCTCACGACATTGGTTGAGTTGTTGAGTGATTTGGTCACGGTTGATTCCGTAACGTTTTATCAAACAATTAAAGGCATTGTAGATGCCAATATTAAACAGCAGTCGGGAGGATTGAACAGATCTATGAGTCCATGGTTGAATTTGGATGAGTCTCAGACAGTGATTAGCTATGCCAAAGATAGAGCAATGGGACATGATAACAATGGGGAATATTATCTAGAGGAGTTACCAAAATGGGACCAGCTAGGTTTATTGATTGATGACATATTGCATGAACAAGCTGTAAATTCGGATACTTCTTCTTATGGACCTATATTGATAATGTGTTCGAGCAAGAAAGTGGCTAAACAATTGCGCAAATTGTTGCTTGTAATGAAGAAGATTGAAGGGGATACCTCCTCCCGTAGCCGATACGACTTTAGGTCATATATGGTTAAAAGATTGCAAGAGTATTTAAGCTGGAAAAGGGTAAATGAATTAGTCAAGAAAATCAATTCCGATTTGAATAATGAGCTGGAGAAATCTCACCAAGAAGTTGGTGAAGGCGCTGAGATAACAATGTCAAAAACGTTTTCGAGAAATGGTCAGCCAATTAGTAAAAGAAGAAGAACTAGAGGTGATTCTATTTCCGCTCGTGTTGAAAGACTTTATTCGCTAGGAAACATAAACGGTGGTGATGGTGATGGTGGTGGTAATGAAGATGGTGATCTAACAAAACAAGAGGAAGAAAGGATTAAACAGCTAGTAGATGCAGATGCAAACGAGGAAGGAAAAGAAGAAGAAGAAGAAGAAGAAGAAGAAGGAGTAGAAGAAGAAGTAGAAAGGGAACACGCTGATACCACTCTAGATGACATTCAAGCTAATTTTCAATTTATTAACAGCGACAGTCAGATAATAATTCAAGTGTACAACGAAACGTACAATGCGTCATTTTTGGAAGAGTTGTCCCCTTCATTCATTATAATGTACCAACCGGACTTATCCTTTATTAGGAGGATTGAGATTTACCAAGCAATAAGCAAGGATAATCCTGCTAAAGTCTACTTCATGTATTATGGAGAATCCGTTGAGGAACAGAAACATCTTCTTCGAATCAAGAAAGAAAAAGAAGCGTTTACAAGATTGATTAAGGAGAAGGCAACCTTGAGTAAGCATTTTGAAACTTCAGATGATAATTATAAGTTTCAGATTCAGCGGAACCAAGTAGTCAATACCAGAATTGCTGGTGGTGCACAATTTCGAACTGAAAATGATGAAATGCGAGTAGTTGTTGATGTAAGAGAGTTTGGGTCATCTTTACCCAATTTGTTATACAGAATTGGAATAAAAGTAATACCATGTATGATCACTATAGGTGATTATATAGTTAGTCCAAGGATTTGCGTTGAGAGGAAGTCGATACCGGATTTGATATCGAGTTTCAAAAGTGGAAGGTTGTACAATCAGTGTGAGCAAATGTTTCGGTATTACGACTTGCCTACTTTGCTTATTGAGTTTGACGAAAATAAATCCTTTTCATTAGAGCCCTTTAGCGAGGCAAAGTTTTTAAAGGCCAAAAGCAGCAGCAGCAGCAGCAGCAGCAGCAATGCCACAACAAGTTCAATAGATCCCAAAATACGACAGAACTTGCAATCGCAAATACTTTCCTTACTATATTCTTTTCCCAAATTGAAAATCATATGGTCTTCATCTCCATATGAAACGGCCCAGATATTTTTGGAACTCAAATCGAACCAGGAGGAGCCAGACGTGGGAATGGCGTTGGATAAAGGCGTCAACCGAAGCGTGGTAACTCAAGATGGCGGCCCGCCAGTGTACAATGATGATCCAATCGATTTTATTCAGAATATCCCAGGCATAAATAGTATGAATTACTATTCTGTCATTCAGAAAGTAAGGAACATTGAGGAATTGGTTAAATTGTCGGTAGAGGATTTTACATCTATTTTAGGAAATGAAAATGGTCGAAAGGCGTTTAATTTTATAAATCGCCAATATGGATAAGACTTGGGGGGAATGGTGAAGGTCGTGGTGGTTGAAAAGGTTGTTGAAGAGGGAGTGATTTTATCACTTAACATTTGTTAGCAGCTTGCAGCAGCTAACACTTTACCAATAAATTTAGACTATTTATTTCGCTACCATTTCTTTTTTGCTTTCTTTTTTTTTTGCGGCCATTTCTTTTTTTGTTTACATATTAGCCAGATTTGATGTAGGTCGCAAAATGTAGATCAAATCAGATCAATTCCACCAATAGCTCGATTTTAGAATTGGAAAAACCTTGACTCAATGAGAGTTCTGACTTGAAAGAAGCTTTCCATTAACTCAGAATAATGTTGAGGTATAGAGATGTTAGTAGCGGTCAACAATCCATACGAAATGATTTCAAAACACACTATTTCAAAATTCAACAATTGATCAACTCCAGGGTCCATCTAAGTTTGAAATATGACCAGCTCAAATCTCCCGAAATACATTCAACTTTGATCCTGCCTATCACTCAGAATATTATACTGATTGCGGAGTCGTTTCAGCCTGAGTTGAAAGTATGCACACACATTATTTTCATACTTTTGCTAATTCGATACGAATATTTAGTTCAACTGGAGAATAACTTGATATGTTTTGATTTACTAATAAGTAAAGCAACAGTGTGTGAGATATTGGCAATAAGAATGTTGCGTGAGTACAAGTCTTGTCAAAGGGTGCAAATGTTGTTTGTGAAAAGTCCGCATTCTATAAAGATTAATTCATCTGAGGTGGCGATAAATACGTTGGAGCTATGTGTACTATCGAAGCTGAAAAACTTTTTGTCTCAGCCTATTATTGTACGAATTTTGAATCGATTTTACAAAGGCGAACTCATTCAAAGTGATATATCGGAAAAAGACAAAAGTAGCAGTAATAGTAATATTGATGATGATGAGGAAAAAATGCTACTAAATGCTGAGATCATGAAGTACAAATTCAATAAAGTATCGATCAATCGTATACTACGACGAGCCAATACAGTTCCGAAATATCAGAATCTAGTCATCAACTTGAAACTAATTGTGTTTGCAGTTTTATACTTTATATTAATTTTCAAACCGATTAGTAGTTTACCAGAGTTGGCATTTTGGTTGATGAGTTTGAGTCTCAACATTGAAGTTTTTTCAAAGATTCTAAGTATTGACTCTAGGTTCTTGAAATTGGTGATATGGAACTATATCGACGTGGGACTAGTGGTAATGCTTGACTTTTGCTTCATATTGAAAATCTTTGGCTTCCGCTCATATTACAATGATTTCTTCAGTTTGATCGGTATAGTTTTATTCCCCAGGATACTATCAGTGTTTAATAACTACAAGTTCTTTAATTTGATTGTTACATCATTTAATAAGATGATTTGGAATTTGGTTGGGTTGATATTGTTTTTCTTTACATTGATAAGTGGATTTTACTTTAGTTTTATTGCACTTAGCTATGATCAAACCAGCGGTGATATTTTGTTCAATATGGTCAAGATATTCTTTGGTTTTACACCTTCTGTATGGAACAATTGGGAGAAATTTAATACTTTGGGTAAGATTATGCAAATGTTTTACTTGTTCTTAATCCAATTTATTGTGGGTACAATATTGGCTATTTGTTTGAGTGGAATTTTCAACAAAGCAAGAGAGAACATCGAGCAAGAATTCAACTATACAAAGCTGAAAAATCTAGTTCTTTACTTTAAAATGGCAGTTTTGAATCAAAGACAGGATGTGTTAAATTATTTTTTGCAAATTTTCAAGATTCCCATAATCCTATTAATACTTGGGCACGAAATACTCGTTTCCAAATTAGGTGTCAAGGATAAGTCTAATGTTGATTTGAGGAATTTCGTCTTTTTCACAAATGAAGAGCAGCCCGAAACTGATGAAATAAGGATGTATAAAAGAGGTCAGAAATTAGTGAAGCCTCATCAATCGTTGAGTACACTCGGTGGAGGTCATTTGAGAACAGCTTCAACCGACTCGTTTTTTATTGATCAGCTTTTAAATCGAAAATATGGGGGGAGAAAAACGTATGGTAACACTGGTGAAGCTGTTACTCGGATATTGTCAAAGAGGGCGCGACAAACGCAAAGTCTGCTGTTACAATTGCAACAGCCGTTCAGTATACCGCAGCAGCCACCACAGCAGATACCGCAGCAACAGCCATTTAGTATACCGCAGCAGCAGCCTCCTCCTCCTCCTCCTGCACGTCGACAGTCAATATACCAACAAGCTTTTTCATTTACCCCACAGTCGCTCTTAGCTACGTCACCTAACCAGAATGAGGAGATACTTTCAAGGTTATCAATTTTGGAAAATGTATTACTAAAGAATAGGGCTTCTATGAGCAAACTGCTTGGAATATATGATATCCAAGAGAATGTGGATGAAGGCCCCTTGAACCGTGAAAGAGAAGAAGATAGTTTCCTGATCAGCTCGGAAGTAGATACAAGTGTAGGGAACTTAGATGATACACTTCCAATCAAGATTGATACATTAATTGAAACGCAACTCGATCAGTATGATAGTGACGATACCTTCTAATAGAGTATCTCCGACACTAGGGAGCGACAGTATATTGCAACACTTGGTAGCTTGTTACAACACTATCTTATTCTGCTCAATAGTGGAGCATACATGAAACTTCCTTCAATACACGCGAGAGAAGTAGAGATGTTATTAAGCAGAGGGCAAATGTCAGGGAGAGCGAGTACAGAAATTGTAACCATCTATAGACCATTATTATAATATGAAAAACCTTTTACTCTGATTACCTCTAATCGCATATTTTCAACCCCCCAACTATAAAATTACAAGGGCAACTACCATATTGAAAATGAGTAATCTGGATTACTCATTTTCTCATTGGTCAAACACTTACTTTTTTTTTTTTTTTCTGAGTCGGTTATTAAATCCGATTGTGAAACTAATTAAAGTAAAAAAACACCGCAGTGCTTACCCAATTGAGTAATAAAAAAAATACTATTACAACAAATCACACTACATAAAAAGAAAGAGAGGAGAAAACTAACATCTAATCAGATTACTGCAATTTACAATCATACATAATAAAAAAATCGTATAATCTCCAAGTATTAGAGGTTTTAATACAAACAACAACACCAATACTAATATCAATATCAACTAACTACCACTGCTACTGCTACTACTACTACTACTACTACTACTACTACTACTACTACTCCTGTTGCTGCTGCTATGGCCATCACCTCATTGTAGCTTTTCCTGACTCAGAACTCTGCTTTTAACCCACAACTGGGCTCATCTTTGTTAATCTCAATTTTAATTGAACAAAAGGAAAAAAAAAAAAAAAAAAAAAAAAAAATAAAAAAAAAAAAAAAAAAAAAAAAAAAAAAAAAAAAAAAAAAGAAAAAAAAGAAAAAAAAGTACAGTAAGAAATCACACTCAGACAAATAAAGTCTTTTAAATATTGTTGATTTTTCACATCAAGTAACTGACACCTTTTACTCGTAGACATCTTATTTCGATACCATATCCCGACACCATATCCCCGCTATATAGATACATGGACGCATCGTTGTCACTACACCTCGAGAAATAAAGAAAAACCAAAGAAGCCTCCGATACAAGTAACCTCCTACACAAGTAACCTCCTACACAAGTAACCTCCTACACAAGTAACCTACTATACAAGTAACCGCCTACACAAGTAACCTCCTACACAAGTAACCTCCTACACAAGTAACCTACTATACAAGTACCTACATTTTATAAAGAAAAAATTTTTTCACCAATGCCACACAATACTATGCCCATAGACCAACCAACTACTTCCTTAAGTCATATACAAATAGGCGGAAGGAAGTCCAAATTGGCTGTTGTTCAATCCGAATTAGTTAAACAAGCAATAGAAGAAGTTTTTCCCGACTTGTCTTGCTCAATCTTGGCGTTGAGCACTTTGGGTGATAAAGTACAAACACAACCTTTATATACTTTTGGCGGTAAGAGTCTTTGGACCAAGGAGTTGGAAATTTTGTTGATTGAAGGTATCGACGAATTCCCAAAACTAGATCTTATAGTGCACTCGTTAAAGGATATGCCTACGCATTTACCAGAGGAATTTGAACTAGGCTGTATATTTCAAAGGGAAGATCCAAGAGACGCAATTGTTATGAAACTGAATAGCCCTTACAAATATTTGAAAGATTTACCCCCAGGGTCTATAGTTGGCACATCATCAATAAGAAGATCAAGCCAGCTTATACGGAAGTATCCTCACTTGAAATTCGAAAGTGTTCGAGGTAATATACAAACAAGGTTAAGAAAACTCGACGATCCTGAAAACGAATATTGTTGTCTCATTTTAGCCAGTGCGGGCTTGGTACGTTTAGGGTTGGGTGATAGAATTACTTCGTGCTTGGACGAAGTATACTATGCCGTGGGACAAGGAGCTTTAGGAATAGAGATTAAAAAGAATGATCATAAGATAAAGGAGATTTTGAAATACATTGAAGATCCAGTAGCGACAAAATGCTGTTTAGCTGAACGTTCATTGATGCGGTACCTTGAAGGTGGCTGTTCGGTACCCTTGGGTGTGCATTCGGATTATAATGAATTCACACAAGAATTGACCTTAAAGGGGATAATTGTAAGTCCAGATGGAACAAAATCAATAGAAGGTATGACGACAAGGAAAATAACAACAAATGAGGATTGTGAGTTAATTGGTATTGAATTGGGTGATATTTTGAAAGTCAAGGGAGCTCAAGAGATTTTAGACAAGATTGACATGACAAGAAATATCAATGCCAAACCAACAGAAGTATGATTTATATATAGACAGTTTTTCTTTTTTTTTGCATTATTTTGAATGAAGAAAAATAAAGGAGATTACAAAACGGAAAAGGAAAAAGAAAAAGAAAAAAAAAAAAACGGTGTGAAAAAAGTTAGCTATTCATCTACACTTTGCACACTCTGTTGTTTGTTTTCTTCGTATTTCTCATAAAAATGGAACATTTCGAACCCAACTTCGATCATAATCAACAATATGATGATCCATTCTAAACGTGTTGATTTCTTTTCGTTCAAAACACTAAGGAAAGCTCTTTGTTCTTCTGTAGCATAGTCCAATTTCCTATTCATTATTGCAATTCTCGAGTTTATATCTAAAATTTTTGAAACAGAATTGTAAATTTTTTCCAAAAAAGGTTCGGTCCAGTATAGATCCGGAGTATCAATCAATTCTGAGTACAAGTTTAATTTCCCTCGAAGTTGGTATAACTTTCCTGTGATCTTGAGAAACTCATGCTCAGTAGTAATTAGCCGTTTCCCATTAGCTAATCTATCCGAGTTTTGTTTTGTCAACTCTAAAAACCCGTCCAACTGAGTTTCCAATATGGATAACCTGGTTGACCGACTCAACCCAATTGCAAAAGCAGCCATATCTAATAGTCTTTCCTTTTCGGTCAACCCTTGTACTACCAAGATTTCTCCATGTAAATAACTATTACCATTGTTCAAAGGACGATCGGAAACCTCTTTTAATTCAATCCAATCTATTTCCTCACTTTCAAAAACGTCAAATTGAGATTCAATTGAATTTTTCAACTGGGGCAAAAAATTGGAAACAATATCTTCCTCAGTCATATTCCAACCAACTAATGTCCCGTTCGATAGTATCATCAAATTGCTTCCTGTAGTTTTTACACTCAATACTTCCTCTGGTATAATTACTTGGTGATCATATGAATCAATTGCGCAAAGAGCCTTCTCTAAATTGATAGCACCACCAACAGTCACTGATGTTACAATTGACAAATGTTTCTCCAATATCTTTGATGGACTATTTTCCGCTCGATTTTCGTTCAAAAGGGAAACGATATAGCTTGTTGATTCATGTTGAAGTTTCGAATCGGTTCTACGTAGATTTTGAGCACCTATTTTTTTCTTTGGGATATTCTTACGTATTTTTGTTGCACTGCTAGTTGTGTTTAGTCGAATAGATTTAAGTAATAGATTACGATTCAAACATCGGCGTATCAATGTGCATTGAAAAATCTGGAACATTGTGCTCGATGTTGTGTGTTTTGAAAAAAATTAGTGAGTAATTGGATAGGATTTAATATGAAACTATTTTTTGTTTTCTGAGGTGGGTCCTGGCCTCGCGAAGGAGGAATGAAAATTGGTGATTTTTCACCAAACTCAATGCGATTTGAAATAGACATTGTTGATATTAAAAGGAAACACTGTGTACTCTCAAAAAGAAGAGGGAAAAAAAACAAAACACAAGGGGTATAATCTCATTCCATTTATCTCCGCTGACATGAGCTAGCTTCTCCATTTATAGCATTGGAACCGATATCTCCCTTGAAACCAAGCTCTTTTTTTGAAACCAAGTCTTTTTTTGAAACCAAGTCTTTTTTTGAAACCAAGTCTTCCTCACTATGAGCTGTTCGTTCCCAAATCTCACCAAATATGTTTTCTTTCGGATGTGTGAGTATTATATTATACCCTTATGACCCCAGCTTTTGAAACAGGAGCACACCTAAAGAAGTGGAGCAAGCCTGAGAAAGGGTCTTCAATATTGTCTTGACAGAATAATCATAAACCATGTTTCTGTCAAGGAATTGGTTCCGTGGTCTAGTCGGTTATGGCATATGCTTAACACGCATAACGTCCCCAGTTCGATCCTGGGCGGAATCATTTTTTTGGTATTTTTTGGTATTTTTTTTATTTTTCAACTAAACAAGAGAACAGTTTTGTTTTTGTTCTTTTTATTCTTGTAGAGGCAACATGTTACCGCCAATGTTGATGTAACGCTTTTCTTTCTACGTCTTCGTCTATAAGTAAGATTCTTAACAATGGGGTTTGGTCTGTCTTTGTTTTGGTGGTGTAGGAGATAGATCTTATTTTCCATTTTCTAGTTGTAACACTTTTATTGCAAAATGGAACGAAAAATAATGAAAAAAAAACCTTTGTTGAAATGAATGTCATTGTAAATTTTCAATGACTGGTTTCTTACACCTTTTTTTTTTTTTTTTCGCAACCATCTACATTACTTTCCAATCCAATTTTGTGGGAACGATTTGCACTTGGACAATTCAATATCTATATTGTAGCAGTTTGTAAATATTAAGTATTCAATTATATACATTTCTAAACAAGGAATAAAAAGAACAGAGCCATAAGGAAACAAAATGTGAATAAAAGAAGGAATAAAACAGTTGCTATTCACAATTGAGAAATTTTAACCAAGGATATACATAGTAAAATAACTTGTATTTTTTTCTTTTCTGACAGGACTTCCCTATTATGGGGAGCTGATATCTGATTTCTGTCTCTAGGTACAATGTCTCGTCCAGTGGGATAAATTGACAGTGTTGCAATGATTAGGTCTGATCATGCTGGATGTGACTTATAGGATATGACCTACTGTCGGATCTAACCATTCCGGATATGTCTGACCCCTTTTTAAAACAATCAATATTCCAAATTGGAGTTTGGATGAAGAACAAGAGATTGTCCATATCTGGGATAAGATTAGATAAGAAAATATCCAAAGGGGAAATTCATTTTTCCTATAATCATTTTTGTCCTGTTATAATAGCGAAATAGAAACAAGCACAGATCGTGCAGCACGTCATAAAAGAGTGTCAACCTTGTTATACGATTTTTTCGGGAATAAGTTCATTATAGTTCTTTGACAGGAAGGAAAAAAAGGATTAGAAAATAATTAGCAAATAATGCATTGGTCACTATTGGGTATTATGAATACTTGCTTTTTTTTGTTGAATTTCATTGAAAGTACCACGGCAGGCTACCTTACACGAGAGAGAAATAGAAAGAGAAAAAGAGCGAGAGAGTGAGAGAGTGAGAGAGTGAGAGAGTGAGAGAGTGAGAGAGTGAGAGAGAGAGAGAGAGAGAGAGAAGGGGTGTTGTAGTAATACAAATTGCTATGTCTTAGCACGGCATTCGAATGCCTTCATGTACGTCAAAATCAGAAATCCCCTATAAAACCCTTATATATGTATTCAAAACTGTGTATAGAAAACACACATCTCAATTTCACGTGCTTGGACAATTTAAAACTGAATTTCAGCATCAACTTACAGAATAATTTACCTTTTTGGAGTAGAAAGAGGTCACAAAAGGTTTGATTGCATCAAACTAAATTGATTTCCTCCTTCTTCCCCCTCGAGCTCTAAAAACTCGATTAGTGTGGTAATTTTATTTGGGCAAAAGCGCATCAAATTCGCGTTTTCCATTATTATCATCTTGAGGCATTTTCAGTAAAAAAAAAAAAAAAAAAAAAATTGTGATAATGAAAAATAATATTTGCAATCGGTAACAAAATCTTCCACCATAAGAAGTAAAAGCTCTTCTTCTTATTTCTTGTGTCTCATATCTTACAATCTTACAATTCTGGTGGTTTAATGAGCGGCGGTTTCAACTGGAGTCTTGATTTTGAAGTAAGGATAAACTAATTGGTGAGCAGGTATCATTAGTCTCATTGAATTTGACTATCTCGTTGAAGGAGCAATAGGGAAATTTTGTCTCATGAAAAGTCATATGTAAAAATTTGATAGAAAGCCTGTAAAACTGTGGTGTAAATAGATTAAGGGAGGTGAGAAGAAGAAAAAGAAGGAGGAGGAGGCGGGCGTAAAGAAAACAGCTTAAAGGATTCTATTTTGCAAATTAATGAGCCGAATCAGTTGGGTGAAATTGGATAAAAACTTGACTAGTGTCAAAAAAAGTGTTTTTTTTTTTCCGCTGCACAATAAAATTTTGACATTGAACGGCACCAAAAAATGGAGGACCGAAACCTCCATACATTGTTTCACACACATACACAATCAATATACATACATACATAGTTTGTTCTTGTTTTAGATGCGGCAGTAATTAATTTTGGTTTGTTTCATTAGTGGGGTGAAAATTGATAGATAACAGAAACAGATGTCTGTACAAAAACAGTGGTGGTGCTCTTCTTTTACTTCTCCTATATATATGGCCACTATCTTAGTGTTTTTTTTTTTTTTTATTTTTTATTTTTTATTTTTTATTTTTTATTTTTTTTTCCTTTTTTTCCATCTCACCAATTCCGAATAGAACAGTTTTGATCTTGGAACCCTTCAAAACAAGGTTGGTACTACTAAACAGAGCAATTTATTTGATACATATATGGATATACATACATACATATAAGAAGCCGTCTACCGTTTAACTTTAGCTTATATATATATATATATATATATATATTCTTTTTTCTCACAACTTTCACCTATCCTCTGGGCATACAAATCATTGATCAGAATCAGACTTGATTCATTTCACACCGACCTCAACAACAACAATAATACTAATAACAACAACAACGCAATACATATGCATACTTCCTTAAGGTTACAACAGAGTATCACCTGAACATTGAAAATTTCAAAGGTCGACTCTAGATAAATAAATAAAATTTGGCAATCACGATACTTAAGTAGTCACGACATTTAGATATTAGATATTTCGTTACGACACTGGACATTACGACACTTTTATAATGTTTCTACTATCACTTGGACTAATCCAAGACATACATCAAATTCAATCGACTGGATTATATACAATCAAACCAATCAATGATCAAAGTTCAGTAGGAACTACTGCAAGCTCAATTTACGAACCATTCACTTCTATTAGTATTCTTAAACAACAATTTAACGTTTATAAATTCATTAATCGTTTAATCTATGGAACCAAAAGATTCAACGAATTGTTCCCTCATATTGACAATTTTCTGGTGATAAATAATCAAGGTAAAAACAGTGCTACCAAACGTACATCATTTCCTCAGAATTGTGCAGTTGATGACTTGGATTTGAGGTTCGATGGAGATTCTTCAAATCAAATACAAGTTTTTGATCACGATAATTTAGTTGGTGACTTTGTTGGTGGTGGTGGTGGTGGTAGTGGTAATCACTACAGCAGTCATAACTTATTCCCACCGTTGGATAAGAATGACTTCTATGAAGATCTACACATCCTAAACATTTCCCAGCAGCAGAACTATTTGCCAATAAACAACTCATCGTTGAATAACACTTTACCATTATTCGATGATTTCTTTGAAGCACATCAACATCACCAATTTCTCAATAACAAGGCCATGGATTCTGCAATTAACTATACTTTTAATGAACATATATTTGAAAAAAAAATCATTGCTAGAGCTAAAGCAATGAGTAATATGAACTTATTTGACATAATGCATAAATCAACAATAAGCTTTCAAAGGGCTCGCAATCTGACAAATACAAATTCTTACTACCTAGATGAAGAGCCACAATCTTCACCACCCACACAAGCACAAGCACAAGCACAAGCACAAGCACAAGCATCACAATCACGTTTACTGCCTCTTTATTTTAGTGATTTTGTACAAGGAGTTCGTGCAGTGGACATTCCACCCAGAGTCGAACACCAAGAACAACAAAGTAATGGTGATTTTGCTAGTTATTCCGGCTCATCAATATCATCCAATGATAGTTTTCTTAGTCCTTTGGATGATGAAATTTCCCGTGAGTATCATAAATCATCTCCAGAATCGTCGATTATGGGAAGCAGTATTCCACAAACAGATCAAGATTTACTTGGATCAAAACTTTCAAGAAAAAGGAGACATGAATTTGATTTGGAAAAACGATTATCACATAATGACTCAGATGTTCCCGTTTCCCCGACAACAACAACAGTAACAGCAACAGCAACAAATGTTCACAAAAATGCTAAACTTTTGGAAAAAAAACCAACTTATAAAAAAACAAAAGCCTGTAAACTAAACTTCCATAACAAACACAAAGAAAGCGATGTTCCGTTGATAACCACAACTAAAACAAACAATACAACGGTACGGAAACTTTCATACACCACAAAGAATGGTACGATAAACCATACATTTGAATGTCCACATTGTGAAGCGAATTTCAAAGTCAAGGGCTATCTAACACGTCATTTGAAAAAACACTCTGTAGCGAAAGCATTTATGTGTCCCTTTTATCAAGAGAATGGAAAACTAGGAACAAAATGTCACCCCACGGGTGGGTTTAGTCGAAGAGACACATTTAAGACGCATTTGAAAGCACTTCATTTCATATATCCACCAGGTACAAAATCAAGTGAGCGAAACAGATTTAGTGGACGATGTGCTGGATGTTTTCAATTTTTTGAGAATAATTTACAATGGTTGGAAATGCACATTGAATCTGGTGAGTGTCAAGGAACAGTACAGGTGAAGGAAAAGCTAAGTTTACAACTATTTGAAAGTGGTGGTTGTGCAAGTATTGATATAGGATTGGATGCAGACAGTGAGCACGATGACGAAGATGATATGGAGGATTCATTTCAAGATGATAGTGATGATGATGATGGTGATGATGATGATGATGATAACAATAATGAGGAAGAGGAGAAGAAAGGGGTAGAAGGGAGGGAGGAGAAGAAGAAAAAGAAGGTATAAGAGATAAAAGAGACAAAGGTGCTGCGTTATACATTGCAGTATATCGAAGAAGGAAGTGCCTGATGAAATGGAAAGGAAAAAAGCATTATAGATAGGAGCTGGACTTGACTGTTCTTATATTTTCACTTAATTATAAGAGTGCTTTTTCAGGCATTGTTGTGAATACTTTGTTAATGTAATAATAATAATAATAATAATAGTAATAATAATTAGAATAAAAAGGATGTATTTCGAAAAAACTGCACCTCTGGTTTTATGTTTTACTTCAAAGTTTTTTTTGAAAATTATTTTGAGTTTGAGTTTGAATGGTGGCTGCATAGTGAAAACGGAAAAGGTACCTTTGGAGCTGCTACTACCGTTGTCACTCTCATTGAAGATGCTATGAAAGAAGAGACAGCAAACAGAAATATTGCTCCCAGAATGATGGGGAATTTTTTTTTTTTTTTTCCCAATACAAATTTGCTCTATAAATGGCACAAAAACATTTTGCAACATTTGCAATTTTGCAGCCAATTTTCTTATCAATAAATTTTTTGATGTAAGAGCAAAGTTGGCTCTTACCACATTGAACCCGATTTTAATACAAATAGAAAAGCTTTAGACTAAAGTAAAATAATTCAGAAGTAATATACTAGTGAAAATAGTACAGAAATTCCTTTTGTCCTGTTTACATTTTAATACAACGGTAAATATCTACTTATGGAAGGTAGTTATATTCTTGAGTGTGACAGTTGCTACGCCCCCGAAAGCCGCCTAATATATATATATATAGTGTATGTTTACTTATACGTGATAAAAGTCAAGTAATAAAGTTTTACATTCATTTAGCTTACAGCAACTCGAATTCAGAAAAAAATAAATAATACATCGATATTAACGAGAATGGAAGATTCATGTTGGAAAAATCTACAAGTAAACCACTAAAATGCCATTTTCTTTATTAGAAACAATAATATTATTGAAAGTCGTAGTAGAATTTTTTAAAAAAAAAATAAAATTGAAAAAAAAAAAAAGAAAAAAAAAGAACCAAGTTTCAAATGAGAGAATATGATTGCTCTATATTATTTGTCAAGCAGGGCCAGAAGAACAAAAAAGTTAAAAGAATACTGTAAAATACAACGTTTATAAGTTTCCAGGTTTCAACTCTTTTTCAATACTTTTGTATACACTTTATAGGCTTAAAACAAATCATGGGTTATCCATCGAATTTTAAAGTTGTCACAAGATTATTAACCGAGAACACCTTGCTTGCCTCATCGGCATTTACTAGATTTGACAAGGTCAATTTTGGGAACAGAATGGCTGTGTTTAAAATCATTTCAACTACTGATTCTTTGCCTAAAATTATCCTATGGAGTCCCTTGCCTTATACACCTCAAGTTATTGACATTTTGAAAAATTTTACAGGGGTTTCAACGGAAGCAGATTTGCAAGTCAATTATGTCATTGTGCCTGATAGAGAACATAATTTAGCAGCTGGTGTTTACAAAGAGAAATTTCCACTTGCCAAGATCATTGGGCCTGAAAACACACAGAATATACCATTGGATATAGAATTTACAAAGGAACTAGGTCATAAAGTGATTCTGGGGACAGCTTTGAAACAATTGGTTGATGATGATTTGATCGTGGAAAATTTCGATTTTGTTTATTTACCATATCATGCTAATTCAGAATTGGTGGTGTACCACAAACCAAGCAAAACATTGTTTGAGGCAGATTTACTTTTCAATCTCGGTGTTGATGGAAAATTGGAACAGTTTTCACCAGAAACTGGGTATCCGGAAAATTTCAACCCACACCAAGGTTGGTCATTTGCGACAAGATATTTGCAGCCCAATTCAAAAGTTGGGAAATTTTTATTCAATAGACTTGTCAATAGAGCAAAAAGTCAACCTGGATTAAATGCTATTAACACTTTGGATTTCAAAAATATAGTAATGTGTCATGGTAACATAATTACAGAGAATGCTAAGCAAGCTTTTGAAAACGTGTTTATTAAATGACGTAATCACGTGACTCTAAATAGCCTTGTGCTTATCTGTATGTACCAAAGACTAATCAATGCCGATTAGTTGGTAATCATTTACTAACTACTCATTTTTCTTTTTTTGTTTTTAATAACCCCGCAACATTTAATCCCTCATGATGAGAACTAACTAAGATTGCTTTGAAATTGAGGAGAAGGAGAGGAGAGGAGAGGAGGGGAGAAGGAGAAGAAGAAGGAAAGGGAAGGAAAGGCGATTGCTGCCCACCTTTTGGATGTAATCTTTGTTCAATATATATATATATCAGTATATAGCATAAGAGGTCCCAGGTTCCAAAGAGAAAAAACGATCTTTTTTTTATTTTGCCACTCTATTCTTTGATAGATTTTGTTTGGAAAAATGCCTGATTTGTTTGATAATTTGTTCACCAATATCGGTGCAAAATTTAATGGTGGGACCACAAAGCGTCGTTATTCTGGTGCTAAGCAAGTCAATACCGGGAAATTTTATAGCTACCATAATACTCCAAGTAATAATAATTACTGGCTTCCTAGAAAAGGTTCTACATCACTGGAGATTGAAACGGCTGACTCTAAACTTGAGGTCAATTCCGACCCTGGGATTGATGAAAAGCCATAGTTAATCCAGAGTAAGATTATGGAGAAGGATAATTTCTAGATTAATATTTTGAATAGTTTTATCGTAGAATTTAAAAAAAATACACAAAAAATGTATAAAGTTGCAAAAGTGTAGATATAAGAAATCGTTGAATCGTTGACTTTTGAGTTCATGAGTTTGCTTAGTGATGCAACAAACCAAGCAGCATCAGTAAGGGATGAACCAATGTTTTTAACAAGTAGGTTCTTTCCAACAATAATTAGACAATGTCAAACTATTAGTTTTGTATTTGTCAACACCAGAACCCGACAATTTTGATGTTCTCTTTGATTTCTTGAAACTACTCTTGTCAACAGTGAGGGTAAACTTCTTTTCAAAAATGTCTGTCCAGCCGCACTTCTCATCTTTGACATCGTACTCAACTCCAAAATTATCTGGCAAACAGTGGTAGCCGTCATGCTGACTTGGTAAAACAACTACAGAACTTTCAAAATCAAATGGGTTGTCGAAGTTGAATGCTGCCTTATCACCATGAATCTTGACTGATTTCATATATGATGAGTCTAAGGACACACAAGAAACATCAACCTTGGACTTATCCACGTATGACAATAATGAACTAGGGTTGTATTGTGTTTTACAGCCGAAGGTGATCTTGAAGTGTTTGTCATCGACCTTTTCAACTTTTGAAACAGTGAAACTGACCTTTGGGTAGTATTTGGTTTTCGACGATGTCCTTTTATCTAAAGCGCTTTCACCAGCAAGTTCTTCCCTCAAGGAAAGACCAACACCGACACCAGCATTAACACCAACACCAGCACTAACACCGACACCGGCACCAGCACCGGCACTTACACCAGCATTAACACCTACTCCAGCATTAACACCAGCACTAACACCAGCACCGGCACTTACACCAGCACCAGCACTTACACCAGCATTAACACCAGCACCAACACCAGCACCGGCACTTACACCAGCACCAGCACTTACACCAGCATCGACACCAGCGCTGACTCCAACACTTACACTTGCTCCAATATTGGCAGCGGGGACTACCAGGTAAGGAACAGCAGTGCCGTGGCAAGTATATGCTTTTGGAACTAAGCCAAAGGAAGATGTAAAATCGTAATATTTACCTTTTGGGACAGCAGTGGCATCAGCAGCACCAAACAAAGCTAAAGAAAGAGTCAATAAATATGAGGGATACATTGTAAGAACGAATAGTAGATATAGAACCATGTACAAACTTTTTCTTTGATGAGAAACATGAGGGTACTTATATTCCAATTCCTGAGTATCTTCCTTCTTCTTCTCCTCCTCCTTCCTCTCTCCCTTTCCCACCAAAAGTATTCATCAAAATGAAAATAACCAAAATGTATGGAAATGAAAATAAAAGTAACAATATCTTTGCAAACCAAAAAATAAATAAGGTTTCCCAAGCGTTGATCTTCTTTTAATGAAATTTCCATACAGTTCCCTTTTTTCAATGTTTTTTTTTTTCTTCGAAAACATTATCCAACTTGAAGGTATATTATTTCACTTGTGTAACTCAACTTGAAAAATGGTATTTCTTTGCTTCATACCCCAATTCAAAAGGGGTATTATCTTCATTATCTCTCTCCCCCCCCATTATACTTTTTTTTTCTAAAAATAGCATACCCCGGTCTTTTTTTTTTTACAATGTGGTTTGAGGTTACTGATTTAAAATGCTCAGTACTCTTGTTGTTGGCCAATTTCTAATTTAACCTTTCGCAAAGTATTCTTGACTTCCCCCTAATGTTCTGCTTTGCAAGCTTGTTTGAGAAACTTGAATGTGGTTACTTATTATCCACATAATATTATATTGTTGGAAAAGAAGTTTAGTTCATGAATAGCATAGCATGTACCAAACAAGGGGTTTCAATGAACTAATCTGGTGCCCATTATGTAATTTGAAAAGAGCCAAAAAAAACTGAAATCAAGAAGTTAGAATTGCAAAAATATCTAAAATTTTTCTTTTATTGGACCCTTCAACTTTAAATGCGCAAGGGACCATTGGGAAACGCCTAAGGGGAACAGGAAACAAGGAGACAAGGAGGGAGGAGGAGGAGGAGGGGAAGGGGCAGGGGGATAGAGGACAGAAACAGGGACATGGAGGGAGAGTGTTAGAGGAGAAGAGAAGGAGGCAGGAGATTAGAGGACAAGAGATATAGAAATATGGAACCAATATTGTCTCGTAAAGTAGTAGAGATACGGCATTGTGTAGAGCTAGGTAAAGGTGCATACACATATAGAGACCTACGAAAAATGCTATTGAAACAATAAAAAGTTCTGACCAAATTATGTTGTTTATCGTACACAGGGTTGTAAAAAAAATCCATTAAGTCAAGCTTTGAACAAATAATCTTACTTATTTAATGTAGCATTTTTTTTTTTGTATTTTTGAAAATCCGGCTTGTAAGATTATGAACCAAAAAATAAAAAAGAAAAAAATAAAGTTTAATCAATGGAATAATCTTTATACCTGGGGTAAAAAAAAGAAAACAAAAAGACAAGAACCATTTGGCGCTTTTAATATGTAACCAAAGCAATACATGAAATCTTGTCAAGGGGGATTGTTATTTGCAATACTATGCTTTACAATACTCTTTTTAATTTGGTTTTGAATTATTTTCAAGGGTTTACATAATTGATATCTGATCAAACAAAGGTACGACTTGGCACGACATAGAGCCCTGGCTTTCTCGATGCGACATAAATCGAAACTAAGATATAGGTATGGCACATACTACATACTACTTAACACACAATACATACTACATATTACATATTGCATATTACACAGTAAAAAAAAAGTCAAACTCGAGCCCAATGTGGATTGATTCAGACTATATTCAGCACAGCGGATAAAAGTTTAGATAGATTCTAAATTTAGTTTTACAAAATCAATAAGCTTTTCTCGAGTCTTAAACTAGAGACTTTTCTACACCTTGAAGTAACCTGAAAAAATGCATGAAAAACCTTCTCCGCAAGCTTAATCTTCTACTCAACAAAAGACCGTTTTTTTTGTTTTTTTTTTCGTATATCTCATTATTGCATATCACTTGTACTTTACAAGGAAAGACGGATTTTCTACCTCTAATCATCCGATACTAAAAGTAATTTTGGTGATGCCAATTACACCCTAAAAATTGTTTTTATTACGAGTTATACTTTTCAGCACTGTTTCAAAAGGTTTTCAAACCAGGATTTTATGATCAAGCTGCTTTATTCTTGTGCTAAAAATCCATATCCTCTGATCGATATATTTTGTTCATGGGAACAATGTTTGTTTTTCAACAAAGACAACAAAGAAATAGAGTGATTATTTAGATACCTCCCTAATCAGAATCTCGTCTCGATTTTGAAACAGAGACCTCAAACTAATATTCTTGTTTTTTTATTTCTTCAAGTTGTTGAGATCTAGGTATTAAATTGATCACACAAGATAATTTGTGTCTCATGATATCTATCTTTAGCACGCTCTATTTCTGTCTCATGGTATCTATCTTTAGCTCAATAAATAAACTTTTTTCATCCATAAGTGCAACAAAACTTTAAAAGATGCAAAAAAAAAATATATAGGGGGCAGCAGACAAGATGAAAAAAATGTGGAGCTTGCAAATTCAAACCAAAGTAACTAATTAACCTAAGTGTCACATTTAACACATTCAACACCTTCGATACATTTTCCCTTTTTTCTTCTTCTTTTTTTTTTCTTCTTTAATTCCTGTTGATCGTCGCCAAAATTGAGAAAAAGGACTTGATGATGGTATCGAATTAATAAATTTGCCATTTTTTCTTGAATCTAGACCAAATTCGTGAATATTGCGCGCGCAATTAGACTCTAATGATTTTTGATAAAACTGCGCGGTTCGAGAGTTCAGCCTCAAAGAATGGTAATGATTTTTGAATTGAGACAAACACAGTCTCAATATTACTATGTAACGAGTACCGAGTATTGGGGCAAAAAAACATAATACACTTTTAATAACTTGCTGTGTAATTTGAGACCATTTTGGTATAGCCACATCACACTCTATTGTTTTAAGTACTCACCAATTAAACTTAACAAAAGTATGAAAAAGAAGAAGAAAACCTGTTTTGAGTTCAGTGCTGGTTACAACAGCAATATTCCAATAACTTGAAAGCCGGACACATCCTAAGTTGACTTTTATAGAGCTCTACATCATCACATTACAAGTCTCACATCTCTTATGCATTAGCGTCAAATGCGGCGCCCCATAGAGTGATTTTTTTTTTTTTTTTCATATACCCTTTTGCTGAATTACCCACACCCTTCAAAAAAGTTGTTGGCATATCATCATGTCAACTACCTTCACGAACTCAGATTTATGAAACCACCGTTAATTTTAGTCTATTCACCGCTACCTTAAAAAGCTTCATCCTACGAAATCAATTCCTCCCTTGTTTTTCACTTTAACTATCTCGCCCCCACAACCCCCCTTCCCCCCCTTATCTTTTCTAAAACTTTACATTATCACGCAGAAAAGTACCCCTCCTTCTGCCTCCGACATAAACTTTCAACATTACCAAAACTTTGTAGATGGCCTACTTTTAACCCCTCTTTTGATTCCGAATTGATATAAGTATTTATTGAGAACTCCATTGATCCATATCCACGAATATCAATATACTTCTCTACTCTCTTTTTTTTTTTTTCTTTCTGTTAAGGATACGATGCCAGATCTTTTTGATAATTTCTTCACTTCAATAAGTGCAAAGCTAAACGGCGGTCACACAAAACGTCACTATTCCGCTGATTCGCAAGTCAACACGGGGAAATTTTATAGTTATCATAATACAGCAAGCAATAATAACTATTGGTTGCCTAGAAAAGCGTCAGTTTCACTGGTTGATGATGATGCTGTTAAGCTAGAAGAGGATACAAATGAGAGTGGTGGTGGTAATTTTGGAGCGATTGATAATGAGAAAAAGAGAAGGAGCGCCAGTGAGTGAAACAATTAAGAAAATTGGTTACAGAGATGGTGAAAAGTCCTAGTTTTTCAGTATGTATTTTTGTTTTTATCTTTATCTTTTATTTTGTTCAGTGTTGTTGGATAGCGAGCTTGGTCTATGTAGTTTATATTCAATAAAAGGCTTTTTTTGGTTTGAAAATTTATCTCCTTGTATAAATGTTTGTTCCAACTACTAACATAGATGTAACAGGTGTTATTGAAACAGTATAGGTAGCTCAATGGGAACTTACACTTTGGCTTTATTCTCCTCCCCCCCCCCTCCCCTCTTTACTCTTTACTCTTTACTCTTTACTCTTTACTCTCCACTTTCTACCTTGCTTTTACTCACTTTATAACTATTACCAACAATCCGTATAATGATCTATCAAAAACAACAGAAAAAGCAAGACCGGCTCTTTTTTCTATTAAAACTAGAAGTATCAGAATGTAAATCTTCGTCTCTACCTCCTCCTGCATTATTCTGAATAAAATTATTACTAGCATTCCTACCTTCTTCATATCGATTTTGACTCCCATGGTGTATTGCTAATACTGATTGCAGTATTTTATTTGAGCTTGCTCTCGAATCTTGTTGTTGTTGTTGTTGTTGTATTGCCTGATAGCCATATTTCTTGTACTTGAAAAAAGAAATATTTTGATCCAGCCCACGGCCCAAAAGTGGATGTTGCAGTAGTTGCATCTGTTTTTGTTGTTGCTGTTGTTGCTGCTGTTGCTGTTGCTGTTGCTGTTGCTGTTGTTGATGTTGATGTTGCACTTGATGCGATTTTCTGGGTGGATGCGGGTTCCCATATCCATGCAAATTAGCCTTCTTATTCAATGAAGCATCCCAACCCCGACCATTGTTCAAATCCTCCCAATCGTAACGACCAATACCCTCATTGCCCAATGAAATTAAAGCCTTATCCATTAAACCAATAAGGTAATTGTAATCAGGGGTTTCATCAAATTTTAAACTTCGCACATATGTTAAATACTGTGCAAACTGAATGGGGAATCCGTAACATAGTTCATTTATAGAAGTTGTTTGCTTCTTCATTCCAATTTTTTCGTACTTTTGTTTGTTTGTTGGAGCTTTCAAACCTTGCCAAGGCAAGGATCCTCTTAGGAAATACATAAAAACATGTCCTAGACTCTCCAAATCATCACGTCTCAGCTGTTCTCTTCCCAAATGAGTGTTTATTGACATGTATCTAGCTGTTCCGCTCAATGCTTTTTTCTCTCTATAAGGTATATGGTTTTTAGTTTTCGGATCTCTATATTGTTTAGCCATGCCAAAATCAACAACAAAGATTTGGTTTGCATCTAGTGAATCTGGTCGCCCTATAAGAAAATTGTCTGGCTTTATGTCTCGGTAGATTAAATTGTGCTCATGTATAGATTCGACTCTTCGGATCATTTGCTTTGCCACTTGCAAAACTGTGCTTACACTGAATTTGCGATGGCACCAATCAAACAAGTCTTCTAACGAGGGCCCTAATAGATCAATAATTAAAATAGAATGAACACCTTCTTGACCGAAAAAATACGCTTGTGGTATACCTACAGTATGACTCAATATACGGTATGCTCTGTACTCGTCTCTCAATTGTGGTGCTTCGCATTTGCGAGGCTCAAACTTGATTGCCACTTGCTGGTTATTCAATATGTTGATACCTTCAAATATTATACCAAACGAGCCCTCTCCAATCTTCTTTCCTACTTTGTAGTGTACACCTACTATACTCGAGGACTGAGACATTGCATTGAAGATGACAGACTTCTGAGGGAATTAAGATCCAATTCTATAAGACTTTGACAATGATTTATCCACACTAGAGACTAGACTCGTTTCACTCGTCTAGGCAAAAGAAAGACTTTTTTTTTTTTTTTTTCTTTTTCGTCGTTGTTGTGGTCAAAGTTGCGATTCCCCGTCCTTGCTTCTTTTCTTCGGGGGGATAAAACGGGTTTGGGGATTAGTTTGTAGCACTTTTCAATAGTAGATGATCCAGCTCCAAAAAAAAAAACGCGATAAAATGGGTGGGGTGGGGGGGGGGGGGGGGGGGGGAGGAGGGAATAGTTCAATAGGAAAAGGAAGAAAAACCCTCTACAGTTTAATGAGATACGCGGCGATATAAGTGGTACGAAAATCAAATTTTTTTTATATCAAATTTTTTTTTTTTGTTTTTCCATGAGGGGGACGACACATTACCGCCTGAATTGTGGTGTAGGGGAAAAATGATGGTTGGGGCGAGTATTGAATTACTTGTTCATCTATTCTTGCGCGACTTGCTCACGTTGACGTTGAAGAAGGAATGAAAAAAAGGCATCGCTCAAACCTCAGTGGAAAAAAAAAAAAGTAGTAATGGTTGTGATAGTGGTAGGTGAGTGGTAGGTAAGGAAGTAGGTAAGGAAGTAGTAATAGAGAGCCAATTAGAGGTTAGAAACATTTCTCTTTTGTTTTCAAATTTGTGTGTGTGTGTGTGTGAGTGTGAGTGTGAGTGAAATGACGGGGTATGTTACTAATCAGATGGTATATGCATACCACGGCCCATTAATCTATGAGGCGAAAATCATCAAGGTTAAAAAAGCCGATGAATCGTATATCCTCAATAGTGATTTGCAAAAAGAAACTTTTGAGCAGAATAGCGGTAAGTTTGATGTCTTAAAATGGGAAGGACTTGATGCATATTTGTTACATTACCAAGGCTGGAACTCTAAATGGGACGAGTGGGTAGGGTTTGATCGGATTCTAGAGATAAACGAAGAGAATAAGTTTAAGAAATTGGAATTGGAACAGTTGACCAAGAAGAAAAAGAGTAAGCGGGAAAGCAACTCGTCTGATAATGGCAAGGGTGGTGGCAGCGGTAATAAGAGGCTGAAGATTTCAAGTACAAGTGCTGGGAATGGTTCAAAGTTGCAGCAAAAGAAGATATCAACCATCAATCTCAAATTCCCAGTAGAGTTGAAATACGTGCTTGTTAACGATTGGCAGTATATTACAAAAGATAAAAAGTTGGTGAAACTCCCAACGGAGTACTCTGTAAATTCAATATTACAGGAGTACAAGAGCTGGAGATCAAGCAAACTACAAAAACATCAAGTTTCAATATTGGTGGAAATTATCACCGGCCTTGAATTGTATTTTAATAAAGCGGTTACACTAGTCTTGCTTTATAAAAATGAGCGGTTACAACATCTCGGGCTAATCAAGAATAATACTATAACGAGAGATATGGGGAATAGTAAAGTGTATGGATATGAACATTTACTAAGATTATTAATTTCGTTCCCCAATTTGATTAGCCAAACTACAATGGATTCGTTAAGTATCAGTGTATTAGTACTGGAGTTGGAAGAATTGTTGAACTACTTGAAAGAGAATATGACAGTCTACCAAAATGATTACGAATACACAAGCCCACAATACGATAGTTTAGCAAGGTCCTAGACAATAAGCCCACAATACGATAGTAGAGGTCCTAGACAATAAGCCCATAATGTGATAGTAGAGAGGTCCTAGACAATAGTAGAGAGGTCCTAGTTTTCACCAATAAAGGATTGGGCATCAATAGGATACTGGATAGACAAGTATCGAGAAGAGCGAGATATTGACATCATCTCGCTCTGCTCGATAGTGTCTCTCGGTAGTGATTGTAACAAGCTACTGAGTATTGCTCGATAGTGTTGTAACAAGTTACTGAGTGATGCTCCACTATCTCGCTCTGCTCGATAGTGTCGCTCTGCTCGATAGTGTCGCTAAAGGATTGGGCATCAATAGAATACTGGATAGAATCCGACAATACAAGTATTTACTTTCAATCTCTATCCCAATTGCAATAGCTACCCCCCTCACACTCTTCCTATTTGACAGAAACCGTTAAATTTAACACTTAAACAAAAGGAATTAATCTTTTTTCTTAGTAAAGCGATTTGCAACTATTGGAAATTTTTCAAAAAGTAGTAATAGGTATTAGGAGTAATAATAAATAATAGCAGTACTGGCGGCGCTAACGACACGTATTCCGTTGACCAATGAGAGTGAAATCGGTGCTATTACAGATATATGCGTGTTCTTTCTTAACGACGGTATTTGCACTGTTGTCTAATATCTCATTTGAAAAACTTCAGAAACGTCATCAAGATGTTGAATCAATATTTTCGTCAAAAGGTCCCACGTCTCTTGTATTGCAAGAGTTTGATAAGTTGGTCCACGATTTGGAATTGGCTATAGAAGGTGATAATGACTCAATAGTGGGGAAGAAAGTTGGCTCCTTGTTAATGCCTCAGGTGCTCTTCAAAAGAGCAATGATTGAGATCAATTTGAATAAGGACACGTTGGCAATTATTGACTTGCAACAGGTGTTGGGCCTTGCACCAGCAATGACCCCAGCTAGAGATAAACTTGTTGAGTTGTTGATATCTAGAGGCGATTTTGAAAAGTTGGAAGCCTTTCTTGAGGAGAAGGACAAAAAGAAGGAGAGGGATAACTCGGAGATTTGGCAGGTTATAAATAATTACAAGACACACTGGAAACAAGCAAATTTAGCTTATAACCAAAAGAATTATGAAGGATGCGTAGATGAATTGAATAAGGTGGTGGACATTTGTTCGTCAAATTACGAAGTGTGGAAGTTGTACTTGAATTGTCAATTGCAAAATTACAAGAATAATTCCACAAAATACTATACATTTGATAATGAATCACAACCATTGAACAAGATCATCATTAAGATACTCTTAAACATTATCAAGATCAGACCTTATCAAACATGGAGCTACGATTTATTATCCAAGTTTCAAATCTACACAGAGATTAATTTTGAACAAGCTCAAAATAGTATCAAAAGTTGTATTCAAATAGATAATGAATCCGATTGCGGAGCAATGGCGAAATTTTGCTCGCGATTTAGTGAATTTTTCAAAGCTTTGGAAACTTATTCTATACTCAATGATCATTTGTGCAGTGAGCTGCTGGATTTGAAGGCAGAGGATATGAATAATTATAAAATTGATTATAAGCAAGTAGCTAACTTTTTGCTCAATGATAAGGTATCTAATGAAGTTAAACGGAAAGGGTTTAAAAACAACTTTGAGTATTTGAGATTCAAGGGGGAAGAATTCTCAAAAGAGTATACACATTTCGGTGATGGCGATGAGTTGATATTCTTGGCTGATTTGCAAAAGATAGCTTGTGAATCATTGATTCAAATTGGTGATTCAAAGTATTCGGCATTTTGTAGCAAGATCAAGGATAGTCGCGAGCACCCACACTTTTTTCCAAATTACATTCCTCAAATCGATAAGTTATTGAAACAGAAGAAATTTGCTGAAGCAGAGGAAATCTTGGGAAGATTCAACAAAAATGTCAAACAAACTGAATTGTTTAAAAATCGGGCCTCGAAAGTTGAACAATGGAGGCAACAGCAACAGCAACAACAATATCAACAACATCAACAACATCAACAGCAACAACGACAGCGTTACCACCAGCAGCAGCAGCGACAACAACAGCAACAATACCAGCAGCAGCAGCAGCAGCAGTATCGACAGCCCAATAGGAAATCCAAAAATGACTATTACAAAATCCTAGATATTCCACACGATGCCGATGAGAAAACTATTCGGAAAGGTTATAAAACACAAACACTCAAGTACCATCCAGACAAATACAAAGGTAAAGACTTATCATCTGAACAGATTGAGAAGAAGATGCAAGACATAAATAAGGCATATGAAATACTTTCCGATAAGGAGTTAAGAGAAAGGTATGATCGTGGAGATGATCCTAATGATCCTATGAACACGGCACAAAGTCAACCACAATGGCAACAATACCGAGGGTCATCTAATCCTCACGGACAAGAACAATATACGTTCAATTTTGGTGGTGCAAACAGTCATGATTTTTTTCAACAATTCTTTGGTGGTATGGGCGGTATGGGCGGTATGGGCGGCATGGGTGGCATGGGTGGCCATCATCAAAAAGTTAAAATAAAGAGGAATACAAAAAAGAGAAAGAGGAATTCATAGAAGAATGGAAAAAGAAAAAATTTAGAAACCAATACCCTAATATACTGTTGATTTAAACTTGTTTATTTTGCTCTGCTCTACTCTTCTCTACTTTACTTTACTTTACTTTACTTTACTCTACTTTACTCTACTCTGCTCTATACACCATCCACTACTCTACACTATCTCGCTCTCCTCGATAGTGTTTTGTTTTGTTCTACTCCGCTCTGCTATAGCTCTGCCTGTACTTAGTAGTGTACGACAGGACTACTAACACCTATACCCAACACCTATATCTCCAAGTGATATCAATCAAATTTTGCAATGGTTTCCCTTTTTTGGCGATGACATAATCTCTTACATAATCCACAACCGTTTTTCCATCAGATAAGGAAAATCCAGAAGTGCCAAAAAAAGAACCATCGACGAAATAGGATTGTCTTTCTTGTCATTGCAACTGTAGTAGACATACTTATTTGCTCTATTTTTTTTTTTTGTTAGTATTAGTGGCTTTTAAAAGATGAAGCTTTTTTCAGTAGCCACGTTACTGGCTATCTTATCCACCATTGATGCGTCTCCTGCTTTTAAATTGCTGGAGAGTAATATCTTGATCAATCAAAAAGACTTTCAATCATCTGAGGATGCCGCTGTTGCTGCTGCTGCTGCTGCTGCTGCTGCTGTTGGGGGTAGCAGCAGTGACGAAGGTGCCGGTGGTGATTCCGATATTGCTGCTTCTCAGCTTTATGAGGATTTTGAGCCATTTGCTTTGGATGAGGATTTAATTGACGAGACAATATATAGTCAATTACCCGAAATCGATAGTGAAAAATTGCAAAGTTTAGTTGATCGAGCTAATTTGAGAAAAAGAGCTGAAACTTTGTATGCCATTGCTCAGAAATCACAACACAAGTATGGACATCCAACTAGAGTTATTGGTTCTCCTGGACATTTTGCTACTGTTCATTATATCATTCGAGAATTGCGTAAGTTGCACGGATATTATAATATCAAAACCCAAAGCTTTAAAGCAGTTGATGGTCACGTTGATTCGTTTTCGTTACTAATTGATGGGATACAACCGAAAAATTTGCAGGCGTTGGCTTTGACACCGCCCACACCTGATAAGAAACCAGTTCATGGATCATTGACTCTTGTTTTGAATAATGGCTGTTCTTTGCATGATTTTCCACAAATAGCCAAGGACAATATCGTGTTGATTAAACGAGGTGAATGTTCTTTTGGCGATAAATCAAGAAATGCTGGTAAAGTAGGAGCCAAAGCTGCAATTATATATGACTCGAACGGTCCATTACTGGGTACTTTGGGTACACCAATTGGGGAAGAAGTACCTACATTATCAGTTGATCAAAAAGACGTTGCTTCATATATTGACGAATTGAACAAGAATCCAAACCACAAATTCGAGACTACATTATATATCGATTCCTATGTAAAGAATATTACTACATTGAATGTTGTTGCAGAAACAGTATTTGGAGATCACAACAACGTTGTTAGCTTAGGAGCGCATTCAGATTCAGTTGGCGCGGGACCCGGTATAAACGATGATGGTTCAGGGACAATTTCATTGTTGGAAGTTGCCAAAATATTGAAAGATTTTAAAATCAATAATGCAGTTAGATTTGCATGGTGGGCAGCTGAAGAAGAAGGGTTATTAGGCTCCGAATATTATGCTAGTCATTTAACTCAAGAGGAAAATTCCAAGATTCGATTATTTATGGATTACGATATGATGGCTTCACCAAATTATGAGTATGAGATTTATAATGCAAACAATAAAGATCATCCTCAAGGTAGTGGAGACTTGAAGGATCTTTATGTTGCTTGGTATGAAAAACATGGATTGAACTATACATTTGTTCCCTTTGATGGCAGATCAGATTATGTTGGATTTATCAACAATGGTATACCAGCCGGTGGTATTGCAACTGGAGCAGAGGGTGTTAAGAATAGCACATCAAGAGAGAAATTTGGTGGAGAGGTTGGGAAATGGTTTGATCCATGTTATCATCAAAAATGTGACGATTTATCTAATCCAAATTATGATGCATGGGAAATCAATACTAAGTTAATTGCTCATTCTGTTGCTGTGTATGCCAAATCATTCGAAGGGTTCCCTAAAAGAGAATTAAAAGAGGATAAGGTACAATTGAGTAGTAGTAGTAGTACACCCGAGTTTGGTACCGAATTTATCAGAAGAGGTGATAAATTTGTTATTTAAGCTAAACGAGGGGAGGATTGATAATAGGTAGTTTAGATTAGAGTACAGACTATATATAGTAGAGGAGAAAAGAGACGATTGAGATAACGAGTTTAGCGACACTGACTACACAGACACTATCGGCTTTAGATAGGTGGCTGTTTGGAGAGATGTTCGGTATAAGGATGCAATCTAACCCGTGTGTCCACCCTTACATCACGCGACCAGTCCAAATCATATACACGTGACTGTTTGAAAGTTTAGGAGGCTTCAACATAAGAGCAAGGCTAACAACAACATGTCTACCACATAGATCACGTGACTCTAATAAAACGCAACGGAACAATTTTGAAGGTTTTTTTTTTTTATTTATTTATTTATTTATTTATTTTATGACTGCGTAACTTAGATTTTCTCAAAAAGCGGCTTTTACTCTCTTCATCGGAACAACTCTTTCAATCAGATCCTTATTCTAGCCGGTTGATTTGAAAAAGAAGATATAACAGTTATTGAGAAACTGAGAGGGCGCAGATACAGTTACGGCTACAACTGTAACTGTAACTGAAATTGTTACCATAGCTGCTGTAGCTGCAGCTGCAACGAATAAGGTGATTCGATTCTAATGGCTAAAAAAAAAAATGTGGGGAGATTTTTAAGGTATGATGTTTATTATACTTTAAGAGTGGGGTGACCGAGACCTGTTATCACCAGATAGTTACTAGTGGCGTATATGCCACGTCACTATATTAAAAAAAAAAACAAAAAAAAAACAGGAGTTGGTGTGTGTATACATGATTGAAGCAAGACAAGTTTCTCCGGTTATAGTGAAAATTCCCTGCAATGTATGGTAGTGAGACTTGTGTTTGGTTTCATGGCGAGTGGTTTGGTTTTGGTACATCATGTGAGGGAGTCATTCCTTTCTGTACCAAAACAATAGAAAAGATAGCTTTTCTATTGTTCACACGACTCTTTTCAAATTCTGGGTATAGTTCAACTTTGTGTTTTTTTACCCCCTAAAAGTTGAGCTTGGATCCAAATATACATATATAAACTATCCAACAACATAGAACAGCTGTTTTCAAAGACCCAACCATTAGTAACGGCATATGGCAGCCACTACAACAATCTTCGTAAACATCTACTATACCAACGACAACATATTTTGTAAGGGATCCAAAATTAGAGACACTAATTTCTCTCCCAACTCTTTCTCTCTCTCTTGCAACAATCAAGTATATTTTTTTTATTTCCAGCTTTTTACTTGGAGTGTCTCGGTGACAACCTGTGTGTAGAGGTAAAAACTAAAGAGGATGTAGAGGTAAAGACTAAAGAGGATGTGTTGCTCGAGAATTAATTGAAATAAGTTAGCCAATTGTATATGACTAAGTTTGATCTCTAGTGGTCTTGTTTGATCTCTAGTAAGATTGTTTGTTAGAATTGTTTGTTTGATCAGTATATTGGTAGGTTGTTGTAACAACAACCTAGTATACTGTACTATATTTTGGTTACCTCTTACCTCTTACCTCTTTTGAGGGGAAGATTTTGAGGTCAGGCATAATTTAAAATTTCCAAGGCCAACACAGAAAAGGGGAAGGGGGGGGGGCAGGAAAGTTAGGGCAGAAAAAACTTGCATATAAATTTTGACTGAGAGTATTTAACCACCAGGAAATTCCCACATTTTCAAAAATCAAAAGTTTCAAAACCCCTTCTTTTTCTTTTCAATTTCTTTCTTTTAAATTTTCCTTTTTACTTCAATTTACTAAGTTGATCAATCAATTGAGTTAGTATTTTATAACTTCTGAAACTTTGTTAATTTGTTAGTGTTAGTTTGTTAGTTTCTTTGTTAGTTGTTAGTTTTGCAGCCAAAAAAAAAAACAGATTAAACTTAAAAAAAAAAAAGTAGATAAAAACCAAAAAGGCAGTAAGATTTGATCTTGAGTTATTGCCTTTGTTTTACTAATCTGGAAAAAGTGTTGAATATCTTTACTATAAACACTTTTGTATAACTTGAAAAGAGCTTTTCTAAGAGAATCATGGGGGCAAGCAAGAAAAAGTCCAAATCAGAGTCTTTGCCATTAGATTTGAGCAGTATTAAACCATTGGAACATTTACAGGCAGTTCCTAAAGCAAGATCTTCTTCAATTACTTCAGTTGAATCAGCTGATGAACCAAGTGGATATAAACAAGTTTTGTTGCCACCAACAATTCGTGAATTTGATGAGTTGGAGCAATTTGAAGCTTTTGTAAGAGATGAAACTTGGGATAACGAATTTGACTATTTCCATGGTAAATTACACTATTATCCTCCATTTGTAATGAAGGAATGTCAAAATAACATTGAGAAGATTAAACCAACAATGAATAAAAATTCTAAAAAATTTAGACGTAATTTGCAACATCATATTCAAAAGCACTTGATTAAGGATTTGGAAAAATGTTGTGGTTACGAATTAAGTTTCGATAAAGCCGAAGTTATTGAAACTCCAGAGAAACTTGTTTGGAAATTCAAAGATGAAACCGACCATGGTTTTAGCAAAGAAGAGGAAGATTTGTATAACAGACATTGGAAATTGCAACTTGATATTTCTTGCACAAATGATAGTGCAATGGTTGATGTTGATTATAGATCAATTCCAATCTAATAATAATAATTAAAAAAAATAAAAGAGAGAAAACAAAAGACAAATAAAGGTGAAAAATATACACCATCATGCTTATGATGGTACATATATATATATATATATATGCACATGTGTATAGTTTGTCTTTTTCCTTCTTTTTGAAACCTTTCCTTTTTTACGATAAAGATGAGATTTACGAAGAGAAACGAAATAGTATGATGGATGAATGAATGAAGTAATGAAAATGATTAAATGATTTTAAAAAAAGTTGATTCTTTTTCTTTCTCTTATTTTCTCCTTTTCCTTTTACAATGTTGTCAAGTTTGATAATTAGAACTTTGGATACATTATATCTATTTAAACAACTTTTGAAGTGATACAGTACCCTCATCATTCTTTGACATCACTTTAGCCACAGCCAACTCGAAATCCTCTTGAGTGACATGTATTCTTCTTTCTCGAAGAGCATACATACCTGCTTCGGTACAAACACCCTTTACATCAGCACCAGAACAACCATTCATCTTTTCTGCAATCTTTTTCAAATTTATACCTCTTGTCAAATTCATTGATCTAGAGTGAATTTTCAAAATATCGGTTCTTGCTTGTAATGTAGGTGCAGGAAATTCAATTTTTCGATCTATTCTACCAGGTCTCAACAATGCTGGGTCCAAGATATCCAATCTATTAGTGGCCATAATAATTTTTATATCCTTAGAACTTTCAAATCCATCTAATTGATTCAATAACTCCAACATTGTACGTTGAACTTCAGAATCTCCTCCTGAAGAGCCTTCAACTCTAGATGATCCAATGGAATCAATTTCGTCCATAAATATAATCGAAGGCGCATGTTCCCTAGCCATAACAAACAATTCTCGAACCATTCTTGACCCTTCACCAATATATTTTTGAACCAACTCTGAACCTGAAACCCTGATGAACTTACACTCGGTATGATGAGCCACTGCTCTAGCCAACAAAGTCTTGCCGGTACCTGGTGGGCCATACAATATAACACCTTTAGGTTGAGCTATACCCAAACTCGAAAACAATTCAGGATACTTTACTGGTAATTCAATAACTTCTTTAATTTCTTTGATTTGTTTATCTAGTCCACCAACCATGTCGTAAGTGGAATCGGGAACTTTTTCAACCATCATTAAAGAAACCAATGGATCTACTTTATTGGGCAAAATCTTGTACAAATCATGGCTGTCAGCCTTCAAACATACTCTAACGGATGGTGTCAATTTCTTCACATCAACATCCTTTGTGACATTAACAATGTACTTTCCCTCGGGATGGATCTTCACCAATACTTTTTTCAACCCCATCACCTTGATGACTTCTCCTACAAACGAACCTGGTTCCTGTAATAAACGTAACTCATCTTTCAATTGTCTTACATTATTGTTCAACTTGTTACGTTGAGCTTCTATTCGACGTAAATTTTGAGCAGTTTGCTGTATTTGAATCTCAGTTTCCTGTATCTGCTGTTCAAAGTAAGGACGTATCCCACCCTCGTGAACATACGGTTTATCAATCGTCGTCGTCATATATCTTTAAAACAGTATTCCTCTCAATCAAATCAATCTAAGTTCTACAATTTTCCACCTACTCTTCTCTTGTCGCTCTTTGTATTGCCATCCGAAAAAGTGAGTAGTGTATTCATGACAAAAAAAATATATATATCTGGTACTGGTCGTGCAAAATAAATAAATCAAGAGTCAGTAAGCTTGTCAGTAAGTGAGCTTGTTAGTAAGTGAGCTTGTCAATTAGCAAGCTTGTCAGTCAGTAAGCTCGTCAGTCAGTAAGATTGTCAGTCAGTAAGATTGTCAGTATCCGTTATTCTTGGGAATTTTTGAAAGCTAGCTGATAATCAGAAAGAAATGCCTATATAAAAAGAGAAATTGAAATTGAAATTGAAGCTATATCCATATAATGAAGTGCGCCCATTTTCCAACATTGCTTTTATTGGCCTCTCTGGTATTGGTATCTACTGTTTATTCAAATCAGTTATACTGCAAATGTCAGTGCAATAACAAGAATGTTATTATCAATCCAATAGACAAGTGTGGAAATTGCAATGAAGAGTACTGTTTACAGAAAGATCCTAAATTGTGCCATGAGGATCCCGATAATGACACATATCCGAAAAGTGATAAGGATATCAAAAAGGATATAATTATTAGCTGTTATCAAATTGAGTCGCTTAAAGAGGAGTTGATTATTTGTTTGTTTTTTGTGATTGTTTTTGGTTTATTGAGCTGGGTATTTTTTAGCGCCTTCTGGAAGGGCAGTATTTAACCAGACCACAAAATCTTGAAAAATCTTGAGATTCAAGAATGATTGAGAAAAGAAACTCAGTTTAGCTCAGCTCAGTTCCTCTCAGTAGATTAAACTGAGCCGAGTTCAAGTCAGCTCAGTTCACCTCATCCGATTAAGCTGAGTCGAGTTTATCTCAGTAGATTAAGCTGAGCCGAGTTTATCTCAGTAGATTAAGCTGAGCCGAGTTTATCTCAGTAGATTAAGCTGAGCCGAGTTTATCTCAGTAGATTAAGCTGAGTCGGGTTCATCTCAGCTCAGTTCACCTCAGCTCAGCCCATCTCAGTTCAGCTCAGCCGATTGAGTTGAGTCGGGTTCATCTCAGTAGATTAAGCTGAGTCGAGTTCATCTCAGCTCGGTTCACTTTAACTGATTGAGTTTAGTCCAGTTCATCTTCAGTAGATTAAGTTTAGTTGAGTTCCTCTCAGCCGATCAAGCTGAGTTGAGTTCCTCTCAGCCGATTAAGCTGAGTCGAGTTCACTTTAGCCTATTGAGTTGAGTTGAGCTCATCTCGGCTGATTAACTTGAGTCAAGTTCATCTCAGCCTATTGAGTTGAGTCAAGTTCACCTCTTTGTCAGCAGAGATTAATAGAAATCGAGTAAAGAGCTCATAGATACTACCTCTATATATTTCCATCTACTTAGATTAAAATTAAATCTTTATCAACTACCCCTACTTGTAATGAAATCCCACTCCATACCTTTATCAAGGTATGGAGTGGTATGGAGTGGTATCACTATTGGTTAAATACTACCAACTCCAATATCTTTCTCTCTACTAACCTCTACCAACTGGAAAACTGGAAAAGAAAAAAAAAAAAAAAATCCAAATCTTAAAAAAAAAAAAAAAAAAAAAAATTTTTTTATACACAAAAAATTCCTACTTTCTCTATAGTGAGATTTTTTTATTCTTCTTTACTATTATCAAACAAGGTCGACATTTCAAGCCATGGCTGAGGTGTCTGATAATAGTAGTGCTCCTAAGAAGCACAATGCCAAAGCAGAAGCTGCAGCTACTGCCACTACTACTAAAGGTGTTGCTGGCGATAAGGTGGGATCAGAAGTGGGAGATGAGTCGTCGATGGGATTTGATTCACAGAATAAACAAAATGTAGATCATCAAAACCAATTATCACAGGCTTATATCCAACAACAAGGCCCTCATCAGCAACAACAACACCCCCAGGAACTCGATGCTGCTAATGCCAATCTTTATAACCAGTCCTATGCTCAAAACTACGGAGTTAATTTTAATGGACATGTCAATTATTACAATAATAAAAATCAATATAATAACGGTGGAGGAGGAAACAAACATTATACGGGAAATAACAGACAAGGAGCTAATAGCAACGTTAATGCCTCAAGGTTCAACAGCAACAGTACCACGCCGATCCAGTCCCACAGAAAACTGTACAACAACAACAACAACAACAACAACAACAACAATAACAACAACAGCAGTAGCAATAACAATAACAGTCAGAAATTGAACCATCATCATCAACAACAACAACAACACCACCACCACCACCAACAACAACAGCAAGCTCAACAGCAAGCTCAACAGCAAGCTCAGCAACAAGCTCAACAACACCAACAGCAGCAGCATCAGCCACAAGTTCAAGTTCAAGTTCAGCAACAGCAACAGCAACAACACCTTGCTCAAGCACAAGCAGCTCAGTATGTCAATTTCGGCTACAATACGCCGCAACTTTATCAATATGGTTACTACCAACCAATGTATGTACAGCCTTTGCAATACGCTACACCTCAAGCAGCACAGGCTTACCCTCCTCCACAACATTCACCTGTGTCAAGTGGAAGTACTCCTCAGCATCGGCATCAGCAGATTGCAACACCGCCTATTAATAAAGTCAAGTTGACGACAAAAGATGGTAAAGTAGTTGATTTGGAGGAGAAAAAGAGGAAAACTGCTGCTTCAACACCAACTGCATCTCCTCTTCCCAAAAACGCTTCTCCTGCTACTGTATCTACTGCGGATGGTGCTGCATCCAATACGTTAAAAGAGGAAGCTACTCAGGCGGCAAACTCAACTTCAAGCAAAGAAGAAGTATCTGGAGAAACTACAACAAAAACGGCTGGACTTTCAGCAGCAGAGGAGTTTAAGAGGAAGATTAGGGAAAGAGCCGCTGCTGCCGCTGCCGCAAAGAAAAAGAAAGAAGAAGAAGACAATCAACAAAAGGCGCCAGTAGATGAAAGAAAGCAAGACAACAAGGCAGATAATATAGTAGAGGGCCAAGCAGAAGAAAAGGCAGAGGACGCTAAGCAAGACTTCAAATCAGAGGACACTAAAAAGACTATCAAACCCGTGGATTCAGAAGAGAAAGAACTGGCGATTGAGAAAACCAAGGAGGAGAGTGGAAAAGCTACTACATCGGAACCACAAACAGAGGCTGCTCCTATCGTTAAAGAGGAACCACAAGATGAAGGCAAAGTCGAAGCAAAAAAACCAGACAATGTGGAGAAAGTAGAGTCTACTATACCAAGTGTACCCTCGCCTTCAACTACAGAATCCCATGCTGTACCTGAAACAAAAACTAAGGTTAGCGAACAAACTATGCCAGCTGAGCCAGCTGAGCCAACCGAACCAGTTGAATCTGTTGAATCTGTTGAACCAGTTGAATCTGCTGAATCCGCTGAACCCGCTGAACTCACTGAACTCACTGAACCCGTTGAACCTGCTAAACCTTTTGAGTCTGCAGAACCTGCGGAACCTGTTGAGTCGGCTGAACCTGAAGAAGAGCTGAAATTAAACGACGAACCTTCTCAGCCAGAACTGAGTGAAGTATTAGAGGAGGAAGATGCTTCAAAAGAATACAGTGATAGTGAAGAGCTGAAGGAAACCACCCCTGTTGAGGAAGTAATTCCCTCGCTAAACCTTTCTCAATTTTTGGAAAAAACAAGTGAAGCCAAACCTATTGAGGATTTATTAGCAGTAACGTACCCTAAAGACATTCATGGTGTTGACAGTTCAAAACAACTTCTGGGTATTAAATACAGATACGATCCTCAATTTTTGATTCAATTTCGTGATTTGATTCAATTCGAAGTTGACCCTGAATTCAAGTCACGCTTGGACTTTATAGACACTACTGGTGGCCATCAAGGAGCTAAACGGTCTGGTTCTGCTCGTGAAGGTGCTTTACGTCCTGGAGCAGGAATGAGACAAGGAAGCGGTTTACCATCAAGGTATAATGGACCACAAAACAAAACAGGCATGGGCGGCGGATCTGGTGCTTATGATAGCAGACAAAATTCAAGAAGCGGTTCTAAGAGAAGAGGCGTGTCAAGTAGGGAGAAATCTACTAGAAAGGGACTTCCATCGAAACGATCAGGCACTGCTAGAGGTTCTGAGATGCGCGAAAAATCAGAAGAAGAAATGGCAAGGGAAGCCAAACAGGCTGAGGAAGTAAAACCATTGGAGGTAACTTCAAATAGATGGGTTCCAAAATCGAGACAACAAAAGACTGAAGTACGTTATGCAGAAGATGGAAGTATAATTTTGGAAAAAGAAGATGTTGAGAGAAAGATCAAATCCTTATTGAACAAATTAACTCTTGAAATGTTTACCACAATTACAGACGAGATGTTAGAAATTACAAAACAATCGAGATGGGAGAAGGATGCTCAGACCATCAAACAAACCATATCTTTTACATTTCAAAAAGCATGTGATGAACCATACTGGTCGGAGATGTATGCTAAATTCTGTGCCAAGATGACACAAAACATTCTTCCAGAAATTACCGATGAAACAACTACATTGAAAGATGGTACACATCCATCAGGAGGTGCTTTGGCAAGAAGAGTGTTGTTGACTACTTGTCAAGAGGAGTATGAAAAAGGCTGGGTGGACAAGTTGCCAACAAATCCCGATGGCTCACCATTAGAACCTGAAATGATGAGCGATGAATATTATGCCATGGCAGCTGCAAAGAGAAGAGGATTAGGACTTGTTAAATTTATTGGTCACTTGTACAATTTAAATATGTTGAATGATCAAGTCATTTACGTATGTCTTAAAGATCAGTGCAGCAATACTACTGATCCATCAGAGGATAGTTTGGAGAATTTGGCTCAATTAATCAAAACAGTTGGTCCTAAATTGGATTCAAATGAAAGAACCAAGACCATGCTTAAGCTTGTTTTTGAAAACATTGAGACTATATTGACAAGGGTTAAATTGAGCTCAAGAATAAAGTTCATGTTGATGGATTTGCAAGATTTGAGAAAGGCAAGGTGGCAAGATGGTAAATCCGCGCCTCAACCTACAACAATCGAGGCTATTCACAGAGATGCAGAGATTTTGAGATTTAAGCAAGAAAAAGATAAGAAGAAAAGGTACCAAAACAATATACCCGGTTCATCGTCATCGTCACATTATGGAGGTTCAGCATCACAATCGAGGTCGAGCTCAGGGCACGCATTGTATTCTTCGGCAGGTCAAGGATTTCATAAAAAATCTCCAAATTGGTTTCCACGATCTAATTCTAATTTGAGTGATTTAGCAAGTGAACGTGCTGGTAGTGGTAGTGGTAGTGGCAGTGGTATTGGTGCTGGTGGCCAAACCAGCAGCGGTTCAACCTCAACCAGTGCAACTGACCTTCAACGAGATTCTTCGAGAAGATCCGAGACACAGCAAGTGAATAGATTTGCAGCTCTAGATAATGATGAAGATGATGATGAAGACGAGGAGGAAGAGGAAGAGGAAGATGAGGCGGATGGAGCGGAACGAGAGGCAAAATGAAAGTCATGGTGAAGTGAAGAGAAGAGAAGAAAAAGAAAAGAAAAAAAAATAGAAAAACAAGAAGAAGAAGAAGAAGAGGAAGAGGAAGAGGAAGAAGAAGAAGAAGAAGAGGAAGAGGAAGAGGAAGAGGAAGAAGAAGTTAGACCAAGATTGGAATTGGCGAAGAATTTAAGGGTCATAAAGTTGGTTTTATAATGAACTAGACTCCCTTTCGTGCATTAAATATTTTCTGTATAGCCCTTTTTCACATTATTGATTACCTTTTTATTGAATTAAATTCTTTTGTAGGAAACCCCTTCTATGTGTGTTTTACCTTGTAAATTTTAGATTAGGGAACGAGTTGAATTAACTGAGTTGTTGGGGGATGTCAAAGATTATTTCAGGAGAAGTGATATGCAAAGTTGTAGTATCAACTTCGAATTTAGGTTCTGTTTCTACAGCGCTGATATCGTTCTCACTAAATGAAACAACAACAACGTCGTTTTCTGTCAATTGTTGTTGTTGTTGTTGTTGTTGTTGTTTTTCCATCTTCTCCTCCATTTTCTTGACTTCTTCGTGGTAATTGTATAGTAGATGGAAATGATCAGCAATTTCTCCACCATATTCAATCTGAGCACTACCGATTATCTCAATAATATCAGAGAGACCTTTGTTAATGTTATCACCCGTTTCAAACTGGTATTTCTTGCAAAGTGATAAAAGCGCACGCAATGGTAAAAGTGACAACTCTTTGCTTTCAAAAGCAAATAATAAAATCTGTTTAAATAGTTGTCTAGGAGAGACACCAGTTTCAAGGATCAATAATGCATAATATATTGAGGCCACAAGTGCATCATCATCATCATTATTATTATTACTGTTATTGTTGTTATCATCATCATTGCTACTGTATCCGCTGTCAATATCACTATTATCTGAGACTTGCATTTGCAAGTCATACTCCTCAATATTGCCATTATAACTAATTTGATCCAATGTACTTTTGCTTCTCTCCTGGCGTAGCAGAAAGTAAAGTTTCATCCTTTCCCATAACTGTTCGTAAAGCTTTTTTCTTGTATTTATGTCGACAGACATGCTCAGCAGGGTGTTTTCCCAAAATGAACTTATATCGTTCCACGATAAATTGAAACTTGGTTCCTCTTGACTTTTAAACAGCTGGCTAACTAGCTCAATAAAATTGATAGCTGTCCTTGAATCCCCATTAGCATGATCGATAATCATTTCCAAACATTTGCTATCAAACGATATCTTCCCGCAACGATAAAAGTACTTTCTTTTCAAATTTTCAAATCCTATTGCCCAGCACAACATGGCATTGAACTCGTTAAAAGTCAATTTGTTCAAGGTAAACACCTGGCACCGTGAAAGTATTGCTTTTCGTATTCTCCTCTGGGGCCTTGTAATAGTAGTTGCGCCTATCAAAACAATTCTACCATCTTCCATATACGGTAAGAGCCATTCCTGTTGCTGTTTAGTCAAACGATGAATTTCATCAATGAATACGATTGATTGTTGTTGGTCCTTCTTCAACGATACTAGTTGTCTAAAAAACTCAGTAGTTAAAGTGGTTGCCGAAATCTCGTAAATTGAATCTGGAGAGTACCCGCATGCTATTGGAAGGATTCTTGCTAAAGTTGTTTTGCCGTAACCTGGTGGACCAACAAGGAGCATAGATGGCAAATATCCCAATCTTATATAGTTTCTAATCAACCCATTTCTGCAATTAAGTAGATGATCCTGCCCAAAATAACTTTCCAATGAAGTTGGTCGAACAGCTTCCGAAAGCAGAACGTCTAGGTATTGGGCTCTGAAACTAGGAAGAGTGATATCTTCACTAATAGTCATCTAACATGTAACCAAAAAACAAAATATAACAAAGCAAGCGCCCATAGCTACCTTATCAAAAAAAAAACAAAAACTCAACCAACTCAACCAACTCAATCAACTCAACAACTTTAATCGACACAACAACTGAAGCAACACAAGGACACAAGCAACTAAACCGATTCAACAATACAACCTATTCGTGATAAGTTGAATTAAGGGGGCCCCTTTGATGTGAAAAAAAAGAAAACAGATACAATTGGTAGCTGTCAGCAGAAAAAAAGAAATCCAAAGGTAACTTTTACCCCAAACTTTTTGCACTGCTTTGGAGATTATCAAGAGAAGTAGGCATTTGGAAGTTACAAGTAGACAAGTGGGCCAGAGGGGGAAAAACACTTGGTTGCCGATTTACGAAATATAATAGCTTTTGAAAGGGCGTGAATATGTCATCTGTACTTAAGCTTACTATACCCGAGTCGTCGTATGATCTTTCTTCATACACACTACAACCGAGGTCAAAGTCGCAGTTGTTATTATATTTAATCAGATTGACACGAGGAGCTGCGATTTCGCTAGTTATTACATATTTGGTTGGATTTTTTATTGTCAAGCCTTTATTGGAGACTACGGTGTCTCGTCGTTTTGAGTTACTAGAATGTATACGTGGGAATCTTCGTGACTTTTATCTCAAAGCCATAACGAAAATCAATTATATTCCAATAGTAGCGATTAAACGGAATGACAAACTATACGCGGATGCCATCACACAAACAGAGCCACCTTCTTTGGGCGGTTTTGAGGAAAAGGAAGATACCTTGTTTCAGACAGACTTACATAAAAAGTTGAAAAAAGTATCAACATTACTACAGGATAGTGTTCGAAGCTATTCAGTTGAAAATTTGGCCAATTGCAAGAGCTTCTCCTACTCAATTAAGGATCTTCAAAACAAGGCAGATTTGATATACTTCAACGAGGACGAGTTTTTCCTTTTGGATGAAACAGCTAGCTTGGTTAGGGCAGCAGAAGCAACAACAACCAGCAACAAAAGGTTGAGGAGGAGAAACTTGGCAGTGGACACGAGAAATGAAATCAGAAGTATCAAAGGATTGTATATGAGTGGTCAAGTTTAGTGATCCTGATTGTGCAAAGAGGGAGGGGAAAGAGAGAGGGGAAAGAGAGAGAGAGAGAGAGAGAGAGAGAGAGAAGGAGAAAATAGACCTGTTTAGCACAAGGGTTCAATTTCTTTGAATTAGCAGCCTTTTGTCATTGTTTGTAGGTCTCTTGTACTATCATTTTATTTCTATCAATAGACACTATCGAGCGACACTATCGAGCAGAGCGAGATAGTGTTGTAACAAGTCACTGAGTGTTGCTCTACTATCTCGCTCTTCAACAAGTCACTGAGTGTTGCTCTACTATCTCGCTCTTCAACAAGCCACTGAGTGTTGCTCGATATTGTTGTAACAAGCCTCTAAGTGTTGCTCTACTATCTCGCTCCGCTCGATAGTGGAGCAGCCTTGACTTCAAAAATACACAGAAAAAAATAATTGGGAAAACCATCCTGATCTGGTTTAATAATTAACAATACCTCATGGCGAAAACGAAGATAATTGATAGCGAAGATGAGTTAGAAAGCAATGAAATCTATTCAGAGAATGTCTCTGAGGGTCTGATTTCTGCTTCCAATGATAATGAGGGTGCTTTTCTGGAACCTGAAAGTACGATTGCGAAACTTTCAAGAGAACGAAAGAACAAAGTCGTTGAAGAGGAGGATGAAGAGGATGAGGAGGATGAAGAGGATGAGGAGGATGAAGAGGATGAGGAGGATGAAGAGGATGAGGAGGATGAAGAGGATGAGGAGGATGAAGAGGATGAGGGGGGTATAGAGGATGAGGGGGGTATAGAGGATGAGGAGGATGAAGAGAATGAGGAGGGTATAGAGGATGAGGATGCGGACGAAGAGGACGATGATGGAGTAGAGGATGAGGAGGATGAGGAGGAAGAGGAGCTTGACGAGGATACTGCAAATGACGACAATTATGGTGTTAACGCTTCTGATAGCGATGTAGGTTTAGAATTAAAGGATGGGCTTGAAGAAGAATTGGAGGTGGAGGAAGAAGAAGAAGAGGAGGAGGAGGAAGAGGAAGAAGAAGAAGACTCAAACGGATCAAAGGTTACGATTAAGCAGGCACGAGGTTCCAAATCTCAACCTAGAAAGTCAATAAAGATCACCATCAAACCTCCTACGAGAAAAGAATCGAAACAGAAATCTAGGGATCTGATGTTGAAAGTGTCACTGTTTGCTTCCTCGTTAGGAACAGCAGCTAAGCCGACCACCCGTAAACGACATGTAAGCTATTACCAAGACGAAACTGACGATTTATTTGAAGAGTTTTCAGAAGAAGAGGAACAACCAGCACAAAAATCTTTGAAGAAGGTTAAAATAAAACCGTTACAACAGAGTAAACCCAAGGGGGTCCCAAATGTTGATCCTGATTTGTTGTTGACCGATGAGGAAGAGGAGTATGATCCTAGTGCATCGAATGACATTACAAAGATGACTGAACGACAGAGGGCTAGACTCAATGCCGACGAAACAGGTGAAGATCGGTTAATAGAATTGGACAAAACCGGTAAGAAACACAAATTGAGAAAAGAGAAAAAGGAAGTAGAGGAAACGGAGGAAGAAGCAGCACTTCGTAAAGCTGAAAATGCTCGAAAAAGACTAGATTATAAGAACAAGATACTCGAGGAGGAGAAAAGAGACACCTTGAATAAGTTGTTAAAGAGAAGGGCAACAAAATCGAGAGAGGTAATAAAAGACGACAAGACAGAAAATGGAGGAGGAGGAGGAGGAGGAGGAGAAGGAGGAGAACAGGATGAAGATGCAAACTTATTTTACAAGGAAAGAAGACCAACATGGCACCACCCTGCACTTGTAAGATATATTACAAATACAACGAACTTGAATGGGAATTCCATTCTCGCGTTTAACTAAATACAAATAACCATATAATATACTATACCGTTCTTTTTTCTTTTACTATTGAACAATCTCTCTCTGATTCAACTACACGGATTTGGTTACTACTGGGACACTATCAAGCAAAGCGAGATAGTGGAGCACACCAGCTGCCACCAACACTATCGACACTATCAGGTGTAGTCAATGTGCTCCACTTTCGAGCGAAGCGAGATGGTGTCGTAGTGTCACTAGTCAGTGGAGTCCAATAGAGAAAGATATAGACCTAGTAGAAAGAGATGTAATAGTAGCTCGATAGTGTCGTAGTGTCACTAGTCAGTATGCTGCACTATCTCGCTTCGCTCGATAGTGTCATAATGTCACTAGTCAGTATGCTCCACTATCTCGCTTCGCTCGATAGTGTCGATAGTGTCGATAGTGTCGATGCTGTCGTACCAAGAAAAAAAATCAATTTGAATTATTGTTTGTCCTTATGTTTTTTCTTAACAATCCCAACAATGCAGAAGATGAGTGAGGGAAAGTAAATCAAAACAAACTAAAAAGGTGGTTTGTTAAGTGGCAATTTTTTTTCATGATAACTTCCAACACTATAGTTTATATATTCCTTGCACCCGAATTTGTCGATTTTGATTTTGAAGATTAATATTGAACACAGTAGATTTTTTTTTATACTACTCGACCTAAAGGCCGACCCCCATCACCGTGACCGCTCACAATAATATTAAGATATAAATACAATTAACGAGCAAAAATATACACACATATTTGTGCAGGAGGAACGCGGAATGAATACAGCATCGTCGGTGCCGTTTTCACAACAGCTGATACATGCATCGCAACACCACCAACAGCAGCAGCAGCAACAACAACAACAGCAACAACAACAGCAGCAGCAGCATCAAGCACCATTACTACAACAACCACCGCTTCCTCCTCCTCCTCAACCATCATTATTACCACAACACACGGGTCCTTCCGCGCGACCAGGATTACAGCGTAATGCGAATTTTAGTGGTAGCCCTATTCTTACAAAAAACTCATTTTCAAATGGTGTTGCGAATCCCCTTAATAAACCTACTCCGTATCAAAATAACTCGATGATGCATCCAGCGCCATCACTGCCACCACTGCAGTTCCAGGGTCTGTCGACCAATAACTCTCAAGGCGATACACCAGTAATGGGATTCCAACCGCCACCTCAGCAGCAGCAGCAGCAGCAGCCGCATGCACCATCCAATTTTCAAATGAAACCATCAGGTGCGATAGATGGACTTAATCTTCAAATGCCGCAACATGCAAGAGTTGGTAAAATGCAGAATCCTTCCTTTCCGTCATCTGTGGCAGCTGCTTCTTTTCCATCTCAACAGTATTTTACCAATAACCCTGCGTTCAATCAATTAGTCAATAACATGGCTTCAGTACCGCCGCAACAAAGAAGACAACAACAACAACAACAACAACAACAACAACAGCAACAACAACAACAACAACAACAACAACAACAACAACAACAACAACAACAACAACAGCAGCAACAACAACAACTGATACCGCAACAATTAGTTCCACACGGGGCATTACCTGTAAATACAGCAGGCCCAGGAGTGATACCTGATCAAGTGATGCAAGATTTCAATATGCGAATGGTGAAGCGAAACCTAGGCAATGCTGCTGCCATGCGCGTGTTGGATTTAATTGATTTTGTGACTAATGAAAAGTTTGAAAATTTGAGTAAACTTGAATTCTGGCGACGTATCATTCCAGCTTATTTCCTACCAACTGCCATTTTGAGATTGCATTTACATAATAAGCCAAGTTCAGGTGAAAAATCTATTAGTGAGCAAATTGGATTGAATTTTGAGTTTTTGAAATTGGGAGCTAACAGCAACACTCAATTTGAACTCAATACAACCACAGCTCCTTCCTTTCTAGCTAATTGTGTATCTGACTCGGAAACAAAAAAGTTTCTGATTGATTTGAATGGAATACGATTTCAAGTTTTGAACAATGGGTCTATTATACTTGTTGCGAAATTGAAAATGAACTACAAGTATATTGATGACACAGAGTCAGAAATTAAAGGAACAATCAAGATGTTTATGAGCAGAGACTTGAGAATAGAATGGATCGATGTCAGCTGTTTGGACTATAAAAGTCTTGTGGCTTTCAAACCAACATCTTCAGTGAATCGAAATGCTTCCTTGAACGAGTTATATCGCAAATCCAAAACATTTCTTAATGCAAGTACTTATGGGTTAAACGCCCATGATGCCAGGAGCCTACAAATTGGTGATATTTTATCTCACTTGAGACAACTAATAGACTTTAGTCAACAAAGTAAAGTCCAATCACCACAAAAGGCACTAGAGCTATTATTATCCACGTTCACAACTTCAACACAAACACTGTCATTTATTCATAAAGCTGTTGGAGGAAGTATGCCCATGGGCCCACCACAAGAGCAATTCCAGTCTCAACTAACAGCGCAGGCGCAATTTCAAGCTACGGCATCTGGGCAACCTTCAGTACAGCAAAATCAAGGACAAGGACAAGGACAGGGTCAAGGTCAAAATGAAGGACAAGTACTAGGTCTAAATCAAAGTGAAGGCGAAGGAAAAGGTCAAGGAAAGGTGCATAGAAGCAACTCTTCTATGCAAGCTGCCACCAATATTTCATCACCATCTCCAAAGACGATACATGCTGAAGAGCCGAAAAAAAAGAGAAAAGCAAGCATTCCTGCAAGTGGTTTAAATAACGAAGTTAACAAGAGGAGAAAATAGTTTGTGATGATGATGATGATGATGTAATGCAATGCTAGAATTTACTACTTATATTCCTGTAATTGTTATTTAAACCAATGGTGTTCCTGTCCTGCTTTATTTTAGATGGAGTTTCCTTTATTCTTTTTCTTTTGATCAGTATTTTCTTCAGTTCCAAAGCTTGTTGTTCCTTCTTCAATTTTTGTCTTTCCCTTCTTTCAAATAATCTATCCTCATCACGATCATTTGGTACCCAAGTACTTTTCAAAATTCTCCGTACAGCTTCTGGTGATATATGGAAGAATTGAGCCAAATCAATAGTTTTGTAATGAGGAAAAGTTTCCTTCAACTCTCGTAAATTTATCATTTCCTGACGACTTAGCTTTCTTTGCGGGTTCCAACTTTGATATTTCGATTTCTGCGTGAGTGTACGTTTCACCCAGTGTGGAAGCAGAGCTCTCATCTCTTTTGTCAAAAGTACATCCAGTTCAAGTTTGGTCGGTTCGGGGTTAGCCAGTTTAGTGTTAGCCAGTTTAGGGTTAGCCAGTTCAGAATTAGCCAGTTCAGGTTGAGATGTCTCCACAGTCGGCCGCTCCAACGGTTCTGCCTTTTTAAATGGTGGCGGAGTTTTCCCGCTGTTAGGTGTTGAGTTGTGATTAATAAAGTGGGGATTTTGCGGGCTTGATTTGGTTTGATGATCGTGATTACTACTAGTACTACACCTTGAAATGAATCGTAATTGCGTTTGATTGATGTATCGCGCATTACAAATAACTCGCCGTTTGACTATCCCAATTCTCAAGTAAGGATTAGCAGCTGCGGCTGCTACCTGTTGCCATTTCGTCATTACGTTAAATAAGGACCAATTCTTATCTAACCAAATTGCAAAAAGACAAGTCAAGGAGATGAGATTAGAAAGTGTCGTGCAAATATCACAAATTGAATAAAAGAAACAGAAAACATTTCAAGCTGGCCACACTTTACTTTTTTACTTGACATTTCATATTATCACCATAGTTGTGAAATTGTAATTGCTTGAGTTTTAGTAGTTTGCTGAACCTTTGTAGTTGCTTGGCTTTCGACGAAATCATTGGTTCTTTTTACGATGATTCTGGATAGTCAGTTGAACACAATAGCGTTGACATTTGGATTTGCATCAATTGTTTTAATTTTGGTTTATCATGCAATCTCCACCAACTTGAATAATTTGAAATATAAAAAGGATCAGTGATCTCTCTAACGAGTCTCTAGCGAGTCTCTAGCGAGCAAAGCGAGCTAGAGAGGAAGAGGAAGAGGAAGGTTGTCGTGAGGAAAAGAGGAAGATTGTCATTAGAAAAAGAGGAAGATTGCCCTTAGCGAGGTGAGAAAAAGAGGAAGATTGTCATGAGAAAAAGAGGAAGAATGCTCTTAGCGAGGTGAGAAAAGGAGGAAGATTGCATGAGAAAAAGAGGAAGATTGCCCTTAGCGAGGTGAGAAAAAGAGGAAGATTGTCATGAGAAAAAGAGGAAGATTGTCATGAGAAAAAGAGGAAGATTGTCATGAGAAAAAGAGGAAGATTGTCATGAGAAAAAGAGGAAGATTGTCATGAGAAAAAGAGGAAGAATGCTCTTAGCGAGGTGAGAAAAGGAGGAAGATTGCATGAGAAAAAGAGGAAGAATGCTCTTAGCGAGGTGAGAAAAAGAGGAGATTGTCATGAGAAAAAGAGGAAGAATGCTCTTAGCGAGGTGAGAAAAGGAGGAAGATTGCATGAGAAAAAGAGGAAGAATGCTCTTAGCGAGGTGAGAAAAAGAGGAAGATTGTCATGAGAAAAAGAGGAAGAGTGCCCTTAGCGAGGTGAGAAAAAGAGGAAGAGTGTCCCTAACGAGGTGAGAAAAAGAGGAAGGTTGTATGAGAAAAGAGGGAGATTGTCATGAGAAAAAGAGAAAGATTGTCCCTACCAATTTTCTAGCTTGCTTTGCTCGCTAGAGAGGAAGAGGAAGAATGTCCTTAACAATTCTTTAGTTTGCTTTGCTCGCTTCTGAAATGAAAAATAACTACTTATTGTGCTCCACTATCTCGCTATGCTCGATAGTGTGGGCTTTGCTCGCTTCTGAAATGAAAAATAACTACTTATTGTGCTCCACTATCTCGCTTTGCTCGATAGTGTCGGCTCGATAGTGTCGGCTCGATAGTGTCGGCCACCTGTAACAAGAAAAGAGCTTAATCTTTTGAGGCTTCTTTCAATCTTTTGGGAAAGAAATGTTTTTGAGATGTACAATGAGGTGCCAAAGGAAGGAAGGAGAGGAAATAATGAACAGAGTTTATATAGTATTGTTTTTTTCAAACCAAAAATAAAGATATACATTATTTACCCAAAAATAAAGATGTACATCATTCACCTCAATTTCTATATATCACCGACTTGAATTACCCCAGGTAGCTCCATTTACTCTTAGCTACTCCAATTAACTCCATTGACTCAAAGCTTTTGAGTTACCTTTTAACCTGATTATACATCACGTGACCTTTCATTACCTGTTTTTTTTTTTTCCCACCCGCTTAAAGGAACAATGTAAATTCAAAGTGAGCGATAAAAACAAATGGCGGGAAATAATAGAAGGACGAAAAAAAAAAAAAAAAAGTGATGTTTGTATATTAGTCATTTATAGTTATAGGTTAACCAAATACGTATGGAATTTAAAATCCAGGATTCACCATCTTGACCGCTAGCTAGAAATATCCAGGTTTTATACATTCGCTTCCTACCCTTTTCCAAGCCCCCCTCCCCTCCCCTTTTTGTTTTTGTTTGTTTGTTTGTTTTTTTGGTTTTTTTTTAGACAAGAGCGGGTAACGAAAAATAATTAATCAATGACTAATCAAGATCAGTTAGAACAGGATGAGAAAGCTGGCGATAGCACTGCAAAGGATATTTCTATGGTTGATGTAAGCAATGTTGCGGAGAATACATCAAGTGTGAACGATGTTCCAAGTAACAATAATTTTATCAGTGCTGCCACTGATGATATTGATTTGAACCGAATGAATATCGATAAAGAGACTAGTGACCATGTTGAAAATGCAGAGGAAGCAAGTGATAAGATGCATATTGACCGTTCGTCAACTACTTTAGTGCAAGAATCGGAAAACAAAAATGACGAATCTTTGAATCAAGAGCAGCAACTACATCAACAACAAAGTCCACAACAACAACAACAAAGTCCACAACAACAACAACAAAGTCCACAACAACAACAACAAAGTCCACAACAACAACAACAAAGTCCACAACAACAACAACAAAGTCCACAACAACAACAACAAAGTCCACAACAACAACAGCAAACACAGCAGCAACAGCAAACACAGCAGCAACAGAAACATCCAGAACAAGTCTATACTGTACCCATTGACATCAAATGGATTCAAGGTGGAGAAAAAGTTTATGTTACAGGATCGTTCACTGGCTGGAGGAAAATGATTGGTTTGATGAAACAACATGATGGGAATTTTTCCCTTACACTAGGTCTTCCCGTTGGAACTCATAGACTAAGATTTATTGTAGATAACGAATTGAGATACTCGGACTTTTTACCTACAGCAACAGACCAAACGGGGAACATTGTTAATTACATTGAAGTGAGCCCCCCACCTCCAAAAGAACAATCACTTACTCTGGAAGAACAAGCTAACGAAAATGAAGCTACAGATGCTTCTTGCTTGACCAGTCGAAAATCCACAAGATGGCAACTTACTAATGATGAAGATGATATGGGTAATGGGTACTCGCGCTACTATGATCAAAATATTGAAAAACAGAAATTGCACTTTACTACAAATATACCTCCCATTTTCACCGATCCAAAAGTAATGGAACAATACTATGTAGCTATCGATAAACAATCAAAGTCTAGCAACGGACAACAACAAGCATGGTTACATCCCCCACAACTACCACCTCATTTAGAAAGTGTTATTTTGAACAACTTTAATAGCAACGATAATAATTCTGGAGCATTGCCAACTCCAAACCATGTTGTTTTAAACCATTTGGCTACTACATCGATAAAGCACAATACTTTAGCTGTGGCCTCTATAATGCGTTATAGAACAAAATATGTTACGCAAGTATTATATGCCCCTTTATAAGATAGAAATAGGAAAGAAAAATAAAGATGTGCAGGGTGGTGAGAACTAAACGAATATAGATAATGGGTTACGTTACTCTTATAATAGATGATGTATTTGTACTTATATTCTACCTTGGGGTAAAAAAGAAAAAAAAAAGAAAAAAATAAACTTGAATACTTTGCCTAAAGAGTTATAGATTGAACTTTACAGACTTAGTAATCATTGCCATAGGAGTCTCCACCTCTCCTTGACGAGCCATAGCTGTCGTCATTGCCGTAGGAACCTCCACTTCTATTGGAGGATCCATAGGTGTTATCATCTCCACCTCTATTGGAGGATCCGTAGGTGTTATCATCTCCACCTCTATTGGAGGATCCGTAGGTGTTATCATCTCCACCTCTATTGGAGGATCCGTAGGTGTTATCATCTCCACCTCTATTGGAGGATCCGTAGGTGTTATCATCTCCACCTCTATTGGAGGATCCGTAGGTGTTATCATCTCCTCCTCTATTGGAGGATCCGTAGGTGTTGTCGTCATTGCCGTAGGAGTCACCACCTCTCTTTGACGAGCCATAGCTGTCGTCATTGCCGTAGGAACCTCCGCTCTTATTTGATCCGTAGGTGTTGTCGTCATTGCCGTAGGAGTCACCACCTCTCCTTGACGAGCCATAACTGTCGTCACCTCTACCTATGTTCAGTGAATCATACTTAGAACCATCATTATCTCCCTTTGAGTCGTCTTTATCGTGTTTACCCAATCCAAAAACCATTGTTACTTTTCAATTGATCTGTAAGGAACAATTTACCATTTGTCAATTGGTTTTTGAGACACGGGTTCAGTAATGTTTTTATATGATTTATAGTCCTTCTCCATCGTGGCTTTATTCAATAATTAATATGAAATTCCTATAATCCCTATTCACCCCTCTTCACTCTCCTTTCCCCTTTCCCCCTTCCCCCTTTACAATTTTATTTTAAAGCAAATTTTGGCATTTAGCAATTAATTTTTAAACACAAAAATTCACCATGCGACTTTGGTGTTCGCAGATTAACACAGATCAACACAGATCAACACAGATCAACATTTTTCTATATAGTAGAAGAGATGCAAAGTAATTGTTTATTAGGGAAGTAGAGGAAGCAAAAGAAACGTTTTGAAACCATAGTACATGAATGAAGAAGGTGTGACCTACAATTTTAATTGAAAGGGGGATTCATGGAAAATGTCATGGAGTCATTCGAAAGAAAACGTGTGTTTTCATACTTGTTATGTAGGTGGTTTTTCATCAGTTTTGAAAATTTCATATTAAAATTACGAACCGCGCGTAGTTTAAGGAAGAAGGAAAAAATTGTTTGACGAAAAACCAAATCGGCAACTGCGTCCTTACATCATTGAATTACACATTACACGTTTTGTTTTAAAAATCAAAAAAGGGAAAAAGGGGACTTAGTGTGGTGTTTGACTATTGTCTCAGTGAAGCATTGAAATGATACTTCTCTAGAAAAAGTAACAAAAGCGGCATACTCTCAGTAGAGCTAAAGTAGAACAAAGTTTTTACAGTATCCCAAAATCGTAATGAGCGGAAAAAATTGGAAAATAAACTCTATGATTGGAATTAAGCTGGTAATAAACGAGAGAAGAAAAGTGCTTTGGAACGACAGAATAGCAACATTAATTGATCACCCGGTTATAATACCACAGGTATTGTAAACTTTTATGCAATATCTGGTTCCTAAGCCCTGATCCAAAAATATCGAAAGCAAACCAACTAAGCCAATTCAAACTGTGGGTTTTAAATAAGCAAGTCAGCTCTTTTCTTTTAGAAGAGAGATCTGTAGAGATGCCGAAATGAATTGTTTATGGGCAAACAAACTGATGACATCAATTGCAACTTTTTTTTTCCCTTGTACTTTTTTTGCACCCAAAACAAAATAAAAACAACACTATCGAGCAACACTATCGAGCAACACTATCGAGCAACACTATCGAGCAGAGCGAGATAGTGTTGCAACAGGCTAGTTAGTGTTACAGCAAGCTATCAGGTGTCGCAACAGGCTAGTTAGTGTTGCAACAGGCTAGTTAGTGTTGCAGCAAGCTATCAGGTGTCGCAACAGGCTAGTTAGTGCTGCAATGAGCTATCAAGTGCCGCAATGAGCTATCAAGTGCCGCAATGAGCTATCAAGTGCCGCAATGAGCTATCAGGTGCCGCAATGAGCTATCAAGTGCCGCAATGAGCTATCAAGTGCCGCAATGAGCTATCAGGTGCTGCTACACTATCTCCTCCACTACCTCCCTCTACTCGATAGTGGAGTACACTGACATTAAATTGTTTTGAAAAATGTACACGAACTCCAACTTTTGAGAAGAAGCAAAAAAAAAAAAAGAAAAAAGAGAAAAATACCAACTAAGTAAAAGAAGAAGGAGGAATCAAGTGATATACTTCATCAGACCAAGGTTCCACATAGATACACACCGCGCCTCCAGGTCAAGTTTCAGCACTGTATATAAATGTCTGTTCAGATTTTCAAGGATCAGGTTGAAGAGGATAGGGGCGAAAATGCCCGGATGTCAGCATTTGTCGGGGCAATTGCAGTTGGTGATTTAGTGAAATCTACATTGGGACCAAAAGGTATGGACAAATTGTTACAAAGTGCAAGTAATCCTGATCATGCGATAGTTACTAATGATGGTGCTACTATTTTAAAGTCTATCCCCTTTGAAAATCCTGCTGCTAAAGTTTTGGTGAATATTTCAAAAGTTCAGGATGATGAAGTAGGCGATGGAACAACATCAGTAACGGTTTTATGTGCTGAGTTGTTGAGAGAAAGTGAAAAATTGATTGACCAGAATATACATCCCCAGACTATTATTGAGGGTTTTAGAATAGCTAGAAAACACGCGATGGCAACCTTGGATAAAAGTGCAATAAATAACGGATCAAATCCAGCCAAGTTTAGAGAGGATTTGTTAAACATTGCTAAAACAACCTTGTCTTCCAAGATTTTATCCCAAGACAAGGATATGTTTGCAAATTTGGCAGTGGATGCCATATTAAGATTAAAAGGATCCACCAACTTAAATCATATTCAAGTAATTAAAAAAGTGGGTGGGAAACTAGCCGACTCCTATTTGGATGAAGGTTTTATTTTGGAAAAGAGGTTTGGAGTTGGCCAACCCAAGAAGGTTCAAAATGCAAGGATATTGATTGCCAATACCTCAATGGACACTGACAAGGTCAAGATATTTGGAGCCAAGTTTAAAGTCGATTCTACTTCCAAGTTAGCCGATTTGGAAAAAGCCGAAAAATTAAAGATGAAGAACAAAATTGACAAGATTAAAAAGTTTAACATCAATGTATTTATAAATCGTCAGCTCATTTACGATTACCCAGAACAACTATTTACAGATGCCAATATCAACTCTATAGAACATGCAGATTTTGACGGCGTTGAAAGATTGGCATTGGTTACCGGTGCTGAAGTTGTTAGTACTTTTGATCACCCAGAAAAGGTAAAGACGGGTTACTGCGAATGCATTGAGGAGATATTTATTGGCGAAGACCCCTTTTTGAAATTTTCTGGTGTTGCGGCAGGTGAAGCATGTACAATTGTGTTACGTGGTGCTACAGAGCATGTGTTGGATGAAGCGGAAAGATCTTTACATGATGCTTTATCTGTTTTGTCCCAAACTACCAAAGATACCAAAACGGTACTTGGAGGTGGATGTGCCGAGATGATTATGGCAAAAGCTGTTGACCAGGCGGCAACAAATGAAGCGGGAAAGAAAGCTCTTGCTATTGAAGCATATAGTAGAGCCTTGAGACAGCTACCCACTATATTAGCAGACAATGCTGGGTACGATTCAAGTGAATTGGTTATAAAATTGAGATCCGCTATATACAATGGACTAACGACTTCTGGATTGGACTTGAACAATGGTGTAGTAGCCGACATGAGAGAATTGGGCGTCGTTGAAAGTTATAAGTTGAAAAAAGCCGTGGTGAACTCTGCAACTGAAGCAGCAGAAGTGTTGTTGAGAGTGGACAATATTATTCGCGCCAAACCACGTACTGCTGATAGAAACCGTTAAAAAACTAATTTTGAGATATAGCTTAATAGAAGTTGAGAGTAATTTCTTATAAGAGAGAGAGAGAGAGAGATAGGAAGAATTCTTTTATATCCTCCCTTCCATTCTTTGTAGCACCACCAGCGAACATGTTCCTCTCTTCCCCCCCCCCCCCAAAGCTTTGGGGGCCTTAACCGCCAAGTCTCGCGATTGAAAAAAAAAAAAAAAAAAAAAAAAAAAAAAAAAAAAATCAGCCAGTCTAATTTTTTTCTTTCAAATCAATCATCGTAGATTAACCTACGGTACAATTCTGTAAACCATATAGGGAAGATTCGTTAGCCTATAGATAGTACGAAGCAAAACAATATTGAGACCCATAGAACACTAACTACTATACGCTCGTTTCTTCTATACACCCTAGAGCCTTGCATTATTTTTGTTTGCACATTTTTCCATTTTATTTTCCACATACTTTGAACTGAAATTTCACCTTTTCAAAGTATATATAAATTTTTTTCGATTTTTACCATGTCGAGTAATATAACTTCGTCATCATCGTATATACGAAGTGACTCGAAGAAAGACCCAAGGTATTCCAAGGATATCATAATACCAGCAAAGCCCAACGACTATGAAGCGCTTTTCAAAAAATTGGATGTTGAAGAAACCGGTTATATTACGTTTCGAGATTTTACCAAAGCCATGAAAAGATTGAACCACCCTATTTGCGAGAGTCCCGAGATGATGAAAAACATATTTGAGTCATTTGACGGAGGCGAGGGTAAGGTGATTGACTTTTACGATTTCAAAAAATATTTAAGCACTACCGATGACCAAATACTAAAAGGATTCAATAAGATTGATGAGGACAATGACGGTAAGTTGAAAAAAGCAGATTTTGTAAAGTACTTAAAGGATCATTTGAACTTGAAAGCTAGCGATGTTAATGTTGATTTGTTATTCAAGCAAATTGATTATAAGAATGACGGATTTATCACATATGATGAATTTCGAGATTTTCTAATATTGATGCCTCGCTTAAATGGTTCGCGGATAAAAACGGCATATACTTTTATTATGGAGGAATTCGATGTCAGTTCAGATGGTGATGTGACACCTGTAAGTCATTTTCTCAATGGGTTTGGATTCTTTTTGGCTGGGGGATTAGCAGGAGTTGTTTCAAGAACATGCACTGCACCATTTGATAGAATAAAAGTGTTTTTAATTGCACGAACAGATCTAACGTCCACTATCCTTCATTCGAAAAGGGAAATTGCTCGGGAAATTGCTTCAGGCGCACAGACACATGTCATTGAAGAGTTGCGAAAGAAACTAGCACATGCAGAAATGGAAAAGCACATTCAACTGACTCAGGCAACAACCTTGAGAGAGAAAACCATTAGATCCCCAATTGTGCAAGCTGCTAGAACTATTTGGAAACAAGGTGGTGTTAAAGCGTTTTATGTAGGGAATGGATTAAATGTGTTAAAAGTGTTTCCCGAATCAGCTATCAAGTTTGGTTCATTTGAAGCGGCAAAGAGATTTTTTGCTCGAATCGAAGGCGTTGATGATGCAGCCCACATTTCAAAAATATCTACATACCTTGCTGGTGGTGTTGGTGGTGTTGCTTCACAATTTGTCGTTTATCCAGTTGATACCTTGAAGTTTAGATTACAATGTTCAAATTTGGATAGCTCTTTGAAAGGAAACGCCTTATTAGTACAAACAGCAAAGGATTTATTCCAAGAAGGTGGCCTTCGAATATTTTACAGAGGCTGGATGGCTGGTGTAAGTGGGATCTTTCCCTATGCAGCATTGGATCTAGGAACTTTTTCAACTATAAAATCCTACTTGATTAAAAAGGAGGCATTGAAATCGGGAGTATCAGTGGATGAGGTGAAGTTGCCGAATTATGTGGTTTTATTTTTGGGTGCGTTATCCGGCTCATTTGGTGCTACGGTAGTGTATCCAATTAATTTGCTTCGAACAAGACTACAAGCTCAAGCAACTTATGCTCATCCATACACTTACAATGGTTTTTTCGATGTCTTGCAAAAGACAATAGCTAGAGAAGGTTACCCAGGTTTATTTAAAGGTTTGGTTCCAAACTTGGCAAAAGTTGCGCCAGCAGTATCGATCTCATACTTTGTCTATGAAAATTTAAAGAATCTATTTGGTTTACACAATAGTGTATCGAAATAAAGAAGTTTTGCAGTTTTGCAGTTTTGCAGTTTAGCAGGTTTTTTTTTATTTATTTATTTTTTTTTTTTTTTGTTTTCCTTTATAAACTTTCATCCGCTTATCAACAATTTCAACAATTCTGTCAAGGAATCTACGCAATACCTCGGCACTAGAGTATCTTCCTCTTTAGTTCGATTCCCTGAGACTAACAACTCCTCTAAGTCAACCGGAGTAGTAGTTCCCGAGAATACAAGCATTGTGCCTTGTCCACAACCCAAATCGGAATCATTGCCAAACTTGATATCTGACGTTAAGGTGTCTCCTATAATGATTGTTTTTGCTCTATCGTACCCTCTATTGGAAAATATAATGTCAGCCAAAGTTTTACTTGGCTTGCCGACATTTATATATGGCCTATTGGAACAATATGACATGTAGTCTACCATGCTTCCTCCCGCGGGGAGAACCAACCCATCTGGACCAGGATAGTTACGATCTCCATTAGTACCTATATATGGTAATTTTTTATTATCATACATCAAATATTGTAGAGTTGTAGTTATTCTCATAAAGTTGAAGTTTTCGGTAGATCCAGCAATAACGGCTTTTGCCTCAGGGTCAACTTTCAATAGCGGGTTTTTCAGGTTCCATGGTTCATTCAACAAAGCACTGGAGCCACCAAGTGGTATATACTCTTCATCAATCAATTCTTCTTCGATTCCAGAATCTCCCAAAACCCACACTTTTGAGCCTGAATCGATACCCATCTTCTTTAGTTCCAAAACTGCTGAATACCCTGTTGTATAGATTTGACCTTTTTCGATCCCATGGATGCCTAGACTTTCGAACTTCTTGATATACCCCAGACGCGATTGCGACGAGTTATTGGTTACAAACGCAAAGTTTTTCTTGTGAAGTTCAAGAAACTGCAAAAACTCGGGAACTCCTTCAATCAACTGCTCAGAAAGCCAAATTACTCCATCGCAATCTAATAAAAAGTTATCAAATTGCTCAAATACTTTCAATGCTTCACTGTGGCTGTTGATATATACGGGAACAGTTTTAAAAGTCATTTGTTTATTATTTTTCTCAGCACCCGTTGAAAGTAGTATCTCTACCTACCTGCCTACTTATTTAACTTTCAAAACAAAGCAAACCATGTCAAAATTGTCAAACTGAAACTGAAACTGGAGTTTCTTACCATTTTAAACACCTACGGAAATAAAGATCCTTTCTAAATTAAATGCGATCCTATCGTATTTTTATTTTTTCTTTCTTTTTTTTTGACATATTTTTGATGATGTAATCGATGGGACTTTGTATCATAACCTCTTTTATGAAGTCGTATTTTGACCACCAGAGACACTATCAACACTATCGACACTATCGAGCAGAGCGAGATAGTGTTGTAACAAGCTACTAAGTGCCGCTCCACTATCGACACTATCGAGCAGAGCGGATAGTGTTGTAACAAGCTACTAAGTGCCGCTCCACTATCTCGCTCTGCTCGATAGTGTTGTAACAAGCTACTAAGTGCCGCTCCACTATCTCGCTCTGCTCGATAGTCGAGATGGACACTTACTCTAGCCTTTTTCCCGCCTCTTTTTCCCTCATCCAACAACTAGAACAATTCTGAATTTGTGTGGTATTTATTGACAACTTCAAAGCAAAGTAAGTCCAAGTCCAATTGACACACGGGTTTAAGTGTGAATGCCCTTGCATCCAGTTCCTCGAGCGTGTTTCCCTCGTTGAGCCTCACCCAACCTTCATTTGTTGGATATATCCGACTGTCCAATTGCACCGTAATTTTGAAAAATAGGTCATTTTCCGTTGCCGTGTTTGAGCTTGAGCTTGAGCTTGAGCTTGAAGTAGCAGTTTGGTCACTTGTAGTCGTTTCTTGCCTGAGCTCTTGTATATGCTTGAAAAGCGAGGTTTGAAATTGGGCATAAATCTCTTGCCATGGCGCATGGGGCAAATCCAACAATGCAGAGGTATCTCCTTCGAGATCTTCTCGTAGTTCATGGATTGCTTCACTTAGATTGGTGACAAATTGGCTAAATACAAGAGAATACGATTTCATCACCATATCGGTCCTTGTGTCATACACAAGACAGGAGACACTTTGTAAGCTGTTTGGCCGACTCTTGTTGATGATCATATTGTTAATGATGTTCAAAACGAGATCATTGATATATTTATCCAAATGCGGATTCCGACTCTTGTACAAGAGAATATCAAATGCTTTAACTTCATCAAAGGTCAACTGGTCGTAGACCTTATTATAATATAACACCAGATTCAACCATGCTGTGAAAAACTCTCGAAATACCAATAGAAAGTTATTCACAGTTAGCGGCTTCCCCGTGCCAGACTCACTCCTTCGTCTGGCCATACTATCGAGCGAAGCGAGATAGTGGTGCAGCACGCAATAGCAGCACTATCGAGAGCGAGTTGGTATTTGCTATGAGGGGTGATTTTGAGGTCCAACTCCCAAGTTCACGCTCAAAATACCAATAGAAAGTTATTCACAGTTGGAAGCTTCCCCGTACCGTGCCTTACCTTGCCTTACCGTACCGTACTGTGCCTTGCCAGACTCACTTCTTCGTCTGGCCATGCTCTTCCCTTCCTAAAAGGAATCAATTTTTCATTAACCGCTGATAACCGTGCGGCTTTCCTTCTAGAATGAAAAAAAAAAAAAAGTAAAACACTTTTACTAAACGCGTTCTATTCATCTTTATTTGACTTCAAAGTAAAGTCGCCAGGGAAGAGAGAGAGGTAGGAGGGTTTAATGAGAGATGCTGATACAGGGAATAAACGAGTCTGATATTTCGAAAATTACTTCTGGTCAAGTAATTATAGACTTGCGATCAATTGTTAAGGAGCTTGTTGAAAATTCCATAGATGCAAACTCAAGAAAGATTCTGATCAATTTTGTCAATTATGGCATTGATTCAATTACAGTACAGGACGATGGTAAGGGCATAGATGAAAATGACTTTGAGACTCTTTGCTTGAGAAACCACACATCGAAAATCAGCGATATAAGTGATTTGGCTAGACTCAAAACATTGGGGTTCCGTGGCGAGGCTTTGAACTCAATCTGTGCTTTATCGGATAAGGTTGTGGTAAATACTCGAACGACTCTGTCGTCACCAATAATGCATATCTTAAGGTTTGACCAATTGGGACGATTAGTTGAAAAAACCAAGAAAAGGGGTGGTTACAGTTCAAAATCGGGAACGACAGTATCAATTGAACAGGTATTCAAGAGGTTTCCTGTGCGATGGAAGAATTTTGCCAAAAACTCAAAGCGCGAGTTTCACAAGACAGTTAACTTTATTATAAACTACCTATTGATTTATCCAGAAATCAAGTTTGAGGTAACAAACACCAATAGTAGTAATAATAATAATAATAATAGTAGTAGCAGTAGCAAAAAAAAGAGCTTGGTTTTATCTTCAAGGGGTGGCGTAAATAACACAGTAACTGAGAATTTGATTTCAATCTTTGGCACCAATGGAAATACTAATTTGCTTGACGTAAATCTTGATATTACCCCCGATGTGAACTTTTCAGGACACATTTCGTCTTATTCATTTGGACTTGGACGATCAGTGCAGGATCGTCAATTCCTTTTTATCAACAAGAGGCCTATCGCTTTTAAGAAGCTCACAAAACTAATTAATGAAGTTTACAAATCTTTCAACCATGTTCAGTTCCCAGTATTTATTATAAATCTTGAAATGAATCCTGAAATTATAGATGTGAATCTTTTACCTGATAAAACCAGTATACTAATCCACAAAGAGGACGTCATTTTGGAAACAATACGAGAGAAATTAACTAACTTTTATGAAACGCAAGATAAAGTTGTTATTCCAAGAAGCTTGCCATCCCAGCAAAGTGAGCGCAGAATCATAAAAGAAGAAGAAGAAGAAAAGAAGGAGGAGGAGGAGAAAGATGATGATGTGAATGATATTCAGCTAAAGAGAGGAAAAACACGTCAAAGTAATCTTGAAGAAGTTGGTAGTTTGATTGAGTTCAAGTCAACAACTATGGACGACATGGACGACATGGACGACATTGATACTCCTAAAGTGAGGCAGGGTAATGGTTTATATACTGCCCCTTCTACAAAAGGTGATATGAAGATGAGTATGAATTTTTTAAGATACAAATGTGAGCAGGAAAATGAAAGCAATGAGATAATGACAGATGAAAAAAGGAAAGAGATTTTCAACAGCGTTTTGTTGGACACCATGAATGGAGATGATAGATGTGGTCAAGATTTGAACTTAAACTTGGAATTGGGGGGAAAGTATCCGCAGGAGCAAGAAGCAATGAACGGTCAAGGTGACTACGTAAAAGAGCCATCAACCGAAGCAAATGAAAAAGACACTGAAGATACAGAATTTCTGGATCTAACAATGTCTCAACTCAAAAGTAGCAATGCGTCATTTGAAAGCTCCGTCTCTCAATCCCCGCAATCTGACATTGTTTCAGATATAAACAGGTACACACCTAGTCCACTTAGATCAACTAAACTTCGTCATAAGAGCATCTTATCGTCATATTTATACACCAAACCAGATCCCATAGATATAGGATCTAAAGAACGAGAAAAAAAAAGAGAAAAAGGAGGAGGAGAGGAAGAAGAAGAAGAAGAAGAAGAAGAGGAGGAAGAGGAAGGAGAGAATGAGGAGGAGAAAGAAGTAGAGGACAAGCACGGTGAAAACTTTTTCCCAGTAGAGGAAGACTTGAAAACCGAGTCCATATACATGAAGATTGGTGAAGTAGAGTTTGAGGAGAAATTCCCAAAAAAATCCGCGAAAAATAGCAGCTTCAGTTTATTTATGCAACAATGCCGACAGTCTTCAGAGAGTGTGTATACATTTATCAACAATCTAAAACTGTTTGAAAACATCAAAGAGGATCTGTCACAAAAGGTTAGCATCAATAAAAACTTGCATGACGATGGAATTTACCAGATTCGAAAATCGGATTTCCTCAACATGAATTTGATTGGGCAATTTAATCTTGGATTCATTTTGGTTACTCATGGCACAAATCTACTTATAATCGACCAGCACGCGTCGGACGAAAAATACAATTTTGAGAGACTATTGCAGGATTTCAACATCCACTATCAGCCATTGATTACACCCTTATTTGTGGACTTGAATGTAATTGATGAAATGCTTGTATTGGACCATGAGAGCGTTTTTCGAGATAACGGATTCAAAGTCTCAATCGATACTAGCAAACCAGCAGGATCACGGATTTCGCTAACATCACTACCTGTCTACAAGAACAAAATGTTTAGTGTTGACGACTTTTATGAGTTGATCAACTTGATAAACGAACAGCCTAGTAATAGGGGTATAAAATGTTCGAAAATTAGAAAAATTGTAGCTATGAAAGCTTGCAGAAGTAGTATCATGATTGGATCATCGCTAACAAAAAACAAAATGACCAAAATCGTGACAAATTTGAGCACACTTGATAAACCATGGAATTGTCCTCATGGTCGACCAACTATGAGGCACATAATCGAGTTAGCTAATTGGCAAAGTAGCTATCCTGATTACTCAATATAAAAAATTGGTTAATTTGTTGCTGTTGCTGACCCTGACGAATTTCAATTGCAAAAGGAAAAACAGTATCAAAAACAAGCAAAAAATCAAAAATTTCATTTTTATTTAATTTTGATCCTAAATAAGCAAAGAAAATTCCAAAAAGGGTAATAATAGCCACTCCGCTTTTTTTTGTTCCCACTTGATGATGCTTGAAACTTTTTGACTAGTTTTGACAGAATGTCGAATTATTGAAGAAAAACATAGTAGACATTGCAGTTTGCAAATCTATAACTCCTGCGAAAGCTTTGCGTGACCCAATCTTGTATAATGATAACCATTGATATTCCTGATGATTAGCAAGTTTTGAGTACAATACTGCAACGTCTCTATTTTTTCTACAAAGGTTTCTTTCAATTAGATCATGCAAATCGGTATGTGTATATGTACATATATAGCTGAGGTTTTATTCTATGTACTTTTCTGTCGTGTAGGGGATTCCAAAGTTTTGTCTTTTTTATCAAGGCTTAGAAGAAGGTTTACGTATCCAGACATCTTCTTTGTAAGGAAATCACATTCATCTTCATATTCGTCACTCGATATTTCATCGGCATGCTTTTCTAGTAAGGAAAGAGTTTTTTGTATTTCGTCCAATGCTTCTTTACGTTCAAGTCGTCTTCTCTTTCGGGCTTGAGCTCGCTCTAGATTCGGGGAGTGGATAAAATCTTCTTCATCCCTATTTGAAGTAGCTTTCAAATTTCCTTCGCCAGATTTGACATTTGATCTACCTTGCAAGGTTTCAGACCAACCAGTATCATCATCATCATCATTAAAGTCGTTGTTGTCGTTGTTGATGCAATAAGAATTATTGACACTATCATCAACACCACCAGATTGAAAGTCATCAACATTACTGTCTGAGCTACACACGTCGTCATTATTGTTGGCGGTCGCAAGCTCGGGCCTCGAAGAGACTGAAACTGGAGTACTAGTTCTCTTCCTTCCGAGAGAGTGTATTTTGTTTCCAATATCGACTGCTCTTGCCAACGTTGAACTCGTGCCAAATTCATTTGGAAGATAACCAATACCTCTTTTCTTCTTTTCAACACGTTGAGTTTCTGAAAGCAGGGAATTAGGATTCAACGCTCGAGGTGCTTTCAAAACTAAACCCTTCTCATTTATTAAACGAAGGACCATAAGGCAATGTTGACAACTCCTCGTGAGATGAGGAAACGATGGACAAGTACACTTGAGTGACTTGCGATTTCCATATACGTTGTAGATTTGCCCATTGTTGGCAATAACTGTGCAGTATCCGTTTTTATCATTGACTCTTTTAGAAATATCTTCCAAGAGCATCAGATTCACGATATCTTTTAGTCCTTTAGCCTCTTCTTGCAGCAGGTCTTGTTGAAATTTGAGCTGTTTGGTGTCAAAATAGTTTGAGAATTTTTTTATTAGTGCATGTACGATCTTGTCAGCTGTTCGGTATCTAACAGTGCCTCGTGAGAGTTGACTTTTAAACAAATTATGCCACGATTCAACAAAATCTGTTTTCAACTCCAATTCGACTGGGACATCGGAATAGCAGCTCACAATATAATTTCGTTTCCCATACCAATAAAATAAATCAAGAACAAACTCAGGATACTCAATAAAGTTTTTAACAAAAGTCTTGAAAATAATGTCAGCCTCTTGTACGGTTCTCGCACTTAGCCACACAAGCATCGAAATTCGCGCTATTTCTCTTGCTTCACTAATTTCTTGCAAATTTGACGGGTTTACCTTTGGCACGTCCAACTGTCTCATCATGTCACTTTCAATTATGGAAAACCCAAATTCATCTTCTTCATTAACAGCATCAATAATACAGGTAGTATCATCGTCAACGTCATAATCATAATCATAATCATAACGACAGCTATTATCATCGTCATCGTCATCATCATCATCATCATCATCATCATCATCATCATCACCATCGTCATCGTCATCACCATTCTCATCTTTTGAAAATTCTGCTAACAGCTGTTCATACCTGGAATCAAAAGCTGAAAATGCTTGCTCATTTGAATTCTCCTTAACAAACACAAGTCCCTCTGTTTCTTCAAGAATCCCATGTTTGAATAGTAGACTATTATCTTTTCCATATTTCTCTAGAGTCACGTTTCTTTTCACGCTTGACATGAAATCCCTAAAGAAATGATATCTGCTAAACACAACTTTCAACGTTTCGTTATTACCATCATCGTCATCACCAAAAGCTGCCCTAACACTGAGTCTCTCAGTGGGAGAACAACCAATTATTGCTAACGTAGGTTTCCAATTGTTGAACTGAGTTTTCACTGTTTCGAAAAAGTGTTGTAGTGGCTTTGTATGTTGTGAATTGGTGATGCAAAAAAAAATTGGCAATCCCTTGTTCGTTAACTCATTTATGGAAAGAACAGTGTACAAAACCAAGTGCTCAACAGACCTCTTTCCAGCTTTGCCAAAACATTTTACATCATGGTGCGTCAGATCCAAAAAGAACGCTTCCTTACAATACAGCAGCAGCAGCAGCAGTTTCGAAAAGAAAGCTTTGAGTCCAATTATAAAAGACCAAGAGCTTTTGCATTGCTCATCGTTATCAGTTAACACTGTCGTTGTTTTTTGATCAAATCTGGTGTATTTCGCATAGTGACTTCGATTATTCAAATGTACCTCACATTCTAACAAATCTTCATGCAATCGTTTGGCAATGCGTTCTTTATCTAGGCTAGGACTCAACGCTAGTTTTCGAAAAAAATCAGCTTTTATTCGATTACTCTGATCAAGCACCATAATATTTGTTCCAAAATGAATTCTTGCTAATTTATCTTTAACCACCTTGAAATCATGTCCTTGGGCAATCTCCATCATGCACCAACTTCTTGGAATTTTTTTGATTCTTTGATGTATGATATCGTTGTAACTACTTATAGTATGGTTGTGTTTAACACGATGATGAACTTTTACTTTGCCTTCCTGCTCGCATAAAGATATGACAATGGAGCTATTACAACCAATTAAGGTTGAAGTGCGCAGCAGCCGCTGTTGTGTCTTTGACGTTGGGTTGGAACATTGAGCACCGTTGCATTTATAAAAAATTCTATTGCTAAATAGTTTCCTTTTGAACGAATAAAAACGCTGGTAATGCCAAAAGTAGGTCTTAGCTTCCTTATATGTCATGTAAAAGGTCTCGCTGTCCAGAAGGAGATTATTTGGCATCAGCAACTCATGAAAGAATTTGTTAAGACGCATGATTGAAGAAATTGATTTAATGTTTAACATTACTCCCAACTCACATGGACTTTCATCCGGTTCTTTCAAGATCTTCTTTCCCCACTTGCAAAATTTAATCTGCTTTTCTACAAATTCGTCTCTGATTTTGACTAGTTTTTCCTCTGTTTTCTTCTTAGAATTCTTTTTTTGGCAAAGCTGGTTTCTTAGTTCTCTTATCAGTTCTTCGAAATGTGATTTTGTTGATTCCAAAGTAATTCGCCGATAATCTTCCAGTGTAATTTGCTTTGAAGTCGTATTACTGAATCTGCTTTGAGAAGGAAAAGCAGTATCACTAGCGCCAGAGCCATCAGCACCATTAGTTCCAGCAAGTTTGTTTTTCTTCAAGCCATTCTTCTTCCTAGCATCATTTTCCTCTCTCCTTTTTACCTTTTCTTTTCTTTGGATTATTTTTGCCTTGACATCTTCAATCTTTTTCCTTAAAGCCGTCTCCCTTTTCGCCAATTTTCGTACCTGAATATCTGGATTATCGTTCCAGCTTTCCAATATTTGGATATTGCTTTTGAGTTCAGCAATTTTTTTTTGTGTTTCATGAAGTTGCATTTCCAATTCTGCCAACAGCAAATTGAATCTAGCTTCCAACTTTGACTTCCCAACATCGATTGAATCTTCGTCATTCTTCATCGCTTCCTCATTGTTCAAAACCTCTCTATCAGACTGTTCTTCTTCTCCATCTGCAACCCTTGTATTCACCACAGCTTTCGGCGACTCTATTAATTCACCATTTGTTTTTATCTTTTCAACACTTTGGAAAAAAGCTGTGTTTTTATCATTTATTCTTTGTTCTAATGATGCTATACTGTCCTCTATCACTTTTAAAGTCTTGAGAGTCGAGTTTTTCCGTTTAGAAATCGCGTCAATGATTTTCACCTTTTTGTCAAATAGTTGCTGACACTTTAACAAGTTTTCTACCTTTCTCTTGCTAGTAGTAGTAGTAGTAGTAGTAGTAGTAGTAGCAGTAGTAGTAGCAGTAGCAGCAGCAGCAGCAGTAGTCTGCTCTTCAGTTCTTCTTAGAGCTATTGCGCGTCCAAAATAATCAACTAACTTCTGTTTCATGGCATCTTGCTTTTTTTCTGACTCTTTAATTTCCGCTGCTATATCTTGCACTTGTACTTGCACTTGCACCTCGTTCTTATTTACTGCTCCTTCATCACTTTGTTCATGGTCATTCACATTGTCACTGATGATTTCGTCTTCCAAAGCAAGTTCATCATCCTTATTCTTGTGCAATTCTCCCCAGGCTCTTAGTTCTTCCATAGAGAACCTTGCAAGGTACTCCTTGCTAAAAACTTTCTGTTCAAAAAATGGATCAATGTTTGGATATTTTAGTAACAGAATATAAAGCGGGTGTTGAGTTCGCAAAAGCGCCACTGTAGAAGGCAACGATAGGTATCTTTTAATTACAGGATGAAATCGAGGATCCATAGGAAACACAAAATTTGGATCCTCCAAGGATTGCTTGGTATATTGTGGTACCATATCGTTACTATAGTCCCATATTTCCTGCGATAATGATGGTTTTTCAACATTGCTTATGAAACCAGACCCGTCCCATTCTGCTAGATATTCAGCTAATTCTTCTATCGTCAAAGACATTGTGTTGTAAGACTTAAAACAAACTCTTTTGGTCTCAAGTGCTGGCAGCTGTGTCGTTCTAATCCAATGAAAGCAACTCTATAGGCAAATACAATAGAAACCAACGCGAAAAATCCGTACCTCTCAACTCTTTAAATTTCGGTATACTTGGTGGTAATTTCTTCAAATTCTTGTAAAAATAAAAAACTTTTTCAAACTAGACCCTTTCATCATTTCCCAGCTATCAATACACACCAATGCAGCTTCTTACAACAACAACTTTAAAAGCTTTAGTGTATTGATTCTTCTTTTATGGCCAAAAAAAAAAATTAAAAAAAAAAAATTTCAGTTCGATTTCAGTAACATACACGTGACTAAGACTTCGATGGGTTAAATTCTCCATTTTAGGAACTTTTTGAGAGAAAATTTTTGAAAATTTTTGATATAGTTGAAAGCAGAAAATAGTAAAAAAAAGAACTTCTTTTTCCAGTTATTTCTTTTTTTTCTTGCGATGAGGCGGCTCACAATTTAATTTTTTTATTTTTCTTTCAATCAAGGTAATATGGAGCTTTGTTAGTTTGTTAGTTGATGAGTTTCTTATGGACTCGTTTCTGTATAACTTTAAAAGGTGCCTCTATACATAACTCACTGACATTTGAGCTTGGTAAGTTTCGGCTACTCTTTTCAACTCCCTTTTTTAATATTTTTACGAAAATGACTAAATTAGGGAAATTACAAAATCGTAATTTATATGAAGCGATGGGGCAGCCGAAAACCATTGTTGCGCCAATGGTTGATCATTCCGAACTAGCTTGGAGGATTCTATCACGAAAATATGGAGCAGATCTTTGCTATACGCCCATGTTTCATGCTAAATTATTCGTAACAAGCGAGAAATATCGTTCAAGTATGTGGAATGTAAAAGATGGTGATAAACAAAAAGACCGACCTTTGATAGTTCAATTTTGCGCCAACGATGCGGATTATTTACTTGAAGCAGCAAAACTCGTTGAAAATCAATGTGATGCTGTGGATTTGAATTTGGGCTGTCCCCAAGGAATAGCGAGAAGGGGCAAATACGGAGCTTTCCTTATGGACGATTGGGACTTGATTCATAAACTCATTAGAAACCTACATGATAATTTGTCTATACCGGTCACTGCAAAAATACGAATCTATGACGATTGGCAAAAATCATTGGATTATGCCAGGATGGTTTTGGATGCAGGGGCACAGTTCATTACTATTCACGGAAGGACAAGAGAAATGAAAGGTCAGCAAACAGGACTTGCCAATTGGAAAATTTTGAGGTATCTTCGAGATAACTTGCCCGAGAACCAGGTATTTTTCGCAAATGGGAACATTTTGTATCCTGCGGATATAGAGAGATGTCAAAAGGAGGTAAGTTGTGATGCTGTAATGTCAGCAGAGGGTAATTTGTATAATCCAGGTGTTTTTTGGACCAAGGATGATAATAAGGAGATGCAGTTTCCCAGAGTAGACAAGATACTACGAGAATATTTTGAGATAGTTAAAGACGTTAATAGCCCCGCATCAACCCATTCCATGAAATCTCATTTTTTCAAGTTGTTGCATGAGTTTCTAAATGTGCATACAGAATTGAGACCTAAAATAGGACTGACTAGTGTACGTTCTTCTTTTGACAATTGGAATGCAATTGTTGAGGAGGTGGAAAGAATAGTAGAGAAGGAAATTTATAGAAGGCCAAACATTGCGGAAATAGATGTTATTACTGACGGGCCTGTTGAGTCATGGGGTGGAAAATACAAAGAGGTACCGTATTGGAGGTGTCAGCCATACTTTAGGAAAGTTGATGGTGAGAAACAAAACACAAGAATGTTAAAAGTCGCTGGTGAGTTGGACTTGCTTGCATCATCGGAAACAGCAAAGAGGAAACTTGAGAATGAAGAAGGCTTTCAAGTGCTGAAGAAGCAGCAGCAACAGCAGCAACAGCAGCAACAGCAGCAACAGCAGCAACAGCACGACACTATTGAGCAAAGCAAGACAGTGGAACAACACTAGCTGCCACCGACACAAAAATTGTTCAAGTTGCATGTAAATAGTGAGAGGCAAAGAAGGAGGAGGAGGGGGGAGGGGGGAAGTCACAATTCTCTTTACTTGCTGTCTATTTACTATTTTTATTTAATCAAATGTTTTGCTCTTGGTATCACCTTCCCACCAACGGAATCCTAATCCGTAACCCCATGGGTCATTGATATGCCTTTTTGGATTCTTTACACCAATTTGGTACAATTCATCCAAGTCTTCCTTTGTTAATTCAGGCAAGCCAGTAATTGATTTGATTCTTTCCAAATTCGATGATCTTGGGATAACAACTCTACCGTTCAAGATATGATAAGCATTCACGATTTCATTTGTTGAGCAATTGTACTTCTTGGCCAACTCTTGGATGAGCGGGAGTTTCAAAACAGGAGCGCCTCCACTTCCCACTGGAGAATAACATTCCACAATAATCTTGTTTTCTTGACAAAGATCCACAAGATCTTGTTGAGGCAACTGTGGATGGTACTCTATTTGGTTTACAACAGGGACATGTTTCTTGATATGGGGTAACAATTGACGCAACTTTGGAATTGAATAGTTTGAAATACCAATCGACTTGGTCTTTTTGGTGGTGTCCAAAATATCTTCCAACTTGTTGTAAACTTCAATAAATTTGGTTCCTGAGACTGGGTCATCGTCATATTTCAAATCGCCATTTTCGTCCTTAGGAGCAGCTGGTTGACCGTTTTCGTCTCCATGCAAGGCAATTGGCCAATGCTGCAAGAACAAGTCAACATAGTCTAAACCCAATGTTTCTAAAGATTGATCCAACGATTTTTCAGGACTATGGTAAAATGAGGGCCACACTTTTGTTGTGATGAACAAATCCTCACGCTTAACGACACCTTCGTCAAAGAGTTCCTTCAAAGCTTGACCAACATATTTCTCGGTACCGTAATACCAAGCGGTATCAATTAAACGATAGCCAGCTTTAACCGCTGTAATAACTTGATCTTTAACATCTTCTGGATTATCTGAAGGAACCGTTCCCAACCCTAATGCGGGTATTTTCAAACCATTGTTCAAGGTAAAGTAAACATCAGTTGCTTTTTTAGCTGCTGGAGTAGACATTTTGAAAAGAAACAACAAACTTGGTTATAGCTCTTAATCTCAAATCTCAGTAACAAAGGGGGCTTTCTTGCATTTATATAAATAGCAAGAATTGAATAATATGAAAATTGCAAGGTATTTCTTATTAATATTGCTATGTTAGGTAGGGACACAGCACCTATTGTCCCACTACCATCAATGAAAAGCAAGCAAACTGATTTCTTAACTTGCTCTCACTCACACAACGTGATACCTATTCTGTCGTGTATGTGTGTGGCATTGCTATTCCGCCACCCTTGCCCCTTTGCCCCTTATAGCAAATTTAAAGCGGAATTCCCATCTTTTACTCCGTGCGATGAGCTCATACGAAAAGAGAAATAAAAAGATTCAAAGAAAAACAATAAGGTGAAGGGATATTTGTATAATTGAAAGACAAACAATAGCAATTGTGATCAAGATATAACTAAACTGAAATAATAGGATAACAAGAGAATTGGAGATCATGAGACAGGGAAGGGAAAGGGGAAAGGGGAAAGGGGAAAGGGTGATTGATACTTGACGTTTCTTCTTTTTCTTCTTTCCCTCTTTCCCTCTTTTCTTCTTTTCCTTCCTTTTTTCAAATCTCAAGGTCCCCTACAACATCGGCATCAGCATTATCTTCAAGGTTCAGATCGGTTGCAAACTCATCATTTTCATTATTCTGGTACTCGTCATTCTCATCGTATTCTTCGTCATCGTCATCGTAACCATTGATTACTTCTTTATTAAGTTTAGCCTTATTCCGGCGTTTTAGAGCATTAACACTGTTGAAATGGACTTTGTTAATTGCTGCTAAATACAAAAAAGTTACTCTTTTTTTCCTTTTATTGTAAATAAACCAATAGTATGACCACATGGGCTGATATGGATAGGTCAAGTCTTCGAATATAGATTCGTCTGATGGTTGGAATTGGTATATCTGACAGTTTTCATAGTGGGCATTACTAAACGGGGAAGAATAACTTCCTGTTAAAGTTGTTAATGACCCATGCCTGCTGCCACTATTGTTGTTGTTGTTGTTGTTGTTATTGTTATTGCTAGTGAGACTGTTTTTCCTGCTCGAGTTGTAACTATGCCCATAGCTATGTGCTCCCCCAACGGTAGCACCGGATTGTGGGGACGAAGTTTTCACACTCAACACATCCATATATGAGTTTATTATATCCCATATCCAGTTTAGTATATCTTCCTTCTTACCTAATGATATTAATAAGTTGTTGAATTTCTGAACCAAATCTTCGGGCGAATCGATTTTACAAAAATTCTCCGTCGTCGGTTGCAAGCCAGAAAAGTCTTGGTCAGGAAAGGTGTTATTTAAAATTGCTATTAAATAAGCAAAAGTTTTCCTAGTGGTGGGGCTTTTCAATGGACCAAATGGAGATTGGTCAATTGGTGGTTCTTCTTCCTTTTGCTGCTGTTGCTGCTGCTGTTGCTGCTGTTGCTGCTGCTGTTGCTGCTGTTGCTTCTGCTTTCGTTGATCTGGCTCTATTAAACTATCGTCTGGACACGACTTCGATAGTAAAGGAGAAGTGCTCTCGTTGCTAGCAACCAGATCCTTGTGCAACTCTCTACTCAGGGTTGAAGTCGAACTCAACCTTCGCACTTTTTGCGGAGGTAACATAGGATGATGCAGCAGCTGGTTTGCTGTTTCAACGGGACTGCTATTACTAGCCCCCGATACCAAATTTGCAGAATTTCGTCTTTCCCTTTCCAACGAACGATACATCTGGTTATCCTCAATTATTTGGTTCAAATGTTTATCGATGGTTTTGAAAAGCTTGCGATCGGAACCAATCGGTTTAGTTGTGAATAACTCACACCCGCCTCGTATCACTAGGTTATCATCGGGCAGACTAAAGTTAAGTTCCTGGTTGACCAACTCTAAATCAATCTCATCAATGTACTATAAGGTGGAAAAGGGTGGAAAACCCCGTTAGCATTGGAAAATTCACTTGATCAATATATATACCTCGGGTTAACAAGAAAAAAAAAATATTCCTATAAAATGGAATGGAAAACGTACCTTCATTTTCCAGTATGAGCTCTCTTTTTTAAACCTGTTGATGGTGACTTGCTGTAGATAGACACAAGTTACTAAAAAGTCACTTAAGCGGCTTGTTACTATTAAAAAACCTTCTTTTGCTCCAACTGATTGAGGTTAATTTGTGTGATGTTCCGTTATTGTTTGTAGATTGACGTGCAATACACGACGAAACACGTTTTCCGTTGTAGGTGCAAAAAAAAAGCTTAACACGAAAGGCTTTAACCATGAGGTGAGAGCCTGGTGGTGAGAGGTGGTGAGAGGTGGTGAGAGGTGGTGAAAAGTACTGGTGAAAAGTACTGGTGAAAAGTACTGGTGAGAAGTACTGGTGAAAAGTACTGGTGAAAAGTACTGGTGAAAAGTACTGGTGAGTATCTAATAAATAAATAAATAAATAGTTGTAGGTTGTTATAAAAATGAGATGCAGGGAAAAGGTTAGCTTTGTTTAACGCGAAAGGCTTTAACCATGAAGTGAGAGGTGGTGAGAGGTACTGGTGAAAAGTACTGGTGAAAAGTGATGATCATTTCTAATAAATAAATAAATAAATAGTGGATGAGATGCAGGTACAAGATTAAATTTGTTTCAACCCCTGCTTGTTAATTTCAAACGAGCAACGATTTCTGTTTCCATTGCTCATATTATGCGAGCTGGAAACAACCTTGATAAATCGTTCTACTTGCCATCCTTTAAGTAACAGCGGGGCTGGTTCTCCATCGTCAGTAGTACTGGTCCTTGAAGCATCTTCACTCGACTCAGCACTAGAATGGTTTCTTTTCCCATTGACATGAAAGCCCTGACACAATGATGCAAATGTTAACCCTGACTCCAAATCAACTGATACCTCGGCATCTTGATCCATCAACTCTGACTTCAGCTTGAGTATAGGTTTATACGTCTTCATCAACATTATCTTATTCTGGATCCTTATTGACCATGGATACCCCATTGTGGGTACTGCTTTTTTGGTGTTTTTATTACGTAGTTCATGAGCCTTCATGATTAATTCTTTTTGGGTTTCCAATAGGTCCGACTGCCTCACTTTATTAAACCTTGGATCCTTTTCAACTATTTCATTACCTTCTCCTCGCTGTCTTTTGTAAGAGCGATTATTTAAAGTATCGGAACTATTAAGGAATTCCGTTTCTAGTAATTCCAAATCTCGTTCGTTCAACCGAACTGAAGTTGGTGGAAGATACTTGGAAATCACTTTTGCATCCCACCCGGATGCAATAAGAGTTTGAAAGTCCAAGTTTAACGGATATAGTAAATCATCAAAAAGGACCTGATCTAACAATTTGTTATCGTCATAGTCCATAGTATGAGCACTCACTTGGTTGATAACTACTACTGCAATACCATACTTCCTTGCTAGCCGAGTGAGATGACGATACAACTGACAAAGATACTGTACTTTTGTTGATCGTGTAGCATATTTCTGTGACTTGTGTACAACCATTTTTAATTGAGTTCGTTGCTTTGGTAAAATTGTAGTTGAAAACTCTTGATCATCACGTAACGCCTCCAACTGTGATTCTAGTTTTTTGGTTAAAAAAGTAGCATTTGACATTGCATCTTCTCTACGAAAATGTTGTGCTATAGAATCAATAACAAGAAGCTTTGTACAACCTTGATTTCGATCTAATAAGATTGGTAGTTGAGTGAATAGTATATGGTCTTGACTTTCCAAATCGGGACAATATATATATGACACTTGGTCCAATTTCTGCTTTACCGGTACACTGTCATCACTGCTGAAAATATCTTGTAATCTTTTTGATTCCATAAATGCCTCAGTTGCTATATGCACAGGCTTGCTTTCGGGGTATTTCAATGTACAGTTGTGGATTATTTGATAGACAAATTGGGACTTGCCACACCCGCTAGCTCCAAATATTTCTGTTATTTCACCAAGTGGAATCCCCGATCCTCCAAGCGCTTCATCGATATCGGGTAAACCAGTACTAATAAAACTCTCACCCTCAGCCTCCTCTCCTCCTCCTCCTCCTCCTCCTCCTCCTTCTTCTCCTCCTCCTCCTCCTTCTTCTCCTCCTCCTTCTTCTCCTCCTCCTAGTAGCTCGTTTATATCCGTCGGCAGGATCCGTAAATCATCATCTAACGACTTGTAATACTCATCGATTTCCCTCACTGGTCTAGATAACAACTTTGAAAAATTCGGCGCAAACAAGTTGGTTTCACCGCGAAGTGGCTCATGTATCAAGTCATTAATAAATTTACCATGAGACTGTAATAGCGAGACCAAAAAGGGGAATTTCTGAGAACTATTCAACTCACCTGGCCCGAGCTGTTTGTAATCGTCCATAAAAGAAAACTGATAATAAACCTTTTTGCCATTCTTCCCTTATGGCTGAAATTCGGTGGAAAAGAAAAAAAGAAATCAACTTAGCGCGCGCAAATAATCATCACATTTTGTCACCATCAAGGAAAGAGGAGGAGTTTGATTTGAAAAAGAGTTGTTACGTTTAGAGTACGAGAGAAGATGTGTGGAATTTGCAATATTCATTCATGTAAAAGTTCAGCATAGCTAGCATTCTCTCTTTTTTTGTTTGTTTGTTTGTTTGTTTAATGAGCACCAGAGATAAAGAACCATTTATCAATAGATTTGTCAATTGGAGCAGCTGGTAATGGAGAAGCAGGTGGGACATCAGATTCGGAAACTTCAGCAATATAAGTAGGAGTCTTGGCCAAAGAACTATTACTCAACTCAATTCCCTTTGAGTCAACACTTTGACCATTGATCAAAGCTGACCAAGCTTCAGCACATTCATTGATAACATCCTGTGCGTATTTTTTGTTCTTGCACTCACCACTGAAAGCAAATTGGTTTTCGGGTTTGCCATCTGGGATTTTGTAAATTCTGAACCATTCATTTGTAGCTCTCAATAATCCGGGTAAATGCAGCTCAACATCTTCAATGTCGTTTAATTTAGAGGCCAATGGGTCGTTGACATCAATAACAATAACTTTCCAATCGGTCTCACCTTCATCCAAAAGCGCCATAACACCAAGAACTTTGACTTGCTTAACTTCACCTACGCTGGCTACTTTCTCACCAATTTCACAAACATCTAATGGATCATTGTCACCCCTAGCTTTAGTTTCTGGGTGTACAACATTTGGATCTTCCCAAGTCTGGGGGAACGCACCATAGTTATGAATATAACCATGGTGAGGGAAACAGTTACGAACAAATCTCAATTTACCCTTCTTGGTATCCTGGACAATAGGATTGAATTTCAAATCCTTGGAAATTTCCATTTTGGCATTTGTCCATCTTGGAACTTCAACAACCATATTGAGAATAGTCTTCTCTTCATTAGCATATAATGGGATATCGTGGAATGGTGACACTGGCTTACCATCTTTTTCAATGTAGACTTTATAGTCCAAGGTATTAGCAGCGCCAATTTGACGTGTGGTGTATGGAGAGGAGGATGACATGGCTTAATTGATGATTTAACTTGTCCAATAAAGTTCAAAAACGTTGGGTGAAAAAAAAAAATATATATATATATATATATGAACAAAATGGGTTGTAGTAGGCCAAAAAAAATCGTTGTCGTGTTGAGTGAAATTTTTTTTTTTTTTTTTTTTTGGAACAAAGTGGGCGTGTCACGTGCCGTTAACTAATCAAAGCAGTGTGTCAACTTTTTTGATGATGTATTCGTTATAGTTGTTAGTAACTACGTTCATTTCGGCCTTTTTCATCAAGTAAGCACCTCTAGTTAACTCTCGATGACACCGGGGGTCGATATGTTGTAGCTTTGTAGTTAAATTTGTCATCAACAGGAAATCGCGTGCATTGATATTCAACCAATACGTTGGATTTGATTCGAGTAAGTAAACTCCAGCATATTGTATGGGATGATTGATATTTTCCTTGTACTGTTTGAAGATATTGATACCATATACGTCTGAGTCAAAAAACCCAATGCATTGGCAAGTTTTGATCCTCGTTGTTAACCAATTGAGGAATCGAAGTGTAAGCAAATCGGAGTACCCCTTTGCAGTAACTACCATATAGCTAATCTTGGTTTCCTTGGAGGCAACACCAACACCAACACCGTGGATGAGCAAGTGTTTACAAAATGATTCGAATATTGCATCTTTTTCGAATATGATGACGACTACGGAAACAGCACTTGTATCCATATCCTCTCTAAAAAGCTGCTCGAAATACTCTTTGTAATTATTGGGAATCAAGAATGGTTCTTCGATTGCAGATTTGAATATATTGTAACCAAAAACAAGACCCTTTTGTGCTGGATGGATATTCAAATCATCAACCAAAGACCATCCCAAGGAAATTTCAACTATTTGGACAAGCATGTTCTTACACTCTTGTTGACTCTTGTTGAACATTTCCACATCCTGGTAATAAATATCTCTAATTGTCGTTTGATTTCTTGTAGTTTTCAAATGGTTAATCAAAATTTGAATGATCTTGACATAAGCTGCAAATCTCTGTAATTCGATTGGCTTTGAAGATACAGAATTGTAAATTTGACGTTTTCTCGGTAATGAACTATCATCATTATCTGCTATTTGACTATTTGGCAAGATCAATTGGACTGGCTTATGGTTTACAAATGCCGTTTTAATTTGCTGCGAAATATCTTCTAATACTTTAATTTTAGTACTACAAAAGAAAGAAGGGGGAGGGGGGAAATATTTGTTAGTGGGAAAAGAAAATAGATGCCAAGTATGTTACAATTTTACTTACAGTAAACTATTGTCGATTATAGTTACTATTACTGGCTCCATCATTGTTTTGATGGAAATATAAATGTATATCGTTTATCTACAAACATAAAGAAAAGAAGACGAACAAAGAAGAAGAAAAAAAAAAAAAAGAAATGAACAAATATCAATCCTCTAATTTAGTAGGAATCATCAATCCTCTAATTTAATAATAATACGTTTTCTAAGTAGTGCATGTTGGCAGCTAGTGTGCTCCACTATCGAGTGAACTCAGTAGCTTGTTACGATACTATCGAGCAGAGCGAGTTCACTCGATAGTGTCGCGTGCATGTTTAAAAGTGCATCAAGAAAAATTATTATAGAAGCGTTATTGTTGCAAGATGTGTCTTGAGAAAAATGTGGCGAGTTTCTTGTTATTCGGAGATTGTTATATCCGGGGAATACATGCATAATAATTGTTTCAATTATTTTAGGTGGCAGATAGTGTCGGTCGATAGTGTCGGTCGATAGTGTCAGTGACAGCTAGTGTGCTCCACTATCTCGCTACGCTCGATAGTGTTGATAGTGGAGCTATTGTGTGTTGCTCTATGTGCTCCACTATCTCGCTTCGCTCGATAATGTCGCTTGATAGTGTCGGTCGATAGTGTCGGTCGATAATTCCGGGGTGGTCTAATTTCGCGCTACCGACTGACATCAAATCTCACCAGCTTTTCTCTCTCTCCCGAAACTGAGGAAGGAAGTAAAGGAGGGAGAAAAAAAAGGTAAACTAATATATCTTTAGATTTGATCAAGAAAGATTAGCAATCAAACCCCTGAGTGTCTTTTACAGCAGAGTTTTGCTGGGGAAACACTATTGCTACTATATCAAATTCTAGAAGGGGTTTTTCCTAATAAATAAAAAAAACAGAACAATATAGTCTTGCAGACAAGTATTGGAGATGGTTTTGGTTATTCATCCCCTGGTGGAAAAATCCATTAAACGGGACTGGGATGATGGCGGATATTGGGAAAATTCAGCAGGTGGTGCAAGATGGGCATTTTTTGCTATATTTATTGTCCTCATAATTATTGTGATTCTTGGGACGATTCGAGTTAATAAGAAGAGAACTCAACATGGACAGCAACCGATATACGGAACAAGATGGATGACGCCTCCATCTTATAGACAATCACAAACTCAGTATCAACAACCTTCACCTCTTGATCCTGATTTACCGCTGGCTTATGTCCCTACTTATTTTGCCACTGCCAATGAAAATGACTACGATATGGGATACTACGATTCAAGAGGAATTTTTCATGCTAATCCAAATGCAAAGTCAATGGTTCAACATCCACCTGAAGTTCACACTAGGAACGAGTCTGTAGGTGGTGCTGCTGCTGCTACTACCGTTGATGCTGATGGTGCTGCTTATCTAAGTCGTAACTTGGGTAGTCCTGGAGATGGTAATGATAGTGATGAGGATATCGATAATATTACCAGACCCCGGGGTCCACCTCCAAGAAGAAGTACAACACAACTATCAGAAACAAACATCATGAGTGGTAATGAAACAGGTAGGGATCAAGTAAATAACATTGCAGTGGTAAGTGCTAATGTGCTGGATCACTCATATCAACCACCCGATGGTCGCCCACCTGTATCTTCATCTTTGAAATCTAACGACACTTTTGAGAAAACAGTGGATTTAAGGCACTCAGAGTAGTACAAAAGAAAAAGACCAAAAAAAGAAAGAAAAAAAAAAGAACATAAGAGGTGGAGGGGGGGAGGTGGGTAAATTATTACGCAATGCCATTGACTGGTTTTTCCTAAAAAATAGAATAACCTTTTTTTTGATTCATCACTTTAATTTCATACGTTTTCAAATTTCAACTAGCATTTTTTATTATTCTGTCACATCAACGTCGTTTTTTTTTTAATAAGCAATGTTAGCATTTAATGTATATTAATATTTACATATTACTAGTGGGGTATAAAGGAGATATAGCCTCTCAAACCGTATCTTGGCATATATCGACACTATCGAGCGAAGCGAGATAGTGGAGCAAATACTAGCAACACAATCTCCACTATCGAGCGAAGCGAGATAGTGGACCAATACTAGCAACACAATCTCTACTATCGAGCGAAGCGAGATAGTGGACCAATACTAGCAACACAGTCTCCACTATCGAGCGAAGCGAGATAGTGGACCAATACTAGCAACACAATCTCCACTATCTCGCTTCGCTCGATAGTGGAGTAGATATATATATCATTGTTTAGTTCTATGTATCAATTGACTAGATAAATGATAACGAATTTATCCATAAAGTGCCCAATGTACTCATTCACAAAAGTATCTGTGCCCTCATTCTGGTTCGAAAATTGAATCAATTTATTATCACCCTTTGTAGACAATTTTTCAACTATACTCTTGAGATTTTGAATTTCCCTTTCTTCAACTTGTTCGATTTCTTCTTTTTCCAGTGAAAAGGAAGGGTCGTACGTACCAACATATTGGACCTCGTCAGCAACAACATTATTGTCGGTGACGGTTTTATTAGTCTTGCAAAAGATATAGATTTTAGCTATATCGATTGAATTATATAGCTTTAGTGTTTTTGCGATTGTATTAATAGTTGCGTTGGAAAGTCTCGGGAGTTGTTGCAGATGACTAGACAAGGTAGTCATTTTGTTACTATTCACACTCTAGCCTCAATGAGGTGACATAAATCCAGGGTTACTTCTCCTTTGTTATATCTGGGTATTGATAATTAAAGAAGAGAAGGAAAAAAAAGTCTGAAAAATTCAATACTAGCCCGACAACTATCGAGCAAAGCGAGATTGACACTATCGAGTGGAGCAGCACTGACTATCGAGTGGAGTAGCTGCTGAGGTGCGTCTTGGTGGCATAGTGGAGCACATCGACTACTTACGACAGTAGCGAGCAAAGCGAGATAGTGCATACCCACCCCACTATGCACAATATAATTTGTGCAATTAAGTGGGACGGAAAGATAATCTATTCCTTGGTACTCTTTTGGTAATTCTTGTATAGCCGCATTTCTAATTGATGAAAATGGTGAAAAGTGTAAACACTTGAAAATATGTATCTACGCAACGTGTAACCATCTTCTTGATTGAGGAAAAAGAAAAAAGAGGGGTTTCGTCACATCCACCTCTTTTTCTTATCGCAAGCTGTTTAAAGAGAAATCAAAGTCATTCGACACACGGGCTATTTCAAGGACTATGATTCCGTTATCGTACTTTTCCTTTTGCCAGTTGCATATGCAATAGAATGTATCTTTAGTGACCAAATCCTACTTTTATTTTTCTTCTATACTACTACATCACTTGTCGTGATTTTTATATAATTTATTATACTGTTTGTTTCTTTTTTTGTGCGTAATTGTAGTCAATCACAGATCTATAACTACATTTATGGATGAACCATATTCTATTTGGTGATAACAATTTGAAAAACACTTGCAAAAAGTTTATCAATATACAAAAAGTTTATCGATATACAAAAAGTATATCGAGATAGTTTAAAAATAATTGGTGGTAGTAATGATGATAGTGTTGTGTCTCTGGGTTTTTTTTTAAGAGGTTATTTTGGGATTGAAATATTATCAAACTTTAAAAAGAGAGCTTAAAAATAGAGTAGAAGAGACCATAAGAGACCTTAAGAAGCGGTTATTAGTATTGTTGTAAGGACTACACCCCACTTGAATTACTTGCAGCTTATACTATCATCCAGTCCCTCACTTCTCTTCCTTCCATTACTTCTTAACAAGAATTCGCATATATACAAAGTTCAAAGGATTTTCTCACTTTTGAGGTGGAGAAAAAAAAAAGGAGTGTTGATAATTAACAGTGTTGATAAATAAGCGTTAAATCGATTTTTGCAAACCATTTAAAATTGCAGCAGTTATATTAACATCTATTTTTTTCTGTTTTTTTTACCAGTGGGAGGACTCAGAGAGAAGAGGAAACTGAAAAGTAGAAAACATAGGGTAAACTGAAAAGTAGGCAATATAGGGTAAACTGAAGAGTAGAAAATATTGGGTAAACAGAAGAGTAGAGAAAGTAGAGTAGACAAAGGATTTTGAACCAAAATACAACCAAAACCTGTGTGTCCTCAGTTTTTGAAAAAAAAAAAACAAGCATTTTTTAAAAAGCTGTTTGGGGTTGATACCAAAGAAATACAATAATAACTATTGGTTTTCAAATATCAAGTACGAAAACTTAGTCCCCGTAAACTTTTGAGGTTAAAAGATAATTGACACTATAGATCAATAAAGATATATTTATCAAACTGGTTAATTTAGTGTCATAGATTACTATTTCATAGGTTTTTTTTTTTTTCCTGGCTTAATTTACATTCTGAGAATAATCATTGTTACCAGTTCTGTTACACAGAAAGAATCTTGTCAAACAAATTATCACACAATTTGTGACTAGGTCATATTTCTTCAAACTATCACACATTTTTGAATTTGTGTAAAAGAAGAAAAAAATAACCTTACCCCGGATATCCCATTTCAAATCTGTATTCAATTTGAGGTGCGCGTTTAGCAAAAGAGAAGGGAAAAATTAAATAAGGAAAGAAAGGGAAGAAGGAATAAAAAGAATAGAAGGAAACGAAGGAACATAAGGAAACGAAGGAACATAAGGAAAAGAAGGAAAAGAAGGAACCATAAGGAAAAGACAGGGAAAAATTATAGACTAAACATTTAGTAAACCACACGCTTCTTTTCACTGCCCCCCCCC